GAAAAAGTAGGTAAATTTCATAGGTACTTTCAAAATGAGGGTGTAGGTCATATGTTTCAGATCTGGATACCATTAAACTAAGATCTGATCATTATATACGAAATTAAGATCTTGAAAGCTAAGATCTCTGACCAAATCTGTGATTTGGATTTCCTAGCTTGAGATCTCCGTTTTACGTTGTTTGAGCCCACTTCGTCTTTTGGTAATTGGTAAGCTCATGATGTCTTTATTATATCAGGAAAGCCCAGGACAAACAAGTTAGAAAACACTATGATAACAAATTAGATAGAATTTAGTATACATATGAGAACTTGACTCTAGCTTAAAATAGTAGAACGAGTTAGCATAACAAGAACTTGAATTTAGCATATCAAAAATCGTAAATAGCATAACAAATAATTTCGATCTAGCATAACAAAATACTTCAATCTAGCATAACAAAATAACTAGATTTAGCATAACAAAATACTAGATTCAGCATAACAAATTACCTAGATTCAGCATATCAAAAAACATAGATTCAGCATAACAAATTACCTAGATCTAGCATAACAAAATAGATTGAGATTTGCATATCAAAAATCTCGATCTGGCATAACAAAATACTGAGATTTGCATAACAAATTACCTAGATTCAGCATATCAAAAAACATAGATTCAGCATATCAAAAAACATAGATTCAGCATATCAAAAAACATAGATTCAGCATAACAAATTACCTAGATCTAGCATAACAAAATAGATTGAGATTTGCATATCAAAAATCTCGATCTGGCGTAACAAAATACTGAGATTTGCATAACAAATTACCTAGATTCAGCATAACAAAATACCTAGATTCAGCATATCAAAAAACACAGATTTGACATAACAAAATACCTAGATCTAGCATAACAAAATAGATTGAGATTTGCATATCAAAAATCTCGATCTGGCATAACAAAAAAGTCTAGATCTAGCATAACAAAAAAGTCTAGATCTAGCATAACAAAATAGAATGAAATCTGCATATCAAAATTGAGCGTTCAAGTGGCTTAAAAAGGAGTTGAACAAGCAAGCTTTACAAGAACTATCGCAACACTAACCACTATGCCATTGGTAAATCAAGATCTGAGTGAAAATTATCTAAAAAAAATTGGCCCGAGATCTCCAGCCGAACCCGAATGTTCTTAATACAATTTAGCGACACGACATTGCTCGTAATATATACTCCTATTCAACACTCTCGTAGATCCCTCTCTTTATTACTTCAATTATTTACCGTTGATAATGCAAATAAATGCTTGCTATCATGCTACTGAATTGCTTGGCTTAACCGATATAGGAGCTCCCAATGATTTGTATCTAATAATTATTCAAACATTTAGCAAAAATGTTGTTTCTTCCTCAATCACATGCCCGCAATAAATCTCTAGACTTGATCTGAGTAATAAAAACAGCATTATAGGTATCACGGAACCTTACAAGTCTTTTCCTTTTCCATTTAACGGGTTTTTAAATAATCATGGCTTTTAAGTTAATTTCTTCATCGATTTGTTGTAAGAATTGACCAACTTTAGGTCTAACGATTGTTGTGACTCTTTGAATTTACCTGTCGCTCATCTACTTGCCTTTGAATTAAGTAGAATTTCTTATTTTAGGAGCACTCAATTTCCTCCGAACATGAAACAATTCTATCAAAAACTTAAAATACCTTACTTGCCCAACTTTTTTAATTCATTCGAAGTAAGTGTCCCAAAAATTGTTGATTGATCATTCGTAGTTGCTGATTTGAAGTATGAATTCAAAGGTCCACATGAATGGCCTTGCAAATTTGCACTTGCTTTGAGATTTCTAAAATTGCCAGTTTGTAGTGATTTTAAAAAGGAAACGCCAAACAAAAAGATGTAAAATCACTCGGAATAGTGTTTGTAATTATATTGGTATAGCATTAATGCACAATTGAAGTCCTGGTTGTAGTAGTTAAACCATTAAGGCGATTAAATTAACCTGAGAATTACTTGATTTTCAAATTTAAAATCAAATTATTAATGAGTAGAGTGTCGTGTCGTCAAACTGTAAAATAGGTTTTGCATTTAGTATAAGTTGCATCAGTTAATTGTAAATTTGCTTTGTTCATATATGGTATGGTTTCGACTAGTTGTCCTTTGCTTTTAATTCTGAATTGGTTCAAACTCATTATTTAAATGAACTGCAAATTGATCGATAATTCAAATATTCTCCCAACACAAGATTTAATTAGTTTCATAATTGAAAAATACAAATCCTACTTGCTTTAACTACGTAATTAACTTAGCTATTTAACACAAACCTAAAATTTTCAGGTCCCAGATCAGATCCCAGAAGTCCCTTGTGCTTTAAAGTCTAGATTATATTTGCTCAAAATCTAAGATCTATTAACAGCACAATCACAATACTTACAAAATCTAGATACGCAAAATCATCAGATATAACTACAACATTTCACCGATACTCACAAAATCTAGTTATGCCATATCTGAGATATATCGACAACATTACCGCAGTAGTTAATTTGTGATACCAGTGCTGTCGTGAATCAGATCCAGCTGCAACATTACTGCAATAGTTTAGGGGATTCAAGATCCAGTGAAATTTTGAATCGAGATTTGAAACACTTCCAAACTGCCATCTATTGGGTTGAAAATAATAAAGATTTGTTTTAAAATTGATGACGTAGAGACTGAAGAAAACCGAGTTTAAAATCAATTAAATGAATATATATGTCATTATATATTATCATGTATTTTACATTATTAAGCATTGGTATTATTTCCATTTTGAACAGCCTCAAAATTTGGAGCTTGATTTTTGGAATCATCTAATGTGAAGTTCTTAAGTACTGGTTCAACTCTATATTTGAAACAAAAGACTACCGGATTCTTTACCAGCTTCATAATCAGCTTCAATCAACTCAAAATATTTCTCTCCTTGCTTTTAATAGTATCAACGGGCATGCAATAAGATAAAATTTGCTGTCTTGAATTGTAAATTTGTACAACTGGTACCGATTTAGCATTTGAGAAGACGAACAAATAAAATTAAGCTTCATCTTGAAATCCGTCATTTAAATAATCAAATGATTAATAATTTAATTTGATTTGTCGGTGTATAGTATTCCACGTATCAACTAAAAAAACCCTCTTATTGTTGAAAACACGATAATTGAATTTAGCAAAAGCAATGTCGTATCTTTTCCAATTGAGATTGTATGATTTGATATAATAGTTAATTTTGTATTAACCAACTCATATATAAAGGTGAAATGATATTCCGCTTTTAGAATGGTGAAGTATATTATCTCTTGATTTACAATATTGATCGTTGTACCTAAATGTTAGGTTTCAGGTTAATCAATTTACAATTTAAAATGCATTAAAGGACCAGTCTTTTGCATGAATCATAGTTCAGTCTGACCATGATATCGGAATAGAGCAATCACATAAATACCGGATTAGGCATTTTCTTGGGAATGGAAATACAACAACTTACCAGCATTTCACGTTAGCTCAATTGTTTTTTTGATTTATGAACTTTCAACTGCATTTTGTAATTCTTTCACAAGCTTCCCAAATTCCAAATTTAATTTTGCATTTAATTTAATTGAACTAGAGCAAGCAACACGTACTTTATTATAACAATTAATGCTTTAGTTAATCTGAGTGTAGAAATATACAATGAGTTAGTTGCTTAGCTTCTCCCCATAGCTCTTCACCGTTTTGTGGGTTTTCAATCAAAATCAAGCAACAGCAGTTCAAATTTTACATTTCTTATCAATTCTCAGAATTGAAGTTTTATAATGAGTTAAACAATCCAACATTTTGAATAAATAATTGATCAAACTAAACCAGACAATAACTTCCAGTGGTTCACTCGTCATACAAACTCTGTTAGCAAATCTAGCATTTTAAAAACAAAATCCCTAGGTCTCAATTAAACAACATCATGCAAAATTATTATTCTCAATTTAACTAATCTACATTAATCTGGATTTTGCCCTTTATATGCAATCAATTTCTCATTTGTAAATGTAATTTCTCAAAAAGTTTGAAAGAAGTTAAAATTTAGAACGAGGACAATTTATGTGTACTGCCGTAATTGGTAAATCTGAAACAATTAAATAATGTCTGAATCTTGAAATCTGTAATATTTGAAACTATACTTTCCAAAAAAAGTCTTCTCTGTCAAAAAGTGTCAGAATCTACTTTTATAATTAAATCTTGTCTGTTTAGTTTCAGACAGTTCTTTGTTAATTTTGATGTCGTAAAATGTAAAGTCGCTGTTATTTATATTTGTCTAAAAATTTTAGAATTGTGTCGTACTTCATATTTGCGCTCTTTTTGTAATGATTTCGTACAAACTATTTCTATTAAGTATTTAACTTGACCTTCGTCGATTACAAGACCATTGTATGATCTATGAAACCATTATGCAATCACTCATGTTTGATGCCTTTGCCAAAACACAGATTAAGCTATTTGAGCTTAAATCAGATTCTTATTTTGAAAATCGAAATCTTTTCAGCATTTTGCAACCAAGAGGCTTTAACTATTATCTACGTGCGAAAGTAAAACACATTTCTAAGGTACGAGATCAGCTATCAACGTCTCGAGTGCATGAGATCAAAATCTGTGCAAATTATTCCTTAGATCTCCTTCTGTCAGTGCGAAGATCTATTTTTCCGAGCTTCAGATCCAGCCACACCATTATCACAACAATTGAGATCTAGTCTCATCTTAATTGTTTCATGTTAATTATTTCATGTTACTTGTTTCAACTTAGTATTGGATCTCGCTAGTCTTGGTTTCAGATCTCATTACCGCTTAACTTCAAACATGAGAGTTGGTAGAGTTCATTTAAAATTTTATTCAATTTCCATGATGTTCAATTTGACAATCGAACATGCAGTTGAATATGTGTATTAAGATAGTTCCGTTTATCAATTCTTGCATTCAAAAAAAATGAACATTAGCTTGTATTATTACTTCTTACCCAATCTTGCCTCAGCAGCTCTCGCTCTTTGTTCCCTCATGATCCTAGCTCTTTGATCATCATTTAATCCACTAGAATTTTGGTTCAAGTTGATGGAACGATGTTTTTCAATAGGATTTTTACTCTCAGCTTGTGATTCCAAAAGTTTCTTTTTTTCAAGACTTGCAATTTCTTCAGCTTTTTTATCCTCTTCATCAAATTCTTCTTTCGATTTCGCAACACCTACTTTTGCTAATTCCCAATTACAATAATCATCTCCTAATTTATGTCTTGCTATTTGGAAAGCTCTTTTTGAAGTTTGATTTCCCAATTCTGCAGGGTATCTACCAGCGTAATTCTCAACTAGTGGTGATGCTTTCAAATTTATTAAAAGTACTTGTATCATATGACTTAATCCATTTGCTGATGCATAATGTAAAAATGTTGGAGTGTTATTTAAAAGCTCTTCTGAGTTGATTACAAATGTATTTACATCAATTTTGTTGTCATTTACCCACTTTATAAATTTTGGGGCTTTTTGTTTTTTGAAAAATGGCATTATTTCGTTAGATTTGTCATTGATTTTTTTATCAGCATCAGATGTTTCTGTTGCAACATTAGACTCTTTTGGTTTTTTATCTTTTTCAGATGGTGGTATAACTTTTGGCAAATCAACTAATTTGAAATGACTTAATTCAACCCAACTTCTTTTAACTTCAGATAAACTTGCTCTTTGAGTTGAAAATGGTATTTTTTGTATTCTTTTGTCATCAGCTTTTATAGGAGATCCTTCATAACCAATCAATACCTTTTTGTTAGTTGGTCCATTAGCTCTTATATATATAGTTGAACATTCGTTCAAATGATCTCTCCATTTTGACAATAATTCTCTTACTTCTTCCATAAGTGCTTTTTCATTATATCTTCTAATACTTGAACCTGCTGAAATTGCCTTTCCTCTTGAATTATCACTAGCACTTTGAGCCCCACCTTGTTTTCTTCTAGTTGTGTATCTATGAAATGTTTTTGATTCTATTACATTCACTTGATCTATTTTGGAAGACTTTCCACTATTTGAATTTTTTTCATGTGATATTATTGCACCAGCAAAATGGCCACCTCCAATCATGAATATAGCTGATTTTGAATTACTTGTTCTTTGATTTTCTTTCAAGTATTCCAACGGATTATTAATGTACGTTTCATTAAATATAGACTTGTAAATTCCAATGGCTTTTTCATCTGAAATCATTGATGAGCCAAAAAGTACAAAGGGACTTTTCGTGTTTAAATGTGATTTGAAAGATTCATTTTCATTAATTTCAGCCTTTTCCAAGTTTTTTATCAATGTATTTACTTTTTGTTCTTGTTCTGTATTGTTTATTTCATCCTCCAGTTCATTCTCAGTATCATAATCTGACCCAGATAGACTTTCAATTGATTGAGTCTCTAATAAATTTTCGAATTCTTCTTCATTAATTGCAGGTAGGTTTTTCTGTTCTCTTTTCAAATTATATCTATGTAAGTCTGATTTGTAATATATCATGATATCTTTTGAAGACTTTGATGTATTTGGTGTATCTTTAATTGTTGGTTCGACATTTTCAAAAGTTGTTAAATCAAAAGATAGTAGTTTTAAGGAGTTTAGAAGATCATCGTCTAGATTATATATGTAGTTGTTGGAAATATCATTAACTGTCATGATGTGATTGAATGTATTGATTATGTAACTAAAATTTCCTATATTTTTAGTGAAAAAATAAAATGTTAATAATTTTTTTTTTTGCAGCAATTTTTTGATGATACAGTAAATGTAAATATTAGTCATAGAAAGAGTTATATTTTGAAGTTTACCAATAGAAGAATCAAAAGATTAATTGAATGGCAGCTGTTTAAAATTTACTTTTATTTATTTACAATGCTAATAAGCTAATTTGAATGCAAAAATCACAATAGGAACATCATTTAAAGTAATACCTTTACCAATCTGATTCCTTATAATCATCAATATTCTTTTCCATATTTATGACATTGTTTTAAAAAATATTCAATTTTTTCAGGTTTCATAAATGGGTGAGTACCATGTCCAAAATTTATGATATAATTTTGAGTTCCAAAGTTTTTAATCATTTTATCAACTTTTTTCTCTATTATTTCATCACTTCCATACATAACACCAGGATCTAAATTACCTTGTAATGTAATTCTTCTATCACCAACAACTTCACGTGCCTTTTTAGGGTCGAAAGTCCAATCAAGAGAAACACAATCATAACCTGCTTCACATAAATCATCTAAGGCATACCAAGCACCCTTTGCAAAAACAGTTAATGGTATGTTTTCAGTTATTCCTAATTCTTGTAACCTTTTTGGTAATTTTGATGCAATTTCTTTTAAATATGGTAATGAAAATGTATTAAAATCATCTGGACCTAATTCACCAGCCCATGATTCAAAAATTTGTAACATTTGAGCACCTGCAACAACTTGTTGAGCTAAAAACTCTATACAAGCGTTACAAGTAGCTTTTAATAATTTATGAGAAGCTTCTGGATATTCAAAAATCCATTGTTTTGCGAATCTAAACATTTTTGAACCTTGACCTTCCGTCATATAAACTAATAAAGTCCAAGGAGCTCCAACAAATCCTAATAATGGAACTCTACCATTTAATTTAGTTCTTGTTAAAGTAATTGATTTATATGCCCATGCTAATTTAGTTTTAACATCAGGATTAAGATCAATCCTTGATAAATCATCTGGATGTCTTAATGGTGATTCAAATACAGGACCTTTTCCATCAACCATATTAATTTCAAATCCCATAGCTTGAGGTATAACCAAAATATCACTAAATATAATCGCTGCATCAATTAGTCCATCAAAATGATCTATTGGTTGTATAGTAATAGCTGAGGCTGTTTCTGCATCTTGACATGCTTCAAAAAAATTCTTACTTCCTTTCACTTCATGATATTCTGGTAAATAACGACCTGCTTGACGCATAATCCAAATTGGTGGTCTTTCAACTTTTTCACCTTTTGCTGCTCTTAGTATTAAGTCATTCTTCAATGGAGCGAATTCTGGCATTGTTGAGGTTGGTTGTAACTTTCGAATTTGACTATTTGAGAATTTTAAAATAATTTATGGGGTTTTCAAATTTGGTTTTGTGGAATTTTTCAAATTTTTCACTTGTTCAACAGATCTTTAAATATTGATATTGGATTTGATTCTAGATCTTGAAAGATTTGAGGAGATAAGCTCAGATCAGACGATGAGATGAGATTAGAATGATGGTTTAATATAGTAATGAGAAGTTTGTTTTATACTTTAAACTAATAAGCTTAATAGTGGGAGAATAGTATTTCAAATATTATAATAATTGAAAGAAACTGACAGTATAAATATTCTATAAAGGACAAATTTATCCGATGAATTATTGATGAATGAATTACAATAAAAAAATTATATATGTAAGGACATTTTCAATTGAATTTTTATTTTAAAAATGTTTCAATCAAATCTCTTTGCGGCCAGTTGAACGTAATTCGAATTAACTATAAAATGTTACTAACTTTAATAAGCACATGGAAGCAATCTTGTTTTAAAAATTAGCCAAAATTTGGTAGCATTGTAATGTTTTCATTTTAACCAAATTCAAATAATTAATTAATAATTAATCATATTACAATTATAACATAAGTAGATATACAAGATAGCATTAAGAAGTTAATACCAATTTTTACAATTCCACTACACTCAGCGAGCAATAAATTTTACCATTGAAATATATATCATTCAATTGAACAAAGAACGTTGCTTCTCAAATATAGAATTGAATAGAATACAAAATGACTGATACAGGAGAATCCAATCTGTTGCGAAATAGTGTGAATAATAGTAGTCATAATCAAAGTAATCATAATACGAAATCAAACCACAACCATAAAGAACCTAATTTCATTGTCAAATTTTTCAGAGAAGTATTTGGATATAGGAAAACTTCATTATCATTATTTGTCATTTTAACAGCAGTAATTGCAATAAGTTTATCATATTATGAAAATTCATTAGATTATAGTATTAATTTACCTGATAATATATTTGAAAAGGATTTACTTGATAAATCTTGGTTAGATTTGGAAATTATATCGAAAAATGAACATCCATATGCATCAATTGCAAATGATGAAGTTCATGATTATATAAAGTCAGAAGTTCAAAGAGTTACCAAAGGAATAAATTACGTAACAATTGATGCAAATACTACAAAATTTTTGAATCATACGTATTTTGAATCCAAAGAGGTGTTTTATTTTGAGAGTAACAATATATTGGTGAAAGTCAAAGGTAAAAATCCACTGCTTCCAGGATATCTTTTAAGTGCCCATTATGACTCTGTACCTACAAGCTTTGGTGTTACTGATGATGGAATGGGTATAGCAAGTTTATTAGGAGTGTTGAGATACATTTCAAGTCAGAAACAACCAGAAAGAACTATAGTATTTAACTTTAATAACGATGAAGAATTTGGTCTTTATGGAGCAGCTGCATTTGTAGAGCATCCATGGTTTAATGATGTAAAATATTTTTTGAACCTCGAAGGAACTGGAGCTGGTGGTAAAGCAATTTTATTTAGAGGTACAGATTATGGAATTGTTAAATATTTTAATCAAGTAAGATATCCATATGCAACTTCAATTTTTCAACAAGGTTTTAATAATGGATACATTCATAGTGAGACTGATTATAAAATTTATCATGAAGCTGGTCTTAGAGGTTTAGATTTAGCATTTTTCAAACCAAGAGATATTTATCATACAAGTTTGGATAATATTAAAAATGTTCAAATTAAATCATTATGGCATATGCTTTCAAATTCAATTGATTTTACGAAATTTATATCAAATGAAAATATTGATGATTCAGGAGATTCAGAATCTGCTATATATTTTTCATCTTTTAATAGTTTTTTTTCATTACCAAGTTCAAGATTATTCACAATCAACATAATATTATTATTATTATTTCCAATAGTGAATGGTATTTTAATTTTTACCGCTTTAAAGTACAGAAACTTAGAATTAACTGCTGGATCATTTTTATTTGTTCCTGTTTCATTATTTGTAACTGCATTAATTGTATCATTTATTACAAATCAGATATTCAAGTCAATAAATCCTTTACTACCATCATCAAGTCCATACCTTTTAGTTCTGACTATATCGTCATTCCTGATTTTGATTTTTTACTTTTTTTCAAATTTATCAAGTTACAATACATATGGAAATTATAATGACTTCAAATTGATTTGCATAATCGAAGTGTCATTTATTTATTGGTTATTGTTGGTGTTCAGTGTTGTGAATGGGTTTGTTTCAGACAAAAGTAAAGATCACACTGGTGAAATAGGATTAACAGTTTTATTTTTCTTAGAGACTATAACATCTTTCTTGGGATTGTTAGCATGGGCTCTTTCCCTGAGGAAAAAAATTGAACTGACTGAAGAAGGTGAAGATGAACCGTTACTAAATGGGAATTTGGAAGAAAGATATTCTTCTGATGAGAATGAAGATCTGGATGAACAAGATACCTCATCTCAAATTAAGCAAGTTTTTCAAAGCTATAGTTATGATTGGTCCTTACAATATTTACTTACTGTTCCATTATCATTTTTTATTATATATAATTCTGGATGGTTACTAATTGAAGGAGTTAATAAAACTATTCAAGAATCATTATCAGGAGAAGAAACAGTTTATTTTATTTTACAAGCTGTTGCTATTGCGTTGATAGTTCCAATGATTCCATTTATTCAAAAATTTAACAGAATTATAATATTTTTAGTACTAATTACCTCCCTAATTGGATCATTCATAATTTCAATCAAGGAACCATTTAATGAAGAAAACCCAATGAAATTAAGATTTACTCAAGTATTAGACAAAAATCAAACTTATGTTAATGTTTACGGTAGACAAGGACATGTTAAAGAAACATTAAAAAGTTTACCATCAGTACAACAATCAAATTTCAAGATCAGCTGTTCTAAACTAGTTGATGGGAATGAAGTATGTACATATGAAACCAATTTGCATCCAAATATCAAACCTACAAGATCATCACAAGATTATTTAGATGTAATTGTAAAAAACACAACTAAATCAAAAGCATTTGGAATAAATTTTGATGAAATCAAAATAATAGCACCTAAAAACAGACAGTGTAATATTGAATTTTCAGGAACTGAAGTAAAAGCAATAATCTTAAAGAACAGTTCAAAAGAAATCCCACCATTCAAAAAATTACCAGATGGATTTTCAGAAGACAAAAATTACTATTATAAAGATGTCCATGGAATCAATAAATTATACCTCAACAAATTAAATTATGATTCAAATTATGATTTGGGTTTATATTGGATTCCAAGTATTGATGATGAAACAAATGTCTTGGATATTAAAGTCGATTGTTTTTGGGCTGATTTATCACCAGTTTCTTATGAAGGTGAAGTAAAATCAGCTATTCCAGCTTATGACGAATTACTTCATTATACTCCAAATCATATTAGTATAGCAAACAGAGATAGAGGATTAGTTTTAGTTTCTAAAAAAGTGAAAGTTAAAAGTAGTTAAGTGTATATTAATAATTAATAATTTAATCATAGAAAGTTTTTAAATCTCTGTTCAATTTACTTTTGAATATTTATTAAAAGATAAATCCGATAGTGACTCCTCGCTCACTTTTAAGGTCTTTTTTTCGAGAAAAAGCTTTGACACAATATTTCGATATGAGTTTGTTTTTTGATTGTGTAACATCCTATTTTATTCTCTGATTATTCATCTATATTATTGTATATTGATGAGGATCATTAATTTAAATAGACTGTTAAAATAGATTGTACTTATTTATTAAATAAGCCTTGTGGAACTATTCAATCAATATATTATGAAACAGCTCTTGCTCCAACTTTCTAACTGTGAAATTAATTGATTCTCATATTTCAAAATCTCCTCAATTTGGTACCAATATAATGCAAAAAATTTCAGTAACAAAATCTAAACATGAAATTTTTCACAACCATGTATCTTAGATACGAAGTTTAAATCTGTTGAGATACGAGATTTGTGGCTAGTGAAGGCACTTTTATGATATGCTAATTTTCTTACTTTGATATGCTAATGGCCATTTTTTGATACGCTAATTATCTTATTTTGATATGCTAATGGCCATTTTTTGGTATGCAGCATTCAACTTAATGCTCTATCTGGATCCGAACCAGGTATATTTGTTCTTGAGAGCCTCAGTGACCACTCGGCCAAAAAATTTTAACAAATCTTGTGGCTCAGTGGCAAGTAATTTTCTCACTATTCTGTTTAATCCACGCTGGTTCGATTCATTTAAATGACTAAAAATTTGAAGTGTGTGGCGTAGTTGTCACGCTACCGTTTATCTTTATACTTGCGAGTTCGACTCTAGTTTGCAACGGAAAACTTAACGTTTGTGGCTTAGTGGATAGTATACTTTGCTGTTCTTGTCTAATTAAACACTGGTTCGAAGCACGCTAAATGCATTTTTTGCCTATTGTATGGCCTAGTGGTCACGCTACCTAATAACTTTTTTTACTCGCGGATTCAACTCCAAAAACTTCCAAATATACAGATTTTTGTGGCCTACTCGTCACGCTACCATCAAATGACCCTCAAGGTCCCTACGCGCGGGTTCGACTCTGAGTAATTGATTTTTAAGTTTTAGAGTGTGGCCGACTTGTAGACGATGCGGGTTTAGTCAACTCATTAAAAATAGTCGGCAATGAATTCGATTCCTAGAATGAACAATCCCTACGTGTTTGATCTTTGAACATTTAAAAAATTTCCCTCTCAACTGAATGAGTACGTAGGTGACTCCATTCTCAGAATTATAAACCAGGTATCTGATTCACCCTCAAAGTAATCTCATTTTATGATTGCCAAAAGTCAAAAAAAATCTAAAAAGATTGGTCGATGCAGCTTCTGTGGCTCGAACACAGTACCTCCAGATCTTCAGTCTGACGCTCTCCCAGGTGAGCTAAAGCTGCTAACACGATGATTCTTTAAGAAAACCCACGCCGGGATTCGAACCCGGAATCCTTTGATTAGAAGTCAAAAGCGATAACCATTTCGCCACGCAGGCTAATTTCTTGATTTGGCAAATGCTTGAAAAAACATAGGTGTTAGGTACTTGATCTAATACCGTACAAAATGAATATGGTAAGTTGAATAAAATTAGGTCGTTGATTTTAGATCTAAGGGAGTAAGTTTAATTTGATTCGTAGAACTGTAGATTCTTTACATATTTATACATTTTTTCATTAGACCATTCAGAAAGCTTTCATGATTGACCAATTTGTCGACTTTAAGTTATTCCCAAAAAGTAATTCATTGCGTTGTTTTTTCCAAAAAGTCATTTCATTAAGTTTGAAAATGATTAAAATAAACGTATATAATGATACTAAACACTCCCAATATCTGTATCATCGAATTAATTAAAACTCCATATCTTTGATACCTATTAGTTCTATTTATCAGGTAGTTTTCTTGCTTTTCTATATCTATATTGTGTGATGACTTTTCATTATATATATAATCATTATTCATTTGATTCTGAATTAAAGTATCAGTTGATTTTGAATTGAACTTATTAGATAAAATATTTTGCAAAACATCGTTGTTGATCCCTTTTGGTTTATTCATACACATTGTTTTGTCTACTTTCCATCAATTTCTATAACTGAGTTCATTAATAGATGTTTTGCAAATTATAAAATAGTTGTGATTGATGAATTTATATGTAAATTTAAAGTTTCAGTCTCGATTTTCTCCAATTAAAAACCTTAAACAATTAATTAATTTTATCAATTTTCTTCAACAAACAAGATGAACGTTCAATTGTAATGAAATGATGATAATTTGGAATATGTATAAGACTGGAGTTTTTAAAAATTAAGTGGAGTTTCAAATAAATATAATTCTCCATCAAAAGCGCAATTGGTTAATCATACTTAAATCATATCATAAGATTTTACAAATACTTTCCACCGAGATCAAGATCTAAAACAATAATCAAGATCTTGTTTCAAATCTAAGTTCTTCAGATCTGTATGTTTGAGGATTAAACACAAAAGAGTAAACAGCTAGTAATTTTAAACTTATATTATACTTTACATTAATTAACTTAAATTAAAATCACTATAAACTATAATAATTAATGATAAAAAATTTCACCCAAAGAACCTTCCAAAAATTTATTAATCTAACCATCTTTTTTTCTTTTTTGTAGCAGTAATAGAAGCATGACTTACTTTTCTTTCACTTGCAGCATACCAATTTGTAGGATAAGGAGCAACAGAAGCCCAATTAACTTCAGAACTTGCAGTATAACTCCAACCTGGTGTAATAGTTGACATTACAACTGGAGATTTTTGTTTTGTTGTATAATAAGTTACAGCACTTGTTGGAAATCTTCTTGTCCAAGTAGTTGCAGTTACTGTTGAACCAGGTTGCATTTGCATTGGAGCAAATCTTGTTTTACCTGTTTGTAAAGTATATGGAACAGTAAAACTTGATGAAAAATCAGTATTTGTTGCAGGATCATAACCACTTGTTTGACCTTGTGGTGAATCACCAGTTACTGTTACAATATAAGTACCTGCAGTTCCAGACATTCCTGTTAATCTAAATCTTGGAGTATATTGAATTGTTGTTGCTCCATTTTTAAAACTTGTATAAATTTGAACAAAATAATAACCATTTGCATAATCAGTTTGTGGAACACTTAATGTTGCTGTTTTGGATGGAAATTGTTGTTCTTTCAATACTAATTTTGTTGGTTGTATAGTACCTGATAATCCAGTACATAAAGTTAAAGTATAAAATTCTACATTATCTAATGATAATGCATCATCTGATGAACCATCATCTTTCCATTGAACTTGAACACTTGCTGAACCTGATGTGCCTGAAAATTGATCACCTTGTTCTGGAGATGTAATATCAACTGCTGCAAACGTAGATGGTATTATTGATAATAATGTTAATATTAAAAAATTAAACCTCATAATATCTTAAATTTATTAATTTGACATGTATCTATTTATGTTTACGATGAAGTGATTTGTATAATGTATTGATCTATGAAGTAATAAACGATTGATTGTATATGATAATAGTCTTTGTTTGTAGTAACTTATTAAAAGTAATATTGTATATATTGGCTATGTTAATAATAATAGTAAATAATATTTTTGCTATTTAATATTTTTATATTTTTTTTCTTCTTCTTCGAAAGAAATTTATTTTATTATGTCAAAATTTTGAATTATTATATAAGGAACTATGTATGTGTATGAGGTTATTATTATTTTTCTTTTGTAACAAATTTGACATCAATAAGTTAAGAGGTATAAGAAAAGTATTATTAGATCTAAATGAATCATTGATTTGAATCTATAAATCTTCAGATCTTTTATAACTCTTTTGAAATTTAAAATCTAGATCTCAATGGAGATGAATTCAATTATGTAGAATGTTACATCGTAAAATCATTATATATTTACATTTAACATCATTATTTGATATATATACTGCATCTGTCAATTTGGCTTGTTCCTTAACTTTGAAGCAATCAATTGTTCAGTTTATGGTTTATAATAGAGCCAGTATACCCTTCAGTCAATGAATTCAGACGCGTTTCCAAGTTTTTTGCAACCGCTTGTGATAACAAATTTAATTTTATAAAAGTTATATTTTATTTGCAACAAAGATTAATAACCTGTATTAATACATATGTCTCAAACATACAATTGTTGACTTATCCCTTACTATCTAATTTTTTTAATTCTTGAATTAACCATCATAATAAAGTTTATATAATAAATATAGTATTATTGAAATTAAAATCCATTCCAAGGCATTTAAAGTATAACCTTCTCCAAACAAGTTTTTTAATTGCATACTAATATCTTGTTGATTGGGTATAGTGCCAACGCTGATATCCATATCATGATTCACAGATTCCGATCTATTCCTTTTAGAGTTTTTATTGGATTTTGATTTACTTGATTTTTTACGCTTTATTGATGGTATTCTTTTATTTGATACTTCTTCATTACTTGAATTATTATTTTTCATTAATTCATCATTTTCAGAATCTTCTGATAGTATATTATTGAAATAATCTTGATTATTTTTAAATTGTTCATTATCATTATCATTTGAATTTGGTGAAGATTTTGGTGAAGATCCTGGTGATAATGCAGTACTTCTTCTTGATATAGTTTTTGATGACATTGGATTTGGAATAAATGAAGCTGGTATTTGCATTAAATTAGTTAATGATTTATTAATTTTATTATCATTACTAGTTATATTTATAATATCATTTGGTATTAGTTTATTTGCAAATGATTTAGAATAATTAACCAAAAACATTTTGTATAACATTAATACTTTGTATTTGATTCTTTAATATTTGAATAGATATTGAAAATAATTTTGAATAATATAATTGTAATAATAAACTTAATTTATGAATATGTAAAAATAAGGATATAATTTCATATATTAATATAAATAAAAATAATAATTAAATTGTACATTCAAATGAATATATATCACAAGATCAAATTAAATGTTTAAGATTAGTATTTCTATTTTTAAAATTTGAATCATTTATGATTACTATAATTATTTTAACTATAAATAAAACGGGCTTAAATATTTATGATTTATGTGTGGAAAATGTTCTAATATTGATTTGAAATTAAAAAAATATACAATTGAAATTGGTTATTTAATTGTTAAAAGGCAATTATTACAAAAGGTGATTAGATTGAATTACATTTACATTTATTATTCTAATTGAGTCATTCAATATATCTGTATGTAGTAGTATAATAGAAATGTATTATAAAAAATTCATCTGAAACAAAAGTTTCATATTAATAATCGAATGCGAATATATCGGATATAAAAAAATGGATTTAGGTTCATACGAAGATACGCAGACAATTCATGGGGTTTTCCTTCTATTAATTATAATTTACGCCATCAACAAATAGCAACAATGATATACTGATATAATTATGTCCTTGCTTTTTGAACAAGATAGAAAGTTAAAGGATTTTGAAAGAAATTTTCATATACATTTAAGAAAGGTTATATTTACTTTAGCCGACATATCTTTTTTTTCCTTTAAAACGTTTAAAAACGACGGTTATAATGGAGGACTAAAGCAAGTAACATAACCCCGTTTTAAAATTTAATTATTAAAGTATGCATAGAGAATAGCTTATGTGAGATGTTCGCTTATCAACTAAAATCCGAGTGACAATAATTTTGAAAGACTTCAAAAGTGCATTAGAGTTGAAGGACAAAAGAATATAATCATTAATGTGAATATATAGCATATGATTTATACAGTTCAAGTATAGCTTGAGGAGTTCCATAAGTTTCGATCGAGTATTCCATAAAGTAAATGACCCCGGTTTGTAACATTGGTTATATCCTTATTATGCAAGATTTTTGAATTTTAATATCGTAAATCATTTAGTTTTTCAACAGTAATGTTAAATAAAACTATAAGCGATTATTAACAACTATATTTTCAATAACTACAACCCGCCAATTTGTCTATTGAGATTAAATAGAACTTTTAACTGATAAAAACCACTTAGCTCAAGCAAATGTAAGAAAATTTGAAATAGGATTTTTACAATAATTAACAACCTTATATTCTCCATCTTATATTTGAATCATTTTAGTGCCAATTTGGTGCAAATAAGATTGAAAATGATTAAAAATATAAATACAACTACTTCGATATAATATTTTCACATGCATTCAGCGTAGTCATTTATGTATACTTGACAGGGAGAGTTAATGACTAAAGTTTCAAAAATAGATCAAGTCAAGTCTATGTGAAACATTAACAAATTTAAATTTAAGCCATGTTCATATACATGATTAACAAAAAGCCATGTTTTTATTTCAGTACTGATTCATTTAACCTTTGTAATCTAATCCATCTAAAAATAGTTCAAAATTCTATTTATATCTTTTCAACATAAGAGTAGTAATTGTACACTTTATCTTAACAGTATCTATTTTTGCGGTGTATTTTTTCGAGGGAGAAGTTCTGCATAATATTGACGTAAAAATCTGGTTTTGATTGACCAAGTTTACAACGAGGACCAAGTTTACAACGAGCTCTAGTCAGGTAGCACATATCAGCTCAGTGAAATAATTAGCTGCAAAATCTTTAAAATATATTTTTTCACCAAATCTATACACATCGACTCATTTAAAAATCTGAAAAGTTTTTTTTGAGCAATCGTCCAAACCATAAGACTTTAAATGATTCATCCTGATGAGATTATCTCGTAATAATAACTCACAGCCATAACTATCACATAATATTAGAGAATAGTTAAACTTTGTGTAAATTTTTTTTTTTTTCAATACTTTATATGTTTATTAAAATTAATTTGATCTAAGTAGAAGATGCTAATAGAATCAAAACTGTAAACTCAATTGAAGGGAATTTACAAGTGAAAAGAAGTTATTAATATTAGGAGATGACCATCTGTAAGCAGTAAAACTCTGCAATTTAAAATTTCTTATTTAATGAACATATAAAGCATAAAAAGAATTTGAGATAATTCGTGAACGAAATTCACAGACTCTAAGACAAATTGTTTAAACGAAGTAAGTTAGTAAAGGAGAGTTCAGTTCTAATGTTCTAGGTTTTTTTATCATCACGAATCGTTTGTCTTTAATTGCGCTTATACTTTATGAAAAACAATTTTGGCTTAATGAATTTCATTAGGGGGTAGAGACCCAGTTGTTTCAGAGCTGAGATCAAGATTCAAATATTTTTGTTTTGAAGATCAGGAGAGATCTATAGAAAATAAGATCTTGCATCGAAGGAACCAAATCTAGCATAGGATTATAGGATTTTAGATCTGCTAAACCCTAAGTAGGTTTTGTGCAACAACATTTCTTGGTTATTAGAAGTAGTAAACTGAATAAAATAGAGCCAGTAGCTTTGAAGGTTTGATATACAAAATACTTTAGATAATGAGAATTTACTGAATATAATATGCAACAGAATTACATAAGTAGTAGGGTATTAACACAGCAAATTTTTTGAATTGAGTTGGTATTGATTGTGTTCATTAGAGAAAATGATTAAAATAAAAGCTTCAGGTGCTGAAAATTGATCTACCAGTAGAGAGCTTATAGATTTTATGTTCTTAAAATAAGCGAATATCTCAATAAGAACTTTTCTATTTCACTAGCATTAAATGTTGAACAGCGTTAAATTATAATAACACTGAAATATATAAGAAAAATAAGAGGTTAAGCCGTATTGGTAAAATTGTTTGTTCAAAACTTAAAAGATGATTGAATTGTTGAAAAGACTTAATTATTGGGAGGATGATCAATTAGACGCCAAGACAATTACTCATAATCCCAACGCTCCAAAATCAGCTCAGAACTTATCCCCCAGTTATTTAGGCCTCGATTTTGTAATTTTATTATTATTGTACATCAAGAAATTTTTTTTTAAAATTTGCAACAGTAAAAAAATGTCTGTCTGTTGTTTCAGAATATGCTACCAATTTTACAATATTTTTTTGATATTTATAAATTATTTTGTACCTTGAAAACGAAAAACAAAAATATATCAAATTTAAAATGCAATCATCTTCCATACTACTAAAACGTCAATATTACTGAGACAGAATTTAGTAAAAAGCACAAAGACCTTTTCGGGAGAGTTAGCTAGTACAAAAAGCAAGTTCTAGACACATGTTTGCAAAAACCTTGATGAGAGCTTCTTTCAAAAAAAAAACTGTCTGTCTATTACAATTTTAAGGACGTTTTCAACGGTTTTCCTAAACCAAGAATCTATTTCACTTTTGGTGGATCCCTCTAGGTATCCATCCTTAATTATGACGTACCCTAAAAAACCCTCAAATGGGGGAGTTTACAGCTGTCAACAAATAATTGTTGCAAAAGTGAATAACATGTACGAGCAACGCTTCAGCACTTACATAATTTGATACAAATATGAGCTTTAATGATGCATACATGTTGCCTATTGGTTCTTGATGGTACTCAGAGTTCACAATATGGCTAGAGAGTCTGTAAATTTACCTCCAAAAAATTTGAGGGTTTTCCAATTTGCGCCCAGACATTTCACTTTTTTTCCATGTTTTATTTTATATTGCATTTTCAGATACCTTCAATGTTGCCCATTCCAATGCACTAGGTCTTAATGAAGGAGCTGTGCTGGTTGATGAAATATTAATCAAAACGTCCAACTCGCTCAAATGAGCAGCTACAGGTTTGGAAGTAGCCCAAGAGTTTAGATCTTGATTTCACTAGTACAATTAACATGCTAAATCGTGATTAGTTGCTGTGGGTCAGGAGATATGGGCCATTTTGGTAAATGCCAATTTCAAGGTCAAAATGACACAAAGACGGGTCTATAGCTCCGCTCACGTGCAATAGTAGTTAACTATGTAGCCTAATTATAATATTATCTTTCAAGTATAAGTATAAATCAAATTAGAAGACAGACATCCTCGTAACTTGAATAATACCAGAATGCAAATAAGCTTAAACGAAGCTATTTCTGGTCAAAATGAGCCCAAAATAGGCACTTGAAAGTCACCATAGTAGAGTTTTGTGCCTCAATACACTACCTTTACTATTTTGCAGCATACCAAAGATTTTGTTATTTAGATATATACAAATCAATAATTTTTTAATTACTTTTTACTACTTATTCTTCTCCACTTGATCACCAGCTTCTACTTTTATTCATACGAACACTACTTTTATCCATACAAACGTAGAACTATTTATTTATTTAACTACTAACTTCAGATTTCTAGTTTCATTATCATTTGAGAACTTTTTTGTGAGATATTTCACTGACACAAGTCTGGGAACTACCTGAGTTGACTACCTGAGACGTTTTCCGGACCCAATGGACAAATAAACAATTTTATCAAACCTGAAAGCCAACCTTTGAAGACGAACTTAACTAACTGACTGGACTATTTAAATTCGACACTGGAGTCAAGAAAAGTGAGATATTTGATGTTTTGGATAATTGACTGACAACCTTTTTGGCTTTGGTACTTGAGAGATGTGACTGTGAGTGGGCAGGCTACTTGGCAGAGATGGATAGTTGACTTTGATTCAGCTTTGATTAGTTCATTTCATAACATCACATTAAGTCTAATGCAATGGTTAAGACTTAAAATAGCACAAAAAACTAAAAAAAATAGACACAGGCCAGTCGATAAATTAAAAAGGTCACCAAGATTGAACAATAAGCCAAAACTACCCTATACACACATTATGCTTCACAGCTTAAACTTTATGACAAGAAAATACAAAATTGTTTCAAAAAATGCTACCATATAACTCAAAATTATTTTGCACCCAAAAAACTACAATTGTAAACAATTAAGATTTCAATAACACCAAAATTGAGTACAAACGGACAAGCACAATTACTCCACTTAATTATAAGCAAATACCCAATACTGAAGTTTAAATATCATTGCTAATATGTCTTGATAAAAATTGCAATTGTTGTTGATTTGGAGTCCAATTGAATGAGTATATTAGAGCAGAAATAGACATGAACAAATGTGATAAATTAGCACACTTGAGCAGCTGGAGCTACATCATTTAACATCCAGCTGAAACACAAGTTCTTATAAAAATTGACGTACCCTAAAAAAGCCTCAAATGGGGGAGTTTACAGCTGCAATCAAATTATTGTTGCAAAAACGATTAACATGTACTAGCAAAGCTTCAGAACTTACATAATTTAGTACAAATATGAGCTTTAGTAATGCATACATGTTGCCTATTGGTTCTCGATGGTACTCAGAGCTCACAATATGGCTAGAGAGTCTGTAAATCTACCACCAAAAAAATTTGAGGGTTTTCCAATTTGCGCCCAGACATTTCATTTTTTTTTCAGGCTTTATTTTTTATTGCAGTTTTAGATACCCTCAATGTCCTTCATTCTAATGTACTAGGTTTTAATGAAGGAGCTGTGATGGTTGTTGAGATATTAAGCAAAACGTCTAACTCGCTCAAATGAGCAGCTAAAGGTCTGAAATGAGCTCCAAATGTTAGATCTTGAATTCAATAGCTCAATCAACATGCTAAATCGTGATTAGCTTAAAAGTTGCAGGAGATATGGGCCATTTTTGCAAATGCCAATCTCAAGGTCCAAATGACACAAAGCCGGGTCTATAGCTCCGTTCACGTGTAATAGCAGTTAACTATGCAGTCTAAATAGCATTATCTACAAAATATACATATACATCAATCCAATTTCAGATTTAAGCCGAAAAGCTCATCAAAGTATCAAAGGTAACACATGTTTGTTTACAATATTTTTAATACTACACTTTTCTGCAATTCTATAAAATTTACCCCATAACAACTATTCAATAATAAACTGATGAAAGGAAATGACCAAAATTTTTTTTTGAAAAGCGATATTAGAACTAATTAGTTAACTCATCAAAGAACAGGTTTTAAAGCTTGTCAATTTACAAACTCACGTCTATCAATTCAGTTAATCACTAACATTTTAGAATTGTTTCAACACTCAGAAATGAAAAACCGCTCAATTCTCAAACTTCTTAAGCGCGATTTGAATTGCTAAATATTTCTAAATTTGTCAATTACCGCTAATTTAAAAAGATGATGTTTTAAATAAAGACTAAGATTGATTCAATAAATTTTCAAAATAAAATACGATAAAATCTATTCAATTCTGAACAAGTTCATCACTCATCAACAATGCCATATTCACCACCAGAGCAATTGAAAAACAAAAACTTATGGCAAACAAACCCCTTTATTAACAATGAATTCATAACTTCCCCATCAACAAAAACCTTTCAGGTAGTCAATCCAGCAACAGAACAAATCATAGCAGAATGTCCAGAACAAACTGCTGAAGAAATAGACGAAGCTATAAAATCTTCTTACGACGCATTTGAAAAATTTAGAAAAACTCACCCGCATGATAGATCCAAAATGTTACGAAAATTATATAACCTCATTCATGAAAATCTTGAAGATTTAGCACTCATTTTAACTTTAGAAAATGGGAAATGTTTAACTGATGCAAAAGGTGAGATCAATTACGGGGCATCATACTTTGAATGGTTTGCAGAAGAAAGTAAAAGAACTTATGGTGAAGTAATCCAACCAACTAATCCAAACAATAAAATAATAACATTAAAACAACCAGTAGGTGTTGTGGGGTTATTATGTCCTTTCAATTTCCCTAACGCAATGTCAACAAGAAAAGCAGCACCAGCTTGGGCCGTGGGGTGTACATGTATTTTAAAACCAGATGCTCAAACTCCATTAAGTTCATTAGCTTTAGCTTATTTGTCAAAAGAAGCCGGGTTCCCACCAGGTGTGTTTAATGTTGTGTTAGCTTCAACTGAATCAACTCCAATGGTTGGTAAAAAGATTTGTGAAAGTAATTATATTAAAAAAGTAAGTTTTACTGGTTCCACTCCAGTGGGGAAATTATTAATGCAACAATCTTCATCATCATTAAAAAAATTATCAATGGAATTAGGTGGGAATGCTCCAATTATAGTATTTGACGATTGTGATTTAGAACTTGCTGTAACTCAATCAATTGCTTCAAAATTTAGATCTTTAGGTCAAACTTGTGTTTGTGCAAATAGAATCTTTGTACAATCAGGTGTTTACGATAAATTTTGTTCAAGATTTGCTGAAGAAATTGCTAGATTTAAAATTGGTAATGGTTTAGAATCAGGGGTAACTCATGGTTGTTTAATAAACACTAAAGCTATTGACAAAGTAGAAAGTCAAATGCAAGATGCTTTGCAAAAAGGTGCTAAAATCTTAGTAAAAGGTGGGAAATTACCGGAATTAGGTAAGAATTTTTATTCACCATCAGCACTTTACGACGTACCTTACGACTCACTTGTATTTCATGAAGAAACATTTGGTCCATTAGCAGCTATTGCAAAATTTGAAAATCGTGATGAGATTTTGAAAATTTGTAATGATACTCCTTACGGTTTAGCTTCTTATGTGTTCAGTGAATCTTTAAATAATATTTGGTACATGTCTGAATATTTAGAGACTGGTATGGTTAGTGTCAACACTGGTGTATTTACAGATTGTAGTTTACCATTTGGTGGAGTTAAAGAATCTGGGTTTGGTAGAGAAGGTTCACTTCATGGTATTGATGATTATACTTATGTCAAATCAATTAATTTAGGAAATGTGTATAGATAAATTTGAGTGTTATGAATATGTAAAAGTTGGTATAGAGAGTAAAACGTAGCAAATAATCTATAAACTTGTTTTGTATTAACACAAACTATTGAATAAATAAAATAAAAAGTTCAATTATAAAGATAAAGTCATATCTTTATACTTATTTACAAAAGAATGATGGAATTCTTTCCATCTAACAATCCATTCTTTACCAGGTGGTAAAAAAGTAGTTCTCAAATGATAAGTGCCCGGTCTTTGACCAAATCCATTCCCAGGTACACAACATATACCAGTATGTTCTAACAATTCAATACAATAAACGTCATCAATTTGTAAACCTGAATTTTTAGCTCTTGAAAATAATTTATGATATATTTCAGGTTTGAAATCAAGTTTAGGGAAAATATACATTGCTCCTTGTGGTTTGTCAACAAAAACATCTTCCATTTCTAAGAACGCATTATAAAGATGTTCTGCTCTTTCTTTTAAATCATCATGTATTGAATTTGTTTCTGAAATGTAAGTATCATAAGATTCATCTCCCTTTTTTGGAGGATTTATCATTAATTCAACCATTGCTTGACCTGATACTACTGAACATAAATTAATCGAAGCTAATTTAAATATGATTTCTCTAACATCTGGTTTAAAACCAACTAATTCCATATATCCACCACGTTGACCACATTCACCAGTAACCCCCTTTGATGTAGAATGTAATGAAGCTAACTGAACATCCTTATATAATTCTGGTGATTCCTTTTTCATTTCTGATAATACTTTTTTAAATGATAAGAAAGCACCATCAAAAACATTTTCTTGATAAACTTCATCTGCAATTAATACAATACCATATTCTGCACAAATTGAGATTAATTCAACCATATCTTTACGTGTTAATACCCCACCAGTTGGATTACCTGGATTTATAACCACCAAAGCTTTAATATTTATACCTTCTTTAGCTTTAGTTTTTAATAGTTGACGAATTTCATTAGGATTGGTTGACCATTTATTTGATTCATCTAAATAATAACCAACAGGTTTTGAATCATTCAATGCAATCGATGCAGTATATAAAGGATATTGTGGAATAGGAATTAAGAATCCTGAATTTTCATCTTGTGATAAAAGCTGCAATAAATATGAGACAGCAGTTGAAGCACCTGATGTCAAGAAAATATCTTGAGCATTTGATGGAAATCCATCTCTTTTTGTAATAAATTCAGCAACTGACAGTCTAAAATATGGAGCACCTTGAGAATGTGAATAAGCACCAATTGATCCAACATTTTTTAAAATATTTCTAGCTCTTTCTTTAACATCATTAGGGAAATTATTTGGTTCATTTAAAAGTTCTGGATATTGTAAAATAGAGAGTACTTGTCTATACCAAGTTAAAGGTTTTTGATCTAATTGTTGAGGATTACCAATATTTGCATTAATAATTTTATTAAAAGGTAACCCATGATTTGTTGGTGACATTTTAATTAATTCTTGTAAACCTTCAGCAATAATAGGTATTTTACCTCTAACTGCATATTTTGCTTCAACAGTTTGTTGATTAATATCATGGATAGTTAATGGTTCTGCAGGTTTGAAAGTTGAATATGAATATTTATTTAAAAGTAGAGTATTTGACATCCTTGTTGATGATGGCACTCGAAAACTTTTATTAGTTTGCTTTAAAATTGATAAACATTTTTGATTATTTTTTAAATTTAACATTGTTTGCAGTTGAATATATATTTATATTATATTTTAGTTTTATAAAAAATGAATGTGAATTAAAAATAATAATGATAATCAATTAGGTAGTGATATAAATTTTGTAGTTATTTACTCCAATCTAAAGCTGGAATCTTCAACTTTGGATTAATAATAATATATTATATTTGTGAATACAACCTGTACTTTATTTTTTAAAGTCTTAATAGTTGATTTGAGACTTAATTGATCAAAAATTTATTATAATTTGAATTAAAAATCTGGAGTAAATTGAAGAGTCACAATTTGAGTCAGATCTTTTTTTTTTTTTTTTCAAATGAAATTTTGATAAGCTTTTGAAGAACAATAAGAATTTAGTAATATGATCGACAATCTATTAGCAAGTTAATGATAAACTAATATCAATTATGAATAATTGAACCTACTGATAACAACATCAAATTTTAGAAAAATTTTTCCCATTAAATTCATATTTGGAACTTTTTCATTAATAGAAATTTTTTAAGTTATGTGCAGAAATTCAATTATTATCGGAGCTATATCACCGATATTGTGGGGAATTTAGCTTTTAATATCAACACAACTGAACAAAGTTAATGGTCTTGTGCTATAAATAGTTGAACAACTTGGACTAAAGTAAGCGATCTGAAATGCAAAGTTAAACGGCATTTGATGTAGTCAAACTCTAAAATAGATCAACATTGTGTCGAACGTTTGTGAATTTATAATTAATATTTGACATTTATTGGTCGAGTCAATGATTTACTCTAACAAATCAAAACATTGTTGCTTTAAACACATTGGTCTAAATTAGTCTTTCAACTAACTGGATCCAAAAGACGAATGGCGACAGTAAACATCACGTATTCTTCTCACAAGTTGTTCTGTAAATGTAGATCTGTTCGTAAAATCTGCACTCCACATTTCAACTGATGTTAGGTTTTGAGCATTTGTCAAACAACATTAAAGGCACCAAAGTTACGTTTAGAGAAATTGTTAGATCTAATTGTCTCGTCTCGTACATTTTTTATACCTGATGTTTGGGGCATTTTCAGGGTCACATACATTTCTAATTGGTTTGTGCTTTAAAGCAAATGAATTGTTTGAATTTTGCATCAAGGCAACTCGAAAAGCAAATTAGTTTAGATCCAATTTAATCCCTAATTGATAAAATTTTAACAACTGTGAAGAAACTAATTACAAATAAGTAAATTTATACAGTTACAAAATTTATTTATTAATAAAACATGAATACTTAAACAAAATACAAAAGATAAAAGTTTTCAAAGTGACTAAACACATCAAAAAATGATAAAAAAAAGTACAACTAAAACCTCAAATCGAACAGCAGCAATATCAGCACCATAAAATTTAAACAAAGTTCATTTCTTTCGACCTATCTGAAATACCAACTTATTTTAATTATCAAAATAATCAGCCATTTCTTGATCTAATTCTTCAACAGTTTTCTTTTTATGTTGAGGTTTTTTAGCTGGTTTTTTAACATTTTTTTTAGCTAATAATTTTTTCTTATGATCTGCTTTATTTGGTTGTTGTTGTTGTACACGTTGAACAGGTTTTGCAGCAATTCTAGCAGCTAATGGTTTTTTACTCGTATCAATAATTAATTCTAATCTTAATTTTGCTGCTCCACCATCAATTGATGCTCCATTATATTTTTCAACTGCTAATGTTGCATTTTTGCTTGATTTGAAAATAACAGTTGCAAAACCTTTGAATTGACCTCTTTCATTATAACTTAAAGCAACTGTTTGAACACCACCAACTTGTGATTGAAAAAATTCCTAAATTATTGTTAGTTATTTGAGACAAAAATATATAAAATTATATAAATGAAGGTAGGATGTGTTTTGATAAAAATATTGAGAAGAAATGGAAAGTTGAAATTATTTTGAAAGTTGTAAAACATTGTCGTTGAATGTATTGAAGGTCAATGATGTATTTTGATTGTAAAAAAAGTCTGTTTGAAGTCAAACATGTAAAAACCAGCCCATAATTGGATAGTATTTCCGCAAAACATACAACGCCTGTTCAATTTATCTTGATTTCCAAGTTTGTAAAATTGTTGAGAAGTTTGAGCTTTGTGGTTGGCATTAAATATTCTCAATTTTTAATTGGTTTTGAACATTGTTGCATTTTAGTTTGCATAGAATTTGATTAGCATTGATATGGAAAGGTGATTAATCTATTGAAACTTCTTGAGCATCTTATAGAGTATTTGCCATGGCACTTAACAACAAAGTTTTCATGCATCAAAGATTGATTGAGCTGAATTTCGTCAGAAAAGACTTTTGAAATCTAGCTAATGATCGTTGAACAATCATGATCATAGTTCGAGAATTTGTGAGATTACTTATCACTAAAAGTATGGACTCACAAATTGACTCTATAGGATGTCTCACAATCATCTGAGTTTGAGCACTTTTGTTAAGTTTCATTCCTGCAGTTAGAATGAAAAGTGCGAGCCAACTTATGGCCTAGTGCTTGGCCTACTAATAGCATGTTGCTGGCCCTATTATAGCACTATGTCTTCCACTAGTGGCGCAATGTTAGGCAATTTATGGCAAATGTAAATATCAACTTTAGTTTGAGTGGGTCTAATGGATTGCAAAACCGTTTATCAATCAGCGTTAAGACTTATCCTTCTAGACCTCGAACACAGTTTCAAACTTACCCTAAGAGTAGGAACCATTAGCCATTGATACATTTGCAATCTTCAAATACATTTCAAGACTTTTAAACACGTTTCAAAACATTTCTAATTTCAACTTTAATACAAATCTTTAGATTGAGCAAAAAATAAAGCATAAGTTTCTCCTTAATAAAATTCCATTTCCCAATTATATTTATATCATATTAATAATATCCTTTTTTGACCCCATATATCCTTAAAACATACCTTAATATTATCTTGTTTTAAATCTTTTGGTAAACCAGAAACATTAACTTTAGTTGCATAAGATAAATCAAAAGCAGGAGTAGCAACAGGTTTTGGAGCAGTTGGTCTATTAAATGAAACAGAAGGTTTTTTCTTTTTATTGCCAACTAATTTTTTACCAACTTTATTTTGATTTCCTTTATTACCACCAAATTTTGAACCTTGTCTTTTATTACCGCCTTTAAAAGTTTTTTTTGATGATGAAATAATATCATCTAATGATTTATCTAATGAAGCTGACATTGTGTATAAAATATGTTGATTACTAAGTAAATTAATTGATTGATTGATTATATAATTGTAATAAATTTAAACAATTAAATTTCTTTATGTTTATTAATGATTCAAATAAAAGTTAATTTGATATTAAGTTGGAAAAAGGCAATTTTTATTTTTTCTCGAGTTTTTTGTTTTGTTACTGCTGGTTTATTTATTTATCAAATTTTGGGAATAGATACACTACCTTATGATTTAGTTGTATAAAGATTATTTTGACAATCAAGTTGAGGATTGTTAAGTTGACACTGAATTTTCAAAATCTCAAGTATATATAATGATGGGTTATCAATAACAGTTTGCTTGTGACTTCCTGTGCCGTAAAGTTTGGAGTTTTACAATAATTATTAGTGAAAAATACTTGTAAAATAGATAAAGTTCGAGTCAATGTTTCTCAATGAAAGCTATCGCCCAATGCTTCAAAACCTAGACTACCATCAAGAACGAAAATCAATTTTCATACATGCTTTTGCGAGTGATCCTACTCAATTTGTTAAAAAAAGTGTTGCAAAATTATCTAAATTTAAATTGTTGCAAAAATTCAAACTAATTAACAAAAAGGTAGTGTAAATAACGACGGGCAATTATACTAATAATAATAAAATACAATATACTATTTATACTAATTTTCACTCACTCCCTTATATTAAAGACAATCAACTTCCCCATACAACTTCTAATAACAAATACAACCAACTCATACCTCCAAAAATGTCACAAAGAGTTGTTGAATTGATATCAAAAATAGCATTACCAGCAGGTATAACATTTGCATTAGCACAATCAGCATTATATGATGTACCTGGAGGGAAAAGAGCTATTATATTTGATAGATTAAAAGGTGTTGAACAACAAGTTATTGGTGAAGGAACACATTTTTTAATTCCTTGGTTACAAAAAGCAATAGTATTTGATGTTAGAATTAAACCAAAAGTTATAACTACAACAACTGGTTCAAAAGATTTACAAAATGTATCATTAACTTTAAGAGTTTTAACAAGACCTGAAATTTCAAAATTACCTATAATATATCAAACTTTAGGTTTAGATTATGATGAAAGAGTTTTACCTGCAATAGGTAATGAAATTTTAAAATCTATTGTAGCACAATTTGATGCAGCAGAATTAATTACTCAAAGAGAAGTAGTATCAGCAAGAATAAGACAAGAATTATCAAGAAGAGCCAATGAATTTAATATTGAATTGGATGATGTTTCAATAACTCATATGACATTTGGAAGAGAATTTACAAAAGCAGTCGAACAAAAACAAATAGCACAACAAGATGCAGAAAGATCAAAATATTTAGTTGAAAAAGCTGAACAAGAGAAAAAAGCAAGTATTATTAGAGCTGAAGGTGAAGCTGAATCTGCTGATGTTGTTTCGAAGGCATTAGCAAAAGCTGGTGATGGACTTTTGATGATTAGAAGATTAGAAGCTTCAAAAGATATTGCAAATACTTTAGCTGGTTCTCCTAATATTACTTATTTACCAAGTAGTAGTTCAGGTGGTGATGGTTCTGCGGAAGGTGCTAAAAATTCATTATTGTTAAATTTAGGTCGTTAAATTAAAATTTGTAAAGTGATTATTTATTAGTTTATGTACACGAGATTTAATGATATAGTAATATTTGTAAATAGAAAATTAATTTAAATGTAATTGAAAAATGCACTGTTTTTTGTAAAGATTAAATGTCTAGTACCACCAATTCATCATCAACCCCAGGTGTTGAAATCCCACCTTGAATTAAAGATTCAATATCAGAAATTTCTTTAACACACCCACTACTTAAATTAATAATTTCATCATTTGATTTACCAACAACAATATCATCCTCTATTCTTATCCCAATACCTTGGAAATGTTTTGGCCATCTATCATCAAATGGTATATAAAGACCAGGTTCAATAGTTATAACATTACCTTCTTTTAATTTATTAAATCTTGAAATTTGAGGTACATCATGTAAATCTAAACCTAAATGATGTCCAATATAATGAGGATATAATTGTCTTGAAATATCTTGATTATTTAAATTATCAAAACCTGGAATATTTTGTAATTCTTTTCTTAATGAATTAACTGAAAATTCATGTATATCATGTAATGAATAATTTAAACTTTCATCACATAATTCAATACATTTTTTATTAGTTGCTAAAACAACTTCATATAAATCTCTTTGTGGTTCACTAAACCCTCTTTTATAATTTGGCCAAGCTCTTGAAATATCAGCACAATAACCACCTAATTTCCCACCAGCATCTATAAAAACCAATTCATCATGATATAATAAATCATCATTTCTAGTATAATGTATAGATAATGCATTAGACCCACTAGCCACTACTGGTATATAAGCTTGTTTATCACAACCACCTTTCACAAATTGATAATCTAAATATTTAGCCAAAGTCTTTTCAGTTTGAAATAGGTTTTTGGTACTAACTTGACCCATTGCTTTATTTATAGCTCTACTTGAGATTTGACAAGCTGCATGCATAACTTCAATTTCTGCTGATGATTTAACACTTCTTAATTCGGCAATTAATTTATTCAAAGGATTAATAACTTTCCCCGAACCCAATATAACTTCATTTAATCCATAAAATTTCTCACCACCACCAAAATTGAAAAACAGTTTTGTTGAAGCAGGTTTTAAATCAATATTATATTTATTATCATAATACACTGTTTTATTAGTTTTCATTAAATTCTTAATATATGTAGCTGCTTTACTAACATCTTCAACTAAATCAGCATTGAAAAAATCATAAGCACCTTCCAAACCAGATTTTGAACCTTCCCATAATTCACGATGTTCATTTTTTGGAGGTACTAACATATGAAATACAACATCATCTTCATTTCCTATGTCTGATTTTTTCTCAATCACTAATATGGAATCAGGTTCTAACCAACCACTTAAGTAGTATAAATTATTATCTTGTTGAAATTCATAAAATACTGAACCTGAACTGAATTTAGTGGTATTACCTAATACTATAGCTAATGAATTTACTGGCAATTTTGATGCTAATTTTAATCTTCTTTGATAATATTCTAAAGCTGATACGCCTGGCGTTAGATTGCCTGGTTTTGGTATAATATGAGATCTTGTTTCATATGTAGGTTGTCCTAGTTTTATGGATCTTGGAGGTCTAGTTTTCAACGATAGACATCGTATTTGATAAAAATTGGTCCTTAGTATTCTATGAAAATGCATTTATATCTGACTTAATTTTTATATGTACAAGAATTAATAATATGTTATTGACAAGGAATTGAAGTTTTTCAATTTTAACTTCTCATTTGAGGTCTAATTAATTTATTATAGTAGTCCAATGAAAGATCTTTGAAAACTCAATTGATGGTTGTATAAAAATTGATTAGATCTTAACTTCGGAGTACAGAAATGTATTGAAAAATATTTATTATACAAAATATAAAAATAATAATTTTATGTTTGCAACCAATTTGAAACTAATTTTAATCCTCGAAAACATTTTCTTATCTTTACATATTTATTACATTTTACATTTTTATTAATATATAACTAACAATTGCCACGTTTAACTCCATAAATGATTCTAACCAAATAATCATCAACAAATGACTAATTATAGTTGGGATAAATATAAAGGTTATCACATAAATCATAATACAGGTTATCAGTCACAACCACCTACACAACAACAATCAAAAATAATAAACGGAATAGATTTATTACCATGGGACGAGTTTTTACCACGAGAAACAGAATCCCACCAAACAGTACCACCACCACCTCAAAAAACACGTCCTAAAAAATTAACCAAATCAGAAAAACGTGAAATTAAACAAATCAAAAAAATAAACGTTCAAAGAAGAAAAGAGCTAGAACGAAACACCGAATTAGGTACAAATGGTAAAGAAACAGAAGTCGATTTTAAGCCATATTTGGTCAAACAAGAATTAAAAAATCTATTCAATTCAATAATTTTACAAAAGAAACAACAATTAGAAAACAACTCAAACAAAAAAATATCACCAACAGAAGATTTCCCCATTTTGAAATACAATTCAGTATCCATATACAAATCAGATTTGAAAAACTACCTACCAAATGAATGGTTGAACGATGGTAACCTTTCACTAATTTTTGAATTCCTCAACGAGCTTTTCATAAAATCCCAAATACAACTTTCTCACGAAATTCAACTAATTTTCCCATCAATAGTTCAATTAATCCAACATTTCCCCTCAAATGATATTGAAAATTTATTACCAATTGCAGAATTAACAAAATCAAAATTTATATTCTTACCAATAAATTTAATTGACGATGATGATCAACAACAACAAGATTTAGAAGTTGAAAATAATGGAGATCACTGGATCTTGGGTATTTTATCATTAATAGATTATAAACTTTTCATATATGATTCAATGACTTTAGATGATGATATGAAAACTGATCTTAAACTTCACAAGTTTTGTAAAAAATTAGAAAGTTGTTCATTAATTCCTTCAAAACAAAAGATAAAATTACAATATTTAAAATGTGATCAACAAAAAAATTTTGATGATTGTGGTATATTTGTTATTATGATTACTTGTTATCTCATAAACGAGTTAATATTTGGTAAAGAATTAGTAGTAGATGAAGATGGTAAAAATTTAGTATCGTTAGATATCTCGGGAGTAAGATTTAATCCATTAGCTTGTAGATTATCAATTATGAAATTAATTTCAAAATCTATTGAATACTAAATATGAAATATATAACTAGATAAATGTATAAAATAAACTAGTTAATTTGATTCTTCAATTTGTGAATATTTTTCAGTCAATATATTTGTTATTAATGCACAAATTGAATCAGATTTTAAATTAGTAGTCAATTCATCTATTTCCTCTTGATTTTGAGCAACTTCTAGATCAAATTTAGGGTCATTTGAATCATTAACAAAAACTTCTTCAGCTATTAAATATTTTATTCCAACTTTACCTAGCTGCAAAGCTGACATAATTGTAATTAACATTTGAGTTATTTCATTTAAATTTTCAACATATTCAGGTGATGTATCATCTACATTATACCCCAAAAGTTTCAACAATTGTAATTTTGAAATTCTATCAATATTTGATAAAACCAACAAGAAATTTTTAAAATCTATAATCTTGTTTAAATATTCTAAAAATGAAAATATATTAGAAACTTTTGTAGTAGATGACGTGGGCAATAGATATCCAATACTTGATATTATTTCAAAATTTAATAATTTATTATTTAATTGGGTTTTAACTTCTATTATATCAAATTTACTTAATGGGTTTATTATAGCATTGTAAAATTTGTATTCAATTGATCTTGGATCTTCGTTGAATAAATCTATAATATCTTCATTTTCTATATTTATTGATTTTAGAACATTAAATGGTTTGACAAAGACCAAAACAATTGAATACATGACCATAAGATTTCTTTTCAATAATGGTTGATTTTGTAAAAATGTAGTGATTAAATAATTTGATGATTCATTTTTGGAAAGTAACAAGGTTGTAAAATCATTGTAAAATTCAACGAATTGAAATTGTTTGAATATGATACTTAAATTAAATAGTTTTAAAAGCCAATAATATTTAGTTTCATCATCTTGTTCATTGAACCATGCAATATTTTTGGTATGATACGTAGTTGAAAGATTGTATAGTTTAGTTAAAGTTTTAAATGATGATGATGATACTGAACTAGATGCGTTAATGTCACCACTAAGTTCATTAGTTTCACTGACTGATGAAGGAAACCAAACTAAATTGAATAAATTGATGACATATTTTAAAAACAAAAATTCAATATATCTGTTGCTAATGAATACTTCTTTAGTTTTGGGTTGATTTGAAAAATCAACTAGATTAGTATAATGATTTAAATATGTGATCGCGTCTTGATAATTTGTTTGGATAATTAATTTTATAACTATTGATTTAATTTGAGTATATAATTTTGCAGATTCTTCAGGCTTCAAACCTTGGTTTTGACTATTGTATTTTGCTATATCATCATCCAATTCCAGTTTCAGACTTTCAAAAGATTCAATAATTTTACATGCCCACGATTCATTAAATTCTGATAGTTTGTTATCTGTATTAGTGATTTGTTGTTGTTGTTGTTGTTGTTGTTGTTGTGAACTCAAATAAGATATCATTAGTTTGTAAGATGGATGCAATGATTGATACTCATTCATTAACTCTAAACTTTGAGCAGATATATTTTGTAATTGATTATTAAATTCATTATCTAAATGTATTAATTTATTAAATTGATATGCTAATTGATTTATATTTATAAAGTATATATCAAATGCTGATGGACTTGATTGTAGGTTACTCATGTCATCCAATTCATTAGTTGATGATGTTTATAATGGACTGCTTATTGTATTATATAATCTAAGTGATAATTGTTGTTGATTTTAGACTTTTAAAAAAAAGTGGTGGTAAAAATTATTTGTTTCAGAATTTGATTATCGTTTATAATACTTGATTTATTATATTGTAATTAAAAATACAACAATATTGTCAAGAGAAAGTTTAGCAATTGAAGCAAATAAATGTAAATAAATCTGAAATAGTCTCCATGACATAATCTTCAATTAGATGATTACATACTATGTGTATAATAGCTGTATCATTATTTAGTAAAGTATAGTAAATTAGTGTTACTTACTTTTGTAAGTGTATTAATATATGATTAAATCACGTGATCTATAATTGTTCTTTTTTTAATTTTTAAATTGTGAAAAAATAAAATTTTATCAACAACAAAAACATGAACTATTCTCATCAACTGAAGCATCTATAACAGATTATATTACTTTGAATTAAACAATTTAATTTCAAAAATCTTTATTTTTTTACTTCTTTTTGAATTAATCAAAGTATGAAAACATTGATTATATTTGATTAGTTGATAATTAGAAGATTTCATTGAGGTAAGATCATTAACAAAAAGTTTTATGGAATTTGCTCTGTTAGAAAACCATGAAACTAGACTTGATTATTATTTTTTTGCTCCAGTCCAGGTACATTTGATAATAGATAATGAAGATTGGTGATAAACAATTGATCAAAAACCATATAAAATTTTTACATCGAATTGGTCACTTTCGATATGTAAAATGCAGTTATACCACCAGTTTGTTTTATTTTTTCAGATCTAAAATTTGCCTAACAAACTGATAATTTAACTCACCATAGTGATTTATCTTTTCCTTAATTTTCAGATGCTTAAATATTTTTGGAAATAATGGTTTTTTAATCATTTATTTTTTTGTTTAGGATTCAATTGAGAAAAATAAAAAATTTTTGGGTCTTGATAGAGTTTGATTTCATTTGGATCTAAAAGTTAATTGTAATTTTCATCAAGGGTGTTGTCTAGTTGTTTATTCAACAACTTTTCAACGCCAGAAAACTTCTTGCTATTGGGATTAAATAGCATTCCTCTGAGACGAAGTTCAACCATCTCACTCATTGCAAAAAACTTTTGCATGAAATTCATAAAATCATATGATGTCACATAGGGTTTCAACTGAATGTATTATCAAACAAAAATTCTAAACATTTGATAAATATATGTTGTTACTTCCTAAATCAAAATTAATGTTTTGATTAAATTGTGATAGTCAATTTGTGTACAAGAACTATTTTCAATAGTTTACCAGGTGGTCATGTATATAGCTCGAATGTATGTTAGATTGTATTTGTATTTAAGTGTCTTTCAACTACTTTTTCTACATTATTTCTTTCTGTAATCTAAAACAATAATTAAAAGTTATTTTTTTAACACACTGTACAATTTTTTTAAAGATATATTTTCTAATGTAGTATATAAATGAAATGCTTTAAAGAAGGTTTGACTCAAGAATTTAGCATGTCATCAATTCCAGTAACCTAATGCTGCAATAATTAAAGTTACATAGAAACGAGAAAAATAATACGAGCCATGCGGCTTCTTACCCAATTGGGAAGTTCAAATTCTCACAAGTTAATTCTCGCATCATACAATTTTATAAATAAAATAAATTCCTTTCGTTCTTTAAAACATTACTTTGTTTTTGATTGACACTAGTTGATTGACACTAGTTGATTGACACTAGTTGTTTGACTAGTACTTGTCATGGCCAGTTGGAATGATGAGACCGTTGCGACAAATGTTCGCCGGAAATAGTTATCGCTTAATGATTCTTTGGAAGAGGATCACATAGAGTTTCAGAATGTGTAATGTCAAAGTACTACAATTTGAATATTTATACACTGCTGCTCCTCTGATTAAGATTTAAATCTTAGATAAATTGTGAAACTTATAACATAAAATAGTGAAGCAGAGATGGAAAAATGAATTCTTTGCCTCCTATTGCATGCTTTCCGAATTGAATCTTGACTTCTAATCTGATAGAAAAAAGTAGTTACACGATACTGGGAATAGGTACGTATGTTTACAAACTATTTAGAATCTAATGTATATTTGATTTGTATCTGTATTTAAAAAATTAATGAATCTGTAGTTGAACTCTTAACATAAATTAGAAAAATATAGTTTATTGAAGCTTTCTTTGTTGCGTTCTGAACTGATGTGGTAGATTACACCCAAATGGAGTAGATCAAGGAAGAATAGATTTATGAAAATTTGATGGTGACACTACAACAAATGTTTAGAAACCTACTACGTTATAAAATTGAACGAATATGACCTTGATTCCATTCAAAGTCTTATTTTGTTTTAACAGTTTCTTAAACTTTATGTTAAAAAAAGAATGAAAGTGATAAATTGAATTGAGACTTGAGAAATTGATCAAAAAAAAAAATTGCATCATCAACAACATTTGAGGTTTGAAGATTCATATCATTTGCAGCAAAGTTAATTTCAACAACGTTCCAAATTTTTTCAATATTATTGTTATTAATGATCCCAAGATTCAATTGATTACTTATGCTTATGATAAAATACGTGCCATTAATCTTTAATCTGCTTCTTTATGAATCAATCAATGGCTAAATGTTCTCGATTGTAATTTTAAGTGACTATACTTTTTCCATATCTAGATCAACGATCGCATATTTTCATCGTAATCCCATGAATGTAACAACAAATTGTAACTTGTACAGACCTATTTCTCCAAGGCACTTTAATGATATTGCTACCCATACGAAAAATCGTAGAAGTTGAATTATTAAAGTAGCTATGAATTTGTTTTCAACAAAACCACATAATTAAATAAATTATATTTTACAAATTCATATAGCTCCGTTGGTATAAAATATGAAGAAAAACTTGAACACGTGACATTGGTTTATATTTAGCAGCAAAAAAAATTCAACAGTTTTTCATTATCTTTCAAATTGGAAAATTGGTTTTTATCCCATGAGTAAGAGAGATTTTCATTATATGATCGTTTTGACTGAAGTTGTAAATAATGTTTCGACTATTTAGTTTTATGTGTGGTGGACCATCGAAGGTTATTATTGCATGAAATTCAGGACATCACTTGATTCTGTGAAAGCATTAAAATTAGTTCAATTGCAATGATACCCGAATTAAATTCAAATAGTTTGCAATGTTCCGATAAGTTAAAGGCTCGTGAGTTTCCTAAGTAATTATTCGTATTATGTCCTTATTGATTGCAGCTTTTTGAACTGATCAAGAGTTTTCAATTTATGATCAGTTTTAATTAGTTGTGAGGTCAATTTTCAATTTTAATTCAATCCAATTTCAACCATCATTAGATGGTTTTCAAATTTGATTGAATATTTGAAGAGGAATGTAATAATCGACAAATAATTGAATAATCATTTTTTTCCAATATATTTCATATTTGTGATCCATCTTGTTCGGGTAATCGTCCGATACAAAAGCATTTGAAAAAGCGTATAATTGGATATTTCGTTACTGCATTCTTTGTACTTTAGTGCTGAGAACCATCAGAAAAAAAACCCCTATACTATCTTTATTGATTCCAAGAGCACTTAATAAATTAGCAGATGGGATTTCTGACCCGTTAATTGGTAATAATTTTAACTTTGTCATGAATTTGTAATTAATTTGGTGATTTGAAAGCTAAAATCTTAGTTGAAAGCTAAAATCTTAGTTCAAAATGTATCTGATACTAACCCATATATGTTTATAATATGGAACGTTCAATTCTGCTATTAAGAGGTCCCAAATGATTGAGTCAAATGGGGTTTCAAGACGTGTAATATTAAACATGTTATCATGCTTAGTGGATTATACATTGTTATTCTTACGGTTTTAAATTTTTAATTTAAGTTATTGAATTAAAACATTTTTAACCAAACTATTTGATTTCATGATTTTGAGAGAATCTACTGATAAAAATACATTGCTTCAGCACCAAAATGATTGAGTCTAGCTATTTAGATCACTTAAAATTATGTTATTGTATTTGTATAAATTTACAGCTCTTGAATGATCTCTTATTCACTCGTTGTACATGAGATATTATGTATATGTAATCAATATTTATTGAAATTATCTTTGAATCAATTACTTATAAAATTTTGTTAGTAATACTACTATATTACAAATCATTTTAGTAATTTGAATTTGTAATACAAATACAATTTAATACATTTCACGTAATCATTTAAATACGAACAACAATGCTACATAACTCAATGAGCAGCCACTAGATATCTCAAATATCCAAAGATTAATAACACTAGCATTACATGATGACAGTAGATATACAAGAAATTTTGAAATATTTAATACTAGAACAAGGAAATTCTCATTTAAAAAACCATTTACAACAGTTCAAATACGTAGATGTTTACTATCAGCTAGAAACTATAAGATCACTTTTAGTTCAAAGACCACCTAATCCACCAATTGATTCAAAAATAAATCAACAAATTAATGAACTAGTTCAATGGAGAAACAATAACAAGTTAAAAACTTCAATCCACTCAATAAAGCAAAATTACATATATAAAAACAAATTAATTTCATTATGGAAAGGTGATATAACCACATTAACTGACGTAACAGCAATAGTAAATGCAGCAAATTCAGCATTACTTGGATGTTTCCAACCAGAACACAAATGTATTGATAATGTTATTCATACAGCAGCAGGACCAGATTTAAGAGAAGCTTGTTATGAAATTATGTTAGAACAGAAACACGAAGAACCAGTTGGATCAGCAAAAATTACTTCAGGGTTTAATTTACCTGCGAAATATGTCGTTCATACCGTGGGTCCAACCATTAGAGGTGGAAAGCCAAGTCGGAAACAAATTGAAGAACTAAAGAATTGTTATATTTCATGTTTGGAAGTTATGGAGAAATTAAACGAGTCAAATAAATCAATTGCTTTTTGTTGTATTTCAACTGGATTATTTGCATTTCCCAAAGACTTAGCCTCTAAAATCGCTGTTGACACAGTTCTTGAATATTTTGATAATCATCCTAATAGTTCAATTCAACAAGTTATATTTAATGTATTTTTAAAAGAAGACGAAGAACTATATTTGAACCTACTTAATAAACTTGAAAAGTCAAACGTAGCTCTAAAACCAACTACAAATCAGAATATAGAAAAAGCAAAACATCTAATCAAAGAAGCAGATTATATATTAATTTCTGCAGGTGCAGGATTATCAGCAAGTGTGGGGCTAGATTATTCATCAAATGAATTATTTCAAAAAGAATACAAGCCATTTTTGAAATTAGGTATCAAAAATCTATATCACACAATTGGTTTTCCCTTTCCATCAGAATTAGATCAATGGAATTTCTTCTTACATCATTATATAAATACTCATAAAAAATGGCCAAAAACTGAAACTTATCATCAATTACTAAAACTTACTGAAAACTTCAAAGATTGGTTTGTTATGACGACTAACGCTGATGGGTTTTTCGTTAAAAATGAATTTGATAAATCAAAAGTTTTGACAGTTCAAGGTAATTACTCAATCATACAATGCTCAAAAAATTGTAGAGATGATGCTTACAGATCAATTGATGAATTATCGACCCAATATCCATTAAAAAAAGAATCTCAAATTCCTCGTTGTGAATATTGTGGTTCTAAAATGCAAATGTTTTTAAGAATGACAAGATATTTTAATGAGAAAATAGTAGACGAACAAAGAAAAAACTTTCATAAATTCTTAGAGGAAGTGGTTGATTCTGGCAAGAAATGTGTAATATTAGAATTAGGTGTCGGCTTAAATACTCCAAGTATATTGAGATACTCAAATGAAGAAAGAATTGAGAAATTTCCAGAAGTATTTGATCTAATTAGAATTGGTAATGGACCAAGTAGTACTATTGATCCTGAAGTTATGGATAAAGCTATTGTTATAGATGCTGACGTTAAAACTGCAATTGATTTAGTATGTAAAAATTAAATATTATGGATTATTAATAGATATTATAGAATTAATAAAAATATAAAGCGGCTTTATGTATGTATTATTATACCTCTTAACTGGAAATAAAAAGAAATTACGATATTACACAAAACAAGAAATTTTTCACTTGTACAAAAAATTTTTTTTATCTTAAAGATCTATAAAATAAAAAAAAGAATTCATACCATCATTTAATCAGAAATATATATATACCAACGACCACAACATAATGTCCGAAATAGATATTGAATCCGCATCATTAGAACAATTAAGAGATATACTAAACAACAAAACATCCAACATAACTTTAGCACATAGATTTAGAGCATTATTTAATCTAAAATCAATAGGTAAAGAAGATGAGGACCGAACAAAAGCACGTAAAGCTATTTCGTATATAGCAGATGCATTCGCAGATGATTCAGAATTGTTGAAGCATGAAGTTGCTTATGTTTTGGGACAAACCAAAGATCTTTTTGCAGCTCCTTATTTAAGAGATGTATTAATTGATACTAATCAGCAGATTATGGTTAGACATGAAGCAGCAGAAGCCTTGGGTGCATTGGGTGATAAAGAATCTTTAGAATTATTACAAGATTATTTTGTTAATGATCCAGCTTTAGAAATTAGACAAACTTGTGAATTAGCTATAGAAAGAATTAAATGGGAAAATTCTGAAAATTTCAAGACTGAGAAATTAGAAAAATCATTATATGAAAGTATAGACCCTGCTCCTCCATTAGTTACTGATGAAAACAATTCCAAGATCGAAAAATTACAACACATTTTAAATGACCAACAAAAACCATTATTTGAAAGGTATAGAGCCATGTTTAGATTAAGAGATATTGGAACCGATGAAGCTTGTTTGGCATTAGCCACAGGGTTTGCCGATCCAAGTGCTTTATTCAAACACGAAGTTGCTTATGTATTTGGACAATTATGTAATCCTGTTACTGTACCTTCATTAATAAAAGTATTAAAAGATGAAAGCGAGGCAGGTATGGTAAGACATGAAGCTGCTGAAGCCTTGGGGAGTATAGCTACTGATGAATGCTTACCAGTATTGAGATCATTCCTAAATGACGAAGAACAAGTTGTTAGAGATTCAGCTATCGTTGCTCTAGATATGTATGAATATGAAAATTCAAATGAATTAGAATATGCAACAGTTAAATAGATAAACATTTTTCTTAGTAAATGTATATTAGTTATTAGTCCTAAATCTATATCCACAATTTGTACAAGTGTAAAAGACAGTAGCACCTTCATCAGCAGATCTTAGTTGTAAGGTATGATATTGCATTTCTTCATTACCACATTTAGGACATTTTTCCTTGATAGTTGCACCATCATCTAATTCATCTTTTTTCAAAGTAGTTTTAACTACTGATCTTGCAGATTTTAATTTTGAAGGAAATGCATCATCTGAACTTTTCGTTATAACTTTTAAATTTGCAAATTTTGATTTTGGGTATGATGCTGAACATACTTTACATGTTATATCTGATGATGAACTATGAGAATCTAGCAAGTCTCCACAATATGTGCAAAATATTAATGATCCAACTACTGACATTTGAGGGTGAAATTATGTAATAACTAATTTAAAGTTGATGTATATTGGTTTAACGAGTTTTAAGATAATGTAAGTAGATTTTGTAACATTTTTTTTGTTCCTTCGTACAATAAATATTTATTATGCAAAGCGATGAGACATAAGAAACAGTGATTAATACAAGGACTATATTCTTAACTAGACCCCATAGATTTAATACAAGGCAGTTAGAAGAAGATTACTTACGTCTTTGATCAAAAGCTTTGACTCAATTGACTTCAATTGATGCTTAATAGCCCAAGTAGAGCACTTTCTCGTAAAACTTTTACGTTTAATAATGAACACGTCCTCTCAAGTAAGCCATTCCATAACTCGGCGTGTTCTACACGTAATAAAGCCTTCACATTATCCAATTTATTAGTTTAATTCAACATATTTTGTTGTTTTACTTTTAAAAGAATATTTAGGAAAAGTTCAGATTTTTGTTTTGAAAAAAAAGTTCTCTAAAAAATAAAATTTACTTCAATTCTTTGATTTCAAACCAAATCGAAAACCACTAAACAACATATTCCAAAATGGCTATGCCAATGCCAGATTTATCAAATGCCATCGTAGCACAAGATGAAATGGGTAGACCATTCATTATTGTACGTGATCAAGGTAAAAAACAAAGAAAACATGGAATTGAAGCAACAAAATCTCACATTTTAGCAGCAAGATCAGTTGCAAGTATAGTTAAAACTTCTTTAGGTCCAAGAGGCTTAGATAAAATCTTAATAAGTCCAGATGGAGATATTACCATAACGAATGATGGTGCTACTATATTATCACAAATGGAATTAGATAATCAAATTGCTAAATTATTAGTTGAATTATCAAGATCTCAAGATGATGAAATTGGAGATGGTACTACTGGTGTTGTTGTTTTAGCTTCTGCGTTATTAGATCAAGCATTAGAATTAATTGAAAAGGGAATACATCCAATTAAAATAGCAAACGGATTTGATGAAGCTTGTAAAATTGCAGTTACTCAGTTAGATAAAATAGCAGATGAAGTATTAATCAATGAAAAACCAAATCTTTTAAAAGCAGCCAAGACTTCTTTAGGTTCAAAAATAGTTTCTAAAGCTCATGATCATTTTGCAAATATGGCAGTTGATGCAGTATTAGCAGTTGCTGATTTAGGTAGAAGAGATGTCGATTTTGAATTGATTAAAATGGAAAAAAAAGTTGGTGGATCAATTGAAGATTCTAAATTAATTAATGGGGTTTTGTTAGATAAAGATTGGAGTCATCCTCAAATGCCCAAAGAAGTTAAAGATTGTAAAATAGCTATATTAACATGTCCATTTGAACCACCAAAACCTAAAACGAAACATAAATTAGACATATCAACAGTTGAAGAGTTTAAAGTATTACAAGAATATGAACAAAAAAAATTTCAAGAAATGATTGATTTAGTCAAACAATCTGGTGCTAATGTTGTTGCTTGTCAATGGGGTTTTGATGATGAAGCAAATCATTTATTATTAGCCAATAAATTAAATGCTATAAGATGGATTGGTGGATCTGAATTAGAATTATTAGCTATAGCTACTAATGGTCGTATAGTACCTAGATTCGAAGATTTAAGTGCCAATAAATTAGGTAAAGCAGGTATAATAAAGGAGTTAGAATTTGGTACAACAAAAGATCGTATGTTAGTAATAGAAGAATGTTCAAATACAAAAGCAGTTACTTGTTTTATAAGGGGTTCAAATGAAATGATTGTTGCAGAAGGTGTAAGAGCTTTACATGATTCATTATGTGTTGTTCGTAATTTAATAAGAGATAATAGAGTAGTTTATGGTGGAGGGGCTTCTGAATTAACTTGTTCAATTGCAGTATCAGAAGCAGCCGACAAGCAAAAGGGAATAGATCAATATGCTTTTAGAGCTTTTGCTAACGCTTTAGATACAATTCCATTAACATTAGCTGAAAATTCAGGTTTAGATCCAATTGAAACTTTAAGTAATTTGAAAGCAAAACAAGTTAATGAAAATAATTCCCATTTAGGTGTTGATTGTCTTGGTAAAGGTACTAATAATATGAAAGATTTGTTTGTAATTGATCCATTAATTGGTAAAAAACAACAATTATTATTAGCTACTCAATTAACTAGAATGATATTGAAAATTAATGATGTTATCATTAGTGGAACTGATGATTATTAAGGGTAAATAGCTGGGTTATAATACTATTAACAGTACATATTGTTATAGAAATTAAAGACTGTCTACTTTATTACTCTAAAAAAATTCGAAGTTAATTGGTAGTGCGGAAATTTGATAAAGTTCGGTTCCAAATTTCAACGAAATTTCTAAGTTTAAAGAATCAAGCAAAACTAGAATAACCAATTCATTCACATCCAATTGACTTTTCCATTTATTGTATATAACTCAATCTTATAGCAGATTATTAAAAAAATTATCAATCATGAGTATGGGAACGCCAGCAGTTGTTATGGACAACGGTACCGGATTAACCAAGTTAGGTTTTGCAGGTAATGATTCACCTTCATTTATATTCCCCACCGCAATAGCAACATCATCAGCATCATCAAAAGCTGGTAAAACCACCATTAGATCATCGAATTTATCTTCGAAAAGAGGATTAGAAGATTTAGATTTTTATATAGGAGATGAAGCCTTGGAGGCAGCAAGTGGACCACAATATGGATTACATTATCCAATAAGACATGGACAAATTGAAGATTGGGATCAAATGGAAAGGTTTTGGGAAAGCTCTATTTTTAAATATTTGAGATGTGAACCTGAAGATCATTATTTTCTTTTGACTGAACCACCTTTAAATCCTCCAGAAAATAGAGAAAGTACTGCTGAAATTATGTTTGAGAGTTTTAATTGTGCAGGTTTATATATTGCAGTACAAGCAGTTTTAGCGTTAGCTGCATCCTGGACTTCACCAAAAGTTCAAGATAGATCATTAAGTGGTACAGTCATTGATTCTGGTGATGGTGTAACTCATGTTATACCAGTGGCAGAAGGTTATGTTATTGGAGCTGCTATAAAAAACATACCGTTAGCTGGTAGAGATATTACATTATTTATACAACAATTATTAAGAGATAGAGGAGAAGCTGATACAAGTTTACAAACTGCTGAAAGAATTAAACAACAATTTTGTTATGTATGTCCTGATATAGTTCAAGAATTTACAAGATTTGATCAATATCCACAAGAAAAATTTGCACAATATATGGTTGAATACACCGACAAGAATAAAAACAAAATAGTTGATGTTGGATACGAAAGATTTTTAGCACCAGAAATTTTCTTTAATCCAGAAATATGTTCATCAGATTTTTTAACACCATTACCAATAGTTGTAGACCAAGTAATACAAGCATCTCCTATTGATGTAAGGAAGAAATTATACAAAAATATAGTCTTATCAGGTGGTTCAACAATGTTTAAAGATTTTGGTAAAAGATTACAAAGAGATTTAAAATCAATAGTAAAAGAAAGAGTCGGATTAAGTGAAAAATTGAGTGGTGTACAAAGTAGTGGAGTTGATGTACAAGTTATATCACACAAAAAACAAAGAAATGCTGTTTGGTTTGGTGGTTCATTATTAGCTCAAACTTCAGAATTTAAAAGTTTTTGTTATACCAAAAGTGATTATGATGAATATGGTCCAAGTATTGTAAGAAATTTTTCATTATTTTCAGTACCATAATTGATTGAATGACAAGTTGTCTCTTGATAAAGATCTGGATCTCATTTACTTACTGAATTAAGATAATGTATAATATTGATATCATAACTTCGATTCGACTTACTCTCTACAATTGTTTTGTGTAATTTTTCAAATTTATGTTCTCTCTCTCTGTTAGTTTACATTTTTGTATTTATCACTATCAACTTTAGGTATTCAAAATTCAATAAAGTAAGATCAACAACAGATCATCGTACCAGGGGGGTTATGTCTACTAATACCACTACCACTACAGCCAACAACCTACAAGTAGTAGACTCCTTAGCATTAAGTGAAATTTTCAAAGGATTAACCTCAAATTCAGAAGAAGAAAGGACAAGATATGCACAAGAATTACATACATATTTATCATCAATTGCAAGAGATTTATCAACTGAACAGTTTAATAGATATAATAATGATATAAATAAAACAATTTTTGAACTACTACATCGAGAAAAGACTTCAGAAATATTAGGTGGTATAGCTGCATTAAATGCATTAATTGAATTTGATTCTGGTGTAGGTAAAGAAAATGCAAGTAAAACTGCAAGATTCTCCAACTACTTGGGGTCATTAATTTTATCTAATGATTTAGTAATTATGAAACAAGCAACTAGAACTTTAGGAAGACTAGCAACGTTAGGAGGAAATTTAACTGGAGATTTTGTTGATTATGAAGCTAAAAGAGCCATTGAATGGTTACAAAGTGATAGTAGACAACATGAAAATAGAAGACATGCTGCAATTTTGATCATAACTGCATTAGCAGATTATGCACCTACTTTATTATATCCTTTAACCAATCAAATTTTTGAAAATTTATGGTCACCTTTAAGAGATTATAAACTTATTATTAGAATAGATGCAGCAACAGCTTTACAAAAATGTATGCAAATTATATATGATAGAGATCCAACTGCTAGACTGTTTTGGATCAAAAGAATGATTGAACTGGCTTCAAAATTACTTAATGAAAATCAAGACGTCAATAATGATACAAATAGTTCATATAATTTAATACCTTCTTCATCTCAACTGAGTGAAAACATTCACGGATCATTATTAGTCTATAAAGAATTATTAAAATACTACAAAGATCCATTTATAGTATCAAGATTTGAAATAATGTATGAAAATACAATGCTATATAAACATCATAAATTAGCAATAGTAAGGCAGGAATTAACTAAAATTTTTCCATTATTATGTAAAGTCAACACGGAATTATTCGTTGAAAAATACTTGCATAGAACTTTTTATTATTATTTATCACAGTTGAAAAAATATAAAAACCAACATAACGAAACTGCAAATCAAGACAAGAGTGTAATATTTAGAAGCATCGGACTAATAGCAATAGAAGTGGGGAATCAAACAGCAACTTATTTAGATGCGATTCTAGATAATATAAGAGAAGGTTTAGCTCGAAATTTTGGAGTACAACTGTTTGAAGCAAATGAAAATGTTATAACTTCAAACATTGCATCTTTATCAACAAGTTCAAAGTACACAACCAGTAAAAAAGAAACAGAACCCGCAATTTTCGATTGTATAGGAAAATTATCTATAGCAGTTGGTCCAGCACTTACGAAGCATTTACAAAGAGATATACTAGATATGATGTTTGCCAATTGTTCACTTTCAAAACCTATGCAAGATGTTCTACAAACTTTAACCAAAAATATACCCACTTTAACAACATTAATCAACGAAAAATCACTCAATCTACTAAGTTTAGTCTTATCCGGTAAAGGATTTCAACCACCTGGTTCACCATACGGAAGTATTAAAATGAAATCAAATCTTGCAAAAGATTGTAGATTGATAATGATATCAAGAGATACTGGATTAAGTATAAATAATATACGATCAGATCAACAAAAATATGAAAAATTAGATAGCTCAATAATAGTTCAAGCATTAGAAATGTTGGCAGCTTTTAAATTTGATAATTATCAATTAAATGAATTTGTGAGATATTGTACTATAAATTATCTTGAAAGTAATAATTTGAAAGTTAGACTTACTGCAACTGTCACATCATGTGAAATTTTTGTTAAAGATCCTATATGTCAACAAGTTAGTGTAAATGCATTAAATGCTGTAAATGAAGTCTTGGGTAAATTATTAGCTATATCAATAACTGATCCTGCACCAGAAATTAGAATTGCGGGTCTTACGGTATTAGCAAATGCTGGTAATTTTGATCCTCAACTATCGCAAGCAGATAATGTTAGACTACTATTCATTGCATTAAATGATGAAGTATTTGAAGTAAGAAAAGTTGCAATAAAAATATTGGGAAGATTGTCATCAATCAATCCTGCATACATTGTACCGTCATTAAGGAAAACATTGATTCAATTATTAGCAAAACTTGATTATTCAATTTCAAGTAGGAAAAAAGAAGAAACTGCAATATTACTATCCATACTTATCAGCAACTCAAAAGAATTAACAAGACCTTATGTTAAACCTATTGTAGAAGCATTATTACCAAAAGCCAAAGATGTAAGTTCATCTGTTGCATCAAGTGCAATCAAATGCCTAGGCGACTTATCTGTTGTCGGAGGTGAAGATCTAAAACCATTCATACCAAGTTTAATGCCACTTATACTAGAAACATTCCAAGACCAAAGTTCTTCGTATAAAAGAGACGCAGCTTTGAAAACTTTAGGCCAATTATCATCATCATCAGGATATGTTATACAACCATTGTTAGACTACCCTCAATTATTAGGTATGTTGGTAGCTATATTAAAATCTGATAATTCAATAGAAATAAGAAGAGAAACTGTTAGATTATTAGGTATACTAGGAGCCTTAGATCCATATAAACATAGAGAAGTAGAACAAAATTCCAAAAACATACCAGCAGAACAAAATGCTCCACCTGTTGATGTTGCCTTGCTAATGCAAGGAATGTCACCATCAAATGAAGAATATTACCCCACAGTTGCCATCACAAATTTAATGAAAATATTAAAAGATCCATCATTAAGTTTACATCATACAAAAGTCATACAAGCTATAATGTATATTTTTCAAACTTTGGGTTTAAGATGTGTTACTTTTTTACCACAGATTATACCTGGTATTATTAATGTTATACATACTTGTCAACAGTCAATGTTGAAATTTTATTTCCAACAATTAGGTGATATCATATTAATTGTCAAACAGCATATAAGACCATTTTTAGATGAGATTTTTCAAGCTATAAAAGATTTCTTTTATGTCAATCAATTAAATATTCAAGTTACTATCATTAATGTTATACAGTCAGTTTCCAAAGCCTTAGATGGTGAATTCAAATTATATTTACCAGATGTTCTTACATTATTATTAGGTGTATTTGAAGAAGACAAATCGGTGAAAAGAGTTTCTTCATTACATGTACTTAAAAGTTTTGTTGTATTTGGAAGTAATATTGAAGAATTTGTTGATATTATTGTACCCACTATAGTGAAGATGTTTGAAACTGGTCCATTAGAATTAAGAAAAGCTGCTATTGAAACCATTGGTAGATTATCACGTAATGTGATGCTTAATGATATGGCATCTAGAATCATACATCCGTTGTTAAGAGTTATGCATACAGAAGAACTTCGAGAATCATGTATTAATACATTAAATTTTATGTTATTACAATTAGGTTCAGAATTTACCGTCTTCATTCCAATCATCAAAAAAACTTTAATACAACAAAATATAGTTGCACCAAAATTTGAACAACTTGTTAGTAGATTATTAAATGGGGATCCATTACCTTTGCATGTAGAAGAATATGAAAATGGTCATTATGACGCTGCAGATTCAGATATGCCTTCCAAAAAACTTCCAGTAAATCAAGCAGCTTTAAAAGCAGCATGGGATGCAAGTCAAAGACGTACGAAGGAAGATTGGCAAGAATGGATTGGTAGATTAAGTAAAGAGTTATTATTACAAAGTCCTTCTCATGCCATAAGAGCGTGTGCTGGTCTAGCTTCAGATTATTATCCATTAGCTAAAGATTTATTTAATGCAAGTTTTGCAAGCTGTTGGAGTGAACTATATTCTCAACATAAAGAAGAATTGGTTCAAGCTTTTTGTATAGCACTTTCATCACCAACAAATCCACCAGAAATACATCAAATATTATTAAACTTAGCTGAATTTATGGAACATGATGATAAATCCTTACCAATTGCTATAAGTACATTAGGCCAATATGCTCAAAGATGTCATGCATTTGCAAAAGCACTTCACTATAAAGAGTTAGAATTTTATGAAGAACCAACAACTCCAACTATAGAATCATTAATAAGTATAAACAATCAACTTCAACAATCAGACGCAGCCATTGGTATTTTGAAACATGCTCAACTACATCATGATTTACAACTAAAAGAAACATGGTATGAAAAATTACATAGATGGAATGATGCATTGAAAGCTTATAATGAAAGAGAAAAAGTTGAACCTGATAATATGGAAATTACAATGGGTAAAATGAGATGTTTCCATGCATTAGGAGAATGGGAACAATTATCAGAATTAGCTCGTAGTAAATGGGATAATTCGTCAAGTGATGTTAAAAGAAGTGTTGCTCCATTAGCAGCAGCAGCGGCTTGGGGTCTAGGTCAATGGGATAGAATGGATTCTTGCATAAAAGTTATGAAAGCTGCATCACCAGATAAGGCCTTTTTCAATGCTATATTGAGTTTACATAGAAATAATTTTGAAGATGCTTCTGAACATATCTTAAAAGCTAGAGATCTTTTGGTTACGGAAATAACAGCATTGGTCAGCGAAAGTTACAACAGAGCCTATGGTGTTGTTGTTAGAGTACAAATGTTAGCTGAATTAGAAGAAATTATTAAATATAAATGTTTACCTCAAGGTTCAGAAAAGAGAGCAATAATGCGTAAGACATGGAATACAAGATTACTTGGATGTCAAAGAAACGTTGACATATGGCAAAGAATGTTGAAAGTACGAGCATTAGTTATCAAGCCAAAACAAGATATGGACATGTGGATTAAATTTGCAAACCTTTGTAGAAAATCCGGCAGATTAAATTTAGCTGAAAAGTCATTAAATCTGTTATTAGAAGAAGGATCACCTGAAAATCCTTCAAGAGCACCTCCTCAAGTTGTTTATGCACAATTGAAATATATGTGGACAAAAGGTCAAAGACCAGAAGCATTAAGACATTTAGTTGATTTTACAACAAGAATGTCACAAGATTTAGGTTTAAATCCAAATGACTTGATAACTCAACCATTACCATCTGAAGGACCAGGTATTCCAAAACATGTTGATGAATATACTAAATTATTAGCTAGATGTTTTTTAAAACAAGGTGAATGGCAAATTGCGTTAAATAATAATTGGAGGTCAGAAACTTCAGAGATTATTTTAGGTGCTTATTTATTAGCTACTCATTTTGATAATAAATGGTATAAAGCATGGCATAATTGGGCTTTAGCTAATTTTGAAGTAATCTCATTATACACAAGTCAAAATCAAGGTGAAGAGAAAAAATCCAATGATATTGATGGTACAATTCATATTCAACAAACTAATGTTATACCTATTGAGGCAGTTCAAAGACATGTTATACCATCTATCAAAGGTTTTTTCCACTCAATTGCATTATCAAACTCAAATTCACTTCAAGATATGTTAAGATTATTGACATTATGGTTTAAATTTGGTGGTATACCAGAAGCAGCAAAAGCTATGAATGAAGGTTTTAATATGGTCAAAATTGATACTTGGTTAGAAGTTGTACCACAATTAATTTCACGTATTCATCAACCAAATGAAATTGTTAGTAGATCATTATTTGGTTTGTTAACGGACTTAGGTAAAGCTCATCCTCAAGCATTAGTATATCCATTAGCTGTTGCCATTACTTCAGAATCGGCAAGTAGAAAGAAAGCAGCTCAATCTATAATTGAAAAAATGAGGTTTCATTCTTCGGTATTAGTTGATCAAGCAGAATTGGTCAGTAGAGAATTAATTAGAGTTGCTGTATTATGGCATGAACAATGGTATGAAGGTTTAGAAGATGCTTCCAGATTGTTTTTTGGAGAACACAACACAGACAAAATGTATGAAGTATTAGAACCATTACATCAAATGTTACAAAGAGGGCCTGAAACAATGAGAGAACAAGCATTTGCTAATGCATTTGGTAGAGAATTGGCTGATGCTTTTGAATGGGTCTTAAATTTTAGACGTACTAAAGACATTACCAATTTAAATCAAGCTTGGGATATTTATTATAATGTTTTTAGAAGGATTACAAGACAATTACCACAATTGGTCAGTCTTGAGTTACAATTTGTTTCACCAATGTTGGAAAAAGCTCATGATTTAGAATTGGCTGTACCTGGTACTTATGAAGCAGGTAAACCAGTAATTAGAATTATTGGATTTGATCCTACTTTTTCGGTTATATCATCGAAACAAAGGCCAAGGAAATTGTCATGTAGAGCAAGTAATGGTAAAGTTTATCAATATGTTTTAAAAGGTCATGAAGATATTAGACAAGATAATTTAGTCATGCAATTATTTGGTTTAGTTAATACTCTATTAGTCAATGACCCAGAATGTTTTAAAAGACATTTAGATATACAGCAATATCCTGCTATTCCCCTTTCTCCAAAAGTTGGTTTATTAGGTTGGGTACCAAACTCAGATACTTTCCATATGCTTATAAAGGGATACAGAGAATCAAGAAGTATTATGTTGAATATTGAACATAGATTATTATTACAAATGGCACCAGATTATGATATTTTAACATTATTACAAAAAGTCGAAGTATTTACAAGTGCTTTAGACAATACAAGAGGCCAAGATTTATATAAAGTTCTATGGTTGAAATCTAAATCTTCAGAAGCTTGGCTAGACAGAAGAACTACATATACCAGATCATTAGCCGTCATGTCAATGGTTGGTTACATTTTGGGATTAGGTGATAGACATCCATCTAATTTAATGCTTGATAGAATTACTGGTAAAGTTGTACATATTGATTTTGGTGATTGTTTTGAAGCTGCTATATTACGAGAAAAATATCCAGAAAAAGTTCCATTTAGATTAACAAGAATGTTAAATTATGCGATGGAAGTTAGTGGAATTGAAGGTTCATTTAGGATTACTTGTGAACAAGTAATGAGAGTTTTAAGAGATAACAAAGAATCATTAATGGCTATATTAGAAGCATTTGCTTATGATCCTTTAATTAATTGGGGTTTTGATTTCCCAACTAAAACATTAGCTGAAGCTACTGGTATAAAAGTTCCACAAATCAATATTGTTGAATTATTAAGGACTGGTCAAATTGATGAAGCTGAAGCTAATAGATTACAAAAGCAAAATGATTTAGAAATTAGAAATGCTAGAGCTGGATTAGTCTTAAAAAGAATTACTGATAAATTGACTGGTAATGATATCAAGAGATTAAAAGGTTTAGATGTTCCTACACAAGTTGATAAATTAATCCAACAAGCAACTAGTGTTGAAAATCTATGTCAACATTATATTGGTTGGTGTTCCTTCTGGTAAAAGTAATGAAAAAAAATACGTCTATTATATTTATTAATGTATTATGCAACTTTCTTAGATACATTTGTAAAACCAGTACCTCTTATTGATAAAGTCATAAATTCATCATCACCATCTATTTCATCAGCATCATCTTTGAAATATGCTTCAGTACCCATTAATTGTTTTATATCCCTCAAAGCGTATATTAATTTTTCATCAATTTCACTCTTGTGAATTTTGATTCTTCCTATGTCTTCTTTACCAATAATCATAAACACTAAAGCCATAATAATCTGATATCTTCCTATAGCTCCACTTTTAGTAATTTCTTCAATTAATTGATATGCAGTCAATTCACCTAAGTCTTCAGGCAATGATTGTGCTTCTCCAACGTTTTCAGCTATTATTCTCCAACCTCTTTTTGATTCAGCTACTAAAGTAATTCCAAAACCAGGAGATTTACCCGAATTCTCACCTCTCCAAACATCAGCAGTTATATTAACTTCACATCCAGTATTTCTTAATACTGATCTTGCAGAATCAATCATTCTATTTACAATCGAAGGTGATACTCTTGTACAATACGCAACTCCTCTAATCGCTGAATATTTAGGTATATCTATGGCATGTATTGTTAATGGGCTCGGTATCAATGAGTTACAAACTAAATGAACTTCTCCACCACCTAATGGAGGTGATCCTCTTTTTATTGTATGAATTAAACATTCTCGTACTCCAAATTTCTCCATTATTGGTAATAGTCCCCATTTTATAGCATCAACACCAGTTTCACCCGTAAGATTAGTTAATCCTTTAAATATGATACTAAATTTCTTTTTTGAAAAAGGAGCTAACATTAACATTGGTTCAATAAAATATCCGACAGGTTTTGAATTTGGACAATTATGCGTTAGTTCACCTCCTATTATTATACCTGGTCTATATATTATGGTCGTACCAGTATATGATATTTCTATATGTGAACCATTTGTTACAGATTCAATTAATCTTAAAAATGAAACTTCATAATCTTTTAAACCTGGATTTAAATCATTTGATCTTATTTTTATTATTTTTATGGATTTCCCACTCAATGTTGAAAGTATTAGTCTTAATCTAAAACTTCTATGACCTTCAAATACTGTTACACTCGGATTTGATGACATTCTGGTAATGTTTGTGATGGGGTGGTCAGATTTCTGGTGTAACTTTGATAATACCTAGATGATGATCATCTTATAAAAGTTGAGTTTTTTAATATATTGTATTTCGTGTTTTCTAATTTACGGACAATGACAGATTATGCGACATTAAAAGTAAATTTCAATACAAAAAGAGACTGGAGATTTGTTTTCAAATATATTCAAGAGGTTTGTTTCAAATTTAAATACCAAAATACATTTCAATCGTTAATGTCAACTCCATCTGAAGGTTCATCATTGAAAAGGACAAATACAGAACAAAATGGAAACGATTCTATAAAAAAATTAAAACCCAATGACTATGATGTAGCTGGAGATACTGAATTACAAAATTCAATGAATATACTTCAAGACCAAAATAATTTAGACACAAATACGACAACATCAACTAGTCTAGCGACTCCTAATATTACTACAGCAACTAATCCATTGACAGCTCAAAATACATCCAAAGTTCAACAAGATCAAGAAAAACAAGATACCTCAAAATTGAATGATGCAATTGCAGCAGCAGGTGTTGATATTCAAAAAGAAGAAGAATTATTATTACAACAACAACAATCAAGAAGATTTGAAGGTTTTCAAGATAGACCAGGTTTCACAACTACATCTAAAACATCACCATTTTTGAATCCATATCATTTAGCTGCATTCATTGTTAAAATTGCTAAAACTCGTCAAATTAATCAAAATTTTTTAGAAGATGGGGACATGTTAAATTTAATATCTGGAGCTTGTGAAAATTGGATTGCTCATATTGCAAGTAAAACTTTAATACTATCTCGTCATAGAAGGAGAGGTATATTAACTTCGAGCTCAAAAAAAAGTAATTCCTCATCTTCATCTTCTTCATTTCAAAGATCAGGTGTTAGTAAAGAGTTAAGAAATATGGCTTTAAAACAAAAAGAGATGGAAGAGAAAAGAGTACAAAAGAGAATAGCATTAGGTTTAGAAAAAAGTGCTCATGATCCAACAAATGATGAAAATGGTGATAGTAAAGCAGGTGCAGATGAAACTTTACATAGAGCAGCTAATGCAACAGCTTCGATGATGACAATGGGTAAAAAGAAATATAGTTGGATGAATGCAGGAGGTGGAAATGCTAATAATGCAACTGCAGATAGTGGGAATTCAGGTAGTAAAAGTAAACAAAGTCCTATAATTTCGATAAGAGGTGATAATGGATTAAGATATAGAGAAGTAAGATCGGGTAATTCAATTGTATTAAAAGATTTATTAGGTGCTATCGAAGATGAAAAAAAAGGAACACAACAAGCTGTAATTAAAGGTTATGCTAAATTACGAGATTGAATAAATTAATGAAATGATGAATTGCTAAAATTGTTTCAAGGGTTGTAGTATCTTCTTTCTCTATGTTATATTAAACTAACTTTGATACTACTAACTTGTTGGTTATAGATAGTGAAATTTATCACGTCAATTATTTTGTGTAACAAAAAGATTGCAATGTTTTTGTTTACATTTTTCTTTTTGATCTTTTAAGTGATTTAAACAATTTACAACTAAAATAGTTTAAAATCCAACTCATTCACAAAAAACACCAATGGAGTTCAACCTAGCGACATATTTTAACTCGTTTGATATAGATAATGACTATGAAGTTGATACATCCGAAGTGGACTCAAAAGTTGGGTCATTAATTGAATCATTAGCCAATAATCCAGAAGCAATCACTACAAATGAAGATACGCTAGAAGAAATTATAGAATTAACTCATGGTTTTAGATCACTACCCTTTAAACAACAACAACAATTAGCGTATCTCATTGTCTCATCAGTTAATACAGTAGCTCAACAATATACTCAACTACTAAAAGAAGAGGATTTTCATGAATCATTAGATCAAGTCAAAGCTACAATGGAAAGATATGGCTACTTAATTTTTGTACTATTGAAACATTTGGGAAAAGAAGACTTTTCAGAAGTTGGAGTAGCGAAAAACAAAAATCATATACCAAGAGAATTAAAAGCCAAATGGGAATCAAATTGTACAGAAGTTGAAAATGGGTTAGTAGCAGTAAGAACTATATTAAATTTAGAACTTGAAAAAATATTCGTTACAATTCCTGAGAAAGATGCATATATTGAATTATTTTCAAGACCAATAATTAACCTTTTGGAAAGTCATGAAAGAATGAAAATCGAAGGTATAAAAATTTTAATGATTGAAGTTTTATGTATTGCAGTTTCAAAACATGGACATGGTAAAACTATAAAACATTCATTGGTTCAATGTTTGGCCTTTTACGCACATCTTCCACAATACATTGCTCAATTTTTACATAAACTTTCTGATAAATATAACCATACACAATTAACTGAAGAAGTATTGAGAGAAATTGCTCAAACTCATTTTAATGCAAATGATACAAATGGACCAAAAGCTTTTGCAGACTTTTTGGTAAAACTTTCAGAATTAAGCCCAATGTTAATCTTGAAACAAATGACGAGTATAGCTCAATTATTATCGAATACAAGTCAACCATTAAGATGTTCTGTGATTGAATCATGTGGTAATGTTGTTGTTAGTATAATCAAGAGTATACAAAGTTCCGAGGAAGATGAAGATGAATCAAATGAAAATAATAATAGACAACTAGACAAATTATTAGATTTATTACAGGCCAGATTTTTAGATAGTAATTCATTTGTTAGGTGTAAAGCATTCCAAGCATTTGCAAAAGTAGCAGAATTAAAAGTAAAAATGAATGAAAGAAGGAAAGAAATTATGCAATTAGCTGTTAGAGCATTAGATGATAAGAGCGGGTTTGCAAGAAGAAATGCTATAAAATTAATTGGGAAATTAATTGTTAACCATCAATTTCAAGGTCCTCATGGTACTCAATTAAATTTGTCGTTTTGGAAAGAAAGACTTGAAGAAGCTAGTAAAGAAATGTCGAATTATATACCCACAACAGGACCTCCAGCAACTTTAAATAATGATGACGATGATGATAAGGCAGCTGCTGGTGATGACAACAAATCAGATATTTCAATGCAAGATGCTGAAGAAAATAGCTCTGATAGCGAATCGGAAAAAGATGATGAAATGCATGAAAATAATCAAAATAATGAAGATGACGTACGACAAGAACAAAATGCAGGAAACATTTCTCAAAACATCACTGACAATTTACCAGATACCACAGGACTAGCAAGAATCAGATTAAAATTTGAATTTTATAAAGATGCAGTTGATTTCATTAAGTTAATTCACAAAGGTGTTGAGTTGGTTTCAAAATTATTATTTTCCAAAAATAAACTTGAGTCTATTGATTCAATGGATTTTTTAGTATTATGTGATGTTTATGGAATTGAAGATTCTCAAGATGGTATTAGAAAAATGTTACATTTAGTTTGGATAAAAGGTTCATCAGAGGAAGGTACATCAGTTGCCTCACATTTAATTCATTGTTATATAACTTTATTTTTAACTGCTCCAAATGGTACAAATCGTGAAAAAGCTACTCATATTGCTAAAAATTTAATTGCATTAACTTATGATGCTTCTTTAGCTGATTTGGCTTCATTAGAAAAATTACTTGGACTAATGTATGAAGGCAAAAGTATTAATAGTGAAGTCATTAATGTATTATGGCAAATTTATGGCGCTCAAGTTGATGATGAATCAGTAGCTCAGGAGAAAAGAAGAGGAGCTATTAAGGTATTGGGTATGATAGCACTAGAAGATCCTACGATCATGAAAAAGGGATTGTCGTCATTATTGGATATTGGTTTGGGTAATATTGGTAAGGCTGATTTTATCTTATGTCGATATACATGTATTGCATTAAAAAGAAATCCAGCATTCACCAAAAAGGATTCAGAAGATCAAGCAGTGGAAGAAATAAATGCATTTTCACGGTTAGTTGATATTCTCAAACTTTATAGCACGGATACAGAATGGTTTTCTGTTGCTGAACAAGCTATAAATGCGATTTTTAAAATTTCATCAGATCCAGTTGTTGTTTGCTCCGATATTATACGTGATAAATCGAAAGATGTCTTTTCAAATAATCCAGATCAATTGAGAAGTTTCGCATTGTCTCAATTATTATTTCTTGTTGGTCATGTCGCTATAAAAAGCATAGTTTATCTTGAAAGCCTCGAAGCTCAATTTAAAAAGAAAAAAATAGCAGCAGAAACTAATGAGAATAATCAAGATGATGAAGAAAATGCTGATAATGAATTAGAAATGATTGGAGGTACTTCAGAAGATGATTTTGCAGATGCTGTTATTCACGTTAAAGAAAGGGAAATTTTATATGGTGAAAAATCAATTTTAAAAGGATATGGTCAAATAGTACAAAAGATATGTGCAAATCCAAAACAATATAAAAACTCACTAGTACAAAGACATGCAGTGTTGTGTTTAGTAAAATTGATGTGTGTTTCATCAATATACTGTGAAGAAAATTTACCATTGCTTTTAAAAATTATGGAAAGTTCAAAAGATCCAATAGTTAGATGTAATTGTGTTTTGGGATTAGGTGATTTGGCAGTTAGTTTCAACAGACTAATTGATGAAAATACTGATTACATATATCGTCGTTTAAACGATGAAGATCTAACGGTGCAAAGAACATGTTTAATGACAGTTACATTTTTAATCTTGGCTGGTCAAGTAAAAGTTAAAGGTCAATTATCATCAATGGCCAAATGTTTAGAAAATTCAGATCAAAGCATTAGTGACATGTGTAAGTTATTCTTTGCAGAATTAGCCACTAAGGATAACGCAATATATAACGGTTTCATTGATATTTTCAGTGGATTATCATTTGATCCTACTTTGGAATCAGAAGAATTTAAACGTATCATGAAATTCTTAGTTGGGTTCATTGAAAAAGAACGTCATCAAAAACAATTGAGTGAAAAATTAATGGCAAGATTACCTAAAGTTAAAGATGAAAAAGAATGGAATGATGTTGCTTTTGTATTGGAAACTATTCCCTATACTAATGATGTTATTGCAGAAACTTTGAAAGAAGGTTATCAAGTTGTACAAGCTAGAAACTAGGCTAGTATAGATATAATGAATGATGTAATGAATGTAAAAAGGTGATTTTCTTGATGTTGCAACTCTGTTGTTTCGATGTTTCATAGTTGAATTAAAATTGAGCCGCACTTGCTTGATTTGTTAATTTTCGTATATTTTACATCATGAAATTTAAAAAATCAAGTTATTGATTGATTAACAACCAATTCACTTCTTTTCTTTATACCTCAATTGATACCCAACAAATCATTCCTTGCTAGTCTTTTACACTAGACAAAAATGAAGTCAATAATACAAGACCAAATCAGGCAATTGCTGGACGCAATTGGTTTAGATGAAGCAAGTTTGAAAATATTAATATGTACATTACTTTCATATCCATTTGGAATAATATTCAAAAGAATACCCGATCAACAATATTTTTTAAAAAACCTTTACAACGTTTTGGTTTCTTCATTATATGTATTTGCAATTTGTGATTTAAGAAGTGGACTAGGCACTTTGTTAATTTCTTCAATGGGGTCATATTTTATCACAAGATATTTAAGAACTCCTAGTATGCCTTGGATAAATTTTTTATTTTTAATGGCTCATATGTTTTATAGTCATGTTCATTTACAATTTTTTGCTGAATACGATCCAAGAGTAATTGATATAACCGGAGCACAAATGATTTTGGTTATGAAATTATCAGCATTTGGTTGGAGTATATACGATGGTAAACAACCTAAAGAATCATTGAATGATTACGATAAATCAAGAGCAATTTATAAACATCCAAATTTGTTGCCATTTATTGGATATGTGTTTTTTTATAGTTCCTTATTAACTGGTCCAGCTTTTGATTATGCAGATTATGATAAATTCATTCATTCGACTTTATTTGATGACGTACCAGAAGATAAAAGACCAGGTAGAACAAGAAAGAGGAAAATACCAAGAAGTGGATTTGAATCATTTTCAAAATTAGTTCAAGGAATATTTTGGGCTATATTATTATTTCAGGCTCCAAAATACGTTCAAACAGATTATATTTTTGACCAAGCTTTTGTGAAACAACATGGCTTCTTCTACAGAATCGTTTATATGTATTTTTTAGGATTTTCATACAGATTAAAATATTATGCTATTTGGTTAATTGCAGAAGGAGCATGTATTTTGTGTGGAATCGGTTATAACGGAATGGATCCAGTAACAGGTAAATTTAAGTGGAATAGAGTACAAAATATAGATCCATTAGCATTCGAATTTGGTCAAAATGTTCATGAATGTTTAGAAGCATGGAATCAAAACACAAACAAATGGTTAAAATATTATGTTTATTTAAGAGTTGCTAAAAAGGGTAGAAAACCAGGTTTCAAAAGTACTGTGTTCACATTTGCAACAAGTGCATTTTGGCATGGGACTAGACCTGGCTATTATTTAACATTTGTTTTAGGTGCTTTGTTACAAACTGTTGGTAAATTTTATAGAAGAAATATCAGACCTTATTTTCTAGAAGCCAATGGTAAAACTTCAAAATCATCTAAAAAAATATATGATATAATAAGTTGGATAACTACTCAAATAGCATTTGGATTCTTGGTGCAACCATTTGTTATATTAGATTTTAAAAAATCATTACTTTGCTGGCAAACTGTTGATTATTGGTTGCTTGGTGTTACAGCTTTAACATTTTTCATATACACTGGACCATTTGCAAAAACCTTTAAATTCAAAGCACCAAAGAAAGCTAATGATAGACCAGTCCCAATAAGAGCAGATTCTGCTAAATTATCAAAAGAAGAAAAAGAAGTGGTATCAAATGCAATTTCAAGTAAATTAGAAAAAAACTACGATTCACCAACTTTAGGATTACCATCATTAGATGTTTTCCAAAATTTTGATAAACATGAATTAGATGAAGATATTCATTTATTAAATAAAGCTTGGGATTCTATTAAAAAAAGACATTTTTTGGATGAAGATGATTTTGATGGTTTAAAAGATGCATTTAATAATTTTACTGATGAAATTAATGAAATTTTTGATAGAAAAAAAGAACAAATTAAAGAAGAAATTGAAAAAGAAGCTACAAAACATAAATTACAATGATTAGTTCAATTTAAGTCAGTATATAATAATTCATAGAGACGTACTGTTAATTTGCATCCATTTAATTTCTTTTTCAATTCGATGATTAACTTTGTGCGTTATCTATTTGATCAGTAATAATCATTAAAAAAAATCAACACAAATAATTATTTGGCCGATTGATCTTTTGAAGAAATTTTGACTCTGATAATCAATTTACTAAAAGTAAAATTATGACTAAGACATCACCTCAGCCATCGAATGTAGTAAATACGTAATATTTAGTGTTTAAATCTAGATTATTGCTATTACATAATTTCCCCAGATTTTGTGTTACGAAATATGCCGGATAATTTTGCAAAATTTGGATCTACAATCAACTGTTTAAAATTTCAATTTGGACTGAAAACACCAACATTCAACTTTATATACTAAACGTTTTAGTAGTCAATTACCATTTCTTCAATCTTCACCAAAGCTAAATGCTTTCCAGAATTTCAAAAACCTCCTCATTGAGGTCATCAGCATATAAATGTTATATAAGATATAATTCAACTGATGGAGCATCAACAACAAAATCACCTACAGGTATAGTATTTATGAATATGGGAGGACCTTCAAAAAAGGAAGAAACATATGACTTTTTACTCAGATTATTTCAAGATGGAGATTTAATACCCTTTGGACCATTTCAAAAACCATTAGGAAAATTCATAGCATGGAGACGTACCCCAACAATTGAAGAACATTATGAAGAAATTGGAGGTGGTTCACCAATTAGAAAATGGTCAGTATATCAATGTTCAAAAGTATGTGAAATATTAGATAAGACTCATCCTGAAACTGCTCCACATAAGCCATATGTTGCTTTTAGATACGCAAAACCATTAACTGAAGATACTTTAAATGAATTGCAAAAAGACGGAATAAAAAGAGCTGTTGCATTTTCTCAATATCCTCAATTTTCATACTCAACTACTGGATCATCAATTAATGAATTGTATAGACAAACTTTGAAACACGATCCCGAAAGATCAATTGAATGGTCAATTATAGATAGATGGCCACAACAATATGGTTTAGTACAAGCTTTTGCAAACAATATCAAAGAAAAATTAGCAGAGTTTCCACCAGAGATAAGAGATGAAGTAGTGGTATTATTTTCAGCTCATTCATTACCTATGGACATAGTTAATTTAGGTGATTCATATCCTGCCGAAGTAGCAGCAACAGTATATAAAGTCATGGAAATATTAAATTTCAGTAATCCATATAGATTGGTTTGGCAATCTCAAGTTGGTCCAAAACCATGGTTAGGTGGACAAACTGCCAAAATAGTTGGAAAATTGGAGAAAAGAGATGATATAAAAGGAATAGTATTAGTTCCAATAGCTTTTACATCAGATCATATTGAAACATTACATGAATTAGATATTGAGTTAAAAGAAGAAGTTGAAAATCCTGAAAAGATTAAAAGAGCAGAATCAATGAATGGAAATGAAATTTTTATTCAAGGTTTGGCCGATTTAGTTAGTGATCATTTATCAAGTGGTAAAAAATATTCAAAACAATTAGAATTAGATTGTATATTGGGTGGTGAAAAGGCATCTGGAACGTTTAAACATCCTGATGAATTATTTGGTAAACAAAATTAATGATGAAGATTGAAAATGAAAAATTATGTAAATAGAATGTGTTTTTCGGGATATGTATATATGCTAATAGACAAAATGTATTTCAGACTGTTCTTAGTCCGAGTATTCATCATCTGGATCGAATAAATCTAAGTTCAAATCCATTGAAGGCTGTTGTTCTTCAGATTTAGGTCTATTGTCATCACCATAACTATGTGAATGTCTCTTTCTCGGAGCTTCGGGTTTTGTTTCTTCAGTTTTTACATCTTCATCTTCATCTTCTTCTTTTACTTTACCATCATTTAATTCAAAATTTATAATTTCATCACCTTGTAAAGAGCTCATAGCAAGCATACCTCTTCTCAAAGAATCTTCAGCTGGCCATATATAATTATTAGGATGTATCTGAAATGCCATATTTCCTACTGCTGCTGGTGCTTTTGTAAATTTCGCTAATTTCATTGAATAATTTAGTAATTTATTTACATCAATGTTTTTATTTTGTATTCTATATTCGTTCTCTTTGCCTTGTGGTTCTTTTGGTAATTTTGGTAATTTTTTCAATTGCGATCTATATTCTAATAATTTTTTTAAGTTTGTTTTAAGTTGATTATCTAGATTTTCATTTACTTTCGTTAATTTTGATAATTTTTCACCTCTTTCTTTATGTTTACTCAATTCATGTATCTCATTCTCTAGATTTTCATTGACTTTTATAATTTTCTCGACGTTCGTGAAAAAGTCAACGTCTTTATAATGTGATATATCTTCATTTATATTTCCAAGTAGATCTTTAAATTCATCTAGTATTTGAATAATCGGTAAATTGTTAAAATCTTGAAGTTCATCTTCCGTTCGTATCTTACTGTTTATATTATCTTGAGTTGTCGGTATATTTCTAGTTGGATTTAATGACGAAGTAACATATGCTGATGGTGTTGATGGAATTGATGAATCTAAATTTTTAAAATCTTGATTCAATTGATTTAATCTAGCCGAAGAAGCAACTCTTGACACCGAGTTAGACTTGAATGGGGAATCTGCTCGTTTATGAGGTAGCATTCTTTAATTGACAGTAATTTTATCTGCCTAATACAATTAAATCTTTTAGTATAAATAAATTTGTTTCAAGATTTCAAACTCGCGTAATTTTTCATAACTCTTTAAAAGTGTCTTGACTGATACCAAGACTTCAATTACTTCAATAGTGCATGGTCATTAAGAGAAAAAATGTATTTGATGACTCCGATGACGATGCTGTTTCAGAAGTAATTGAGACAGAACCAAAAGTCAAATTAAAAATCAAAGAATTCATCAAACCACCAACTTTAGATCAACAACCCCCAAATGCTCAAAACGATGAAAATGAAGTAGAAGATACCAATGAATTTGACGCATTCGATGAAGATTATAATTACTCACCTGAAGATCTAGAATTACCTACAAAAGTGCAAGAATTTTCACTGCTTGACAAATCAATATTCGAAACAAATCCATATTCGATTGGTCTTTCAATAATGCAAAAAATGGGGTTTAAAATAGGTGATTCATTAGGTGTTTCAAACTCAAACAACAAGGCATTGAAAGAACCTATAACACTATCTTGCTGGACTAAAGGAAGAGGAATAGGTATGTTGACTTCACCAACGAATAATGAAGTCGATTATGAGTCCATAAAAATGTCCAACATTGAAGCAAAAAGACAAGGTAGAGATGTAATACAATTGAAACAATTAATGAAAATATCATTTGAAATTAGCGGTGAGTGTGAATTATATTTAAACGAAGATTTAAAAATTGAGGAGGTGAATCCAATTTGGAAAATTTACGTTGATGAACTTGAAGCTGAAAAACAATTAAGTACAAGATCTTCACACTCGAGGATGTTGGAATTTAAGTCGTACAAAGAATCTTTATACGAAATGGGTCATGATGAGGTAAAAGAAAGAACTTCACATTTACTCGAGTACTTAAGAAATGAACATAATTATTGTGCTTATTGTGGAGATCAATACGATGATGAGGAAGATTTGATCAAAAATTGTCCAGGAATAGATTATGACTCGCATCTACTGTAATTATCAAAACTTCCTAAATATTTACAACTTTTTGTCTATTAGAAATCTATAAATTATCAGTACCTTTTGACTTATTCTGACCAATCTCTAATTTTGCACTCTTTGCACCAAATTGTATAGCTCTTTTCAATTCATTAGATACCCATTCCATACCTAGTTCTTTAGCTAATTCTCTCAAAATATATTTTCTAACAGGTTGAATTCTATCATTTCCCTTTTTATCTTTTGCAAAATTATATTTAAATTTCAACTGTGGTGGAATTTCACTAGTGACCCAGTGAATAAACTCATCATCTAAGTAAGGATACCTAAGCTCTTTGCCCCAGCAACTTATGACTCTATCATCTCTACCCAAATTTCGTTCATGAATTACCTGAATATCGTAGTTCAACGAGTCTGCCAATTCCTGGTAGTTTGTATCTGATATGGAGTTGAATATCCCTTCATGACGCGAATAACCTGCAAACAATTCATCAGCTCCTAATCCACTAAATAAAACTTTTGCTGATGATACATAATTCTCAGTTACATCAACATATTTTAAATGATCTTTCTCAAAAGTTTCCCATTCAACTGAATAATCTTTTAATCTCTTCAGTCTAGTCAATTCAGGTATGACTGAAGAAGCGAAATAGAAAGCAATAGCAATAGATAAATCCATTTCAGTATTACAAGGATACATCAACTCCCTAACTCTAGACTTGTGAATTAACCAATTGGAATAATCAACATTCACTTCCACCAAATTTATCTTGAGTTTAGGAAACATTTTACATAAATGAAACCAAGACTTTATTGCTAATTTTCTATCAGGGCTTGAGCCTGGTTGTTGATTAGTTCGTGGATTCTCAAATCCAACAGTTAATAAATCTATCGAAATTTTATCTTGATCTTTGACTAATTCACATATTAGTCTTGCTATTATGGTACAATCTAATCCACCACTAAACAATACAGATAATGAACTTTCATCTTTTGAGTGAACTAATGGATGTATTGATTCAAAACGTAATCTAGTTGATTCATTTAAACGTTTGTGTAAGTCTTTTAATAGCTTTCGTTCATCAGCTACTTCATTAAAAGTTGGCTCAGGTAAATCATGTAATTGGTGATTGACTAAAGTTTCTTGTTTTATATCATATTCATAAACTAAATTTTTACACTCAACATAACCCAAACTAGAATTTGAACTGATGGTGATCCCTTCGTCATTAATGTCATAACACAATGACCTTTTCCCAATAGAATCTCTCCCAAAATAAATATGATCATCAACTAAATCAATTAAAATGATAGCCCATTCCCCACTTAAAGTTTTCAAAGTCTCCAATATTGCAACTTTCCTATCTTGAATATCCACCAAGTTTGAATGCAATAAATCGATAATAAATTGAGTATCATTGGTCTCCATACATTCCAGATTATATAGTTCTCCATTAAATTGTAAAAAGAATTCATCTCGTAGTACTGGTTGTCTCGTAAATGGTTGTCTTAATGATAGTATAGCTGAAAATGATTGGAAGTATAGGTCAGAGTGTTTGAATTGTGTATAATTTAGGTAGTTTGGTCCTCTATTTGATATTTTATATATTAGTTCGTCTAAGTTATTTTTGGTGATCGGTTCTTCTTCCTCATTTGTGATTTCATTGATTTGATCTTGAACCTGTATTATTTTTTCGAACTTCTCAACTTCTGAAATCTTGACGTTGTTTCTCAACTTTGATAGTTGTGAATTCAAATCTCTTAGCAAATCTAGGTTGTTTAATTTATGTAGTTGTTGTTTTGATAATGGTTTTAATTTTGAACCTTCTTTCAAAAATTTATCTATAGTTGAGTTATCATTAGTCTCCCAAACTAGTAGCTGAAGATTATTTTCCTTGACTTCGGTTAGTTCTGGAAAACACGTTGTCTGAGCAAACAGAGTTTTAGAAACTCTTAGTAGAATTCCACACATTCATTTAATTCTTTGATTTTATTAGTATTAACTTAATCACATCTGGGAAATAAATTTGTAAACAAAATTGGCTACCAAACGATTCAAATTTTGTAACTTTTGGCTGCAAAATTCACCTATTTGATCAACCTGAAATAGAGTAACCATCAAGTAAGTTATACTTACTATTTGAGAAGCTACTCTTAAGATGAAACTCAATTTCAAATTTTATTAAGCATTAACAAATCTTCTTCAAAATATATAACAGTATATATATATATAAATCACTCTAACAACAACAACATTTTTTAATCAACTTATTATTTCGCATTTCTCAACAACCTAACCAACCAAATCAACACTAATGACAGTTTTAGAATTATTATTTATATCAACCAAAGTAATCTTGTTTAAATTATGACCAAAATTAAAAGATTTAATCAACAATTCAACTTGATTAGCAATATCAAAAGACATATTTAAAATTGGATGAATCCACAAGACAATTTGTGTCAATTGTCTCTTTTGTTGATAAGTAAAACCACATACATTAATTTTAATTGCATTATTTGGTACATTATTCAAAATGGAATATTTACAACATTTCATAAATAAATTTAATCCCAATTCTGTATTTGTTAAAGTTTTACCATGTAATAATTTTAATTTAACCAAATAACCATTTTTAAATTGTAAAATATTTGGAACTAAATTACTTTTCATTATAAACACTTCTTTTAAGTTAAAATTTTTAAAAAATTCAATAAAATCTGATCTACATTCAATTAATCTTTCAATTTTTTTTTGATTTGTTGTTTCATCTATTGTCCAAACATTCCATAAATTATATGAACTTTCGTCAAATTTATCAAATTTATGAAATTTTGAAACTTGAGTCTTAAAAATGGTGGGGGTGGCTATATTTCTTTTAAAAACTGGTTCTCCTGAATATTGACTAAATACAATTGGAATACTATCATCTTCTTCTAATCGAGTTATTAAATTTGTTAAAGTATTTACATTTTGTTCTGTACTTTCTGTTGATAGTAAATCCAATTGATCTTCACTTTCACTTGATGCAGCAGAATTTAGTAATAATGATGGTGACCTATTATGATTTTTTAAAAACCAACTTTTTGATCTTGGTATATTTGTTCCCATGTGTGTTAATTGTAAATGATTAAAATGAGGATATCTATGATGATGGTGTTGATGTTGACGTTGTTGATTAGTATATGAATCATCCGTTGGTGAATCATTATAATTTTGTGAATTTTCTGGAGATTTCATTATTGAAGTTACAACAGATGTAGTAGCTGCTGGTGGTATGTTTGATTCCTTTTTACCACCACCAAATAACCATGATCTTTTTTTCAGTAAATTATTACCATTATTATTATTATTATTATTATCGGTTGTTTTGTTCTGTTTCTCAATTTTATTACTCTTATCATTACGATGCTTAATTGGTTTAGGAGGTGGTAAACGATGAGGAGGTGGTTGTTGACCTTTATTGAATATATTTAATTTTCTTGAAAATGAATGTTGTGAATGACCACCATTATGTTTATTATTATTAGTATTATTGGTGTTCTTAACGGTGTTGTTGTTTTTGTTATTGTCATTGGTGGTGGTATTATCTTTATTTTCCATTTCATTCTCCTTTGTTGAATGACTCTTTCTCCCTTGTATCATATCTCCAATTTAAGAAAAAAATAGGGGGAATTGGAACTTGATATAAAAAATTTTGGTTGCAAATTAATTGAGTATTAAATAATTATTTTGATATTTTAATTTGGTGTACAAAATTTATTAAGGAAAGTTTTGTTGCAAATAATAAATTTAAGATAAGAATAAGATTTTATTTAATGAGATGTTAAATAATAACAAGTATAAGAATTAAATAACTAATAGATCAAAGATCTTAAAGAAAGTACAGCGATTCAATATTAACAACTTTTTAGGCTTCACTACTTTGATTTGAAGATAAGGATTATCAAAACGATTTCAGCCGCTTAATGTTAAAGGTTCCACGCATTTGCAGCACACAAATGCAACACATTTTTAATACAAGAAAAGAGTTAATTTAAGAACTTATATATTTACTGAGACCAAAAATTTCATTATATGTCATTTGGAAGAACTATCATGTATTAAAATGTTTCAACAAATTAGGTTTAAAATAAGCATTTATCGTCCATACAAACTAGATTACAATTAACGGGATATTTTACATTTAATCAATAATGCATTAATCTTAACACAAAGTATTTTTAGTTTCACGTAAAATTTCAAATGGTAAACAAAAATGAAACATGAAATTTTGAAAACTAAACTAACAGAAAATAAGGTACTAGAATTTTTCAAAAATAAAGTAAACTAGAACAAAAATGGCTGATATATTAGATAGAGGAGCAAAATTATTTGATCCAAATGAACCAGCATATAATCATGCAACAGACAACCAGTATAAACAATTAAGATCAAAAGCTGATCATTTATATCAAAAAAGAAATCAATTAAGTCAACAATCTCAACAAGCATATCAACAAGGAAATAAACAAAAAGCTCATGAATTAAGTGAACAATCAAAATCAGCACTAACAGAAGCTGAAAATTATAGTCAACAAGCTGCTGAATATGTATTTAGAGAAAATAATACTGATTCAGCATCTGATGAAATTGATTTACATGGATTATATGTTAAAGAAGCAGAATGGATAGTTAAAAAAAGAATTGAACAATGTTTAAATACAAATCAACTGCATTTAAAAGTTATAGTTGGTAAAGGTTTACATTCAAATAATGGTATATCAAAATTAAAACCAGCAATTGATAAATTATGTAATGAATCTAATTTAAAACATTATATAGATTCTAAAAATTCAGGTGTTTTGGTAATTGATTTTCAAAATTCAGGAAATTCTCAAATTCCTTCACATTGGAATTCAGGTGGAATATCTCAACCTCAACAAGCTTATCATGGTTCTAATCAACCTTATTATGGTCAACAACAACAATCACATGCCAATAATCAATATCAACAACAACAACATCACAACAACAATAACAATAATAATAATAACATTAAGACTGGTAATCAATTTCTCGATTTGCTTATTAAAGGTGTATGTATGTGTATGAATAGTAAGTAGAGACCAAATAAAATAGATAATATAGATATTAGAGTAATATTACAGTCAATCTTAAAAAAGTGCTAAACTAATGAAATTTAAAAAAAGTTACTCTTGATATTACTTGATGAACTGAAAATTAAACAAAACAAATTATAAAAACTAATATATTACACATGACAAAATTAAAAACTTAATGACTAATGATCAATTTGATCAATCTCTCCTCTTCTCTTTTCTTTCTATAAAATTAAAAATGACTCTCTCCTTCCACTTATATTTTTTAACATCCACAACTACTTGAATCATTTTCCAAATGAATATTAATAGCATCATTATAATCATCCCCCTCGCCACCATTAGCAGCATTTAATTCTTCTTGTTGTAAAGCCATTTTAGCAACAACTTCAAATGCTTGTTCAACATTTACTGAATCTTTTGCACTTGTTTCAAAAACAGGATAATTTAATCCACCAAATTGATTTTGAGTAATTTGATTTAATTTTTTAGATAAACTTGGAATTTTTTTAGAATCATCTATATCTATTTTATTACCAATTATAATAAATGGAAAATCTTGAGGATTTGTAACATTAGATTGTACTAAAAATTCATCTTTCCAAGAAGTTAAATTATTTAATGATTTTTCATTTGTTACATCAAAACATAATACACAACAATCAGCACCTCTATAAAACGCTACTCCTAATGATTGAAACCTTTCTTGTCCTGCAGTATCCCATATTTGTAAAGTTACTGTTTTACCATTATCCAACAGAATTTCTTTTGTTAAAAAATCAGCTCCTATCGTTGCTTTATATTGTTGTGAAAATTTATTATTTACAAATTGTTGCATAAGGGAAGTTTTACCAACACCTGAATCTCCTAAAATGATCACTTTCAATAAAGTTTTCTTTCTTGATGACATTATGAAGTTGGTTGTCTATATGTTTTTGGTTGTTTTATGCTGGTTGTATTAACTATAGTTTTGGCTTTTGTTGAATGTAGAGAAAAATAATAAATATTAAAATGAAACCAAAGAAATAATATTATATACAGGTTTATTATTTATAAAATGATATTTTGCACGATATAAAAAAGATAAGATAACGATATTAATGATTAATTTGAATAAGAAGTACCTTTACTGTGTGGGTGTGATCGGTTTTGCTTTAAGTATAAGTAGACGAAGCTAGACAAAGAGTCCGAAACGCCAGTTTTTCACAATTCAAAGAAATAATGTAGTTACAATTTTAATGAAATCTAAAATAAATTTCAAAAGTAAATTAAATTAATGAAAGTAAGTAAAAAATAAAGAAAATCAAAGTGAAAAACCAATTTAACAAAATATGTATGTATATATATATGTATAAGAAAAAAGTACCTCTCCCTTCCCAATAAATTCTATTCTTGACCAAATCCAACAGTTTCTTCAACAGCTAAAGATAATTTTTGTTTTAAACTTTCATAATTTTCATAAGGTGGTAAATCAACTCTATTAAAACATGTATGAGATTTTGGTAATTGATTTGGTTCACCTGCTTTTTCAATTGTAAATCTACGTGGTCCATCACTACCTTGTAAATCTTTAAATCCATTAACTGGTATACGAGAAGTACCTGTTGTAAATTGTAATAATCTTGCTTTTTGTTCTGAATCCCATTCATTAATACATTTCCAAAACCATTGTATAACTTGATCTTGTTCTTGATATCCTCTATAATCAGTATGTTTTTTCCAATCTTGTGTATCTATTTCTGCTAATCCTCCAATTAATAATTCTAATTCTCTTTCATCAAAAACATTAACTAATTCTTGTGGTATTAATTCATTAAAACCATCAATAAAAGCTTTAAATTGTTCTTCAACTCTTTTACTTATTCTCCATTCCGTTATTAATTCAACATATTCATGTTTATTTTCTTCTGTAACTTCAATTTCTTTACCTTGAGGTTTTAAATCAACTTCAACTCTTTCTCCAAATATTTCTTCTTCTGTACTAAATGTTAAATCTAATATATCTGTTATATCATTATCTAATATCCATTTCAATGATCTATAAAATTCTGCATCAACTCCTTCCATATCTTGTAATACAACTTTTTTATGTAGCATCATTTTATATAATGCACCAACAAAGAAAGCATCTAAAAATCTTCTATGGAAAACACCTAATCCAACAACTCTACCAATAAATTTGAAATAATTTAAATGTTCTGGATTTATACTTGAATTTGGATTAATTTGTAATGTATAATTATCATGTGAACTATATTCAAATAAACAATAAAATGGATTAAACATATCATGAGATAACAAGAAAAAAAATTCTCTTGAAACTCCACCATAATCTAAACCTTCTTCTCCATCGAATTTTATCATTAATCTCTTTTTTAAATCTTCTGGTGTTTGTCTCATTATTTCTTGATAAGAATCTTCAAAAATATGATCTCTTCTAACTTTTATATGACATTGTCCTGGTAAAATTCTTAATGCAGGTTGTGATCTGAAATATATAACTTTTCTTCTAAAATCTCTTTTATATTGTGGTACATTTTGATCTAATGATGATGGTAATCTTGGATCATCCCATGTTGTAGTTTTAGTATTATGATCAACAAAATATACTCTTGCAGTATTTGTTAATCTCATTTCCCAACCTGATGGTAATGGACCTAATTGTGATACTGGTTGTTGTTGTATAGTTGTATTTGGTCCAAATGTACGTATATATTGTTGTCTTCTTGGATCTACCCAAGTTGTAGTTCTTGTATTATGATCAACAAAATATGGTCTACCTTCATTTGTAAAACGTTGTTCCCATCCTGAAGGTAATTCACCTAATCCTGAAGTTGTTGCACCTGAAGCTGCCATTGATACTGCAGCTGCTGGATTTACAGGAGTATTTGAACCAGTTGAATTGACAGTGACATTCCCGCTTGTTACTGAATTATTATTACTTGTTGGTAATGGACTTGTTGGTAATTCACCAGGTAAGGTTCTTCCACGATGTTGTCTTCTTTCTGCTTCAGTTTCAGTTTGTCTTTGTTGTCCTCTTTCACTTTCACTTTGATCCAATGTTGGTCTTTGCCATGTAGTTGTTCTTGAATTATGATCTACATAATAAGTTCTACCAAAATTATCAGTTCTTCTTTCCCAACCTGGTGGTAATCTTCCATATTGATCTTCAAATGATGAATATTGTCTATGTGAAGCAGCAGCTGAAGCAGCTGTCGCTGAATTATTATTAATTGCACCATTTCCAGATGCAGCAGCTGCTGGTGTTGATAATGTATTTGATGATGATGGAGGTACCATTGATGAACCATTTGATATTGAACTATTTGGAGCAGCAGATGATGATGCAATTCTATTACTACTACTACTATGACCATTACTTGATCTATTTGCTGAAGTTGATGAACCATTAATAGCTGAAGATTGATTACTTGATCCATTTCTATTATGTGAAATAACAACTATTATTCTACCACTAATTGCAACATTTTCCATTGATTTTTTCAATTCTCTTGTAATAGTTTCTTCTGAATTAGGTAATCCAAAATTTATTAAATCACCAATTCTTACATTAACTACACCTAAAAATCCTTGATCTTTCTTTTTAAATTTTTTTTGATCAAATACTTGAATTACTAAAATTGAATCTTCTGATGCTTGAAAATTAAAAGTTTCATTCCAATAAGGATTTAATGTCTTTTTAGCAGTTTTTGTAGTTTTAGTTTGTGATCCATCAACTGTTATAACTGCAAATGGATCAGGTTGACGAAATACATCTCTTTTATAAAGTGATTCCGCAGCAACTACTTTTACACTAATAGTTGTTGTATTTCTTGACATTATAATAATAATAAATTATTGAATATTTATATTAATTCCTGATGAAAATCTATAAATCTTCTCACTATTTGATTCAATTAATAAATTAGAAACAGAATTAGTCAAATACGAAGTTGTTGTATGGAATTTAGATGACAATAATAACGATTGTATATATCTCTAGATTATTGATAAATAATATGATCTTTGAAACAAAATCTTCCCAAACTTCTTAATGAATGATAAATGTTGAAACGTATTGAATGAAGTTAAATGACTAATACAAAATGATTGATTATATTATTAATAATTATTAAGGGAAAAGATGATTAAAAATATAATAATAAATTTGGAAGAAAAAATAAAAAATCTAAATTTTTGGTTGTCTCTTTTCTGAGAATATTATTTTTAGTAAATTAAATATTACTATTAAAGTTATTAATTCTTTTAATTAATAACTAGTTGATTAAATTGAACAAAACAAATTCTAATAAATAATTAAATGTATTAGGTCTATCTTATAACAATGAAAAGATTATTTGAACGTAGATCAAGTATAAAATTTGATGGTATTCAAATAATGTTGATAAATTTTAGTTCAATATTTAATTATTTCATCTTTTTGTTCTATGAACCTTACTATTACATAATACATTATGTAATCACCTTAGTATAAAAATTATATATACATAGCAATTTATTTATTATTATATTAACATTAATATTAGTAATGTTTCATATATTAATAAGATCTTACTCTTACTTATTTGATTATTAGATAGATTGGGAGTATCAGCTTTGAATTGAAGCATCAACTTATAAGTTCTTATGATATTTTTCTCCAGTTGTTTTCAAGTCTACTAAAACCAAAATTGTAAGATGTCGCAAATTGTTCGTCTGAAAAGTACATAAATGGACCTAATCGATTATTTATGTACCACCAGAATTGACATAGATCCGACCAATTCCACACTACTTTAATACAAATGTGTAACAAAATTTAATAATTATTTACTAAAACGGAAACGGAATTTGGATCAATTTGAATCAATAGGAGAGAGAGAAAAGAAAAATGAAAAGATCTAGAATAAAGTATAAATTTGAAACAAGCTTCTTCCATATGTAAAAATACATAAATATAATTTATGTTAAATTAGTCCAAGATTATAAGCCACAAGTGAAAAACAATCAATTCTTTGTTTGAGCAAAATCGTAGAATAATTTAACGATTTTATAGATATTTTATTATTAAGTAAGAAAAAAAAATTTATAAAACAATTTGCAGCAAAAAAACGAAATTAAATTTTTTAACAAATTTAAATTGAAACACAATTCAAAGAAAAAGAGAGTTTGAAAATTGTCATATGTTCAGTAAATTCTATATATTTGAAATATTGAAAGTTTAATAAGGAAATAAAGAAATAAAAAAAACAACCAGTAAATTGAGTCTAAAAAATTTAATAATTTCAAAATGTGTAATTTGTTCTTACACTAACTCCACTTTCATGATCCCAATATCTAATTTTTATAATCTTTTAAAGCAGAAGTACCATTATATAATAAAGCACCAAGAGTTTCAAGTAAAACTAACCAACCTAAACCAGAATTTAAACCTAATTTATCAGCTTCTGATTGATTAATACCTAAAGTTTGTAATAATTGATTAAAAGCATCAGTAGCATTTGTAAAATTTCCATGTAATATTTCATAAATAGCTTCTTGAACTTTAGTAATGTTAATAGAATCAGTTAAATTATCTCTTTTATTTAATTGTAATTGATTTGATTCAATATCGTAAATTACTGATTCTGGTTCTGGTTCTGAATCTTTTTTGGTTGGAATGACGATTGAATTTCCAATTGGTGATGTGATTGCAGCAGCTTGAGTTGTAGCGATAAGAGCAACAGCAACGGTTAAGAATCTCATCTTGTATTTTATTAGTTCAGTATAAGTAGTAGTGTTAGTAGTTGTAAAACTTGTTGTTTAAAAAGTTATTGAAATTTGTAGGAATTATAGACCATATTTATATTATTCCAATAACTACTTCAAACCAATGCCTACGTGAAAAATATTATAACCATTACTATGATAAATTTAAGCACATGTCAACCCCCCTACTCTTCAACTTGACATTAATTCCCACAATTCTTCAATATATTACAACTTGAAAGTTACGAGAACAATAAATGAAAAGCCTATTTAATTTTTTTGACATATGCTAAAATTATTCAGTGAAAGTATCAAAACCACTTGAACACTTTTACATTCAACCCTTCCTTCTTTTTATGTATTCATTCGTTATACGGATCACATATTTATTTGTCTTGTTTCAACTTTATTAAATTTAACTCTCATTCAGTTTATTGGTCAATATATGAAACAAATGATACCGATTTTTTATAAAGGATTTGCCAAAAAAAAACGGTTTTTATACAAAAACTGTGACTACTAACTAATTGAAAATAATCCTCATTAACGCAAGCAAAGCAAAATATAGCGCTTCAACTTTCAGCAGTTTCTATTGTTCATATTCTTATTGTCAATTTAGTTTCTACACTTATTGTCAATTTACACAATTTTTATTGTGCCAAAAATACCCTCTAAATTTAATTACCAAATTCCGTAAAATAATTTAAACGTTTTTTAATTATGTACATGCGATACTTTTACATGCAATACAATAGAATTATAAGTAAAATATAAACCATATGTTCATAATTTACCTACAAAGCTAATAGTAACTTAACCATTAAAGTGGAGCTATAAAAGTACCAACTATTGCGAGGTGCAAATAGTAAGAAATGAAGGGGTTAATTGTGCACATTTCAGTTTTGTACAAATTGTGTCAAAATTGAGTTACAAATCTGAAACAAATATGAATTTTGTTAGATATAATTTATTAAATTTCTCAACTTAAGTGGTACTAAGAAAATGTTATTCAATTAAATAAAAATGGACTTTCTATTGTTGACAGTATAATAAAAATAATTGTTTGTAATTACAATAAAATCACAATTGTTGCCTAATGTTATGATCCTACATATAAATAATTTACTATAATAATTAATGGTTTTGAATCATTTACGTAGCTCCACAAATGAATAAAAGGATAGGGATTTTACAAAAGTTGAACTTTAGCAACCAATAACATCCAATAAGAAATAAGAGTGTTCCACTAAACTTGAAAAATGTGGTTTTGGATATTGATTTTTTAGTCTTTATTTTAAAGACCATACTAAAAGAGTTAAACATTTTGGTAAAAACTAAAAGTACACAAATTAAAAAGCATAATATTATTCATGTTAAGTTTTCTCGATATAACACTATATAAATTCATAAAACCATTGGTATACTCTTATAAAAAAACCATAAACCCTAATAACTTAAATTTAAATCATCTAAAGATTTGAAAACATCACTATACTTATACTCATTTAAATTATTTCCCGAAAAAGTCTTAATCAATTTATGACCATCCTCAAAAACTTTATTATTATTTATATCATGAGCTATTATTTCATCTATATCAGTAGCTATAGTAGATATAGAATTAGATGAATGATTCTTTTTAGATAAAAAGATTGAATTATTACTATTGTTATTTTGATTATTTCTTATTGGTGAGAATTCTTGATCACTTTGTGATGATGAAGAAATATCTGATTCTGAAATATTATTATGGAAATTGAAATTAAATTCTTCATCATCTTTTTGTAACAAAGCTAAATTATTAATGTTTTGAATTTCTTGTTTCAATGAAAATTTAGGAGATCTTGGTATTGGTGTTTTTATATTTGATTCTTTTTTAGGTTCTAATATTGATTCAATTTCTGATTCCGATGATGATGATTCTAATAATTCAGGATTACTATTTAATGAAATTGATTCCAAATTTGAATCTGTACTTTTTATTGTTATACATGTTGGTTTTCTTGATATCATTAATGGTTCAATTAAACTTTCTTGAGATGAAGTATTAACATCAATACTTTCTTTACTATAATTTTTTGAAAAATTTAATAATTCTTGTAATTCATCTTCAGTATAATATAATTTATTTGAATTTATATGTAAATTAATATTATTTTTAAATTTTGAATGAACACCTAAAAATGATGATCCATCAATTGATAAAATCTTAGTACTATTATCTATTTCATTAGTTATTGAACACATATCAACAATATTAGTATTTGAAGCAGGTAATATTGTTCCACATTGTCTTTGATTAACATCAACTTCTAGTTTTTTAAATTTATTTAATTTAATACTATTAAAACCTTCACTTAGTCCACAATTTAAATGGTTTGTTTCATTCAAATTAATATCTGATGTTAAATCCCAATGTATTATATTACCATCTTGTCCACCAGTAAATAAATCTCCTTGATTCCATTCTATACTTGTTATTGATGATCCATTTCCAACAGAATCACTATTTATAGTTGCAAAATAATCTTGTTTTCTAATGTCCCATAATCTAACTACTCCATCACCATGACCTACGGCTAATATATTATCATTATCGGGATTCCATTTCACTAAATTAGCTGATAATTGTCTGAAATTTGTAGTTGTAGATGAAGACATTGGAATATTTAATTTTGAAAATCTTGTATCATATAATGATATACCAAATTTACCACATACACTTATTGTTGTATTATTATGATTTAAAGTATCAAAATTTAAAATACCTTGAATTGTTGATATTGAAATTGGTTGTGGTCTTAATTGAGATTCTGAATTTTTAATATCCCAATGAAATAAAAAATTATCATATATTGAAATCATTTCTTTATCATTATTAAATAAATTTAATTTTTTAATTGGTGAGTTGTGAATTATTGTAGATTTATCTTTAATATGTTTTCTGTGATTGAATCTTTTACATATTTCTGCTGAATATAATTCGGTATCATCTTCACCACCTAAATTAATATCAGGTATTGAAACTAGATGAGCATACCCTTTATTATTACCAGTAATCAAATGATTCTCATTGTTATTTATCCATTTCATACTATGTATATTTGATAAACTAATAGTTGAATGATGTATTAAATGATTTGAATTTAGATTCATTTCATAAATAAATAAATTATTTTCTTGATTACCTGATGATATTGCAATTAGTGGATTATTTTGTTGTTGGTTTTTAATACATATTGAAGTTAAATTCATATCATTATCTGGAATTTTCCAATAATTTGATTTAATCTTTGTACGATTTAATGAACATGATTTATTTAATATTTCAGTATCTTGAGGATTATTATTATTGAGTAACCATGATGAAGTACTGAATTTATTTTTACTATTCATATAAGGTGAATTTATGGATGATTGTGAATATATTGAATTATTTTGATTATTATCATTATTATTCATTGAATAATCATCATTTGTTAAAAGACTATCAACACTTGAAATTGGTGATAATTGGGGATTAAATCTCCGTATAGCATTTTGTCTAAATATTAAAGTAGGTTCGTAATAGTCAGTCATTATAAAAATTTATGATGTGATAGGTATAATAATTGAATAAATAGATTAATTGATATTTGGTTGTAAAATCTGATAAAATTTGGTTGTAAAAAATTAGATATTTGATAGATTAATGGTAGTAAATTAAACTTGTAAAAATTCAAGTTCTACTTGATTTAAAAATCAGCCAATTCTCATTCTCTTATATTATAATACTTCCAGCTTTGACTAAGTAATAATCCGTTTGATAAACATTTAAACTTTCTAATTGTAATTGTAAATCAGAGATAATAAATTGATATTGAAAATGCTGGTTATTTTTTTCTTTTTTGATTTAAATTCGCAGCACTTTTTTTAATTTAGTAAAATCTTATATACAGTCTTCTTACAACGTAGTAATCAAATCAATAAATTATATACAGTACACCTGTGATTTATATGAAACTGCTGGTTTAGAATTCAATTTTTGGAATAATTTATACCAACTTAAGATAGATTGTCAAGCATGGAATAAATTTTTAGTTTTATGTCATGTCAAATCAGAAAGATCGTTAATGCCAGATTGAAAACTAAATATATTTCAAAAATTTTAACAAGAATTCAAAAGAGCATTTGACGTCATAAGATCAATCTTAGAGAATCTTGAAAACTATTGTTACATTATACCTCTACGAAAACATGACTCAAGCTAATATATAAAAAGAAACAATCAGTAATACTACATACCAACCCTTTACAACCCCTACCATATCTCAATTACTATTAGTTAATCCTTATCTTCTTTTATAAATACAAGGTTTCAATAACCATTCACCTTCAGGATGAGTTTCTCTTTTAGATTCCAATTTTTCTTTTTCAGTTTCTTCTTCAATAAATTTTTTTTTACGTTCTAATTTTGCTTTTCTTTCAGCCAATACGTCTTGTGATGGTTTAAAAAATTCAAATCTTGTAAACATTTTATTTGAATTATCTGTTGATTTATGAAAGAATCCATTTAATTTTAAAGCATCAACAAATTCTTGACCTACTTTAGAATTTTCAACATTTTCTTGTTCTTCTTCTGGTTTTTCACTAAATCTTGATTTTATTTCAGCTATCCATAATTCACCTCTTGGTTGTAATATTCTATATGCTTCTTTAATAAAATCTAAAAAATTTGTTCCCATCAATGCTAAACAAAATATAACAATTGAACAAGACTCATCTTCCAAAGGAACATTTTTTATATCAGCAACAGTTATATATTCATTTTGCTTTTTTAAATCAAAACTATTAATTTCAACTTTTAAATTTTTAAATTTTTGCTTTTGTTGTTGTTGTTGTCTTATAAATTTTGTAATATCTTGACTAAATTGAGCTTCTCCACATCCCATATCGGCAACTATGATTTTTCTATCTTTATTACCAGGTAATCCACCAGGTGCATTTATATTTCTTGTGAGTAATCTATTTTTAAATTGATTTACAAATACATCTACTGGATTTTCAGGCCAATTTGAAACTTGTGATCTAAAACCCAGATGATATTCATCAAATAATGATGGTTGTTCTTTTATCAATTTAAGGGCTTCTTCTGATGTTATTGTATATAATTGTTCATTTATCCATCTAAATCTTGATCCTGATAATTTTGACATCATTTTTTGTTGTAATGGTGTTAATTTTGTTTGTGATGTGATTGGAATTGGTTGTGATTTTGATGTTTCAATGGTTGCTTTTGGAATTGTTGTTGTTGATACTGCTTTAGCTACTGATTTTGATCTTTTAGTGGTTTTTGAATCTATTTGATCTGGGTTATTTTGTTGTTCTTCTTCATCATTATGTTTTCTCTTCTTTTGATTCTTGGATTTTTTAACTTCCTTAATTTCTGTTTTAGACGAGTCTTTACTTAAATCATTTGTCTTGAGTTTTTTATCTTTTAAGTCGTTTGGCTTAGATTTGTCTTTCTTTTGATCTTTAGATTTTTCTTTACTTGGATTTATAACATCATCAATCTGATCATTAGTAATTTCAGTCTTCTTCTTACTTTTATTCTTTTTGTTTTTCTTCTTTTCAGATACACCACCAAGTGCTATATTCTTATCATTCTTTAAATTCCATCCTTTTACTTGAAACATTATTAGTTTGTGGTAACTCTTGACTTGTTAAAGTTGATTGTTCCACTGTATATGATTTTTTTTTCACATATATATATTTAGTTAATACAAAAACAGTAAAGTGCTTTCCTAATCCAGACAATAAAAGCCGCATCATCTCTTCTACTTATTACCCCTTAACGATAGTATTATTTTTAAAATAGTTTTACCCCTTAAGTCGGTTAGATCCGCAATTTTAAAATTATTCTTTCTGTAATCTTCCATTTAAAATTGCATCAATTTCTATTTATATTTAAACCACATCCCCTGCCAGTGTTATTCAACTTCTAAAATAGATATATAATATATTCCGAAACAAAACAATTACTCAACTGGTCAATCGAATTCTAACAAGTTAATTAAATCAGTTATACAAGTCAATTACGAAGTTACATCAATTAATCAAACCATTAATCAAAAATAAAATGTCAAAAACAGATCCAATAACAGCCCACATCTTAGACACAAACACAGGCACACCAGCAAGTCAAGTAATAGTTCAACTTTATACCACATCTCAAAATTCAACAACAGAAAAAGATTCACTTTTAGTAACTTCAAAACCATTCGCAATGGCTAAAACTGATAATGATGGTCGTATAAAAACATGGTCATTTGATCCAGATATTGATTATAAAACAACTGGAATAGTAAACAATGAATGGGAACATCTTATTCCAGGTGTTTATAAAGCTAAATTTTTAACTGGGAAATATTTTAAAAATAAAGGTAGTGATAGTTTTTTCCCATTTGTTGAAATCTTTTTTGAAATTGATGATCCAAAGAAACATTATCATATTCCACTTTTATTGAGTAATTATTCTTATACTACTTATAGAGGATCATAAAATTATCGTCGTTGTTTCGGTAAATAACTATATTTAGAGTATTGAAGAAGTAAATAGAGAAGAGTTTTCAATGGAGATTGGTTTCTTTTCTAAGGATTAATATTATTATGTATTCTAAATTATCTCTAATTCTAATAATAAAAATGAGTATTATTTTGTGACAGTTCATGAACCAACATTTCATTACATTTATAATAATTTACTTCATTTTTAATCATGTTAATTTCAAGTGGATCAGTTAAATTATATTGAGTGACTGATTTATTATAACGTTTGTATAAATCACTTGAAAAAGTTTCATTAATTTGAATTTTATTTTGAAAATTCACTTGTTTTTTTGTAGTAGGTACTCGAGAAAGTTTGATTGATGATTTATCTGATGATGTTTCTGTTGGGATTTGAAATCTATAATTTTTTTTCTTTTTAAGAATTGATGAATTGGTGGTTGTTGTTTCTTTGGTACGTGGTGGTTGGTTTGTTATATCTTTGAATTTATTTATTTCAACTTCTATCGATGAAGAAGAAGATGTTTTTGAATCATCTTGAAATTGTTTTATATATTTTAAGTGTATTGGTAAATTATGTTTATCTTCATCACTCATATTTTTTAAAAAATAATTCAATTCTTGATTATCTATTACGATGACTGTTCCACAACTGCTTTGTTCTTGATCAATTGATCCATTTGAGATACCATTAATATCGTTTTGGTTTACATCAAGAACTTTTACAGGTGATGAACCAATAAATTGAGAACGTTCATCATTAGGAGCCACTTCATGTTCTTGAAATTGATTAGATAATCTTTTTTCAGATTTTGATATATGTTCTTTTAATGCAGTTTCATCCATTGTTGTCCAATATTCTTCATTTTTTAAAAACATAAAATTATCATCGATATACGGCAAAAGAAAACTATTCATTGTACCACCTGCATCATCATTGTTTAGGTCTGGATTAAGATGATGTCCCACTACTTCATTTGATGGTTCAGCAGTTAATCTTTTCAAATCTTCATCACTTATAAAATCTAATATGTTATTATTTGTATCTTGAATTTTTTGATCTTTAATTTGATCTTTAGTCAATTCATCATCTTTTAAAAATGGTTGATTACTTACATTTTTCATGTCAATATTTGATGTGATTCCATTACTTGTTGTTAACTTTTCATTTAATTTCTTTAAAAAGTCTGGTGGTTTTGTTGGTGTTAATTCATTTTCAAATTTTTCATCAAATGTAGTCAACATATCATCAAATAATCCAGTTGATTCTGGTTCGAAACTTGGTAATGAATCTATTTTAAAATTTTGTGCAGGTTCAGCTGGTTTTGGTTCTTCTCTTGGTTTAGTTTTGACAACGATCTGATATTTCGGTGTATCTTCTTTATTTCTAAAATTGAATCTGAACCTTTTACCTGATGAAGATGATGTTGTTGATTTAGGAGTTGATTGATTCGATTTTGTAGTAGGAGATTTTGCTGCAACAGTTTGTGGAGATGTAGTTGTTGTAGAATCTAGTTTTTCACTATGTGGTGGTCTAAACTTTTTAAAGAATGATTTAAAATTACGTATTGAAATTGAGCTTGATAAAGTTGAAGACGATGGAGACTTAGTTGGAGGGGCATTTAGTAATGTTGCTTTTATTGGTGATTTAGTTTTCAGAGAATCTGATATTGGTGCTTTACGTTTTATATTCGTGGATGATGGTATTATTGGTGATTTGAATTTTTCATCAGATTTTGGAGTCTTTGGTGATGACGAAGATGAACTCGACTTCAGTCTTAATAAACTTGTCAATGATCTTGATCTTGTTAGTGATATTCTTTTCGGAGTTGTAGATGGAGTTGCAGATTCGTCACCTAACAATGACTTTACTTTCTGTTTCGGAGTTTCAACGTTAGCTTCTGTTGTTGGAGTAGCAACTTTAGATGAATCAGGCCTTGAATTTGATTTTATTAAATCTTCACTAATCATACTTTTTGTAGTGGTTGTTTTACTCAACGATAAATCAGTAATTGCACTAGCAGAGTCTTCATTGGTCGATTTTTTCTTTTTAGATCTTCCTTTAACTTTCATGTTTGGTGATTTTTCAATAGGTGGTGGAGGTATTAATAATGGACTTTTTGGAGGAGTTAAGTTTAATTGACTTGGAATAGTTTGACCAACTGGTGTCTTAGGACTTGCTGAATTTCCTCTTTTAAAAACTTGTGGTGGTGGTGTACCTTCTTTTGGTGAACGATTTACTTCTGAATTAGTTGTTGAAGTTCCAGGTTTATTAAAAAAATCAGCAGATGATGCAGATGAAGCATTTCGGTGATGTTTTTTAATTTTATGATCCATTATTGTAACATCACCTCTTGGTGGTACTTCTTTTTGTTCATCATGAATATATTTATTGAAAGCTGAAGAATTTAATTCATAAACTTCTGAAACATTACTTATATTACCAGTAGTATTAGCATCTGCTGGTTGAAGTGGAATATCTATTACAATTGGTACTGTATCATCATCATCATCAATTTTGACATTTTTATTGAAGTCATTTTCATTTGGTTCTTTCTCTTTCGCTTCATTATTAACAGGTAATCTTTCTTTTACCACGACCAGTTCTGGTGAAGAATCATTTAAGTAATGATCCACAAAATCAACAGTTGGTTCTGGATATATTTCTGAACTAGTTCTTTCGATATCATTTGGTGGTGAACTATTTGTGGAACTATAAGCAGCTCCAGTGTCATCTATATCTAATGGTGGTGGACGATTGGGTATATCTTTAACAGGTACTGTATGAAATGAATTTTGACCATTGTTTCCTAAATTAATAGGTGATGTTAACTCTGCAGAACCATTGAAGTTTCCATCTTGTTCTGTTGTTTGATGAATAGTTGATAGAAATTTTGGCTGTGATTTATCAATTTCCGGTGTTTGCAAAGGGGTCCCAAATATATCATCCTCACTTTGATTGTTTAAACTATTTAGTGTTGGCATTTGTGGTTTTGATAATTCTTCAACATTTACATTTACACTATTATTTGATATATTTGATGATTCATACGTTGTAAAATATGAAGTATTTGACCGATCACCAGCTTCCAAAAAATTATTTCCATCTTCTTCGTTTGATAACGAATTACGCGTATTTATATTATTATTATTATTATCATCATAATTATTATAATTGTGATAATTATTATTATAATTCCTATTATGGTTAATTGGTAGTTCTTGGTCCAATTTTTTTACAAACTCATTTTCATGTGAAACATCATCAAAATTTCTTGAATTAGTATTTAAATCATGGTGAGATATTTGATCAATTGGATGACCGGCATCGCTTGATTCAAATTGAGTCAAGGTAGGTGTAGTTGATTTATGATACTCTTCACTAATTTCATTTAATGTACTCAATCCTGTATCATCAGTGACATCATTACCATAGTCATCTTCATTTTGTGGAACAGAATTACTCATATTACTTTCATTTACTGATGATTCTGAACTCAAACTTGCGCTATTTCTCAGGTTCGTATATTGTAATTTATTTTGAAGTTGTTGATGCAGATTTATAATTTGGAAACCAGTTAAATCATTACTATCTAAAGTTGATTCTTCTTTATTTTCAAGATCATATTCTTTTGAATTTGAAGTTATATTAGATTCTTTTGAACTATTTGATAAATGTATCATCATACCAGGCATTCTTGGTTCCCGTGAAAGATTATGTTGTTGATGATTATTATTAAGTTGGTGATTATTAATTTGTTCTTCATTAATTGAGGTTGAAGGTGTATTACTCATTGATCTGTTAATCTGACTATTTGATCCATTATTATGTAAAACATTTGAAACATTAGAATTCGTTGAAGAAAAAGAATTTGAATTTCTTTGTTCTGTTTTAGTAATATTTTGACATTGTAATTTTCCACTATTATTCAAACTTGATGAACTACTATTATGGTTGTTTCTATAACTTTCAAATGGTTGTTTGAAATTATTTGATTGATCTTGAATTGTAATATTAGAATGTATATCGTCATTTTTATTATCTCTAATTGTTTTAGTTAAATTTTGCATATTTAAACTTTTAACATTTTGTAATGATGCTGATTTTGGTATATAAGTATATGAACCATTTGAATGTTGCATTGAATTAGTAGATGTTGAAGATTGAGATGATACTGGTGAATCTAATCTATTATGAAATGAAAGTACTTGTTGTTTTTGTTTTTGATGTTGAGGTGGTGGGTATTGATGAGAATTCTGATGGTGATTATGTTGATTAGATTTTGTATTACCATTTTGTTGTCTATTATTAGCTTCTGTATTAACTTTACTTGGTCTATTTCTTTTTATTGGATTTGTTCGTGGACGAAATATTTCACCATTTGGAAAATAATAAACACCTTCTTTTGAATAATAAGAATTTGAACTATTTATACTATTATTTCTACTACCATTATTACCATTATTATTAAATTCAGCAGATGGTATAACAGGTGATATATTTGATTTTTTTGTAGGTTTTCTTAAAAATTTATCATCAACTATTATTAAATTATCAGTTGAAGTTGATCTTAATAATATCTCATTTTTAGTTCTTGATGAATTAGTAGTTGATATTGAATTCAATGAATTTCTTCTTGAGTGTGAAGTTTGATTAGACATTTTAAAAATTATTTAATAACTTTTTCACAAGATTGAGTAAATACAACAACAACAACTTTTTTGAACTTTGATAATGAATATATATATAACAATTGAAAAATGAATATGTAAATGTACAATCAATGTCAATCTATTCTAACTCTCTTAAACTTATAATCTTTGTTGTTGTAATAATAATAAAGAATTGAAAATCAAATCAATAATATAAAATGTAATATAAAGTAATATTAATACCAAAAAATCAAGGGTTTAAGTGTGAAAAAAATTAAAAAAATTTTGTAATATAATATAATATAATAAAATTAAACGAATGAATATATAGTAAGAAGTCTTTTAAGACGTGTTTTCTTTTTAATAGTAGCTATTTGTTGATTAATTAATTAGTATTGATCCATATAAAATATAAAGAACTGAATTGAATAATAAAATATTTGATTATTTAAAAAACGAATTGGTTGTAAAAAAAATATCAATTGATGGAAATTAAAATTTAAAAAATACTTCATTTTTTATTTATTATTATGATTATTATATTATTACGTAATAATCAGCATATAGATTACATAATAGATTATGTAATATAGAAGATAAATAAATATAAGAGTAATCCTGTATATAAGTTATAGAATATTTACCCCTGTATAATAATAACTTTAAGGTACCACAAAAATAGAATATTTCCTAATTTAAATCAAGAAGTTCAATCAGATCGATGTTTAAATTATCAATTAAAAAGTTATAAAGTCATTAATCAATACAAGTTCTCTGATCAAGTTATCCTCATCTTCAAATTTGTTTTATTGAAGATATATTTAGCTTTATAAAAAAATTGTTGTAAAGTATAAACAAACTTTTTTTAATTTTAATTTTGATATAATGTAAGAATATTGTAAATCTTTTCCAAATTGAAATTAGAAGTTCTATAAATCTTTTTTTTTACTTTATTAAATAAAAAATATTATAATTAGATTCTGTTATGCTTTGTTTCTACATATATTAAATCTTGTATTGTTGTTGTTTCTTCAAGTAGTTTAAAATAAATAAAATTACTATATTTATATTGAGACCTTTAAAAAATAAGGATCTTTTTGTTTTCACTCCACTATCGATGGTAATTCTTGTAATTTATTGTTTCTTTGTTTCCTTCATTTCATCAAATTTAAGTTTTGTATCTTCAATTTTTCATGATTTTTGATAAGCTAGTGAAGTCAATAAATAAAATATCAAATGCAACTTGAACAAATTTGTGTAATTTGTAGTTGTTCTTTGTTACCAAAATATTTTTTTTAGTTTGCTAAGGGGTTAGTTAATTGAGACAACAACAAATTTAGCCTATATTGTTTGCTCCTTACTATATTGATTTTGATTTGATTAAGAATATTTGAGACAAATTAAAACGAGATGTCTTATTCTACTTTACTACTTACGTTACTACTTACAAGATTCATAATGGGAGAAAAGTATATCTTGTCAAAAAATTCCAACTTGAAACAATTTTTACTTAACTACTTTGCTGGCATTTGAAAAACTTTATTACTTAACTGAAGCATCTAAATTTAAGCTTTTTCGTTATTAAAAATGACCACTCCAAGCTTCTTACTTCCATTGATGATATAGTAATTAGTAATAGTTTCACAAATTTTAATAATGAACAAACAAAGAGGTTTTACTTGTAGTTCAGACGTATTGAGATTGTTAGCAACTATTTGGTGAATTATACAGAGTATGTTTATTGACATAAGTTTAATTTTTTCAACTAATCAAATTCATTCTGTAAAAGTCGATTTTCTTTCCATTTTAAATATCTAGCCGCAAATCAGTAAAAAATTCATAACCAGCCTTGCATAAAAAAAAGAATATAAAATCGATTCTTGAAGTTTGTTTTTATATCCGATCAAAAAGTTCGATGTACAATTTCTTATTTAAAATAAAAAATGTTTCGAGGTTTTGCGTAAAATGAGACAATCGACGGCTATTATTTAAAGCTCCGATACTTTTCCTACAATAGTACGCAAATTCAAGTCAGGTGATGCAAGGTGCAAAAGTTTCTATTACATTTTGTTCTTTTATTGACATAATTTTTTTCTTCGTTCGGGTTAAATCAATTAGCCAGACAGTGAGCTAATGTAAGGTCTAGTATCGTATAGTTTTGTCTATTATCTCGTTTGGTTTAAATTCTTTACAAATATGGCTAATAAACAATTTTTTCAATTTTGTGTAACCGCTTATATTAATCTATTTTGGTTGCAAAATATTTGAATTGAAAAATAACAAAGAAATACAAAAACAAAAAAAAAGGTATCAAGTTAATTAATTACACATACTCAAAGATTGTTTCACAACGAAAACACTTAGTCACAATCACAATGAAGTACAAAAGCGTAGTATCAATCAATTTATTATTTCTTCATTTATTAATCCTACTAATAACACCAACAACTCAATTCGAATTAATAGTAAATGATCAAGAAATAGAAAACCCAAAACAAGTTTTAAAATCAAAATTTAAAAAATTAGTTCCTTTGGAATTACAAGAAAATTTAGAAATCCCAGTTAGACCAAATCAAATTAATTTAAGAGAAAGTTTTATACAATCTAAGATTAAGGAATCTTCACCACCACCTCCTTTAAGACCTTTTGAAACTAAAAAATATACAAATAAATTAAAGTCTTTATTTAGAAAAAGTAATTTGAAGTCTGGGTTGGTCAATGTGGAAACTACTTCTTCTATCACTTATGCTACTGAAACTAGTTCTGAATCTGATTTTTTTGAAATTGACACAGATGATGAAGAAGATGTCAAACTCAATCTGGATTTGAGATTAAAGGATGATCACACTAATCAAACTACAAGAACCACTATAAATTATAATTCAGTATCGGTCAGTATTGCTGTTTTAGCAACTTCAACAGCACCTACTGTTGAATCACCTCAAACTTCACAAATTCCAACAATCCATTCAAATAAATCATGGATAAAAGAATTTCTACAATTTAAAAAATCACAAACTCAAAAACAACCAAAAAGATCATCATTAAATAATCATCGATTAAAATCCAAAATAACAGAATATGAAGATTCATTAAATAACCCAAAAGATCTTAAAAAATGGGTAAGATTAATAGCTTCTCCACCACCACAACAATATCAACAAAAGAAAAATTATTTAAAAAATATAAATCAAGAAATTGAAATTGATATAAATGAATTTATATCATATTTAGTAAAAGAACAAAATTTTAATGAATCAGATTTAAATTTTTTAAAATTTAAAAATTTAGATTATGGATTAATTGAAATTGAACAAGAATTAAATAAATTAAAAGAAGATGAAATTTCAAAAAAACCGAAAGTTATTAGTATTGGTGGTGAAGATATTATGAAATCTAATGATGGCTCACTAATCAGATTAGAATTTTGGGTGTTGTTCGTCTTCTTCGTGTCCTGTGTTGATTGTATATGGTCTAACGTAATATAAGAAATACTCTAACAACTTATATAAGTAACAACGATACTAAGAATTATATAAAAAAACAACGAATAACAAGAACTATACAAAACTTTTTCTATTTTTTTCTAAATTTCTAAAGCTTCAACATTAGTTGAACTCAATCTCCATAAAATCATCATAAAAGCACTTCTAAAAGGTTTAAATTGTTCAGCAATATGTAAAACATAAACATCATGAATTGGTTTCCAAGTTCTTTTTGAATCTTCTTTATTAAAAAATTTAGATCTCTTTTTTAAATCCTTTTTTTTGGATTCATCTTTATCACATTCCTTTTTAGCTTCATCTAAAGTTTCTGGTCTTTGTTCCAAATATTTGGCCATTCCTCTAGCTACTCCTAAATCATCTTCTGCAAAAACGTCATTTTCTTCTAATGTAAACAATGCAAACATTTTAGCTGACCATATTCCAATACCTTTTAATTTACATATTTCTTCATAAATTTCATCAACTGTTGCATTAGCATAAAATGAAGTATCTGTTAATTTACTATTTGAATCTGTGAAAACTTCACTTATATGTTTTACATATTTTATCTTGGGACCTGATATACCTGCACTTTTTAAAGTTTCATCTGACATATTTTTAGTTTTTTCAGCAGTTGGTACTTCATCATCTTTAAATAAATTTTTAAATTTATTTTCTATTGATTTTGCTGCTGCTCCACTTACTTGTTGTGCTATAACTGATCTTATTAAACTATACCAATATAAATGGATTTTATCAGAATCAGAATTTTGTAATTTTTTATCAAATTCTTTTGATCCAAACCCATTAAAATTTTGCTTAACTACTGTTGGATATAATGTTGGATCTTTTTGTATAACAAAATTTAAACCTTCAATAAAAGCTGGTGTATGATATTCAGTAAATTCTTTTGGTAATTTCAAATCTTTTGGAATATTTTCATGATCCAAAAATTTTTCAATTGAGGGTTTTGATTTTTCTAATATTTTTTCAGGATTTTTTGGAGCTTTGGGGTTAGTTTTAGATTTTGGTTTAGTAACTTTATTTGGTTTTGATTTTAAATTAATATCTTTTGGAATATCAGTTAATGTATATACTTGAGACGTGTTTTCTGCTGTTTTATCTCCTGATTTATTTGATCTTGTGATTGCTCCCATTTTGAATTGATTTTTGAAAATAGTAATGGGTTTGAAATATCTAATTGAGATTCTAATTTGTTTAAATAATCGAATTGACAAAATATTGAATGATATTTAAATGTGATACACGTAAGAATAACATAATTAGTAATGTAGCAATATCCTTTTTTTTTTTGCTGCAAAAAAAGCAATATTATGGGGAAATTTCATTTTTAGTATTACACAAATTACATCAGATCAACAGCAAATTAGTATAGTGTTACTCATCAAATTTATATTAAAATAGGTCTCAATGATAAATGGAACTGCATTTTAACGGTTTTTTCAATTCGAAAGGTGCATCTCGTAAATGATTTTCGATGATGAAATCGATATTGATGTCACTATTCAATTTTGCTACGGATGTTTAACACTAGAATCAAAAATAGATCAAAGCCAGTTAAAACTATCTTACAACAATTTCATACCAACAAGCTGTGTACAATTAGGGACACCATTTTAGTTGGTGTTGTCATAATCTATAGTGGTTATTTTCAAAATAGTGACTCCAAGTCTATAATGACATAAAAATACAAAACACGACAATGAAGGAGATTAAAAAAATTTCAAATATCAGATATCACATTCTTATATGCAATATAACTATCAATTACTTACTAGACGTTACCAACAATAATATCGTACACATAGCTTAAATTTTGACCATACCTAAACTTATACATTTTTCAACACGACAGCACATATATCATATAAATCATAGTAGTCAAAATGAGTCAGTGGGGAGTATATCAAGCAAATCAACCCCAAAAGAAATCATATCAAGAAATGACCCAACAAGAACAAGCAGAAGAAGGAGCAAAACAATTCGTGAATTTTATGCAATCATGTCCTGGAAAAACAGCAATGGCAGGAGTTAGTGGATTTGCATTAGGTGGATTTTTTGGATTATTTATGGCATCAATGGCTTATGATGTACCTGTGGGGACAGATGCAGTAAAACATATATCAGATTTACCATTTAAACAGCAAATGAAATTACAATTTTCTGATATGGCTAAAAGATCATATAGTTCTGCTAAAAATTTCGGATATATAGGTATGGTTTACTCGGGGGTTGAATGTACTATAGAAAGTTTTAGAGCAAAACATGATATATATAATGGTGTAAGTGCTGGTTGTATAACTGGAGCTGGATTAGCTATTAAAGCCGGACCACAAGCTGTTGTTATTGGATGTGCTGGATTTGCAGCTTTTAGTTTGGCTATTGATATGTATTTACATAGTGATGCTGCTAAACCTCCTAAAAATGATTATGATTTATGATTAACTAAGTAAAAAAAATGATACAAAATATAGATGTAGATGTATTAATTGGTAATACTTGTAAATAAAAATTAATGTATATTAGTATTGATACAAATTATTTAATAATACAGTTAAGTAATTGATTTTCTGAAATTGTCTAATGATAATGTTGTAATGTATCTAGTTATAATGTGGTGGTAGGTTAACAAAAATAATAACAATAATTATACTTAAAATCAGATGCATAAATTGAAGTAATGAAAAAAACTATTAAAAACAAAGTGAAATTTAGTACCCAATATTTTTTGTGCTGTATGAAACTTGTAAATTGATTTAGTAGACTGGACTGATTTTTCTCTTGTATCTTGGTTTTCACAAAATCTAGGTCTTGAAATAATTTGTTTATTTTACTTGAATCTTCACCATCTATCCCTTCTTTTGATAGCCTCAAGATTTCACTATCTATATTGAGTTCTTGATCCAGTAGATCTAATTCCACCAAGATCTGATCAATTTCATTTAATTTTAACTCTATTAATTCTATGTTTGTTGTGTCTTGTAATAGTGCAAGTGTCTCATAGTACTGATTGAAATGATCAAGTAGTTTAGATAATTTATTCTGGATTCTCTCAACACTTTTGTTGTCTTGATGTGATTGTTGTTGTGATTTTTGAATAATTGGTCTAGGACTTATATTTCGTCGTTGTACATTACTTTGTGAAGATGAAGAATGACTTATATTATTTAATATAGGTAATATTTTTCTAATTGGCTGATTCATATAGGATCTTTGTTGTTGCTGTAGTGGTTCATTGTTTATTTTGGATTTATTAAATTTATTTGTAGATTGATTTCTTGTTGGAGTATAAGTTAGTGGTAATGGATCTCCTAGATTTATGTGATCTGATTTGTAATGTGATGCTGTATAATTTGTTTTTTTCATATTAACATTGTCTATAATATTGAATGTTCTGTCTTGATCTTGTTTTATCTTTATCAAAAGTTAAGTTTTGGGTTTGTTTACATTTTTTATTTTTTCAAGATAATTTGTTTTTTTTTTTTGTTTCGAGTTTTGAAATTTTGAAACTGATTCAAATTTTAACAAGTTCTTCCATCAACTATTTAATTTTTAATGAGCAGGAAAAAATTATATCTATTGGCTCAATAAGTTTGAATAAGCCAATTCATTTCAGCAACTATTCTGGTCAATCCTATACTCAGCAAATAATAAATGAATTTAAAATGTCAGATTTACTTAAGTTTATTTGGGATCTACTCTCTAAATATTACAAGACACAAAACGGAAAGTGAATACTATTTTATAGAAAATCTTCAATGTCCACTTGATAAAGTGAAACAATCACTTTTAGTTTAGTCTTGGTCCAATTATTCAATTTACCCACATGGATCTAAAATTATAGGACTAGGTTGCTACCAAATATTCATCATAGAAAAATATCACAAACTTCACAAATTTCTCCAATGATCATTATAAATTTACCCCATATTTTATAGCAATTAACTTATCAAAACATCAATAGTTACTACTACTTTTCGTAGATAACAATATCTGCTCAAACTAACCAATCATCAATCACATGGAATGTCCTTTCAAGATGTTTTGAAAAGAGGAGATGATTTCCTAACAGAATACCCTAGAACAAATCCATCATGGAATTTTGCATCTCACGCAACTTGTCTTATGATGATAACAGGTACAAAAATAATACTAAATACATTATACAAGCCATTTATACATAATATAGAAAAACTAGATCATGCATTACAAAAAGCTCGAGAAGAAAATCGAGGACTTTTGACGGTGATGAACCATATGTCAGTAGTTGATGATCCTGCTTTTTATGCTGCTTTACCTTGGAGATATCATTTAGATATTGATACTATACGATGGGGATTTGGTGCTCATAATATATGTTTTTCAAATGCTTTACAAAGTTGGTTTTTTAATTTGGGGAAAATATTGGGGACAAAAAGATTTGGAGAGGGTCCATTTCAAGAATCTTTAGATGCTGCTATAAGAATATTAAGTCCTGATGATACGCTTGATTTGGAATTTACACCAGGTGTCAAAGAAGAACAAAAACCAAATATTTTACAAACTGTAAATAATTATCATAATCAACAAAATACAGAGTTAGTTAAATTCATTAAGCCAACACCTGAATCAACTAATGTATTAATGTCCAAAAACCCATTCATAAGATCAAAAACTTCATGGTTTCACGTTTTCCCTGAAGGATTCGTGTTGCAATTACAAGAACCACATCAAAATTCAATGAGATATTTTAAATGGGGAGTATCTAGATTAATTCTAGAATCAACTAGAGCACCAGTTGTCGTTCCAATTTTTTCATACGGGTTTGAAAAAGTAGCACCAGAAGATTCTGCAGAGAAAGGTATCAAGAGATGGTTACCAGATAATATCGGAGCTGAAATCCATATGACTATTGGAGACGCATTACCAGATCAAATAATAGAAAAATATCGTGAAAAATGGAGAGACTTAGTTACAAGATACATAGACAAATCCAATCCAACTGATCTTTCACAAGAATTACGCACTGGTACAAAAGCAGAGGAATTAAGAAGTTCATTAGCTTCTTACTTAAGACAAAGTGTATTGGATATACGAAACAACATACCTTTATTTAATAGTGAAGATAAGAGATTTAAAAACCCAAAATTTTGGAAAATTTATACAAACACTGAGGGTTTTAGTGATCCAGATGTAAATTTTGTTGGTAAAAATTGGGCTATTAAAAAGTATCAATCTCATTTACCTGAATATGAACCTGATAAAGAATAAAATTGATTGAATAGAATGTAATATAGATTATTTAAATAGATTTTTGAACATTTCATTTTGTAAATATATAATAATAATTATAGACAAAAATTTTGACATTATACATATTACACAAAACTTACTACTGAATAATTTGAAAATTTTCAAAAGTTTATTAAAATTATATCATTCTAGATATCAGAATAGAACTAGCATAAGCAACATGATTATATAGTCAAAATGTTCAAATCCTCAATTGTAAAGTACCCAAAACCAAGAACGATACTACTACGGTACAGAAACTTTTCATCAACTTCACACACTCAAAAAAACCTAATCAAACTACCGAAAGTTATAATAGAAGAACCAGTAAAATACAACAACAAAGTACTACAACAATATCATGATGAAATAGCAAACTATAAAGCAGATCATAAACTACCGACCAATCTCAAAACCCAATTAATAAACCTGAAGATAGAATCAATCCTACAAAAAAATGAAAACCAAAAGGAAACAATAGACCTAATAGAATTTGCATTAACTAACTCCAAATCACCAATTCCACTCCAAACGTCAATCTCATTATTCAACAGTCTATACGACCAAATCACCAAACAAAAACCACAGTTTCTAGAACCAATTGTGAAAAGTCTCCTAATAAATATACAAACCTTACCACCAAAAACACTAATCCTACTACTTGATTTCATTTCCAAGCAAGGTAAAGTCGAAATGATCGAAATCTACAATAGAATAGGCGTAAAATTCAGTGATGAGTTTATATCAGAGTATCTCACATTTTTATCATCATCTAATAAATTAGTAATAAAAAATTTCGAGGATTTAGTGAACTTTAAAATTAATGACACTTTAGTTTCACAGTTCAATGACTATATAGAGGCTTTGTTTGAGAATCACTTACCTGAGGTACACTGTTATGAGAATTTGGAGTATAGTATAGATAGAATACAGTTGTTGATCAACAATATTCTTTCAAAAGTGAATATAACTTCATTGTCTATAAATTCAATGTTGACATTGTTTAAACTAAATGAGGAATTTTTATCAGTTAATAGATGTGAACAATCTAACGAAAGCAATTCAAAATTAGTCAGAAATTTAGAAGCTAGAGAGAAGCAATTTTTGGAATATGTCAAAAATGAGAATATGGAAGAATCAATAGTAGAAAGTTTATTATGTACCTTAAAACTCCAAAACTCGTCATTATTAGCACCATTTACTAAACCAATTCAATCCAACGACAAATTTTCAGAGATCCTTAAATTTCAAGCCAAAATTTTCGTAAAAAACATAAAGGAGGAAGAGCTACTCAATCACCCAAAATCACTTGAAATCTCAGAAGATAACTTTGAAAAGTTAATATCAACAATATCAAATACCCTACCAACATTAATACAACCAGTAGTAGAATTCTACACAAACGAAGGTTTAGAACTAACACCAATAATCTACAAACACATCCTAGATCAACTTATACAAAAGAACCACTACCATCAAGCTATAAAAACATTCCAAGAATCAACACAAAAAGTATCTTGGTCAGAATCAATAAATAATCCCACAATTACAAAAACACTAAATGATTTAATCCAATGTGTATGCTCCAATCTTCCAATAAGAGAACTGTTTCCACTATTCCAGAAAATCAAAGCTAACTTAAACCAACAACAAATAAACATTGATTCAATTAACGTCCTCACTTCAAAAATGTTAGACCAAAATCTAGTTGGAGACACTATAGAATTACTCAAAAGAGAACTTCCAGACCTCAAGAACAACCTAAAAAAATTACCAATAGATAAATCATACGGAAAAAAGTACCTTCAATTGTTCAATACAATCCATGACTACGTCATATCAAATGAATCTGACACGACAATAAAAAACAATTGGTACTTATTCATTCAACTTTACAAATACTTTAATATTCCAGAACCAACAATTTTACCAACTTTAAAATTTTTCTGTTCACACAAAAGATGGAATTCAGCATTACTAATATTCACCAAAATGTGTGACTTAAACCAATTACACGGTCATCACAATTACCCACCCCCATCAAAACAAATTTATTCCTACCTTCTTAAAGAATTTGGAGATAATTTATATGAAGAAGGAGTTATTGAAATCCATGATTGGTTGAAAATGGACACTTCGATCGATAGCATAGGATTAGAGCTCAATAATATATTAATGAATTCATATTGTAATTTACAAGATGTTTCTAAAGTTCGTGACTTATTTAACTCAGCTTTTGCGGCCAATCAAATCAACGAATCAAGTGCTATTATTTTACTCAAGGCATATACTTATAATGATTTGAATTATGTGGAGAAATTTTATAATAATTTGTCGCAATTTGGTTTAGAACCTAACTATGAAATTTACAAGCAATATATTATAGCATATGCTTATTATGGCCAAGTGGAAAAAGCTTTTGAGTTGTTGGAAGAAGAGGATGAATTTGAAGTTAATGAAGATCTTTTGATTAATTTATATAATTTTTGTTATATTGCTGATCAACAAGTCAAAATTCCAGAGTTGGCTTCAGAACGTTATCCAGAAATTTGGTCAAATGTAGTTAGTAGTGGATTATTGATAAACAGTGATGGGTATACTAATGAAAAATTTTTAGTTGATGGAAAAGAAATAAAGTCTATAGAGTCTATAGAATCTTAATTTTAAAAATGCAATGTATATGTTAAAAGTCTAGATTAATTTAGTATTATTAACTTTTGTAGCAAACCTTAAAGAATTTAATGTTTCATTAAAATTCAGTTCTAATGGAGAAATATTCACAAACATTAGTGTTTTAGAATTACCTAAAAGACTATGCTTTAATAAATAAGTTAATTTTGAGTTTCTAAATGGGATATGATTATCACCACCTTGATTTTTAGAAAGACTTGCAATAACATCACCTAATGAGGATAATGATTTGTTTATAGATTGAGTTTCTTTTAATCTATCTCCTTCTACTTGTGATTGTGAAATTCTTTCAGATCCTGCTAAATCTATTAAGTTTAAAGTACCTGATGTCCGTGTTTGTGTTTTATTGTTAAATCCATTTATTTCTATTATAAAAATTGAGTGAGATCTTGATGATTCATCATTTGATTTAGTTGATGCTGTGCTTCTTTTTGAGTTGACTTTTTGTAATATAAAGGTGGATTGTTCTATTGATGATAATGTGGTGGTGGTGATGTTTGTGATGCTAGTTTTATGGTTTATATCATCGTGTTTTATCTCATGTTTAAGTTGTGAGTTTGAATTTAGTAAATCAATTATATTTTCATTGTAAATTTCCAAAAATTTACCAGTTAGTGAATATTCCCAATTTGGATCTTGTTGTTTTAGTTCTCTAATATAGTTGAAGATCTTATTTAATGACAAGGGGATCATACCATTTTGAGGGTGTGACATTGTGAAAGTTTTACCTGAACCTGTTTGACCGTATGCAAATACACATACATTTAATCCATCAATACAACTTTGAATTAACTGAGAATATTCTTCGAAGATATACTCGTTGGATTGGTGCATTGAGAAAATTTTGTCAAATTGAAATTTAAAAGTGTTCTTGGTAGTTGATATCGAATGAATTCCATTATTTGGTTTTGATATTATTAATTCTTGTTTCGCTTCATCATTTAAGTTGTCTTCGTTTAATACAATGTCTGTTAACTTTGATTTTTCTGGAACTGATCTAATACGACAAAATACTCTTATATTTCCTTTTAAACCTTGTAATTTTGCATGTAGAATTCTTCTTTTCAATTCTTGATCAATCATTTCTTCTTTCATTCTGGATATTTCAAACTTCATTCTTATCAATTCTTCCGTTCTGGTCGAGGATTCTTGATTTAGTTGAATAACATGATTTCGTTTTTGGGTTGTAAGATTATTTAACTCATCCATTTCTCTTTGTTTTTCACTATTCTTTAGTTTCAATTGATCTAATATTGAGGTGCATCTAATTGATTCTTTTTCTCTTTTGGGGTTTTCAATATTCTGTAATGAATGAATTTTAAGTTTAATATCTTGAATTGATTCAGTTAATATTGCTAGTTCCTGCTTCTTCTTAAATAAACTATCATTAATCTCTGCTTCTTGTGTATTCAATTTTTCTTGAAATTCCTTTTTGATTTCCAATAGCCTATGCTCTTTTTCTTGATCCGATAACTTCAATTTTTGTTTCAAGTCATTAACAATTTGTTCTTTCTCATCAATTTTATTAATATAACTCATTTCTTTATCTTTTAAAATCTTATCGATATCACTAAAAATCTCTTCTTTTCTTAGATTTAACTTAGTTTGATGAATTACAATCATTTCTTGATCATTTATTTCAAATTTCTTATTTAAATAATTTAACGAGTCCTTTTCGAAATTTTCCAAATCTTTAAAATTACTATTTAATTGATCCAAATTTTGTTTAATGTACTGAAATTTACTTTCAATATTGAAATTATTAAGGATTTGAGTTTCTAATTGGTTCTTGATTGTTATTAGGTTTGTTGTTACACATTCTAAATCCATTTGTTTTTCATTATATATTTGCCTTAATGAGTAAGTGTCAGTTTGTGAGTTTTTAGTTGGTGCTGATTTGAATTTTGATGATGACGAAGTGGCTAATTTTCTCATTTTATTTTGTTGGATATATTTATTAGGTGATGATACTCTAGATGATGAGTTATAACTATTGTTTGTTTGCAATGGTATTTGGTTATTCCGTATCTGTGTATTTGGTGAATGTGATTTTGATACTGAATTCAGTAGTAGATGATAATAATCATTTTCTTTTTCCCCTTCATCGTGAACCTGTAACATTTATATATACAGTGTGTGAGAATATTAAAAATGAATGTGAAATTATAATTTCAACAAGTAATTTGTTTCAAAATTGTTTCAATTGTTTCAAGTATGTTCTAGAAGTGAAATAAATTATGTTTTGTTTATTTACTTTTGATTTGCTTGTCACCAAAGTCAAAGTAGAGACATAACAACAATCACGACATCAAAAATAAATCCATTACACAAAAGTTTATCATATGAATTTTTCTTAGATGAGTATGATTTTAATTTTATAAAGAATCAATCTAACCAACTTCCATATTCAAAAATCTACCACAATTGCCAATAATGAGTCCGACGACTAAAAATTTAAAACCAAAATCAATATTGAAAAATAAAGCACAACCTAAAGTTACTAAAGAAATACCTAAAACTAAAAATATAACACCACAAATATCAGAAGAATCAATTGAAGAAGATGAAAATCTAGAAGGATTATCAGATTTGGATGAAGATGATGAAGTGGACGTAGCAGATATATCAAGTGGAGAAGATGCATCAAGTGAGGATGAATTAGATGAAGAAGAACTAGAAGAACAAGAAGATGAAAGTTTTCCCTTAAAAAAGAAACAAAAAAAGAATAAAGATGATGGATCAGAATCATTCGCAACTGCATTCAATTCAATTGTCAACTCTAAAATAAAAGCATACGATAGAAAAGATCCAATATTAGCAAGAAATAAAATTACTCTCAAAAAATTAGAAAGTGAAAAATTAGAAAATAAAGCAAAAAAAGCCATTTTGGCAGAAAAGAAACAATTTCAAGATAAACATAGAATAAAACAATTATTACCAATAACAACAGCAGAAGATTCAAATGAAAATATTAAATCGTTATTAAGTAAAGAAAGAAGTATGAAAAAAATAGCACAAAAGGGTGTTGTTAAATTATTTAATGCAGTTTTATCAACTCAAATTAAAACTACCACTGAACTAAATAATGTTAAAATGGGAGTCAGTAAAAAAGAAGAATTAATGACTGATGTTTCAAAAGAAAAATTTTTGGATTTAATTGCAGCTGCTGGAGGAGAAGAATAAAATTACACTAAAAAATGTGAAAAGATGCAAAATTTAATACCATATATTCAAAGAATTTTTCATACCACGAAAGCTACATCATCTTAATTGTCACCAAATTATTCGATTCGTAGTGAGGTTTGAATTAAACTTGCAAATAAACTAATTTTTTGCTATAATTAATAAAAGTTTTGCCCACATTGAAATTTTAAAATTCTCAAATGTTTTATATATCTTTCTTTTCTTTTTCTCTTCTTCAATTGTGAACTTACAGTTGATGTAATTCAAAAACAATTTGAATAATTTAAAAAATCAAAAGCTTTATTAATCACTAGATCTAAAGCTTCAAATCGATTTATCAGATCTTTGGGAACTGATTGTTCTACTTACTTGATTGACACGCATAAAGTTGGTTTAAATATTGTGTTGCTCATGATGCTGATTAAATGACTGAACTTGTTGTCTGGTCTTAATTTACCATGACACTGAAATAATGACAATCAATCAAATTACCCCAGAGTTAAACAAAATAGTAAAGCGCAATCTCAAAGAATTTTCGGAAGAATATAAAAAATTTGGTGAAATTTTCCTGATAAAGAAATTAATGAAAAATGGATATAAATAGGTCTTTAAATTAGTAAGAATAATGGATTAATTACAAAATTGAGCTCAAATAGGTCAATAGGTACAATGAATAGGTTTACTTCTACTGCAACAATTGATCAATCAACAGAAAGATCATTAGATTTGACAGAAAATACGGATATCTCAATTACAGCAACACCCGGTACACCAAATTTCAGATCAAGTGAAGATGATACTACAATTGAGATTATAAGGGATACACAATCTTACGAAGAATCACAAAGTACTCCATTTGTAGACGAAGTGATGACATCAACCAATCCACCAAAAAATAGATGGAGAATTATAGCATGTCTTTTATTCAATTTTACTTTGGGATTTAGTGATGCAGCACCAGGTGCCCTTTTGCCATATATTGAATCTTTCTATAGTATTAATTATGCAATTACTTCATGTATTTGGGTAAGTAATGCTGTTGGGTTTATTTTAGTTGCTTCTATATCTCATAAGATTCAATGGTTAGGAAAGCGGTACAGTTTTCTTGTTGGTACAATTTTAAGTTGTATAATGTACGCGATTGTATCTAGTGGCACGTACTTCCCTATAATTGTTGTTGGTTTCTTTTTTGGAGGTTGTGGATCAGCGATAGTTGCTGCTCAATGTAATGTATTTTTAAGTAGATTAGATAAACAATCCAAGTATTTAGCATTTTATCATGGGACTTATGGTGTTGGTGCAACTGTATCTCCTTTGGTAGCTACTAGTATGGTTAATAAGGGTATAAAATGGCATTTTTTTTATTTGATTTTGTTAGGATTGATGCTTTTAACTTTGGGTAATTTATTCATGTCGTTTGAAACTGCTGATGAAGATTTGCAAAAATGGTATATTGAAGATGATCAATCGCCAAACATCGAGTTAAATGACTTGAACTCATTGAGAAATTCATCAACCACTACTCAAAAACTGGACATGATATTAGCTTTGAAAAATCACATTACATGGTTAATTGCATTTTTTTGTTTATTTTATCAAGGTGCAGAAGTTTCATTAGCTGGTTGGATAGTTACATTTTTGTTAGATTATAGACATTCAAACCATAAGACAACCGGGTATATTGCTTCGGGACTTTGGGCTGGTTTAACTATTGGTAGATTATTATTAACTCAACCTATACATAAATTTATTGGAATCAAGAGAGGTGTGTTGATTATTTCTGTGGTGTCTATAATTTTAGTTGGTTTGACTTGGGGTATACCAGTAATCATAGCAGAAGCTACATTAGTTTCAGTAGCTGGTATATTCATTGGTCCAAATTATCCCCTTTTAGTGACTTATGGAACACAACCAGGTCTTATACCCAGAAAAATTCAATTAGTTTCATTAACTATAATGACAGCATTTGGATCTTCTGGAGGTGCTTTATTTCCATTTTTGACTGGGTTATTATCTCAAAGATTTGGAACTTTTGTTGTCTTACCTATTTTTATTACATTGTATTGTTTGATGACTTTACTTTGGGTTATGTTACCTAATATTGAGAGACAGAATAAAGAGACTAGAAGTAATTTCGGATTTTGGGAAAGAATTTGGTAAGTTAGGTAATTGGTTGATTTGGTTACATTCCAATAGAATCGTATAGAATTAGAAATTACAATATAGATTTAATAAATAATAATTAATTAATTGAATAAAATAAATTTTATAAGACGTAGATTCATTTTTCTCTAAACTTAGTAGTTAATTTTATTTGGTAAATCAAATCTGAAACACTCTCTCGATACTTTGAAAGAAAAAAAAAAAAATGATTAAGATTTTAAAAATTATGTTACTTAATTTTTCCTTCCTTATTTATAACTTTAATTTGCCAACACCTTCAAATCACTATCAATTGACCATCCTTCATTCTATCTCAATCTAGCATTAATCAATCACAATGGCAGTAGAAAAATTAATCAAACAAGGTCAAGAATCAATAGACTCCAAAGATTACCTAAGTGCAATTCAATCATTAACTCAAGCAATAAAAGAAAATCCAAACGCATTTCAAGCATACCTCAAGAGATCAACAGCTTATCAAAAACTTAAAAACTACGATGACGCAAAGAAAGATATATCATCAGCATTCACTATCGCAAATGAAAGAGGTAAAAGATCAGATATTGGAATTTGTTATTTCAAATTAGGTTTAATTTATTATCAACTTAAAAATCTCAAAACTAGTTTAATTCAATTTCAAAAAGCTAAATCATACGATTGTAATGAATCTACTTTGGATATGTGGTTAAGTAAATGTGAATATGATTTGAAAAATCATCCTGATTGGAATATTGATGATGATGATGATGATGAGTTTAAATTAGATTATGAACAACCAAAAGAAGAACCCAAAGAAGTGCCAAAACTCGAGGAACTAGATATTGATGAAGAAGAAAAACAACAACCAAAATCAGCTACAGCAACTGCATCAAAAGAATCAATCAAACCTACAACCACACAAACTCAACCATCAATTAAATCAACAAATATTGACGTAATCAACAAAATAGCACCATTAAATACCAAAATAAGAGATGATTGGTATCAAACAAATGAACAAGTTATAATAACAATTTATGCAAAAAATGTACCTCAAGATAAATTAGATATTAAATTCGATTCAAATTCATTATCTATTTCATTCCCAAATAAAATTACCAATTCAGAATATAATTACAATTTAGATCCATTATTTGACGAGATCAATCCATCCGAATCATCTTATAAAGTATACGGAACAAAACTAGAAATCTATTTGAAAAAAACAACTCCAACAAAATGGTCAACTTTAGAAAAACCACAATCAACCACAACCACTTCATCAGATTCAACTCCGGCTTACCCTACATCATCCAAGAAAAAAATCAACTGGAATAAATTTACAGTAGACGATAAAGAAGTTGGAGCTTCAGGAGATGGATCAAATGATTTTTTCCAAAATATTTACAAGGATATGGATGAAGATTCTCGAAGAGCAATGATGAAAAGTTATGTACAAAGTAATGGTACAGTTTTAACTACAAATTGGAAAGAAGCTAAAGATAAAGAATTTGAAACTTCTCCTCCTGATGGTATGGTTGCTAAAAAATGGGGTCAATAAGTTAAAATTTTGCTCAAAAAGTATGTTTCTATGAGTTGGTGTATAGGGTTTATCAAAATATCAATAACTAATGAATTAAAACTAACTAACTTTGGTCGGATACTTTTGTTCTTTCTTTATTCTTCTTTAAGCTGAATTTGTAAACTGATTCAAAAATCTCACACAAAATCACTTACCGGATTTATTTACCATAAAAGCAACCAACACAAATTACAAAATAATAATTTTGCATTCAATTCAAATTCAATTGACATTTTAATAAATGAATGTTATTCAAATCATTACTTAATCACAAATCCTCACTCTTTAAAACATACACTCAATTAAGAAAAATGCAAATTGAAGCAATCCCAATGAGATGGGGTTCAGGAGATAACTATGCTTATTTATTAATAGATGATAAATCTAAAAATGCATGGTTAATTGATCCAGCTCAGCCAAAAGAAGTATTACAATATTTGAAACAACATAATCCTAAATACGAACTTAAGGCTATTGTGAATACACACCATCATTATGATCATTCAGACGGTAATAAAGAATTTCACAATCGTTACCCAGATTTACCAATTATAGCTGGAAAGGATTCACCATTAGTTTCATATACACCTCAACATGAAGAAGTCATTGATTTAGGTGATGATTTATCAATCACAGCGTTACATACTCCGTGCCACACGCAAGACTCCATCTGTTATTTTGTAAAAGATGGTAAAACTGGTGAAAAAGCAGTGTTCACAGGTGATACGTTGTTTATTAGTGGTTGTGGTCGATTTTTCGAAGGTACTGGTGCAGAAATGAACCACTCACTTAATTCCGTGTTGGCCAAATTACCAAAAGATACTAAAGTATACCCTGGTCATGAATATACTAAATCAAATGTTAAATTTTCTAAAACTATTTTAAATAACGAAGCTATCAACAAATTAGCTGACTATTGTAATCAACATGAAAAAACTACTGGAAAGTTTACAATTGGTGATGAATTACAATTTAATCCCTTTATGATGTTACAAGATTCTCAAGTGTTGGGGAAAGTTGGTGGACTAACTGAATCTGATGATATTATGGATAAATTACGTGAAATGAAAAATAATGCTTGAAAGAGGAGTTAGAAATGTTTATGAATTGAGAATGATGGTCAAATCTGGGGTGGTAGTTATGTAAAAAATTTATACTTAATGCATAAGCTTATTTATTCAATAATAATTAGTAATGCGAATTGATTTTAAAACGTAAGAGCTACACCTGAGATCTATATTTACATGTTATATTTTGGTCTATACCTATACATCTTCTATACATAACTCAAAACCCTCTAAAAATTCTAAAACAGCGTCATAATCATAACTTCATATTTTTAATTTTCCATTCATCATTAACTTTCAACAATTCATTATTCCCAATAACACTAATCAAATTATTAGGATTATCAACAAGGTATTTTTCAGTAACTAATCTTAAATCTTGCAAATTAGTATTTAAAAAATTCTCTCTTCTTTCTTGTCTCAACTCATCAGAAATATCATCGAAAAATTGAGTTGATCCTTGGTTAGCTATATTTATCGGTGCATCAATCGACTGGAAAATTCTTAATTTAGCTTCTGTTAAATCCCTTTCTGTCCAATCAGCAGTTAACCCGTAAGGAAATGATTGTTCAAAAGTTTGTACTGATTTTATAGGATTTGGATCTCTATACGAGTAGAAATTTAATGTTCCTCCCAATCCATCATAATTTAATCCACCTCCATATGCACCGTTAGATTCTCTAATTTTGGAATGCAAGTTTTTAAACGTGTATAATTGTGATAAGATTTGTAAATGAGCTCCTTCTTTTGATGCGAATGATGTTCCTTTTTTAGCAAGACATGTGTAACCTACTTGGAATGGTAAATTTACTAATGTCTTTTCTGTGGGGTGGTTGTAATCAAATGTTGAAAGTAATGTGTCTAATCCTTTTGAAGTGTTTATTGATGTTGATTCTTCTTTAAGTATTGATTGATTGAATTTATTGATTAATGGTTCATTTTGTTTTATGATTTCTTTATCACCAACAATTCTATATTTGAACTGACTCTCACTACCTAAAATAAATTGTTGAATTTTTTTCAAATTCGGTAAAATCTCTTTTGATAAATATTCTTTACCCTGTTCATCTAATTTCTTGTTCATCTCCATTATAAATTGAACTTGATCCAATCCACCAGTAATTTCACCAACGTATTTAGCAGGTGTTAATTTTGAGTTACTTAATCCACAAGCGTACGAGTGACCACGATCAGCTATATTATTTATTTGATTCTGTCCCATATTTCTAATTAATGTGTATAATTTATCCACCACCATTTCATCATCACTATTAAATTTCGTTTTAGTGAGTATCTCAAACCATAAGTCGTAAATGCTTTCTGAATTTTGTTTCAATGATAATCCTGACAACAGATATTGTAATTTCATTTTGTTGATGTTATATGGATCTATTGTTGTTTTGTTGTTGAATGATATTCCACCAGTAAGCATTTGGATTTTAGTTTCTAATTCTGTTATTGAAGTTTGTGATGTTCCCGCTAAGTTAGTTAAACAATTGTTGAATAATGGTAAGTATGTATATAAGGTTGTAGGTAAATATGAAATGTCTTTCAATGCATAAACGTAAACTAATCCGTTTGTGTCTACGATCCGCTTGCTGATAGCCTTGTCATTTGATGAGTTGATCAATGGGGAATATTCAATTGAGTAAAAATCACCTTTTTTGGAAATATCTTCAATAGTCAAAGTTGGTAAAATATTTACATCTTGCTCTTTGGCTTGAGATTCAGCTAGTTTGATGTTTCTGTCATAAATGATCTTCTTGTCTTCTTCAGTTAATTTTTCAGTTTTCTCTTCAAAATTTTTAATTTCTTGTTTGTTCAAGTTTGAGTTGAATTGTTCTTCTGGATACATAGTAAACTTAAATTTTTGAGTATTTTCATTCAAAATAGTGGAACTCAATAATTCATCAAACATTTTCAATCCCTTTTCATGGTACTCGTCTTTAAATTCTTTTAGTACAGTTTCAACACTTAGTATATCTAACGGATTCGATCCGTTAACCCAAGATGGAACCAATGAACTTAATAAGCCAAATCCAAAATCGGGTTTATGTTTTTTAAATCCAATTTCAATTTGATGTAATAATGCTTCAACTCTATTGTTATATGACTTGTCATTTGCTGCTAATTTTGGTAATACATCTTCTCTAATGATCTCGATTACTTTTGGCTCTAATTCTGGAACTTTCGACTCAGTTAAGTAGTTCAACCCCACGGTGAATGATAATAATGCAGTTGTCGAATCTAAACCTGAATTAGCTGAAAAATCTTCTGAATATCCAGTTTCAATTAAATTTTGATATAAGGGAGAATTATGACCATCAAATAATAATGAACTTAAAATTTTCCATTTAAAAACTGTACTCTGCATTTTTGGATTTAATGGATTACCCAAGTTCCAAGTGACTGATGAGTTAAACTGCTCGGAAATGTCTTTGTCTATCATTGTATCCAAAGGACCTGCAACTTTTACATCGAATGTATTCTCCTTTGAGTTAGTTGTGAATATTGGTTTTTTGACATCTCTATTCGGTGATCTTTTTCCGAATTCTTTATAATATTCACTTAATCTTTTTAGATGATTAATCAATGGTAAATTACCATAGGTAAAAGTCCTTCCATTTGAAGGATGATAATGTTTATTATGAAACAGCAATAAATCCTCGTATGATAGTTTAGTCATTTTCAAAGGATCACCACCAGAATTATTTAAGCTTGGGTAAATTGACTCTAAAAATTTAATATAAAAATAATACATTGAATTTGAATATTGACCTTTCATTTCATTAAACACGACACCTTTAAATTCTAAATTTGAATTTATATCATTGACATCTAAATTCTCAATTCTCCAACCTTCTTGTAAAAAATCATTATAATTAAGTAGTGGTTCAAAAACAGATGACAAATATACGTCCATTAAATTTTCAAAATCTTTTGCATTAGTTGTTGCAAATGGATAAAAAGTATAATCATGACCAGTCATTGCATTCATGAAATTACTTAAACTTCTATTATTCATTTTGAAAAAAGGATCTCTTACTGGAAACTTTTTCGATCCACATAATGTTGTATGTTCTAATATATGAGGTACTCCAGTATTATCTGGAGGATTTGTCTTAAATGCAATTGAAAATACATTATTATTATCATTATGAGAATCTAAATGTAAATGTTGTGACCCATTAACTTCATTCTTAAGTAATACGGCAACTAATGAAAATTCAGGAATTGGTTGAGTATTTATAATCTCAAACCCATATTGTTTTAAACCAACTGGATATTTCCTAAGTATCGATAAATCAATATTATTTGATGATAATGTTGCATACTTTCTTGTAATCAGGCTCTTTGGCTTATTCAAACTTTGCCTTATATTGGCTCTCAACATCTATTCATTAACCTAATGGCAGTAATACTTGATTTGTGTAGAAAGATGAGCTTAATAATTTATTCTTTAAAACTTGTTGCAAAATTTACCGTGGATGACTCGACCTAATAATTTTTTTTTCACTAATTTTTATCACCGATTATCACAAGTATAAAACAAGCAAATTCAGGCTTATGAATTAGTAATATACATATTCTTAAATTTAGAGAGGGCCATTAAAGAGAAAAGAAAAGGTCATAAGAACAAATTAAGTGAATAAAACAGGAAAGAAAAATAGTCTATTAAATGAGTCAGTCAAAATCACAACCTCCAAAAGAACTACCGACCAATAATGCACAAAAAGTTTCAACACTAGGTGGATTTATAGCGGGAGGAGTAGCAGCATGCGGAGCAGTAACATTCACAAACCCCATAGAATTAATCAAAACAAGAATGCAACTACAAGGAGAGTTATCCAAAACTCAAAAAAATCAACCAAAATTATACAAGAACCCCATCCAGGCATTTGGGTTAATTTATAAACATGAAGGTTTGAGAGGATTACAACAAGGTTTAATATGTGGGTATTTTTATCAATTAGGTTTAAATGGGTGTAGAATTGGTCTTTATGAACCAAGTAGGTATTGGTTATCAAAAATATTCAATCCAAGTTCAATTATGGATAATGGATTTATAAAACAAAACTTGTTAATAAATGTTGTGGCTGGTGGTATATCTGGATCTGCTGGTGCTGTATTAGCATCACCCTTTTTTTTGATCAAAACAAGAATGCAATCTTTTTCAAAAACTGGAGCTGTTGGACAACAAACTTATTATCATGGTACTTGGGATGGTCTTAGACAAGTTTATAGACATGAAGGATTTAAAGGACTTTATAGAGGTGTTGATGCAGCAGTATTAAGAACAGGAGCAGGATCATCAGCACAATTACCAGTCTACAATCTTACCAAAAGTTTCTTGCTAAAGAACAAATTAGTCAAAGATAATTCATTTTTATTACATTTTATTAGTGCATCAATGGCAGGATTAGGTGTTGCAATAGTAATGAATCCATGGGATGTTGTATTAACCAGAATGTACAATCAAAAGGGAAACTTGTACAAGGGACCGATAGATTGTTTTAAAAAGACAATAAAGATTGAAGGTCCAATGGCTTTATATAAAGGATTTTGGGCTCAATTATTTAGAGTTGGACCTCATAGTATATTGACATTGATATTTATGGAACATTGTATGAATGCAATGATCAAGATTGAACATAAATTAGGGTTCAATCCGGTATACTAGTATAAAGCGATTCTTTGATGACTACTAAATGTCAAACTACATATTCAAAATTCAAACGACAACACATAGAGTATAGAAGTCTTAAATGAGATGATTATAGAATTTATAGAACACTTAGAGCCTTATAATGTATATGTAGATTTTACTTTTATCCTCGACTCTAGTACACATGTATAGTTTCAGAACATTACTGTTTGAACTATATTGCACTACTTTATTTATATAGATTTTGCAGCTAAAAATTAGCATACCAAAGATTTTGCCTTTCAGGTATATAAAAATTAATTTTTAAGTTTCATTATTTTTTACTACTCTTTCTTCTTTAATTGATCACCAAAAACTACTTTTATCCTTCTTCAATTGATCACCAAAAACTACTTTTATCCATACAAATGTAGAATTTATTTATTTATTTATTATATTACTAACTTTCAGAAATCTAGCTTTCATTATCAATTGAGAAAAAATTGTGAGACATTTCACTGACACAAGTATGGGACCAATCTGAGTGGAATACCTAAGACGTTTTTCCAAAGCAATGGACAATTTAATAATTATATTAAACTTAAAGACCTTTGGAGACAAACTTAACTAACTGACTGGATTATGTTTTAAAGACACTGGAGTTGAACAAGTGAGATACGGGGGTATTCGAATAGCTGATTTAAATTTTTTTTTGACTTTGGTACTTGAGATACATGACTGTGAGTGGGAAGGTTGTTTGTTGGAGATAGTTAGCTTTTTTTGACTCAACTATAATCTAACTCGTTTCACTTTATCTGATTAAATTCAATGTAAATTACAAGATGAAAGAAAAAGACTGAACAAATGCAACAAATATGACACAAACTAGCCCCAATCCAACTTGACACAAGTAAAAATTGGGCAAAATGGTCTCCAAGAATAAATACCGGGCCAAAACGACCATAGACATACATTATTCAGAAATTGACAGCTTAAAATTTATGACATGATATTACAAATCTGTTTCAGAAGATGCTACCACATAATTTAAAAGTTTTGCTCATTTTGGCGCCAAAAACTTGCAAATACAAATACAATTACAATAAAATCAAATAACACCAGAAATAAGTACAAATTAACAAACGGATCTTGTACCTTAAAGAATCTTCAATTGGGGGAGTTTACAGCTGTCAACGAATTAATGTTGCAAATTAATTAGCATGTACTAGCAACGCTTTAGCAATTAAATAACTTGATGCAAATACGAGCTTTAGTGATGCATACATGTTGCCTGTTGGTTCTTGATGGTACTCAAAGATCTCAATATGGCTAGAAAGTCTGTAAATCTATCTCCAAAAAAAATTTGAGGATTCTCCAATTTGCGCTCGGGCATTTCAATTTTTTTTCAAGCATTACGCTGGAAATTGGATTAGCGTTTAGTTCAAAGTCTTCCAGGGTTCAATTATTGCAAAGAATACTCATGCTATTACTTTGACTCTTGGCTCAGTTTGTTTCGGAGTCGTTAGTATTAAACAAATAATTAATTATTGATTTTAAAGCATGATCGAGTAAAAGTAATTCATAGTAAATTAACGGTAAAACATAAAATTAAGTGATACTATCGTGGGTTAAATGGTTTATATGATTTATGTTTTCTATAATACAATTATTACATAAAAATTCTAAAAAATTACAAATAATTTGGTAGCAAGCTCTGAAACAAATGAGGATAGTTTTTATAATTGCAAAGTTCTACAATAATCAATTAGTTTTTGACTTTTGACTGCGATTGCAAAACTCCATTTGATCTCAAAGTCTGGAGTTAGCCATTATCTTTTATGACATGATCGTCTGAAGGTACAAGAAATCTAGTTAAGATAAATCCTATTAAACGATTCTAGCTTTGAAAACTATTATCAATTGAATTGCGAATTAGAGGTATGAACTAAGTGGAATTGTCACTACAAACCATTTCGTATTTTACAATTAAGTGATATTATCTGATACTTTACCCTTTTGTTTATGAGGGGCATATTCTCAGTATATATTTGCTTTGATAGTTAATTTGTTTTCAGACATGCTGCGATTTTCTTAGTGATATTACAGTTTCAACTTGACTTAGTTTTGACAATCAGTACCATTCTCTCGATGAAAATGATAAAATTGATTTGAAAATACTGACTTAGATATCTTTTAATAATTTAAATTTTAGTAGAAATTTGCATCAAAATAAAAAATTAAAACCAATTATTGTTAATAAAACAATTTTGCTTTTTGATGCCGTGTCATTAACAGAAACCATACGATTTTTCAAAAATTACTAAATGCATTAAGATATTTAAATTAATATTCATTTTCTACATTTGTTATCTTTTTCTTGCTTGCAGATTATATATTTCTTAAATATCTAATTCTAATTATATAATTAGCCCTTTGTTATTCTTTATATTCTTATAGTTTACTTAATTACATCACAGGTTTTTGGTTTTTGGTTTTTGTTACTATTCTCAGTTTTGTACACAATAACTAATTTTAGAAATTGAAGTCTCCTCATAGAATTTAGAATTTAACTATCATTAAATATTTTGAATAACAATATCCAATTATCAAGTTCATTTCATATATTTAATCATCTATAATTATACAATTTAGAGAAAATATTTTATAATAAGTTCATTACTTATTAGTATATTTCAAGCCTACAAATTATTAATTTAAAGGGACAAGTATTTGCCACATCTGTCAATTAAATCTTATTTTAAAGATAGCCATACTCAAAACGCTATTCAACAATGATGCTAAGTAACTCATTCATAATATTATTTATCACATTAACATCATATGTATGTGCGATATTAGACGCACCAACAATATTAAACAATGGAAAGGGAGTATTATGTAGTCCAATCCAACTGAAACCAAACAAGCCTTCAAAATCATATATAAAATTAAAAACTCAACACCTCAAGTATGAAGATAACTTACAATCTATTCAAGCACTTATATTCCATTATCCTGATATTGTCAATTTCACTGCAATTCCAACTTTAGAAGAATTTGCCCAATTGTATCCTAACGAAAAGAAAGTATTGTATAAGACAATGTTAACTGATGATCATAAGTTCAACGTGAATGCTGAACTGGGTTATAATGTTGATAAAACTAAATTTTGGGAAGGTGAATTATCTTCTAAAAATGATGTAGTTTTTAAAATTTCACAATCAGGGATATATTGTGTTTATATTGCTCCAATTTTGGAAAATGATCAAAAAGAAAAATTGGGAGCTGTTGATTTCAAAGTACCTATTGTTTTTAAAAATTATTATGGTAATTTATCATATCCTATGTATTTAATTTATTCAACTATAAAGTATGTTGTTGTAATTTCCATTATAATGTTCATTGTTTTATTTAATTATATATTGAGGTTTAAAATTGGTGAAAATTTTCAAAATTTGAATTCTATTTCGGTTATTTCCAAAGGAATTTTATTTTTGATTTTGGCTCCGTTTATTTGTTTGGATATTTTTCAAGGATTTGTATTTTGGTGTATCAATAATTTTTTAGAGACTGATTCAAAATCATTTATAATGTCTACTTTGTTTTTCATCAATGAGACTATTGATAGCATTTACTCAAGTTTTAGAAATTATGTTGTATTGTTATTTGCAATGGGATTCGGGGTAATATATTACTACAATGGCAACTCTAATAATTATAGATTATTCCCACAAGAAAGTTTCAGAAAAATTACTGCATTCTTATTCATAAATATTATTGCATTAATTGTCAACAACATATTGAATTATTTGTTTTTGAGTCAAGATTATCAAATTGTTGGTCTTTTTAGTACTATGGGAAGTCCAGCTTCTACTACATCTGGTTTTGATACAAATGACAACAATAATAATTTTTTGATGTTGCTGAATACCATAGTGTCATTATTTCAATTATGTTGGTTTGTTTTGTCAGTTATATTTTATTTCAAAACTAAAAAAACAATAGCTACTTTCCCATCAGCATCAGATCCTGATTCGAATCAAAAAGTAGTATCAGCATTTAGGAAATCATTTTTTGTAATAATGGTTTTACCAATAATAACAGCAATTATCGGAGGTCTCATATCAGGTATTTTAACGCTTCGAAGTTTCAGTAACGTACCAGATTTCCCACAAAATTCAAACAGAGATTTAGTATATCAAAGTGCTTTGATGATAATAATGTTGGAAAATTCATTAGGTAAATTCATAATGCCAATAGTTTATTCCACTTTGTTTTATTATTTTACATTGATTTTGTCTATATTTTTCATATGGATTAAGGATAATAATGGTTTAATATATTCTGAAGATGATCCTGTTGCTTATGCCGATGTATCTAATTTTAATATTAGTGATGATGATGATAATGGACCAACTGAAGAAGAAACACAGGTTGATAATGCGCAAGAGGAGCATCAAGAGGAAGAACCAGTTAGAATTTAGATTCCTTAAAATTTGATTCTTTTATAAGGGTACAAGTACTTTACAACATATATGCAAATATATATATTTACAATAATACTATTGTTTATTGTAGTTTTCTATTAATACTAATCTTCCTCCGTATATACAAGATTATTTTATATGTTATACTATATACTCATTAAATTCATTAAATTGGTGTGATATTTGACTGATTGATCGGTGAATGTTTAATGCTATTGCTCTTGTTCTTGACAATTCAAAAAACTAGGTATTCTCTGCAGATTGACGTTACTGTGGTTCTTGGTGTCTTATGTAAAATTGAAGTAATCTAACGATGTCTTCTAGCATAATCCTTAGGAGGCAACTCTGCTATTTTTCTTTTTCTATCTTCTTTAAACAAACAATGTCTTTGAGCTCTTGGATCATATAATATAAGATTCAATTTTCTAGCTGATCTAGGTATTTGAAACCATTTTTCATAACCTGTAAGGGCTGTTGATACCATTTTTATCATTGTTGTGTTTGCTCTTGCTTTTGCCATTTTTGTATGTAATTTTGGTGTGTGAGACTCTTGCTGTAATTTAAGTTATTGATTTAAGGGTAGGATTGTTATGATGTTTTTGTTAATTATCAATTTGATATGTAATGTAAACTTGGTTGTTTTTTGGTAATAGTCTTGATAATTTTTCATTTAAAATTTTTGTGTGAGTCTATGCTACCAAGTCGTCTGTCAAACTCTTATGTGTCGTGAATCTAAAAGCTAAGACAATCACGCGTCCTTAAAATTAAAAAAAGTTCGAACTGAAAAATTTTGTTAACACGCAAATTATAATATTTACTATAGATCAAATTGATTGAAATATTATTTAAGGTCAATTGAATAATATACTTACTTGGATCAACACTAAATCTAAAACATTTAATCAAATCACTAGAACATCATCCAATTGACCAAGTCCACACCAAAACAAAAGATGCAGTCCCATATATTCAATTATGCATTAATATTAACATTTATATTACAACTTGTATCTTCATTACATATGGAAATTCCATCATTACCAAATCCAGATCCAGTCTGTATTCGTGATTTCGTACAAGAAAATCAAATGGTAACAGTAAATATAAATACAGATGGTTCAAAGGGAGATGGACAAAGATTAGATATTAAAATAACTGATTCTTTAGGAAATAATTATGCAACAAGAAAAGATATTGTAGGAAATGTTAAATTAGCATTTACTTCACATAATAATGCTGCTATAGATGTATGTTTTATTAATTATTTAGAAGCAAAATGGAAACATCATGGTGCAAGATCAAATTCAATAAGATCAGTTGAATTAGAAATTGAAAGTGGTGCAGCTGCAAGAGATTGGAATGCTTTACAAGCAAGTGAAAAATTAAAACCTAATGAATTAGAATTGAAAAAAATTGAAAGTTTAACTGCTGAAATTGTTGAAGAATTACAATATTTAAAATCAAGAGAAGAAAGAATGAGAGATACTAATGAATCTACAAATTCAAGAGTTAAATGGTTTTCAATAATTATTATATTGTCATTAATTGGATTTGGAGCTTGGCAAATTCAATATTTAAGACATTATTTTAAAGTAAAACATATTATTTAAATAAGTAATGCATGAGTAAATAGGTAATTAAAAGAAATATAAGATTTAGCAAAAATCAGTAAATACTATAAATTCTGTGATTATAAATAATAATTCAAGATAGAAGTAAATTGTTCACATTTTGTAATTTTACCTTTTAATACTTCAACATCTTCTTCGTTCAATTGAAAATTTAAACCAGATACTTCAATTGGTTCAACACAATTTTTAATAAACTCCAAGAACTTTGTTTTCTTTAAATGATCTGCTTTTTGGAAATTTTTGTTGAAAATTTCATCTTTATATATGTTGCAGTTTGAGTTATACAAATCATTTAAAATCCAATTTAAATTCCATTCTAAAATAAAATTCACTTTCATCCAAGTTTGATAAAATTCATTAAATGTTTTATATAATTGATCCTCTACTATTTGAGAATATAATATTGGGTTATTTATCCATCTCATTAGTATGTCTAGATTCTTAATTTGATAATTCTTATTATTTGGATTTTCATTGTTGAGGTGATTACATAATTCAAAGTCTTGGAATTCTTCCTTCTCTCGCAGAGTATTACCAATAATTTCTTTCAATATCTCTTGTGACAATTTAACTAAAAACAAATTTCTATAATCTAGACGGATTTTTGAATTTATAGCCAGCGAATAATAAAACTCAATTAAATATCTATAATCGATAAAATTTATTTTTTTGCTAATATAATCCAAAAATACACTTGAATTCAAATTAGCAATTGATTTTCCATTACTACTTCCTGATAATTTAGAATTAAATACTAATGACCAATAAAAAATTATAGAACAAATTTTAAATCTTAATTTCATTGAGTTCATATTATTTGAATTTTGATCCCATTCATTTTTAAGATTGTTATGCATTACAGGTTGGCTTTTCTTGTATTTAGTTTCCTTTTCAATAAGTAGGTTTTCATGTTCATAACACGTCTTGGGGAATATGAGTTTTGATGATAATCCATTAAATATAAATTCAACTACTCTATCATACCATTGACTTTGGAAATGGCCTAAAGTTTTGATGAGTTTCAGAAATAGTATTTGGGAATTATCTTCAACTTTCAAACTTGCAAATTTTGTATATTGAGGATTTGTATTTTGAAATAAACTCAAAATTGCATCATTATTAATTGAGTTGGGTGCTAGAAAAATTGAGTCCATTTCTTTTACCAAATTTATTTCAATGAACCGAAATATAAAATTTAAGACATTTGATTGTGCATGGTAAATTGTATGACATTCATTTTTCTTCTGTAGTGGGTAATAAATGGTTGATAATCCTGAACAATAAAAAGTCCAATTTATTAGTCTCCATAAATTAAATTCATTCTTGTTGATTGTTAATTTATCTTTTAATAATGATTCATCAAATATTCGTATCCCTTCCCAAGTTTCATTTTTGCTGTTGTTTGTCGCAAATATATTTAAGTTGTTCTTCTTAGGTGATGACGCTGCACTAGTTGGTGATTCTTGATCTGTTTTGGTTGATAATGGGATTTTTTCCTCATAACTTTCATCTTCTGAATCACTTATTACTATATATGTACTATCATGCTCATTATTGGATGTATTACTATCACCATTTGGTGAATCTTCTTCATATTTGATTTCTAGTTTTTGTCTTTTTGGTGGTGGTGTAACTCTTCTTGGTGATGTTCTTCTTCCATTAGTTTCAGCTTTAAACATTGAACTAATTGATGATTGTTGTTGTTGAAATGGTAATTGTGCTTGATGTGAAGATTGCACTTGTTTTTTACTTTCAATTAAATCATTTATGGCCTTAAATATTAATTCATATAATTCTGTGTCACCAGTTAATTCGATTATATCTAAATAATTATTTAGTATCAAAAAGCTTCTCTGATTTAAATTTGATTTATGTAAAAATTCATTATATATAGAATTGATCAATTTTATATGACTTAATGATTCAACTATCCCATTTTTAGCATATGATGAGTTTTGAGTCCAGTTTAAACTATTACTTCTTGAACATAATGTAATTAATACCTGTAGTATTTCATTTGATGGATAAATTAAATTTCTATTGTTTGAAAAACATGAGGAGGTTGGTGATGATGATGGCGCTGATGGTGCTGATGAGTTAATCTCCAAGAATTGTAATAAATCATCAAATTTCTCAAAATTGTTTAGATTAATTGAATTTTCATTTAGATCAGGTATGATTTTATTAATGAATTTGGTTTGAACTTCATTATATGATTCTTGTAGAAATAATGACATTTGGCAGGAGAAAATGATAAAATTGATGGGCGAGTTCAAATGTCTTGTTTTGTTGATTTGGGTTATATCATTGATCTAATAATGTAGTTGTATTGAAATGAAATTTATGATAGGGTTTTATAAATTGATTGGAAATTGGTTGTAAAATTAAATTTTTTGATATCCCATATATTTTTTTTTTTAGATAACAAAGCTACCAATTCCATTTGAAACAAATTTTATGTTAAGACGCGTTACATATTGATTATAAAAGAACAAATACAAATATCGATTAATGCTATTGCACATTATATTACAACGCTATAACTAAGAATGTATGTTAATATGTACCTTCACCATCATATTGATCAAAATCACTAGTCTGATCATTATTGTCATTAAACCCATTAAATCTCATCGGTAAAGTCCTATCAAATTCTTCTTCCTCGTCTAAATCATCAAGGTCATCTTCACCATTTTGAATAACTTCTTCTTCTTCATATATATTCCCTATCTCAAATTGTTGTTTAGAAAGGATTGAGTCAATTTCAGTATCTGAATCTGAATTGATCAGTAGATTATCACTCTCTATTGTTTTTATACCTTTGATTTGATTTAGTTGGCTTATTTGGTTGAGTCTATGTTCATCTGATTTGGAATCTTCGTTTGTGATCTTTTTTATTAATAAATTTTCTAAGTTGAGTAATCTGTTTAAGATTTGTTGGTTTACGTTATTTGTCGGTGATGTAGATAATTGTAGTTGCTGAGTTTGTATAGCTGACAATGAACTTGGAATAGTTTGTGGTATGTATGATTCTTGTGGTTGTAGGGTTTGAAGATTCGGATTATGTCTTGAGATTTTAAACGATAGTTGATTTGATTGTTGTTTGGATAACTTTTGTTGTTGTTGCTGCTGCTCTTGGTATTTCTTTGAAAATAATCTATTTGATTCAACTATTTGCAAGTTTTGATCGTTTGAAGCTGTCACATTATTAACTGTAGCATTATTAACTCCACCTCCATATTTTCGGTTTAATAATTGATCAATAAAGAATGAGTCAGTAGAAGCAGTTCTCAAATGGTTACCATTACATCCCAAAGTGCTTATAGATTGGTAATTTTTAATGATTTTATTCTTTGGCTTCCTTTTTCTTAAATTTATTGAAGTTTTAAAATTTAGCTCATGATCGAAATCTGGCTTCCTCAAGAATGTAAAGTTTTTCAAGTCTGTGACTTCATTTTCTTCATTGTCACTTGGATTAATAATACCCAACTTTTTGCTTTTGAATGTGAAAACTTGCTTGAATTTCACCAAAATTGAACACATGAACTCATAAATAAATATCAATACAATAAAAGGAATTTTGAACACTTGACAATACAAATTAGTTACATTCCAATCCTGATTCAACTCCGAACATTTGAAGTAAATGATCAAATTATTCAGTTTGAAAAAATTAAACTCATACTCAATATTTTCTCTAGTTTTATTAAAAACCCCACTCAAACAAATAGCCAAAATAGTACCAATAATAAATTGTAACAAAAACAAATAACTCATTTGCATTATCTTTCCCAAAGTATTAAAATCATCCCAATTGTTCCACACTGAAGGTGTAAAACCAAAAAATACTTTCACCATATTAAACAAAATCTCGAATGGAGTTTGATTATAGGATAATTTTAAAAAACAAAAATAGAATCCCGAAATTAATGTAAAAAACATCAATACCAAGCCAACTAAATTCAAAAACATTTTGTGAAATGACAAGATTATCAAATTGAAGAACTTGTAGTTGTTGAAAATTGACAAAATTCTTGGAAACAAAATGATACCAATTAAGCTGAAGAAATCATTGAAATAACTTTGATTATTGAAGAAGAACCTTAAAATGAAACAGAAATCTATTATTAGTATTAAAACAAAGTCAATATGATTCCATAAAATAAGATTTAAGAATTTAAAATTGATGTGGTAGAATTTATTCAATATTTCGAAATTAAAACTTAACCCAATTAACCAAAACAATATTTCTATTGAATTTAATTGTATTTCTTTCTCAGAATGTTGAATCAAGGCAAAATAGTTTATGGCAAATATTATCAATTTCAAGTTGATTAGAATGTTTTGATATTTTGGTATGACGTTGATCCTTCTGTATATACTAATGATTGATAGTTTATGATTTATATTCGTAATGTTGTAGGAAGTAGCACAAAATTTGTTTAATTCACCATCATAGTACTTATAATGTTGATTTTTTAACAATAATTTTTCATTATCATCTGAGTTAGGATTGGCGTTATCACCAAGTTTTTTATAATCATCATAATCATCATAAATTAGATCACCATTATAAAATCTATTCAATATCTGGACTATTATAGGTTGTGATAAGAAATTTTTCAGTTTGGACAATACACATAATTCCAAAGTATTAAAATTGAATTTATGATGACTTGAAATTAAATTTGGAGGTGGTTTTACAAATAAAATTTTAACTCTTTGATATGAATTATATTCTCTTAGCATTCTAATTGACATCAATTCACAAACATGAGATTTACTAATTAATAAATCATATTGGATTAAATTATTTTCCAGTTGAATTAAGTATTCGTATTTTAATAATAATAAAATATATATGGTGAATATTGATATTTTTAGATCATTTTTGATTGTGAATTGTGTTTTGTTTTCTTTAACTATTGATATAATTTCATTACTTATTGGTTTGATTAAAGTTGAGTATATTTCTGGAGTTTTCAATTGTTCATATTTCAAACTTAAATTTACTTTTTTATTAATTAATTTTTGAATTTTGAAATAATTTGTTTGGAATTCATTATATTGTTTTAATTGTATATGTTGCAATTGTTGACTGTCTGGAATTGATGAAGATAAAAGTGGTAAGTTTGCATTTTCGTACGAGCTTGAGTTTCTATATCTATTTGACATGTAATTCAATTATGAAGTTTTTTTTGAATGTATAAATTTGATGTAAAGTTGAATAGGTAGTGGTAGTGAAGAATGTGAAGACTGTGATAAAATATTGAAGTTTTTGTTATTTTATATATAACCAAATGTTGCTAATAAAGTAGTAGTCTTATCTTTTCTGATAATAGATACATCATCATATTTGAGTTATATAATTTATGGCAAATTAAAAGGAAGTTTAATAAGTTGGATCAATTAGTTTTCTTAATTTGGATTAATTGTAAACAATGTCAAATACGAACATATGCTACCATATTTTTTGCAAGTTTCAAACAGTAATGATCTAGAAGAATACTTTAGGTTAGTTAACGGCTGACACGGTCCTTAGAATTGTTCATAATACGAGATTTGCTCTATTGATTTTAAACTTCAGGTTCTTCTAAATTAAAATAAATGATAAGTTTAAATCATTGGAGCTATTAAATTATATTCCGAACCCAAAATTTGGTAGCAACACTTCTCCATAATTTTATCAAATATTGCTACAACCTTTATCTTTAATCTCCTTTCATCTACATTAAATAATCTACCCCAAAAACAATGGATATTCTATCATTGGGGTTTACATTAAACTCTAAAAAATCAAGTAAGATCCTAAAAGTCATAAATAATAACAATAGAATCTCGCTTGCAATAAAGCAAAAGTTCAAAAAATTAAATTCATACACTAAACAATATTTATCAAGTCAATATCTGATTAATCAACAACAAAATGAAATAATACAAGATATTTTTAAAGATGTTTATTTTTTATTAGATTGTGAGAATTTTAAATTTGATAAGTTATCTGATTTAAGTCTTAATTCATTACAAAAAATATACTCCAGATTAGATAATGTTCAAATTGATACGTTATCGAAAGATGATAAAATATTATTTGATTTGATTAATGAATATGTTTCATTAGTTATTAGTTTAAAACTATCAAATTCACTTATTTTCAAAACATTAATATTGAAAAACCAACAAATATATTGGGAAAATATATCAAATTCCATAATAAATAAATTAATATATTTTGTACAAAAGATTCCAGTTAATACTTTTAATTTTGGTGTTGAAATATTTCATAAGACTAACAATATATTATCAAGTAATTTCAAACAATCAAATTTACCACCACCAAAACCAAATCAAGGAATATTAACAAACTATTGGAGAAAATTCACCAGGTTTAATTATGCATTTTTTAAATCTATTTTCCAAACTATTGAAATATTATTTGTTCAAGATAATCCAGTTATAACATTACTTTCCAAAACTGATTCCAAAACTAATCTTTCATCAATAAAATACTACTTAATTTCTATAGTAAAATTCCCAATTACAATAGTAAATAAAGAAATTTCATCAAAATTAAAAATAATAGAAAAGGAAATTAAATCAAATACCATCAATATTAATACATTAGTAACTTCATTAAATTCCGAAAACTATTTACCTATAGTTGAAAAAATCTTACAAATTGATGAAAATGGTTCAAATCAAATCTCACAAACTATTCAATCAGTTATAAAATTCGACCAAAAACAATACACCGATACAGAAAAACCATCATTTTTAACAAGATATTGGGTTTTAATAGTTTTATTTATAAGGTATGCTCCATCACAAACTAAAAACATTTACAACAATAAAGAAGAAATCGTACATTGGATTCAATATAACGGTATAGAACCAATCAAAGGTTTCTTCACTAATTGGGTTATTAAACCAATCAATGAAATGTTAAATATTTTAAGAAGTGATGATGAAATAACAATAACAACAAAAGACTCCCTCAAATCAGAAGTTGATTCCCTTGAAAAAATGATTTATGAATTTGCAGAAGATAATCATATTACTAATGTTACTCCACAATTAATTAATCAAGATATTAAAAATGGAGATTTAAAAATTATAATGAATAGATATGAAAATGAAATTAGATCACCTATAAAATATTTAATTAGTGGATCTTTAATTAGATTAATTTTAATTCAAATTCAAAAGGGAAAAGTTGATGGTGGTGTTGCATTAAATGGAATTGATAAATTATTAAAATCTCAACAATTAGTGTTTGGAATAGTATCAATGAGTCCATCAATTATTATTCTTTACCAATTATACAATTATTTCACATCATCTAAACCTTTAATAGTTAATGGTAAACAATTAAGTATTATTTGCCTTAAGAGTTTAAATAATATAGAAAATTTATTAATCTTGTTGGATTATGAATCACAACAAAAAAAAGACCAACCAATTAATCCATATGAAGGTGAATTATTAATTGAAATTATAAATTTAATATTAAATTCAGAACCAATTATTCCAAAAGAATTACAAAATGATTGGGTATTTGATTTAAATGAAATTAATAATAATGATTATTCTATAAAAATTAAATTAAATTTAATTTCTAAAATATGGAATATGTATGGTTCTTATTTTAAATAGAAACAATATAGATAAATACAGTGTAATTATTCATTTAATTTGATAATTAGATAACAATCTTATTGATCTTAGTAAATAACAATATCAATTATAAAAGAAAAAATGTATGAAAGCTTAAGAATGATCTGGTAGAAAAATGAGTCGAAAGAACAATAAATGATTTTACTTTTTACGAGCAAAAGTTCTAGGATTGACAAATTTCCAAGGGCCATAACTACATACCCCGAATTATAATCTAGTCTACTCAGGTTTTTTATTTTCGTCATATTTCTCTTTATATCATTTTTTTATTAAAATCTCTTTTAAACGTCGTTTAAAGCGAGTTCATTAGATTTTTTTCCCTCAATATGATCAGTTTTGTTGATATTCGACCGAATTGTGAGCTAAAGTCAATTATAAAGAAATTACTTTAATGTATATTTAAGATGAAAATAGATTTATTAAAGAGAGAACTGTCAGCATAATTTAAGTAAATAAAGCTTGAAACATTTTCAGATTTCTTTGGAGTGGTTTCTTTTTGTTGTTTTTCTTACTCTCTTTTTATTTGCAAAAAATTACAAAAAAAGTGTATCAGATTTTGCATACTCATACAAGCGGAGAAAAAAAAAAAATCTTTATATTATTACATATAATATACATATATAATCATCAATGGATTAAATTTCAAAAATGCCATCATCACGCAGCTGGACTGAAGATGCTATGCAATCAGCAATTACTGCTTATAAAAATGGTGAAGGAAGTTATTTTTCAGTAGCTGGAAAATATGGAGTTACTAAATCTACACTTCAAAAAAGAATTGTATTGGGTCAAAAATCTTGTAAAGATGGTCACATAAATCAACAATTACTTACTAAAGAACAAGAAATTTCAATTTGTTTATATATTGCTTCTTGTGATATGTGTAATAACGGTCTAACTTCACTGGAAATAAGAGAAATAATTTCTAGATTTGTAAAGAGTTTAGGAAAAAATCATCATGTTGGTGTAAAGTATCCTAATAAATTACTTAAAAAATATCCATGGATCAAAATGGTTAAAAGATCGCCATTAGAATCTGGAAAATTAAATGAAAAATCAATCAATAATTCACAAATCGAAATTATTAATGAATTAACATTACCAATTGTTGAATCTTCATCATTTAACCAAAGTAATGATACAATAAGTGAAAGTCCAGTTGCTTCTTTGAAGGAAATCCTTGATATGTTGCCACTGGAAGGAAGACAAGATACTGCAAGACTTAAAAGAGCTATTATTAAGTGGGACAAATCATTGAGTGATAAAATCAAAGAATATGAAATGCAAATTAAAGAATATGAAATGCAAAATTTTTTAACTCAAGAAAAAACTAATCAATTGGAAACAAAATTGCAAGAATACAAAAGAGCCAAAAGCTATTAAAGATTTGGTTAAATTTAAAAATGTGATCCACAACAACTCCAAAGTGGCTACTCGAGAAAGCCTTGCAGCTGAAAGGGAAAGAATCTTTGCTGCAAAAGCGGCAAAAGCTGCTAAAAAAAGGAGAACCAACACCTGTTAAGAAAGTTTTAAGTAATATAACTAATGCTGCAACTCAAATTTGAACTGGCTTTAGATTTGATCCATTTTTTTACTTCTTTTTTATAATATTTTTTTATATTTGATTCTTTTTCAAATAGATTTACTACATAATAAAATCAATTCTAATGATTAGAAAATTAGTTTTTGCGTTACCTTGTACCATATGTTATATGAGTTGTAAAAGTAATTCTGAGTTTTAAAAAAAGCCTATTGTTCAAAATTAATTGCCAGATCACTATATAACGTGGAAGTTCATGAGCATCAAATAACTAATGATAGTTAGTTGAATTTGATTTCAATTTGATATAAAAGTAACTGAGTGTATCTTCTATTTTTTTTTTGGCACATTGACATCTTTTGTATCAATTTTTTTTTTCAGAGTCTCTGTTTTCGCAACCAAAACAATTTAGTAAAACATGAATGAAAATCGCAAAAATAACAAATCAGTCACAACTAACGTAAAATAAAGCTGTAAAAATAACGAACTTAGCTGAATATGATGCTTCAGAATAATACAATGTAAAAAAAGAAGTAGACGATGAGGGAAGAACAAAAGATAGTAATTACAAGCGATGAAATGTAAAAATAAAATTAATAGATTATTTCAAAGAGGTTTCACTCATCAAAAATTTATAAATGATATAATACTTTAAAACACATATAAAAAAAGAATTTTGAATCAATATTGAATAAAATAAATAAACAGAAGTCTCTTTTACTTCAGGAACAAAATAGAAAATAAAGTATTGAAATAAGAAAAGTTTATAACGAATTAATGAAAGATAGATTGAAGTGAACTATAATATCTTAAAGTTAAAATTCAAACAGAGAGTTTATTGTAATCTGATGAAATGATAAAAATTAATAAAAAAAAATGAAAAAATTCGATTTTTATCAATATATGAAAAATGGCTGCAAAATAATATAATAGATATATTCTTTGTTTCATTTTGATATATTAATTATGATAACCAATTAAAACTAAATAATTATTAATATGTAATATTATATACAGTATTTAGTATTAGTACTATTACGATTACTAAATTAAGTATTAATTTCCCTTAAATCGGTTATTACTTTTATCGTTAATTGGTAGCACAATTATACTATAATTTATCTAATCATAATAATGTTAATAATAATAATTAGTATTTGATATAATATATAATATATCAAATACTTTTCAAATATTTATTTATTTATTAATAGATCAACATAATTTTTATACCATTGATTATCAACTATCATATTCATTTTATCATCATTCAATTACTCATTTCTTTAGTCATTATTTTTATATAAATTAATTAATTTTATTAATTTACAATATATGATTTGATAAAAATTGTAAGACACTTATAAAAAAAAAGAAAAGAAACACAAGACATTAGAAAAAAAAAAATTATTTATTTAATTAATATACAGAAATCTTAAAATTTTCACATTTAAAATTACATTTCCCCAACTTTTATTTTTTACAACCAAATTAACAAACAAATATTTCATCTTGAAATCATCATCATTCTGTTCATAGACTATCATCATTAATATAACAACCACAACATCAACAAAAGTAATACATCTCCTTAGCATTTAATATTTTTTATCATCAATCAAATTTTATAGAATTTTTACAACCATCATTAATTAATTAATATCATCTATTCATTGTACATAATATAACAATTTTCTCATATATATATACAACATCAAAATAATGCCACATAATACTATGCCCATAGAAGATAAAAATAATAACAACAGCAATCAACTAAAACATATACAAATTGGAGGTAGAAAATCAAAATTAGCAGTAGTACAATCAGAATTAGTTAAACAAGCAATACAAACATATTATCCAGAAATAGATTGTTCAATATTAGCATTATCTACATTAGGAGATAAAGTACAAACTCAACCATTATATACATTTGGAGGTAAATCATTATGGACAAAAGAATTAGAAATATTATTAATTGATCAAATTGATGAATTCCCCAAATTAGATTTAATTGTACATAGTTTAAAAGATATGCCTACTCATTTACCCGAAGAATTTGAATTAGGTTGTATTTTCCAAAGAGAAGATCCAAGAGATGCAATAGTTATGAAAAAAGGATCACAATTTAAAAAATTAAGTGATTTACCTTCAGGATCAATAGTTGGTACTTCATCAATTAGAAGATCATCACAATTAATTAAAAATTATCCACATTTAAAATTTGAAAGTGTTCGTGGTAATATTCAAACAAGATTAAATAAATTAGATAATCCATTAAATGAATATTGTTGTTTAATATTAGCAAGTGCAGGATTAATAAGATTAGGATTAGGTGATCGAATAACTTCATGTTTAGATGATGTATATTATGCAGTTGGACAAGGTGCTTTAGGAATTGAAATTAAAAAAAATGACCAACAAATAAAACAAATTTTAAAAACCATAGAAGATCCAATAGCAACAATATGTTGTTTAGCAGAAAGATCATTAATGAGATATTTAGAAGGTGGATGTTCAGTTCCATTAGGTGTAAATTCATCCTTTAATCCAGAAACTTCAATATTAAATTTAAAAGGTGTAATAGTAAGTCCAGATGGTAAAATATCAATTGAAGATGAAATAAATAAATCCATCGATATTTCAAATGATGAAACCCTAAAAAGAGATTGTGAATTAGTTGGAATTGAATTAGGTGATTTATTAAAACAAAAAGGTGCAAAAGAAATATTAGATAAAATTGATATGACAAGAAATATAAATGCAAGACCAACTGAAGTATGAAATAAATGTTACCTTTAAGTGGGGTATATATAGACAAAATCATAACATCAAAGTATTCAAATGGATCAAATTATACTCTCATTGTTTTATAGTACGAAGTTTGATTGCGCAAATTTACATTTACTTTGTTTATTAAATAACACTGATTAATGGTGAAGTAATGCAATAAATTTTTTAATGTAAATAACACTCAGATATATTGCTAATTGAATGAGTAAATTTCAAATAATAAATTGAAAATGAATTTGTAACTCATTAAGTGAAAATATTGCGAATTATACTGAGCAAGTTTTATGACAATTACGTCCAAGATTATATCCTTAATACTACAACTTTATTTAAATTTTAAAATTAATTTGAGCTCGAAGAAAAGAGTAGCAGCTTTTGGTTGCAAAAATTTTGATGAACTTCTGACATATAAAATTTCACTTTATCAAAATACGCTACCTTCCTGATAACGTAATATATATTTTTATTGTGTAAATAAATTTAAAGCCATTTGTAAAATTTAGGCAACCAAATTTTGTAAAAGAATAGGTTTTTTTCAAAAACAGTTGAAGAACTACAGAAGTGCTTATAGTATCTATTAGATTATCTCTTATCAAATAAGTTCTTCTTAAAGCTTAATAAGAGTAACACAATCATCTCTGTCTGATCAATATTTTATTGATTCAACTTGTGTATATAAGTAATAGTAAGATTAATAATATAATTAATAATAATACAGAAAAAAAAAATTTATTGTTAACAAAAACAAATTAAGACAAACAAAATTTACAAATCTCATTTAGAAAATAATCAAGTTAATAAAACAACTATAATTTAACTAATAATATTAGAATTCAAATACTTTATAAAATTGAATCAAAACTACTACCAAAAACTTATTCAACTTAATCATAACATTAAGACGTGAAGAATATTTAAAAATCATCATCAAATTATCCATTTTTTGATTTTTTTTTCGCCCCTCCCCTTCATTAATAATTCAATATTCAATATTCAATTTTAATTTAATTCCAATTCAAATAATTTGTATATTAATCACTATTTAAATCATTTGTCATAGTAACTTTCATTTCGATTTCAATTCAATTTCATCTCATTTTATTTCATTACATTCATTCATTCATTCAATCTTCATTTTTCATTTCAATTCATTTTTAAAACAATATAAATTAATCATTGATCATTTATTACTAATTTAAATTGTTATTGATTGTTTACCTTTTTATTTGGTCTTCATTATCATAATATCTATACTTTTTGATACTTTTATTTTTGAAATCATTCATAATTATTTATTACATTAAAATTAAATTTATAAACTAAATTAAATTTAAATCAAATAAAGATAAAAAATTATAATATCATATGCGTGATTCAAATTTTAGAGCTATATCAAGTAATAAAGCTGCAGTTACAATAACGACAAGTTTATATGATAGAAGAGCATTAGATGTAACATCAGATAAACCTTTAGTAAATTCATTAAATTATTTAACTTATTTAGTTAGTTCATCAGCAAAAGTAAGAGAAACTTTATCTATTGATGGTGGTATAGAAAGATTAATTGAAATTTTACATGAATGTCATAATTTTAAAAAATTTATTAATGATAATGATGAAAAACAAATTTTAATTGCATGGAAATGGACTTTAGCTTTTCAATGTCTTGTATTGATTGGTACTAGAGGAACTGAAAAAATTAGACAAAAAGTTGTAAAAGCTGGAATTTTACCTATTATTGCAACTGTTTTAGATAATTATATTTCATTACATGAAAGATCATTTTTACATAATAATAATAATAATACTAATAATAATGGTGTGTTGGGATGTAATAATAATAATAATCATTCAAATTCAAATTTAAATCTTAATCTAAATCAAGGGAATGAACAAGATGAACAACAATTATTTCTTAATACTGTGAATGATATTGTAAATCCATTTCATTCACATTTTCAAAATCAATTTCAAAATCAAATATCTCAAAATGAACAAATAATTAATAATGGTAATGGATTAAGATATATAAGTCCAACAAATATAAATTCAGATCAAACACTAGTGAATCAAAACGTTTTTCAACAACAACAACAAGAACAATCTGAAAATCCAATATATAGTAATACAAGATTAAATACAAATGATGAAGATGAAGTTGAAGAAGCAATAATTGATGGGAATTTTTTAAACATGAATATAAATAATAATCAAGATAATAATAACACTACTACCAATAATAATAATGGGAATAATAATTATTATTCTCAATTCTCAGCAGCTGCAGCAGCATTTGAAGCAACTTCTATTTCAACTAATCAATCAAATTTATTAATGGATCAATTTATATCACTAAAAGATATTGATTTACAAGATATTGAAAATTCAAGTATTGAACATTTAATACAACTACTCAAATTATCAAAATATGAAAATAATGAATTTGCAAATGATGAAAATAATATATTGAATACATCAATTGAATTAGATATTAAAAGAAATTTTATAACTTTAAACCTTTTGGAAAAATTAAAAGAAATAAAAGAAACTGAATCTTTTAGCGATAATCAAAATTATTCAATTAATTATGAAGAAAATTATAATGATACAGAATATGATATGGATAGTAATTTACAATTTTTATCAGATTTATATCAAAGAAATTTAGATATTAATGGTAAAAACAATTCGAGTAATAAATTAGCTGTTAGATCATTTACTAAAACTGGAGTCGTTATTCCAAAAGATGATGATATAGTTTGGTCATTACAATTATTAGCATATATTTCTAAATATCCATACCTCAAGGATATTTTACAAAATACTCATTTAATTCTTAATATGAGTATAAGAGATAAACAAATTAAATTATATATTGAAAATCAATTAAAATTATCAAATAATAATTCCATTACTACCACCAACACTACCAAATCTTCAAGAAATTCAAGTATATCAACAACAACCAAGAAATACCCCAAGAGGGAAACAATAATTCCGAAATCAAGGAAAAAAAAATTAAAAACTACATTTTTAGAAAGATTTAATCCAAGTGCATCAAATTCTCCACAAATGATTACTTCATTAAATGATGATGATGATAATTTAATTTTAAAAGATGATAAATTTAATTTATGTAATAATCATCAAAATTTAGAAAATGGACAAGTTAATTTAAATGAAGGTGATGAAATTGAAGAAAATGCAGAAGTGGAAGATGACGATGAAGATGAAGAAGATGATGAAGAAGAAGATGATGATGAAGACGAAGAAGATCCAGAAGATGAAGAAGAAGAAGATTTAGAAGAAAGTTTATCAAATTCAAGTGAAGATGATTCAACAATAAAAGATTCAAATCCAAAAGATAATTACCTAAAGCATTTTTATAACTCAATACAAGAAATAAATAAAATTGAAAATGCACTACTCAAGAAAATTAAATATAATCAATTAAATTTAAAATTAAATAATTTTATTGAATTTGAATTTAAAAAATTATCAATTTTAATTATCCAAAAACGTCAACAATATAAAACTCACCTAAAAACCAAATGGAATTATGAAAATTATAAAAATTTCGATATAGATGATATATCATCAACTACATCATCCACATCATCAACTACATCATCACCAACTTTCACCACCACCACCCAAGATTTAGATTCATCACTTTTTGAAATTCAAAAATTAAACCTTTTCCCACTAGTTGAAAATTTTACATTTTTATCAGGTACAGATATGTATTATTGGTCAGGTGTTATAATGAGAAATTCATGTAGAAGAAATGATTTAAAAGGTGGAATTCGTCAATGTGGAAATTTAAAATGTTCGAAATGGGAAACTTATCCAAGAGAATTTAGTAAATGTCGTCGTTGTAAAAGAACAAAATATTGTTCAAGAGATTGTCAAATGAAAGCTTGGCATTGTCATCGAAATTGGTGTATTCCTTCAAGTTCAAGTTCTTCAAGTACTATTACTAATAATACTGTGAATACTAATACAATGACTAATACTACTACTAATAATAATAATAATAATAATAATGATAATCTTGGAGGTAATAATAATAATAATACTAATGGTTGATGATTATATGAGATTTGATAATGAATAATAAGATTTATTTATAGAATTATTTAGTTTATTTACAAATGAATAACACGAATGAAGAAATAAAGAAATTATTAAATTGACTTTCTTTAGCAATTGAAGTAAAGTAGTAGAAATGGCTTAAAAACTGTGAAGTGAAATCTGGTGTAAGAACTTATTAATAAGTAATATCCATTTAACTTCTTCACTAACTTTCCATATTAATTTTCAATTTATTTAATTCAAATTTAATATTTTCAGAGTATAGTTAAATTCTCACAATTGAGATTAAGAGTTCAAATCTAATATACATATATTATTTAAATATCTATATAATAATTTATTCCTCATTTGCAGCTTTATCACTTAATACACCACTTTCTTTAATCAAATCATTAATCTCATCACTTTTCCAAATCTTCTTAATTAATTTTTCTTTTTCGGTATCAAAACTTATAGTTGCAAATTCAATTTTATCACTGTTCAAATTAGATAAATCCATTGTCTTGGATAATATAGTAATTGCCAATTCACAACCACTTCTCAAAGTTAAATCATCATTATAATCCTTTTTCAATAAAGTTTGAACTTGTGAAGTATTTGCTCCAATACTTGTCGCTTTCCAACCTGAAAAATTCCCAGATGGATTTGAAGTATATAATTGATATTCAAATCTATTATCCCAACCCGCGTACAAAAATGATACACCAAATGGTCGTAATCCTCCATGTTGAGTATATCCTTGTTTTATATTTGCAACTCTTTTAATTAAAATTTCACATGGAATTTCTTCATTATAAGTTTTTAAATAATTTTGTGATTGTACTCTTGCATTATTTACTAAAATTGATGCATCAGATGTCATCCCAGCTACTGCACATATTAATTGATCATTTATAATATATATTTTTTCTGATGATCCATCATCATCTAATAATTTTGATGTTATTTTTTTTTCACAAGCTAGGACTATACCTTCTTTTGTAACTATTCCTAATGCTGTACCTGCCATTGAAATGGCTTCTTGAGCGTATTCGACTTGATATAATCTACCTTCTGGAGAAAAAATTGTTGTTCTTGAATCATATCTTCTTGACATTTTGTAATTGAAATTTGTATATTATGGTGAATTGTCCTTAAAGAAATTGTAAGTTGATCTTAGGTGCTTGAGCTTAATATTTAATTGTATCAAGTCTGATGTTTTCGACACAAATTGATGATTTATATAAGTCAATTGAACGTCGTGAATATGATATCTTTGGATTTGAAACAATGGTTGTAAAAACTTGTAATATCAATTGGTGGCAATAGTTAATTTTTTTGCAAATTGAAACAAAATCTAAAGTTTTTAGTGTCGTGTCAAGAGAAGAGTTCTTTGGTTACAGAAATAAATATTACCAAAAAAATATTAACCAAAATTATTTAAAATCAGCTCCAAAACCATAACCAAGTTTACTTCTTTCTAACTTTAAAACATTTCTTATAATACTAAAACAATGTTGTGATGTCAGTATTTATAAGTTCAAGTAATGTACCAATAGGTTATACAACTCCACAATTTCCCTCAATTTTCTGGCCAATAGGTTCAACAAGACCATCATATTTAAATTCATTTTTATATTATTCATGGGATATTTGGAGATTTACAGTATATTGGTCATTAATATTATCTGGTTCTTTATATTTTTGTGTTGGTTCATTAGCTATGTTAAGTTCAATTTTAAATAATTATAGACATAAAATACCAATAAATAGTTTTAAAATTATAACTTTTATTTTTGTATTTATGAGTTATATATTTGTTGGATTATTGAAAGGTTTTATTGGTGGGGCTATTATTGGGGTTATATTGGCTGCGATATATCAAGCTGGTAGTTTGACGATGAGTTGTTGGATTCCTTTGACTTGGTCTATTGCTCAAATTTTATATGATATTGCTTCTTCATATCTGATAAGTTCAATTATTTTATAGAGCAAATAAATTAATGTTTAATAATAAATTATTTACTTGTATAAGGTTGAATTTGCTCTTCTAAATATGTCCAAACTTTTTGTCCATTTTCAACATCATTTAAATCATCTCTACAAGTTCCCTTTTTACCAAATGATATAATATATTCACCATTTTGAACTTCTGGACTCAATGCAGCATAAATTTCAGTATATGCACCTAAAGAACTTTCATGAGTTATCATACCACCAAAAAAATTCTCCAACTTATTTAAATTCCTACTTAATCCAGTTTTAAGATATCCCGGACATAAAGCAACACTGATCACAGAATTATTTTGGTTGTGTAATGACCATTGTTTTGATAGTATTATTGAAATTGCTTTTGATTGTGAATATATGGTTAAATTACTTGGTTCTTTTGTTTGTCTAAAATTTGGATCTGAGAAATAAAGCCCATTCTGTGGTGCCCAAAAATGAGATGTTGATGATACCCAAACTATTCTACATGAGCCTGGTTCTAATGTTTTTGAGGTTGATATTAGTAATGGATCTAAATAGTGTTGTAATAAAAAAGGTGCAATACAATTCACACCTAATTGCAACTCGTAATCTTGTTTTGTGAATTCCCCCTTTCTTGGCATCATTACTCCAGCATTATGTACAATTATATCTAGTTTATTCTCAAGTTTGAGAAATTCATCAACTGCTGGTTTTATTGTAATCAAATCAGCAAGATCTACTTTTATAAAATTTAGTAAGTGTTTCCTATCTTCTTGACCTTTAACTAGTTCATCAATAGCTGCTCTTGTCGTTACCTCATTTCTTGCAAATATATAAATCTTAATATCAGTATTATTAAATAATTTTTTAACTACTTCATATCCAATACCTGAATTACCACCAGTTATAATTAATACTTTTCCCAGATCTTTGGGCCATTTATCTTCTGTAAAACTTGGTTTACCTGGATACAATCCTTGTAACACTTCTCTCCAATTTTGAAATGATTTTGAGGGTATGTTTACTGACATATTTTGAATGAATGAATACATATAAAGCAAGTTTAATAAAAATGTAAGTTATATAATGATCAAATTGATAATCAGAAAATATCGTGCGGCTCAAGATCTAAAAATTCGAGCCGCACAACTAATGGTTCTTTGAATTTTGAAATTTGTTTTATTTTTCAAGAATCACCGTCGGTTCGTTCTTTATCAAAATGTCATATAAGATTCTAGATTATTTCAAGACTAAGAAAATAGTCAATCAAACAATTACTTTCAAAGTACCAGTAGATTATTCAAGTACTCATCCAAACCCTCCCTTAATTGACGTTACAATTACTATCACTCAAAAATATGACAAAACATTTCATTCTGAAAAAGACGGTTTTGAAGAAATTATATTACCTGAAAACCCAAATTTAATGTTATATTTACAAGGTGGTCCTGGATTTGGATGTAACATACCTACAGATTACTCAGGAATGACTAAAGTGTTATTAGATGAAGGATATCAAATTGTATGGTTAGATCAAAGAGGAACAGGATTAAGTACTCCACTTGATTGTTTAACCAGAAAACAAAATACTCCAGCAAATAAGTACTATGATAAATTATTTGAATATTTGATTCACTTTAGAGCTGATTCTATAGTTAAAGATGCTGAACATATTAGAAAAATATTAATTGGAGATAATAAATGGTCATTATTAGGTCAATCATATGGTGGATTTTGTTGTTTTACGTATTTATCATTTTATTCAGATTCAATTAAACAAGTATTAATAACTGGTGGAGTTCCACCAATTGGTAAAACTGTTGATGACGTATATACACAAACATATAAACGAACAGAAGAAAGAAATATTCATTATTACAACAAGTACCCACAAGATATTGAAAGAGTTATTGGAATATGTGATTATTTAGAGCGTAATCACCCAGACGTAATCTTACCTAATGGTGGTACATTATCTGTTGAAAGATTTCAACAATTAGGTTTGAATTTTGGTGCCACTGGAGGGACTGATAAAATTCACTCAATAGTTACTAAATTTCATTCAGATTTGAAACAATTTAAAAAACTAAGTTTGAATACATTAACTTTAATTCAAGATCTGATGTCTTTTGATACCAATAATATTTATGCGTTCTTTCAAGAAGCGATATATTGTGACGGTAATATGAAATCAAATTGGAGTGCTGATAGACTTAGGTACGCTCCAGGCAATGAAACTTTCACACATAACACAGACATAATATATTTTACAGGAGAAATGGTATACAAAAGTATGTTTACAGACTACACCCTGTTAAGAGAGTATAGAAGTCTAGCAGATAAATTGCACGACTACGAGAATTGGTCACAATTATATGATATTGATAAGCTTAAACTGATTACATGGGATCAAGTCCCAATAGTAGCAGCAACTTATTATTCAGATCAATACGTTGATTTTAAATTAACTGAACATGTTAAAAATAACATTGTATCACCAGATAATTTGAGACAATTTATAACTAATGAATTTTTTCATAATGGGTTAAGAGCTAATCCTGAAAAGATATTAGGTTCTTTATTTAAATTATTAGATGATGATATAGATTAAAAAAGAAATTCTTGAGTCTATTCTAGTAATGAATATTCAGTTTGTTTTAAATATATCAAAGTTAAAGGATTACATAAAGCATTCTTCAAAGTATTACACAAATGACTATTACGAATAAATTTTACAAAAGCTGCTTTTTATATTTTAATTGATGACATAAATTAAGCTATATAATTACTAGGTACAAATCCAATTCTATATTCACCATTAGCATCTCTTTTCAACCCAACAACCCAATTCAAATTATTTTGTTGATAAACATAATCAATTTGTTGTAAATCATACAACACTTCAATAATGTCACCTTGATTAAAAGTCAAATCACCAATTTCCGAACCTTGGAAATCGTATTGAGCAATTTGAGTGGTTTTATTTAATTTATCTAATTTACTAAACAAATACTCTAGTAAATTGATCTTATATGAGTCTGTAATAATTTGATGTGTTTTGGTTGATTCGAAAATTGGATAGTCGGAGAAATGTTGTGTTGGTTGTGGAGCTAATTTGATTTCATTTTTTGCGGAGTTGTATATTTTTTTAAGATGTCTATCCGCTGTATTACCTTGTTCATTACCGTAATGAGCCATTGAATGAGTTGATAATGAACTTACATCTGAATCTGAAATTTCTGAAACGTCATCGTCACTTAAAGTTAATGACTCCATTGAATTTGAAGAACTTTGTGAATAGATTGGAATGGGTTGTGGTTTTGATTGTGGTTGTGATGCGTAAAATGATATTGTTTTCATTCTTGGTGGTAATGTTGGTGGTTGAGGTTTTGATTGTTCTGAAATTACTTCTGGTGGATCAATTAATTTTCTTGGATGATAAGTTTCTGATTGATTTGAATTTGGATTATTATATTTCTTGAATGATTCGAGGGTATCTGATTCTATTGTGTCATTAAACATTCCTTGTGATGGATTATTTGGTTTGACTACATGTTTTCTTTCATTTACTTTATTAGTTATACTCAATAAAAATTTATGAGTATTCAGTGATTTGTCTTTATCATCTATTTCTTCGTTAATTAATTCTGGATTTTTATTTTGAATTACTGTTAAAAATGATTCAATTTGTAACCTTGTTTTGGTAACGTCTTGTTCCCATTGATTTGTTATTGATTCATAATCTGGAATTTTATCGGTTACTAAACCATAAAACACTGCGAAATATCTTAGAGTTTCCATTATATTTTTATATATTGATGTTTGTTTACATATGAGTAATTTGGTGATTGTTTCAACAAATTCATCCAAAAATGACATGATGTGTGGTAAAATAGTTATAGTTTTGTCATTCAAATAATGAAACGCTTTATCTACGTCATTAAATTGATGTTGTAATTTATCTAATTCCTTTTGATCTTTTTCACTTAATGGTATTTGTTTTTGATTTAATTTTGCAATTTTACGATCTAATCTATCTTGATCTTCTCTTTTTCTATCTCTTTTTTTGATAAGTTTCAAAGTTTCATTTAATCTTTTTCTCATGGTTTTAATTTTAGGTATAACAGTATCGATGTAATCTGCACATTCATTATCTAAATGAAATTTTAAAGCTCCAATTGATTGCATATATTGAAATAGTTCATCATTTACACAATCCACTAAAAATTGTCGTTCTTTTGGATGAATATGCGGAATTTCAGATTCTGCTTCATAAACATCATATTCATGATAATATTTCTCAATATTTTTAAATTGTAATGAATTGTGACCAATTAAATTTTGAAATTCATAAATTACTTTCATATTTATTGACATAACATGAGGTATAATTTTTTTAAATAATTGATTATTTTGAGTTATTAAATATTTCAATCCCAGATTTGCTTGTTTAATATCATGTTCATAATTTTTAATTAATTCATCATCTTGATCAAAATCTCTATGATAAAAAGTTACAGTATCTTTTATATTATGACCTAAATGACTTGCTTCTGTATAAATATGATCTCCTACTCCCTTTATATGAGATCCTACATTATTTGAAAATGATTTTAATGTATTTACAGCCATTGATGATTTAAGATCTCGTGTAATTTTTTAATTGTTCATCAAATTGAATTCAAGTAAAGCATTTAAAGCATATCAATGGATAACTGAACAAGATTGAGTTGTTGTATGACTTTTTCTAAAGCTTATTGATAAAAAGTTAAGAAAATATTCAAAAAAGTCATTATTATTAAACTAATGGGCTTTTTCGGATAAAAAATTAACATTCAAAATATTCGCTTCTAAAAATAGGAAACATCAAATATTTATTATATTCATTAACTTGTAAGTTAAAGGATAGATAATTAGTATGATAAGAGTATTGAAGAGGTTGAGATAAATTACTAACGGTTTTATATGAATTGTATTTAATCTGACTTCAACAGTTTACTACAATTACATTCCGTGAAATCAATAAAAAAAGAAAGTTCAAGTACGAATCCAGTACATATACGATCAGCGATCAGGTTTTAGCTTAACAGTTATAAACATATCATATATTTATATTCTAAAAAACGAGATAGTGTTCTTTCTTACTCCAAATACTATTTAAAAAATTTATAAATCAAACAATTAAATTTTTTAAATGTTGATAAAGTCCACCTAATTTAGATTCAACTGATTGTGAGATTAATTTAAATTTGGTTTGTTCATTATTACCTTTCAATTCTTTCTCGACTGCTTCTTTATAGGTTTTGTATTTATGATCTGATACATTTTCACTCAACTCTTTATAAATCTTAAACAAAGTTCTATTAATGTCATCTTGTTTAACACTAGAATAGTTACCGCCATAAATTAATGTTAAAAATTTATCATTCAATTCTTCAAATGTTTCATCACCAATAAATTTTATATTTTTAACATTTGATATATTTGAATCAGTTAAACCAGACCAAACTGATGAAAAATCAATTTTTGAATTATATTCGTAACCCAAAGCTTCTGATATACTTGCATTAATAACATATACATTATTTTCAATATCTCTTAACTTTATAAATTCTTCACCTAAACAAGCAGTAATTAAAAATAATACAATTAATTTAACATAAAACATGGTATAAAAGCAGTTTCTTTAAATTTTGTGTTGATATTCAATATTTGCCAAAAAAACAAGGTTCGGAGAATTAATGATATATAAATACAATTAAAAAAATTTCTCAATAAAAGGGATAAAAAGGGATAATATAACTAGTATAGAGTCTACTTTTATTCAAAATTAAGGTAATTATTAAACATAAGTCAACAGTACAAATGAAGCCTTACGAATTTTAAAAAGAAGACAACTAGTACTTAAAATGCACTAAATCTAAAATGTTTAATCACTGCTTTTTTAAATACTAATTTTAGTACTGTACTTTTATACTTATTGTTTCATCAGTTTTTAAATCTTTAAACTTATAATAAAATGCAAATTTTATATAAATTAAGTTCTTAATTAAAAACCAAGTTTTAGACTTCAATTATTTTATTAAGTAAAGCACAATACAATGTTTTACAAGAAATTACCCCCCTATTTTCTACATATTCCTAAATTTACATCATGCAAAAAATCTTCTTTTGAATTTAATCCTTACTACTTCTATAACATCATTAATGTAACATTAGATTTGTGAATCAATGTAGAGCACAATTCAGAATGAAATAATTTGTTTGTTATTTTTTCCGAAAAAAAGGTAAATCAGCGAGTGGAAATTCTGAAACAATTTGGTTTCAAATTACATCACCGTATTTCCTTAAATTCGTATTTTAGTAACTTGACACACAAATTCAATATATCATTCATTGAAACTAATAAAAATTTAAAAAATGTGTCTATATTTAGAAATGAACATGTAATCATTAACTTGAGTTAATTCAGGCTAAACTTTAATTTGTTAGAGCCTTGTTATTTAATAGTATTTTTGGTTTGTATCTTTAATTGTATTTAATTAAAACTTAGTAAAATGCATGCTCGCCATTTTAGATCTAAGTAATAATGACTCAAATTGTGAATTATTTGTGGTTACTTTTAAAGAGACTTTTTGTCTACTGTGCCCATTTCAATAAATTAAAGGATTTCAGTTGAAGAATTTAAAACTCACTTTGTTTTAAATTCATAACTTTATTGATCAAAAAGATAAAGATATGACATCATACATTATACGCGCTAGATAAAAGTAAGGTCCAAATTTACTTTCTGAATAATCTCAATATAGAATTAATCAAATGATGGTTAATTTGTTTTTCATGTATTCAAACTACTATACTATTACATGTCGCTAAAATAAAACTTTACCAATATGTAAGTACATACAGATGAAGAAGAAAATTACCTTGGATATAGTATCGATTTGTGATAAATTGTACGATACCGAGTGAAATTGCTAAAATTAACTGATCAAAGACTTTAATAACTAAAAAATCAGTTAATTGTAATTGATTGACATTCTCGAAAACGAGCTTAAAACTTGTAAAACATCAAATTTTGTTTTGCTTTCTACTCGGAGTTTAATATCTAAACTTTGTTATTTTTATCTGGATCTTGTACAGGTTACATGTATTTGTAATTTTAGTTAAACCGACTAAAAGAAGCTTTCGGGTTCTTCTTGATTCTCAATTATTACCAATCAAAATTTGATCTAATTTGTTGCAAATTTTACGCAAAAAACCATAATTTTCATTATGAAACCTAAATTAAAAGAACGAAATAATATATTATATATCTCTTAGAAGGAGTTAAAAAAATTCCTGAGACAAAGATTAAAAAAGATGTTGGTAAACCAATCTTGGGATACTAAGATCAAGATAGCTGATAGATTTAATTGGTCTTGTGAGTTTATATTTATTATAAAACGTACATTTAAAAAACGATTCAAATTGGTTGCAAGATGCATTATATGCTTGTAAAAGATTAAATAGTATCTAATCCTCAATTTGAGAAAATTAATCAAGAAATAACCGAATTTTTTGAAGTAATATGTTGGTGCAATTATAAATAGCAATTATAGAAAAAGGTTGCAAAATATTTTCATTCCACAAAACAAAATTAGGTCACACTTGCTCTAATTCAATCAAAGATCAAGACAGAATTATTAGTCGAGTTCGATCCCAAAGTCTCACAAATTGAGATCACAACGCCGTACTAACGTATAATGACATACTTTGATTTTAAAATTTTATTTATATTTCTTGGTTTATAACACACCACAATTTTAAAGTTGAATCTGATTCAATTGCTATAAAATTTAAAGTTTTTCAAATTGGTCTCAAGTATATAAATATAACTTGAATTCCCCTTCCATTTTTAACTTTAATTCATTCAACAATTAACTCAACTACATACAATTGAAAACATCCATAATGACTAATCAACCACATAAATTATTTTATAAAGGAGCAGATAACGATTTCGTTATATTCATTGATTCACCAGAATTATTTCAAAAATTCAAAAAAGGAGATACCACTATTCCATTAATTGATATAGTTTCTATTTTCAAAGTATTTATAAATAGACAAGGTGGAGCAGAAGGTATATTAGATGAAGCATCAAAACAAGATTTAAGTAATGAATTTAAAACTTCAAATGTTGATGAAGCTATCAAAATAATTTTAGATAAAGGAGAAGATAAACATAATATTGATGTTGATCATGGAATTGCTTCTAAGAATGATTCAATTGGTGCTGGTAATACTGGTAATTAAGTTTAAGCTAATTAGAGAGAAAGATATAATATATGTTAATGTTTTTTTATGATTTAATGATTTTATAGTGTTGAAATATATAACAATATATTAAAAGTTATTTTAAATTACTAGCTACAAATTGTTAGCAATCAGTTTAAAGTTGAAGCATCAATTGTCCCATACTTTAATATAGAATTTTCTTCATATTCAATTTGTTCATCTATATTTTGTAAATTATTATTCATATTATGCATATCAGCAAATATGTGTTTATGTGCCCATATTTGACTACTCCATAATTGTACCGAGTATTGACAATTCATCTCGGTGTCAGTTTGAAATTTATAATTACCTTTTTTCATTAAACCAGAATAATTGAAATTTACTGTAAATTGGTTTTTATAATAACAAACATTTTGAAAAACCATATAATCTGATGGTGATTCTAACAAATAGTAAGCTTTAATTGATTTTGGAACTTGATTTAGGTAAATGAAATGATCTTTTGATTCAGAGCATGAACCATTATGTATATGATTAATTAATAAGTCTAGTTTTTCAAACCAGATATTCGATTCTTCTTGAGTTAAAAATAATAAAACAATTTCAAATTGAGTTGATTGAATCAAGAATCTTAATTTTATATTACCCACCAAGTTAACTTGTATACCATCTTGATCAGTATCATCAGTGATTATTGAACATTTAACTAATGGAATAATAAATTGAGGAACATATCTTTTCAAGGTTTTATTTCTTTTCAATTTTTCAACATATTTCAACAAAATTAAATGCCCCTTAAATAATAATATTGCATAATGTTTTAAAATTGGTTTATTGCCTTTAATATAAACAACAAATCCAACACCAATATAAATTGGAACTCCAAAAAATTCAGAACTTAAGTCATTAAATTTAAAACATAATTTTTCAAATTTGAAATATTGATTTTGTTTTGTTAAATATCTTTTAAAATCTACTATTAAATTTAATTTTTCATTTATTGAATTTGTATTATTTTGATTATTAATTTTATTAATTTTGGAATCTATTTCATTATGAATTTCTAAAATTTTTGTTGTGTCTCTATCTATTGATTCAAAGTCATCAATTACTGCTCTTGCAAAAACCAAGTAGTGAAAGATTCTTGACATTCCATTATGATGTAATGCCTGAAATGACAAATTTCTTTTTAGTTCTCCTTGATTTATACTACTTAAATGTTGTTCAATTCCTTTTTGATATTGATCAACTGCAATTTTAACTTTTTTACTCAATTCAAAACTATTCGAAAAAGTACAATCATCAACTTCATCATTTGAATTAAAAATATTTGAAATTTTATTTACTGCAATTGAATTTGAACAATAATATAGGTAATAAAATATTTCTAAACCTTCTTTTGAAATTGCTTCTAAAATGTTTTCAGTTTGTTCTGCAATACTTCCAGATCGATCATTTTTAATACCATCAAAAACTTGAGTTAATTTATCATGAGACTCAATTATTTTTTCTAGACATTCTTTAGCAATTATAAACGGTGTTGGTAATTCATGATGTGGTAATTCAAAATTTGAATAATAAAATCGAAATAATTCTTTACAATCATTAACATAAGATAATTCAGTTTTAACTATTTCATTTGACCTTTCTTCTAAATTATCATACCCCGAAGTATTTGCTGAATAAACTATTAGTGGTTTTGGTGTTTCTGTTATATTTTCAAAAGTGTTCGAGGAATTCAATAAGGTGGTTTGTTTCTTTCCCTTTTTTATAACTTTATCTCTAAATTTGAATGGTGAACGATTTTTATGTGATGGTTCTTTCAAAAAATTCAGTGGTAGTGAATCATATCCATTAATTGATGTTTTTAGTTGAGCTGCACCGTTTAAACTTCCAAAGGACTGCGCCAGTGGCATTGTGGTCCATATGTTGAAGTGTTTTTGAGTTGCCGAAATTAATTTGAGTTTTTTGTTATTTGATATTTTTAATTTTTCTGTTTCAAAATTCATTTGGGTGCAAAAATTAAAATTATTTAATGATTACATAATCTATGACTAAGATCTTTAAATTTAGTCGCAAAATAAAGTTTTATATAATGACATGAAATCTGGATTTACTTTCTATTTTTACAACCAATCATGAGTGCAAGACAATTAAAGAAGATAGGAGGTAGAAGTCTAGAAGATGAATTAAAAAGATTAGATATTGATGTGGATGAAGAAATGGGAAAAAGTAAGTCACCAGAAAATGAGTCAGAAGAGGAAGAAGAACCTGTAAATAAACCAAAATTTAATGCATTTGCTTTATTAAATGGAGAAGATGATGATGAAGGTGATGAATATGAAGAAGAGGAAAATGAAGAACCCACAACCAAAGAAGAATCAGACAAAGTGCCAACCCCTCCTGTAAATTTATTATCTAAGAAGTCTAAAAAGAAGAAGAAGAAGTCAAAGCAGAATAAAAAGACACCAGAACCAGAGATAATCGACGAGGGAAATGAAGAAGATGACGGGGAGTTAGATAGAATACTAGCAGAAGTGAGAGCCAAAGAATCCAAACAAAATCAATCCACCAATCAGTCCAACAATCTCGATTCATATAATTTTGAAGAAGAATATGATGAATTGACAGAATCAATGGGATTTTATGATTCAAATTTCAAAAATTTCACAACATCAGCATTAAAGCAATCTTTACCATTATTATCAATTAATTCTATTAAAAATCTAGATCCAGATCAAGAATACAAGAATTTATTTGGGAAATCTTTATCAATAGAATTAATAGAAGATGCAAATTCAACAACATCGTTAGCTATATCACCAGAAATACTAGCTCAGTTTAAAAAAATGAGTAAAATGATTAGAAATTGGGGTGGTAAAGATCGTAGAAACATTCCTGGAACTTCAAGAAAATTATTATTATCCAAGATTAGAGATGATTGGTTACCTACTCAATTAAAAAGTGTAACAATGGAAGAATTATCTAAGCAAGATATTATAGAGATTTACAAATACAAGGAAGAAGATGTTGAAGAAGAAGATATTGTACATAAAGTTACAAATGAATTATCTTTAGGTGTAAAATATTTTAAATTTAATAAGGTTTCAGATACGAAAAGTAAAGTAGCAAATACAAGATTTTATGTATCAACAGTTTTAACACCAGATCCAGAATCATTAATGCAATTACTACAACAACATCCATATCATCAAGAAACTTTATTACAAGTTGCAATGGTATTACTTCGACAAGGTGATAATAAGGCTACATCAAATGCTTTGATTGAAAGAGCTTTGTTTACATTTGATAGAAGTTTTCATAGAGTATTTCATGAATTGATGTCATCTGCAACTAATGGATTAATACGATTACCTTATGAATTTTTTGCAAATAGACAATTTTATTTGAATTTGTTTAGATACATTGTTTCATTAGGCGAACGATCATTATTTTTTACAGCTTGTACATATTGTAAATTTTTGTTAAGTTTGTCACCATGTGAAGATCCGATGGGAGTAAGATATTTTATTGATTTTTATTGTATAATGAGTGAGGAATACGAATATTTAGTTGAATTGAGAAACTCGCCACTAGTTACATCATATACGAGATGGTACACTCCGGGCATTGCGTTTTCTACCGTACTTGCATATTTAAAAGTAAATAAACAACAACAAGCAATTGAAGAATTGAAAAAAGCATACGAAGCATACCCGTATGTTGCATTTAAATTATTAACAGAAGTTGGATTATCAAATGAATCAAATTTGAAAGAATCAGATTTCAAAACTAATCATGAAGAATTAGTAGCATCAGAAACTTATTTAATAAGAGCAAAATTATTATGGCAACAAAATCTTGAATTTTTAAGTTCAAATTTAGAAAAATTATTTTCAACAAGAACCAAAAAATCAGCCAGTCAGGGTTATGCACAATCATTATTTGGATTTTTAAATTTTGGTAAATCAAATAATAATAAGGAGCTGAATGAAGTACCTTTAAATCTTATAAGATTTGCTATATTATCTGGTGAGAACAAGATAATGGCAAAATTACCAACCAATATATGGAATAGAGATGATATTTTAGAATATGATGTATTACCCCCAACTGAAAAAACCGAGCAAGAGTTATTTATAGATACTTCACTGAAACAACCAAAACATATATGTGATACATTGATGAATTATGTTGATCAAAATCTTTTAGGTGAGTTAGTTCAACGAAATACTAGAGGTGTTGGTGATGGTTTAAATCCTGAAGAAGCTAATATGATTCAGCAAATATTGAGAGATACTGAAGGGGTTAATTTGAATCTTGCAGAAGCTGATAGAGAAAGATTAAATCGTATGCTCACGCAAATAGTTGCTGAAGACGAAGCAGCAACTCAAGGGGAAGACGTGGAATAAAGTGATATAATTATATAGTTCAGTCAATTTAAAATAATACTACTTTTATTAAAGAGTCTGTTTGGTGAAATAGTATCAAAATAAAAACATATCTGACCGATTTTGCATTCTAATTGCTCAACATACTGCTAAATTATTCAAACAAATTTATACTCCTTCATTTCACAAATCAATTGTGTAATAGTATCTACTTTTGAAGAAGTCAAATCCGCTATTCATCTTTTTACCCCATAATTTAAAAAATGAAGAGATTTGGTAGCACGTTCCGTGGTTAATTATTTAATTAGGAAATTATTATAATAAGTCCGATTGGAATTCTATATAGAATTCTAAGATATAATATTCACAATGAATTAATATAATAATATAGTCATATATTACAATTTCGTATAAATATATTAATAAAAACCAAATAGTCATAATTCTAATTGGATCCTGCTTTAAATTATATTAGTCTAGTCAAAGAATTATAAAAAAACCTGGTGAAATTTGGTGGCTAATGTTATGGCAATAGCTTTAAATAATACAACGTCTTTTGCAACTACATCAACTACATCAACAAAGACAATGAATACAGATTTGGATAATTTAACCGACATCGAACAAAATCAGCCACCACCTAAACAAGAAGAAGATGAAAGCGAAGAGATTTTCAAAGATCAAAAACATTTAACCATAAGAGAATTTTTCAGAAAGGAATTTATAGATGATTTTCATCCTGTTTATTTTGTTGGATTTTTGGGTTGTGGTATAACTGGTAATATCTTTTATGGCTTTCCTTATCCTGCTGAATGGTTAAAAGTTTGTGGTATAATCTTTTTTTGTTTGACTATACTAATATTTTTGGTGACTAATTTGATGTTAGTTCTAAGTTTATTGTACTACCCTAAAAGACTATGGTTATATATTTATGACTACAATTATTCACTTTATTTTGGAGTATATTCAATGGGATTTACAACAATTATAAATGGAGTACATTTGCTAACTAAAGGTAAATACCCCACATTTCAATGGGTATTATTTTGGATTGGAACAGTACTAGCAGTTCATAATACTGCAGTCATTTTTTTCTTTTCATATTTATCAAAACACAGTGTTCACAAATTACGAGATATTAATGCAAGTATTTTTATTGTGATAGTTACATGTTGTGTTAACAGTTCTAATGGTCATTTAATTGTTGAAAACTTGAAAACAGAAAATCAAAAAATCATAACTGAAGTAACTGCACTTATGTTATTTTTCATTTCATTATTGTTATTTCATGGAGTTGGTGCGATATACGTAGTGAGATTAATACTATGCAAAGTACCCAGTACTCCACAAGTTTTCACACAATTTTTACCAGTTGGGTTCACGGGTCAAAGTTCATATTCGATTATGTTATTTGGGAACAATATGTACAAATTAATACCAGATGAATCACTAGGGAAAGCTTTCTTAGTTCTGAGTGCTCTACTATCATATGCGTTGCTATCAGCTAGCTACATTTATATGTTCTTAGCAATAGTATCATGTTTATCTAAAACAAAACCATTTATCAAGAATCCTGACCCAAAATGGAACACAAAAAGATTTGGACTAATCAAATGGAATAAAGGTTGGTGGACAATGACTTTTCCTACTGGAACAATGCTGCTTTGCTCTTTTGAGATATCAAAGGGAGTAGCTGGTTATGAATTTTTATTTTTTAAGGTAATGGCTGCAATAATTGGTGTTGCATTATTTATTATTTGTATTATTAATGTAATTGGTTTGGCTATTAGTATATGGGAAAAAATTTATGATGCTTTTTTCAAAGATTTAAATAATGATATAAAAGTTAAAGTATAGACTAGACATTTGATATAGATTTGACTTTCTTAAACTGAACGTGGTTGTATTTCCTCTTATATTTTCAATTGCTGCAAAATTAATAAATTTGAAAATGACCAAATTTACACGACTTTGTCAAATTCAAAATGAAACACAAAATTATTCAATCAACTTTATCTTTCATTCAAATTGTCACCAACCACCAACTTTATTCAATTCATCAATAAAAACCTAAAACCTACTCATACCAATTCCACTCGTGCAAATACAATTTCATAAAAAATGTCATCAGGTATTCAATCGTTATTAAAGACCGAAAAAGAAGCAGCAGAAATAGTCAATGAAGCAAGAAAATACAGAACCAATAGATTAAAAACAGCAAAACAAGATGCACAAGAAGAAATTGAAAATTATAAAAAACAAAAAGAAGATGAGCTTACTAAATATGAGAAAGATCACGAAGGAATAAATGAAAAAATAGATAAAGATGCTGATGCAGAAGTTGAACAAGAATTAAAAAAATTAAAAGAACAATTTGAAAAAAAAAAAAATGATGTTATTCAATTATTAGTTGATGCTACTATATCTCCAAATCCAGAATTACATATAAATGCTAATGTTCAAAAAGAAAAACCAACTGAAAAAGCTTAGATCAAACTGTTGTATACTAAATCGATAAATTGTTATAAAAAGAGAAATCTTACAAATCTGTTGTAGTCATTAATATCTCGTTTATTTCTAAAATGCTATTATATATTTTATGCTCCACCTTTAGCTAAATTCCTAAAAGCTTTTAATTTAGCCCAAACTCTACCATCATAACCAGCAATATTTAAGTTTTTAACAAAACCCCATGCCTTTTTATCATCAGTAATAGGATAATCAATAGGTGGTGGGATAGAAGTTGCAACTCCCAATACTCTAAGCAATGGTTTATCCATTATAATTGATTTTAAATTACATAATCCAGTTAAACCTTCTTCACCTCCAAATTTCCCATATCCAGATTTTTTAACACCACCAAAGGGTAATTGAGCTACATAATAAGTTGCAAAATCATTTATTGCAACATTACCACTTTTTAATTTATTTGCTAGTTGATTCAATTGATTAAAATTTGATCCAAATATTGAATTTCCTAATCCATACTCGGAATTATTTGCTAATGATATGGCATCATTTACATCTGTTGCTTTTATTATTGTTAATATGGGTCCAAATACTTCTTCATTAAATATTTTCATTGTTGGATCAACATCAATTAATAATGTAGGTTCAAAATAATGACCTTGTGGATAATTTGGATGTTGATATGCTTTACCGCCATGAATTAATTTAGCACCCTTTGATACAGCATCTTTTATTAATTCATCAAGTTGTTCAAATCTATTATCAGATATCATTGCTCCCATATCTATTTCATCTGATTGATCAATATCTGACCCTATTCTGAATTCTTTAATACGTTTAGATAGCACATCCACTAAAATTTCGTATGATTTAGGTAAACAAATAACTCTTTCAATCCCAATACAATTCTGTCCAGCACTTTGAAAAGTCCCTCTCAATATTATAGAAGATAAAGCATTTAAATCTTTAACATCATCCAAAACTATAAATGAATCCTTCCCACCCAATTCTACAACACAAGGAGTTAATTGTTTAGCAGCATTACTAACAACATGATGAGCAATAGGTTTTGATCCAATAAATGTAATATGATTTAATCCAGGGTGTGAGCTAAAATAATTAGCATCTTGAGGAAAACAATAACATAGCTGTATTAAATCTTCATCTAAATCCAAAGCTTTTAAAGTTGATTTACACATCGAAATAAACCATTTACTAGACCAAACTACATTTTCAGAACATTTTACAACTATAGCATTACCTGTGAAAACCGAAGCTATTATTGGTCCCATTAAATTATGAAATGGATAATTCCATGATATAATTGAAGATACTACACCTAAAGGTTCATATCTAACTTCTGCATTTTTCATAAACCCCAATAAAAAATTAGCAGGTCCGGGTCTTTGATTAGGTTTCAATATTTTTTCACCATGTTGAACAATCCAATTTACTTTCTCCAAAGTTACCATAATTTCTCCCATACTTGCATCTAATTTTGTCTTTCCAGAATCTCTACATGCTATTCTTGCTATATTCTCTTGATTCTCCAATATAAAACGAGCTAAAGTTCTTAAGAATTTTCTTCTAATGGTGAATGAACTATTTGACCATTTTTGCTGTGCTTTGTGAGCTTTCTCAATCATTTCATCCATTTCTTTTCTAGTTGTGGTTGGAAATATACCTAAATCTTGACCAGTTGCTGGACAATAACATTGTAATTTTGTTAAATCATTCTCTACAAAAATACTTGGTTTAGGGTATAATCGTTTACCTTTCCAATGAGGTCTTGCTTCTTCTGGTATTGGTATTGTTAATTTTTTAGGTGATTCAATTTTATTATATGAATTTGGTGATGAAGTTACATATTTACAATATATGTAATATAGTATTGGTAGTATTACAAATATAAAAAAAGTAGTTGATATTTGATATTGCCATTGCCATTGTCGGAATTCTAGATCAATTGCAATCATTGACCTAATTTAGTTCGGTAATTTAAGTTTCTTTGTTTACAATTTTTCAATCGTTTAGCGAGTTTTGAATTTTTTATTCTCGTTGCTTTTTAAAGCATGATACAATTCCGAAGCTACAAATTTTTTGCAACCATTAGAGAAATCAACTTAGTATTTTAATTATCATTACATGCATTAAATATTAATCTATTTACATCCTTAATAAAACCCTTCTGCTATAAATCTAAGCATATATTCATCAATATGACCAACACCTTCATCAAAATCTAAATCAGCATTTTCATTATCTTCATTATCATTATTTACAAGTTGTTTATTGTTGGTATCTTCACTAAAATCTTCATCATCTATAGCAACTTCCTTTAATGCAGCACCAGCAGCCACTCTATCTTCTTCATCTTCAGCTTGTGCAAATACATTACTCATCTTGTTATCACCTGAAAAATCAATAGTTCTATCAGTTGGAATTTCTTGTGAAATATTTGGATCTTGAACTAAATCACGTACTGAAAATTTTCCAAAATAATCAGTTGTAAATTCACCTTCTTGAATAACAACATTGTCTAATTGTCTTTTTTGATTTGCCTTTTTAATTATATTTGATTCAATAGTATATTCTGAAACAAATCTATATATGTGTACATCTCGAACTTGACCAATACGATGACAACGATCTTGACATTGTTTATCCATGGCAGGATTCCAATCTGAATCATAAAAAATAACTGTATCTGCACCAGTTAAATTTATACCTAATCCACCTGATCTTGTTGATAATATGAATACTGGAATTTTTGGATCTCGATTAAATTTTTCAGTTAATAATTGTCTATCTTCAATTTTAGTAGCACCATCTAATCTCATATATCTATAACCATGAATATTTAAAAATTGTTCCAAGATATCCAAAACTTTAGTCATTTGTGTAAAAATTAACGCTCTATGACCTCCAGCTGTAAGATCTCTTAATAAAATTGCTAATTTTTGTAATTTACCACAATCATATTGTAATAACGTCTTATCGGGAAATGCAATTGATAATTTGACTTGTGATTGATGAAATGGATTTGTAATTTTATTTGTGGCAACATCATTTTTAATTCTATATTGTGTAGATTTTGGAATTAATTGATCAGTCATATCTAATGCAACTACTGAAGGTGTTAAAATTGAATATTGACTTATTTCATCTTTCATTGAATCCACTCTTTGGTTTAATGTTAAACAAAATTTATCAAATGGTTCATCTGTGTAATTTTTTGGTTTTAAAGTTAAGAATTTCAACAACGAATTCCCATAAATTGGTTTCTTATTACATCTCAAAGTATTCAAATATAATACTTGTTCCAATTTACTTTTAACTTCAAGTTGTTCCTCAATTTTTAAATTTTGAAAATATCCAACATAATCAGTTATAGTTTCATTACTTGTAGGTTTCAATTGGGTTAATTGATCAATTTGGTTCTGGATTTGATTCGAAGACTGTAAATTTGATATTGAGTCAGACACAAAGAAGTTTAGATCTTCATTCGCGGTAAGTTGTAAATTCAACACATCGAAATCAACTGATTCTTTAGTGGTACATAATTTTTGAGTAAAATCGTTAGTAATCTGATAATCAGAAGAAGCTGATCTAGGAATAGCAAATGATGTAACAATGGGTCTCACTTCGAATAAATCTGGATGATTACAAACTTTTCTTAATTGCATAAGACAATTTATAATCGATAAAAAATTCCCAGAAGCTAAAGTTTCTTTTGTTTTAGCTCTTGACATGAAATCATCATATAAGTATCGTTGTCTTTTGGATAATCGACAATATACTATATGTTCATATTTACCAGGCATTTGTTTTTCAACATCTTTTTTCATTCTTCTTAAAATATAAGGTCTTAAAACTTGATGTAATCTAGATACTGTATTCTTGGTTTCTTCATCCATTTTGGAAGTGGTTTTTTCATTTTCATCAATTAAATCAGAACTATTTCCCAAAGAAGTTTGTTCTAATATTTTATCAACTGGTTTACCAAACCATTGTTGGAAATCTTCTAAATTTGCAAACCCATCAGGCATAGCTAAATTGACTTTTGAAGAAGGCATCAAGAAATATAGTAATGACCATAATTCCATTAAATTATTTTGTAAAGGTGTACCAGTTAATAATAATCTATTTTCAGTATTAAAATTCAATAATGCTTTCCATCTAGTTGATCTAAAATTTTTTATATTATGAGCTTCATCTAAAATCATATACTTCCATCTTCTTCTCTTAAAAGCTTGTTGATCTTGAACCACTAACTGATACGAGGTAATACAGACATGAAAAGCATCTGGTTTATTCCAACCTTTCCTCTTTTGAGCTCTTTGTTGTGGAGATCCATAATATGTCATTACTTTAAAACCTGGTGCAAATTTTTTAAATTCCATATCCCAATTAAGCATAACTGATGTTGGAACAATAATTAAATGCGGTCCCCAAATATGATGCTCACATGCTAAATATGATATTAACGATATTGTTTGAATAGTTTTACCTAAACCCATTTCATCTGCTAATATACCATTAGTGTTGTTATTGTACAAACTAGCTAACCAATTTAGCCCTTGTTTTTGATAAGGTCTCAAAGTACCCCTTAGTAACGAGGGAACAGGGACATCCTTGACTTTTGAACCATTAATTATATCAACTGGACCTTCATCCTCAGTTTCTAATTTCTTTCCAACATTTTCTTCTTCAACTGTACCATTGATTTCTTCTTCATCCGATTCACTCAACATATCAACACTTTCGTCAGACAAATTATCCATATCAACATCTTGATCACTTTCTGATTCTTCAAAATTATTAAATAAACTTGCTAATCCACCATTTGCAGAAGCGTTTCTATCGGATTCAATTTCTTCCTTCGCCTCTTCAACTTCTTCCTCTTCTTCCTCTTCTTCAGAGCTTGAAGAACTTGACATTGAACTGCTTTGATCAGAATCAAGTAATGAATTTCTTTCAGATTCCAGTTCTTGTTCAATTCTCATTGCAATTCCGTCTTTTTGTTCATGTTCCGTATCAACACCATTTGGTACGATTATTTCCTCTCCATATAATGCAGCTAATCCTTTACTTTCATCAAAACTTTTATCATCCTCTTCTTCTTCTGAGTCTACTTCAACTGATCCATTAAATGATGCTTCTTCTTTATCTGATGTTTCTGCAGTTTGTTCTCTCGAACTATCCATATCTGCATATTTTTTTCTTAATTCGTCAATAGATAAATTAATATCTTCTTCTTCCTTTGGTACAAATCCATTACTTTGTTTTTCTTCTTGCTCTTCTTCATCTTCATCTGAACTTGATGAAAAATTATCTGAATCGTCACTATCCGAATTTTCTTCTTCTTCATCCTCTTTTTCATCTTCACCAATATCACTCATAAATTCACTTTCTGCAGTTGCTTCTTTAGAAGATGTTAATTGAGCTTCTAATAATTGAGTTGAGTGTTCTAACATTTGACTTAAATGTTCTCTTCCCTTTAATTTTTTAATTTCCTCATTTTTTTCATTTTGAATAATTTGATAAACTTTGAAAGCTTCATTCCATCTTTTCTTGATCGCTTGCATTGCATTTCTGCTAATTTTCTTGATGTTTTGTTCTTGTTCCCTCAACAATCTTTCTCTTTCTCCTCTTTTCTTTTTGAAATGTTGATCTACCATTGATGCAATTTTTCTTGTTCTGTTTATATGTTGTCTTCTCATTTGTTGATGAATTCTGGAAAATGACATACCTTGAGCTACAAAATGATCATGATGTGTTAAGTTGTTTGTAGAGCCTTGTAATTTTGGTGTGACTGATGATGTATCTCTAAATGGATCGTTTAATTTAACGTTTGATGTTGGTGGTAGTAAGATTTTACGTCTTTCAATTTTATTCGCATTATACTCCAAAACATTTTCATTCATTTTTTTCAAGATGGTATTGAATAATTGTTGTTGCTGAGTATTTATTGAATCAAATTCTTGTTTTGTGAAATTATAATCTGGCATATTTGCTTCATCAATAATTGGAAATTTACAATTTTCATCTAAAAAGTGTTGTAATTTATTGTCTAAATTAGGTGCTACTAATAATTCATCTTTAGTTGCAGCAATTTTCAATGATTCAGGTTTAAAATCTATAATTTCATCAGATGTCTTTGATTCCATTATTGTATTGGATGATCCTTCAGGGGCTTGTTTCCAACCAGGTACATGCGATGGATGTGTTATGATTAAATGTGGAATACTTCTACTTATCTTTTTAATTCTATTTTTGAATTTTGGGAGCTCTGTACTTTCATCAATTTCTTCAATATCATCATCGGATATAAATGTTTCCCCATCCTCCTTTTCTTCTTTTTCTGGACTTTCCTGTCTTGATTCTGAGTTTTTCTCCTCAATTTTTGGTTTTGTTCGCTGTTTGCCTTTAGTTGTTGGTTTTGGCAATTCAGTTTTCTTTTTATTAGGTATGGATTTTTGTTTTGTCGGTATTGGTTTATGTCCATTTTGTTGATTAATTGGGAAAAGTTCAAGCTCTCTTTTATTTACATCTTCAAGCACTTGATTCTTGAAAGGATATTTCTTATTTAATAATTCTTCTCTTTCTGCAATTTTCTTTTTCTGAAATCTAAATGGCAAATTCTTCAATTCTTCATCATCTTCAATTTTTTCATCCCATTTTAGATTATAATCATTTGAATCTTTAAATTTTTGAAATTGTTCATTTGTTGTTGAGCTATTTGATGAAAAATCTTGGGGTTGCCAACTAACTATTGATTTATATTCTTTTAATTGATATAATTCATTAACGGCTAAGTTAAAATCTGATATGATATCTACCAATTTTTCTTCTTTTGTTTTTTCTATTTTCCTTCTCTTATTGGAGTTCGTTTTTGATGTTGATGTTGATGTAACTGTACCATTACTTTGATGTGATTGATTTGATCTTTTATTATTTCTTGATAATGATTGTAAATTATACAGTATAGGTGTTGAATTATTTTGACTTATTCTTGACAGTATTCTCCTCCTGCCTCCTTCATTTGACATTATATATACATTCGAGTTAAATTATTGTATGTTAAATTTAAAAACAATTATCAAGTTGTAAATAAAATTAAGATATGTGAATTGAAAAAAATATTTATAATATGTATAAAACATAAATAAATAAATTTAAGAGAGAGAGAGAGAGAGAGAGGGCTTGAAAAACGCTCATTTGATATATTTTACGCACTCATTTGAAAAATTAAGCATAGAGTCAAACATATATCAGTTAAAAGATCATTATATTATCGTCTTTATTTTACAGGTATAATGTTATTTAATAATTTAACATATATTGTTATTCCTTTATTTATACAGATGGTAAAATTCCATTTTCTTTAGCTTTTTCATCAACAGATACATTAACTCTTGGTTTTCCTATACTTGTAAACCATTTCATTGTTCTTGAGAAACTATCATCACCATTCCAATCAAAAGTAGGTTTAGCTCTTACTGGATCTTGACCTTCTGATACAATAACATCCTTGACAGCTTTTTGATCTGGATTTAAATGGAAATATAATATACTAAAAGCAATACCAAAAATTGAACCAAAAAATATTAAATTTTGTTTTATAGCTTGTGAATCAGATATAAAATCGTAATGATCTGGTGACCAAATATCATACATATCTTCTTCTGTATGAACTGGATCATTTAAATTTCTTCTATTTTGTGGATCATCATATTTTTTATATGGATTTTTATCTTGAGCTAATTGAGGATTTGGAAAATTTTCCCATTTTGATGGATCTGGAAATGATTGAATTAATGTTTTCCCACCATCTGCATAATTTCTTATGGTAGTTATATTTGATTGTGTATTGATTTTAATAAATTGATTTGATGAACATTTTAATGATCTTAATGCTGACCTAGATATCATTTTTATTAATTGTTGTGCAGTGGAATATATAGATAGGTAATTGAAGTAAAAAGTATGAGTTTATGAAAAAGTGAATAACTAGTCAATGGTTGTAAATGATGAAGATGAAGATGATTGACTATTATTTGACTATTCTACCTTTTAATAAATTTTAATAATAATAAATAAAAAAATATAACCAATAAAAATTAATTTGTATTAAGCTTACAATATAAGTCGTGTAATTCATCAAATTTATTAAGTATCAAAAGACCATTAAGAAGAATTCAAAATCCATACCGGTAGGGAATGAACTAATAGAAGAAGAGTAGTGTCAGAATGTAGAGCTTTCAGCTTAGACGTTAGCCTGAATTGCTTGTCCAGAATAACTTTCCTATCCAATAAATATGCTAATTTGATATTTCATTAAAGTACCCAAGGTGACTATAACTCTATATTAACCTCCGTAAAACTCCATCAAAGTCGTATGTATCTCAATATAACTTATTCTTTACTTGGAATAGTTTGACTTTCACCAAATTTAATAGATTTCAAAGGAGATTGTTCACTATTTGCAAAATCTAATAATCCATTATTACCTTCTAATCCAATTCCCAAATCTTTAGCAAAATATGATATTGTTAAAAATACAGGTATAAAAGCAAATAATACTGATGAATTATAAATATTCCAATATTCATGTATTGGTGGAGGATTTAAATTAAAATGATATTTATTTGTGAATGGAATTGGGGATTGTTTTGGTGTTGATGCTGCTGCGTGTTGGAATCTTTTTGTCGTTATCCTTTTAATTGATTGAGTAAACATTGTGAATATTGTATTAATTTGATTATATGTGAGCTATGAAAAAAGTAAGAATTAGTAAATTGTTGTATGATTAGGATGGGTATAAATAATAATAACTGAAACTTTTATAATTAAAATGTTTTTTTTCTATAGCCTATATAAAAATAATTAATATTAGTGCGATTTTTCAGCAGACTGCGCGTTATTACAGATTTGAAATAAAAATATGTGAAGTAATTTTACTTTTATCATTTTCATTACACTGATATAAACCCTAGGTAATATAAATTTTAAATTCAAGTTTTATCTTTATTTTAATCATTGAATGAGTTGAGAATTCAATTTAAAATTATATAAATTCATTAAGTTTTAGGATAATTATAGATTCTCTTAGTTCAAGTTTTCATTTAAATTTAAATTAATGTTACACATAATAATAATATTTTTTATATATTTTGCAACCAATTTTACAACAATTTATTAAAGATGACAGATTTTATAGCATTATTAAGAATAGAACCATTGAATGATTGTAAAATAACAGCACTAAAGAGAAGTCAAAAATCACAATATGAAGATCCAACTGAAACTAATATTTTAGTTCCCATTTTCACTCAAGAAGTTTTGAAAATAGGTAGAAATAAAACAAATGATATAAAATTAAATAATCCAACAATTTCTTTGACTCATGCAATTATTTGGTCAGTTAAATTTGATTCAGAATCTACTCCGTTAGTTTATATAAACGATTGTTCAAGAAATGGAATTTTATTCAATGGTTCAGAAATGCAGAATGGTGAAACAAAATTATTAAATGATGGTGATCAAATTGAATTTAAAACTGCTGCTATTTTAAGTTATGAATGTTTAGTTGATTCAATCAGGGAAACTAATCATTTAAAATCAGATTTTAAAATTAATGATAATTGGGTTGTAACAACAAATTTAGTTGGGACTGGTTCATTTGGTTCAGTTTATGTTGCAAAAAACTTAGAACATCCAGAAAAGTTATATGCTGTTAAAGTTTTAGGTAACAAACAATTTTTTTTAAACAAGAGTCCAATATCAGGTCATAATGAAGTAAAAATATTATCAAAAGTCAATCATGTATGTAATTTGGGTAATTTTTGCAACCAAATATTTTTTTTACTAACAAAAATTGCAGCCAAATATTATAAAGCTATATAATGCAATTACGACCAATTCATTTACATACATAGTTCAAGATTTAATATGTGGTGGTGATTTATTTTCTTATTTAGTTAAAGGTACAACTTTAAAAGCAATATCAGAAAGAGAATCAATTTTCATTATATTTCAAGTAATGAAAGCATTACAATTTTTACATAAAAATCTCAATATAATTCATAGAGATTTAAAACTAGATAATATCTTATTAGAAATTCCACAACCTAAAACTAAAATATATTTATGTGATTTTGGAATTGCTAAAAATGTATCATTTTCAAATGGTCGTACAAATACATCAGTTGGAACAATTGAATATAGTGCACCAGAAGTTTTTAAACAAGATTTAAATGGGAAATCTACCAAACCATATAATTTCAAATGTGATATTTGGTCATTAGGTGTAATCACTCATATATTATTATCAGGAATTTCTCCCTTTTATTCAGATCAGAAACAACATATTTTGGACTTGACCAGAAGGGGTCAATTAAATTTCAAAAGAAAACAATTTAATCAAGTATCTAATAAAGCACAACTGTTTATACAATCTTTAATACAAATTGATAGTGGTATAAGATTAGATATTGATGAATGTTTTGAACATAATTGGATTAAAGCTAATAGATTAAAATTAGAAAGATTTTATCGCGAAAATATTTTAAAAAAATAAATTTATTTTTGCAACACAAATAATTTTTTGAAGCAGTTTAAAAGTATTGATTAAATAAATAATGCATCATATCAATGCTGTCGAAACCACCATACGGGTTTAATGGACCACAAAGAAATCACGGAGGATATAACTCAAATAAAAATTATCAGAATAAAGGATATGGAGGAGGAAGTGGTAGAAATTCATCATCATCATATACACAACATAATCAATCATCAAACTCAGATAGAAATTATAATAAGAGACCAAATTCATCACATCAACAATATAATCAACAAAATAGAAACAACTCATCATATAGAGCAAGACTGAATTTATACCAACAATATTCATCACAACCACAACACCACCACCAACAACAACAAGATAATCAATTTCAAATATGGATGGGGGATATAGATCCAACATGGGATGAACATACTATAGAAGCAACTTGGACAAATCTAGTAACAAAACCGAAATCTATCAAATTAATGAGAGATAGAGTAAACCCACTGAATTCATCATATTGTTTTGTTACTTTCCCAGATAAAGAATCTTATGAATTGGCATTACAAAGGAATAATCAACCAGTACCCAATAGTACAAAATTTTTCAAATTAAATTCAGCAAATAATTCCAAACAAAATCAAGGAAAATCAAATACATCAATTGGTGGAGAATTTTCAATTTTCGTAGGTGATTTATCACAAGAAGTTAATGAACATATGTTATTTACAAAGTTTAATTTAAAATATCCTAATCAAGTTAAACAAGTTAAAGTTATAATTGACCCAAATACAAATGTTGGTAAAGGGTTTGGATTTGTTAAATTTTTAAATGGAGAAATTATGCAAAAGGCATTAAAAGAAATGCAAGGAGTAATGGTTGGTTCAAAACCAATTAGAGTTGGAGTAGCTGCTGGTTCAGAAAATCCACAAACTTCTTCAATTGGGATTGATCATAAATCAACAGATTTTAAAAAATTGCATTTACCACAACATCAACCAAATGAAATTAACCCACAAACAGATGAAAATAATACATGTATAACTATTAATGGTTTATCTTCAAAATTTACAGAACAAGAATTACAATCTTATTTTATTGCATTTGGAGATTTGATATATGTTAAAATTTCCAAAAATTTCCAAACTGGTTATATTAAATTCTTGTTAAGATCATCAGCTGAATCAGCAATGTTGTATCTTAATGGGTTAGTAATTAATGAATGTAGATTAAAACTCAATTGGGGAAGTTCTAATATACTAGCACAAGAAGAAAATGGATTAAATTTTGAACCAAATTATGAATTAACAAAATATAACTATACAAAACAACAACAACCACCAAGATTTTATCATTCAATTGATTATACAAATACTAATATTAGTTCTTTGAGAGATGAAGCTATTCAACAATATGCTAATAGATTAGATGAAACTGAAATCATATCAGTTAACCAAATTAATGAAATTTATTTAAATAGTAAAATGTGTAGAAATTAAATACAAATTTTCATTTTTCTGTCGTCAAACATGAAACCCTTTTTTTGAGTGATCTCTTATCAAATTTTATTACCGAACGTTTACTTTTATTTTTTTACTCATTTTGGTTAAGAACTAATAGAAAATTTAAGCTTTTCTCAACCCTTGTTCAAATTGACGATCTTGTGATAGTTCATAATCTTATATAAAAACAAATCAGTTTCGAGTGGACCAAAATTAAAAAGACTCTTCATTCTCTATCTTTCTTTACTTATATTATTCACGGATTTCACCAAAAATGTCATCAAAATCATCAACAAATTTTACAAATGATTATTTAGCTGCTTTAGTTTTACTTTTCGTTGGATTATGTGTTATCGTTAAAAAATTAGATACTATAGTTATTGAATTACAAGGATTAAATAATAATTTAAATTTACTTCGTGGTTAATTAAATGCTGGTCATTCACATCAAGAAATACAAATTTTACAGTTTAAAATAACTAATAAATATTTAATTACAAATGTTACACTCTATAATTTTTAATCTATCCTTCTATTTTAATTCATCTACCCATTTTGGTTCAATAATTAATACTTCACAATCACATAATAAATCACATTCTTCCAAATCCTGTTTATTTTGATCAATTAAATATATTTCTCCTTTAACCCAACATTTTCTTCCAATCTTTTTCATAACTGTACATTTTATCGCAACCCAGGATTCACATTTCGTTGGCTTTTTATAATTAATATTTAAATTTGCAGTTACTCCCCTTTTGGATTTAAAATTCAAAAACCCTACGCGACATGTCAATTCATCTAATAACGTAGCTAATAATCCACCATGTACAATCCCATGATGTCCGCTTAATTGCTCACCTAAATACAAAAACGTAATTGAGTAATTCTCCTTATCTGATGGTTCGATGATGTCATTGAATTGGAAATGGTAGTCATTTATAAAATATAGTGAATTTGATCTATATTCAATTTTATTTGGACCTGATAATGTGCATCCTGTTAAGTTAGGGTATAATCTTTCTTGTATGTTTAAAGTTTCATGATTTGTAGAAGTGAAATCAGAGTATTTCTGGATAAAATGTTGGTATATATGAAATTTTATAATCTGTTTATCTAATTTATTTGATATTGTTGGTTCATTCTCTATTGGAGTGGTCGATATTTGATTAACTTGATCGATTGTCATGGATATTGATTAGGTGAGAAAGTGATGAAGTTGTTGTGAAACTTAACTTAATATTTATTACTTATTTATATCCTTCTTCTTGTGATATTCGTAATTTAATTTTTCTTATCTAATTTGAAATACCATATTTGTGTGAATATTTATGAAATGTGGGGGTTACTTAATTATACATACTAAAAATTATGATGTCTAATTTTGATATATTAAATCGAGTATACTCTGATTTGAAACTATATGAAAAGTTTCTACTTAGTTGCTGAAACAAGATGATCAATGAATTCAGAGTTTTGTCATCTATCTTTATTAATTTTCAAAACTTAAACAATAGTTGATAAAATACGTAATGTTTAAGTACAAATGTAATAGAATTTGAGAATAAAATTTCCAGTCTAGTAGTAGATCTAAATTAATTTTAAAACTCAACTAAATAATCCAACCAAAGTTGAATAGCTTCAGTAAAAATCCTAAAAAAGGGTATACTGAATAAATACCCAATGTATGATAACTTTAAAAGTAAATGATCGACTAAACCATCATGAAATTCTAAAGACTGTAAATATAATAAGTGGACAAAAAGTCAACCTATAATAACCATCAAACTTCATGAATTTAAATTTCATAAAGTTTAGTAGAAACAACAATTCAGTAAAACTAACAAACAGTTTTTGACTTCAACTCTGTCATTACTGTTTGTATATGGATACAACAATTTTAATAAAGTGCACAGCAATTTCCACGTCTATAATAACGAAGACTATTATAGCTAATTCGATAATAACTAAGGTATTCAACTACTCCAATCAAAATTAAAGATTTCGGCCACTTCAACAATATTCTAAAATACAACTTAGAATGCTTTAAATGGACCTTTTGACAACAATAAAGCTTCAAACTACCCCAAGCAACTTTGGGCCCAAGCTTCAGGTCAATACTCTGATTTTCAAGTGTGACAATTAAGTAATAAATACGAAAAGTGTGTAAATTTTAAAACATTTTATTAATCTAGAGAAAAAAACATATGTAACGTGAGAACACGACTTAAGTAACTTTTATTCATTGATATTAAAATTGAGTTAACTAAATTATGATCAAATAGGTTCATAAGAGATAGACCAGTACAACTAGCTAGATTTCTTGTATGCCGTAGTCATCTACATTTAATATATTTTCTATTTTAAAAATTAACTAGATAATTCAGCTTAAGTTGAATAGTTCCGGTAATAAATTTTAAAAAAGGGTATACTGAATAAACACCCAAGGTAATGATAACTTTAAAAGTAAATGATCGACTGAACCATCATGAAATTCTAAAGACTGTAAATATAATAAGTGGACAAAGAGTCAACCTATAATAACCATCAAACTTCATGAATTTAAATTTCAAAAAATTTAGTAGAAACAACAATTCGGTAAAGTTAACAAATAATTTTTGACTTCGACTCTGTCATTTTTATTTGCATAACAACAATGTTAAAAGGTGTAATAAAATAATAAGAATAACGGCTAAATCAACTTCAGAGAAACCACCAAATGAATGGATTTACCAACCTGAATTAGATGTTTCAGTGCCACTTCAAATATAGCTATAGTTACGACCGCAACAATCAACTGTAGTGTAACTACTTTATTTTGAACGGTCCAACTGATATTATTACAGATTCAAATGTGTTGGCGGCAATGCAATATTTTAAATTATTACCGAGTTATTTCTCCAAAATCTAACTTTCATGAAGGACCAAATTTCCTGTCAAGATAATAACAAAAAAAAGTTGAGTAAATTGTAAAATAATTTTTTGATCTAAATATAGAAAAAATACATGTAACTTAAAAACACGACTCCAAGTAATTTTTGCAATTTCTACAATGTACTCTATGTGTATAAAATTCATTAATATTCAAACTGAGCTATAAATATCAGATCGAATAGATGCATAAAAAACAGACAAGAAGAGTTAACCAATTTACCTTGTATGGTTTTGTAATCAGTTAATTTTTAGTATATTCTTCATTTCAAGATCCATCTAGATAATTCAACTTAAGTTGAATAGTTCCAGTAATAAATCTTAAAAAAAAGAGTATACTGAATAAATACTCTATAGTTAGATAATTGTGAAATCGAATGATTAGTAAAACAATCATAAGATTCCAAAATTATTTATTTAACGAATCAACATACTGTTAATTCAATCGTAACTAAAAACTATATGAGTCCAGATTTCATAAAGTCTCCAATAGAAACAACAATTCAGTGAAATGACCGTGGAAAAAAAGATTAGTTCAAGATCAGACTAATACTAGTCAACATCTATCAATTAACAACATGTTCGCATACATGGACGACATTATAGTCTAAACTGACACCGTGGCTGACACCAATATTTGCAATGAGTCAAAAACAAAAGTATCGTATTATATATTTGTAAATCAACCTTTTTTTAAACTTACTGTTTAAAATTTGAGTAATTACGCTCACTATATATCAGAACGTAAAAACACGACTCATGTTTCTTTTATACTACAATGTTCACTATTTGTAAAACATTCATGTCCATTAAATTTGAGCTACTTAAATCATGGTCAGATAGTATATCATAAAAGACAGACCAGTACAATTAGCTAATTTATAGAACATAAAAGACAATCCAGTACAATTAGCTAATTTACCTTGTATGATTTAGTAATCTTCTACTTTTTAATTTAGTCTTTTTTTTAAAACTCAACTAGATAACTCAGCTCAAGTTGAATAGTTCTAGTAATAAATCTTAAAACTAAGAGTATACTGAATAAATACTCTATAGTTAGTTAACTGTGAAATCAAATGATCAGCAAAATAATCATAAGATTCCAAAACTATTTATTTAACGAACCAACATATTGTTAATTCAATCATAACTATCAAACTATATGAGTCTGAATTTCATAAAGTCTAATAGAAACAATAATTCAGTAAAATGAGCTTGGAAATAAATAAAACCAACCCACTTTTCTCAAAGGTAAAAGTACCCAATAGATTGTACAATACGAGGCATAACGTTCTTCACTGAATGCACAAACAACTCCGTCTTGAAACCGTAATTAAAGGAAGCAAAATTTGTATAAAACTTTGTTCTTCGATTCTTCACATATATTTATTTTTTTATACCAAATTCAAATATATAGTATCATCAACACTTAAGCAAGTGAAAACATATAAAACTATAGTGCCAAGGTTCATGAACTTAAAAGGATAAAAAATTTATGCTAAATATCCAAAACATTTAGTACACTTTGGAGTAATTATCTTGATATAGATCCTGAGGTACGTATAAGTAAAGTAGAGAAATATATATATATATATTTTTTTTTGTTCAAGATACATAATATTTATTTTTGGTCCTTGTGATTAAATCTACTTTATTTTGTCATCTTATAGGAGATTGGCACAACAATTTTAACAATAGAATCGACAAAACAAGCACTTTAAAATTCGGTGAATTAGTTGCACATGTAGAAGAAGATCAGAAGAGTAAATTAAAATTTAATTCAAGCTTTTATTATCTAGAATTTTTAAGTTAAAATTTCTTTCATTTCTGTTTTTTCAAACTTGGTTGTTCATCATCACATTCACCTTTAGAATCCTGTTGATACAGTAACAAACCCTCATGAACAGCATTAGTAACTAATTCTCTTAATCCTTCTTCAGGATTCTCACTAGCTAATATTTTCTCAATTTTTTCCCTTCTTCTTTGAAGTTCTTCTTCACTTATTGCTTCATCAGTATCTGTTTGTAAACTATATTTTATCTCATGACCATTTACATTACCTGGTTCAGGTAGACTTTGTAAAAAATCATTTGCTTTTTCTATTTCTTTATTTGTAGGTTTATCATGAATTAATGATTTTAAATAATTTGCAACTTCGGGAAATTCATCTTCTTCTTCTATATATTCCATTGCAGTTAATCCATCATTATTTTTTATCTTGTAATCAGCTTTTATTTCCTCTACTAAATATTTAGCAGTTGTAAGATCTTCAACATGATGTAATGGAGTATCTCCTTCGTTATCTTGAATATTTATATCACCTTCCTTTGTTATAAGGTATTTTAGTAAATCTATATTTCCATATGAAGCAGCTGCGTGAATTGGTGTATATCCATTTGGATCTTTTGAATTTGATGTGAATTGACCTGATTCTATTAATTGTTTTACTTGGTCTATTTTATTATCTGATGCTGCTATCCATATATTTGTTGACATTTTGAATATCTTTCTTTTACTTAGCCGCTATTACAAGTAAATGTTATGTAGTATTTAGTGGTTATTGAATTTTGCTAGATGGAATTGAGTTTCTGATATTTTGACAATGTTGTGGTAAATTGTATATGATGAGATCTCAATTTTCGCGAGGCGAGTGCGTTAATTTTTGAATATACTACTTAAGAGTTTTATTGTAGACCTAAGTGCAAATTAAGAATTCAGCCATTTTCATCAATTTTTAATATAATTATTAAATGTACCTATTATATATATTATACAACTTTTTTAAATCTAAAATTTTAACTATTAATTTAAAATCAAACCTAAAAATTGAATTCTGAACCAGTATCATCATATTTATTTTGATATTGATTATTCAAATGAGCATTATACGCATGATTTCCATTATGATTATTATTATTATTATTATATTTCTTATCTTTTGAATCCATAGGATATGGTGGATTTTTCTCATATTCATCCGAACTAGAAGATAATTTTTCATTTTTTGGAACTGTAAAATCCCATTCAGCAGAATCTATATCATCAAATTCATCATTAGTATCATCTTCAAAAGCTGATTCTTGACCATCTGCATACATGTGGTTTGGTGGATAATTATCTTTATAATGAGCTGGTTCCATACGAGATTCTGAATTTTTATATCCATGTTCTGCTCTACCTCTAATTTTTCCATAAGTTTCTGGTTTATCTCTATGAAATCCATCTTCTTCTTCATCTGAACTTGGATAATACGTTTGTTCTGCTGTAATAATTGATCTAACAATTTTTGGTAATTTATCTGGTCTATAAAATCTTAAATCAACTCTACCAAATATGTATAAAAGATTGATAATAATTTCAAATACACCCCAACATACGTACATAAACCAGATATTCTGAGCAGGACTTGCTCTCATGTTTTCTCTAGCTTGGAAAACAACAATACAACGACCAATTGATGCTATCAAAATTAATATAGTTGTAATAATTAATAATGCCATTGATATATTATGTTTTAAAGGACCTCTTTGATTACTTACACCTTTTACACTACGATAATGATGCTCTGTAGCAGCAATAACTCTAGTAGCATGTCTATGATTTGAATTTCTTTTCAAAAATCCCTTTTCAGCTTTTGCTGCTGCTCCTTTTTTAACAAAATAAAAAGGTGAAAATGATTCAATCCACCATGGTTGATAAGTATATCTTAATTCATCTTTTTTTGTTGGTAACCAAAAACTTAAACCAATTAAAGCAACTGCAGTTAATGTATATAAGATAATTAAAATAGCAGTAAATTGAACAATTTTAATCCAATTTCTATATGATGTCCAACTTAAAAAATATAAATAAGGAATGAATGATGCAGCAACAGTAATACCTATTAAAACAAGTACAAATCCATAAGTAATAAACATAAAATTCCAAAATAACATACGAGAACCGCCAACTGGATGTCTCCATGTAAATAATCTTTGAGCTAAAATTAAATTAGCACTAACAATAATAATAGCAGGAATAATTAAAAATATTTCACCTGTTAAACCAATAGATATCAATTTAATATTAGTTGCCCATTTTGCTCTTAATGCAAATCCAATAACTTTCATAATACTATAAAAAATCCAAACATATGATAAATAAAAAAAATGACCTCTACTAGTATTCATAATTAATATTGCTAAATGTAATAATAATATAATTCCAAATAATACTGCAAATACAATACTTGGTGCAATATCATCATGTGTTGGATAACCTCCAAAAACATTATTTTGAATTCCAACATTGTAATCAATTAAAATAGGTGTGATTTCTGAACCTAATAAATTATAAGCTAGATCTATGATATGTTTTATACCTGTACCTTTTGATGCACCATCATATAATGAAGTATATATTAAATTCATTACTCCTACTGTTGCATTATAATTATCTATTTGTGAAAGCATGTTGAAGCGGAGTTGTTGAAATTTATATTACAAATGAAATTTATTACACGATTAACTGTTGGTGAAAATGATGTTTGTAACGGAACGTAAATGCTAAGTCTAACTGTTATTGATTATACCAGATGATCAATAACAAATTTTGGAATAAGTAATTATTTTTGTAGAATTGAAAGTGAATGATAAATTAAATTTCAATGTTAGTGATTGAAAAGACCTTTAGTTATGAAGTTTTCTTTTCTCAAATGTTAAACATCAAACCACTTATTTGAAATGATGCTGTTTAATGATAAAAATATCTTTCCACCACTATGAATGTGAGATATTTGATGATGAATGGAAAAGAAAATTGTTGAGTTAAACTCTTATTCAAATGAATAATAATTTTAATTTTATTTATTATTGAAAAACATCAAAGTATTATAAATCATAAAATTTTTTACTCAAATTAATTCATATTGCATTGATATATTATAATTCTGAATTAGGTTTCAGAATTTCGTAAAATTGAAATGTATGTGTCATTAGATGTAAAAATATTATTACTTTCTACTCGATTAAGGAATTATTATTTTTCAAAACCTCAATCAATTTAAACTTTTTGTAATGAAAACGAACGTATTATGAAACTAGCATTTTGTCTCCACTCTCATTTTATTTAATTAATGTTTGATTAAATTAATTGTACTGGAATGTTAATGAAACGTACATATTTAAATTATGGATTTAATTTCATTTTATTAGCCCCACGTATTATTTTCATTTTTGTACTATTTAGATTTATTTTAATTATTTTTTTAATTCGATTCATTTGGTAGTTACAGTACGTAAAAATGGTTTGTATTGTTTTAAAGAAGATCTCTCGTACTAAAAAAATAATAAGGGGGTTATAGAAGTAAATTTTGAATTTTGTATCATAACCTAATTCGAACTCATAAAAGATAAGGCAAATTAAGTTGAATTGTGATTATTGGATGTACTTTTGAGATATTAATACTGAATCTAAATTATAATTAAGTTTATTATCTTGCTACTCGAGGGAAATAAGTAAATTATTGAAACTAAATAGGACCGCATAGGATAATAATTTCGGTGTGTCATCTATAGTCGATCAATTAGATCCAGTTGTAATGTAACTTGACGGAAATACTTGACAATTGACAATAAGATCTACAATTTAGTAGAAGGCTAGAGAAGAGAAGGGTTTTGAAATTTTCAAAATAATGATCAAAAATTTTTGTATTGGAAACCAATTTTTGTGTAATTAAATTTTTTTACATAAAACAAATTAAGTAAATTACCATTTTAAGTAATAAATTTAAATTTTCTGCAATAACTTAATAAAATACATTAAATTTTATAAGGTATTCTTTGTTTACGAAAAGGGAACGAATGAAAAATAGTTTACAATATTTTAAGACATATTACTTATCTTAATATAGAAAGCCCGAATATTGAATTTTCGTGATTTATGAAATTGATGATTGTTCTAACTTCACCATGTAAACCTTGCAAGATTTTCAACTTTTCTCACAAGTTTTCCAAGATAGATAACAGAGAAAATTTCTGGCTTGAATAAAGTTGAATAAAAAGCTTGAATGATGAATGGTTCAAGTAGAATCTTAAAAGAAATTTAGATTGTAACTTTATTCTATTATTTCTTTCTACTTTTTTTTCAAAATAAAAATTATGCAAAAACGTATCTCAATAAACTTATCTAATTTCTCCAACTTTCTATCATGATTGTAATCTCCACAAATCAGTTCAAAAGTGCTTTTGTCTATGTAACTACTAATTTGGAATTTTCTTTGCCAATTGCTTGTGGGGTTATTAATTATTTGTTCTTTCATACGTTTGATTAGGGTGCAAATATTCCATCATTGATAAACAAAAAAGTATATAAACTGATGAAACTCCCATCAACTATCGATCGATTAAAATTCTTTCACTAATAACGATTTAATAATATCATTTAAAATTAAGTCTACTAATAATTTCAATTTATGTTCTATATTTAAATTATTAAAACGTCTATATAATGAATTAAAATCAAATCTAATAAAATTTAATCAAAAGAATTAAAAGTGGTTGAGGAAAGCTGGAGGATGACTGGATATTCAAATAAAGCTGAGATATTGAACTGAGCTTTAGTCTTAAATAAAGCTGGGATTCTGAAATCCAGCCTTATAAGACTCTTCCTCAGTTTGAGATTGACAGTATGGGAGATTCAATCGTGGCTAATATTTTCAAAGAAACCTTGATATTAGCGTCCAATACACACATTTGGAAATAAGATTGAAATGACTTTATGTAAACTTTAACATCTTGAGCGAAATAAACCAGTATTTTTCTCTAGTGTATGAACGTAATAAAATAAATTTAACTTTGTTGAGTTAAAAATCTCAAAATTGAAATTCATCTTCAGTATCATTATTTTTCTCATTATTATACCCATTTTTAGGAGTATTATTATAAGTATGTTGATTAGTATTAAAATTATAAGAATCTCCAGAACTCATACTATTTAATTTTTGATTATTTTGTTTGGTTGGATCAATAGGACCAAAAAATAAATCATCATCAGTATCATGTTCTTTAGATGATGGATAAACAAATCCATCATCATTGTCACTATAATCTTCATAATCAGCATCATCATATTCTCCTTCTTCATCAGTTAATCCTTCTTCATCATCTGAATGTGATGGAGTAACAACATGACTTTGTTCAGCTGTAATAATAGCCCTAACTTGAGCTGGTAATATATCTGGTCTATAAAATCTTAAATCTGCTCTACCTATAATTTGAGCCATATGTAAAACAAATTCAAAAACTCCCCATGTAAAATACATTGCAGTTGGTGATGATGCTGGTCCAGTTACATTTTGTCTTCTTGCTTGAAATACAACAATACATCTTAAAATAGCAGCTATAAATACACAAACAGTAGTTATTATAACAATCACTAATGAAACATTATGTTTTAAATCACCTCTTTGATTACTTAAACCTTCAACCATATTATAATGATGATGAGTAGCTGCAATAACTCTAGTAGCATGTCTATGATTTGAATTTCTTTTCATAAATGTTTGTTCTGCTTTTTGAGCAGCTCCCTTTTTAACAAAATAAAAAGGTGCAAAAGATTCAATCCACCAAGGTTGATAGGTATATCTTCTTTCATCCTTTTTTGTTGGTAACCAAAAACTTAAAATAATTAAAGCAATAGCAGTTAATGTATATGCAATTAACATAATACAAACCCATTTATTTAAATTTTTATATAAATCATACCTTGATGCACTTAATAAATAATCATAAGGAATAGCAGATGCAACAATAGCAATAGTTAACAATATAGCAACAAGACCATAAAGTGATAACATAAAAATCCAAAATAATTTTCTTGTACCACCAACAGGATGTCTCCAAGTAAATAATCTTTGAGCTAAAATTAAATTAGCACTAATTAATAAAACAGAAGGTATAACTAATAAAATTTCATCAGCTATACCTAATCTAACATTTGCTATATTTTGTGACCAAGCTGCTCTATATATAAAACTCATACATCTAATTAATGTAGTAAAAGCCCAAAATATAGTTAACATAAAATAATGACCTCTATAAGTATTTATTGTAAATATAATACAATAAATTATTGTAATTAAAGCAAATATAACTGCAAATAATATAGATGGTGCAAAATCAGATTGTCTTGGATATTCACCTAATAAATTATTTTGATAACCAATTAAATAATTTATTAAAGTTTGTGGTAATATATCTCCTAAAAGATTTTTACCTCTATCTACTAATACTAAAATACCAGTACCTTTATCTGCTCCATTATAAGTTGTATATAATAGATTGACCAAACCTTCTGTTGCTGTATAATATTTGGGACTTTCCCATATTGATGGTTCTGTGAATTGTTGATGTACCATTTTTTGAATTTTGAATGTAGTGGTTAATCTATTAATTAATTGGTCTATGAAAGTGAATTGTGGAAAAAATGTTTGATAAATTGATTATCTAATTAAATTGGTATAAAAGAAATGAAAAATTAACGATAGTATTGAATTGAATTTAAAGAAAGTAGTTGAATTATATATATGAATGATATATTAGTTAATTAAATTTGATATATAGTAAATGAAATGTGTAACTAAAAATGTGTAAATAAAATTAATGAAAAAAATCAATGAAAAAACATGTAAAACAAAATTAAAAAAAATATAAAGTTAAAAAATCAAGGGATTCCAAATTGAATATATATAAATATATAATTTAGGAATTCAAATGTAAGATCAACTACTCTTTAAAATGAAGTTAAAAAATATTGATGGTTATAGCTTTATTATCAATAGTTTTATAATTAATTACACAATATTATAATATTACTTAATTAAGTAATTTACTTGACTTTATTATATACATTATATAATATTTTACTACTACGAACATCAATCAAATTTAAGCAATATCTAATCTTGTAATCATAGTAGGTGAAGTATCAATCAACTTACCTACAGTCTTTTAAATTAAATGATGAATTACTGTGAATCACTTGATTTACTATTTTGAAAATTCATGTGATAAAACGTTTTTCGTTTTGATTTTGTCTTTACTTTTTTTTTTTCTTTTTCAATTATCAAATTCAGTTGAAAAAAAAAAAAAAAAAATTAGTTTAAACGTACCAATCTTAAATGTTAAACAGAAATTGAAGATTTTAAGTGTGAAAATTAGCTTGATATTTAACCGTTATTTGAAGAGGGGCGTTATTATTACTTTCGTAATTATGTCAAATTTCTTCTTTTAGTGTTGTTTTCAGACGCTTTTATTTACTTGACTTTACCACTCAACTTTTGATGATACTTAGATTTTTGAGTAGTTAAAAACGTAGAATTATAATTAGCTGATTTATTATATTCTCAAGTGTGAAATACTGTTTAGGGCCTTCTTACTCGAATATTCTGTCTTGATGATACAAGGATAAAGTTAAACTTATTCAAGATGGGCTAATATAAATTTTTGTTTGAAACGAACGAAAAGTTTAAATATTTAACGATAAAAAGAAACTTTTATATAAATACACCAATTATTTACAGACTATGAAAAATAAAAAGAAATATCCCATTAATTCATTAGCTAATATCAACTACTCCAATAACCTAGAAATCATAAAACCAATTAAATATTTGTAAAAACTTCTTTATTCGTGAAGATTCCAAATGTTTTTCCCCCTTAAAATACTAAATATAAAGTACATATAATACTTGGACCACTAATAAATCCAAACCAACAAATTAAATTCCCCAATACTTTTTTATCTTTCATAAATTTAGTTCTACTCATCATTATTAATGGAATTTGGGACATTTGAAATAATAATAAATAACCTCTTAATGAACCAAATATAACATACATTACTAATTCATGAACAATACTTGAAATTATAAAAGTTAACATTGCAGCTTGAATTTTATTTACTTTAAAAGCACTAATACTTGAATGATAAACATGTCTTAATAAAAAATTATGAACTGGTTTATTCCATAATCTTGCAAAATCACTAAAATCTGTACATGACCACCATGGACCATAAAATTCTCTATCTGCAAATAATGTTAATTCTGCTAATACATTTAATATTGAATCCCAAATTAAAAAAAATGTAAATAAATATTCCATTAAAAATGGTGGTATCATATCTAATAATAAAAATATATATTGAGGAATTCTTTTTTTAATTGGTAATTTCCTTATTATTTGAGTTCTTTCATATAGTGGAAACATATTATTTTGAGCTATCAAAATCATTAAAAAAATCAATCCAAAAACAGCACTTAATTTTAAAAATACATATGACCATCTTATTTTTTTAGTTCTTGGGAAATTAATAGTATAAACTAAAGTAGGAAACATACTATATTCAAAATAATTTTTAAAATTTATATTTGCAGGAAATTTTATAATATCAGATTCTTGTAATTGTTTGAAATTTAAATCTAATCTTGCTTCATCAAATTTATGATTATCTTGATCTGGTTTATCTGATGTTGCTCTTGATTGATATTCTAATTCTAATTTTACAAATTCAATACTAGTCTCTAATATTTCAACAGTTTTATCCATTTCATAACCTTTTGGTAATTCTACTTCTCCATTTTGTAATTTGGATAAATAACTTTCTGAAAACAAGCCCTCATTTAATATATTCCATAAGTATCCATTATAAAATGAATATGAATGCATCTTCATAACAAATACAAGACTATGTAATGCTAAAAATACTCTTGCAATCCATGGAAAATTCATCCAATGAGAGAACCACATGAATATAACAAAAAAGCTAGCTTCATATATTGTAAAAAATATCCATCCATATTTTCTCCAACTCAATAATCGTCTAGCACATAAAACTTGTAAAATAAATGGAAAATAAGAACTTAAATACATAGCTCCATCAGTTAATCCAACTTTCACTATATCTTTCTTTAGTATTTGAATGATATCCCAATCCCATATAGGTTTAGCACCTTCAAAATACATATGAACCATATTATTAAACATTACAAAAGCAGTAGCTAACCAAAATAATACATAAATTCCAAAAAATTCTGAAGTTAAAAAATCATTTGAATCAAAAATTGTTGTACTTTGAGGTTTGAATGATAAATCACTAAACCTTAATCTATATTTATCACTCTTATATTTCTTTTTAACTTGATCGTTTTGTAATTTTAAATTTTCTTCTTTCTGATCATGATGTTGATGTGGTTGTTCTTTGTGATGTTTTGGTTTTTGACGATGTTGCTTCTTAGTACGTAAATCATCTTGCAGGGATACATATTTAACTAATCCATCTAATGTTATATCTGAATCTGAAATATCTGAACTTATAGTACTTGATCTTAATTTTGATGGTTTTTGTTTTCTAGATTTTAATTCATTATGGTTATTATTACTATGGGAAGGTTTTAATTTTTGTAAATTTGAAATATTATCTTGATCTATTGATCCATTCCCTATTTCCTCTAATGGAGTAGTAGGTATAGATTCATTACTCGAATCGACTTTGGATAGATCTTTAAAATATGATGAACTATTTGTTTTTCTTGGCGATATAGGATATCCATTAGGTTTTATATCTTGTAAATCTGAAGGGTCAATATTTGATGATAAAGTAGATTTCGGAGTATCTGGTTCTTCATTATCACTTGAACTTACATTATAATCATTGTTTATATTCAAAAGATCTCTTCTGTTGACTTTATTTGATAAATTATCTAGTTTCTCCACAGTATTTGTCCTTTTTGAATCCATTTTTGTTGTTGGTTGTAAAAAATGTCTACTTATTGGAGATTATGAGTAAAATTGTTTATGAATTTAATTAAAAATAGTTGATTGTTCCTACTAGTTCATATAATTGAAAACTAGAAGTATGCAAATGAAACGAATGCTAATAATAAATAAATTGATGTCAAATTATAAAAAGAAAGAAATGGAAAATAATTTTGGTTGAATTATGCAAATTGAATTTCGAATTATGATTCTATAAATATAATTTGGCAACAATTTTTGTAAAGTTACTGAAGTTCCGGTTATTTATTTTTGTACCTATCTCTAGATTTATTTTGATGGGAAATTAGGGGGTATTTTAAATTTCTTAATGGTTGTACAATTAGTGGTTAACTATTTGATTTACGAACTATTAAGTGCTAAACTTGGAAGTATCTCACTCGATCAACAACTAGTCCAAATCTAACTAAGCAGTAAGTGGCAACCTATAAACCTAATATTTTTTTTTTGTTGGGTCTTAATGTTTAATTATATTTTAAAGTACAATAGACAACGTTTGCTCTCAATAGCAACCGTAAATGTAAAAATTTAAGACAATTTTTATAATGAAACTAGAATTAATACAAAAATAAATTACTCAAAAGAATATAAGCGAAAAATTAATTTTCTTTAAGTTTCACGTCTCGCAGTTAAGCTCTACTCAATTATATGGGATATTCGGACATTAGACAATATTTTGGTAACTTACTATCTGATAATCTTTTAATCAAGCATCAACGAAAACACAAAAAATTCTAAATATGTGAATGATTAGACTTGAATTAAAACGGTCTAACATGCATGTGAATAATCTCAATTGATAATTTGATCACGCATTGTATTAAGGATTTATTTGTTCAAACTCTATGATATTTTACCGTACAAACCGTGCTAATTACTTTGAACTAAGCTTATCAATGATCCACATAACATGAAAATCTTACTTATTGACTTTCAATCCAGAATTTAATTTTGTAGTCTATGATAGTATACATTATTTAGCACTACTTACTGAAAGCTATTTACATGAACTAAATGCATATTTTTATCTCAAGACTCAAAACCGTTTACTTAAACAATCTGCTACTAACAATCTTCCTAAACTTTCCAATTTCTACCTATATATTCTTTCAAATGGTCTAGTATCATTAAAACAACTTTTCCAAACAATATTAACCACATTTTCAGCTTCCTCCTTATTCTTACATACAGGATTAGCACTAACACTCAATATAGCTCTACGTTTAATACAATTTTGAAACTTTTTACCAAATTGTCCCAAACCTGTTTTTTTAATTTCTGACCATATTCTACATTCTCCACTTAACATTGATGCTCTAATTTCAGTACATGCATGATGTCTCAAATTATTATAATTTATATTAAATTTCATAAAATCATATAAATGAATTAATTCATGAGTTAATATATCTTCTAATTGCCATTTTGATCTGATCCAATTTGAACATAATACAATTCCAAAATTTGGATCAAATCCTCCACCTTTTGAAAAATCACAAGTTTGACATTTTATATATTTTGAAGTATTTATTGGTTCATGTTGTTTTTGTAGTTTTGTAATATGATTCATCATGAATATAACTGATGGTGAATAATTCAATACCCATTTTAAATTCTCTTCACATGATTTACATTTGGAATCTAGGCTTCTATTCTGGTAATCGTATTCATATTGAGCTTTTTCTTGTGGTGATAATCCTAATCCTGTTTGATACAGTAGTGATCTTCTCCACCATTCGAATCCGTTTAATTGTGATTGTGGGGATAGTTGTAGTTGAGATACGTTATCTATTGGTGGCTGTGACGTAGGATGAGGTTGATTAGTCATTATTTGATCTTAACCTATAGTTTGAATTTAATGTCTTATTATTCACTTGTCTGAAAAATTTTAGATACTTTCACACGTACTGCATATAGTGAGAAAAATACGAGCTACTTGAGTTTTTTCAATGTTGATAGCTCATAAAACAGACCTTCTAAGTCAGTCTGTGGGTCGCTAATTTTTTCTTCGACAGTTATATGAATGGATTTTAGTTGCACAGAAGCTGAATAGAGCTGAATAAATTTTAGCCACATCATTCTTGATGATCTAAAAAGGAATTTTAAGAAGAAGTGGTCTGTTGGCAGAATTAAAATGTCATAGCAGGTTTTAACGATTCAAAAGACTGGTACACTAAGTGCTAGATTATTTGGTCGGACTTATTTTCAATCTTTAATTATTCAACCATTTGTGAAAACATTACTCAAGCATGAGCATTAGCGGCTATGATACCCCAATTAAGTTGCAAAAAAAATCATCCGTAATTAAGTTTTGTGTAACGATTGAGTCTTTTTGAAAATTTTTTGAAAAAATTGAATCTTTTAAGATTGCCAAGTTTATCATCTCAATTGAATATATTCATTCATCTTAGTTTATAACTTAAATTAGTTGGTGTCTAATTATGGCTAAACAATTATCACATCCTGCCATTAAAGATGGTTGGTTTGCAGAAATTTCCGAAACCATGTGGCCAGGTCAAGCCATGTCATTAAAAGTCGATAAGATTTTACACGTTGAAAAATCAAAATATCAAGATGTATTGGTTTTTAAAAGTGAAACTTATGGTAACGTTTTAGTATTAGATAATTGTATACAAGTTACTGAAAGAGATGAATTTTCATATCAAGAAATGATTACTCATTTAGCTTTAAATTCTCATCCAAATCCTAAAAAGGCTTTAGTTATTGGTGGTGGAGATGGTGGTGTACTTAGAGAAATTTTAAAACATGAATCAATTGAAGAAGCTTGGTTATGTGATATTGATGAAACTGTTATTGAAGTTTCAAAAAAATATTTACCAGAAATGTCAAAATCTTACCAAAATCCAAGAACAAAAGTTCATATTGGTGATGGTTTTAAATTTTTAGAAGAATATAAAAATCAATTTGATGTTATTATAACTGATTCATCAGATCCAGAAGGTCCAGCAGAATCATTATTTCAAAAACCTTATTTTGAATTATTAAAAAATGCCCTTACTGAAAAGGGAGTTATAACAACACAAGCAGAAAATATGTGGATTCATATGGATATAATTTCAAAATTGAAAAAGGATTGTTCTGAAATTTTCCCTGTTGTTGAATATGCATACACTATGATTCCAACTTATCCATCTGGTTCAATAGGATTTATGGTTTGTTCAAAAGATCCAAAAGCTGATGTTAAAAAACCAATTAGATTTGATTGGAGTGATGAATTTGTTGCTAAAAATTTGAAATATTATAATAAAGCTATTCATGAAGCTTCTTTTATTTTACCAAATTGGGCTGATCAAAAATTAAATAAATAAATTTGATATTTGGTAGATTTGAAGATCTATAAACACTTAATTTAATTTTAAGTAATTTTTCAAAATTGTTTAATAAAAATGCTCAATGTATTTATTTCTTTGTATATTCATAATTATTGTAACATGAGATTTTAATTTATGCGGTAGGAGCCTTTCACTTATACTTCATTACACAAAATTCAAATAGTATAAAGTTTGGACTTTCTTTATTCAGTTCTTGATCTTAGATCTACAATTGAGATACTCTGTCAACTTTGATTTGAAAATATTTAAAATCCAAGCAAAATCATCAAAAATGACTAAAACAAATATTAGTAAACTCCTTGTTTAATTTTAACTATAAGAATGTATTATTATGAATGCAAAAAATTCGTAGACATAGAAAAAGAAATCGACTCAGTCCAATTAGAGAGTTTACATCAATCAGGATTAATATCAAGACCAGAACCATTAATTTTAAGAGACGTAGATTATCAACAACAAAAGGCTAAAACATTAATTATTGATGATGGATACAAATTAAATCAAATACCTCCAGATTATGTTGAATCAACTGAGAATATTAATGAATCGTCAAGTAGAACAATCAATGAAGTAATCGCTCCAAGCGTCGACCAATTTGAGAATTTAAATCACCCTTCTACTCAAGCAACTAAAGGAACTCAAACACAACTGATTAATCAAGAACCAATTAAACCATCAAAAAGTTCAGCAGACATAACTCAACAACCACCTTATATCAATGAAAAGGGCAACAAACCAATTTTAGTCAGGTATGAATCAACTGAATATGATTTTTGTACTGCTGCTGCTATGGTTATTATAATTTGTTTGTTGATTGGATTATACATTGAATTAAAACTCTTGTAGCTTTAATTACTTTTGTCAATTAATTAATTTATTATTTTCAAAATAGTGTTTAGTTTACATGGTATTGATTAATATATGAATTGTATTTTAGGTAGAATTAAAAAATCTAAAATTGTTTTATAACTTTATGTGCGGTTTGTAGCGCATCATTTTACTTCTTGGCATAATTATAAATCTGAAATCTGAAACAATTTTGCAACCACTAGTAAATCACCTCGCTGATAAAGTCATACCTTAAGATCATACCTTGAATTCCAGTAAAGTTCCCAGGATTATTCTAAATAAAATTCTGCAAATATATAATAAAGAATAAGGATAACAATTTAAATCATACAATTTTCAATAAAATTTAATCAGGTACAATGTATCACAAAAATGATGAAACACAAGTACGATAAAATTAAAAAGAAATTTTTCGTAAATTAAGATAAAGAGAGATAGACCAGAAAAAAAAAAATACTAGACCAAGAGATGGATTTTTAATTTCCAACGAATTATTTACCAATTAAAGAATCAGATAAAAAATCAACAAACCATGACAATACCGAAATATGAATGCACTGACTGTATGAAAAATTTTCTTAAAGAATTACCAAAATGTGAACATCACGTTCATTTAGAAGGAACATTAGAACCAAACTTATTATTTAAATTAGCAGAAAGAAATAATATAATATTACCTTCAACATTTCCCACCACTGTCGAAGAATGTAATATTAGGTACAATAACTTTGGAGATTTACAAGATTTTTTAGACCATTATTACATTGGAATGAGTGTATTAATAACAGAACAAGATTTTTATGATTTAGCAATGGCATATTTTCAAAAAGCTTGTGAAGATGGATGTTTACATTCAGAAGTGTTTTTTGATCCACAGGGCCATTTGGAAAGAAACATAGATTTAGAAACTGTTGTAGCAGGTTTTGATAAAGCATGTAAAGATGCCAATAAAAAATTTGGTACAACTAATAAATTAATTATGTGTTTATTAAGACATTTACCAAATTCAGATGGACTAAAAGTTTTACGAGACTCTAAAAAATATTATCAAAATGGAACAATACATGGATTAGGTTTGGATTCAAGTGAGAAACCATTCCCACCTCAATTATTCGAAGATTGTTATAATCTAATTAGAACAGAATTTCCAAATGTTGGATTAACTGCTCACGCAGGAGAGGAAGGTGATTATACATACGTTGAAAACTCATTAAATTTATTAAATGTAACTAGAATAGATCATGGAATTAATTCAAAACAATCATCAGAATTAATGGAAAAATTATATCAGAATAAAACAATGTTAACAATCTGTCCATTATCAAACGTAAAATTACAATGTGTTAAAGATGTAGCTGAATTACCTATCCCATTATTTTTTGATAAAGGTATTCCATTTTCTATAAATTCAGATGATCCTGCTTATTTTGGTGGTTATATATTAGATAATTATATTGTTGTTCATGAAAGATTTGGATTTAGTGTTGAACAATGGAAAACTATAAGTTTGAATGGAATCAATGGGTCTTGGTGTGATGAAAGTAGGAAACAAGAGTTGAGGGATAAAGTTGATGAGGTTTGTAATAAATATCTAGAGTTAGTTTAGACGATTATAGAATTATAGAGATAGACGAATTGCATAGAATAGAATTATTTTTAAGATCAATTGTAGCTCTGTGAATAATTTTTTTTTTTTTTGTTGGACCAGGTGATAAATATCTGCTAATTTGTGGCATCGAGTAAGTTAGTTCTTACATAAATATCAGACGATAGTTGAAGGTGCTTGCTCTACTTCTAAAGATAGTATTTTGTTTTATCTAAAGTATTTTGTGTAACATCGAAAATTTAAGGTAGTGTGTGTAAATTCAAAACAATTTATTTTTATTTTTATTTTTATAATTCCATTTTTAGTTAATAATATTAATTCATTCAGAAGTAACATTTCATTTGATAAGATATAATAATCATAAACAAGTAAATTAGACCAGTCAATTTAATCAAATTTTCACAATCAAGTCATAAACAAACAGAGTAACATTAAAAAATCACAAGATCATGTCACAATCATCAAGAAAAAAACTATTACTAATGGGTAGATCAGGTTCAGGTAAATCATCAATGAGATCTATTATATTTTCAAATTATTCAGCATTTGATACAAGAAGATTAGGAGCAACAATAGATGTTGAATTATCTCATTTAAGATTTTTAGGAAATATGTCATTAACTTTATGGGATTGTGGAGGACAAGATGTATTTATGGATAATTATTTTACAAATCAAAAAGATCATATTTTTAAAATGGTACAAGTATTAATACATGTTTTTGATGTTGAAAGTAAACTGATTAATAAAGATATTGAAATTTTTATAAAATCATTGACAAATTTACAAAAATATAGTCCTGATGCTAAAATTTTTGTTTTGTTACATAAAATGGATTTAGTTCAAATTGATAAAAGACAAGAATTATTTAATATAATGATGGAAAAATTACAAAAAATAAGTAATCCTTATCAGTTCAAATTGATTGGGTTCCCAACTAGTATATGGGATGAAAGTTTATATAAAGCTTGGTCACAAATTGTATGTTCATTAATTCCAAATATCAATTTGTTTAATAATAATTTAATTAAATTTAATTCTATATTGGATGCAGAAGAAATTATTTTATTTGAAAAGACAACTTTTTTGGTAATATCATCAACTGCATCAATCAAACAACAACAATTACAACAACAAAAATTATTAAATGGTGGGGGAACACAAAATGGTCAACAACAGAATGGAGAACAACAAGAAGAAACTCAAGATAATTCACTAGATTTAGACCCCAAAAGATTTGAAAAAATATCAAACATTATCAAAACATACAAACAATCAATATCAAAGTTAAGAACAAATTTTAATAATCTTATAATAAGAGGTTCAAATGGGACGAATTTTTATATTGATATATTAACTGAAAATATGTTTATAATGATTATTCTAAAAAATAAAAATGAAATTGAATCAGATTCAGGTTTCAAAATTAATCAAAATGAAGAATTATTAGTTTTGGATAATATAAGGTCAGCTAGGAAATGGTTTGAAAAAATTGAAAATTCTAAATGATTTATGAATTGTATTAAATTTGCATAGTTTAATAAATATATTTTGCATTTTATTCACACAGTTTTATCGTTCATTTGTAGTTCAATGATCTCATACTCTCTTTGCTGCCTGAAGCAGATAATAATTTATTAATTATCTGAGTCGATCGAGTTATAAAACGCGTATGGTATTGGTCTCGCATTAATTATTATGATCGTCGTATAAAAATTTCATTAACGTTAAGAATTTATGTAAAGAATAAACAGAATTTTTTATACGAAATCAGATAATTAACAACAAATTGATTATAGCTAATTAATTAATATATCAATTCATCTTTGATATTTCTTCCTACTATCTATTCAACAATTGACTCTCATATCTAACTTTATATTTATCAATTGAGTCAAAAAATGGGTAAATTAGTTCAATTATTAACTCATCCAACAGAGTTAAAAGCTGCAATACAATTAATGGGTTTTAGACAACCATTACATCCAATTGATAAATCATTACAATCTCCGAGTTTAATTAGATGTTATGAATTATTAAATTTAACTTCAAGATCATTTGCATCAGTTATAAAAGAATTACATCCAGAATTAAAAGATGCTATAATGATTTTTTATTTAGTATTAAGAGCTCTAGATACTATTGAAGATGATATGACAATAAAACCTGAAATAAAAATACCTTTATTAAGAAATTTTGATTCTAAATTAGATACTTCAAATTGGACATTTAATGGGAATGGACCAAACGAAAAAGATCGTGATGTTTTAGTTGAATTTGATCAAATTTTAGTTATTTATCATACTTTAAAACCAGAATATCAAGAAATTGTAAAAGAAATTACATATAAAATGGGTAATGGAATGGCTGATTATATTTTAGATGAAAATTTCAATTTGAACGGGGTGTTAACTATAAAAGATTATGATTTATATTGTCATTATGTTGCAGGATTGGTTGGTGAAGGATTAACTAAATTAATGGTATTAGCTAAATTTTCAGATGATTCATTAATTCAAGATAATTTTGAAAAATCAAATTCAATGGGATTATTTTTACAAAAGACAAATATAATAAGAGATTATCATGAAGATCTTTTGGATGGTAGATCTTTTTGGCCAAAAGAAATATGGTCAAAATATACTGATGAATTACCAGAATTTCATAAAAACCTCGCAAAACAAACAGATGGATTAGCATGTATAAATGATTTAGTTCTTAATGCATTAAGTCATGTTAAACATGTATTGGAGTTTTTATCATTAGTTAAAGATCCATCAACTTTTTCATTTTGTTCAATACCTCAAGTAATGGCCATAGCAACATTAGCAGAAGTTTATAATAATCCAAAAGTATTACATGGAGTTGTAAAAATAAGAAAAGGAACAACATGTAAATTAATTTTGGAAAGTAGAACATTTCCAGGAGTAGTCAAAATTTTTAGACATTATATACAAATAATAAATCATAAATCATCAGTAAGTGATCCAAATTATTTAAAAATTGGTATAAAATGTGGAGAAATTGAACAATTTTGTGAAACTTTATATCCATCAGAAAATGCTATACCAAAAGGAGTTAAAATTCCTGAAAATTCATTAAGTAAAGTTTTAAAATCTAGGGCTAAAATCGATGAAAGTGTTCAAATTAGAATTGATCAAGAGAATTTTAATACTAATGCTGTTTTGGGATTTTTTGGTGTTTTATTGTTAAGTATTGTTCTATACTTGATTAAGAAATGAAGTTGGGAATGTATTTACTTAATGAACTAATAATTGAAAGCGCGTGTACGAAGATATATTGAATTGTAGAATACTTTTGCTCTTTTACTTGATCTCATTTTCAAGTTAATAGATCAAATTCTGCGAACACACTAAAATTAAAACAGCTACAACTGCATGAAATTTTCTAATAAAAGTAGAATTATATTTATTATCTATACAAATATTCAATTATTTAGCATTAAGAATTTGTTGAACAGAATCAACTATTGATTTTTCCAATGGAATATAATCAAATCCTAAAATTTTTTTTGATTCAGAAAAATCAAATCCAATACCTCTAGATTGTAATTGATTATTTGATTTTTCAATTGAACCCTTTGGTATATCAACTTTTGGGAAATTTTTATTAATAATACTAGCAATCAATTCATTAGTAACTTCCCCAGCATCTAATCCTAATCTTTTACCATTTGTTTTTTGAGATTCTTGAAACGCTTTAATATGTGCATGAGCTACATCCCTTACATCAATGAAAATTCCAGTTAATGGTGGGATTTCTTCATTTGGTTTTAATTTTAAAACTTTATTTACTAATTCAGCAGAAAAATTTAATTGTGATTTATCTTTAACTTCAAAAGCTTGTGGACCAAATACATATGATGGTAAAATTGAAACTATTGTAAAATTTGGATGTTCTTCATTTTGGAATCTTACAACTTCTTGACCTGCATGAGTTTTACTTATTCCATACCCGACAAACGTATCTTCCGGGCCACTTAAATGTTTTGTTTCCAATCCACTCCATGATTCTTCAGTTATAGTACCTTTAGGTTTCCCATCTTCGGAAACGTCAATGGTTGCAACAATTGATGAAGTAATAACAAATTTTTTGATGTTTGGATGTTGTTTAGCTGATTGTAAAATATGTTTAGTTCCTAAAACTGCTGGTTCAATAATCTCTTTAATAGCATCTTTTGCATTAAAATCAACTGGTGATGCAGTATGCAAAACAATTGAAATTTCTGGATGTTTAGAAAATACTTCATCAAATGGTTGTTTATCTATAAGATTAGTGATTATTACATAATCAAAAAAATTGGAATCTAAACCTGCTTCAGTAATTAAGGATTTTAAATTTTCTCCTTTGTCTTTTGACCTAACTGATCCAATTACTTTATATCCTTTCTCAATTAATTGTTTGACGATATGTTGAGCAATAAAACCAGTTGCACCAGTAACAAATACAGTTTCAGATTGAGTTGACATAATGATGTTTGTTTAGTGAATTTTGCTTGATTGTAGTGCAATAGGAATTAAAAGAAAATTTAAATGGCTTAAAGTTGTTGAATTGATCTATATTTATATTAACTTATTTAAATTAGTAAGCGATATTGTTATGCCTCAAACTTTAACTTCAACTGTGGATTAAGAAACTCAAGGAACAGCATGTCAAATTAAATTACTGTTATTATGTGGAGATTATTTTGTAATTAAAAATTGATTAGTAAGATTCACTTTTAAGACCGAACTTTTATTTCAAAATTAATTATCCGTAATTGTTTCAAATGTTAACACAAATTTGATTTTTTTCCGTTTACTCTGATTTCTTGTATGTAGTTTCAGATCTGAAACTCGAATCTTCTGATTGCAAAATTGAACTACAATTTCCTTTATAATCTTTAATTCTTGAAATTTGCTTAAACGCATTTACTGAGGTGTTTACATATACTGTGATGCTTTAGACAATCAATCAAGTATTAGGTAATAGCATCAAGTATAGACTTCTCCGAAAACGTATGACCAAATTCCGATATTTTTTCTTGAACGGAAGAATCAGGTTCAAAAAGCTTTGAATTGCTTAATTGATAGCTCGATTGATGTTATTGAATTGTTGATTTTTTTATCTAAGAGTACATGGTACTTTATTTTCAATTAATTTAAAATTAAATCAACAGTACATGCGATCAATAGATGGGTCACAGAAGCAGAGAAAACTTCTCCTCTACTATTTGTTACACTAGAACAAGCTTCTTCTCAGAAAACAGTAAAAGGACCAGCTCGTAGCAAGACTTAATCAGTTACTTCTTGATTTTAGCGCTGAATTTACCATTTTTGCCAAATTTTATGCAGAGCTATGAAGACATGAGTTAAAAATACAGAAGTAAGTAATATTTTATTCAAGGTCCAAATTTTCACTGACTGACTGATAATTCTAATTTGAAAATGAGTTTAACCACTTTGTAAGATGATATTAATATAGTTTCTTTGGATTCTAGCTGCAAAAAGGAATTGTGGAGTACAATCTAGATTACAAAATTTGAGCATAGCCTGAAGATTGTTAGGAAAAAGAAGACTTTTCAAATTCAAAATAATGAAATATTAACAGAGGAATTTTTCATATAAACTCAAGGTTCAAATATAGAATTCTTGGTACAATAAAGTTTGAGATAGGAGTTTCAAGGCTTGAAATGACTGGTTCAGAGCCAAAATGTCGTGACAGCACATTACAATTGCTTCTTTTTCGTTACATTAGTCTGAGTCAATTGTATAGGCTTTTTACTTAGCTATTTTTCTTCATTAACTAAGATTTGTTAATTTTAATAACCGGTTCGATCGTGAAGAAAAAAAAAAAGGAGCCGCAGTCCTAATTTTCTATTTTTCTTAATAAATTGATCATTGATTTTATCGATTAATGAAACAATTAATTTTACAATAAATAATAATAGAATAGACGATAAGAAAATAATTAACTTTATATTATATATATTCATGCTTTAATCATTCTTCTTCAATTAGTCTCAATTAATTATACTCATTAAATTATAAGACCAAAGATGTCAGTAGTAGAAGGAAGTTCAACAAAATTAGAAACAACTACTCCACAAAATCAGTTACAAAATCAGGTACAATCAGAACCAAAATTAGAACTAAAATCAGAATCACCAACTCAAACAACTACAAAAATTTCAAAATCTAAAATCTCAGACAATAATGATGTAAACTTTCCAATAAAATTAATCAATTGGTCATTAGATGGATTTACATATGATAATCAAAAATTAACCACCCCAATATTATTACAAGAGAAAAATGGTCCATGTCCATTAATTTCATTAGTTAATACATTATTATTACAATATAATTTCAAAAATTTACAATTTGACCAGGGAATTTTAAGTCAAACTGAAAATCAATACAAGGGATTGAAAAATTTAGAAAGTTTATTAATTAAAAAATACCATTCAGATAAAAAAATTAGTCTTAATGAAATTTTATCATCTATTGGAGACTTGTTGTTGATGTATTCTGAAGAGGACACCTCTCTTAATCCAGAAATTGTTGATCAATTATTAACTCAATTACCTAAATTACATACGGGGTTAGATGTTAATCCAAATTTGATTACTGGTGATTTCGAATTAAACTTAGCTACTACTTTGTTTCACATATTTGGTTTAGTTTTCAAACATGGGTGGGTAATTGGAGGAGCACCAAAACAAGTATCAGACGAAACACCAAAAGAAGAAGAAGATACCAGTATTAAGAAATTAGAAAATATAATGAATGAATTACAAACGTTCGATAAAATCCAAGATTATTTATTTTTAGAACACCCAAATTCATCAGTTGTTACAAATCAAGAATTAATCAAGTCTTGGTTAGATACAAACTGTACCCAATTAACACAACAAGGTTTAACCAACTTAAATACAATTTTAGAATCATCACAATTTATAATATTTTTTAGAAATAATCACTTCAATACCCTTTTCAAAAAATCATCAATGGAATTTTATTTATTAGTTACTGATTCATCATTTACTACACCAAAAAATAAATCTAATCAAATTATATGGCAAAGTTTAAATTCAATAAATGGAGAAAATGATTTATTTTTCACTGGTGATTTTATGCCTGTTTTAGATATAAATCAAGATTTAAATTATGGCACAAATCAAGATGAAAATTTTGATTCTGATTTATTATTAGTTAAACAATTACAAGAAGAAGAAGATGCTGCTATTGCTAAACGAATGCAAGATAAGTATGAGAAACAACACAAAAGACATACGACAAATAATAATAAAAAAAATGAACAAAAAGATAAATCTCAAAAATCCACATCATCATCATCATCCACTACTTCAGATTTGAAACCTGTCAAGAAGGAACAACCAACTGAAAAACCAAAAAAGAAGAAATTATTTGGAATATTCAGCCGTTAAACGATATTTATATAGAGATTACTTAAACAAAATGACTTATTTATGAATGCATATTTACATTATTACACTTACAAAATTCTATTCACTATCATATTCCATTGGATCAAATTCAGATCTTGCTTTATCCATAGAAACCAATTCGTTAGTAGTTGGCTCTCTTAATTTAAAATTGATTTGATCAAATGTTCTTTCTTTGATAAATTTGTTTATTTCTGTATTTGTCGGAGCACGATGTTTTCTTAATTCTATTTTACCCTTTATAGGTAAATAATGTGCAACTTTTCTTTTTTTGAATTTTGATTTTAAAGCTTCTGGTTCTACTTTCGTTTCTTCTACAAATTTTATAGCTAATTCTGAATATTCATTGTTGTAGTTTTGATAATTTATATCATAATTCTTGTTATATTTGAAATCATAAGTTGGTTGTGATTCATCTTCCATATCTAATAAGTTTATTGGTTTTTCTGGATCTGTTGAGTTTAATTCGTTGTAAAGTTTAGAAATTTGATCTTGTTGTTGTAATTCAAACATTGACATCCATTCACCACCGTCTTCGGATTTTATGGGGTAAAATATAGCAGTCTCTTGTTTTTGTTTTTGTAAATTTTCATCATATGAAGAACCTTGCTTACGCTTGAGTGTATCCAATTCTCTTTTGACTGATGCACTTCCTATAAATTTCAAATTCATCAATTTATTATCCATCATTGAAGTATCTGGTAATAATGGCCATGTGAAAACAGCTTTTAAATTTTTACGACGTGGATGTTTTATAGTAGATGGATCAGCCATAGATTTTTCAGCTTCAGTAAAAGTATTTTCAACAGCTTCTAATTGATGATCAGCATCTAATTGATCTTCTTCATTATTTTTTAATTTTTCATTAACTTTTGATTCTTCAATATTTGTAGAAGATTTTGGAGCTGCTCTTTCTGAAATATATTCTGTTCTTCTTAAAAATGAAACTCCTGGTTCTGATGTATTTTTCAATTTCCCAATACCTGCATCTCTTAATAGTGCTCGATCTTTAGGATGTAAAGTAATAGGTTGGTCATTTTTTGTTAATTGTCCAATAACTTCCAATTTATCTTGATCTAAAAATCCAGTATTGTTGATTAAATTCAACTCGAGTCCAAAATTTTCATCTATTCTTTCAATCAAGTTTTGAAAATTTTCTTTTCGGAATAATGAAGATAATAATTGTTCACCTTCTAATTTTGATGATATTGGATTTGTTGTGTTGTATTCTATATATTTTGGGTTTAACGGTGGCGGTGGTAGATTATTTGTGTATCTGATTTTGGCTATATAGTCCTGCCTTACTGGTTTGTTTGATCTTGATGACATTACGGGGTTGGTGATGAATTTGTGGTTGGATTTTAGTTGGTAATAGTTTTTTGTATTGAATTTGTCTCAAGATTAATTTTTTTTGAATATTTTTTGTGTTCTTTGGTTCTTGAATTCTTCAACTAAATTTATAAAAAAGACATCAAAAGATAAATTACCGAAGAGCTGTTTTCAGGAATTCTTAAACTATGAATAAATTTGTTTTAGAATATGTCAGTGAATTTTCAGTCTATCAATATTTTTCTATATAAAAAGTTACATGGCTATGAGTAATTTTCTAGCGTTTTTTAATTATCACCATCTTTAAATAAAGTAGGATCTTTACCACCCCAAGTTAAAACTTCAGCAGATTCAGGTTTATCCAAAGCTTCAATAATTTCAGGTTCCAAATCAACTTTACCTAAATGAATTTTTTCTTCTAATTCATCATCATCACCATTTTTGATTCCATCAGGTAAAATATTTAAATTTTCTTTTATTCTTTTCGGGTTTTCAGTTTTAACTAAAACTATAAATCCTTGTAAATATGCCCATTTTAGCAAAATTTCTACTGGGGATAAATTGTATTTTTCACTTAACTCAAGTAATTCTGGATCTTTTAATCTTTTACCTTGTGTAATTGGCGAATATGCTTCTGCTAATATATCATGTTTGATTAAATATTCTCTTAATTTCAATCTTGGTAAAAATGGATGTAATTCTAATTGATCTACTACTGGTTTAATTAAGAATCCATCCCATGCAAATAATTCTTCTAAATGATCAATTCCATAATTTGAAACACCAATTGATTTAACATTTAAAACTTTATTATTTGGATCAATAACAAATTCTTGTAATGCCTTGTATGTTCCTAATCTTTTATCTTTAGAAGTTTTTGGTGAATGAATTAATATTAAATCAACATAATCAATATATTGTTTAACATCTTTACTTATTATTTCAACTGCTTCTTTCGTCTTTTCGTATCCTTGATATTCATTGAAAATTTTGGTTGTGAACCAAATGTCTTCTCTTTTAACATCTGGATAATCTTTTAAGAATTTGGCGATACCTTCAGCTGCCTCTTTTTCATTTCCATAAACCATAGCTAATAAACGTTAGTACTCAATTCATTTCGTGATTAACGCGAGCGTCAATGAACATACCAGTATCTATATGTCTATAACCATCTTTCAAGGCTTGATAAACTAAATCGCTTGTCTTAGAAGCATCAATTAAATAAGTTCCAAATCCGGCGACAGGAATGTGTTGACCATTATTTAATTTATAAGTTGATTGTTTAGTTAACTGAATTGAAGTAGTTAAATTTGACATTATTTATAAGTTGTAGTTAAAATTGACGTGTGTAAATGATTCAATTGATATTATTTTCTAACAAATTAAACGTTTATATTCAATTAGTAAAAATTAAATTATAACCGGAAAAACAGTGGCGATCTAACCCATGTTTTATATTTATAACCTCTAACTTCGTAATCAACCTAATAATTGAAATTCCATGCTTACATAATTAAAATTCGCAACTATAAATTTTGCAACAAAATATTAATTACGTAATTAGTACTAGTTTTTGTATACACAAATCCATTCTTCAACCTTCAATGAAGGATTGGCAACATTGTATGTAACTTGAGTTCCAAAATCAATTGCACGTAGTATCTCAAACACTCAGGTCTGTTGGATGCAAATGATAACAGCAATTTCAAATCCATTATTGCATTCATTTCATTTCTTCGATGAGACACAATTGAGGAATGATTTTAGACCCATTTTCAAACCAAATTTGTAAAACTTTTGTTAAGTCTTCTTTGTTGTCTTTAATCCTTGCAAATGAATTACATCAAATGTTGATTTTATGATGCAAAGATCAGAAGTTGAAGTAAAATCAACTACCCATCTCTACCAAACTGCCTGCACACTCACAGTCATGTATCTCAAGAATCAAAGTCAAAAAAGGTTGTCAGTCAATTATCCAAAACCCTAAATATATCGCTTTTGCTTCACTCCAATGTCTAATCTAAACCACAGTCCAGTCAGTTAGTTAAGTTTGTCTCCAAAGGTTGTTCTCTCAAACTTAATAAGATTATCATTTTTGTCCATTGGGTTGGAAAAACGTCTTAGGTATTCAACTCAGATTGGTCCCATACTTGTTCAGTGAAATGTCTCACAAATATTTCTCAATTGATAATGAAAACTAGAATTTTGCAGTTAGTATAATAAATATATAAATAGTTCTACATTTGTATGGATAAAAGTAGCTTTTTGGTGATCAATTGAAGAAGGATAAAAGTAGTATCAAAAAAAAAAAAAGAATAATTGATCTGAATGATTTTTAAATGGCAAAATATTTGGTATGCTAGATTTTAGTTGCAAAAAATTATTATGTGAAAAAAAGTAGTGCACCATAGTTGAAACATAATAAATTATGTGGGAATAGTAGGCATTCCTCTTCAAATACCTTGAATATATGGATATTATATAGATAATAGGGGGTTGAACTAAAAATTAAAAACAAGGAATACGAAGGTATCATTTGGGTGTTTGAAAATATTATAGGAATGTTTGTGAGTACGATTCAAATGAACACAATATACGATTGCAAAATTCAAAAAAATGATCCAACTAATAAGCACTCAAAATAAACAAATCTCTGAAGCCTGGAGTTTCTTAGATTTTGATAGATTAAGAATTTAATTATTAAATTTCTTCTGAATGAATAATGCTTTTATCTTCATAATAATTAAAATTTATTCACCCTTTTCAGTATCAAATATAATTTTTGAATACCTTAAGCAGTATTTTAATCATTTGAAATTTGATTTTACAAGCCAATACTGTCAGATTTGAGTAACATGATAGATTTTGCGAAAGATTTTATTGAAACTAAATTTAGCAAATATGAAATAATATATTATAGAGTAAACGTAGAAAATTCAAATGCAGCAGTATTATTCATAAATCTTGACAAGCAAAATTCGAGTGGGGTGATATGAAAAATACTATACATACTATACTAATTGTGTTTATTGTTTTGACTTGACACTACTTTTTTATTAATATAAATTAACGCATATTTCTCATTTCAAAACAAAATTAAATTCTTACAATAGTTTTAAATTGGTGATCCATATTATGTCTTAAGTTCAATTCTATTAGGAGAGGAATATCTAGAGGGCTAATGTCCTAGGCCAAAACAGTTTGGGCATTGAAATCACATAAGCATTCTTTCATACTTTCATTGTCAATGAAGGATTGAGACAAATAAAATTTAGTCTTTAAGTTGGCCATGCTAGCTGCAGAACCGCTTTTAAGATTTACTGAATTATTATTTCTAGAGTTTATGAATTTAAATTCATAGACTTTGATGGTAATAATAGAGTTGACTATATGTTGATTCGTTAAAAATGATAAATTTAGAATTTAGTGATATTTACTATCATTTGATTTTAGAATTTTTAAATTTAAGAGTGTTTATTCAGTATACTCACATTTTTTAAGATTTAGTATCAAAACTATTCAACTAGAGTTTGAATTATTTGATCAAATTTTAAAATTGTAGTCGTTAAGATGGATCTACATTCAATCTTAAATAAGGAACAATTTGTCTTCTTTAAGCTTTTTACACATTTTAATTGAAGTTTGTAATTCAATTTGAAAGATATTTCGCAATTCGAAACTTGAAAGAATAAAGCTAGCTGTTTGTATTCATCTTTCGGTAAATTTATTACGACAAATCCCTGTCTTTAAATTAAGATCTGTACATAAATCAACAAGAATCTATATCTAATCTACACTATATAATAATAAATTTTCAATAAATAATAATTTTTTACACCACAAAAGTTGAAAAATTGAAAAAAAAATTGGTCGACAGTTTTGTTTTTGAAAAATTCTAAGTTCTGAAAAAATCGTTCCAGAATAACTCTCGACCCCAACCAGTCTATACAACTTCATAAGAACAAAAGACAACTAATATGTCGCTGCCAATCCTAGAATTTCTTGGTAAATATGTTCCAGTAGTCAAGCCAGAGTATGTACTAAAGTGCTGTCAGAAGTGCAAAGCATTTAAGCTATAGCAAAATTACTAACAATTTCATAGTACTGGTGATCTTACAATTCAGGATTTAAAAGCTATGACAATTTTACAAAGGGTTCAATTAAGAGATTGGACAATTGAATTTTTCACATTTGGATTTATTGTACTTTTTACATTGTTGTGGAAAGTTGGAGATTTTTATAATGAATTAAAAGTTAAAAGGTTTTTAAGTGGTGTTGAACAAGTTTTCAAAAAGCAATTTTATCAATTTGGTGTATTACCAAATAAATTATATATCAAAGATAGTTCTGAAAATTTTGCATCTTATGCTACTGGTAGATTAAATATTGCTAAAGTTGATTTAAAATTCATTTTAAAACCTAGACAAAATTTATTCTTGTGGATTTTGGAAACTTTCTTTAGTTTGTTTACTACATCTGTTCAAACTCCTGAAGATAAAGTTGAAATTATAATCACACCATCTGGAAAATATGATAATTTCATTTCTGCCATAGTTTCAAAATTAGGTATGAATGAAGCTAGAAAATTTAATTATTTCTTATCATTATGTAAAACTACAGATTCTCCAAATTTACCAGAATCTTTTGTATATATGAGTGAAGCAAACGAATTCCAAGATAAAATCACCACACCTGAATTAAAGCAATCATTAACTTTACAATCTGCTAATTTTTTAAAAGTTATTGCATTCACTGATCAATCATCAATCAGACCAGAAACTTTAAAAGAATTCATCCCACATAGAAAAGTTATTTTAGAATTTAAATTAACCACTAGCAGCGAAGATTTAAAAATTATAAGTTCAGTATTAGATTCAGTTTTTAGTATATTAGATAAATTATCAGATCAAGTTATAACTTTCAAACCAGAAACTATTAAAAAAATAGTCAAAACAAGAGAAATTGAGATTGAAAAATTGAAAAAAATTGAACAAGAGATTAAGAATGAAAAAATTGCTGATGAGCAAGCAAAATTGAAAAGAGAAGAAAGGGAAAAATTAAGAAATATGTCAAGAGAAGATCAATTGAAAGCTGAAAAAAAGGCTCAAGAAAAGAAACAAAAAAAATTGCAAAAGAAACAAAGAGTTAAAATGTAAGATCACCTATAGGAGACGAATGAAGAAGTAGAGACATAGAAAACTAAAACACAATACAGTAGTAAAATTATGATGTATATATATATATAAATTTATAAATTAATAATACAATTTTTAATAACTTAAACTTTACCAGTTAATCTCCAACCTCTCCCCACAGGAGTATTAAAAACTTCAATTATACCAGCACCTAAAGCATCAGCTAATACCCAGTTCAAATCATACCCAAAGAATGGCTTTTTAAAATTATTCAACTTCAATACATCAAAACCTAGCTGAGGATTGTTCTGATTATAACTACTATTTACTTTTCCTGACCATTTATTGAATATTTCGTCTTCTAACAACTCTTTATGTTTAGTTTTATTTAAACATTTGACTAACCATACTCTACCTTCGTTTATTAGTTTTAGAAATATACCACAATTGGGAAAAGATATTGCGAAATTATTTTCTATTTCGTTGAAATGATTTGAGTTAAGTGTTATGTATCCCATTTGAACCAAAGTTGAAATTTCTGCATTTGTGAATTCACCTGATGAGACGAATAGGTTAGTTGGATTTTGTTTTATGAAATTAAAGAATTTTGTGAGCACTTGTTTTTTCTCTAATTCTTTTGGATCAGTAGTATCTAAACTAATTAATGTCTTGTTTATTTGATCGTAAAAAACATTATTCTTGACCACTAGCTCTACATTCTCAAATCCATAAGTTACTTTACTCAGTTGAAAATTATTTAATGATCTTGAAATTATTGGTGATGCATTACTTATAATGAATTTCCTAATTGAACCTTTCCTAATATTCAACTCTAGTAATTTATCAACAAATGTATGACCTTGTTTACTGAATATTGAATAAAGTTGCGTAGTTGTAATTAATCCATTAGGTATTACTTGAGTTCTATATTTTATAATATCTGATCTAGTTACGTTAGATAATCCTTTAATTTTGAATATTCTTTCCTCTAGCTCTAATTTCTTTAAATAATTTAAATCAAATTTATCATGTAAATAAGTTTCATCTGACCATCTATTTTGTAAGACCGTGTCAATAGCAACTATAATATCATCATTACCACTATTGATTTGATAATCTAATTGTATATTATAATCTTTCACCTCTAACTTTTCACGATCATCTTTTTTACTTGGTGATACAGGTGGTGAAGGAGATCCCGTTTTTTTGATGTTATTGGTCAAATTCTGATTATATAATTTTTGACTAGGTAATAGTTTCTTTGCATCTTTCTGAAATTTTTTAATTGGTGATTTTGACAAACTATTTCTTTTTGATGCAATAGATGTTTTGGCCGCACTATATTGTAATGGCATCTTGACTTATTCTTCAAAAGTATAAGTGTTTGGTCATTGAAATCACGAAGTCATCTACGCTAATTGAAAAAGTTAAGATGAGTGGATTATTGAGTTATTGATGGCAAAGAAGAACTTCTTTCAAAATTCTATGGTAAATTTTAAAAGATGATTCTATAGTTTTTTTATATACAGTACAATACCCAAAATTTTATAGATCTACGACACCATGATAATTTACGTATTATAATCATTTAACATCAATATTTATCCTTCTCTATGTACATTATTATATGATGTGAAAAAGAACCTTTCCGTTTATTCAACTTCCAAAACTTGCGTTACAAAAGAATCATCCAAAGTTGAGTTTAATTTAACTTGATATCTTCCTCTTTCGCTTATTTCATTTATAGTTGTTTCGGGAGTGTCAATGTAACTTAATTCTACTTGTTGTAAAGTAAGACTTGAATCACCAGTTATCTCTTGAATTTGCTTTATTATTGATTGTTTTGAAATTGGTAAACTTGATGCGTTTAATGTTAACAATTTTGGTAATTTTGATGTAAGACTATGGATTGGATCAGTGTTTGTGGTTTTTGCTGATGAAGAAGAAGTTGGTTGGTTGGATTCTGAGGATTCTTCAAATACATTTGATTGAACTTTCAATTCTGGTTTGGAATCTGGTTTTCTCTTGTTTGATTTCATACTACTGAATAAATCAGATAATTCTTCAAGTGACATAGCGCCATCGGTTTCCTTATCTTCAGTACTTTCTACTTCCTTGTCTTGTGATTTAGCTTGTTGATCTAGTAATTTTTGTTTTTGAATTTGTTGTTGTTGTGCTATTCTACGTTTTCTTTGTTCTTCTTGACGTAATTCTTCTACATCAACTATAGGTAATCTTGGTGGATTATTTGGAGTTATATAACATGCTTTGTTGTCTATATGTAAATAATTTCTCATGAAACCTGGTTTAACATGCAAGATTTGTCCTTCAACTCCAATACCTGGTAAAGTCTTTAATAATTGGACTTCAACTAACTTATTTACCGTTCTTCTTAGTTTTATGGTCCTTATGCTTTGTCTGAATTGTGAATTAACACATCTTGGCGACCTTATCGTTGGAATCATTACCGATATTGATTGATTCTTAGACAGTAATTTTGACCTGGTCTGAAAAATTTTGCAAAAAAAAAATAAAAATTAATTTTCTTATTTGCAACAATTAAAGGATCAAACAGTAAATCAAAGAAAAATTGTAATTACAAGCAAAACTTGGCAACATCGTATCAAAATTTGATGAATCAACCAGAAGGAAAATGCTCAATATGTCAAACAAATCAATATAAATACACATGTCCAGCATGTGAAACCAAATCATGTTCATTAAATTGTTACAAACAACATCAAACACAATCATCATGTACTGGAAAGGTAGATAATACAAAATTTATAAAACAAGAAGAACTTTCACAAAATTCCGTACACCTAAACAGAGACTATAATTTTTTGCTACAAGTAGATAGAAAAATTCATTTATCAAAAGAAGACCTTAAAACCAATGCTAAACATATTTTCAAAAGATCAAGAAATGATTTACAACCGAACCGAAAAAGATTTAAAAAATCTACTGAAGACTCAACTGACCAGAGAAAAATAGCAGTTGATAAAACTTTCAACGATCCACAAACTAAAATTATACGGGAAAATACAATGGTTATTCAACTACCTACTGGTATGCAAAGAGCTTCATCAAATAAAACTGGGTATGATAAAAAATCGAACACATTTGTATGGACAATTGAATGGAAGCTACTAGCTAATTCAGGGAAAGAACTTACTACTTTTACAAGCTTCAGGCTAAAAGAAAATTTAATTTTGAAAGATTCAATCCCTATGAATATACTAAATAATCATGAATGGAAGGATAAAAATAATTTAAAATTTTATATAAAAAATGTTTTAAATACTCCAAAGGACTCAGTCATTGAACTAGATGAAAATGCTACAATTGGTTCAGCATTAAAAGATAAAATAGTGCTTGAATATCCAACCATTTACGTAACCCAAGGCCCAGATGTCTTGCAGAATAAAGTACTTGTGGAAAAAGAAGCATACCAGCTAGAGGATACAAGTTCAGATGCTAATAGCTCGTCATCGTCAAGCGAAGATGATCTGAGTGATAATAGTCATTCAAGCTCAGAGGATTCTGATTCGAATTCAGACTCAGATGGAGGACCTGAAGAAAGTACTCTGAAACCACCAATTCTCAATAAAAAATTTGAAGATGATGAAGTTGACATACCCAAGGCAGTAGATGAGAATAATGATCAACCAATTATAGAAACTGTAAGTGATTTACAAGATATAGATTAATGTAATTTGAAACGACTAAATTTTGCACGACCTTCGACCTAAATACTTCGTACTACTTTTAACAAAACTCTAACTAAAAATATCGCTTATCTTATCTTTTACATCATCAATCAATTAATCTACATTTATATGTCATCAGTATTCAAAAAAATACCAGACTCAGAAAGAAATATCAACGCATCATTATATTTTGGAAACATAGATCCACAATGCACAGAAGTATTAATGTATGAATTATTTTTACAATTTGGTCCCATTAAGAATCTTTACATGCCAAAAGATAGAATAAACAAGATTCATCAAGGTTATGGTTTTCTAGAGTTTAAAAATCCATTAGATGCAAAATATACTGAAGATATACTACGAGGTGTAAGATTATTTGGTAAACCACTAAAGTTAAAAAAATTAGATATTAAAACACAACAACCTTCATCTACTCAATACAAGCAAATTGGTACATTTGTTGATTTAAAACTGAATCTACTAAATGATAAGTTCGTGGACGTGGGAGCCAAACTCTTCATAAACAACCTTAATCCATTAATTGATGAGAAATTCTTGCTAGATACTTTTTCAAAATTTGGTACAATAATAAAACAACCAGAAATTAAAAGAGATGAAGAAGGTAAAAGTTTAGGTTATGGATTTTTAACATTTGGAGATTTTGAAATTAGTGATTTAGTTATTGAAAAAATGAATAATGTCATATTAATGAATTCCAAAATTAACATAAGTTATGCTTTTAAAAATGACGTTTCAAGTATTAATGGAAAAAGATTAAGACATGGTGATAAAGCTGAAAGAATTTTGGCTGAAAATGCTAAACAAAATAATGTTATAAAGAAGGCAGGTAAGGTACAAAAGAAAAAAAAGTGATACATAGCAAAGTATATAGCTAACGAACAATGATTAATGATTAATGATTGAGTTGATTTTATGATGTTTTTCAAATTCTATTTAAGTCTCAAAATCTGGGGTGTAGTTATCTGAATTTAATTGAACTATACAACTAGAACCGAATCAGACCAAATATCAGCTGGTTGTTTTAGTTTGATGATATATGAATTATTATAAACTTGATTGACCCCTCTTTTTCAAAGTTGTTTCATATTTTTAAAATCTCTATGGTTTAAATAGTTGAAATTAATATTTGTTTCATTTTTTCTCTCTTATCGTTTGTTATATAAATAAAGATATCTATAACACACTTTTTTTTACAACCAAATTTAAAACATATCTTTCAATTACATTTAAAATATACAAATATCATCAAACAAGTCATTATCATCTGTCATGAATTAAAATGGAAATCATTTATGTATATGAAGATAATCTCATAGAGTTATCTCAAGAATTAGAAGAGTTAAATCATCAGAATGATCAACCCCAGAAAAAGAAAAGAAAACTTAGTGTTAATAATGAAGATGAAATACCAGTTACTAAGATAAAATTAATTGACAAATCATTTGAAATTACTGAAGATTATGAAAATGAAAATGATATACCAAAAGAGCTTGAAATAAATGATTCAAATGTGAAATTAACGTGTCTACGTGATGGCAAATTGATTATAAAATATTCAAGTAATAGACTGATACCGTTATTTGATTTAAGACTTTCTGGGGATGAGGATTTAAAAAGTGATATAGTTTTACTAAACAAATGTAGTGCAAAATATGGCCTTTTAGGAGACATACGTTTTAACTTCAAATTCAGTAATGGGAAAATTACATTAAAATTATCATATCAAGTATACTATTTACCCAGTTTAGAAAATGTAATAAAGATTGAAATCAAAGAAGCCTTGCTTCATGTCATTAGTAAGCAAGATGAAAATTTCAATAAGTCAAATAATGTTCAAATTACTCCTCAAATTTTTTATCAAAGTATATGTGATCATACTAGAGAAATGCCACCATATGAACAAGAATTTGATATTCCTGAATTAGAAACTAAATTATTACCATTCCAAAAGAAAACTGTTAATTGGATGTTAGAAAAAGAAAGTGCAAAACTAAATCATGAAACAAATAGATGTGAACAAGTTACTTATTTTACTGAAGATGATTTAAATGATACTAATAAAATTTTGGAAATAATTAATAAATCATGGTTTGGATGGAAATTGGTAAATATATCAGATGAACAAGTATTTTTCAATGCCTATACTGGTCATATTGCTACATTTGAACAAATCAAAGAACATATGGTTGAATATTTGAATGATGAAGATAAAGCCTCGTGTCCAACAGTTTTACCAGCTAAAGCGTTGTTAAGCGAAGAAATGGGTTTAGGTAAAACAGTTGAAACAGCATCAGTCATATTATTAAATCAAAGACCAATTGATGAAATTGATCGTAAAATTACCTTACCGATAAATGAATTTGGAGATGATAAAACAATAGTCGCTGGTCGAACTACATTAGTTATTGCTCCTGTTTCAATTTTGAACCAATGGAAAGAGGAAATGATGTCATTAGCTCCGACTTTATCTATTACTGAATATAAAGGTATAAATAGTTATTCCATGTTTGATAATAAACCTGCAATTATTGCTGATTATTTAAGAAAATTTGATATTGTATTCACTACATATAATGTTATTGCAAAAGAATTAGATTATGCAAGATTTAGTAGTAAATTAAGAAAAACAAGAGCATCTAAGAAAAATACATTATATGAAGAAGAAATCCAACAAGTACCATCACTGAGTAGTGGAGCTGAAGAAGAAACTTTTGAGAAAAGTTACAAATCCATGTTTCAATTGACTGAAATTAGGAAACCTGATCCAGCTAATGCCAAAAAGAGTAAAGAACAAAAAGAAACAGATTATGAAAAAATATTACAAAAGGAAATTAAATTAGCAATGAAACATAACAAACTCCCACACTGTTATACAAGAAATGAATACGAAAGTCCTTTAATGCTTATACAATTTTGGAGAGTTGTTTTAGATGAAGTTCAAATGGTTTCGCTGACGTTTTCAAGAGCCTTTCAATCAGCTGCATTAATTCCAAGGTTTCATGGATGGGGGGTTTCTGGTACACCTATAAAAAAGGATATAAGAGATTTATTATCATATTTAAAATTTTTAAAAGTATTTCCTTTTAATACTCCTTCAGGAGATTTTGCATTTAAAATATTATTACAAAATTCAATAGATTTCATCAAATTTTGGTCAGATACAGCAATCAGACATACAAAGGCGTTGGTTCATGATGATATTAAATTGCCACCACAAAACAGAGTTCTTTTAACTATTCCATTCACTGCAATTGAGCAAGAAATGTATAATGAACAATTTAGTCAATGTTTAAATTCAATTGGATTAGATAAAAATGGAAATCCCACGTCTGATAATTATGAATTAACATCAAATACTTTAACATTAATGAAAATGTGGTTATCAAGATTAAGACAATTGTGTTGTTCACCACAAGTTGGTAGAATGCACTTGGATTCAAAGAGAGCAAGACGTGCAAACTTTAGAGGTGATGGAATGGCGTTTGTTGATTCTTTGAAAACTTTAGATCAATTGTTAGACGAAATGTTGAGTAAACTGTATGGTGATTTATCAGATGTTGAAAGAAAAAATATGGATGTGTTTGCAAAAATTACTGATCTTTTGGAGTATGTTTATTATCCAGATAAATCAAAATTTTATTTGGAAATTGGGATCAAACAGATTAGAGATATAGTTTATCGTCTTGAAGTTATATTGAATAGATTAATTGATGAATATAAAAAGGATACTAATGTTAATTTTGAAGATGATGATGAAATTGGAAGAGATAAAAAAGATGAACAAACTGAAAATTATAAAGAAGGTATGATATTCGGTTTCAGAACTAAATTAAGACTTTGGTTACTATTATTACATAGATTTTACTTTATGTATGCATCAGCTAATTTTCAATTACATAATAATGAATTTCAAGAACTTGTTACAAAATATAAAGTTATAGTTGATATTGATGAATGTTTAGGTTCAAGTGTAAAAGATTATGAGGGTGTTCCTAGAGCAAATCATCTAGCATCTTTAGTTAGTTCTGCTCCAGAAACTGCTTTTGAAAGAGAAATTTTATCAGTTGATTTAGGTTCTTACCAAGAAAATGAAACAAAGTATTATGAATTAGCTGATGATATAAGAGCTAAAATTTTAGCGGGAGTTGTCAAACAATTGAAAAAAGCAATAGATACTAGAATTGTTAATCGTGGTTTTTTATTCCCACAAGATTCAGTTGCTGAAGATAGTGGTGAAGAATTAATACCAAAAACATCAAGAAAATTTTTCAATCAAATTCCCAGAATCAATGTTCAAGATTTGAAAGATTTGGTAAGTTCACCAAAATTATTAGCTTATATTAACAAGTTACTGAAGTTAGTTGTTGAATTAAATTCCAAAAGTGAAAATATAAATTCAGAATTCAAGAGTTTAGTTGATATACTTTGTGAATCGGTTGAAACAGTTGAAAATCAAGATGCAGCAGTAACTGAAACTGTTGAAAATCAAAATGGATCAGTAAAAAATAAAGCTGAAAATCAAAATGGCTCAGTAAACAATAGAGCTGAGAATCAAGGTGTATCAACAGATGAAGGAGCTGAAAATCAGGATCCAACAAATTATGAACAAAATTTAGAAGCACAACAAAAAGTCGAAGATTTATTATCAGCATTAGATCGTAAAATTTTACAAAGAAAACATTTAATTACTGGTCTGCTCGAAAAAACTTTCCATCCTTTACATCCTTCAAATTCCAATGATTTTACAAGTTTAATTTCGGAATTATCAACTATCGAAGAAGAAATTAAGGAAACTCAATCAAAAACAACTGCAATAGAATTAGAATTAATTGAAGCATTAAGTTCAAAAATTAGAATCATATTTGATAATCAAAAATTTGCTCAATCGTCAATTGCAAAAGAATTAAATGTTAATTGTAATGCTGTTTTCAATGCAAGAATTGAATACTTCAAACAATTACAACAGATTTCAGACTCTGTTGAAACTACAAAATACCCATACATGGATAGAACCAAATTATCTTCTCATGATATTGAGCATAGACTCAATCATTATAAAAGATCTTTTGAACTAAATAATTCTTCAATTGATACTCATATTGGTAGATTTAGATATTTAACAGAATTAGTTAAAGAAACCAAAAATGGTGGTAATAATGAAGAAAATGGTCCAAATGATGTGTTATTATGTGTTATTTGTAGATCAGGTATTACATTGGGTTCATTAACAAAATGTGGTCACAAATATTGTAAAGAATGTCTTCAACATTGGTTAAGAAACTCAAGAACATGTCCCGTATGTAAAACCAGAATTGAACCACACACTATTTATAATTTTACAAGATATGCACCAGAATTAAAAGCTCAAGAAGTTGTTAATGAAAATGAAATTAACCATAAAGGTGGTGCAAATTTTAATTCCATATATAAATCGTTAGATCCAACTGTTATTCAAGAAATTGGAGAAATCACATTAAATGCAAGTGTTAGTTCAAAAGTAGATATGATTGTAAAACAAGCATTATATTTGAAAAAAAATAATCCATCTGTACAAATTGTTATTTTCAGTCAATGGCAAGATATGCTTTATATTTTAAGTATGGCTTTAAAAACAGCTGGTGTATCATTTATTGAATCGAAGGGGGTATTACCAATTGATAATAAAACGATATCAAATTTTAAAAATAAATTTGAAAATGGATCAATTGAAATGTTCAAAAATCCAGTTAATGAAATCACTTGTTTCTTGCTAAATGCAAAAGCTCAATCTGCTGGTATTAATTTAGTTAATGCTACACATATTTTCTTTTGTGAACCTTTGGTTAATACATCAATTGAATTACAAGCAATATCAAGAATTCATAGAATTGGTCAAACTAAACCAACAACGGTATGGATGTTTGCTATTGAAAATACAGTTGAAGAAAGTATTATTGTAACATCAACAAATAAAAGATTAAAATTAATGGCCAAGACAAATGATACCGAAAAAAATGGTTCTTCAGAAGTAGTTAATGATGAAGAAGAATTAAACGGTAGTATTTTACCAACTACTAGCAATGAAATAAAATTAAGTGAAGCAGATTCAGTTATATTGAATGGTGGATTAGTTGATGAAATGTTGGAAAAAAAATTAAAAACTGGTGAAAATGTAAATAATAATGATTTATGGCATTCATTTTTCAGTTCAAGATTACCTTCAAATGATTTAGGTTTATAATAATTTAACTAGAAATTTATAGCATTTAAAAAATATAATTAATAATTAATAAAAATATACTAAAAAAATATATTCATCTACGAAACTCAAACTATGAACGAAACACCACCCCCGAATTAAATAGCTAAATAAGCTTCTTCATTGAATCCAGCATAAATTTTACCATCTTCAATTAATTCATTACAAAATCTTCTTGAATCATCAGAAGAAATTTCTAATTTTCTAGAAATATAATCAATTGGAACACCTTCTTGCATTCCTTTACTTTGATCTCTAATAAATTCTAAAATTCTTTCAACCATAGATAAATTATTACCTATAAACATTTGATTTTGATTATTATTAGTGGTTGCTCCATTTTGATTACCTGAAGATGAAGGTAAACTTATCCCTTGCATTTTTAAATGATGATTTATAGCATTTAAATAGTGATATAATATTTGATTACTATCTTCAATTGGTTTTATAATTGCATTTTGAACATTCTTGTTATTATTATATAATTTTAAAGCTCCTGAAACATTGACATATTTGTTTAACATTTCACTATATTTTTCCAATTCTTGATCCGTTGTACTTACATTTTCATCAATCCATTTTCTTAATTCAATTGATCCTGTTCCATCTTCAACTGTTATTAAAATAGATGTTTGATTTCCATGAACTTTACGTAACACACCAATAAAACTAACAATACTCATATTTACATTATTTATTGAAAATTCTCCGTCGGGAACAGGTTGTTGTGATTCATTGATTTGTTTAATAGTTACCGGTGTTATACTTGAACGTGTTTGAGATTTATTATTTTGTGAACTTCCTCCATTATTATTGTTATTATTGTCTTGAAATCCTCCTCCTTGTGAAAAACCCGTATTTGAAAATCCTCCATCTCCATAATTTCCACCATAGTTTCCAAAATTACCGTAATCAGACATGACGACGAGTGTATGATGACTTTAAATTGAGTTGTATTGAAAATGTACTTAGTGTAATAGATCACTCTATAAGATTTAAGTGAGACGCGTTCTCAATTTTATTTTCTTATTATCATGAGAATCACGTGTACACAAGCGGATTATAAAGTCCTAAGTTTCAAATATTTGGCAACACATTTTTGAACAATTTGAATAATTTACCATTTATCACTTCATCGTTCACTAATAAATATTGAATTAATGTCAGACTGAGAACCTCAAAACACACAACGTTTCATTACTTATTGTTGAGCACATGCACAATTTTATTTGTTTATCATAAAAAAAATCTTAATATTGGTTTCACACTTGTTTCAGAATTATATTAATTTATTATTATTCAAATTTAGTTCCTTCCACATTCAGATTGTATATATAAATATCCAACTAATTCCCTTTCATTTTGTATATAACTGTTTTTTTTATTCATGCTAACATCAGCTAGAATCTCACAAAATATGAGAACAAAAATACCAATAGATGAAATAAATCTAGATGATATAGAAATTGATCCAGTTATACGAGAAGATTCAATTGCTTCATCAGCTTTAAATTTAATAAATAGTATTGAAGAAGTTGAAAATGATCAAAAAACAGACAACCAAAGTGAAAATCACGTTAGAGAAGCAACAAAACCACATCCAAGTAAAACCAAAACCAAAAATGGAGTTAAATTAGTTCAATATGATCCAAATTCAAAACCTGCAAGATTAGGTAGACCAAGAAGTCATATAACAAACCCTATAACTGAACCATTATCAGATTCATCATCACAAAATGAAGAAGGTTCAATAATATCAAAATTTAGATTTGATAATCAACCGTTAGAAGGACCAGGTTCAAGAGGTGGTCAAAAATTAAGAAAATCACCTCGTGGGAAAATTACACTGGAAGTTATTAAAAAGAAACAAAAAACTCAGTCAACCTTAAATTTTGGTGTACTTAAGTCTCCGTCCAAATCAACTACTAAAGAGCAGTCCAATTCAGAGGAAAATGATAAAACCACTTCTTCAAGTAAAACTAATAAAACCCTTAGCATTATCACCGCATCTGATCTGAAATATAAACAAAGATCAAGATTAACAGAAGATAACTTTTATGCCCATAGAAACGAAACTGTCAAAAAAACTTTCAAACCATTACCTTCTCCAATTATACCAATAAGTTTATTTACAGATTTGTTGTCGGTTAGTGATCAATCAAGAATTAAAGATACAAATAAATTGGCATTAGGTTTCCCCGTACGAAAAAATCCATACGCAAGTGATATAACTTATCTCATAGAATATTTAACAAAATTTAAAGATATCATACTGATTAAACCATTGGGACCACAAGATTTTGAAGAAGGATTAAGTTTACCCACTATCGAAGATACTGTGGAATCTGAAAGATATAATAAAAAGGACTTCAAAGATGAAGTTGATAATTATGATGTTAATTATATATCACCAGATATGCAAAAATTATATAAAATATTGTTGACGTTAGTGTTGAATAGAAAAAAAGATGTGACAATAGCAACAGCAGCCATGCAAGAATTAAAGCCCAAAACTAGGGAATTGGGATTACCACGAGAATGGAAAATTTATGATCCAACAATTAAATCAACTTATGAAGCAGGTGAGCCAGTTGATCGAAATTGCCCAGATATATTAATTGATGAATGGCCCAAAGATAATGATTATAAAACCAAATACAATCCATTTTATGATAATCATCAATTCGCGGCTTTAGGTTTATCGGGTTTGGAAAATCCAGCTGATAGATTAATATTATTAAGGACTTTAGCTCAATGGTCATTAACTGAATCAGTTGCAATAAATGAATATATACATGCAAATATCCAAAAGCAAGAATTACCGGGTGATAAAGATACATTTTATGTACCAAGATCTGTAATTTATGGTTTTGATAATTGTATAAAAAATAAAGATCATGCTAATCATAGATTATCCAAAATGAAATCAACTGAAGAAGATTTAAAATATGTTGATCCAACTAGTGATCCAAATTTACATACTATGAATTTAAGATTGGTTAACCATTTTGCCGGTGATTTAGGTTTCCACAATGGTAGATTTTATTTATGTAGAATGAGTGATTCAAACAATGGTGGATTATCATCAGTTGAGAAAATGAATGAAACCTGGAAAAATCCGAATCCGAGTTCTAAAAATTTACCTTCAAATTTTAAACTATATTTACAAGATGTTTTCACTGTGGTTAAAAATTCATTAAAAGCAGATGGTGTTGAATTTGATAATGATGAAAATGAAATTGTACATAATGAAAGAAATAATTATGATTCCGATGATTGGTATGAAGTTGCTTCTACCCCAGAGGAATTAAAACTGTTTATTGATTTTTTACAAACTAAAATTGATGAAGCTAAATCAAAATCTTCAGATTTACTTTCAAGTATTAAAAAGTTGCATGAATTTTTGAAAAAAATATATCCATTGTTGGAAAAACAAGATCAATTGATAAGATCAGCCAAAAATAGAAAATTAACCGGAAATGTTGTAGTAGATGACGAAGTTGAAGAACCACAAACTGGAAGAAGATTAACAAGAGCTCAAAAAGCAAAATCGTACGCTGAGGTTTACGATGAAGATGAATTTGATGACGAGGAAGAAGAAGAAGAGGATGATGAAATTGATGAAGATGAAGTAGAAATTATTGAAAACAAAGGTAAAATCTATGAAGCTAATGATAATGATGTTGATGACGAAAATTATGATGATGGGGATGTCGGTGTTGATGACTTAATTGAAATTGATGAGGAAGAAGATGAAGAAGAAATAGAAGAAGGTGAAGATGAAGAATACGAAGATTAATCACTGGTTTGACTTATTCTTCTAAAAAATAAATTTAATTCTTTATAGTAGTAGCATACGTAATTCATAATTTTGTCCAACGCTTTCGTAGTTTGATCAGAGAAAATCTTGAAAATAACTAAACAAAGTTACATTATATATTTTCAATTATACATCATCTACAAGAACTAGAACTCTAACACCTACCACTTATTCAAAATTTGTTAACACCAAACAATAAATCAATTTTTTCTTTAATCATATCTTCATTATCTTCAAAATATTTAGCTCTTCTAACAACTTCTTCTTCGTAACCTTCATCACTTTTCAAAGCTTTTAAAGTTTCAGACTGAGTTTCAATCCAATTTTCAATAAATTTAACGGGATTTTTACTTAATTCGGAATAAAAGTTTTCTCTTGAATTTGCATTTCTTAACGCTATAATAGCTAGTGAAATTTTTTGATTCAATTTTTCAATTATTGTATCGTGATGGGATAAGTTTTCAAATGCAGTTTTGTTCAAGTCGAGCAACTCTTGTTGTGCTTTCGATAAGTTAACTGGTAATTCTACTGGGATGTCTAATATTATATCACCTAATGTTGTTGATTTTAGGGTGTTAATCTCATAATCTAAAATAATTGGTTCTCTTGGTTTAAAATGTGGTTGAATTAATCTATACAAATCTGAAAATCTGAATTCTGAGACTTTTAATAAATCATACAAGATTTCATCACATTGAGTCAATGTTAAATCATCATGACTATCTTGATCTTGTTCTGGCATTATATTTGTTGTTTCTACTGCTGGGACGTGCATATATTTTGATGTATTTTTGAAAAGTTTGTGCAGTAAAGCATATTGCCATATCGTATACATGACTTCTTGTTGAGTACATTCTAATTTCCCAGTAAATCTTGCCATATCGTCTGTAACTCTTAATTTTGCGGTATAACTTTTTATCATTATTGCAATTTTAACTTTTAAATTAAAAATTCCAGGTCTTTTGATGTCCATTCCATCAAATCCTACATTATTTGGATGTCTGTTAACATTTTGTGATCCATCATCTCTCCATTCTATTATATTTTGATTATTTTCTTGAATATTTGGGTAATTTTCATTTGGTAAAAGATCAACTGATATACCTGATAAAAATGAGCTAAATTTTAAGTCTGCATTTTCTTCAATTTCTGTATTCTTATCGCCAATGAATCTACCTTCTATTCTTAAGGTCCATGTTGGTTGTTGATCGGAGTTCTTTTGTTGTTGCCATGGTTGATTTTCAGAGGTATTGAAAATAAATACTCTTAATAAACCTGTATTTGTTTTATATTCAAATGGATGTATGGTTTTTTGTTGTATAGCCTGAAAATCTAAAGCCTTTCTTGCAATTAATAAATCAATTTTCCTTTCTGCTTCTTTTAATCTTTTATACTCCTTTAGGTTTGGAATTTTATCATATAATGTTGGAGGTATTGTTATATCAGTTGGTGAATAAGATATCGTTGGCATGGCATTGGCACTAGATCTTGGTTTGAATTGTGGTTGTTGTTGCTGGTGTTGTGCAGGCATCTGTTGATGCTGAGGCATACTTGACATTGTTAATGATGAAGTAAGATATAATAGTATTAATCGGTTGGTCTAAACTCTGGTGGTTGTTTTGATTGTAAACAAAATAAAAAAAATGTTTTGGTGATAAATTTCCATTACTAATTTTACACGACCAAACTGATTAAACATAGAATTATTAGTGATCCAATCTATATGAAACTAATTACATTTCAACCGATATAAATCATTCATAATTGTTCATATTTTTTATTTTGCTCTTAATTCTTGAGTCCTAATGGACGATACAATATCTACCAATGGAAATGCTCAAAATGTGTCAAGTTTCAAAATACAAAGACGTAAAATTGCATCACCTACAACATCAAGTAAATCAACTTCAACTTCACAAAATCTAATGATGCAAGCAAATAAGATGAAAAATACAAGAATAAATGAAATGAAGAAAAGAAAAAGGGATTTTTTTAAAAGAATCAACTATACTCATTGTTTAACATTGATTGCAATACCCAGTTTTGCTTTAATTTATCTACTATATTACAAGGAAAGTATACTACCTGGTAATGAGAAAACACTATATTTCCTATCGTTTTATTACAATTTCACGATGTTGTTGTTTACCTCGGGATATCATAAATATTTTGCCCATAATTCGTATAAAATTAAATACAATTGGTTAAAAATAGTGTTTGCAATTTTTGGGTCAAGTTTAGGATTAGGATCTATAAGATGGTGGGCTGGTTTACATAGAGCTCATCATCATTTCACTGATGATACAGAAAAAGATCCGTACTCTATCAAAAGAGGTTTATTGTTTAGTCATTATGGGTGGATAATTAAAAGTCCGAAAATTTTGAAATTTTATGATGATTTTATTGAGCAAGAATTCCCACAAAAGATCGATGAAAAGTTAAGAGAGGAGAGAAAAATAGAAAAGGAGCAGAGTGAAATTTTTGGATTAAGAGATGAATTTGATTTAGACGATAAAGAAGAAGAAGAATCGGAAGATAATTATAATGAACATTTGAAAAAATTATTAAATTGGCAACAAAATACATATCTACTATGGTTCTTTATCACAACTATTATCATACCTGGGCTAATTACAAAATATATCTGTCAAGATACTTTCATGCACGGGGTGATATATCCTGGCATTTTTAGAATGTTCTTATGTCAACAATCAATACTAAGTACAGAATCTATATGTCATTACAAGAAAATCCAAGTAACTATCCCAACTCAACCATTCAACGACAAAAACTCGTCACAAAATTGTTCAAATCCATTAATCTCACTAATAACGTATGGCCAATCACATCAAAATTACCACCATGAATTTCCACATGATTATAGATGTAACAATAGTATATTAACTTACGATCCCACAAAATGGTTTATATGGACATTATCAAAATTAGGACTAGTTTATGAATTATGTAAAACTCCAAATAATTTAGTTGAACATTTAAAATTACAACAACAACAAGAAATTTTAAATAGAGCAAGAAGTCAATTAAATTGGGGTACACCAATCCTGAAATTACCATTAATTACACCAAAAGATTTCAAAAAAACCATATCATCATCGTCAAACAAAGATAGAATTTACATAGTTATACAAAATATCATTCACGATATAACACCATTTATGGATCAACATCCAGGAGGAGTTCCTTTGTTAAAAGCATCACATGGTAAAGATGCAACAAAGGCATTTTACGGTGGTGTATATGGTCATCTGACTGCTGCGATTAATTTGTTAGCAACTATGAGAATAGGAATTTTGGATAATGGTAATGATGAAGAAGTTTGGAAAAGAGTTGTAAAAGAAGAAGGCGATGTTAGAGAAGTTGCGGAATCTTCAAGAAATAATTCAAGTCAATATAGAACTGCTGAGGCTGCTTGAAATTTGTCAATTGTGTTTAAAGTATTAATAATGGGTATTTTTCCAATATTTAAACCTTTTCCCCCTTTTTTTTTATCTCTTAATCTAGAAAAGTTCGATATAGATGAAAACAAGCCGCACTGAAAAATCCTGAAAAAGAAATAGTCTAATACATAAAAAAAAAATTTTGTGTATGAAACATCTGTATATTTAATTCCGATAAGATAGGATAAATTACTTACCTCGCAAATTTTAAAAAACAACTTATTTTTGAATCAAAATAATATATAATCACCTTAGAGGTCGAACCAACTAGACATTCATTGATATATACTAGTAGTGTAAGATCAACAACATATAATAAGAAGTTCACTCAATCTCAACAACAAGCAGAAGACAGAAGCACGTGGAGTCTATCAACCTACGTATAAAGCCCAATCAAACCATAAAAAAAAAAAACAATTCAATAGAAAGTTTGTTGAAACTACACTCATGAGTATTCAAATTTTAAAAACTACTTCAGAGAAGTTTGATGATCCCAAAACTTTATTTAAATTTGTTAAATACTTAGTCATATTACTGCTATTTATTTTGGGTGTATTTATTTATGTCATGACAAATTTCAGTGATAGTTCTGATCTCAATGCCATTAGTACGAACGATGAAATGAGTCTTAATCTAACTCCCAATCCAAATAAACAAGACTGGTGGTTCATGTGGTTCCTCTTAGCTGGAATTTCAGGTATTTTGATCTTTGGAGCAATATTAGGGGGCATTATAGTACTGAAATTTTATAAAACTTCTTTAGATAATGCAATTACATTACAGCATTTGTATGTCGGTTTAGGCTTATGCGTACTTGTAGGCGGATTGGGTTTGACATTTTTTGTTATCGCTAAGAATAATTTATAAATAGAGATTTAATAGTATATGTATGATTGATGCATTCTGAATGCGATTCTAATACTCAAATAGGCTTTTATCGTGATTGAAGTCGTAAATACAAAACGTTTTGATTACTGGGAATCGAGAATTCTGAGAACTTTCAGGTCTTCGATTGAGAGCTACTCGATCAGTTTTTATTACATATATTTAGGGGCTGATATATAAATGTTATAAAAAAATTTTGTCTAACTTATAAAAAAAACCGAAAACAATACAATTGAGCAGGGAAGTTCTTTAATTCTATCAACAATATCTTTGCTCATTTCAAAAAGAGCATGTTAATTTCCACAACCTCCATCACTACATTGTGCACCATCTTTATTGTCATTACAATAACCATCTACACCTCCATATGTGTTGAAATAAAACTCCCCGTGCAAAGCATTATCTTGTCCTAATTGATCGTATCCTTCATTTTGACCTGGATTAGGGTTGACTGTTGCTGTACCGCAGAATTTCCAACCACCATTATTATGAAAATAATCTGGAACTTCTTGATCATATTCCCACATTTCTTCCATTCCTCTATCTTGTGTCAAAGTACGCTCTAAATCTTGATTACCATTATCCCAATTCCATGTTACATAATCAACATCAAAATAATTTTGTCTCTTTTGCATAGTTTTATTACCCATTAAATGATCGATATTATCCAAACCTGCTGGTATTGGTTGGGACTTTTGAATTTGCTGGGCCATTTCAATTACATCAATTAATTTATTTGTGTAAGCAGCTGAATGATTACCATATGATGATTCCCAAGAAATCACGTTTGGAAGAATCTCAGTTTCGTCTCCGTCTCTTTCATTTAAATCAACATCCTCTGTACCAATGGTAAATGTTCTAACATTGCTAAAACCATGGCTCTCTGAAAGAATTGACAAAATTTTTTGATGGGCAGTGGTATTATAATGTTCATCAATATGATACTTGCCTAAATAGCCATGTCTGGCAATTTCCAACTCTAACGTATCATCATCTCTTTTAGCATTACCAAGATTAGCACCAGCAGCAGCAGTTAAAGCAGTTCCAAGTCCTGCAACTACAGCTATACCAGCAGCAGCATACCAGCATGTAGGTGTTGCAAGCGCTGCAGTAGTTCCACAAGCATTTACCCACCAAGCACCTGCCATACCTGCAGCAGCAACCAAAAATCCTCCAATTGCAGCAGCAGTAAACCAAGCCCAGAAGTTTCTTCTTTCTATAACATGGTAAGGTGACATAAGTTCCAAATTTCTAGGAGAATATGGTATCAAACCTCTAACATCACGAAGTTTAAGCGAATCAAGATCTGAACCTTTATGATAAAAAGTGATGATCCCAATAAAAATTAATAAAACCATAAGCAGAAATACAACGAGGTACTTGACATAATGAAGCAACTTTTGCTCATCACCGGCTCTTTTGGATTTTCATAGTGTAATAATTAACCTTGGTTAGCTATATTTCTTCTATTTGTAATTTGATCAAAACCAAGACCAACTTTTTAAATTCATTCATGACTTGAAGTTTTACTTGAAATGGATTGAACTTTATATATCCTTAATTTTTTAATTCTAAGTATATTAGAAAACTTTACACGTGTGAATTACGATTTGCATAACCATTGTTAGACTTTTAAACAATAGGACTTTTATAAAAACCTTTAATTTCCAGTCCTTCCAATCTGATTTTTATTAAATTATAAACTTTTAGAAATATCTTAAATATACTATCTATGTATTGTGATTTAGTTTGGCGATTGTCTTTTATAATCACATTATAGTTTTTTAAATAAATATTTACTTGAATTTGCTAATACATAAATACATAAATACAAATTTTCTACATATTTAAAGTATTAAGGAAATGTTTTATCTAATACTTCTCTTAAAGAATCTGCTATAACCCAAATATCTTTAAATGATGAAACTATAACTTAATTTTTTTACAAAGAAAGATAAATATAAAATGGTAAGTATATCTTATCTATCAGTTTCCTGAAAATGATGTAATAAATTTACATCCCTGAATTTTAATTCAATTGGTTGTGAACTTACATCAAACGCATATTTTAGGAATGCTCATTTGTTCTACCCTTTCAATTATCAGCTTTGAATTTCAATTGATTTCAAATACGCTCTTGTTTTTGTTTTTTTTTAATAATTGTACATAGTAATTTGGAAGACTTATAATCAAGATTGCAGCTTGTGTGCAATATCAGCTTGGCATTATCAATTACATTTTACACTCAAAAGCCACCAAACGCATTTCATAAGGAAGATGATTTGGTTATGATATTAAATTGTGCCGTTCAATTGAAACAATAAAAGTTTTATTATTACGAAGTTAAAAAATTACGAGCCAATTGAGTGGTTGAAAAAACCATCAAAGTATAAATTATTTTTCGACTGAGTGTATTATAAATAATGTAACATCTATACAATTTGAGCAAATATTGAAACTGAAAATAGATTTGAAGTGCCTATTGGTCCGAAAATGAATTCACTAATATGTTAAAAAGAATTAATAGCTAGATTGTTTTTTCAATTGCTTACATTTCTTTACGGGGTAATAATGATTCGTACAAAATAATTTGATCACTTTTTAATACGAAAAAGGATCTTCACTATCTCTTTGTATTTAATATTACCCTATAGTATTTTTTGCTCTTTGCTCTCCATATCTATTTTCATTGTGTTTATGGTGAAAAGTTCCCTATAGCTTCATCAGATCTACTTCTTTGAATTTGATCCTAGACTCAAATAATTTCTTGCAAATCTTGTTTTGAAAATCTATCAATTACAATACAGTTACACAAAATCTAATCATCATTAATAATTTCGGATACAATAAAACCAAGATTAATGTCGTTATCCAAAAATATTTTTGTCGCGCAGAATTTAATTCGCACCGTTTGTTAAGTATGCAATTTACAACAAAATTACAGCAAACAACTCACTCCAGATTTTTCCACCCCGTCAAGGAGAACTTAATGCAAACTATAGAATGAGAATTGATTAAAAGTTAACAAATTTCATTGCTCTGTTTGAAGGAAAAAGATTTGGTTGATCAATAAGACTTATTTAATAAACAAATAACGGGGTCAAAAATAAATTATGTCGGGCGTTAAAAATTAGCGAAACATTTGTAAAAATCTCAAACATCATAAGATCATAATTAATACTCTATCAACAAGACTAAAACAACAATGTCAACATCATCACAACAAGAACCTAAAAATCACATTTTCAAAACAAGAGATTATAGAGGAGCAACGATAGAAGATTTAGACTTACCACCAGCTATATCAATAAATCCATCAACTTCAATAAAAGATGCTATACAAATTGGGTTTGAATATGATTTTACTTTTTTACCTATAATTCATGAAATTAATAAAAAATTATTAGGTGTATTGAATTTAGATGAGATAAATAATAATTCTAAAATAAACGGTAACGAAAAAGTGATGAAATATATGTATTGGTTTAATAAATCAACTCAACGTAAATATCAAAATAATAAAGAACCAACAACTAATTCCACATCTTTAAAAACTACAATTTTAAAACCAAATACAGGGAAACGATACTCTGTGTTGACTCCATTTAGTCCATTGGAAGATTTAGCTAGTTTTTTTAATAGAGATAATAATTATTTCGCTATAATAACAAATGATGAAGGAACGTTTGTATATGGAATAGCTACACCAGAAGATTTGATAAAGTATGAAAAAAGTCGACCTAAATTATAAAAATTATACATAGTTTAAATACAAAATTTATTGAGGAATTTTCAAAGTTAATTTTCCGTGAGTTTTTCTACCTTCTAAATCTTGAGTTGCTTGTTTATAATCTTTTAAATCATAAGTCTTGTAAATATCAAATTTAAATTTACCTTCTTTATAAAGTTTTAATAATTCTTGAGAGTAATGATCCCATTCTTCTTGTGTAACAATGTATGAATTTAATGTTGGTCTTGCTAATTTTATATTCTTTGGTGTTAATATACCTAATCCGAAATTTTCAACAGGACCTGAAGAATTACCATAAGATATAAAAGTACCTTTTCTTTTCAATGAATTTAATGAAGTTTTAAAAGTATCTTTTCCAACAGAATCAAAAGAAGCATCAACTCCTTTTCCATTAGTAAATTCTTTAACTTTCCCTTCAATATCATCAGTTGATGAATTAATTAAGTATTTAGCACCATTTTCTTTAGCTAATTTCAATTTTTCATCAGTTGATGCAATAGCTATAACATTTGCACCTAAATTTGTTATTAATTGAGTTAAAATCTTACCAACACCACCAGCTGCTGCCCAAACCAAAATATTATCTCCCTTTTGTACTTTATAAGCTTCATTTATAAAAGTTAAAGCAGTTAATCCTTGAAGTAATAATGAACCAAAAATTTTTAAATCTTCATCAGTTGAATTAGCTGGTAATTTAATATATTTATGATCATTAGTTGTAATTTTTGTATATTGAGCAAAAGTACCAGGAGATAAATAAGCAATTTTATCACCAACTTTTAAATTTTTAACATCATCTCCAACTGCAACAACTTCTCCACTTGCTTCTCTACCGAAAACATAAGGAAATTTACCAACTGGATAAATACCTTTTCTGAAATAAGCTTCAATGAAATTTATACCTGCGTAATAATTCTTAACAATTATTTCATTTGATGATTCTATTTTTGGAGTAGGAATTGAATTATCAAATTTGATCTTATCGTATTCTCCTAATTCGTTAATATATACTGCTGATTGAGTTTTTGGAATTTCTTTTGACATTTTATTTATTATTGAAAAATTTCTTGTAAATTGTTTGTAAATATGAAATTGAGGTCTAAAAAGTAATTTGGTATAAAATTGAACTTAATTGGATTTAATAATGGGATTTTATACATATATATATATATACTCCAATCCAAATTTTTGAAGAAATGTGTGGTTTGTTCAAAATTGATTATTAATCTTTGGTTTATTGAATTGATTATTAATCTTTAAATATATCAATACCCAAAATTGTTGAGTAAATGTGTGGTTTATTAAATTTGATTATTAATCTTTACTAAATTTGTATGTGGAAATTTTGGGAGACTATGAACCACAAAATCTGTAAAGTAAAGCTACCATATTTTATTTGTAAAGATTAAGACGCAGGCAAAACGGAATTCTAATTTGTTTCAAAGTTTAAAGTAATGTGTTTCAAAGTAACCCCTTGATTGTAACATTAACAAAAGATTAAAGTTTTGAGTTCTGATTATTGCGTTGAGCCAACATGATATTACAATCTATTGCATTCCACTCTCTACTTATAGCTCCAATATTACGAGAGTTCAAGTTGCAAATTCAAATTCGAAATAAAAATTTATCTATTAAACAAATCTAAAATTTATATCTAAGAATTTACTAATGAATATTTGTCCAGCCCTTCTCTAATTCTTTTTTGTCTTAAAGATAATACTCGAATAAAAATAAAATGAAAAATCTAATAACCAAAACTGAAATTGAAACATGAATCTAAAACTTGTTCTTTTTTAATAAGTATGCAAAATATAATAACAAACAACCTTTCTTCAATCTAACTTGATCGAATTGGAATTTGTTTATTTTTTCTTCTTTCAATAATTGAAGCACCACCCAAATTAAGATCAAATCCATTATTAATTTTGAAAACTTGTTGTTGTTGTTGTTTTTGTCTATTAGTTCCACCAGCAGATCTAGGTACTCTTGATGTATTATTATATTTTTGAGATTGTGGAGTTTTTTGATGATGTTGTAAAACTCTACCTGAATGACTTACATCTTCTTCATTTTCTTCTTCTTCTTCTTCAATTAAATCTTCAATATTTGGTTGTTGATTATTATATTTTGATGATAATGCTGCTTCTTCTCCCATTCTATGTACTGCTGTTGATATATCGAAAGCATCTCTTAATGCAACTGCAGCTGGGGAATAAAGATCTTGATGTGTTGATGATTGTGCTTTGAATTTTTTAGAATATTTTGTTTGTGATTGATTATTATTTTGTGATTGGATTGGATGTGAATTTTTAATATGTTGTGGTATACTTGATGCTGTTGTTTTGGGTTTTGGTGATTCTTTATTCATCCATGGATCTTGTAAAAATTCATCTATTGTATATCTTCTTTTTGGATCAACTGTTAATAAATTACTTACACAATTTTTAGCATCTTGACTAATTTCATCCCACCATGGTTGTAAAAATGTAAATTGACCTTTTGCTACTTTTTCAGTTAATGTTTCAATTCTTTCATCATAAAAAGGTGGGAAACCACATAATAAAGTATATAATACACAACCCATTGCCCACATATCAACTTCTTTCGAATATCTTTCATCTCTTACAATTTCTGGTGCTGTATAACCAACTGTACCACATGGAGTTTTAGTATTATGTTCCCATATCTGTTTACTTAATCCGAAATCGGCTAATTTGACTATACCAATTCCACCACCACCTACATTTGGAGTAAAATCACCTTCATCTTTTTTAGTGTTTGGATCATCACTTTTTCTTAATTTTGATACTGGATTAGCACTAGCTTGAAATTCAATTGGTTCGAATAATAAGTTTTCTGGTTTTATATCCCTATGAACTATTCCAACTTCTTCATGTAAGTATCTTATAGCTAATGCAACTTGTTTTATAATCCATCTTGATAAATCTTCTGATAAATAAGTATATTTTACAATCATTGTAAAAATTTCTCCACCACTTACTAATTCTTGTACAATATAATAATAAACTGGTGAATCAATAAATTCAATAAATTTAACTACGTTTGAGTGATTTAATAGCCTCATTATCGTAACTTCTTTTAATACTGCTTGTTTTTGTTGTTGATCCATTTGAAATTTTCTTAATATTTTTATAGCCACTTCTTTGTTTGTTTTTAAATGTTTTGCTCTATAAACTACTGAAAACGCTCCTTCTCCCATTTGATCCAATACTTGGTAATTATCCAAATTCGGATATTTCTTATTTTTGGATTTTTGTTTTTGTTTAATTTCTTCTTCAACCATTTGAGCTGCTAATTTATTATAATCTTGTTCTTGATTTGGTTCATTTAATGTAACATCTGAATAATTACTGGTGTTACTGGTGAAAGCATCAGTACTATTATTATATATTCCTGTATTTTGTTGTTGTTGTTGTTGTCCTTGTTGTCCTTGTTCTGCTAACTGTTGTTGTAATTGTTGTTCATATTCTTGTTGATATTGTTGATATTGTTTATCAGAAGGGTTATAACTATCTATGATTTGATAATTTGAACCAAATGGATTTTCATTTGCAAAATTTGAATCTGATGTTATATTTGTTGCAAATTCTGTTGATAATGGTGAAGTATTTGTATCAAGGGAAGTGGTTGGTTTCTTTTTCATATCATTGGCTTGTTTGCCATGTCTTATAAAAGCTTTTAAATTTTCAAACATTGGTGCTGTGTGACTTGAAGTGATTTGGTTGTTAAAATGAAATTGTAATTGAAATTTATAAAATTTGAAATATTATAAAACGGAATTTTATTTTGTGGGTTTTTCAAAAGATTATTATAATTTTTCTTTATTATAACCACTTGAAAGTTTCAATGAAAATTTATTAAAATTTAATGAAATTTGCTTAAAAAGATTGTTTAATTTGACGATCTAATTTGAGTTAAAATTGACGAATTAATTGAATGTTAAATTATATATCTAAAAATTGATTCTAATATATTCTATATGGTAAAAATTATAAGTTTTATGATGATCGTCTAATAAAAGTTAATGAAATTAAAATTAAAATTGAAAGAAAGAAAGAAAGAAAGATATATGATAACAAATAAAATAAAAATTTTGAAAATTTGTTGATATTAATTCTATTATAAATTAGATTTTAGACAAATTATAATACTTACTTTACTTACTTACTAATGATATTAAAAAATTGGTTCAAATCTTAAAATTTAATATCATTTGCATGAAATACATTAAGAATATACACAAAATTTAGCAATAAAGCAATTTATTTATTTTTTAATTAAAATCTTGAAAATTAATTGTTAAACAAAGATAATTCTGGTTAATAATTTAAGAACCTAACCTTTTAGATATAGTTTGAATAGTACTATTGTTCCATGAGTTTGACATTTCCATTAGGTATTCCGGAAAATATTTGAAACTAAAAAAGGAGAATTTGGTTCATTGATATTGTTCTTCGACACTATAAAATATTGTTTAGAATAAATATTTTTTTATATGGAATTCAGTCTGTTGAGGTGTCCCGAATTCCACATAATAAATTTAGACAATAGAAAGAAATTAAAATCAAATATATCAAGAATATTTTTTTACATCAACGTTTCATAGTAACATTTCTCCAGTTCTATAACAAAAGTTTCTACATATCTTATATCACCTTCCTCTTTCAAATCTAATCATTTTAAATTACGTATAATGGATAAATGAGTATACTAAAATACTTTAATTCAAATGATATCATTATTATTTAAAGATTATAAAAGTTTAAAAAAAGACTAAGATAGCAATCCAATTTTTTAAACAAATTTGAAACAGAAATTTTTTTAAGAAAAAAAAAAAATAAAAATTTTTTTCCACAAATTCTATAAAGAAAATCAAATTCTAGAACAGTCTTGAGTTTCGTCTATAAGTGAATCATTTGATTCCTCCCTGTTTTTTGTAGTGAGCCATTCTATAGCCATTCATTTTTATAAATAAAATTGTAATACACTGTCTTCAAATTAAATTTATGTGAAAAGATTTTGAGTATACGTCCAATATGGATCAATTTTATAAAATCAAAAATAGCAGGTTTTGCGCCATATTGTGCATTGAAATGAGAAAAGTGACCAAAGTTTTAAAACAAATTAGGTTTAACCCACTCTGAAATATAATATTAGTTTGGCACCATTTTTTTCTTAAACTTCTTACGTTTTGTTCGGACCTTTCATATTCATAAATAAATATGGTTTGACCAACATTGACTAAAACTACACCAGGAAAAGTGAAATTTGCTTAGCGAAAATTAAAAGGCTCAAGCTTGACTAAATAAATTTTAACTCTAAACAAATTCAAGTTTCCATTGATCAATAATAATTTAAACTTTTTGAGCATTATCAATCAGAGCCGTTAAAGATTTAAAAAAAAAAACAATAAAAAGTTTATATTAGTAGACGATATTTAAGTTTTCGTAAAATATTCGCACAATAGTTTAAATTTTAAAATCTTAATTATTGGAGGTATTGATGAAATTTAACAAGTTAAAGAGACAGAGCTCACTACTTCTTGTAAGATAAACATGTATGGATCTAGATCTAACCATCTGGTGAAACACATGTCTTAAATTTTTCATAAATAAAGTTATAAATAGATCTATTTCGGCAATGATGCCTAATTTGGTTGGATAGCAAAAGACTAATGCGTTAAAAACTTTCAACATGAAAAATTTTTAGAGAGCAATTAAATTTCAAATCGGCCATAAACTAATGAGGGTCATGGATTCCCAAATAGACTTGTCTCATTAGTTTGAGCAACATCTAGTTTAGAAGAAGTCTCGGACTCACAGAGAAAGTTAATTCGCTTTCTTTCTGGCTCGAGAAATATTGCAGGACTCAAAATAAGTTCTAAAGTAAGTGAATCTGAATTCACATGCCACAATAATTTACTCCAATTTTATCAATCCTGATCTAAATTTGTGAAAAGATTCAAAATCAGTAAATTTTTTAAAGTTTAAAACATGTTTATAAATTGAGGTTACGAGGTACAGATAATTTGCGAAGTCCATATTGTTGATCAATTTTATTTTAATCTTGGTTCCTTAATTTTTATTTTTTACTCTCGGAAGTCCAACTGAGGAAGTCCTTTTTTGAATATCATTCTAGTCCGTTTGACGTTTCAAATATTATTTACTTACGTTCAGTACTGTATAATTTTCTAAATCATACCCAATATTCCCAAACCCGTTCATACTCCTGATTATGCCTCGAGAAGTTGCATATTTTATTATCTTGTAATTGTTAAAATATTTTGACAAAAAATTTGTTTCAAATCCAGTGCAAAAAATTAAATATTTCCTTGAGTGAGATCTGAAATCTGGGGTATATAATTATGGCTAACGCGAAATTAAGGATACGATCTGAATCATCAGATACAAAGATAATAAACACAAAATTTTGAAATACTAACATTGAAGTTGCATAACATTTCTACAATCTCAACAAGTGAATGCATTTTCATTCTTGGATTTCTATTAAATTCATGTGAAATCGTGGGTCGTGCATTTTTATCAAACTGGAAACGTTCACTTAAAATTCAAATTGCTGTTTTTTCCAACCGATCAGTGATTCTGAAACAACCATACAAAAATGTCTACAACTCCACCACCAGCTATTTTCTTCACCGATTGGGATGGTACAGTCACATTAGAAGACTCAAATGACTACCTTACTGATAATTTAGGTATGGGTTACCCAAAAAGAAAAATTATAAATGATAAAATATTAGAAGGAAGTTTAAGTTTTAGAGATGGATTTAGAGAAATGTTAGAATCAATTCCAACACCATTTAATGAATGTATTGAATATTTATTGAAAAATGTCAAATTAGATCCTGGATTTAAAGAATTTTATAACTATTGTGAAGCTAGAAAAATTCCAATTATTGTTGTTAGTTCAGGAATGACTCCAATTATTTCTGCATTATTAACTAAATTAGTTGGTGAAGAAGCTGTTTCAAAAATTCAAATATTATCAAATGATGTTAGAGTAGATGATAATGGTAAAAACTGGGAAATAATTTTTAAACATCCAGATTCACATTTTGGTCATGATAAATCAAAATCAATTACAGAATATTTAGAAGCACATGGGTTTTCAGCAGCTCAAAATCAAGACTTAGACGGTTTACCAAGCATGCCAAAACTTTTTTACGCAGGTGATGGTATTAGTGATGCTTCACTGGCAGAAAAACTTGAAGAAATTTCAAAAAGTTTGGAGAAAAATGATAATAATGATAAATCTGATGAAGATACTGATAGTTTATTATTTGCCAAAAGTGGTCGTGATCTTATTAAATTTTGTGTTAGAGAAAACGTTGCATTTACTGAATTTAATGATTTTAAGGATATATTATCAAAATTGAAAAGTATAGTTGATGATGGTGTTCCTGTTAAAAATTTCGTTGAAAATTCAAAAGTTAAAGCTAATGAAGAGGTTAAAGAAACTACTAAATAGACTTATAGAAAAATAGATTAGCTTTGATCCAAGTAATCATATAGATTAATAGATTGTCTTAAAAAGCTGAATACAACATAACCCGTGTAGAAGTTTTTATATGCTCGATGAGAATTTGCTCTAATACTCCTTCACAAGCCTTGCCTATACTTTAAATAAGCCGTTATATTTCAACTCAGTCTTCCAAGATGATTTGTCAGTGCTTTTAGCGAAATCTTCGTATTCGTGGTGCTTAATTACGTCCAGCTATGACTTAGCCTAATTGGGTATTAACTAAACTTTTTGTGCACATTTACGAAAATAAATCGGAACTATTATCGAGTCCTTTTCCGGTAACCATTTATTTATCTCTTTGTTTGTAATAAAAAAAAAAATAAAAAAAAATTAATAAAAATATTTAAAAGTTAACTAATTTTATATGAGCAAGATACTAAAATATCAACTATAATCTAGAAAAAGATCAAACATATTTACCTATTAAACTTAGTCATATATAAAAGTCGAGCACGGGAGCCAGATATAGTCGAGCTATAACTTTGCTATTCATTCAAAATATCCCCACATAAAAAGCAAAAGATTAAGAAAATAATTTCGAGGTACAAGATCAATTAAATTACTAAATAATATGTCAAGATCTATCGAACTAACCAAAATAATTAAATCAAGATTTACGAAGTCACAATCTAATCAATCAAACCATGCTTCCATTAATGAGACTTCATCTACCGCACATGACAATACTTCATCAACTACAAATATAACGTCTGTTAAAGAATTAAGTGAGCAAAAAGATCAACAAGATCTAACGAGAACATTATCTCAATCTACATCAGAAGAAACAATATACAACTCCAAAACTAATTTCCAAAAGGCATTATACATCATTAAAAAATATATATCATTTGTAGGTCCAGCGATAATCATATCAGTTGCATATTTAGATCCTGGTAATTATTCAACAGCAGTAACAGCAGGTGCAAATAATAAGTATCATTTATTGTTCATTACATTTTTATCAAACATTATAGCGATTTTTTTACAAAGTTTATGTATCAAATTGGGAAGTGTTACTGGGTATGATTTAGCAAGATGTTGTAGAGAATATCTACCCAAAAAGTTGAACTTGGTGTTATGGGTATTAGCAGAGTTGGCAATTATTGCTACTGATGTTGCTGAAGTTATTGGATCTGCAATTGCTTTGAATATATTATTGAAAATACCCTTACCTGCTGGTGTTGTTATTACCATTGTTGATGTATTATTTGTATTGATGACTTATAGAGCAGATACATCATCTATGAAATTCGTCAAAATTTTTGAAACCACAGTTGGAGTTCTAGTGCTTGTTGTTGTTATATGTTTTGCTATACAATTATCAAGAATTCATGCAGATGCTAGAGATGTATTTTTAGGTTATATACCAAGTAAAGAAATGTTTAGAGGTAATGGTATGACTATAGCTACTTCAATTATTGGATCAACTGTAATGATTCATTCCTTGTTTTTAGGTTCAGGATTAGTTCAACCAAGATTAAGAGAATTTGATGTTAAACATGGATATGTTAAATTGAATGAAATTTATGAAAATTCAGCCAACATGGAAAAATCAAATTATGAAAAAGAATCGGATTTTTTTTACAATAACTACAAACCATCCTACAAAGCTATTAATTATTCATTAAAGTATTCAATAATCGAATTAATTATTACTTTATTCACATTAGCATTGTTTGTCAACTCTGCAATTTTGATTGTTGCAGGTTCAACATTATATGGAACACCAGAAGCTATTGATGCAGATTTATATACAATTCATGATTTATTATCTAAAACTATCGCACCGGCAATGGGTACAATTTTCATGGTTGCTTTATTGTTTAGTGGCCAAAGTGCTGGTATTGTTTGTACAATAGCAGGACAAGTTGTTTCTGAAGGTCATATTCAATGGACATTAAAACCATGGTTAAGAAGATTAATTACAAGATCAATATCCATTGTGCCTTGTCTAATTATAAGTTTATGTATCGGAAGAAATGCAATGGGTGTTGCTTTAAATATTTCACAAGTTATTATATCCATATTATTACCTCCACTAACTGCTCCATTGATTTATTTCACTTGTTCTAAAAAGATAATGAAAGTTAAAATTGATTTGAATGAAGATAGTGATGATGATGATAATTTTAAAAATATGGCTAATAATTGGATAACTACTATTATTGCATGTATAATTTGGATATTTGTTTCGATTTTAAATGTTTATGCTATTTATCAAATGTCGAAAAATGGTGTTTCTGGATAGGTTTTATAATATAAAAAAAAGGGGGTTAATTTAGAATTAAAATCTCTAAATTTGCAGTAAAATGAGGATCTCTAGATCTTTCCCCTACTTTGTAGAAACTCATTTAAGCGAGATCTTGATTTTGTGATCTTTTACGTGATCGTGAGGTTGTAAAATATAGTCCAGATAATCTACATGTTTCAGACTTTGTGATACTAATGACTTTTTTTTTGCAGCCAAATCTATACTGGAAAAATTAATGCGATAAAGAATATTTATTATAAATTTAAATTTATACACTATATAAATATCTATCTCCTATAAAATTCCTTTTAGTGAAAAAAAAAAACTATGCTAATAAATTAAATGAAACTCCGATAAAAATAATATAAAACACACGAATTGAAATTCTTTTTTAATTACTCAAAATATTTAAAATCATTACTATATTGATTTGATTGTTGATTTAAAGGGTGGACTTGATTAGAATGATGGTTGTTTAGATTAATTAAGCCACCAACTGGTGGAGTTAATGAATTTTGATTGTTATTGGAATGCATTATTGATGATTGTGAACCTCCGTTGAATAAAAATGAATTGCTTAAGTTATTTAAATTGCTCAAGTTATTGAATATGTAAGGGTTATTTACAATTGATGATGGGTTTGTTTTGTTGGTGTTGGTGTTATTGTATTGACTCCCATTCTTGAGGATGTGGGATGGGTTTAAGGTTGATGCCGTTGAATTTAGTAATGGCATTATTGAATCAGTTTTGTTGTTAGTGTTGCCATTATTTGTATTAGTTGTACCTGTTGTTGCTGTGTTTGTTTGTGAACCATTTGATCCGTTTGATCCTGTTGAAAAGATTGAAGATAATGTTGATTGATTATTGTTGTTGTGACTATTAGAATAGTTGTTTCTTGAATCATTTGCTAAAATATCAGATTGGTTGACTTGTGGTAAATTATTTTGTATTGAGTTAAATGGAGGTAATTGATTTGATTGATGTTGTTGTTGCTGTTGTTGTTGTTGTTGTTGATTATAATTTATTGGTCCTATTGATGCATTCCCATTTAATTGTGAGGTATTTTGTAAATTATCTAATGGATTTGCAGTTATACTGTTTGATGTTGCAGCATCTACAGCACCAGAAGTTGTATAATCATCTCCTTCTGCCCCGTTACCATTCAATAAAGGAGATAAAGGAATTGATGCAGTGTTACCATTAACTGGTGTAGCTGATGATCCTGCAAACCAATTATTTATTGGATTCTTTTTATATTGCTGAGGGAATACAGGTACTTGCTGTTGCTGTTGCTGTTGCTGTGGTTGCTGTTGACTTGGCACATCCATAAATCCATTCTCAACTTTTTGTTGTTGTTGTTGTTGTTGTTGTTGGCCATATAAATTTTGTTTTAATGAATGCATGAATTGTGAACTAAAAAAATTTCTATAATCTAATAATAATTGTGATACAAATGAATCAATTAATGAAGTTTTCTGATTATCTGCTATATTTTTATTTTCTAAAATTAATAATCTCACTTTATCTCTTACTTCATTTTGTAAAGTTTGTAATGCAAATGATGATTGAGTTTGAGTTGATCTTGGTTGTGGTTGAGGATGTTGTAATTGTTGTTGCTGTGGTTGTTGTGGTTGAGGATATTGATATTGTAGTGGTTGCTGTTGCGGCACTGAATATTCTTGTTGCAGTTGTACTAGTTCTTGAATTTGAGGATAAGTTTGTTGATTCTGTGAATTTCCATCATTTGGTAAACTAGTTTGATCATAATTATTCATCTCCTTAATTTGTTGGTTCTTCTTTGATTTTTTGGTCTTCTTTGGTTGCTGTTGTTGTTGATTTTTCCTCTTGGATGGAGTTTTACCTGTTGAACTGGAACTATTATCGTCCATTGACATTGCTAAATCTTCTCCTATTGAATTTAATGAAGTAGGAGGACTATCTTTGTATTCATCTGAATTTTTATCAGAATAGGTTGAAGTTGCAGAACTTTGATCTGTAGTCCCATTACTATTATTACTATTATTACTATTACTATCATTATTATTATTTTTTGAACTTCTTAAATTATTTGCATCCATTTTAGTTTTTTTGTTCATATTACTTATGCTCAAATTCATTCCAGGACCAGCTGGTAATGGTTGTGGTTGTTGACGGTAATTTGAAGTGACCTGTGATTGTGATTGTGGTTGAGGTATAACTAATGATTCTGTTTGACCTGGTGGTGGATCAACTATATGATCATGATAATCATTTATTACCAGTAGTGACCATATCTTATTCCTTAAACTAAAATTTGCTCGTATTTTGAAAGGACAACTTGTATGACGTCTTATAGGTATTTTTGATTTCTTGTTTTTGGATTCTATAATCTTTGTCTTTTTTTCTTTATTTTTACATTTGAAAATGATCTTTGAGGTATCAGATCTTTCAATTACTACATGAATCCCTTTATTATTTAATAATTTATCTTGTAACCAAGGTTTAATATCATCTTTTGCAATAAATCTTTGTTTCTCTAATTCCAAATCATCTAATGGGATTCTATATGGTTGCTTCTCCGTTTCCGTCATTTAGATTAAATGTGGTAGTATTTTGGAAAATAATTAATTTTACTATTTTCTATATGTGATTTTTCTTTAACTGGTGTAGTGGTTGAATTTAATTAATCATACTCTATATTTTATGTTGGGAATATTAAAAGTGTGACAATTGTTCTGTACTGTCGTTCTTTTGTTGTTGTAGTATCAAGTGATGAAATATAGTTTGAAACTAGTGATATATAATGATCGTTATTTTTCTAAACGAATGATGATAATGTAATGATATTGGTTGCTTTATTTTTGCTATTGAATTTTGTTGAATCTGATAATATAATTATATAATCTTTATTAATAGGTAAAACTTTCAAGCAATTGAATATTGAAATTTTGCAACAATAATATTAATATTGTAAACCTCTTGTTTTAATTTCTTTATTGTGCATCAACGGAGTCCGTTGTAATTATATAATTATTTTAGTATTGAAAATTGTGTCGTAAAATTTTTATTCTCTCTTATTGCTGCTAAGATAATGAATCTAATGGTAATATTTTTGATTAAATAATTATGATTTGATAAAATATATATTCAATGTAATTGATATTTTAATTGAAAGAAAATTAAATTGTTGATTAAATCAGATAAAAATTTCATATAAACATTTAATCTGATATATATATTCAATCAATAACTTATTAAAATTTTAGTGATCAAATTTTATAAATGGCAACCAAATTTTTTATTTTTTATTTTTTTTATTTTTTTATTTTTTTTAAATAAAATCTTTAAATTTTAAAACAACATACATATAAACTATAACATAAAACAATAAAATTAAACTAAAATAAACATTAAAACAATCAATCAATTCAATTATTAACGAGGTATACAAATTTACATCATTGAAATCAAAAGCAGATCTAGTTGTATTTGTTGCAGTATTTGATGAATCGAAAAAAGAAAGTGTTTTGATACAACCCAAGCTTATCCATTTGTAGGACCCCCAACCCAAAAAAATAATAGAAGTAGGTACCAATTAATAAACATTAGGTACTCAGACTAAGCTTTTTAGGAGCTAATAAGGCTCAAAATATTTCCAGGGATATAGATTTCGAGAGAGATAGTAATAAGAACTACTTTAGATCTAAACCTTCTTTTGAACACGGAAGGGCCAATTTTAGCATGTATTACATCATTTTCAAGTTTAAATAAGATCAATATTGTTTAATTAATTTGAATGCAGAACATATAGCATTTGTAGCGTCTGACTAATTCAATATTTCTCGATAAAACTATTGATGTTCTATTGCTTCACGAAGTTTAGCTCTTACCAACTTGACACAAAAAGGTTATATAATANTTTTTTTTTTTTTTTTTTTTTTTTTGAAGTATTATTTTATTTTTTTTATTCAATATTTTGATCATACTGACCAAAGACCATAGCAATTTAGTACTTTCTCGAAAATAGTTAATTCTTTTAAAAGTGAAAAGAAATGAAAAATTAAAGTTTTTCTTACATAGTTAAGAGCCTGAAGAAAAATTGAAAAAATTGATTGTTTTTGGGGGCTAGTTACTAAACACAATCACAAGTCTGTTGAGATTGAAATAAAAAAATTACTGGAAAAGCAAACATAGTTTACCTGATATATCTCATAAGAAATACATAATAATTAGTGTGTTTCAACAAATGAATGAAATTTGACTTTGCTATAAATAGAAACCTAAAATTAAATCAAGTATTACAATTTTAACTTTAAACTTCGAAACTTGCGCCATAAATAAACTTTTCAGTACTAAACTTTAATTTTAAAGTTTAATTTAATTTTTTTCGAGATTTTTTAAGCTAAAACCAATAGAACAATCATAAAACAACTTTTATGTAAATTAAATATTTAATCTGCACCTGGATCTATGGCTCGTTTGTTTTATACAAGTTTGATATCAAAGACCTTAGATTCAATTTGGTTTCACTTAAGTCTCAATACCTCTGATTTTCACTTTGTTTTTGAAGGTCTTGTGATAATCTTAATTTGCTTTGATCGAGATCTAGACTCGAGAGTCAAATTTAAAGTTTGCTTCTACATAAAAACTTTTCTATCGTATACTGAAATTTTAAATTTGAATAAGACAAATCATCGATCCAAGTCAACAAAGGGCTCGAGAACTTACAATGTCCTTCTAACTGCTTAGGGCGAATTTAATTAAAAGACATAGAACTAAAATATAATTGTGTCGAACTTTTAAAATTAAATATCTCTGCATATTTCCGGTGGTATATAAAAAAAAATTAATGAAAGCTTGATGAAGGAATCCACAAACCCTTGTTTGTAAATAAAAACAGATTAAATGTTTTTGGTGGTCAATTGATTTGAAATAAATTTAATATAATCATAAGAGACGCTCCATTTATCTTTTATAACGATTATTTGAGGGTAGTAAAAATAAAAAGTCTAAGTCCTTTCTCGTCGTTGTAAATTTCGTCACAAAAATAAGATTTTTTTTGGTCCACCGTCTATCTTTTCATTTTTCCGACACGCCTCAAATGGTAAAGGTCGTTAGAGGGCAAAGAGGCGATTAAGTAAGGCGGACTAGAGTAAGTTAAATCGGGTCCAATAAACTAGTGGTAAGCTTTTCGTTTATTCTAATTCAATTTGTGAATAATCTCATATCTGATAAGGGTGTATAAAATTATACTTTCAAAAAAAAAATATTAAATTAAGGTTTTTTACATAATTTTTAAATTAAAATAAGGTTTTTTAGTTAATTTAAAATTTGAATATACGATTTATTATTAAACATTACATAATCAAAGCTAGCTTGCTTATGTAATGAAGTCCATTTTCAACGGACTTGGTTGCAATCAGTATAAGTCGATACTCGAAATGGAAAACAAAGTAGCTGGAGATCTCGGAAGTCCAGTATAGCTTGATACGTTTCGAGCTTTGGCTACAATTTAATATCTTGTGCGTTAATTTGACACAATTCTTCTTCAGCTTAAATTAAAAGATGTATCAGGGTTGAATCACAAAGCAAACATCAACTCCATGGTATCAGTGATCGAAATAGTTTACTTTCGAGTTTTCTATTCTATTATTAGTAATACGCTGGTACTCAACCTCTTCGATTTGATACTATTAATGACCAAAGCCGAAGTTGCTGAGCTGAGTTTGACAAAACTATATTGAAGATAAAAATTCTACGGAACGGTAAGTGACCGGCTTTGCTTTGAATGTTTTTAAGATTTTTAAAAATTTTGTCCAGAAATGGGTATTTGACCAGGAAAGTACGTTTGATGTGTAGTATGTCATTATTTGAATGTAATTTGTTTTGACGAACTTTCTCCAGTGATTCATTTAAAGGAGTTATCTTACAAAATAATCTTTACGATCTATTGGTCCTAGGTTAAAACTTTTGCTAATTTTTAAGTCGAAATGGTCAATAAACATTTTATTCAAATGACTTTCAACTACATCATGATTTAACAAATATTGTGTTTGTTTTGCTTAGATAATGTTTGGTTCTTCAAAGGAAATTTATTGATTTCAACAAAAATTTAGTGTGAGTTATTTGACTATTTTTTCGTTCACATCCGTCGATTAAAAAAATGAACCTGCCAACTTGCTTGCGGATTATTTATATCAATGAGCATTTTACAACTTTATGATCCTTTAGAAATTAAAATTCATTACATTTGTATTGGGGATAATACATATCAAATTATCCCTACTACAAATATGGTAGCAAAGTGGTATAAATCTATATTTGAGCTAATTTTATCCCACATAGTTAAGCATATACAATACAAAATTTACACAGAAAATGCCATTAATCCCACCAATCTCAAGATGTGTTTGTCTGAAAACAAATTAACTCTTTTAAATTACACATTTTATCAAGCTATCTATTCTTGTATCTTTTATTCTGTTGTGAATAAGAATGAAAAATCAAAAAAAAAATCGAGTATCTGTTTTAGAATCAGCGACCCAACATCCTGACTTGTACCCAGATTTTCAATATTAACTCAAAAACCAAACAAAAACTTTGATGAATAAATTCAAGGTTTTTTGAATATAATTTGTATGGGCAAAAACTTGGGAGGCTTACAAGTAGAGTGAGATATTGAACATAATGGTTGAACTTTTGAGCTATTGTCAACTTCAAAACTGCGCTAAAATTTACCACGCAACAAAAGCGAGAACTATAGTGCATTTAAAAGACCCATTTTAAGACTACTATTCTCATTCTTTAAACACTTATAACTACAAATTACAAAAAGATGGCAAATTTTGTCTCATACAAATTACATTCACTTTTCAGTTATGAACATATTGATATTTTAACCGATTTGATTTACAAAACATGAAAATTCGTGATCTCAAAATCAAACCCATCTTTCACCTTTCCCTTCCCTGCAGCCCAAATAGTCCAGTCTACTTTCGCGCAGCTCGTCATAATTACGCAGTGCAATACTTAAGTAGAGTTCAAGAGCTGCGTATCCCATGGAAGTTTCACTTGGAAAAGATTTATACAAAAGACTCCTAAAAATCCTGATAGATTCTATCCTTATTGAATATTTATTTACAAGATAGTGTTACTTCATTATACAAATACATTATTAATAAATTTTCATTTGTCAAAACCCCAAAAAGTAATCAACAAGATTTCCTAACTCATTCTTCCAATTCTTAAAATGCAAAAACTAATCTATTCTAATGAAACTTTAGCACCTAATCCTTCCAAAGTAGCTTTAATTTTATCAGCATCTTCTTTAGCAACATTTTCTTTTAAAATTTTTGGAGCACTTTCAACAAATTTTTTACTTTCAACTAAACTTAAACCTAATAAAGATTTAACTTCTTTAATAATTTTTGGTTTTGATTTAGCATCAAAACTTTCTAATTTTATTGAAAAAATGGTTTTTTCTTCTATTGGTTCTTGTTTAATTTCTTCTTCTTGTGGTTGTTGTTGTTGAGGAGTTGATGATCCACCTACTGGTAATGCTATATCACTTATATTCAATTTTGTTTTTAATTCTGTTATTAATTGTGATGTTTCTAATAATGTTAATGTGGAGATTTGATCAACTATTGTTGAAATTTTTGGATCTACTACTGATTCTGAAGTTGTGGAATTGAATCTATAACATTGTTTTGAAGTGAATACTGATGATTGTTTGGTTATGGTTTTGGTGAAATTTGATCTAAGATTACGTTGTATAGATTGACGAATGAGCGACATTATGCGAATATTTAATTGCTAGGTTGTGTAGTTCTTTTTGATTAGTCTCTTGATATTGAAAATTTTTTTGAAAGGTTTTGATTGAAAAAATTAAATTTGATTTTTCGTAGTGGTAAATTTACACGACTTAGCTTAGTATCGTACTGAAAAAATATCAATCAATATGAAATACTAACTAAAACTTGGTTCATATCTATCTTCATCTATCTTATCAATACCACCCCAATCATCATCCATCAAAAATGGCATCATTCAGGTTTTGCGCAGAATGTAACAATATGTTGTACCCAAGAGAAGATAAAGAAGATCAAAGATTATTATATGCATGTAGAAATTGTGGTTATACAGAATTAGCAGAAAATCCAAAAGTTTATAGACATGAATTAATTACAAATATTGGAGCTACTGCTGGTGTAGTTGAAGATATTGGACAAGATCCAACATTACCTAGAAGTGATAAAGAATGTACTAGATGTGGGAATAGAGATTGTGTGTTTTTTCAAAGTCAACAAAAGAGGAAAGATACTAGTATGATACTATTTTTTGTTTGTTTGGAATGTAAAAATGTATTTCAAGCTTAATTTGGTCAGTGGTTTTCGCTTCAGTTCTATAGAAAAGTTATTGTATTTATTGTAATATATATTTTATTTGAAAAATCTTTTATTATAATATATTGTATAAATAACGACTTTAAAATTCTTGAAAATATTGTCCGTATGGATCATCACAAGTTATACCATAATCAAGTTGTTCTTCAGGATAATGATCAAATAACGAAGAATCACCAACACCAGCAGTTATAGGAGGTTCATAAGGAGTTTCAATATCTTTTGCTAATAATTTTTCCCAAACAACTTCTTGAAACCAAGGATGATTTCTAATATCTGCTGGACCATTAATTAAATTACCTAATCTTCTTGTTAAATCAGCAGTTATTAATTTTGATAATAAATCAATTTCATCAGGTTGGAAAAAACTTGGATAATGAATTTTTCCAGCTAAAATTTTTTCATAAGTTTTCATTGGAGTTGAATCATAAAATGGTGTATAACCTGCCAACATTTCAAAAATTAATACACCTAAACTCCACCAATCTACTGATTTATTATATGGTTTTGTTGTTATAACTTCAGGAGCAATATAATCTGGTGTACCACATAATGTCCAAGTTACTGTACTTACTTCTTTTGCAAATCCAAAATCTGTTATTTTAATATGACCATTTCTATCCAACAAGATATTTTCAGGTTTTAAATCTCTATATATGATATCATGACTATGTAAATATTCTAAAGCTAATGTAACTTCAGCTGCATAAAATTTTGCAACTGGATTTGGAAATCTTTGAGATTTTCTTAATAATGAAAATAATTCTCCACCTTCAATATAATCCATTACCATAAATAAATTTTTTGAATCTTGGAACGTTCCCCACATTCTAATTAAAAATGGATGTTCAATTAATTTTAACATTTTTCGTTCATCATTTGTATGTTCAACTTGTTTCATTTTAACAACTTGATGCTTTTTCAATACTTTTATAGCATAATATCTACCATTATGTACTGATCTTACTAAATGAACTCTACCAAAAGATCCAGTTCCCAAAGTTCTCATTATTGAAAAATCATTTAATGAATATTTACCTTTACTTACAGTTGATCTTTGTGGTAATAATGATCTTTCTATTGCTTCTTCTGCTGCATTTTTAGGTACATGTTGTTGATGTTGTTGTTGTTGTTGTTGTCTTTGTTGTTCTTCTTGTTTTGCATGTTCTTGAACTTGTGCTTGTTGTTGAGCTTGAGTTACATTTGCTGTAGTTGTTGCATTTATATTTGTTGTATTTGCAGCTGATTGTGCAGATGTCGGATGATTTACATTCTCACCTGGTTGATGTGATTGTTGATAATTATTAGTATTGTAATCCATATCTGATTGATTAATGTTTTTATTAATATTATTATGATTCTTTGTCAAATGTAATTTTTGTAAAAGATTTGGCATGTATTTTTGAGTGGTGATTCAGGTGTTCATAAATTAATTATGAATTTAGCAATTGACCTGAGGATGATAATTTTTGGTTAAATATCTTAAAAATGACGTGAATATCAATTGAAATTTGGGATATTGAATTAGTGATACACTTATATTGATAAATAGATTGAAGCGAACGATAAATGATTCAATTCAAGTCAAGTCAATTCAATTGATAAAAATTGATGATAAAAATTTGACCTAGTTGAAATAGAAATTTAGTTATTTTAATGATTTGTTAAATTATGGTTGTAATAAATTTTTGTTAATAAAAATGTGTTGAAATTCTATTACTAGTAGTAATAGATTTAATAGTAAATAGTACAATAATAAATAAAATTAAGGAGCAAAGTAAAAAAAAAAAATTATTATAATTTTTCACTACTAATGAAAAAATATTAAGTCAGTGTTGATATAATTTTGAATCTTTATCCAGCAATGATAATTAAATAATAATTTATTTTAATTCAATCAAACATCATATATAATTTAGACTACATTCTACTGATTTCGTAGATTAAATTATAGATCTTATGATACTCAAAATTACCGAATACTACGAACTCTACTTTTAAATGTTGTATACGGTGAGAATTTCTTACTGAGTAAGTCATATTAACTGACGTTATACATCAATTGCAAGACCGCTAATTATCAATTATTCAATCTTGTGTCGTAGATCGTATTATAGTTATAATTTAATTTATCACCCCAATTTATTTTATTATATGAATTTTATGTCAAATATGTTGTTTCATGTATAATACTCAAAAACGCATACATTGGTAGCTTAACTCCAAGTGCGTGTTTTATGTATCTAACATATGTATGTAATATTATTTACGATCTCCATAAAAATGTATAAAGTAATTTGCCAACCAGAATTATTCTACAACCAATTTGAATTATGTCAATCGATTCACCGTATATCCCAATCTCAGGAAAGAGTCAACCTAAATTACAAAACTCAACATTAATACTCCCCACAATTTCAATTGGTAATCTACCACAATTAACAATAGATTTATTAATTCATAATTATAATTTTATCAAAATAGGTTATTTAAATGATTTATACTTGTACCCATTTGCATCACCTATAGATTATGTCAAGAACCCAATTGAAGGAATAAGTCATGCTATTGAAGTTTATTATTGTGAAGAATTGAATATAACATTAATACAACAAAGATCACCTATAATTCCATCATATTCAAGTTCATTTTTAAAAGAAGTAATAATTCCATTTATAACAGAATCAGATTTTTTAAAAATAATAATATTAAATTCTAATGATTCTGGAATAGTTGAAAATATACAAAATGGAGATATAATAATCTATGATAATCAAGATTTATTATCAAATTTTAAAAATTTAACTATATCTAAATCAATTGAAGAACAAGATAAAAATTCGATTTTTATAACTAAATTACTTAAATTACTAGAAGATCTTGAGAATGTTAATGTGAAAGTATTAGTTAGTTATATTTATGAAGGTGATAATTTTCAAGATGCTGAAAAAATGATTAATAAATTAATTAAGAATTTAGATATTGAAATAAATAATAAAAATTGGGTTAAACCTGTAAGTTGGCTTGGTGCTTATGGAGATAAAGAGGTTCCTAATTCAATGGAAGAAGGTATATTTGGTTAGAAGAAGAAGAGCTAGTCTACGTGATATTTTAATAAATAATATTTATTATGTTTATATTTAAACTTGTATGTCATTAACTTTTACTCTTCAATTTATTTTATTTTCACTTATGTTGTTGTTGTTGATGTTGATGATGATGGTGATGATTATGTACTTGTTGTTGTATAATAGGTAATGAAGTAGGTGGAGGTTGATAATTTTTATATTCAAAAGCTTGTAATTTTTGTTGATTCACAAGTACTCTTTGTTGTTGTGGACTTAAATGTGGTTGACCATTGAGATGTGGGGGATGTTGTGGATGAGAATGTTGTTGATATTGTATTGGCACTTGAGGTTGAATATGTTCTGGAACAGTTGGCATTCTATTTTGTAATTGTTGTTGTTGTTTTACTTGATAATCGTAATCTGTTGGAGGACTTAATGCGTTTACACCATCCAATAAAGCTCTTGATTGAGAATCTAATGATTCATGTTTTGATGAAACCCTCGTAATTGGTGGATTTAAAGGTATTGATGTTAATTTTCCCGAGTTGGTTGTTGGCATTGGATTTGTAGCTGGTCTTTGTTCAGGAGAATTTAATAAATTTGCAATTGTTGGACTTTCTTGAGCTTTTGGAGTTTCTTGAAATTGTAATTGTTGTTCAACATTCATATGTTTTGAAATCTCAAGAGATATTCTCATTGATGGTATAAATTGAGCACTTATTAATAATTTATTCATTTCTTTACAATGAATAATTTTTTCTTGTTCTGTTGAAAAATCCATCATTTGTGGGAAATTCATAGCAATAGCAATTAAATAATCAACAAATGGATAATACCTTACCATTTGTACCACGTCTGAACTGAATAATTTCTTTATGGCTGTTATTGCTTTTGTATATTGAATATTTCTTGATCTAATCATTTTTCTTTGAATTTCATTATTTCCCTTGAGTGAACTTAATCTAACAACTAAAACACACCATATTAATTGTCTCATTGCATGAATTGCAACTATTGGTGGATCATTTAAATCTTCTTTCAATCTACAATAATCAGGTAAATTTCTCATCCATTCATTAATTTTAGATTCAAAATTACTCATTGTCATACTACTTGAATTTTGTCTATCATCATAATCAATTTTTAAATCTGCTTTATCTTGATCATCTAATTCATCCATTATACCCTTTGATGTATCTATAGTTGATGTAATTGCTAAATTCAATATTGAAGTAGCTCTAACAAATTCATTAAATTTTGTTAAAAATCTACCATGAGTTAATTTTATAGATTCCGATGAATGATAACATTCCCATGATTCCCATTCTTCCCATCCATCATTGTTGACTTGCGGTATTGGCCAATCTGCTGCTCTTATAACTGGTGATCTCCCCATTCTTGCTGCTAACAAAGTGTTTATTGCGTAAACTGCTGCCCATGTTCTTTGTCTACTTATATTATTTAATGTACTACTTGATTTATATTTTTCATTTTCTTCATCTGTTGCAGATCTCATTAATCTAACATCAATAGCCATTCTTGTACTTGAACTAATTAATACCCAGGAAAAATCCCATTGACCAACATTATAATAAAATATACCTAATAATAACATAGCTTGCATTGTTTCAATTGTTGAAGTTAATGAATACTCCAAAGCCATGATTGCATTTTTGGCATACCTTAAACTTTCCATTAAATCACCACTTGAATTAGTACTTGATTCACCTAATGCAATCATTGCCCAAATTAATGCAACAACATTACAATCAAAAGTTTGTCCTTCATCGTCATTGATAGCCTGAAGGTGATTCAAGTGTCGTTTAATACTAATTTTATCCAACATTGGTATCATAATGTGGAAAATTTGAAAAAAATAATCAACATATTTACGAACATTTGGTGGGAATTGAAACATTTCTGAAGGTAATGAAATTTTTTCTTGTAAACTTGCATCAATAGCAAAAGATGAAACATTAAAAATTGATCCAACTCGGAAAGGATTTTTATGAGCTATAGATTTCTTGTTATAATTTTGTTGAATGGCTTTATTTGTAAAACCTGAAATTATAGAAGATAATCCATGATATTGTAATGCTACTGGTTCCCAATTGTTATCTGAATTACCTGCTCCTTCTACTTCATCTGATATAAATTGGAAAATGTCATAATTTAAAAAGAATGATGGGTCATTAACAAAATTAACTGCTTCCGGTGGTAATAATCCATTTGGTGTCGGTAGCATACTATTGAATTGTGATGGTATATTTGGAAAACTATTATTATTACTGGTGATAGTAGCAATTTGTTGTTGTGTTGGTGCTGGTTGTTGAGAAAATTCAGGTAATGAGTGTGGGGTATCTATTGGTGGTGGATCACTCGTTGTTGTTGTTGATGATGATGGCTTTGATCTCTTTTTCGTGTCTACTTTACTTTCTGGTGTAGAGCTTTTACCATTGGATTTGACTGATTTACTACCCATACCGGACTTAACACTTTCTAGTATTGGATTTAATTCATCTTGATTATTTTCAATATATTTAAAAATTTCATGATTTGTCCAAGTAGAATTTAAATTACTCAAATTGTTAAATAATTCCGTAGGATTCTTTAAAATTTCCCATATATCATTCTCTAGATAATTTCTTTTCGTTATTAATGATGCAATCATACCTTGCAAAAGTAAAACTTTTTTCTCTAAATCATGAGTATAACCAGTTGGTAACCCTCTTCTTTTTAATGATTGAGTATAAATACATTTTTCATTGTTTGTTAAACAGTTGGAACAAGATGGTGATAATCCATCACATTTTGCTTTTTTCGATCGACAAAAATCACAAGCTACTGAAACTCTAATTCTTTTCTTTTTTGTTTGTGGTTCTTCCCCTTCTTCAGTTTTAACTTGTATCAGCATTTTTTATTAGTTGAAAATTTGTGATAAATCCAAGATGTAATGTTTGATCTTATGTCTTGATTCTATTATTTTTTACTTTCTTGACTTATGTTGTTGTAATTACTAATGTTTGGAACTTATGAAAATCATAAATGACTTATTGAATTGAGTTAATGAAATTTGAAATGAAATTGTGGGGTGAAATGATTTTTAATCGATAGAACTGGTATCAGTACAATGCAATAATCTTTTAAGTTAATAAATTTAATTTGATAAATCTTGTAAGCCAATAACTATATTTTAAAAAAGTGGTGAACAATTTGGTTGTAAAAATATTTAATTATAAAAATGATTCAATAAAGAATAAATAATAATAATAATTGGTATAATAATATTCCAAAATTCATTTTATATTAAACAATCACAAAATTGAAAAAAAAAAAAAAAGGTTGAACAAAATAGAAAAGAGATCTTAAAAGTACAAAGAAGGATAAATACAATAAAAAATAAAAACTAACCAATTGATAATAATAATCAATTCAGCAAACAAGTTGGAGAACTAGCGGAGAACGTAAAAAGCCTAACACTGAAATTTCTGTGTAATTTTGAATTAAGAGACAGTATAAGTAATTTATAACATTTTGGCTATGTCACAAACTTTGATTTTTAAATAAGTAATAAAATTGAAAATCTTTTTGATCAAAACGTTGATGACTTTTAAATTATTCAATTTTTAAGCTCTCCCTAATCTCAACTATAGATCTGGATTTTCCTAGAAACTCTGGCAATTGAAAAAGTCTTACTGAAACCGATGGCTATGTAAAATTGATGAATACCCCTTAACTGCCAATATTATCGAGATCTCTTGGTGCCACGATCTACGAAGATATAAATTCTTTTACTTGACTAAAACCGATTAAGTTATTTAATCATAATTATAAGAAAAGAAATTAAATAATAATATTAACAATGTAAACGGTTTTAGTTTTGTTTGCCTTTAACTTTGCATAAAAGAAGAGGACCCCATTAAACGCTAATAAAAATATTATTTTAACTGCTATATAATAAATTATCATTGAAAAAAGGAAAGATGGTAATAATTTCTATACAAGTGACTATACATAAAATTGCATTGATTAAAGAGATTAAAATTATCAAACAATAAATAAATTAATTTTGACTCTTGTATATTACACAAATGAGCTTTATGCTTTATTAAATTGGTTCCATTAAATTTTTATTTTTGATTTTGTCTCTACAAAATGTAATTTCAGTTTTGTTACTTTCCATCTCTAAATCATAAATCGTCAATATCTATATTTCTATTTGTTTTAAATTTGGTGAAATTTCAAACTTAGCAGCAGTTTTAGCTCTAACTTCTTCTATACTACTACTTGGATCAATTTCAATTAATATTAATTTTTCATCAATAATATCAAAAACAGCTAAATCAGTTATAATTCTTGAAACACATTTTTGACCAGTTAATGGGAAGACGCAACTATCTAAAATTTTTGGTCTACCCTTTTTATCAACATGTTCCATAACTACAACAACTCTTGTATTCTGTGGATTTGATACAAGATCCATTGCTCCTCCCATACCTTTAACTCTACCAGGTAATCCCCAATTGGCTAAATCACCATTTGCTGCAACTTGTAAACCTCCCAAAATAGTTAAATCAATTTTACCACTTCTTATCATACCAAAAGATTCTTCTGATCCAAATAATGAAGCACCTGGAGCTAAAGTTACAGTTTCTTTACCAGCATTAATTAAGTCTGCATCTTCTTGACCCCTTTTTGGGTATGGACCCAATCCCAAAATACCATTTTCTGATTGTAAAGTAACTGATATATTTGATGGTAAATAATTTGGAGCTAATGTTGGCATACCAATACCTAAATTTGCAAATGATCCATCTTTAAATTCTTGAGCTGCTCTACGTACAATTTTAGCTCTTTTTAATTCAGAATCAGATTTTGGATTTTCTAATGATGAATCAAGTGTGGATTCTTCTTCTGAAAATGTAAAAATTTCAATTTCTTTTGGTGTAGTAGATTGAATAACTCTATCAACATAAATTGAAGGTAAATGAACATCTTCTGGTTGAATTTCTCCAGGTTCAACAATATTTTCAGCTTCAACAATAGTTAATTTTGCATTTCTACCCATAACTGAATTAAAATTTCTTGCAGCACCTCTAAACCAACAATTACCTAAAGTATCAACTTTGAAAGCTTTTATTACTGCAACATCACCAAATATAGCTGGTTCTAATAAATATTTTTTACCATTAAATTCTCTAACTTCTCTTGGTTCACTTGATTTTAAGACTTTTTCACCACTTGAATCGTATCTAACTGGTAATTTACCTTCTTCTAACCAAGTACCTACACCAGTTGGTGAATAGAAAGCTGGTATTCCAGCGGAACCAGCTCTAACTCTTTCAGCTAAATTACCTTGAGGAGTTAATTCTAAATCAATTTCACCTTTTAAATATAATTTTTCAAACGTTCGATTACCTCCAATATATGAACTAATCATTTTGGTGATTTGACCAGTGACTAATAATTGTGATAATCCTCTACCATCTAATCCTGCATTATTTGAAACTGCTGTAACATTATTTATATTTGGATTATTGACCATTGCATTTATAATAGTATCTGGTACACCACTTAATCCAAATCCACCTGATAATAAAGTGATGTTTGAGCCAACACCTTCTAATGCTTCATCAGTAGTTTGAACAACTTTTGTTTTGGGGCTTGCTATTGAATAGAATCTAATAAAACATGGTAGTTGTTTAATTTGAATTTTGTTAAATCTTGACAACATAATTAATGTTAATCAATAAGATCTAAAGTTTTTTATGAAATGATAGGTATTTTAACATGAAGTCTTATTGATGGTAATATATTCAATTCATATTTATAAATTTTTCAAAACAAGAAATTCCATACATGATCGGATATAGTTACAAACCATTATTTTAAATTTTGATTGATATAATTTTTGTTGTTTAAATTTAACAATCTTTCGGAAAAACAATTTACTTGAGTCTTTGTGTCAATTGATGGAAATTGAATACTTTTTTGATCCGATTTGTGGAGAAACATAAAGAGATGAATGACAAAGTGGAACAACCTTAACTTGATGAGAGACTCAGAAGTACTAAACTCGATCTAATATAAAATTTCGCTTTAATTACTGGAGCTCAAAAATGAACCTACGAGGTCGAAAAGGGTAAATTTAAATTTTCGTTACATTATCTAAACTATACCCATAAACTAAATACTAGATCTTTATCCTGAGTTAATCCAAAGGTGCTGCTTCAGGTAAACCATTAGAATTAAGCACCAAATTTTCGCCACTATTTTTGATCGCCTCAGTATTTTTTTTAATAACCAATTTTTTTGATTCTTCTTCAGTTATTATTTTAAAGTGCCATTTCAAATACCAATCATTTGGATTCATATCGTATTTTTTAGCTTTTTCCTCGCCTAATTTATCTAGTTCGAATAATAATGGAGATTTAACACCAAAAACAGCATCTGAAGTTTCATAAGGATCCCCCTTTGCATACAAAGCAGTAATTAATTGATCGTAACCTGGTTTCTCAATTATAAAATGTAAATGAGCAGGTCTATAAGGATGTCTGTTTATTGTTTTTAATAATTTACCAACTGGTCCATCATGAGGAATTGGATATGCTACTGGTCTTGTACATTTAATCATGAATGAACCATCATCAGCTGTTGTAACAATACCTCTCATATCTGGACCTTCTCTATTTGTATATTGGGTATCATAAAACCCATTTGCATCACAATGCCAAATATCAACAGTTGCATCAGCAATTGGTTTACCTTCTGGATCAGTTAATAAGCCTTCGATTAATAATGGTTCACCTTTACCTTCAGAACATATTGAATCTCCCTCGTGAATAACTTCAGCATCGTGAGTATGAAAAGGACCTAACAAAGTACCAACTGTAGCATTAGCAGGTTTTGGATGTGATATAGAATCAACTAATACTGACAACCCCAACACATCAGATAATAATACAAATTCTTGTCTTATATCACTGCACATTTTACCACATTCTGTCAAAAATTTTATACCTTCACCCCATTCTTCAGTAGTTAATCTTGTTTCTTTTGCGAAATCATGTAAATGTTGAACTAGTTTTTGTAAAATAAATAATAATCTCATGTTTTTATGTTGTGAATTGACTAAAATTGTATTTTCAGTAATGGTTTCATCACTCATATCCGTAACTTTTGGACCCAATGGTGGGTGACCATTATTATGTTGTGCAGGCATTCTGAAGTTGTAAAACTTAATTGATCAAAATATTACGGATAAAGATTGGTTTGAAAAATGTAAAGAAATTGAAAAAGACGTTCAAGGTTTGATTATGTTTTTATATCATTTTGAGTTGGTTTTTGAATAAAGATATTAAATGTAATTCCGATAATAAGCTCTTGAATTTAAAAAGTTAGGAGCCTTTGTTTAAACTTTTTAGTCAAGATACTTTTAGAAAGTTTAAAATTTTTGAATTGTGGGGGGGGAAGATAACCAGAGAAAAATTAATTTTGACTTGTTAAAAAATACATCAAATTTTTGAAATATACCATAATTTATAAGGAAAGAAAATGTCAAGAGTAATTAAGGGTCTAGCTTTACAAAGAAAAATGATTGACTTCAAAATTCTTTCACAATTTGCTAATTTAACATTCTAAATTATTTCTTGTCAAGGGAGAAGAAGAGTTATTCACTTGAAGTTTAGTTTATAAGTTGAAGATTGCACGTCGACAATTGTATCGAGTAATTGAACGCGTGCTATTAAAGCAATCCCGTTCATTATGTGATCTAGGCTGACCAATTTACTATCGTCTAATCGCTCAGTAGTTATTTCCATTTTGTTAAATGAGAGGTTTTGACTTACATGATTCGGATCTCGAAGAATTGAATCGGCTCGAGCGTAAAAGTGAAAAATTACTAAAGAGTTACTAAGTTTTGATAAAAACGTCAATTAATACAATATGTGGGACCTAATTTTCCATTAATCATTCCACTCAAATTGTATTAGATCCATAGTTTTAATTTAAGTTTCGGATAATCATTTTTCAGATTTTAATTTTTCAAGGAGTTACAAAATCTAAAAATAAATAATTCCGATACTATGAAAATAAATATTATCAACAATTCCGAAAAATTATTAATCATTTTCATTTTAATTATATCTATATTAATTTTTAATAATATTGTAACCGATTGGATTAATAAGCATTAGAAATAACTTTATTATATTATTCAACCCCAATTTCGAATTTTCAGATTCAGCATATCTTAAAGTTGAATGAAAATATCACATTCATTAAAACTATTCAGATCTACATTTACTTTACAAAGACAATTTAATACAATACTATTTAAAATGACTCAAACAGAAGAACCAAAAAGATTTGGATTAGAAAATCAAGTTAAAAGAAATCCACATCGTGATTTTAATAAAGTTGAAAATGAAAGACCAGGATTTGATTTTGATTTAAATTGGAGTTATTCACAAATTCCTTTTAAAGATTGGGAAATTGGATCAGGTGCTAATAATAATGAATGGAAAAACCACAAGAAATTAGAAATTGATCCTTTTGGAGAAGGTAGAAATCCAGTTGATAATTATAAAACTTTAATCAGTGCTGTTGTTCCAAGACCTATTGGATTTGTATCAACAATTTCCAAAGATGGTATTAGAAATTTAGCTCCTTTTTCATATTTTACTGTAGTTAATCATGATCCTCCAATTTTTACATTAGGATTTTCAGGTGGTAAAGGTAATCCAAAAGATACTTGTAAAAATATTTTAGATACTGAAGAATTAACAATAAATATAATAAGTGAATGGTTTGTTGAAGCTGCTAATTTTTGTGCAATAAATAGTCCACCAGATATTGATGAATGGAAATTATCAGGATTAACTCCTTTAGAATCAACAAAAGTTAAACCTCAACATGTTGCAGAATCTGCTTTTTCAGTTGAAGCAAAATTAATAACATCTCATGAATGGAAATCTAAATCTGATCCAAATAGAGCAACTGGAACTTTATGTATTGTTGAAGGTATTAATTTTCATGTTAGAGAAGATATCATCAACAAGGAATTGAATAATTTAGATATTGCTAAATTAAAACCTGTTAGTAGATTAGGTGGTATAACTTATGCTAGAACCGTTCAAGGTTATGAAAAACCAAGACCTGATTTTGATAAAGAAATTGAAAAAGAAGAAGTTAAAGATTTATTGAAATGAAAATTGTGAACAATATGAAATTTAGCCTTTTTAAAATATAGAGTATAGATTTTGTATTGTAAAATTTGGAGATAGAATTAGTTATAGATTAATGTATGATTTTTATATGCATTTGATTACCAATAAACATGCTCTGAAACGCTAACTCTACAAGTACAATATTGAAGGAATAATTTTTGAAAAAATTAAAAAATATACATTAAACTTTTTATGCAAATAATTCAACAACCACCTATTTTTAACTACTAATATAAACCTTTAGTTCTTTGAGCTCTAAGAACTTTTTCTTTTTCTTCAACAGCAGCATCAAATAAAATAAATTCATTTAATGCTTTACCAGCTGGTACCATTGGTAAAACTGGAACTTTCTTTTCAACTAAAACTTCCAATAATACAGGTTCTTTAGCATCTAAAAATTCTTTGACACCATTTTTTAATTCTTCTTGAGTACTTATTCTAATACCTTTAACACCCATACTTTCAGCTAATTTCATAAAATCTGGATTTGATTGATGAGTATGTGAATATCTATGTTCATAAAATAATGATTGCCATTGAGTAACCATACCTTGTTCTTCATTATTTAATACACAAATTTTAACTGGTGCACCAGCTTGAACTGCTGATGATAATTCAGTTAATGTCATATTAAAAGATGCATCACCATCAATATCAATAACAATAGCATCTGGTTTAGCAACTTGTGCACCAATTGCTGCTGGTAAACCATAACCCATAGTACCTAATCCACCAGATGTAATCATAGTTCTTGGTTGAGTCCATGTAAAATGTTGAGCTGCCCACATTTGATGTTGACCAACACCAGTAGTTACAATAACTTCTTTACCATAATTCATTGATTGATTTGAAATTTCTTTTATTAAAGTTTGTGGTTTAATTAATGAACCTGGAGTTTCTAATTGATATGCATATGGATATTTTTCCTTCCATTCATTAATTTCTTTAAACCATTCAGGTCTTGATTCTATTTTATTAACTAATGGTATGAATTTTCTCAAATTTGAAGTAACATCACCTTCAATAGCTTCAGTTGCTTCAACAACTTTATTTATATTTTTTGGTGAAATTTCAAAATGTAATATACCACCTCTATTTTCACTTGCTGCTAATTTTGCTTCTGGTGCAAATTTAGATATATTACCAGTAACTCTATCATCAAATCTTGCACCTAATGCAATAATACAATCAGCTGCTTGCATTGCAGTATTTGCAGCTGCTGATCCATGCATACCTAACATATCTAAAGATTTTGAATCTCTTTGATCAAAAGCTCCTAAACCTTGTAATGTTGTTGTGACTGGAATATTTGCTTTATCAGCTAATTCTTTTAATAATTTTGGACCATCTTCATGATTTAAAATACCACCACCACAATATATAATTGGTTTTTTAGCTTTATTTAAAATATTAGCTGATCTTTTTATAGCTTCAGAAGTAAATTCACTTACTGCTTTCTTGGTGATTTGACTTAATGCATTTGATGGTAATGTTGTATTTATAGGTATTGATTCTCTTAAAATTGATGCAGTAACATCTTTTGGTAAATCAACTAAAACTGGACCTGGTCTACCTGTTGTTGCTATTTCAAAAGCTTCATTGATTCTTCTTGGTAATTCAGCTACATTTTTAACCATTACATTCCATTTAGTACATGATCTTGAAATACCAATAACATCGGCTTCTTGGAAAGCATCTGTACCAATTGCTGTAGTTGGTACTTGACCTGTGAAAACAACTAATGGAACACCATCCATTAAAGCATCTGCCAATGGTGTAATAACATTTGTTGCACCTGGACCTGAAGTAACTAAAACAACACCTGGTTTCCCACTTGCTCTTGCATAACCTTCAGCCATATGACCAGCACCTTGTTCATGTCTAGGTAAAACAAATTTAAATTTATCTGAATTATAAATGGCATCGAAAACTGGTAAAATTGCACCACCAGCATAACCAAATACAGTATCTACATCATGTCTTAACATCATTTCATGAAAAATTTCACCACCAGTTAATCCAATGAATGAATCATCCATTACTTGTTCTTTTCTTAATTTTCTTGGATGTTGATTCTTCTGATATAATGAAGTTTTATTTATATTATTTATTGGTTGTGGTGATGATACCAGTTGTGCGTCTACTGTATTGAAAGCAGGCGATGGTTGTGGTCTTGATGAAGATGTGGCAGAAGCTTGAGCAGCATTTTGATGATTTATTTTGGAAATTGATCTTGTTTGTGATTTAATGGTTTGATATAAAATTTTTTGAGTTGTCCTCTGACAACATCTTGATGTGAAATTTCTTGAAATCATTTTTATTTGAATAGATTTACAGTAAAGTATCTAAGCGTAATGAATTAAAAGAATAGTTGGTTTGACTAATAGAAATGAATAAATATAAAGTTGTTAAATTAAATATTAAAAAAAATGTTTTAATTTCAAAATGACTAAGAATTTTTCACAGAAATTTTTTTTTATATGGAGTAATAATATTACTTAATAAATTATGTAATAATTATCTTGTGTATTACATAATACTTATATAATAATGATTTAATAAGTAAATAATTAAATCGTTTCTTTTTCTTAATAATAAATAGGACCTTTTCCGCCTTATGTATAATAATAAGGACAAACGGGAAAATTTATTATTATAAAAAATTAATGTCTTATGACATTAAAAAAAGATGACATACATCTGAAACACTATTTTACACCTGTTTTAACTTGTTGCAAAAAACATCGAAATATAAGTTACTGCGTAAATTTTTGTGATTTAATGATGTTTGGTGAGCAAATGATTTACTTATCATTGAAATTATAATTTCGAAGTAATAATTTCAACATGGCATCAATCTGATACCTTCATTTTTTATATCCTACAGCGTAGCTTTTATAATAGAAATAATCGCTACAAAGAAACATTGTACTTGAGCCTATTCGAGAACGTGCTAAGATAGAATAAGCGTTAAACAATTTTCAAGGATGTAAATTTCAGAGTCAAATCACACAAATTGTATGGAATGACCTCAGTGACATAGATTTGGGTTTTGGCTCTATTTATCTCAAAATAAGAATCCAATTTTTACTATTTGTTCGAGCTATACGAAATGTAGTATCAATATCTTCATCGTTGAAAAGTAAGCGTAATTTGTATGGGTCAAAATATAGTGACACATTGTGATATAAGTGTTATCAATGACTGAAAATTTGAAGTTTGTTACTTTTTAAATCGTCTGTCAATTGAATTAGAGTTCTGTTTTGGTGCGAATTGAATTTTTAGTACAATTTCAAAGTTGACAAATGCTCAAAATGTCGATTATATTCGTGAATAACTCTTTGACTTGCGTCCTTAAGAACTTTTTGTTAATATCAATTAGATTTAAAATGTTTTTAACTTAAGGATAGAGTCGCTTGTTTGGCTGTTAAAGCATATGTGAAGCTTTTGTAACTTTGGAACTTTTTGTGCAATAAATTGTGGAAGGTCGGAAAATTACCACAGGAAATTTTTGATTTGAAATCTGAAAACAACTTCCAGATTTTGAATTTTGCCACAAGTTAAATAAAAAACATATAAGTGAGTTCGTTCAGCAATTTTGAATGTAATTTGTATGAGTAATTTTGTTGACAGATTAATTAGTTTTGAGATACAGCGAAATATATGTTTAAACTCATACAAAATTTGTATTGAAGTTTACTATTATGGATAATTGGGGTCTTATTTTTCCATACTAGTAAAAATGAGAAAAGCTACCAAATTTGTATTATGGAACTGGATTTACATTATTTCCAATTTAAAACTTATCACGAATTGTATAAATGGCAGTTAAACTTCAAAGATACCGAAATTATGTATTTTTAAAATGAATAAGTTTTGACTTAAGATTCATTAAAGAAAAAAACATTGATAAGCAATTCTAATTTCTGTAAATTTAAAAACGTTTGATATTGAGATTTATGTTGAACTCAGGTGAAAGATTGATTGACAAAATGCGTTTTTTTCTTTTTTTTTTATATCATATTTGTCGGAGTGCTATTAGATTTTGAAATTGCATTCCCAAAAATTGAATTTTTTGTGAAGTAGTTTTAATTTAATATCAATTTGTTCATGATCGAAAAGTAAATGTAATTTGTATGGGACTTTATCTTTCATCTATAAAATTGAATCAGCTATGAGCAATTCAAAGTAATTCTCTTATTTCCATTGCCGTTGTAAAATATTAGTCCAACTCTCGTTTCGCTCGCTTTAAGGTTTTTCTCACTAATTCTGTTTCAAAAATTCAAGAATGGCATTATTCAACAACACATTTAATTTAAATATTTAAACAAAAAGACAAATACAAATAACATTCGAAATTTATCAAATATTTCAAAGAGCATACTCATATAAATAAATATAACGGATTTTTTAAATTTTATTCTCAATTTTGTAATTTTTACAAACATGTTTACAGTAGGTTATTTTTTACCGTTACAAAAAGACAGTATACGCTTTTTTTTACCAGGCTTCATTACGCTGAAAAGTTGTAAATGATCTAATCAAGGGATTATGAAGTTACAAAATAGATTGCAATACAATAAATATTATAGTTTAGTAACTACTTTTATCTACAAATAACCACGTTAATAAAACTTATCTATTAATTAAAAAATATTATTTTTTAGGAAATTCTTTTATCGAGTCAGTATTTGACATATTTGGAGTTAAATCTTCTCCAGTTTCTTTAGATACCCCATCAATTGTTTCTGGACCAGCAGTAGCATAAATAGGATCAACTAATTCTTCTTCATCTCCAGTTGTGTTTGTTGTATTTTTTGATACACCACCTTTATTAATTTCTTGTTGACGAGATTTTGATATAGCTAATTTTTCTTTCATTGCTGGTGTTGATCTAATTGGTTGTAATAAATATGGTGAATTATCTGGATCATCTTGTTCATCATAATAAGCAAATTCTCCAATTTGTGCTAAATCTGTACCTAACATTTCTTCTTCTTCACTTAATCTAATTTTTAAAAATGGAATTCTATCCATTACTAATAATAATATGGAAGTAACAACAAATGACCAAGCAGCAACTGAAACACTAGCAGCTAATTGATAACCTAATTGTTTCCAATGATGATTCATCCAACCACCTTTAATTTCAGTACCATCAATCATTGCAACATAATCAGCTGCAAAAATACCAGTCATAAAATTTCCAACAAATCCTCCAACACCATGTAAAGCCCAAACATCCATACCATCATCAATACCAATATAAGCTTTTAAATCAACTGCAAAATTACATATTATAGCTGGTACAATACCAAATATTAATGAAGTATAAACTGGAACATATCCTGCTGCTGGAGTAATACCAACTAAACCAGCAATTGCACCAGTACATAAACCAACAGTTGACCATTTACCACCAGTTCTAAAATAATCAATAAACATCCAAGTTAATCCACCACATGCAGCTGCAATATTAGTATTTACACAAGCATACCATGATCTCATATTTGCATTACCAGTTGAACCACCATTAAAACCAAACCAACCAAACCACAAGAAAACAGTACCTAAAACAACTGAACTAACTGAATGAGGTTTATATTTTGGTACTTTACCTTGAGCAACAGGATCATGTCTTTTACCTAACCATAAAGAATAAGCTAAAGCAGCAAATCCAGAATTTTCATGAACTGGTCCACCACCAGCAAAATCTAATGCACCTAAATTAAATAACCAACCATTACCACCCCATACCCAATAAGCAATTGGAGCATAAACAACAGTCATCCAAATAAATAAAAAAACCATCATTGGACCTAATCTTGCTCTTTCACAACCAGCACCAACCATTAAAATACCAGTTATAGAAGCAAACATACCTTGATAAAAACAAAATAAAATATCTGGAACAGTTTTAACTATAGCAGGAGCTCCTAATACTTCCTTGAGACAAAAATTTTGTAAAGTACCTAAAAATTGTGATCCATTATGAGCAAAAACTAATGAATAACCCCAAAAAAACCATTGAAAACTTGTTAAACACATTGCCATTATTGATGCCCAAATTAATGATAATGCATGTTTTTTTCTTGATAAACCAGAATATAATAATCCAACTCCAGGTATCATAATCCAAACTAATACACCAGCAGTTCCAATCCATGCCATATCTGCTGCTTCAAATTGTTTATTTAAATCAACTTTAAAAACATCACCTCCTGTTCCACTTTCAGTATAACCTGAATCTGACATATTGATATTAAAAAGGTTGTATTGTATTAAAAATGAAAGTGAAAATTGAAAAGATAAAAGGATATATATTAGATAAAAGAATGAAAAAAGAATTGATAAACAATAAAAAATTAAGAGATAAGATGTTTAACTTATATATTTTAAAATTTTTACTTCATTAATCAAATTTTAAATTAAAAATTTAAAAATAAAAAAATTAAAAAAAAAAAAAAAAAAAAAAATTTAAAATTTATCAAACCAGTTAAACATTTTTAGTAAATCTTCATGAAACTTTAAATTTTATCAAATTTTATTACTAATTAATCGAATTTGAATCCTTACTTCTATTTATAAATCATTCAAATTTTTCTTGTATACCCCCAGTCAACGAATTAAATTTTAAACGAAGGGTTTTTTTGATGTATTATAATAATTTATTATTATATAAAGAGATGTAGGTTTCAAATAAAAGGGTTTTTTACAAGAAAGTTCTTTAAGATATCGCAGATTCAAAATTTATGTTGGTTTTAGAAAAAAAGATCTCTCTTATGCTTTAGTTACTTGAGTTTCAGTAAATTTCATTTTATATTTTCCAATTGTATCTTATTAATTCGACTAAAAATTTAATAATAACAATTTTCGTTATCAGTAAAAAATTGCAAAATAAATTTGTTTTTTTTTTTTTTCAGTACTAAAATATTTCAAAGCTGCAAAATTTAATATGTCATAAATATTAAAATTAAAAATATTTTTTCTGTTGTTAATTATTTTCTTATCAACCAATTAAATTTAAAAGATAAACAAACAATTTCTCTCTTATCTTTTAAATAAATAAATAAGAAACATTTAAAAAATATATTAAAAACGTATTTAATAAACGTATTTACAATATGTCAAATTTATCAACACATATACAATATATATAATAATAGAAGTTTACAATATGATTAAAATATTTAATTTCTTGGTATTTCAATTGAAAAATTAAGGGATACTTAATTCTTGTATAATAGTGTGACTATTGTTTTAAAATTTAATTGAATGATGAGGTTCGTAACTTGACATCTATTCCTAAAAAACAAAGATAGCAACTTATGACTATCTATCATATTGATTTTAAACGAAGATCTTATTGAAAAAATAACTGGGGTATTGATAAAATATATGCATTATACATACATTATAATAATAAGTATAATAAGTATAATAAAAGTATTCACGCCTCTAGACATACATTATATATAAATATATATATATCATTATTGTTGATAATTTAGACTTTGTGTGTATTGAAGAAGATCTTTTGAAAAAAAAATATAATTTTGATAAGTTTGTGACAGCCTTATGAACTAAGGAAAGACACAAAAATAGGACCGTTAAATTCTGACTCATGTGCCGTTTTAGGTTTTTATCTATTTTAAACCGCTTTAAAATTAATACTAAAAAAAAGAAATTTATTAATAGTAAATTTAATTGATTCGTACGATTGAATTAATTTTAGAGGCTTTTAATTTAAACAATGTTATTTTTTTTATTTTTTTCATATGCATTTACGAATACAGAAAATTTAGATTGTTCTATTTTAATTTATTTTTTTTTTTACTTATTAAAGAAACATCCGATTTATTCCTAAAATGGTACAGCTACCATTTGATGTCGGATATTTGTTAGGATGTCAAAATTCCGAATGTTTTATATACAATTTGTATCTAAGTACTAAAACATCTGTACTTCAATATTTATAATTTTTACAACCAAAAAAATTCTTAAAATCGAAACAAACATTAAGTAAAATAATTCAATGCTTGGTACAACTAGACTTCGTCTTTTTTTTCTCTAACAATATTAATAGAATATCAAAAAGTCTATCTAACGAAGTTAAGTAAATTTTACAAACTTTTTCAGGATTAAAATTATTCAAAAATTTGTACCAAATACCCAAGGAATAATTTCAAAATGTAGTATGATTTTACAATCAACCTTCTAAGAAATAATATTGTAATTCGAAATAACATTTCATTCAATTGGATATAACTTCCCTTAAAAGTCAGAGTTTTTGGATTAGAAACTGTGCATAGAGATATTAATTAAGTCTAAGAATTGTAATATGTTCAAATTGTCCCACTTAAAGTCACTATTGATCAGCTATGTATCTCTCATAGTACACAAAATAGAGCGACTAGGGGATATATGTGTAGCCTTTAGACAAACCTCATTCGAAATTAATAGTAGTTTCTGTTAGCATTGTATGCTCAGTAAAAGATTCAGTGGAGTCCGTTTAACTTTGATGATACTTGCTACATTTTCATATTGACAAAGGAATTGTTAGTATTCAACAAAGTTTCGAACTGCCTCTCTCAGTATCTTCTTCATAATGATCAATTGTAGAGGAAAAATTTCATAAGAAACATAGTCGAAAATTACAAATGCATGACAAAAAATATACGATATTAAAAATTTAAAATTTATTAAAAACTAACTAAATATTAATTAATTTAATTTTCTAAATCTTTCTTTAAAGTACCCATAAAAGCGTGTTTTTCAGCTGGAGTTTGGAATCTACCTTTACCAAATCTTGAAGCAGTATCAATCCATTTCAAATTAACTTGTTCTAAAGCTCTTCTTGAAGTATCAACATATAATGATTTTCTTAAAGTAACAACTCTTTTTTTAGTACCTGGAATAGAACCTTTTAATAAAACAAAATCATTGTTTACATTACCATATCTAACAAATCCACCCATTGGATTAATAGATTTTTCAGTTCTATCAAATTCAGTAGCACCATTTGATGAATCACCACCTTTACCAACTCTATAAACTTTATGATTAATTGAAGTTCTATGATGATAACCATTTTGACCAGCTCTTGCAACTGTCCAATTAACATTAGCTGGATGCCAAGCACCAATACAAGCAACTTTTCTTAAACCTCTATGAGTTTTTCTTGGTAATTTTTTAGTACCCCATCTATGAGTAACACCTTCAAAACCATGACCTTTTGTAACAGCAACAACATCAATCATTTCATTTTGTTCAAATACTGAATCAACTGAAACTTCTTTTTCAAAATGTTCTTTTGCCCAATCAACTTTATCAGAAATTGAACCACCATTAATTTGAATTTCAGCTAAATGAGCTTTTTTTGAAGATAAAGGAGTTTTTTTAATTTGAGTATGAGCTAAAACTCTAACAACTGATGCATATTTTTTAATTCTTGCTAATTCAGTTTCAATTTGTTTTGAATCTTGTGCATATTTATTTGAATATTTAGTAAAAGCTTTCTTTTTAGATTTATACCAATTTTTATAAAATCTTCTTCTAATTTCTTCTGATAAATGTTCAGCCCATACAGTAGTTAATGATCTTAAACCTCTTGGAGTTTCAACATAACCAACAACACCAACAACAACTAATGGTGGAGTATCAACAACAGTAGCAGCTTCAACAACTTCTCTTTTATGCATTTTTGAACCTGGTCTATCTAAATCTCTAACAATAGTAGTCATACCAGCTTTATAACCTAAAAATGCAGTTAAAGCAACTGGTTTTGATTTAACATCTTTTGGGAATGATTTAACTCTACCTCTTTGTTTGGCAGCTCTTTTTCTTGGTAAGAAACCTAATGAACCATGTCTTGGTGCTTCGTATTTTCTGTGAGACATCTTTAATGTATTAATGAATTTTGATTAGGAAGATGTAATAAATGTGATTGTAAAAAAATTTTTAATTTGAGAAAATTAAAACTAAATAAATTTTTCAAATTTTTCAGTCAAGTACACTACCATTTGATTAGCATAGAAAATATAATTATATGCAGGTTTATAAGGTTACCCGGATAACCAAATACTTACACTATTTATAACTACTATAACTTAAGAGCTAAGCACGTAATTTATGTATAATATGTGTATTGAACGTTAAATGGCTAATAAACAAGATAAAGAACTAAACAAAACGAGAAAGCAGAGTAAGTCGATCAAAGACCAATGGAAAAAACATCAATAAATAACTTTTTTAGTAAAATTTTAATCTCTAATTTGAATCATTTTTTTCAAAGCTAATCTAGCATCACCAGAATCTTCAGAATTTAAACTTGAATCAGAACATGATCCATTCCCTTGAGGTTGTGAGTTATCACCACCACTACCCAAAACTAATTTTTGTTGTTGTGATGAAGGTTCTATGAAAATGTCTTGTGATGAAATTTCTGCGTGTGATTCATTAATTTGTAAATTACTTTGTTGAGAATCTACTGTTTCTTCTATTTCTTGTAATGGTTGAAACAGTGGTTGAGATTGCGATGACGATTCAGAAGTGAATATCTCTTGGTTTAATGTGAATGGATTCATTCCTTTTTTAAATTGTGGTGAATTTAAATTCATTACTGAATACATTAATGAATTAAATTGAGGAGTTAAATTAAACATTGGAGTTAAACCAGTTGATAAATAAGATATATTTTGATGTTGAGATTGTTGTGGAGTCGTTGGATAATTAGTAGAAAGATAATTTTCATTTATTGATGATAATATAGTTGATTCCAATTTTGGTTGTGATATTATATTTGTAATGTCAGAATTATGTCTTCTTAAAATATTTGGTCTTTTATCTTCTAATTGATAATCTGATGTTGAACGGTTTAATTGTGGTTGTTTTGGAGTTGTAGTTGTTGTAAGTTGAGCTTTTGCTGGTTGTGGGGTTTGCTCTGATTCTTTTGGTTCTTCTTTAACTTCTTTGGTGGTGGTGGTGGTGGCGGTGGTTGTAGTTGTTGGTTGAAAAATATCTGATGATAAAACTGCTTTACCCAGATCATCTATTGTTAATTTTAATGAAAAACTGTTTGATCTTGAAATTTGTGGTTTCGATTCTTCTGTATTCTCCTTCTTTTCAGCAACTTGTTTATTATTATAGCTATTTAATGAAACAGGTGGTAATAAGTTCTTATTTTCATCACTTATTGATTTACCTCTCTTTATTGGAGATTCAATTTCACCATTGTTTTGGTTATGGTTCTTTTTAATACTTTCAATATCTATAGTATTTTGATTAATACTTATATCACCACCATTTTGATGAGGTGTAAAATAACTTGATTTATTAATAGCAGAACTTGAAGGAGGAGTATTATAAAAACCTTGATTATTATGATTTTGATTATGGTGTTGAGTAATTAACGAAATATTATCAAAAGTCTTTTTTGAAAATTGATAGGAATTACCATTTGAATCTAAAGAATTTGGTGGGAAATTTTGTGAAGTTGAAGATAATGGAGTAGCTAAAATTGTAGAAGGGTGAGAAAAAGATTTTGATTTTTTAATTAAAATAGGTGAAGTATTTGATATTGTTGAAGATGATGAATTTTTTCTTTTCCTTTTCGCTATTGATGAAGATTTATTTGTTGGACTTACTCTCATTAATGGTGTAAAAATATTTGGAGCACCTTGTTTTGCAGCTTGATTTGAATTTGATTCAGCTGGAGAACTATTTAATGGTGATGTATTTATATTTATATTTACCTGGGTTGTGATCCTTTCAGTAAATGAATTCAATTTTGGTGGTCTACCTCTTTTCTTCTTTGGTGTTGAAGTTATTGTACTAGTTGAGACTGATTTTTTATGGGATTGTTGTTGTTGTTTCAATAATAATTTTCTTTGTTTTAATTCTTCTTCTTCTTGTTCTTGTTTTTGTTTTGCTATTTGTTGTTGTACCATTTGTATTTGTTGTAATTGATTTTGTTGTGCATAAAATTGATTTGCTGAATAAGTTTTTGTTGAATTAGGTAAATCTTGATGATGATTTTGTTGTATATAATTTTGTTGTTGAGGTAATGAAAGATGATGATTATGTTGTTGATAATGATGGATAGGTATATTGTTATCTATCTGGGTATGTGAATGAGAATGTACTTGATTTAAATTATTAAATTCAGTATTTTGAATAAAAGGTTGAGTTGTACTATAATGATTTGACATGATTTTTTTTATTTTTTTAAAATTTAAATTTTTTTTTGAAACAATCAATCAATTATTTAATTAGATGTTTCTTTTTTTATATATGGGGAAAGTAAAAAGTAATTGGGGTGTGAAATGCAATGAAAATTCTCTAATAATTAAAATTGATTCATGCAACAGATTATGAATGATTGAATGTGAATCTATAATTGGAATGGGAATTAAGACGTGTTTATTTATTAAATGAACGTAGTAGCTATTTGCTGAATATATAATAAATCTTTAATTCTTAAAGTTGTATCAATTGAGGTATTAATTGAAGGTAACTAAGTAAAACCTTGTAATATTAGAGTGGAATAATTAAAGTTGAATGATTCAGCTCTTTAAAAAAATAATAAAAATTCAATAAAAAAGAAAGAATTGCTGATAATTTTATATAAAAATTGTGTTATATTTATTTTCTTATAAATTTATTGTATATTGTTGAAAATATAAAAAGTAAAAGAAGTACTGCATACAAAAGTAAATAAAATAAAATAAATTTTAATTACTATTCCTAATTTAGATTTATTATTTACTTTACTGATTTATATATTATGAATCTTTAATTTTTTTTTGATTGAAACTTGTATCAAAATTGTATCAGTTTGTTATAACTTGATTAAGGTCAAATAATGTGGAGTTTAAGACTCAACAAATTCACTTTGAAACCAACTTGGTTAAAACCTCAATTTCAAGGAGATGAAATGGTATTAAAATTGATTAAAAAAAAATTCATATCACAAAATGATAAAAATTAATCGAAAATTTTTTTACTAATTCTTACATTGTTTTTTTTCTTATTATCTCTACTATAATTATAAAATGAATGAAATTTGTTAATACTCCTATTGTCTTTGATATTGTTCTATCAATTAAATCCAGCCAACCTTCAATGGAAATAACGAGTAATTGACAGTACAGAAACTACGTAATTTATGTAATTGGAATTCCTTCAATTCGACTTTTCCACTTTCTCAGTCTCTTAGTTACACAATATTTTAAAAATACACAATTTGTTGTGTCTATATTTAGGACAATCACCTTTTGTTTTTCTCAAACACTACGCTGGTTACTTCTCGGGTTAATTACTATTAATCAAATCAGTCCATAGTTTTGTAAAAGCACCTCAATTGGTTTCAAACCATTGAAGTAATGGAATAATATTCATATCAATAATTATCCGTTTAGTTATGGTAAAACTAAAATAACTTTTAGTCCCCCTCTCTAACCCCCCCTATATAATTCCAAATTTTCAAAAACCTTATCTCTATATTTAAAATGGTGGTTGCAAAATTAGTAGAGAAAAAAAAATAAATTATGTCAGATGAAGTAAATTGATGCCGTAGAAAAAATCAAACTGAACGGCAAGAAAGATTTGATATCGTTGAAAAACGGTTTTATAGTAAGATGGATTTAAAAAATGGGATTAGTCCGACATGAACTATATAATTTATCTCTTTCCACATGGAAAACTTTCTCGAGAAACGTTCACTTAATTAATATGAATAATTAATTAATTAAAAAAGCGAATACACAAAATTAATGATATCCGTAAAAATTTAGAAGAAATAAAAAGAAAAGTAGCAAACTATTTAATTCCACAAATTAGAGATATCATCAATAAAGTTTAATTATAATTACATCACCCAAGAACTTCGAAACTAAGTTTAGATCTTTGTTTCCATTTGGTGGAAATTAATTGGAAATTAAACTTTTGAATTTGACACAAAATTGTAATGGAGTAAAAAATAAATTTAAGAAAAAAAAAAAATCATCGATGAACAAAGTGAAACAATAGGTGGGAAAATACCATTTAACGAACTTGATATGAGGCGACTACCTCAACGCCTAATGGCTCGTCTAGACTTTCTTACGTTATTATGTACTTAGAGCAATCTTCAAAAAGACCGAAACACTTTTTTCATAAATAATTTTACGATTTTTCGAAAATTAAAATTTAAATTAAAATTCTCGTAAATTTAAGAAAAAAAAACACGCGTTAATGCAAGTAATTTAAGCACTTTCCTAAAAGAGTTAAATTAATTACATTAACTAAATATTATAATAAATGTCAAAAGTATAGATCTTTACAGTTGACGATTTCATTTTTTTTTTTTCTTATCGATTAGTTCTTTAAAGTTTTGTGGGATTTATTCTTGTGGTTTATCTTCTCATTAATGACTACTTCCGTTGGTGATCTTTGTTTATTCTTGAGGCTAAATTTTTTACTTGCTGTTTAGTACTTTTTTGGTTAGACAGTTGATATTGTTCATATGTGGTTACAATAACTCAAGAGAAATAAACGGAAGACTAAAATATTTCGTAATTATGATATATGCAGTTTATTCATTAATTTTAGCTTTTAATCTTTTAATTTATTTATCCATGATTTAATTAAATGTAATTTCTTAACACTAATTAAATTTTCATCATCTAAATCATCATCACCACCATCTTCTTCATTTACAGTAGAATTTAATAATCCAGTATTAAAATTTTCCAATTCTTCTGATGCATTTATGTTAGTTGTTATTATTTCGGTATTGGGGGTAAGTTTATGTTGTTTTGGTTGATAGGACATTATGTAGGTATACCACATGTTTATTGATGAAAACCAATCTTCTGGTTTGTTTGGTCTTTCTGTGAGGTAGAATAGTTTTGATAATAGATTAGTTTGTTGTTGTTGTTGTTGTGGTATTTGTAAAGCTTGTAATTGTTCTTGTGATTGTTCTTCTCTTATGGTTGTGTCATCAGTCATCATATCATTATCATTAGTTGTTGTAGTTGTATTATTTTTTGGTGTTATGTCAAAATTATCAAGTAATTTAACACTGTAGTAAATTTCTTCTGCATCTGTTGGGAATAAAAAAGTTTTTGAGTCAATACCTTCAGATTCATAATTTATAGACTTTTGAACGAAATCAATTTTGAAATTTGTTAGTTTACCTTGACCAATTAATTTAAGTAATAAAAATTCGAAATCATATTCATTAATTTGTAAAGAATGTACTAAATCTTTAAATGTTATTGCTTTATTTTTGGACTCAACTAGTATTTTTAATAATAATTTTACTCTTAATTTTTCAAATATAATATCAATAGATTTTTTAAATATTTCATCAGCAAAAAATTCATCACCACTAACTTCATACTCCTTCAAATTATTCAAAAATTCATTTAATTCCAATCCTCTATAGTTTTTAATCAATTTTTTTAAATTATTAAATTCATTGAATTGTGAATAAGTTTGAGTTTCTTGAGATTGAAAATTATCTAAATTATCATTATCTCCTAATAAACTTATTAACAAAACATATTTCAAAATCTTGTTTTTAATTAATGATCCAGCTTCATCGTAATTTTTAAAACTATTGTAGAACAAATTTTTCGATGATTCAAAATTTTCCCTATAGAATTGAACTTTACCCCCACATTCATTTATTATACCTAGAATTTTTGGGTGAGTTACTGCTGTTGAATTGTTTAGACTTAATTTGTATAATTTATTTAATCTTATTAAATCTTTGGAATTTGTTTTGAACAAAAACTCTATTTCACTTGCTATTATTTCTAAATTGAATAGTTTTTTAATTGGTTCTGATATATATGGTAATTTTTGATGAATTTCTTCGATAAGAATTGCAAATTTATCGAATTGGTTAGTTTCAAGGTAAAAATTAAGTAAGTTTGAATTTAATTTTAACCATAGTTTATCATTTTGGAGACCTGATTGATTATTTAAAATTTCCGAGAATCTAATAATGAAATCTTGTTTTGATTCACTAGTTTGTTTAGTAGTGTTGTTATTATTTGAATTGTTCAAATATCTCCCAATCATTCTTGATAATGATTCTTCAATGTACGATTTATTTAGTTTTGATAAATACGGTATTATGTGTTGTAAATTACTCAAAACTTTTTCATATTCCCCTTCATTATAATATATTTTGATCAATTGCTTATATGATTTAAATATCCATTCATTTGAATCTTCTTGTGACTCGTCTTTCTTAATGGAATCTATAACTTTTTGTAATTCTTTAATCGATTGTTGTATATCATCATCTTTTAAACTTTTAGCTGTATAATATCTATTTTCCTATTCATGGAGTTAGTATAAAATTCGAGTAAAAATTGACTATCTATAACACATACCAATCCTTGATCTTCATCTTCTTCAATATTATCATTTCCTTGATCTGATCCATCATTTCCATCTTCATCCTCAAACTCAAATTCATATGAGTCTTCTGAAAACAATTCTTCATCGGACATTTATACTGTTCAAAAGAATAGATGAATTAATTGGCAATTTTGAAAGTGTTGTAAAAATAGTAATCAATAAACCTAATTTAATTTTTATTTTTTTCGATTGTGTTTCAAATTTATTTACTAATTTTTATGGCAATTGCAACCTAATTTTTGATAAGAAGAATGAGCTGAATTGTACTATCTGAAAGACCAAAGAGACCAACTGTTAACTTTTTAAAACCCAAAAGTAAAGTCAAATATCTAGCACTAAGCTGAGAAATTTGACTTTTCAGAAAAGAGACGATGAAAATCTAATTTAACTGGTTTTTGCGCCAAAAAATCAAACAACGAACATGTTTATAGGTTGATATATCTACAATCTAATGCCTAGTCGTGTTATATAACTGTTACATATGCTTTATTGTCTTTTTCGGGCATTTCACTGCTACACTTACAGATATTCACAAGTTTGGTTAACTTAACTCAACATCGTACTGCTTTCACACCATTCTTGCCACAATCAACCTCAAGATTTTAATCAAAAAAAGTCAATTTTTAAAGCTTCTTAAAAACCCCCAAAATTTTATCTTTAGAAATATTCCTTTGTAGTGTAATGGCTATCACGGTTCGCTTTCACCGAGCAGATCGGGGTTCGATTCCCCGCAAGGGAGGAAATGTTTCCTTCAAAACAAATTTTTGATTGTCCTTTGTAGTGTAATGGCTATCACGGTTCGCTCTCATTAGATTAGAATCTTTTGATCAGCACCGAGCAGATCCGGGTTCGATTCCCGGCAAGGGAGTTACTATGTCATTATTTGTTTTTTTTTTTCTAGATTTTTGTTTCAGGTCAAAAATAGAGCATGGAACCACATTTTTTACTTCTTATGTTAAAGTAATTTAGAAAGTTTTTCTTCTGAAATTAGTATTCAGCAAGACTCTCTAGTCATTCGCAGTACTATTCCTACTAATCAATTATGTCACCAAAGCTTTCCTTAAGAGAATTAACTAATTTGAACGTTTCTATTTTCAGAACATCTCCATTTAACAAATTTCCATCTTTAATAATCGCTGTAATTTAATGCATCTATTTTACCATAGCTGCGAAACTCCTCTAAGCCCCCCCCCATTTTCGTTGATGCTTTTTTTAGATAAATTGTACCATCAAGTGTAATGTAAGGGTCAAACCATCACAAAACACCAATTTGAATTACAGTCACAAACTGAATCCAAACTACTAAATAATTATAATAATATTATTAATGAACAGAAATCAAATATACAATTATAATACTTCTCACCCGAAATTAAAATAATCAATAAGAGGTAAGGAGAAGGATATATTATAAAAAATTAAAAGTTTAACCTAAAAACTTGCATAAAGTTGCATTATTTATAAATCCAGAAAACCCCATAGAACTCTTACAAAAAAAATTACCCTTTTATCCTCTTTATCTCTAATTTTGGATACATGAGTTTAAAGAAAAAAACTTATCACATACTAACTGTAATGTAGTTTAATTTAAAGTTTCTATTTACGAGGTTTATAATATTTGAAGAAGTTAATTTATGATTATGAATACTAAACTTTTACGAGGCTTTTGCAAAAGTAAAATTATGAATGTAATTATTTAATGAAAGTTAACCGTTGTATATATATTATTTAATGACACTAATTATTTAAATGTAACTATGCCAGCACAGTTTGTTCTAATGTAATGACCTACCCTTCCCTTAAGAATTGAATAATGAATGTCCCTTCTGGTTGATGTTACATCACCCTCTTTGTTGTAGTTTTTTTTTCTTGTATTTTGATTTCTTTTTCAGTTCACAAATTTTTTAATCAGATCTCGAAACCAGTACCAAATTATTTGAATTTTTGAATTAATATAAGCAAAATGAATGAAGAAATAGCTAGAAGAATCAACAAAAATAAATTAGTTAATTCATAAACTCTTCTAATAATGTAATGATAAAAACTTTCAAATTTTAAATCATCAATTTTATTATTTCTTGATTCAAAAATTTCAATTTCAGGAGTAAAAGATTTTATATGATAAATTTTCCGATCATTTAATTCAACATCACCAATTAAATAAGGTTTTAACATTTCAACTGCAAAATCACTATGACCAACATCTTCAAATGCTTCAGTTGCATCTGATCCTCCACAATCATATAAAACTTCTATACCTCCTATATGATATTTTGTAAATTCTGTTAAATCATATACTTTATTATATAGTATCATCCATAAATCATTTGGTTGATCATGTTTCTTGATTTCTTTTAGGGATATTTCTCGCCTTGATGATCTTGACATTATTGTGTATATGTATTGATGGAGATTATTAGGTATTAATTGATATTATCATATATCTTGAAAAAGCCCTTGGCTGGTATATGTAGTGTAAATGAACAACAAATAATATGAAGTAAGGAAAATGCAAAAAAAAAAAAGTAGTAGATAATGTTATGATATATCTTATGAATAAATGAGTTGAATCAAACAAATAAATATCTATGTATCTATTATCTATTATATGTATATATATGAATGAATTTATATGTAAATGTATAGTTATAATGTCAAAAGAAAGATTAGATTTAAAAGTAATGGTTAATTCCTTTCTCTAATATTTTTTATTTTAATTTAATTGGGAGTGGGTAGTGTAAATTGATTAATTGTATTTAATTAAGTAGTAATAGTAAATTATATGCAGACTAAATGTTGATTTTTATTTTTATTTTATTTCAATATTGGAAAAACGTAATTCCAACCAAGACTTGAATAAAGATTCAAAAGTAGAACTGTCGACAAATATAGATTTTGATAATCTACTTAAGTCATCATCATCAACCATTAGTAAAACGGGATCATCACATATTAAAAAAGTACAAAAATGTCCCACAGATCATCAGCATTACCTTCATCAAAAAAGACACACCTGGAAAGACATAAACAAATATTAAAACAATTATTAAAAGAAGAACCAAATAAATCATGTGCAGATTGTAAATTAAATAAAAATCCAAGATGGGCATCATGGAGTTTGGGTTGTTTTATATGTATTAGATGTTCAGGTATTCATAGATCAATGGGTACTCATATATCAAAAGTTAAATCAGTTGATTTAGATGCATGGACTGATGATCAAATTGATAATATGATAAAATGGGGAAATGCTAAAAGTAACAGTTATTGGGAATATAAATTACCTGATGATTATATACCTGATCAATCTAAAATTGAAAATTTTATTAGAACAAAATATGATTTAAAAAAATGGTGTTCTTCTCACACGATACCTAATCCAAGTGATTTAAAAATTAAAAATTCATCAACTTCGTCGACAAAAAATACTACAACTACTACCAATGAAGTGAAACAAACCCCACCACCACCACCACCATCATCAACTACAAAATCAGCGAATTTATTGGATGACGAATTTGGTTTATTCACTTCGCATTCCTCAAAACCAACCTCAAAAAAGTCTCCATTACCTTCAACACCATCCCAACGTATCCCAACCCCAAACAGATCAACTCCACAACCTCAGCCACCCCCACAAATTCAATCAGCTCAATCCACAGGTGGATCAATTAGCTCAAATAATAATAGACCAGATTTAAAAAAATCAATACTTTCATTATATGCATCCCCATCATCATCAAGTAGTTTACTTCAACAACAACAACAACCACCTCAAAATCAACAATTAAATTCATTATCTGATTCATTACAAGGTTTAAATTTTCAAAATTCAAATTCTACTTCAAATTTATATAATTCAAAACCTTTATATAATCAAAATTTACAACAACAATATTCAAATTCTACTGGATCATTAGGTGGTAATAATGGATCAACTCAAAAGAATTGGAATAATGAATGGAATAATGATTCTTCTACTTCTTCTTTAAATACTAAATCTTCAGTTAATGTCACTTTAGATGATGATTTATTTAAAAATGTTTGGAATTAAATTATAGAGTTGACAACTACTTGATTGTTTATGAAATGAAATAAATTCATCCAATTCATATATTTCTTTAAAAATTATTAATACATTTTGCATTATATTAAATTTTATACATTATCTAATTATAATCTATTACCTCTTTAGTTTAATGACCACCAGTAGTTGGTAATCCAACCATAACTTTAAAAGTATCATAAATCAACCATTGGAATCCAGTTAAAGTACCAATCATAAAAATTCTAACAGGTAATCCATTCCATAAACCAGGAAAACCAATTTTTGAATAAATTCTACTTATAGCTTGACCAGTCAGTTCACCAGGTTTTTTATCTGAATTTATTTTTGATACCATAACATCAGCTGGATGTGAAACAATTGCACATAATATACCTGCTAAATAACCACCAGCAAATGAAACTTCAGTTTGTTGTAATGTTGAAAAACTTGATTTTGGTTTACCTAAAAATTTATAAATTCTATCTACTATATTTTCAAAACTTGCAAATTTAACCATAGTATATGGAATTTGTCTACACCATAATGGTACTATTCCTTTATATAATCCAGCTACCCCTTCACTTGCAACAATTTTTTTCCAACCATCAATTATGGAATTAGCATATGGTGGTATAGTTGTTTGAGTTTTAACTTTTATTGTTTCAAATGGACATAATGCAATATCAGCTAAGAATTCAGCACTTGCAGAAGCAGCTAAGAATACACCTGTTTTATAATCTTTTGCATATTTTGGACCAACTAAATCACTATATTTTTTTTTGAAATATTCATAAAAACCATATTTACCAGCTCCTTGTAATGAATAACCAATAAAAGTAGCACCAAACCCAGTGAAAAGGGAATCTCCCAGTGTTTTCATAATAGTTTTCCATCCTTGAATATTTGATTTATATAAATGACCATCAACTTGTCTTCTACATTTAACTAAATCCAATGGTGTAATTGCTGAATGAGTTGGACCACATGCAATCATACCACCTAAAGTACAAGCAGCATAATAAGCTGGTGTAAATTCTCTAATCTTGGAATGGTCTGGTGTTGGTGGTTTTGAAGAAGATCCGACTGATCCACCAGTTGCTGATTTTCTAATTTGATCTTCAATTGGTTGAGTTAATGCATCTGATATACTTCCAGCCATTATGAAATTGAATTTGAATTAATAGATATTAATTTATTTTTGGAAATTTTTTAAGCTAATTTTTTAAAAATTGGAAGAAACAAGACCAATTGAGAAATTTCAGTTTATATTTAAATGGAAGTTTTGATAAGGTTATAAATTGATTGCTAAAAAATTATTAAGGAGTTTTTTTAGAGACCGAAACTAAAACAAATTTAATAAATACCGCATAAATATTTATTTTATTCCAGTATACCCAGAATTTAGTTGACCAGATTTTAAAAATGGTCGAAGTACTTACGACTAACCATTGATTGCGGTTTGTAAAATTTCAAAACCCAAACTTGAAACGTTTTTCAATTATTAAAGTGACAATTTTTATAACTTTAATCGGATTAATTATTTTATATTTTTTATTCTTAAATATTTGTTTCGGAAGTAAAAAAGAAATTCTTTTTCTCTCTTTATTTAAAGTATTAAAAAATTACACAAAAGTATAATAAATAAAATAAATAAATAATATTTCAATCTCGTAAAATTGTGTTATGACATATTTTAAAAAATTAAATACTAATTATATAAAGGAAGAAAGTAGATAATATATTTAAGATCTAAAACTTATAATAAAAACTTAAAACTGAATCAATTTTATTTACAAGACTATGTAAAATTTAAACACTTCTTGCAAAATCTCTTTCTTTAATCATCTTCAAATTCCAATCAACATTTGAAATACTTAATTTGTCGCCATTTTCAGATCTTCCTTCCCATTCACCATCCAATAAACCAATTTCTTGAATAATCTCACCATTAGAAGTTTCACATTCAAATTGATCATCTGGTATGAATTCTAATAATCTCATCCCATGAGTAGTAATTTTGAGCACATCATTATATTCATCATTGATTATACCACCACTACCCATATCAGTTAAAATAGCATATCTTTCTCTTTTACAATCTTTACATTTAATTAAAAAATTAACCACACGTCTAAACCCTGTAACTTCATATTCATTTTGTTTATTAATTACTATCGGATTTGTATGATTTAATTTACATCCGTTACATTGGAATATGAATTTATAATCGTGTGGATAATCTTCTGTGTCAACTGGAGTGACTTTCACTATGTTGTGTAGTGAAGCTTTTGCTTGTAGTAAATATGTTAACATTGTTTAATTTTGGATTTGATTTGAAATAAAAAAAAAAAACGAGAAAAGATTGGAATTAATGCTCATTTTATAAACTTTTGGCAACCTCAATTGGTATTGACCAAATTAAAGCTATTGAATCAATTTTGTTGATTGATTAAAGACTCATTTTGCAATTGTTGCAAAAAAAACTCCAAATTTGGATTTAAGTGCGATTTAAAATTTAAATCCGGTGACATGAAAAATTTGAAATTTGAGTCACAAATTATTTTACGATATTAAACAGGCTTTAAGAACTGGAGTTAAATTAAGTAGTCATTGATACTCTATGAGATACAAAACGTATACGAACAAATTAAGCATGAGATTAGTTAGAACGTTGAAGCAATTGATAAATACGTAATTACAAGAAGTGTTAATCAAAGTGAAAAAGTATAGAGAGGATCACTACTGACTACAAGTAATTGGTTTAACAGATACATTCTTTATTATCATTATATACTTAAAATTCTGTATAATTTAAATTTATTCGATTAACTTTTTATGACCTCGTTATACTCCATTTAACATCAATAATTGAAACTTCGTCATTAGTCTTTTCATCCACGTCATACCATTCATCATCTTCCAAATCTACTTCATTAAATTGGGTATTAGTTTCTTCTCCAACACATTGAAATTTTCCATCTGGTATAAATTTTATAAAATCAATACCTCTTGCATCAATCTCTAATAAACTAACAGGTTTTGTATCTTCTATTTTAAATGATTCATTAGTTCTTGTAATAGTAGCAGAATGTTCATTTTTACATTCTTTACACCTAAATACAAATGATGCTTCACCTCTTGATCCTGAAATTTCATGTTTTTCAAATCTATTTATTTGTATATCTTTATCATGAATTGTTCGACATTTTGTACATTCTATTTGGAAAGTATATTCATATGGTGATTCAGGTGTATCCAATGGTTGTAGATCTGTTACATTTGATAATTCACCTTGTACTTTTAATAAAAATTTGACCATCTTTTATGGTTGTTGAAAATGATTGTACTGAATAAATTGGTTCGCTTTAATTATACATTATTAATTTAATTCTACTATCTTTTTAAGTACAAAAGAAAAAAAGAAAAAAGAAAAAATAATCTTTATTTAATTAATAGAATTTTAAGAGTTAAATTGATTTGGTCCATTAATCAATAATTTTTATATAAACCAATTGTTTTTTATATTTGTTTACTTCAATTCATTATCTAATTTTAATTTTGAAATTCAATAAATTTATAGATTCTTTTTGTTTTTACTTATTCATTTAATCTTTTCAAAAAACAACCACATGTTGTCATTTATCATATCAGCAAATTATAGCAACAGACATAGATAAAAGATAATACCGGATATCGGATTCCTTATACCACATTAACTATTCAAATAAACCTTGACCAAGTACACAAGTACTCAATTATTCAACAATAAATTCACCATAGCATAATAGAAACTTATAAATAATAGCATAAATACAAAATAAATGAGTGAGAATACTCGAATAACTAATCATGATCAAAACATATCACCACAAACATATTCAAATTCAAATCATGGATTTTCTGATATGATACAAGGAGAAGACCTTGAATTTAGAAGAGATAATGATGATGATTCATTTCCTATAACACATAAGATAGAAGCATTAGGTCATATAACTCCTCCAAGTATATTATCAAGATGTTCAACTAATCAACTAATAACAATGGCAGGTGCGGCATCTGGTTTTTTAGCGGGTGTAGTTGTTTGTCCATTAGATGTTATCAAAACGAAATTACAAGCACAAGGAAGTCAAGGTAAAAGATTAAATTTTAGACAAACTTTGGAAACAATACTACGAGATGAAGGAATTAAAGGATTATATCGAGGTTTAGTTCCTATTACAATTGGTTATTTACCAACTTGGACGATATATTTTACGGTTTATGAAAGAGCTAAAAGATTTTATCCAGATTATCTACTACATCATTGGGATATAAATAGTCCTTCATTAAATCATTTTTGTGCAGCAATAACTGCAGGTATGGCATCTTCAATAGCAGTTAATCCTATATGGGTTGTTAAAACAAGATTAATGGTTCAATCAAGTAAAAAATCATCAAATCCAGATGAAATACGGTATAAAGGAACTATAGATGCTTTTAAAAAAATGTATAAAGATGAAGGTATTAAAGTATTTTATAGTGGATTAATACCTTCATTATTTGGATTATTACATGTTGGTATCCATTTTCCAGCTTATGAGTACCTAAAATCTTTATTACATTGTAAAACAATAGATCAACAACATGAAGTATCCGGTTTATTATGGAGATTAATAGCAGCTTCATCAATATCAAAAATGATTGCAAGTACAATCACATATCCTCATGAAATATTAAGAACAAGAATGCAAATAAGGCAGCATAAACAAAAACATTTAGGTGGTGAATGTAATAAACCATCTTTAATTCACACTATAAAACAAATTTTTCATAAAGAAGGTATAAAAGGTTTTTATGCTGGTTATTTTACTAACTTGTTAAGAACTGTACCTGCAAGTGCTGTAACATTAGTTAGTTTTGAATATTTCAAAACTTATTTATTAGACATTAGTGGTAAAACTCGAAAATTAAATAATTAAAGAAGTAATAGATGCTACTGTAATCTTCTTCTACTTAGTAAGCTGTAGATTTTTTTCATAACTAAATTTAGTAATAAATAATTATTATTATTCTATGCAGGTTTTTGAAGAAATCAAAAAGCCGACCAATTTGAAATAAGTTTTACGACCAACAATTGAAGAACCACAATTAAAATACACATTCCACCACAAATGAAACTACTATATATAACGTTTTTCATAACAAGTCTATCTAAAGTATTTGCTGATGATCCACCACAAAATCAAAATGAGATCTCAACTGTCAAATCTGATGTGCTGGAGATCACATTACCTGAACCATTATCATCAGAAGAATTTAATAAAATAACGAGTGAAAAACTAACATTGATAGAGTTTTATTCACCATATTGTCATCATTGTAAGACGTTCTTCCCAACTTGGGAAGAAACATACAAATTACTTAAATCAAAATATTCACTGCTTCAAATAAATATGAATCAAATTAATTGTGTAACAAATGGAGATATATGTGAACAAGAAAAAATAGAATTTTACCCAAATATGGTACTTTATTCTCCAATATTAGATTCTAATAACAAACCTACTGGAAAATCAAAAGCTGTTGATACATTCCCTAGAACACTAACAAAAAATGTCGATAACATTATTGGTTATTTACAAGAATCAGTAGCTGAATATGATCCAAGTAGTGCATTACCAAGTGTATCTAAACAAATGAATGTTGATGAAATGTTAAAAGCTATAGGTGGGGAAATTACGAAACCTATATTTGTATCATTTTGGCAAGCTAATCAAGAACAATGGGATAGTGTTGAAAATGGTGGTAAATTAAAATTTTCAGATAATTGTATTGATTGTATGAGAACTAAAAATGTTTGGGATAAATTAGGAAATAAAATTGTATCAATTTCAGATACTGGTCATTTAATGTGTAAAGATTTCCCCATGATTTGTGAAAAATTACAATTAAGTCAATTTAAAGATGGTAAAGCAACACCACCTGCATTTATTATGTTTATGCCCAAAACAGTGGGGGCAATAAGGTTTGATTATGAAGGTGAAATAGATGTTGAAAAAATGAAAAAATGGGTTAATAAACTTTATGTAAATGCTGCTTTTGAAGTTGTTTCAGCTAGAGGAGTTACTGAAATTATGGAATATGTTAAAAGTTTACCTCACGAAGCAATTCCTCAAACTTATCCATTGACTAATAAAGTAACCGTGTTGTTTTTCTTTGATGTCGATACCTTGACTCCAGAAGATGAAGCAATTTTACCATATATGTTAAAAACATTACAAGATTCTCCATTTAATATTCAATTGTACAAAGCTAAACATAAAAAGATTTTGGAGAATATTCAAACAATGGGAGAAAACTTGATTGATTATATAAATTTTGATGACAAGGAAAAATATGAATATGATAAAGCAATGCAAATTGCAACTACTATTACAACATTACCTTCAATTATAGTTTTCAAAGAGAATTCATTAATTCCAGAAATTTATCAATCTTTTGCAGTTGAACAAATGAGAATTTATGATAAGATTCAAAATTTTTTAAAAACTGCTCAATTTCCATTTAATGGTGAATTAACTCCAGAATTAATATCAACTTATTTTTTAACTAGACCTGAAGATATAAATGAAATGAAAGATTCAAAAGTAGTTATAATTTTCATTGACTTAAAGAATGAAGATCAAACTAATCAAGAACTTTATAAATTATCATTAATTAATCACGAATACAATTTTCTCAAGAAAAAACACTATTTCAACAAAATCCAAAGGGAAAGAGAAATTAAGAATGAACAAGTTGAAAAATTAAAAGCAGAAGATGCAGAAACAACTAAAATATTATCAATGATGAGAAAAGAAGTTCCACATTTATTTAATAATGATGATGTAATATTTACATTCATAGATAAGCAAAAACTGAAAAACTTTAAATATGTAAAAAATTGGAAAATTGATCCACAAAATTACGAAGTTGGTGATGCTCTTGTGGTATCAAGAGATAATAGATATTTATGGAACCAAGATTTAACAGGTACTAAATTGAAAAACGATCCAAAACAAATTAAATCGGTATTAATGTCATTATTACAAAAAGATGGTAAATTACCTATAGGTTTAGTAGGTAGTCCATATGGAGGATATTTGAACTTTATGAACTACATCCATGATTTTGGAATCTGGGGTTATTTATTCATTATTATTCTAGTAGGTGTAATATCAAATATCGGTATAAAATCATTGAAAAAGAGAAGGTATAGATCTCAAGGAATAATTGGAGTAAATAATGGTGCTTTCTTACCTAAAAAAGATTAATATTTTAAATTAATAGACTTATTTATGATATACCTAATAAATTTAATTTTCTAATTTCTGATTCTATTTCTTGTTTATAACTAAAATTCAAAGATCTTGAAGTGAAATTCTTACCAGGAACACCACTAACTTCAGTAAATGGGGGTACGATATATTTTGGTGGAATTATTGTATCTTTTTTTACAATACAACATTCGTATATTATTGAACCTGATTGTAAATGAACATTATCTTCGACTATTACTCTATTACCTATAATTTTCGACTCCGCTACACAGTTTGATCCAATTAAAACGAATGCTCCTATATGAATTGGAGTCTTGATTTCAGTATTTGGTTTAATAAATGTATATTTACCAATTTGAACTTGATTTTGATCTGTGTTGTTTATGGTAACGTTTGAGCATATTGTTATATTTGATGATAGTTTGATTGCTTTTATATCTGTTATACGAGATTCTTTTGAGATTTTGGTTCCCGATTGTAATTCTATACAATCTGTCATATCATTTTCTTGATCGTTGTTGATGAAAGATTATTATTATCAGATTTGAAAACTGAATGAAATATAATACGAGATCGTTACACAAAATTCGATCGATAAATAAGGTGTCATAAAAGTGCTAAATTTGAAACAGCTTACTTTCCCTTTTCAAGTATCTAAAATATTATTCAATTATTGACTTATAATTAGAGTAAATAATTGGTGAAGTATTTAAGCTTGAATCAAGTTTGATTGAAACTTTTAGTAATGTTAATTCGCCCTTCTTAAATTATTTTAAATATGTAAGCATGGTAGCACAATTAAAGGGTCAAATTAGAAGCGGAATAATTCAATTCTCACACAAAAATAACCTTCATTTTTGTGTAATTAAAGAATTTTATTCTTTGAAAGCTTTTGAAAATTAAAAAAACACGTTTCAAAATTAACCCAAGATTTGTCAACAACTTCCCCCGAAGTTTGACAAATTTGGAGTAGTATAACAGAACGCGTGCATGTTGGTCCAATGCTAGAGACAAAAATTCGTAACCCAGAATATCCATTCAAAATAAAACGCGTTAATTACTCCGTTAATAAATATCTCGTAAATAAATTTTAATTAAATAAAAAAAAAAAATGAATACAAAAAAAAATTATTATATTTGTTCAAAATTATTTGACAGAATTTACTTTTATTACTAAATTTTATTTCATTAATTATAAAGAGAATAATCAACAACTCATTCGTTATCAATCAACATGTCAGAAAAATTAATCAGACTTCAATGTGGTTATCAAAATTATGATTGGGGAAAAATTGGTTCATCATCAGCTGTTGCACAATTTGTTAAAAATTCAGATCCATCAATATCAATAGATGAATCAAAACCATATGCAGAATTATGGATGGGTACTCATCCATCAGTTCCATCAATAGCTATAGATAATGGTAAGACATTACGTGAACTAGTTGAATCTAATCCAACTGGTTTATTAGGTGAATCAATAATAAAAAAATTTGGATCATCAAAACAAATTCCTTTTTTATTTAAAGTATTATCTATTGAAAAAGTATTATCTATTCAAGCTCACCCTGATAAAAAATTAGGTGCTCAATTACATAAACAAGATCCAAAAAATTATCCAGATGATAATCATAAACCAGAAATGGCTATTGCGGTTACTGATTTTGAAGGATTTTGTGGATTTAAACCAGTTGATCAAATTGCTAAAACTTTAGAAACTATTCCGGTTTTAAAATCTATAATTGGTGAAGAGATTGCAAATGAATTTGTTAGTGGAATTAAATCAAATGCTACTGCTAATTCATCAGATGATGAATCAAATAAAAAATTAATTCAAAAAGTATTCTCAAAATTAATGAACACAGATGATTCTGTAATTTCTCAAAAGGCAAAAGAATTAGTTGAAGAAACTGAAAAAAATCCACAATTATTCAAAGATATAGATCCAAGATTACCGGAACTTATTCAAAGATTAAATAAACAATTTCCAAATGATATTGGATTATTAAGTGCATTAATTATAAATTACGTTGAATTGAAAAAGGGAGAAGGTATGTTCTTACAAGCTAACATTCCACACGCATATATTAGTGGTGATATTATTGAATGTATGGCAGCATCAGATAACGTTGTACGTGCAGGTTTTACTCCAAAATTTAAAGATGTTAAAAATTTAGTATCTATGCTTACATACGGTAGTGAACCAGTTGAAGATCAAAAAATGCAACCATCAAAATATACAAAATCTAAAGGTGATGCTAAAGTTTCAAACATTTTTAATCCTCCAATTGAAGAATTTTCAGTTATACAAACTGAATTTGATACAAAAGGTGGTTCCCAATTTTTCCAAGGTATAGATGGACCATCAATTATTATAGCTACTAATGGATCAGGTACTATTGAAATTGTAAATCACCCTGCATCAAAACAAAAAATTTCTAAAGGGTTTGTATTTTTTGTTGCTCCAAATACTGAAATTTCAATAATTGCTGATTCTGGTGATGAATTTATAACTTATAGAGCATTTGTTGAAGCATAGAAATTTTAAAGTAGATTTGATATAATACACTAGAATATTTTATTTATTAAAAACTGTCTCTTACTTGTAGAATGGTATTTATGAAAACTAGGTCAAAAGTATAGAAGCATCAATACACTTAATTAAGACCAATACTGCATATAGCTTATTGTTTGTTTTAACTCAAATATTCCAACTATTTCAAAATTCCATGATACCAATTTTTCTTTCTTTCTAACTTTCCTTTTTTCGCAAGAAAAGATTTCCAGTTTGCATTTTTTGTTTTTGATTCTGACATAGCTCCAATAATTTTAGGTGAAGATTTTTGGTTTCAATATAAAATTTTATGCCTGGGCCAGCCCATTCAATAGATTCACAACAAAATCGTTGGATACGAAATTTATAGGCGCTAGATGAATCAATTGTGGAAAAGTAATTTGCTTTAATGCCTGGTAATAATTCCCCAAACAGTTTCCAAGTTATATGGTAACACACTCAGTATTAGGTAAAATGGCCATATATAACACCATGATGAAAATAATTTGGGAAAATATAGCCGTTGGTACATTTGGTTCGTCCTGTCTCTACCCGGATTTTGCAATGTTATGTTGCCTTTTAGTACCCCATGTGATAGGGTTACCATCAGCAAAAATTGTAAAACCTGCTATACTTTTTCGGTCTGATTCGGGTGCATAACTAGCATCCAGAAAACCATATATACATAAGTCTTTCGTTTCTAGGTTTAATCGAAATCGACAGAAAAAGCTTTCAGCTTATCAATTTTGATTCAATTGATTTGCATCATTGGGATTTTTTTCATGTTTATCAAATTCAGTTTATGATAACTACATGATCAATTTAACAATTTTTTATTTTTCAGAATTCATGAATCCAACTCGTCATGATTCTGTTAAGTCAGAGAAGGATGATGATGCAAGTGAATTAGGATTTCTTTTCTTTCAGTTACATCTTTTAATATACTCATGAGGTCTATATTGAAGAACAATTTCTATATTAAAGAACAATTTCTAAGAAATCAATCCAAAATGTGGAAATTTATTCAAATCGGATGTTTAAATATGTGTTGTTGGTGGAGGCTTTTTAGAGACTTTATCAAACATAAATATGAAAGTGATGATAAAAGTTTTAAAGAGTTTCAATAAATTTTCAAAATTATTTGCGCTTTGAAATTTAAAACATCGCAACATACACATATTTAACATGTAATGTTTGTCATCCATGACACCAATCTTTTGTTAAGGATTTCCCAGCTAACTTCGTGTTTGGAGTGAAAACCTGTTTTAACCATTCACATGCAATTTCGTTACGAGTCCAACCTTTATCGGGGTGGTGCATGAGCCATATTCCACACAAATGAGAATTGAGAATTGAATTGCCATGATATTAGTAGAGGCTTTTTTGGACTTTCTCAAGCTTTACAAGTTTTGATGTTAGTTCTAAGGAGCATCGAAATTCCAATACTCTGAATGATTTTTCAATTTAGGCGAAAGAACCAACAATTTATTTTAATGATTGAATCATCAACAGGTATTGGTAGGAATTATGAAAACGATTACTCAAAAAGATTGTCGGCAGTGAAAACCCATACTTCGTCTAAACTGTGTGCATTGATATAAACCAGAGCCTTTGTTGTTTTCTCTGAAGATACCAAAATGAATACTAATCTCATTAGGATTTATATTAATTCAAATGAGATTATCAGTGCTGAATATATATGATTTAAGATGTATGATGTATGATGTACGAGTTTTAGTTAAAATTGTAGATTATCTCTTACGCTTTTGTTGCAATAGTTTTTACACACCATTTCAATTTCTCTATGAAAATATGGGCATAAAGTAGAGTAGATGAGTGACTACGTTATTACAATTTATTTAAACTTCTTCTTCTTTTCAAACTAACAACGAACTTCAATTAGATATATAGTACATGCTTCTTCTTATTATATAAAGTATGTGGATTAATATGGTACTCACAGATGATTCTATATGGTCTTGAAATAGGCAATTTTAAAACCCAGACCTCAAATGTGTTTCTGGTTTCAGGAATTTTTTTTACAAACTGTCTCTTACTTGTAGAATGGTAATTATGAAAACTAAGTCAAAAGTATAGAAGCATCTATACACTGAAAAAAAACCAATACTGCATATAGCTTGTTGTTTGTTTTAACTTGAATATTTTAACTTTTTCAAAATTCCTAATACCAATTTTTCTTTCTTTCTTCTTTAGATTTTTTATCAACCTATTTTTTGCAATATGCTTTCCGCTCCTTGTATTAGCTTGATTAATATATGGTTACTAGTTGATAGATAATTACATCAGCTTTTTAAATTTGATTCAATTGATTTACATCATTGGGATTTTTTTCGTGTTTATCAAATTCAGTTTATGATAATTACATGATTATTTTCACAAATTTTTAGTTTTCAGATGAACCAAATTCAACTTGATTAATTCTGTCAAAATTAGAGAAGAATGATGATGCAAGTGAATTAGAATTCCAGTTATTTTTCTTAAGATATTGAAAATGCTTATTGGATGTGTATTAGAGATAAGTTTCTATTTTAAAGAGGTAGCCATATCATTTATTTTGAATGTTAATATATGTGTTGTTAATGGAGGCTTTTTAGGAACTTTATCAAACATAAATATGAAAGTGATGATAAAAGTTTTAAGGAGTTTCAATAAGTTTTAAGAAATGTTTGCGCTTTAAAAATTTAAACATTGCAACATATATAATTAAAGAGTAGTTTTTATCATCAACGTGTGAAACCTGTAGGGTTTGCGAATTTCGACTGCTTGCTTTATGCTAAGAATAGTAGATAAATACTTATTCATAAAATTTATCGGAGCTAGGGCACTAATAGTTGGTGTTAATACCTTTTGAAGCTACTCAAGGGTTATTTTGTTTTTCCACTCTACCATTGCTTTCATGATGACCAGTGACAGATAAAAAGTGTTTTATGTTGAATAATGATAAAAATAGTTGAAAAATGATGCGGTAAATTGAGGACCTCGATCAGTTAAGATTGCATTTGGTAAACCGTGTTTTGGGAAATAATAGTGAACAAAAATACTCAAGGGTGGTGCATGAACCAGTTTCTGCACAATTGAGAATTGAATTGTCATGGTATTAGTAGAGGCTTTTTTAGACTTTATCAAGCTTTACAAGTTTTGATGTTAGTTCAAAGGAGCATCGAAATTTCAACACTCTGAATGATTTTTTGATTCAGAGTAATGAAAAGAATCAACAATTTATTTTGATGAATTTATGAATACGATTTCTCAAAAAGATTGCCAGCTTGAAGTAGTTGACTATATCATTTGCAATTTCAGTGAGGAAATTGGAATGATGGTTTACCTTGATATCAGCATCATTTACTTTTACAGTGAGTACCCATACTTCGTCTAAAATGCGTGCACTGAAATAAGTTGGAACCTTGATTGTTTTCCCTGTATATCCCAAATAAGTGCTGATTTCATTAGGATTTATTTTAATTTAAATGAGATTACCAGTACTGAATATATAATTTAAGATGTATGATGTAAGATGTATGAGTTTTAAGCAAAATTGTAGATTATCTCTTGCGCTTTTGTTGCAATGGTTTCCATGTTCCATTTCAACTCTCTATGAATATATGAGCATAAAGAAGAGTATATGAGTGACTACGTTATTGCAATCTTTTTGAACTTCTTTTTCTTTTCAAACTAACTACAAACCTCCATAAGATGTATGATTTATACTTCTTACTATTTGAAATCTGTGGATCAATCTGGTATTCACAGATAATTAAATATGGTTTTAGATCAAGATCTTTAAAAGTGATATCTCAATTGTGTTTTCGGTTTCAGAAATTCTTTACTGTGGATCGAGTTAAATTTTCGTTTTTCCATAGAGGGTTTTTTTATTCATTAATCTACTTGTTTCAAGTTCAAACACTGAACTTATTGTTATTTCGAATGTAGAGAGATCAAATTGAGACAAGAGCAATTAAAATTTCGAAGATATCTTTTAACGAGATAATTGAATTTGATCAAACCATTTAAGTGGAAAGTGATTATTGGTATTTGTTAAATTCCAAAGATCGAAAAGTGCTAATATTTGAGGAAAAATAAATTTCTATATATAAAAACAATAATACTGCATATAATTGCATTTGTTTATTATTTAAATTTCTACGCGATTTTTTTTTTATAAGTTTTAATTTAGATTTTGTTTTTTTATAAATCTGTTGTTCTTTTTTTAATTCCAAAAGTATCAATATGAAGAAGTTAAGACTTTTCATAAATTGACTGGCCACTGACTAGCCTCCCGTGCTTTGTCGTCGCAATTCATGACTTTTGTGAAGAAAGCAAGTCTCCAACCAGCGCATTCAACGTTTTTTGTCCAATTTGAGACCCATTTTGAGATTCAATTTTGTTGCTTAGTTTTGGAAACTTTAATGTTGATCAAATGAAATTTGATTTTAACACTAAGGAATTTAAGTATGGTTATCATGTCAGTTTTATCATTCAATATTTCATGAGATTATTTCAAGTCAATACTTTCATTAACGAAGGGTAAAATTATTTGATAATTTATCTCTAGTGCAATTAAAAATGAGATTAATGAATGACTTTTCAGGATTGAAATAGGTGTGAGATTTTTTTTTATTAGCAAAACAAGGTCCTCGTCGCTCTTAAACCAGCTTTTAGGCATGCCTTTAGACATTTCCCATAACAGAAGTCAAAAATCCATAGGATGCATTAATACGTTGTTAGTTCAGGCTCACTCAAAGACTTTGTCAATCAAGTTGTATTTGACGTAAGTTTAGAGGAGTTTTGATGAGCTCAAATACTTTTTATTTGAAAGTTTGAATTCAAAAACTACGACTGATATTGTTACAATTATCGAACCAAGTGGACATTAAGTTTTCGCCCTTAAAAATGATTGTTGGTCGTATAGTTTTTCCAGCCGTTGAAAGCATTTAGTAATGTATAATTGTATGACGTGTATGAAATAGTTTCAAACCTTATGATCTCTTTAACCTAATTTACGTCTAACCAAAGAGTAATATACAACTGCAGATATATAACAATTTTTAAAAGCTAACAAAATGTTCTAATTATGTATTATTTTTAAAAAAATGTATCTATAAACAATCTATCAATATCAAATATTTCTTATATTCTTCATCATTTAATCTTTTGTACTTAAATTTTCAGTTCTTTCAATTAAATCAATAATTTGTTGTTTATTAGGCCAAAATCCCCAACCTAATTGTAAAGCTTGATATAATCTAACCCCTAATTTATCAGCAAATGACCAAACTAAACCAGGATCTCTTAAAAATCCTCTACCAATAAATGCAAAATCAAATACTCCATCTTCAATAAATTTAGCAGTTTGTTCTGGATTAGCTTCTAATCCTCCAACACATGATACTAATAATTTATCACCAACATGTTGCTTAATTTCACGAGCTAATGGAACATGAATTGGTTCTGTATGTTTAATTCCTGATCTTGGTGGTTGTCTATAATCATTACCTCCAGAAGAAATATCTAATAAACTTACTCCCTTTTCAATTAAAATATCTGCCAATTTTTTACTATCTTCAATATTCCAAGATTCTGGATCTGGACTGTTTTCTTTGGCTGATATTCTAACAAAAATTGGTATTTTTGTTATATCAATTTTGGATTTTACATTGTCTATGACTTCACTTAAAAATCTAGTTCTATTTTCAAATGATCCACCATATTCATCAGTTCTTTTGTTTGCAATAGGACTATAAAATTCATTAGCTAAATATCCATGAGCAGCATGAAGACTAATAACATCAAATCCACTAATTTCTACTGCTCTTTTGGCAGCATCTCCAAAATCTTCAATAATTTGTTTAATTTCTTTTATGGTTAATTCTTTTGGAGTTGCTAAATTTCCATGAGGTCTGAAAGGTATAGCTGAAGGTGCTTTAACTTTATCTGGCCAACCACCAACTGATTCATCAGCTAATTGTTCCAAATGTAAAAACATTGGTTGACCACTTGCTTTACGACCACCATGATTTAATTGTATACTAATTAATTGTTTTTGAGAATGTGCATAATCAACAATTGGTTTTAAACTTTTAGCTTGATCATCAGTCCATATACCTAAATCATGAGGACTTAATCCACCATATTCACTAACTGAAGTACTTTCAACAACTGTAATACCTGGACCTCTTGTTAAAAATGAACCATAATGAATCAAATGATAAGGAGTTGCTTTAAATTCATTATCGGCTGAATATTGACACATTGGAGAAACACCAATTCTATTTTGTAAAGTTAATGGACCAACTTTTAATGGTTTGAAAATAGTTGGTGCTGGTTTATTTGGATCTGATTCATTTTCCTTAAAAGTACCTGCTTTGACTGGTGGTTCTGGAACATAATATGGAACAGCATTTGAATCTGTAGCTTCATCAGATGAAGTAACTTCTTTTGGAATAGTCATTATTCTTGAGCTTGTTATTAATTAATTAATCTAGTGTGGTTGATAAATATAGATATTGAAAAAGAATATTTAATAATTGTGGAAAATTCTTTGCATATTTATACAGCAATTCTAATTTAGTTAGTATTCAAAAATGATATTTAAGAAAGTAATGGAAATGTGAAACAAGCTTAGTTGAATTTGAATTTGCTTATTAATAAAAATAACGTTATAAGCCGCAGTACCTTCCCCAATTGGTAATTTCTTAGCAATTCTTTAAGTTTTGTGTAATGAAACTCAAACAAATTTAAAAAAGGTTTGATATCCGAAAAAGGTATAATATCCGAAACATAACTGTTGATGATTATTAATTGATACTTATTTTAAAAGCTGGTAATCATGTACCAATTATGTCAAATACTTGTAATACCTAAAGCCCATCATAAATCCATCATGCAGTTAAATCTTACCTTTTTTCTTTCTGATATTATTGGTTTCAAGTAAATCAAGTGATTTCGGAAATACAAATTAATTTAAATTTTCAACTAATTTTTTGTGGAAAATCTAAGTAAGGAATATGAAGAGCATCCTTGAAGAGTCAAGTGATTGATTTTGTGTTTTTAGTAACTTTCAATCAATTTCTCAATAGTTGAAATCGATAGAAAAGAATTGAATTTATGTATTAAAAGCAGTATGTAACATTCAATTATTGTTATTGAATCCTGTCTTTACAATCATAGTAATGATTTATATACAGTATTATATACAGTATTTTATATGTAAAAAATTAATAAATGAAAAAATAAAAAATTCGTCTAATAAAAAAAAATTTAATTTAATATTTTGATTTTATTTTTTTTAAAAAAATTACAAAATTAACAAATTTGTCTTAACGTCGTTTAGTTGCACGTTTGTTTCATCCATGTTGTAAATGTTATCTGGTTGGAGAAAAAAATTTGTATCTTGATTGGAATACTTTTGAAATGTTGCTCAAACTTTGTTGTTGAATGGACATTAAAGATTTTGAAAATATAACAGTTTTTCGTATATTTTGAAAATTATTTTCAATTTATACAATCTTGTTATTCTGAGTTGAGAGATGCTTTTTATGAACATAAAGTAAGGAAACCTCAATAATGAAAGTTTTTCCATGTCCTGGTAAGGCAAGAATCAATAATGTTAATGTTACAAACATCATAAATTAGGTGCTGGTTCTTTTTTGACTTTATCAACTAACAGACTGAATTTGATTTTTGAATTAGTTTGATTTTGATGAAGTTGAGAGGGAATTGGATATACTACAATTTAACATTAAAGATTGCAGTGGATCACCATTATGATGTATTTCCCATAGTAAGTTCGTTTGTAACCTCGTCAGGTTATAAAGAGCAATTTTTCAAAGGCCATTTTAACTGCATAAAATTCCTTTATATGGATGTCCCAATTAATTTGATTAGAGACTGGCACCAATAGCTTGATGGTTTGCATCAATTTCAATTAGTATGTGCCGAAGTCGTTCATTCCTTTCCATATTTGTTTTTGATTTTGTTATAGATTATGATCCACCACATCAAAAGATGCATGTAATTGGCAATCCCTTTGAACTGATACATGAAAGGTATGAAGGTTAGCCGCACCTTCAAACCGCGGTATGAGGTACTACTTCAAGGGTTAGTATGAGGCTTGTGACTTGAATTCTGTGACATTTTTCCAATCTGAGATTAATTTATATTTCGATGGAAATTTCTAAATATATGTTATTGTAATTATGTATGATGTATGATAATATTTAAAAAATTTTTGTAGCATAATCTCTACATTTAAAATTCTGGGACCTGCATTTTCATTACCAAAATTTTTTAATTTTTGATAATAAAGTCATTTCATATCGTTGTGCCCCAAAATGAATTCACTCGACTTCAATTTCGTATGAATGCAGGGTAAAAATTTCAACTTCTTTTCAATTTCTTTTCCAAAAGAGGTCGTATATTCTGAATAATAGCTAATAAAGTCATGTTGCTTATCAAAAGCTCTGATTCTTAATCAGCAAAACTTAAGAGTCCTTGATTGATTATTGGATGATATATACAGAATAGATGATCGAAGGAGGTTTTTCTAATCTTGAGAGTCTCAAAACAAATCTTTGCTGCATTTTGTTTCAGAAATTGTAAAGGTGAAGAGAATATGGGTTAAATGGAAATTTAGCTTGTCACTGTTTCTCGAAAATTTTTTAAAAATAAGTTAAATGGTCGAGCACAGCTACATTCTCTTTTAGTCAGATGAAGAATTTGTTGCATAGCGAAATTGTTTCATGTATACTAATCTGGTAAGCAAGTACTGTATTAGAATTTGATGCATGATTCAGTATAATGTATGATTATAAAAAGTAAAACTTTTTGTAGACTTATCTCTGATCAACTTTGTCTTTCGACTTATTGACAAGGTCAATTTTTTTGTCCTTTGTTGAACTAGTTACAGTTTTCTTACACTTAATGACATGGAATCTAAGTTTAAAAGAAAAATATATAGTATATTTAATGAATTCACAATAACTCCAGTATTTAAACCTTTTAACGTCAATTTATACATGCTGCAAATTCTGTATATAAAATAAAAGTAAATTACGCAATAATTCTCAACGTTCCTAAAATTTGTTTCCATCAACTTCATTCTGATAATCTTATAAGTTTATCATTCTCGGGTATCATTCTCATTTAGCAACCTTTGATTATTTATTATTTGTTGTAATACTACCCCTTTAATGTTATAAAAATCTGCATAGTTTTCAAATATTGAATCTTGGGATGCAACCACACTGTCACATCCATATTGAAAGATATCTCATGAATTGCATTGCTTTGATATGGGTAAACTTCTGCTTCCATTATTACGGTCAGTTTGATAACGGTCATTCAATTAATTGGAATTATTCAAGTGTTGTTCAAACCTTTGATAGACATTGAAGATTTTGATGTATTACAATGTATTTGTAATTACAATTGATGCTATTGTTATTTTTTGTTGCAATTAATTGACATTAATCAGGAAAATGATTATGATCGAGGTATGTTATTGCTTTACCGGTATTGATTTCAAGCCCATCATCGATTTTGTTCATCTTGGGTTTATACTTCGAGTATATCATCTTCAATGCTATGTGTGAGTTAACAGCTACTAACATTGCTACATCAAGATCCACGATTCGGTTCATGAATGAGAATATACACTTCGTTTTAGGATTTACTTTTTCAAGTGATAAATAGGACCATTAGCATAATGAAATATAAAACCTTCTGTTGATAAACTAGTATTAGCATCATCACACCAACTCAGATCACAACAACCTTGAAGTGATTTATTATTTGCAGTTTTGAATCATTCCATGAGATTGAGTTGTAGGTTGATTATATGAAGTAGTATTGATTAAAGCCTAGTCAAATATTGGTGCCACATTCTTTTCGACTTCTTCATTTTTAATGAAGATGGAGTTGAGAGGATATTGGAGATTTTGCAATATTAATCATATTGTGAATTAACACTAATACGTTGATTAAGATATCTGACTTCTAACTACAAAGTCTTGAAGTTAATTCTATTCTATTACGAAGTCCATGGTATCCAAAAGTTTAAACAATACTTAGCTTTCAAGTGTTTATCTAAAAATATTTTAAGTGCTTCTTTTGTTTTTCCATTGATGCTTGAGCATCTGAGATATTATGTTGACTTAGAAATTCGGCATTAGCAGGTTGATACACAAAATTATTTAAATCAATTTTTTCATTCAGTAATCTGATCATCATAGTTGCATTGATTGAACAAAATGAAGACAACATCAATTCATTACATAAATTTTCCAATATCGTTGCTGTTAATGATTATATTCACCTAACTTTAAGGTGAAAATTTTAATAAATTTTGTATTATGTATCTTGTATGCTGTACTAGTTATTGTAGCATTCACTCTACACTCAAGACCTTGAGCTAATACTTATTAAGAACTACATTTTCTTCTTCACTAAAAAGCTTTTTTTAAAATATGTTTCATAATAGAAATATAATAATCGTTTCATGCTTTTTGTGACTCAAATTGAAACCAGTCAGTTTATTTTCTTATTCGAAAGTTTCTCCTTCTTTAATATATATAAACTTGTAAGACCCGCAAGAGAGGATCTCATCTTTTTTCTTTCATCATTGACTGTTCTTTTAGCTAGACCCAAGAAACTGTCTATGTCGCTTATCGATATCGAATTTGTCGTATTTACCATTTGACAGACGTCTTATATAAGATTCTTTATTTGGTTATCAAATATTAAGTTGATCGTCAGTCAAGATTTCTTTGATATCGTGAGTTTCGAAATGAAAAAATATAGTTCTGGTTCATTTTAAAATAAGCATGATAAAGTTATTTGAATGAGAGTATTTGTCCTTTGAGTCAGCAAACTTTTGACAATCAGTGAAGCATTTGTTGAAGAAATGCTTTAGATACCAAGCATTTGTGAAGATGTTATTGTCTAAGAGTTGTATAAATTTGGTTAGATTGTCATATACAAGCTGGTGAATTTTACAACAATTATTGTCACCTTTATAGTACTTGATATAGATTTTAATATACAAAAATTGTATGATGCAAGACACAAACCACACAATCGTGTAGCCTATTGTTCCTCTATTACTAGTCTACTAATTTGTTACTTGGTCCAAGAGCCAGCTAAATTTTTTTGCAATCACCTTGTGTGCAAGTCTGACAAGAATCACCACCTCAGATGCAAACATAAGTGCGTTGATTAAGTTTGAAATTATAAGTACATAGAGTCAATCAAATATAGTCAACTATGTTAAATATGTTTCGAGGTTGAATTGTTGTAAGTATCCTTTTTAATAATAATTAACGTTACATAATATTTATTACTGGTATTACATAATAAATTACATAATACTTTCATACTTTTTTAATGAAATTTCAACGAAAAATTAATCAATAATATCAAATTTATATAATTTACTTACTTTATTGAAAGAAATTACAACCATTACATTTATACAATAACATCAATTGATTTATCAATTATAATATAATCACGTAAAAAGAGTAATTGCGCTGAAATTTTTGGTAAAGAATTATTGAAAAAGTAGAAAACTGGTGATAAAACAACTTATTATCTATATAATCAAAAGGGGGAAATCAGACTATTGAAATAAAAATAAATCAAATATAGTCAAAAGATCATCAAATAATTAATAAACTTGAGAAATGACTGAAAATACATCAAGAACTGAAGCTACAGCTTCAGCATCAGAAAATGAAGAAAAAAATTTAGTTCAAGAAGAAGTTGATGCAAGAAGTATTTATGTTGGTAATGTAGATTATCAAACAACTCCAGAACAATTAGAAGAATTTTTCCATGTTGTTGGAGTAATTGAAAGAGTTACAATTCTTTTTGATAGATTTTCAGGTTTACCAAAAGGTTATGCTTATGTAGAATTTGAAAAACCAGAATCTGTTGCAAGAGCTGTTGAAGAATTACATGGTAAAGATTTTAGAAACAGGGAAATTAGAGTTTCAGAAAAAAGAACAAATTTACCTGGTTTCAGAAAAAGAGGTAATGGATTTAGAGGTGGAAGAGGAAGAGGAAGAGGATTTAGAGGTAATTTTAGAGGAAGAGGTGGTAGAGGTAGCTATAGAGGTGGAAGAGGTGGTTACAACAATCATACTAATGATGATGGAAATGGTAATGGTGATGGTAATGGTAAAACTGAAGAAACTGAAGCTTCAACTGATTAAAAAATTTGAACTTGATGGTTTTTTTTTTATATAGTTATAAATTTAATAAGTATGTTTATGAAAAGGAAATACATGAAAAAGTGAGTTATTGTTGAACTGATGATGTAAATGTTAAATTCTGAAGGTGCTTGATCCATGAACGTTAGTAAGTTGTGTCATGTGTCTTTTGTCACAAACCTACAATTGTACGACAAAAGATCAAGACACAAAAAATAGATTTATAATGTTTCAAATTTCTCATCTCAGTGTAATAATTAGTTTCATACTTTATTCAGATATATAAACAACAACAGGTTCAAAATGGTCTCAGTAAGGAAAAGAAAGATGGCAAGATCATCAGTTAAGAAAAGTACAAGAAGAGTAAAAGATAAGCAAAGAGATATAAATATATATTCAAATCCAATAATTGCCAAAAATTGGGATAAATCATTAACATTAAAACAAAATTATAAAAAGCTAGGATTAACTTCGAAATTAGGTAAGCCGGCAGGTGGATCTGAACAAAAAATAGAGACTTTAAGTGACATAAGGAAGAAAAATAAAAATTCATCACAAAGTATAAGTATTGAAGATATAGAAAATACAGATGATCCATCAAAAATACCAGAAGGAGAAGCAAGAATAGTAAGAGATCCAGAAACTAATGAAGTTTTAAAGGTAATACATGGTACAATGAAAGTAAATGAAACTTTACAGGAAGAAGAGCCACAAAATTCAGTCATAACAGAACTAGAAGAATATGCTTCAGCTCATGCTAAACCGAAAAAAGAAAGACATTTATCTGAAAGAGAAAATGAATGGATTGAAAAATTATATAACAAATATGGAGATGATTGCGAGAAAATGAAATGGGATAAGAAATTAAATGTTTATCAACAATCAGTGGGAGATTTAAAGAGAAGAATAAATAAATGGAAAAAAATAAATAATATTTAGGTAGGTGTATCTAGTACTTTATCTATAATGTCACTCATAATTGGTTTCAACTCTGATTTATCATATAAATTGATCAATTTTTTATCCTCTTGTTCATTGTTTTGCAACTCTATTAGTTCAACAAAATTCGGATCTATAGGAATATTCCCCAAATACTTAAGATTTAATTGATTCGATAAGGCTAACCCACCACCACTTGAAAAAATATTTGTACATTCTGAACAATGAGGACATATAAATCCAGACATATTTTCAATTATCCCCAATATCTTAAAATTGACTTTTTTACAAAAATTTATCTCTTTTTTAACATCAGAAGTTGCAACTAATTGTGGAGTTGTTACAATTATTGCTCCATCTAATTGTGAAACATATCTTAATTCTTCTGCTATTGCTATATGTTCATCTGATGTTCCAGGTGGTGTATCAATTAATAAATAATCTAATTCTTCACCATCATTACCACTCCATATAACATCTTTCATGAATTGTTTAATCATTGCTGTCTTTTTTGGACCTCTCCAAACTATTGAATTTCCTCTATCACCAATTAAAAACCCCAAAGACATCAATTTCAATGATCCACCATTTGCAGTATTATAAACTTGTACAGGAACCCAGCCTCTAGATGATTGATGAACTTTTTGATGTTCAACTCCAAACATTCTTGGTAATGAAGGACCAGTTAGATCAATATCCAATACTCCAACTTTAAAACCTTTATTTACTAAAGTCAATGCCGTTTGGGTTGTAACTGAAGATTTTCCAACACCTCCTTTACCTGATAGTATTAGTACTATATGTTTGACATTATTCAAAGATTTAGGTGTCTCTTGCAATTCAGGGTTTGACATCTTTCGATTATTTGGGAAATTTTGAGTTTCTTGATTTCTTAGTAATCACATCTTGAGTTTTAAACCTCCATTTTTGTGTAATAATGAATGAGAGATTGCAAAATTGCAAAACAAAAATTTAACAGAAATTAGGTAGAAGTTTGTGATATTCTTACAATATTTGAGTGAATGTTGGATGTGTCTATTGGTTGCGATATATGGTTTATATTAATTTAATACAATAGTGTTATACAGATGTTTTATTGAACTTGAAACTATATAGTCTGATTGTTATTGGGTTGTTTTATATATAATATTTCTATATGAACAAATCCAATATCTATCATTTTTATTGTACAGATTTAACAGATTTTGAAACGGAAAAAGTACTTTTTAACGTTGAGCAAATAACTTTCTAAAAATTTTATATAAATCTAAATCGCTTTCATTTTTCAGCTTTTTCTGAACAATGAAGTCGTTGCCATTTAATCTAGGAAGATAATTTAATTCAATTAATTTTGCTAAAATATCTTGCATTGGAATGTAGTTGTCTCCGTACATAGTAAAATAATTAATCATGCACTCTTTCTCATGTTCTTCATCGATATAATCAGCAGGAGCCATCCAGTCACGAACATCACAAGCAGCTCCCAATAGGTTTATATTCAATTGCTCACATAAAGTTGAAATGCCCTCAATAGGCTCTATAGACCATGCACCCGTACAACAGCCACAATTGCAAGTATCTTTATTTCTATTATCTTCTATTATCCCTAGTATCTTAATGCTATTTTTTTTACAAAAGTTTGTTAAAAAGTTTGGCCCTGATGTCCCAACTGATTCTGAATTAATTACAACTATTGCACCATCTAACTGTGTCAAATGTTTTGTCTCTTCCATCAAATGAGACTCTCCAAAAGATCCTGCAGGTGTTGTTATTAGTAGAAAATTCAACGGTTGATCTGTACTCCAAACAACATCATATGTTAATTGGTTTATAAGTTTTTTTTTTTCAATACCTCTGAAACTGTTTAAGTCACATTCGCTATCTTTGATTAATCCGGTTGATATAAGCTTTAAAGAACCTCCATTTTTTAAATCGTTCTTGCTTAACACTTCTTGTGGTATCCAGCTATCATTGGATCGATGGACTTTTGATCTACAAACGAAATACTCATGTACATAAATAGACTCTCGGAAATTTATTTCCAAAATTCCAACGTTATAACCTTTCTCTGTTAATGCAAATGACAATTGAGACACGATATGATCTGCTTCCCTAAAATCTGGTCCAGTTTGACTGACCATATATATTATATGCTCCACATTGGGGATTATTTTGAATTTTGGCTCTTCTAGGTTTGAACATTTATGATCTATTGAATCTGGGAACGTCTGATGCATTTCAAAAAGATTTTGTAGTATCAATTTAAAAATTATTGGTTTACAAAAACGCTCTTTATGTTTTAAGAAACTTCAAAAGACTGGGTGAATGACTTTATATATAAATTACCTCATTGATTTTTTATCAAATCATGTTGCAGATTCGAAAACAATACTCATTTGAAATTAATATTTTAAGCGGCTCTACAATAATTGTAAACAAATTGGTAGCATAGTTACTGAATCATCATCAGAAAATAGTCAATTATATTCAAAATTTGTATCTAATTTATAAATATATTCATTTCTCAATTAATCTGAATTAAGAGGGCTAGTTTGATTCAAACAATTTATTTAATACTTCTCTCATTGGTGTGTCTTTCTGGCCATGCTTATGATAAAAATATTCCTCAATCAAGTAAGTTCTCTCATATTCATAATCAAATTCTTCATTATATGAAGGGCCGAAATCCTCACAGTCTTCAATATCACTAACTGATCCCAAAAAGTTTATATTTAATTTCTTACATAAAGTTAAAATGCTACCTGTCGGGTGATTTGACCAGCTGAAACCACAAAAGCAAGCATCCATTTCTCTGTTGTCTTCGATAAGTCCTAGTATTTTGATGTTATTTTTCCTACAAGAATTAATTAACTTTTGAGGCTCTAGTGATTCTGAATCAACTACGACTATCGTACCATTAAATTGTGTAAAATATTTTAATTCATTCATCACGAATTGTTCTTCAAAAGTTCCAGCAGCTGTTGTTACCCAATGGCCGATCTGTCGTCCACACAACATCGAATATTAATTGTTTAATTACTTCTTCTTTTTCAACACCTCTGACATTTCCTAAATCAAAGTTAGTGTTTTTAGGCAAATTTATAGACATGAACTTTAAAGATCCTCCACTTGCAAAACTACTATTATTTACAATTTCATGAGGTATCCAACCTTCTGAGGTTTGATGAATTTTCGATTTTCGAATTCTAAAACAATCCAATAAATATGAGTCCATGAAATCAATATCTAGTACTCCAACATTAAATCCTTTCTCTGCTAAAGCTAATGACATTTGAAAAACTATATGTTTTGGATCTCGAAATTCTGGTCCAGACTCACTGACCATCAAAATTATATGCTCAACGTTTGCAACCGTTTTGTATTGAGTTTGTTCAGCCAACATATTCTTATCATTTTTTGTATTTGAATACATTTTTTAAAATAGTGATAGTTTTAAAGTAATGTTTGAAATCATTTTGTAGACAAAGTATGATTGTAGATTGGATTTTACAAATGGTTCTTGGTGTGCACAAAATGCATGATGATAATTGTTGTTTCAAAAACACGACTCACTTTCGTTAAGCGGTAATTGACTATGAAACTAAAGTTGAAAAATACAGAGCTCATCAAAGCAACAAATAAGCTATCAAGTAAACAAATTATATTTAGTTTTAACTGGAAATTTTAATAAGTATGTCAGTTTTAATAATCAAGTCATTAAGAAAGGATACACGCATAAAACGTAACTTGAATTCAGTTACTTCATAATTTTGGTGAGGTATGAAAAACAATTCGAAAAACACCCAAAAGCTAGCTCATAATTGAGACTAAACAGTACAAATACAAACGATATAATTAGTTCTATTGAACAAAATAACTTTTTACAATTTTTGAAACATTAACATTTTAAAAAGAAGTAAATAAATTTAGAAAATTGTTAATGATAATAAAATAATTTAATTTTGTGTAAATTCTCGTACAAAAATAAAATATCAAAATTTATCAATTGAATTAAAGAACAACAAATTCATTTAATCAATTCAATTAATACATTAAAAAATTATCAATTATACAATAAAGCTCACTCGTCTAAACATTCATCCTTAAGCACTCACATTTAATCAATGTCATCTAGATTTACGGCTGCTGGCGGCGCACATCAAAGATCCGATTTAAGAACTCAATTATTTAATACACCAACTCACCATAATTTTACAGGAATACATAAACAAAATTTTAATAATTCACCATCACGATCGCAATCACAACAAGAATCTTCAAATCCACCACTGAGAAACTCAACTGCATCACCATATGATCAACAACAACCACAACAACAAAAATATAATGAATCTTTATTAAATTCCTTAGAATCTCAAAATGATGAAGAAATGAATTCAATGGGATTAAAAATAAATATGCTAAAAAATTTAGGAGAAAAAATGGGAATAGAAATTAATAAATCAAATGTATTAAATGATGAAATTACAAATTCTTTTGAAAAGGGGAAAATAACTTTAAAAAATACTTATAATAAAATGATTATAATGTCTCAAAAAGCTGGAATTAGTTGGAAAATGTGGTTATTGGTTTTTGCAATTGTTGGATTATTTTTTTTTTACGTTTGGATACTATAATGTAATAGATAATTTTCTTAATGAATTAATGCTCAATGGAAAGTGTATAAAATTTATGTAAGAAAGTCCAGAAATACCATTGTGTTGTATAATGATTTGACCGTCGAAAAAAGATTGTGGTATTCAGAGCTCAGTATTTTTCGTTGTTTTATCTAGCCTTTATACATCATACAGAATACATTAACTATTTATTTCCTAACTATTACCACTTCGCTGCAGCTAAAACAGATTTTGATTCAAATGTCGAGCTCTGATATAAAATCACTGCGGCTAAAAAAGATTCTGATTCAAAGGTCGAGCACTAGTATAAAACAAACCCGTAAACTTATGCCATAAACTCAATAACCAAAATGCCAAAAACCTTGAATATCAATTATCATCGCAAGTTGATAGATTCTCAAAGATTCCGTAATTATTGAATTTAGATTAAGACATTACTAGTTTTTTGGTTCATCACCTTGTTGTTGATGCAGATTTAAATATAACTTGAGGAGGAGTTTAGAAATTTGAATTTCTGTAAAATGAACATCCATATCATTTAAAAGTAAAGTCTTTCTCTTGCTGAGCTAATTAGAAAATCTGTTCAACGTCCAGATTCATTAACTGGTACTGTATTCTATATTAGCCCCAATGCTTTTTTTTTTGTAGAGCTTTCTTACATCACATAATATTAATAAGCAATATTATAAATGATCAAGATCAGCACATAAACTGATACCAACCTCACCTTACTTAACTCATAATACACACTCGAAGATCCAAGAAAACGAAAATACAAATATCATTTAGACACAGCAGATGAGGTACCCATTGTAAGGAAAAGCTACCCATGATCATCAATTTCAATTGTAATTTCGTAATTGCATATCAATGATTGATAAATTGAAATATTAAACGACTTCGAGTAATTTTATATGAATTCATAACTTTGTATGAAAATATACATAAAGTAAGCAAAATTCTCACAACTCTAAATATTAATCAAAAGATATCTTTCTTGATTAATACTTCGAAACATTGCATATTTGATAATAATTCATTTTAGATACAACTATCAAATGTTCCATCTCAAAATGGACTCGCCAAACTTTTGAAATAATCAGAACTGACTTTCATAATAACAAACTTGCACTTGAGTCTTTTCATTTCTCATCTGGTTTACCGTTTCAATTTCTTCATGGAAAACAATTTTCGTAAATTCAACAACCAATCAATAAAAACCTAAAAAGATTATCAAGTCTTGAATAATTGATTGATAAGCTCTAAAAGAATCCAAAATTATTGAATTTAAAAGTGATGACTTTCTATCTAATGATTACACTTTATACATTACTGGCAAAAAAACATATAGATTTCCTGAACTAAGAAGCAACAAATTTCTCAACGATTCTCAGACTTGAAACTTCTCACTATTAGCATGTTAGATAAATAAATTAACTTGGTGAACATCATTCCGGTCTATGATACTAACAAATATGATTCAAAATTCTAATGAATCATACTTTGATAATACCAAAAATATGCAACATTAAATATCAATCAAATATAAATGTAGGACTAATTTGAACAATACTTTAAGCTGTATTAAAAATAAGATGCCCCAAAACAATTCTTAATTATGCCTTCATTGATCTAATTAAGCTGATGTTAATTATAAATTTTGGAATTATCATATATACTTATTCCAAATGTGTTAAAATACGATATTAAATGTACAACTAATTAAATCAAATTATCTGGTACAAATATTTTTACCCAATTCTTAATAAGAACAGGCAAGAATTAATTTTAAATGTTAGTAACAAAGTTTTAATTCATAGGAAAGCTAATATGTTATTAAAATATGGAAATAATATTAGGGACCCATATTTAAACAATTTGTAGAAATTGATGCCCAAGTTGACAACATTGTACTCTATTATACAACTTTAACCCAAAAGTGATCAAAAAATTTCTGACAGCTAACACCATTCGAAGCTGATTTATTATTTTTTATGTCAAAATTTTTTTGTTTTATATTTTTTTGACACTCGTTTGGTAGCAATTTGCTCTATTAAAATTTGTTCATTAAGAAAGTAATTTTTATACGATTGTTTAAATATAAGTACAGTAAAGAATTGAACATATTTTAGATTAGTAGATTAAAAGCGATTAATTATAATCAGAAATTTTATATCTTGTGATTCCATATAAGCTTTAGCAAAAAATCATTAGAAAAAGTTGCAAGACAAGTGGTAGCACGTGTCACTCCACATAAATTATAATAGTAGTACAAAAATTATTATACTTATAAGTTACGGATCAACCATAATTATAAAGTATTCTTTGATCATCACAGATTCAAAATACAAATTACTTTGTAGTTAAATGAAATAAGTATTTTAGTAAGAGTAATAAACCAACATATCATCAAATTAATTCATAAATCATATGATCCATTGATTTGTACATGCCATCTGATGTTCAAAAAGTTGATTCCAGATCAACAAATAATACCAATACAAGATTAAGATCAAATTCTGCGTTAAAAAATTGGAAAAAACAATCATATAAACAATATCAACCTAAATTCTTGAATAGTTTAACCACCTCGGGAACAAATGCATTATCAACATCATCTACCACAAAAGATATACCATTACCATCAATTGAATGTTTCGAATTACAATACATCCTAAATAATGTTCTAACAAATGAATCACAACAAGTTATAAATGATTTATTAAAAGTTACAACAAATTATCAAAACGATTTAAGAAATGAAATTAAAAAAAATTTATCAATAGAACAAAAAATTCAATTTAAAAATATAAGTATATGTAAAAATATTCATCAAGTTAATCAAATTATTCATCAACGTAAAAAAAAATTGAAGAAAGTTGTTGTAGGTAATTCAAAGTTTAATTATTTGTTAGGTGATGGCTCTCATCAAGATGAAAATGATATTAATCAATTGTTAATAAAAAGTGTTGAAATTAGTGATCGAGTTAAAAGTACTACAAAAAATCTACGAGCTTTGGAGTTGAAGGTAAGCAATGGGGAAAGTTTTATTAACAATGAGAAGTATCCAAACTTATTCAGATTATTTAATAAAGAGAAACCGAAGGAAGAACCACCAACTTCGTACCAGGATATACTACCACAAAAGCTAACAACACCTACTGTCAGCAACAAGCAATTTCCAGATGATGAGGATGATCAACCACCATCAATTGATTTACTGCCCAAAAATAGCATTTGTTCACTGGAAGAAACTCAAAAATCAACATCAACAGAAGTGGAAGAAGAAGAGGCTTTCAAAAATAATATTTCATTAATTACAATAACAAAACCTTTACCAGCACAATCAACAAGTCCCCAATCAAATGCAACTATTGAGTTTGATGGAGATATAGAACCACTGGAATTTGAAAATTTTATGTCATCAAGCATAGCCAAGTATAGGACACTACAAAAACAAAAACAAGCGTCAAAACAAATTCTAGCATTTGAAAATGATAATGATAGGAATGGAGAAATAGATAATGATGATGAATTCATCAATGCAAATAATATAATAGAATTCCCTTCGAACTCGATAATCCATAATAATCCATTAAACTTACTATATTCTCAATTGATTTCAAATCCAAAATATCAATCTCAAGAACTGGAACTAAGTACACCACCAAGAAAAAATAATTATCCATTTGCATCAATATTGAGTATAAAATCATCGGCCACTATTAAATCCACTGATCAAATATCACACTTCAAGAAATTGAGGATTAATGGAAGTCCATTAAATACTGAACATTATAGAAAAAAATTGGAAAAGGAAAATAATCATACCAAAAAAATTGATGATGCTGTGTTGGCTGAAACCTTATTAGAAACTTTGGTGGTTGATGCAGAAAATCAACAAAAAGAACAAGATAATATAGGTAATAATGAAGATGATGAATTGTGGAACTCTTCTGGCTTGACGAGTGAGGAAGAAAATGAAGAAGAAACTAACATAATATTAATGAATAATGAATCTCAAGAATTAAATGACTTAAATTCGAATTTTTCATCAACTTCAGATTCAGACTCAGATTCAGAATCTGACTACACCAAAACAAATGAAATTAACCCTAGAAATTTAACAAATATACAATTCACAAATCAGTACTACAACAATTTACAAAAGGATTTCAAACAAAAACAGCAACAACAACAACAACAAAAACAAAAACAGAAAAGAAAACTAAAAAATAGTAAAGAACTTTCACCAATAAAAATCTCATCACTTCATATAAAAGAATTATCACCAACTCCAAAACATAAACCATCACATCACATCCTAAAACCCAAGCGATCAATCCTAAAAACTCAACCACAACAACAATTTCCTAAAAAATCAATCAAAATAATTACTAGTGCACAAACAAGTAATAAATCATCTAGATCTTCAAGTTTTGATAAAAAATTACATCCTGAAGATATTAGTGCATTATCTGAATTAAATTCAAATTATAGTTCTAAAATAGGAAATATTATCAACAAGTGTAATGTTAATGGAACTATTGTCACTAAACGAAGAAAATCAAATGAAATTGATGAAGAAGTTGAAGTAAGTGGTAGTGATGATGAAAATGATCAAGAATCGATTTTAATTTTGAAAAATTATGTTAAATAGAATTAAAAATGTAATTGTTATGACTTCAAACAAAAAAATTGTAGAGTTAATTATTTATCATTTACCTATTTAATAATACACTGAACTCAGTTTCGAAACTTCATTTTTATCACCAAATGGATCATTACTAACAACAGAATCGCTAGTTTCCATCTTAGATAAAGTTGGTCTATTACCATTTTCATTAAACCCATTCTTCAAAGTCGGTTGTTTTTCAAATTTCTTGGTTGGTGGTGGTGGTGGAGGAGCTCTCTTTGTATCCATTGTAACTGATTGTAATCTTGAAGAAATCAGATCTTCTGGAGTATCTTCTACTTCACTTTCATATTCTTCACTATCATAATAACTTTCATCACTATCACTCCATTCTCGATCATCGTCAAGTGATGGTGCTGGATTTTCTTGGGAATAACCTGATTTTGAATCAAATTTTTTAAAAGTTTCAATTAATTGTTCATTAGCGAAAATTAATCTAGATAAAAATTCTTCATCTTTACGTAATATCTCGGGGGATTTATCTTCTGTGTTACCTGCTCCTACAAATTGTAAGTATTTCAAAATTTTACGACGAATTTTTTTACATTGATTGAAATTTTTCATTATTTCTGTTGAATCTTGTGGTGATTCATTTGATGATAAATGTAATAATTGGTTGTTTAATGTTATTGTTATACTGTTACATTCGCTTAATAAATTATTGATTTTGGGGGTTTCTAATTTATAATTAATTTGTGGGATTGCATATTCTTCGTCTGCGTAAATTATACCATTTTTGGATTTCTTCTTTTTGGATTTCTTTTTGTCCTTTTTGTCCTTTTTGGTGGTTGAATATGGTGATGCTGTTGTTGGACGTGGTGGTGGGATTTTAGGTGATTGTATTTTAGGTGATTTTGTTGCTCTAGGAGTTGAAGATTTTGATTTTGATTGTCTTGGTTCGTCATATGTATTATCATCAGAATAAGGATCATTTTCATCATCCAAGTATTCTTCTTCATCACTTTCAGGAGTTCTATTTCTTCTTGGTGTAGAATCATTTCTTATTCTTTTAGGAATATTTTTATATAATTCTTGCATATATTTATAACCTTGTAAATCTTGAAATTCAGTTTTCCAACCAAGTGACATATTTATAGCCATTTTTTGAATTTTAACATCATAATTTGAACCTAACCCAGTTTTACCATGACCATTTATAATACTTTTTAAAACATCTAATAATTTATCATCTCTTGCAATAATTGTACCTATTTTATTTCCTGAATTTAAAACTAATAATTCCAATAATTTTAATGCTCTTTTTTGTTCTTCTACAGAGTCACCATATTTGATTTTTTTCCTAATTGCCCTTGCAGCTTCTGTTGCTCCAGATTGTGGTTGGATTTTAATAAGGTGTAATAAATCACTTAAATATAATTCCATTATATCTTCAATTTCATCATTCTTGTGTTGAATTAATTGATTTACTTTTATTGTAATTGATGTATATGAATGATCACTAAAAATAGCCATGTTAAAATGATTTGTAGCTGCTTTGATTTGATCAATTGATTGTATTTCTCAGCTTATTATGAATTATATAACGTTGTAAATTTGTTATGTGTCAATATTTTGAATTCTTATCAATGTAGCAAACTGCAGAATTGAAATAAAATATGTCGAGAATTGGATTCTTAGGGGGTGTTTTTTTATTATCATCTTAAGGGGTAATTCTGATTTGAAAAAATGATTGCTACCAATTAATTGACATAATAAAATTTTTCAGTTAAGTTTCAAAGCAAAGCACAGAGACTTAGAGTGAGTGAGAGAGAAGACAGAGATATATATTAATTTTTCAAGTCTTTTAAAGTTGTTACAATTTATTCTTTTCATTTATCTTTGATTCATTAAATACAGCCCATTGCTACTAAGTAAAAGATGTCTGATCAATATAATCAAGATAAATTGAATCAAGACTTTCAAAATACATCACTTGGTGGTACACCAGTTGATCAATCTCAACAAAATCAAAGTCAAAATAATTATAATCCAAATCAAGCTCAATCATTTGTACCTTTTGGTGGTTATCAACAACAATTTCAAAATTTCCAACCTCAACAACAACTGCAACAACAGCAACAACAATTTGGTGGTTATAATCAATATCAAGGTGGTTATCAACAAAATTATAATAACAACAATACTAATAGAGGTGGTTACCAACAATATAATAGTAGAGGAGGATATCAACAATACAATAATAGACAACAACAACAACAACAACCATATAGCGCTGGTCAACAATATGGAGGTTATCAATCATATAATTCTCAACAACCACAGCAACAACAACAGCAGCAAGGTATGTCATTAGCTGATTTTGAAAAACAAAAACAATCTCAACAAGCATCATTAAATAAACCAGTTAAAAAAACTTTGAAATTAGCACCATCATCAGGTATAAAGTTAGCCAATAAGAAAGTTGAATCAAAAGAAAGTTCACCAGCTCCTTCAACTAAAGAAGAAGAATCAAAAGAAGAACCTAAAAAAGAATCAGATGATTCATCAAAAATTGAATCAACACCAACACCTGCATCATCAGCACCACCAGCAAAGAAAGAATCTACACCAGCACCAAATCAAAAAGAAAGTACTCCAACACCAAAAGAATCTACTCCAACACCATCAAAATCAAATACTACAAAATCTTCAACTCCAGCACCATCAATATCATCAGATGCAGTAGTCAAAGAACAAGAAGATGAAGTTGATGAAGAAGTTGTTAAAGATATGTTTGGAGGAAAAGATCATGTTTCAATAATTTTTATGGGACATGTAGATGCAGGAAAATCAACATTAGGTGGAAATATTTTATATTTAACTGGTTCAGTTGATAAAAGAACAGTTGAAAAATATGAAAGAGAAGCAAAAGATGCAGGAAGACAAGGTTGGTATTTATCTTGGATTATGGATACTAATAAAGAAGAAAGATCTGATGGTAAAACCATTGAAGTTGGAAAAGCATATTTTGAAACTGATAAAAGAAGATATACCATTTTAGATGCACCAGGACATAAATTATATGTTTCAGAAATGATTGGAGGTGCATCACAAGCAGACGTTGGTATCTTGGTTATTAGTGCAAGAAAAGGGGAATATGAAACAGGGTTTGAAAAAGGTGGTCAAACTCGTGAACATGCTCTTCTTGCTAAGACTCAAGGTGTCAACAAACTTGTGGTTGTTGTTAATAAGATGGATGACCCAACTGTAAATTGGTCACAAGATCGTTTCAATGAGTGTACCTCCAAATTAGGTGTGTATTTGAAGGGTATTGGTTATGCTAAAGAGGATGTTATTAATATACCAATATCTGGATATACAGGTGCCAATTTGAAAGAAAAAGTTTCACCTAAAGACTGTCCTTGGTATAAAGGTCCAACTTTCTTGGAATATTTAGATAATATGGAAACTCTTAACAGAAAAATCAATGGTCCTTTCATGTTACCTATATCAGGAAAAATGAAGGATATGGGAACAGTAGTTGAAGGTAAGATTGAAAGTGGACATATCAAAAAGGGTTCAAATTTATTACTTATGCCAAATAGAACATCAATTGAAGTTTTAACCATTTATAATGAAACAGAACAAGAATGTGAATCAGCATATAGTGGAGAACAAGTTAGATTAAAAGTTAAAGGAGTTGAAGAAGAAGATTTACAAGTAGGTTATGTATTAACTTCACCTAAAAATCCAGTTAAAACAGTAACTAAATTTGAAGCTCAAATTGCAATTGTTGAATTAAAATCAATTTTATCAAATGGTTTTTCATGTGTTATGCATTTACATACATCAATTGAAGAAGTTAAATTTTTAGAATTAAAACATAAATTAGAAAAAGGTACAAATAGAAAATCTAAAAAACCTCCTGCATTTGCTAAAAAGGGTATGAAAATTATTGCAATTTTAGAAGCAAGTGAAAGAGTATGTGCTGAAACTTATAATGATTATCCTCAATTAGGTAGATTTACTTTAAGAGATCAAGGTGCTACTATTGCTATTGGTAAAATTACTAAATTATTATAAATTTAAATTAAAAAGTAGCTATTAAATTACATGTATAATAGTATTCTAATTTGTTTATTTTATTCTATATCTTTTCTTGTAATTCCGTAAATATCTTTATTAAGTTTTCAATTCCTCTTATTACGTTTTCATCATACCCTTCATTTGGAGTTGGTTTAGAATGAGCAAAATCAATTAAATTTAAACTACTTAATGGTGGAGATGAATTTGCTGGACTTTTATCAATTAAATTTTTAACAACCTTGTAATCATTCAAAATGGCTTTGTCATTATCGTCAATTTCTTCTGATTCTTCATCATCACTTATTTCCGGTTCCTTAATTAATGGATCAACATCTTCAAAATCTTCACTATTAATTTCATTCCACACTTTTGGATCACCTTCATATATGAATAATAAACTGGCTGAAAACATCCTTACCTCATAATCCAACAAACAATTGTATATCAATTGTAATCTCTTCAAAAATATATCAATCAAATGTGAAATTTGTATTGGAGATAACATTGATAATTTGAAAAATAACTCAATGCCTTGTTTTATATTATTTGAATCGAAAGATCTTCCAAAGAACTTATTGAATTGAAAATAATCATCCTTATCATCCAAAATTGTATCATTCATACCTTCAAATAATTCATCAGGTAAAATTTTTTGATTATTAAAAACTTTCATCCCACAAATTCTAAACAGATGTGATCCACTAGTAGTTTCACAACTTACTTTATTTAATCTTTTAATTTTTTCTTCAGTGGTTTTAGAATCATCAGTTAATTTTGAACCAAGTTTTATATCCATTATATTTGGTTTTTTAAAATTATGATATAAATTTTGTAATACTATATAATCTTTAACATTTTTGGAATTTTGAGTTAGTGATATTGATGAATTATCATCTAGATTTAAATCTAATTTGTTTGACTCTTTGGTTTCATTTATAGTACCTTCTTTTAAATTCCCATAAAATTTAGGCATCCAATGACTTAATAAAGAACCTAAATAAATATCATCATTTTCAATTGAATTTGATTCTCTTGATTGATCTATTGTATTGATGTATGAATAAAACTCTAGTTCTTGCTTTATTGTTGGTTTTACAAAAATTGAATCTGATATTAAACAGCCATCATGACCTGCTGCTTGATGTTTTGATGGTTCAAATTTAGTTTTGTTGTTAAATGGCATGGATGATGTTGGTGATGTTGATAAGTCTTGATTTCTAATATCGTGAATTAAATCATTATTTTTACAACCGTCTTTATTATTTCTGTTGCTTGTAATTTCCATCAACTGCTCTCAAATTTTTTATACAAAATTGAGCATCTGTAGTCTGAAACAATTCAAAAGTTGAATGATATTAAAAATAGAATTGGTCTAAGGGTTTGATTTTATTACTTGCAAAAAAGCTACCAAGCTAATTCTGGATCTTGATACATCCTAACTTCAACATATATTTTTTGCAACCAAATTTTTCTTATCAAACTTCTTCTTTTGAAGAAATACTACAATCGTTGGACTTTGATCAGCCCATATCAAGTATTAGTTAGTTAGCTATATCATTGGGTTGAATTAATCTGGTACGTTCTGAAGTCTTGAGAATCAGAGAATGAACAAATTGAAGGAAACAATAATAATGGAAATTTTGACAACCAATTTAGTGCAAAATATGTGAATTGTCGAATCAAGAAGCAACGTTGTAATTAACTGCTACTAACAGAAAAAGATCAAAACGGATGAAGTAAGACCTATTCAAGCACCAAAGTTTATGATTAGAGAATTTATTTTTATTGTCATCTCCAACTAAAAATTAGATTTAGTCGACAGTTTCAGGTACAATTTTATAATAATTTAGATAAGTAAAGACTACTAATAGGGTTCATTTTAGCTTGGCTTAGACAATTAGAATTATAAGAAAAAACTAAAAATAGATTCAATAATTCATCGTACAATTAAGGTACATGATTTAAATTACAATAATAAATTAAATGCATAGACTCTTCTGCCACTACATGCCAACAATAGGGTTACAAGTCAAGTGATTATAATGATAACACTAAAATCCATCAAATCTAGTGGCAAACGTGATAATACTTAAGTTAAAATGTTGATAAATTTATACACAGCCTTTTCAAAGTGTTATTTTAGTATTAAAGTACTACTTTAGTTAAACGCGAATTTCAAGTTTATCCAATTAAATATATTAATTTTAACTCGATTAAGTTAAAATTATTTGTTAGGTCCATCGACCTAAATTCCAATACTAATAACGCCTTAACTCGTCTTAAAATTAAAGTTCAAACTTAAAGTTTTTAAACGAGTTAGAGAAAAATTTTTATTTTCTTTTCATGGAATTAATGGAACATTTTGAAAAAAATTGAATTTAGAGATAAATGACAAAGTATTTGGTCATTTTTTAAATTAATATTCATAGCCAGCTGTAGAACAAATAATATTAAGATATCTCATATTTAAGTGATCATATAATAAATACCTGAAGTATTAAAATTAGTTAATAATTTCAATAAAAATAATAAAAATTTATTAAGTTAGCCGGTGAAAAGAAATTAAAAATTTTTTTATTTGAAAACAAATACAAAAATAAATACAAAGAAATACAAAAATCTAATAATAATAAATTTTGATATTTGAACACAAACAACCAAATATTATAAAACTTCTTTAACAAAATTATCAACGAATTTCAATTAATAGAATAATACTTTTCATCAAATAATTATCCAACTTTTTTATATTACATCCTAATTATCAAAATTCAAATTCACTCATTTAAAATTTTTTGTTAATACTTTATTGTACTTTATTTTGTTCAGTTTTATTTCATAAATATCTTATTATTAATTAATTTTCATTAATAGAAAAATAGCATATTATAATCAATTATTAATATTACATCATCATGAGTAATCCATATCAAAATCAAACATATCAAAACCAAAATTCATATGAAATGAATAATATTGGAAATAATGGTAATTATAATCAATATAATAATAGTAGTACTAGTAATTATGCCACCAATTCAAAACAATATGATCAAGATGATTTTGTTTCATTTATGAATGAAATTCAAGAAATTAATTCTCAATTAGATAATTATTCAAATATTATAAATTTAATTGATAATAAACAAAAGTCATTTTTATATAATATAGATTTAAATGATGAAGATACTGAATATAATTTTCAACAAATTGATACATTAGTTGGAGAAGCTCAATCATTACAATTAGATTTAAAAGCAAGAATTAAAAATGTTCAAATACAAGCTATACATTCAAAAGATCAAACAAAAATTGATCAATCAGAAACTTGTAGAAAAAGATTTTTAGATTTAATTCAAGATTATAGATTAATTGAAGCAAAAAATAAAGAAAATTCAAAAGATCAAGCTGCAAGACAATATCAAATTATAAAACCAGATGCAACACAAGAAGAAATTAGAATGGTTATTGAAGATGGTGGAGATTCTCAACAATTTTTTCAACAAGCTTTAATGCAAAGTAATCGTAGAGGTGAAGCAAGATCAGTATTAAATGAAGTTCAAATAAGACATAGAGAATTATTGAAATTAGAAAAAACAATGGCTGAATTAACTCAATTATTTCATGATATGGAAGAATTAGTTATTGAACAAGATCAACCAATACAACAAATTGAAGAACAAGTTGGTACTGCACAACATGATATTGAACAAGGGGTTGGACATACAAATAAAGCTGTTAAATCTGCAAGATCTGCAAGAAAAAAAAAAATTTGGTGTATGGTTATTGTTATTATTATTATTATTATATTAGCTGTTATTTTAGGTTCTTATTTTGGTACTAAAAAATAAAAGAATAACAAGTAAAAGAAGCAAATAAAGAGGACTGTGTAATTTTATTTATAATCAAACTTAATTTCAATTTAATAAAAAGAAAAACTTAATTAATCAATAGTGATGATGAATATTCTTGACTTGAATTCTGTTCATTTGAAGTCTCCTATTGCGTGAAACCTCAAAGTGCGCTAACTTGTAAACCCCACCTATTTTATTTTTTCTGTAGGAGATGAGTTTTTGAATTTATATTTTTTTTAAAATCAATTAAATCAATTATCTAATAAAAACAGAACAACATCAAAAATGGCTAAAATTAAAAGAAGAGGAACTTCAGGTAATGCTAAAAACTTCATAACTAGAACTCAAGCTATTAAAAAATTACAAATATCATTAGCAGATTTTAGAAGACTTTGTATTTTTAAAGGAATTTATCCAAGAGAACCAAGAAATAAAAAAAAAGCCAACAAGGGATCAACAGCTCCAGTAACATTTTATTATGTAAAAGATATTCAATATTTATTACATGAACCTGTTTTGGAAAAATTCAGGCAGCATAAAACATTTGCAAAAAAATTACAAAGAGCTTTAGGAAAAGGTGAAATATCTGCAGCCAAAAAACTTGAGTCTAACAGGCCTATTTTTAAATTAAATCACATTATAAAGGAAAGATATCCAACTTTCTTAGATGCTTTAAGAGATTTGGATGATCCATTGAATATGTTGTTCCTTTTTTCAAATATGCATTCTACTGATAAAGTTACATCAAAAATCATTGGTGAAGCAGAGAGACTAACAAATCAATGGTTATGTTATATTTCACAACAAAGACTTTTGAAAAAAGTTTTCGTTAGTATAAAAGGTGTTTATTATGAAGCTAATGTCAAGGGTCAAACTATTAGATGGCTCATACCCTACAAATTTCCAACAAATATTCCTACAGATGTTGATTTTAGAATTATGTTAACTTTTTTAGAATTTTATTCAACTTTATTAAATTTTGTATTGTTCAAATTATATAATGAAAGTGGATTAATTTATCCTCCTCAAATTGATTTTAAGAAGTTAAAAGGTATTGGTGGATTAAGTTCTTATGTTTTACAATCAAAAGATGAACAACATAATGAGGTGGTTGAAGAAAAAAACAATGAAAAAGGTAAAGAATTATCATCAACTGAATTACAAAAAGCTATACAAGCTGATGAACAAGAGGAAGAAGAACCAAAAGAAGAGAATGTCGAAGAAATTGAATTAGATAATTTTACAACTAGTGCAAAAACCGTGTCAGATACTTTAATTCAACCAACAAAATTTTCATCACCACAATCTCAATTATTTGAAAATTTTATTTTTTATATTGGTAGAGAAGTTCCATTGGATATATTGGAATTTATAATATTATCATGTGGTGGTAAAATAAAATCAGAAATAATGTTAGATGATTTAAAAATTAATGATCCAAAAGCTTTTAATTCCCTTAATTTAGATTCAATAACTCATCAAATAAGTGATAGAAATAAAATAACAACTAAAGTACCAGGTAGGACTTATATTCAACCACAATGGATTTTTGATTGTATTAATGCTAAACAATTACTTAATGTTAATGATTATGCACCTGGTGAAACATTACCTCCTCATTTATCTCCATGGGGTGATTCAAGTGGTTATGATCCAAATTCTAAGAAACCAACTGAACAAGTTGAAGAAGGAGAAGAAGAAGAAGAAGAGGAAGAGGAAGAAGAAGAAGAAGAAATAGAAGTAGCTTCAGGAGATGAAGATCAAGAAAGTTCAGAAGATGAAGAAGAAGAAGATGACGAAGATTTTAAAGCTCAAAAGGAATTAGAAATGGAAGTATCAGGTAAAAAATTTTCAGAAATAGAAGAACCAAAAACCAAAAAACAAAAAATTGCTAAAAAATTAACAGAAGATGAAGAAGCAAAAGAATTAGCTAAAATAATGATGACAAATAAACAAAAAAAATTATACAAGAAGATGCAATATGGTATAAACAAAAAGGAAACAAGAAATTCAGAATTAGCTTCAAAAAAGAAACAATTAGAAAAAAAGAAAAAACAATTACAATCATCAATGAAGAAATAGTTATTAAATATTTAATTTTATTCTTGAATCCATATACATACGATCAGGTACTTCTAATATAAATAAACTTTTTATCAAATTTTGTAAATTTATTAATTTTTTAATACCTAAATTTATATTTTCAATATCTGTTGAATTCTTTATGTTAATATATACTTTTATTTGAAAAGTATTTGATTCATCTAATAATTTTAATTTAATTCCATTACCAATATAAGAATCATCACGTATGAAAATTTTATATATCTCAATTATTATATCTTCCATTATAAAAAACTTCGTTCCCTTTATCCAATATTGATTTATTACTTCGTAACCTAAATTTGATAAGTAGATTAGGAATGAGTCTTGTTGTTTTGTGGTTGTTGGGTTTGTATTTGACTCTTCTTTTACTTCTTCTGGATCTATTTCCATTATATCTGAATCTTCATTATTCTTATCATTGTTTGCAGGTTCTTTTTTTACACTCTCCTCTTTTTGAACTTCATTAGTTGCATCTTTTTCATCTACTCCAATATGTGTATGAATTAAAGTACTTTCAAATATAGTTTGTTGAGAACATTGTTGATTTTTACCAGCAATAGGGATATCACTTATTTGTAAAGTCCAAACTCTTTCAGTACTATCTTCATCATTATTAAATAATTTTTGTACAATAATATCTTCTTTTGAATCATTCAAAGGTTTTGAAATATCAAATTCATTTTTTGTCCAAGTTGTTGTACATTTCATAAAATATTGTTCAATTTGATTTATTTTTCCAGGTTCAAATTTTGGTTTAAATATTAGAGATGGTTGGGTTATTAGTGAGTATGTTGATATTTCTGTTGGTTTTATTATTCCTGTTATTGCTTGTAATGATGATATTGTTTGAAGATATTTTGAATGTGGAATTGATGATACTAATGATAATTGATGGACCATGTTGAATTAAAGTAGCTTATCAATTGACTTGATTTTGATATTCAATTGTTTTAGTTTGATTCTATAAAATACATTTGTACCCGTTTTAGGTGTTGAAATATGAAACTTAGTTATATTATAAATTTGGATGAAGTTATCAATTGAGGTAACAAGTTTTATATATTTTTCAATGCGGCTTTTGTATACAATTTTGAATCAAAGTATTAGTAGAGATTGAAGATGAATTTACATTTCTTGAACTAATCCTACCAATTGATTAACAATTAATTATATATTTATATTTACTAATATTTACAATAAACCAAAGCTAAAAACCCCGAAATCCATTTGATCAAATATAAGATAATTCTATAATTGTTTCTTTTTCTCTTCCAACATAATTTCTTCTTGAATTTTAGAATTATCTTCCATAAATGCAACAATTATATAACCAATTAATACTAAATTAGCAACTAATGCACTTAATCCACCACTTATTATTGAATTATTTGTAAAAAATTGTATTGAAAAAAATGTAATTAATGGTAATATTATCATTAATGCTGTGAATAACATTAATTTTTGTATTACTGATCTATTTTTTAGTGGTTAGTATAATTTGATCTATTAAAAAATTAGACCAATTGATATTACATACTTTGGAATATCCGCCATTGTAAACAGTTAGTTACTTGTAAATCTAAAGTGGAATAAGTTGATGATAATATTCAAAATGAATGTTTCAAAATGATTTCAATCCTCCTCGTTTTGTTGTTTAAATCTTTTTAACACTTTTGAATATATTTCCATTTCCTGTATATAGTTACCAATTTTTTAGTTTGTAGATTTTTGTTGATAATTTTGAAGCAATTCAATCATCATCAATTATTACATCTTTTACATTTCAACTTCATTTTCAAAGTATTATACTCAAAACATCTACGTTTGATCATTAAGGTTTATTTTAGTGAATACAAAGATAAACAAGATGCAGTTTAATCAATTAATAATATTTATAAGTTGTTTTATAACTTTAATAACAGCATTTTCAAATACTGCTCCATTATTAATAGATACAAAATATGATATAAGTAAAATAATACCATCAACTAATCATATTATACATAATCGTAAAATAGATCAAAATTTACCAATGATTTATGCAACTAACAACTTTAAAGATGAAGTAAATTTCAATCGTAATAATAAAATAGATAAAACTGATGATATTGTATATTATCAAGTTTCATTAAATGATTGGAATAATATTGAAGATAAATCATTTATAGAACTTAATGACTATTTATATATGAAAAATGTATTTTATAAAGATGAGTCACATGTTAATATGATACAATTTAGAATAATTAACGTTGAACCAGAACAATTAGATAGTGAATCATTGAGTCAAGTAATTTCTACAATCAAAAACAAAAACTCATTTCCAAAAGATTTTATTATACAAGTTATCCCAGATTTTATTACAACTGAATCATCACATGATAATAAAATAGAAGAAGTTGAAGAAAAAATTATAAATTTATTCAATAATGACGAAGTGGTTGTTAAAAAAGATGAAGAAGATGTAGAAGATATTAAAGTTCAACAAGAAATAGAATCAGATTTTGCAGAAGCTAATCGATTAGCAGAACAAGAAGATCAATTAGTCTCAATAATGGAAGGTGGTGATTTATCAGATGATGCACCACAAAACTCAACCACATATAAACATGATAATTTATTTACTAATTATCAATTTTTTACAAGTGGTATTTGGTCAGGATTAATTGTTTCTGGATTTTTATTAGCTATATTATATGGTGCTTTAAGTTGGCTTACTACTTTAGAAATCACTTATGCATCTTTTGAAAAACCAGTTGATTTTGATAAAAAAAATGAATAGAATCAACTCGTGAGTATTTATTCAATAAATATATATTTACAAAACTATAAAAAAGGTCCATTGCTCTTTAATAAACATATGGTACAATTTTATAAGGAACTAATTCTTTATATTTTTTCCAATCATCACCATATTTTTCACTACATTTCATATCATCTCTAATTTGTCTATGCACCAAAAGACTAGCAAAATAAATCATATAGAAATAAGTTAATGGAGTTTGAAACCCAGTAGGTAAACACCATGACCACGCCAAAATCCAATCACCAAAATAATTTATATGTTGAGATAATCCCCACCATCCTTGACATAATAATTGAGAACCTGTCTTGGTCTTAATAGATTTCATATGTGGTAATTTCCCATTTTTGAAATCTGATTTTTGTTGATTCGATGCTCTAAAGATGTAAAAACCAACAAAATGTAATACTAAGATCAATATAACATTTATCAAACCTAAATTTACTTCATTTCCTTTGATACTCATATATCTAGTTTGTAAAGAATAACTCCATGGTAACCAAGCTAAATCTCCAAAACTTAACATAAATCCAAATCCATCAGTTGTAACATCAATCATAGTTAAACAACCTTCTTCATTTAATACACCATCAAAAGTATAAAAAGCTTGTAAAACAATAATTAAGATCATTGAATCTGTAACATACCCTAATTTATGATATTGATTATGTGCACAACTTAAATTTATCAAGAACCATAATAGCATACCTGGTCTTAATTCACAAAATAATTTTATATCCCAACCTCCAATTCTTGGATTTAATTCTCTACCTATAAACCAATCATATATAGGATTTCCAGTATTACCATTAACACTTAATATTCTTTCTTTTGTACCAACACCATTTTGATGAGTTAATGGAATAAAACTTATTATATAAACAAATGTAGCCAATAAAAACGAAAATATAATACATGTGAATAATAAAGGAATTTGATTATCATAAATGAATTGTAATTCAGGCAAATTATAATTTGAAACAATAAATACTCTTGAAATTAATAAAACAATTAAAGTAATACTCATTCCAATTCCATTAATTTTATAATTTAATTTGGTCCCATCTCTTAATTTAGTTCCATCTAAATTCTTACCAGGTATAATTCTATCTAATAAAACTAAACCCCAAAACCAACTCATATAAGCTGCCCAAACTTTTTTATTAAAACATAACTCAAAAAATTCTTGTTTGTTAGAAGGTAATTGATCTACAACTTTTGCTAGTTGTAGATTTATACCTTGTAATGAATAATTATCATTTGTTACAAATGCAAAAAATATTAATACTATTGGTAATCCCAATGTTATACCTATTGCACCTGATAATCCATTAAATTCTTTATGTTTTGTAACTGGATTTAATTTTGACATGACTATAGTTGGAGAATTTTGAAAAAAGAGTGAAAAAACAGTTGGAATCCCCAAATACTTTATATTTTCTAATTGTTTTTTGATCTAAATTTGTTTTCTAATGATCTTTCTTGTTTCAAAGCAAGTGAAATTGAATTGTAATTACATCAATCAAAAGTAAAGCGCGTAAATTATTGTAACTTCTTAATGATCTTCTTCTTATTTTAGTTTTTCAATGCGAATACGAAACATCTCGTTTCGTCTTATTTTGCAACTTTTTATACGACGAAGATGAAGACGAAGAAAGAATTAACAAATTAGTTTTTAACGATGTAACACATGTTTACGAAATGTATTCTATAAATAGTATTACAAGGTAATATTCACAATTGATCTATTTTTGGAGGTATTTGTTTTATTTCATATGAGCATATCTTGAGGTATCAATTCTCATAAATTCTCTTAACGCCATTGTAGCATATGAACTAACACCTAATTTCATTTTTAATATTACTGCTAATTTAATTTCTTCACCTTCTTTTAATTCTTGTTTTATAACTCTACTATCTATGGCTTCTTTACCGAAATTTTCAATATTTATTTCAGAATCTGGAGTTGTTTTAATACCTTTTGATTTTAAAATTTCTAAAATTTCCAAATCTGTACGAACTAATGGTGATTGATCATTTTGATATTCAACAATATCATATGATAAATCTTTTGGTATTGATATAAGATTTCTATAAGCTCCAGTTAAAGAAAATTCTTTATTTTTTCTCATTAATCTAAAAGGATCCAAATTATCAAAAGACATTGTGTCTATATATACTTTTTGAATTTGTTCATTTTCTGGGTATGTTATTTTAAAACCGGGACTTGGTAATATTACATCAAATATTGAATATTTTTTGGTAGTGATATCTTCTTTCGTTACTGTTTTAACTGGTATTGGTTCAAAATTTGCAACATCTTCTTCAAATTCATCATCTTCTTTTAATTTTGTAGATTCTTCACCAGCTAAAACCAAATCACCTTCTTGAATTTCATAGCCAAATAATTCAATTCTTTTCGAAGCTACTAAGTTCCAAATATATGATTGATAAGAATGTACATACATCATTCTTAAATTTTTAGGTATTGACAATAAAGCTTTAAGGTATGAGTGAGGTTTAAAATTTTTGTTTTCATCTTGTGGTTCACTTGTCAATACTTTTAAAATATGATTCTCAGCAACGAAATGTCTTGGTAAACTTGCAAGAGCTTCTTTAGCATTTTTAGTATCTTTCCAAATTTTTCTCATTTCAACAGTACCAGGTGAACATAATTCTTGTTCTGATAATAATAATTCAACTGCTTTTTCCCAATTTTCTTGTAATATAGCTTTACCTAATTCATGAGTTGGTACAGAAAATGATCCAAACCTTTGCATTCCAAAGTAATTTATGAATCCATGTTGGTTAAAACTATTGAAGCACTGACTTATAACTGCTTTTATATTTGTATCAGTTTCATTATTAGCTAATTTAACATCTCTTAAAGTTATCGTGAATTGATTACCATTCAAATCACCTAATTTTAAAGGTTTATCTTCATACTTAAAAGAACCTAATTTGAAATTTGAATTTTTCATTTTATTTAATGCATTAATTCTCAAAACTTTTCCTTTATTTATACTAAATCTTTGACATGTTACACCTCTTCTATCTTTCGTACCTGCATAATTTATAGTCTTTGGTGGTATTCTTAACATCTTAGCAATATTATTTGAAACATCCATTGTATCTCTATTTTGTTTGTATACTGTAAAATGTAAAAATGGTTTAAATTGACCTGCTCCATAATTAATAACCCCATTTTCATCTACATGATGCATACTTTCTTGTCCATTATTGTTGTTATTGTTTCTTCTTTGATTACCTCCTTTGTTCTTAGCTATAGCTATTTTGAATGTGTTTGTTGGTGATGTAACTGTTTCCAACTTATTTTGAAATGATTCACGGAATAATTGATGTAACTTTGTTCTTTTTTCTTTATCATCAAAAGAAGTTTTGGTTTCCATGTTGTTACCAGTTGTGAATAATTGTTCAATTTCAGTTAATTCTTCAGGTGTTATGAAAGTTAAAAGTTGTTCTTTATTTTCAGATGATAATTCGTAATTTGATTTGTTTTCTTCCTCCTTCAATTCCTTCGGTGGTTCCTCTTCGCTTTTTCCTTTTCTTTCTTTTGCTGCTTCAATTTTTTTCTCTCTATTAGTTTTACCAACATCTATACCTTCATCAATCAAATGGACAACTTGATTATTCGGCAGTATCTCATTAACTTGAAAATCACAATGTAAAGTTTTAAGTAGTCCCGAGAATCCTGTGGTTGAGTTATTTATAAACTTCAATATTCCCACATCCTCTTCCGATATACCAAATGATGCTGGAGTAGTGGTTGTTTGAGTTGGTTCTGATTTGAATTTTTTTATAATTGAATTTGAAATCTCATCTTCTGCTGATGTGGTTCTTTTTAGTTGTTGCGTCATTATATTGATTATTCTATGACGTAAACTTCTAATCATACAACCTAATGGATCCTTGTTGAAGTTGTTGCAAAAATTCTTTATTCTTTTGGTTTCAATAATTTTTCAAATCATAGAGAAGATGATTTAACTTTGTGTTAAGTTTTAAGTCAAACCTGTACATAAATTTGACTGCAAAATTTATAAATTTGATATGGAAAATTAATTAATATTACATTTTCAATTGAACAATATTGTAAAGATTTACATATACGATTAACTATCTTTGTTTATTAGTTTGCCACTTACAAATCTGATTGAACAAAAAAATCATAGGGCCCCACTTTTTCTATAATCTAAAATTCATTTAGCAAGTTAATTCAAAATTAATATAAAGTGTATGATAAAACAAGTTATTCATCCTGAAACTTTTTTACTTGAAAGTCCACAAGCAGCATCAAGTTCATCATCAGAAAATAATCAAAACTCAAACAATCAACAAGTTGTTTCAAATGATAATCACCAACCTAATAACATAAGTATAAGAAAATCATCACCAAACTCTTTACGAGTTTCAAGTTTTACTTATTCAAGAGCAATTTCTCAAGATCATAGTAATAGCAATAAATTTCCAACTGTTAATGCTAGTAATAATAATGGTAATGGTAACAATGTAAATGGTAATCCTTTGACCAGCAAAAGGTCTAACTTTTTAAAAGTTTGTTCTTGGCCATTTACAAGAAGTGATAGTTTAGTTGAAAAAAATGAAGAACAAGGAAATGATGATAAGATTAATAATGTGAATTTAGTTAACGACCAAAAAAAATTAAGTGAACAACCTCTACAAATTCAACAACTAATCAATCATCAACAACAACAAAAACCATTAGCTGGAAATCCAAGTTTAGGCAATAAAAACGAACACACCAATTTTAATTATAATGAAAAATTTAGTAAAGTTTTATTTACAAGAAGAAAACATCAACAACAATTACAACAACAGCAAGCTCAACAAACATATAATGAAAACATAAGAAGATGTATAACTATATCAAATTTAGATCAATCAATGGGTGTTAATTCAGTAATTCAACAAGTTTGTGGGGGTCCTTTGGAAAAAATTATAAAATTACCAAATAACAAATTAGAAATATACTTTATATTTCCTCAACAAGCTAAACAATTTTATCAATATGGTAAAAACACTGGATTATTAATTGTCAATGGTATAAAATTAAAAGTTGATTGGTCTGATCAAGAATTCTTGAATAATCATGGTTATATAAGCACCACTACCATAAATGAAGATATTGAAAATTATGATGGTTTTATTTTAGGTTGTAGCAACAACGATAATGCAATAGTTGGAGGTATAAATAAAACTTCAATTACTCAACCTTTCTCAAATATTGTATCACCACCAATGAATTATACATTACCAAAATCTTTGTATAATGAAATAATTTCAAATGGGTGTAGAAGATGCTTAATAATTTCTAAAATAGTCATTGGTAAAAAGATAAGACAAGGAGATAAAATGTTTTATCCAGAACCTGAAATTCATTATTCCAAAAATTTACAAATTCAAGATATTAAAATGGATTTTGAACCATTTGGAGAAATTATGGATATTGGATCAGTTATTTCAAGAAAATTATCTTTTAGTGTATTTTATTATGATATTAGATCTGCTATTAAAGCTAAGAATGAATTTGAAAAAATTGGAAGTAAATTAAGTGATAAATATAAAGATTGGAGTATATGGTATGGTAAAGATATAACTGACCGTGCTTGTTTTGTTTTATGAATAAACTAATCAAATCAGTCGATAATTAAATCCCTTAAATAATGAATGTTTATGATAAATACAGACTCTTATAATAAAACTCGATAAATTTTGAAGACATTTTGTAATTAATTGTACTCTTTTTTAAGTAAATTTGTTAGACACTTATTACCGTGATTTGGTCGATCTGCATTCTTAATATTTTATCAACAAATTATATAATCAAGTTAATCGTTGAGCATACAATTAAATTGTTAAAAAATAAATTGAGATGACAACATTCAAAACGTTGTCATCAAATTAAGTTTCAAAAAATTATTAAAATTTTAAATCATTCTAACAATCATTTGAATGGCTAGATTCAACATTGTGCAACTAATAGAACAGATACACAATCGCTATTGACTTGTAAATTTCTAAAAGAAGTATATTATATTGAACCCCAATATTCTGATATTAATTTTATAATCTAATGACAATAATAAAGCGAGGACTAGCCTGTTTTCTTATTAAAACCGAAGTTCAGCTGGCTTCTCAAAATAATATTGTTGGACCTGGGAGCCAGTGCAAAGTTTATGTTAAAATAAAAAGTAAAAGATTTGGTTATTATGATAAAAGCTTCTGCAATCATAATTAAACATGTGGTGTATTCATTTGAATTGAATTAATTTAACATAAATCAAATTGTATAAATATATATTAGTTGTAAATGTCGTGATAACGACATATTTTTCTATCTTATCGTTTTTATATCATATATAATTTTATATTAATATTTTGAAGTAGTCTATATAAATACTTCCCCAAAAATTTACAATATTTTATAATTTTTATAATTTTTAGAAAGTAAGAATAAATATTTTTATCTTATCGAGAATCTACTATATTTAAGAGATTTGAATCTCTATTAAATTCTTTCATTCAACATCATTCATCATTATAATTCAGAATGTTATTTAAGATGAATGAACGAATTGAATTAGAAAATTCTCGTTCCGACATAATTTTAAATATATGTATTTTTCGTAATAAATGTATAATGCGACCTAAGGATTGAAAGAAAAGTATCTAAATCTACGTCGAACTTGTCACTAACTTAAAGACAAATAAATTACCGTGTGACAACAAAGCATTATTTAGTCGAAGTATTCAGCATTTATCCAATCACACTATCTTCAACCACATTAAACCAATAATTATGCATTATCAGCATCAGATTACAGACTGAAAAGCAATTTTAAATATAGGTTTTCAACACATTGTATCTAAAATAAACCAATTAAAAATCTACCGTTTTAACATCCAACGTGCTTCAATTATTATCAATGCTTAAAAGTTGAATCTAAAATGGATAAACTAAAAAAATTAAATTTAGACTAAAAGAAAGAAAAAAGAAGTAGCTACCAATTGTGGCTTACGTAATTTAAGTTCTAAATTTTACAAAGTAATTATCTTTCCTAAAATGGACTAAAAGTAAACATCAAATCTTATACAGATCTTTAAATCTGGAATGAATTTTGATATTTTTTTGGCATGCCATATCTTTGATATCACAATTGCAATTTAATTCCAAAATAATCTCACAAATAGAAGCTTAATTGAAGTCAAAAACTATAGCTATTCCAAAGTCTCATAAACCACCAATGAGGTCAAGATCCTCTTTAGATAATTCAACTATTAATAATATATCAAATATTTCAATGTCAACTATGTCAACACCAACTAGAACTAATACTACAACCACAAATACAAATACCACTACAAGATCAAGTTTTAGACCGCCTTCAAGACCAACTATGTTACGATCGTCCTCACCAATTCAACAACAACATCATCAACCACCAAGGTCAAGACCAGGATCGTCATTAGCTAGTAGACCAGGAACTCCAGTTAATTCAAGCACCTATGTAAATCGTCAAGAACCATATTTTGGTACTATATCAGTTTCAATACGTCCAAATCCACAATCTTATCAGCACTCCTCACAACAACAAAATTGGAATATTGATCCTTTTAGTAATTCAATTTCAAATAATCCAGATGGAACTCACTTTGTTTTTGATAATGTATTTCCCGCAAATGATATTAATTTTAATAATAATTATCAAGTATATATTAGAACTTGTAAACCAATAATAGAAAAATTTTTAAATGAAGGTTTTAATGGAACTGTATTTGCTTATGGTATGACAGGTTCAGGAAAGACTTATAGTATGAAAGGAGATGATAATGAATTAGGATTTGTTGAATTGTCAATTAATGAAATTTTTAAAAAGATTGATGAATCAAGTGATGTTTTGAAATTTCAAATAAATTTATCATACCTTGAAATATATAATGAAAGAATTATTGATTTATTAGATAACAATACTGCTTCACAATTAGACCTAAAAATAAGAGATGATCCAGAATATGGTATTAAAGTAGTTGGACTTAATTCACCAATCATTACATCAAAGGATCAAATTTTATCATTAATCAAAAGAGGTGATCTAAATAGAAAAACAAGTGCAACAGATTTCAACTCCAGATCATCAAGATCACATTCAATTTTACAAATAAAACTCAAGTGTATGAATACATTAACTAATAATGAAATATTATCAACATTATCATTATGTGATTTAGCAGGATCAGAAAGAGCATCGGCAAGTTTAGAAAGAAGAAAGGAAGGTTCATACATTAACAAATCTTTATTGGCTTTAAGTAATGTTATTAATAGATTATCGTCATCTTCAAATGGTATGGTTGATAATCATATAAGTTATAGAGACTCAAAATTGACAAGATTATTACAACCTGCATTGAGTGGTAAAAGTCTAGTGCTGATATTATGTACTATTCATATGGGATCAAATCTAACTAATCATACTGTTGTAACATCAAGTATAAATCAGTCAGTTTCTGAAACCTATAAAACTTTGAGATTTGCAGCAAGAGCTAAAAATATTGTTATAAATGTTGAGAAAAATGTCACGAAGAGTATTGAAACTAATGATTTAGAAGCTTTGAAATTAATTCAGGATTTGAATAATACAATTGAACAACAAAAGAAAGAAATCTTCATATTAAAATCATCATCAACGAATCCAAATAACAATGATATTTTTACATCATCATCATCTTCAAATATTGTAGAACAAGAATTAAGATCAGAGAATAAAGTATTACTAGAAAAACTAGATCACTTGAACAAATTAACAGATTTACAAAAAACAGAAACAATAATAATAAAAGACAATATCCTAAACGATATATTAGGTTCCAATCTCGACAACACTCAGTTAGTAATGACCAACATTGAAGAATTCTACAAAAGAGTAAATCACGAAATGAATGAATACAAAAACTACATAAACAGTCTAGAAATCCAATTATCAATGTCATTAAACCAATCACCGCAACAACAACAACATCCACCACAACAAGATTTAGAACTAATGGAAGTACTAAAAGAACAAGAAGAAGAAATAATCCACTTAAAAAACACAATTCAAGATAAAGATCACATTATAAAATCATTCACAAAAACAACAAAATTCAGAAAATTAGTAGAATCAAATACAAATCATTCCCCTCATACATCAACATTATCTAAATCAAATTATAGCATAATGGATCAAGATTATAAAAGGTATATAACGTCAAGAGGAAGTTCTGTTAGTCGTGGTGGTGGTGTTGGGGTAGATAAAGAAAATGAACCTGAATTTTTGAATTATAAATTGTCTAGTCATGAAAGTCGAAATGTTACTCCTAAAAAGCCAAAAGCTAGTTTTGATATAATGCAAACTTTATAGTTCTTGTATAGATTAGATAATGTATGAATAAATCACGAATGTTCTGACTTTCGTTTGAAAACCATAAGTTATTTCAAACATTAATGATGTATCGTATTGAAACAAATCTGAAACATCTACAAAATTGAATGGTAGCTTTTTCAGACCTGAAATTAGAAATGAGAAACTTTTTCAGAACCTTGAACAATTGGTGACTTGAGGTCAATGATTTTTCCATCTGAACTTATGATTTGACTTTAAAAGTCTACATGTATACGTTCTTTGAGTAAATCATTTGGTCATTTCCATAACTGTTTTAGTCCAATTTTTTATAATTACTTGCATTTGTGCTTGTTTTTAAGAGGTTTTACATATGATCAGGTATATTTTTAAATTCTTGGTATTTGGCAAACAATCAGAAATCGAAACTTATAAATACCATGTCAAGTCTCATATACTTTCAACTCATGTAGCACTGCTCTACAGTCAAAATTTACTAACAAAACTATAAAGCAATGGATGCTTCAGATTTTGATATCAGATTTAATTGTGGAGCTTATACATATACCTCAGATCAATTTAATCAAAGTACTTTGGAATCAATTTATGCATGTGGTCAGAATTTTATAAGACTTAAAAATTCTGGAGAAAGTCAATATAAAGTCGCTAACAAATTTGGATTGATAGTCCTGGTATTTGCTTTGAGTATGATGTTTGTTCAGCTATAGTTCTAGGTTCTAACCAATATAAATTATATGTACATTCTGGTTTCTATTTACTGTGTAATTTCAATTTTATTTACATCTATTAAATCATAAATTTCTTTTACTAATGAATTGAATTTTTCAGCATTAGTATCGTATTCACTGTCTTTCACATCTGAAGAATTTATTGATATTAATTTCTTTAATCCACTTTTTATCTTTTGATTTGATTCATTTAAATTCTCTGTTTCATTATATAATTTACTTAAATCATTAAATGTCTTTTCTATTGTGGCAACATATGTTGATTTATCGTATTTGGAAATCATAAATTTTGGCCTGTAGTATTTGATATTTGCTTTTAACAATAATTTATTAATGTGGATTTTTTGTTCTAATGTTTCTACTTTCAACCAATTTGCGAAATTTATTGTGTTATTAACTTTATCCATAAATTGATAAAAATCATTTGGTGTAAATGATATTTCTGCTTTTTTCATATATGCAGCATAAACATTTGTAAAAGTTACTAGATTTTTTAAAAATTCATCTAATTGATCAAATTTTAATTGTGGTTTGGTGCTGTAACCTGATTTTTTGTTTGAATCATTGTAATAATGGATATCTTTGAAGAAAGTTGAGTACATGTTCTCAATATGATCTTGTTTGACTTCGATACTCTCGACTCTATATCTTGCAAATGTTAAAGCAGTAAACATTTCCATTATTATATTAGTTTTAGTGGTTCCATTTAATCTTCCATTTTCTCCAACTTTATATATGAACGAATTGAACATCGCATCATCCATTATTGATGGAACTCTTCCGGTTTGATGCAGACGTATTTGCTTTACTTTATCAAGAAAATTTTCCAAAACATTATGTTTTTTTAAGTCTGCAGTATATAGTCTTAATCCACCCCATTGAATTAATGAAAACCAAAATGCTTCAACATATTGTTTGAATTTACCCATATTTATAAGACAATCGAAAAATTGATTTAACAAAAATACATTAACTGAATGCTCCAATGGTTCTAATCTCTTCTTTTCAACTTTTAATTTCTTATTTCTATTTGATTTTTCTACAAAATTCAAATCACGTCTGAAGTCTATTAGTTGTTCTGTATTTGGTTTGAATTTATCAAGATAATTCATGTGAACTTTTGGATTTATATCTGAATCCAATCCATTAACAACATTTTTTGGAATTAAATCATCTATTTTATCAACGTATGTTAATTTCGGTTGGTTTTTTATACCATTTAATGCAAGTCTGATTCTTAAATCAGTGTGATTTTGCACTTTTTGAGATGCTTTTATTGTTTCATTCGAATTTCCATCGCTTTTTTCTAAAAATTTCAAGATTAACTCAATTTCTGGTGATAAATTTCTTAAAACTTCTAAAGCTCTTTCGTTATATAAGTAATGTGATCCACCTTTAAGATCCACACCCGTACCTGAATCACGACTGCATAAACTATTGAGATAGGTAGCAACAAGTGGCATATCTATATTGATTCTTGTTCTATTCCAACGTGATATTAATTTTTTATTTTCTTCCGGATCTGAGGTTGGGGTTGGTGGAATAGCTAATGATTTGACTTTTTGGAAAATAGCTTCAGCTGTTTTGATATGACCAGCTTCAAGATCTAATAATTTGACAATACGTTCATGGGATGATATATCATTCAGTTCCAAGATTTTACTTTTTTCATGACCTGTATACTTTTTAATACCATGTAACAAAATAGTAAAAGTTTGAGAGTCGGGAACTATACCTCTGATTCCCAATTCTTTGTTTTCCATTAATTCATCAAAGAATTCCCATGCTTTAGCTTGTCTATAATCGAAATTTTTCACTAATATACTCAAACATGCATTATAAATTGATGTCTCTAATTTTTTATTTTCATCATTTTGAAAAATTTCTCTCCCACTTTTAAAAATCTCAATCATTCTATCACACATCTCAATACTAACTTTACCCCAGGGACTTGTTTTTGAAACTCCATCAAATAATCTTAAATATGTATATCCATCACTTTTAATTCCATAATCTCTTCTATCATTAAATGCTTTGATTCCACTTTTCTGATCGTTTCTATCAAAATGCCATTCCATAATTGTATTCATCCCAACTACTGCATGTTTTTTATCACTTATTCGACATAAATACGATGCCCTTTTAGCTTCTTGATCATATGCTAGTAAGTCTACTACATTTTTAGTTATAAAATATGGATCTTTTAATTGTTTATTACTTGTTCCCAATAATGTTAATGCTAATGTTCTGTTCACTTGTTTTCTAGTTGCATCTTTTATTCTCATAACATTATCAAATATAACTTTTGATTGTTCATTACGAAATTTCAAATCATTAAATCGTAGTTTACTGACATTTAGTGGCTTACCATTTCTATCTTGAAACATTACCGAGTCATAAGTTCTCTTGAGGTAACCTAAAGCTCTTCGTAATGTACTTTCTTCTCTTGAACCCTTTTGAACTCTTTCAACTAATCTTTTATTGTACCTTATCATTTCTCCATTATTTTGCATTATATCATTCAATTTCTTTCGTATATGTATTTTGATACGAGCTTCACTCGTTTTTTCTCTAGGAATATGTAGTAGTTCTGTGACTTTCTTTATGTTTTCCTTCTTTGGTTTCTTCATCTTGTGTGGTTTGGTTGAGATAGAGTTGAAGTTTGATGATTGTAAGAGATGCTTTTTGCATCTAAAAATTATCTAGAAATAATTTTTTCTGAGCCGCAGATTTTCGAGATATCAGACATCACCAATTTTACCAAGTAATACCAATGAGTTCAGGGAATGAGAATAACAAAGAAGATCTACCTGCAACCGAAAGCACTAATGGGACTAGGAATGAACAATTTGATGACGATTACCAGAAAAAATATTGGTCAACCCTAAAATCATCCATCAATAAACAAATAGAACAACTTAATCAATCAAACCTCAAAACTACAATTCTTGATTTATTCAAATTGAACATACTACGAGGTCGAGGATTGTTAGTCAGATCAATTATGAAAAATCAACTCAATATTACAAATAAAACACAATTATATGCATCATTAATTAGTGTATTGAATTCAAAAGTACCAAAAATTGGAAAACTATTGTCAAGTAGACTTATACTACAATTCAAATCATCATATATGGCAAATGACTATAAACTAAGTCACTCTTCTTCTTCCTTTATTGGCTATTTAACAATTTTTGAAGTAGTTAGTGAAGTTTCAGTTTTACAAATATTACAATTGTTATTGGAAAATCCAACAAATGGAGATATTGAACTAGCTACTAAATTATTTCTTATAGTGGGGAAATTTTTGAATGAAAAATCAAAACCAGCTACTACGATGATACTAAATAGATTTAAAGATCTTATTCAGGAGAATGAAGAATTAAGTCATAAGTCAAAATCATCGATAAAAGCTATACTTAGACATGGTCAAACTGAATTTAAATCAATCCCTAAGATACCAGATGAATTGAATTTGGTAAACGACGAAGACAAAGAAACTCATATAATTGATATATCAGATAAAATAAAATCTCGAGACTACCTAAATTTGTATATTTATGATGAAAATTTCGAAAGTAATGAAAAAGAGTATGAAAAATTACGAGATGAAATCTTGGGCGAAGATGATGAAGCAGAGAATGAAGAAGAAATATCCAAAGATACTCAACTAGCAATATCTGAACCGGCTCCAGTAATTTCCGATTTAAGTCAATCTGAATTATCACAATTTCAAAAACAAGTATATCTTACAGTGATGTCATCAATGTCATCAGATGAAGCAGTTTTTAAACTTCTAAAACTCAAATTTAATCAAACCAAATCAAATTCCAATTCAGAAGATAGTAAAATTTTGTCTGATATGATCATAAAATGTTGTTCCCAAGAAAAAACATATTCAAAATATTTTGGAGTTATTGGAGAAAAATTATGCAGTAAAAATTTTCATTGGCAAAACAATTTTATTGAATTATTCAAATATTATTATTCAAACATTGAGAATTTTGATACAAATAGTTTAAGAAATACAGGTAAGTTTTTCGGTCATTTGTTTGCATCAAAATCTGTCAAATTACAAAAAGCATGGAATGAAATAAAATTAACTGAACAAGATACAAATGCTCCAAAAAGAATTTTATTGAAGTTCATATTTCAGGAAATGGTTGAAGAAATGGGTATTAATGATTTGAAGAAAGCATTGTTGAATGATGAAAAGGTCAAATTTTCCATTGGTGGTATTTTCCCAGTTATAGACGTAACTCCAAAAGATACAGATCACGTTAGATTCTCAATCAATTTTTTCACAGCTATTGGATTAGGTGTCTTAACTGAAGAATTGAGACAAGTATTAACAAATTTGGAAGAGATGGGTTCTAGAGGAAGAAGCAGAAGTGTTTCGGGCTTGAGCAGACTGGGCTCAAGTTATTCAAGGAGTTATTCAAGAAGTTATTCAAGAAGTTACTCAAGAAGTAGATCAGGTTCAGGTTCAAAAAGTTTTTCAAGAAGTAGATCAGGCTCTCGAGAATCTTTTTCAAGATCCCCGATTGAAGAAAGAGGTAGAACAAAAGAAACAAAAAGAAGTGAGAATGACTCAAGAACTCCTTCTCGTGAACCACTCAAGAGAAAAAGATCTGATTCTGATGATGATTCTAGAACTAGATTAAATAAAATATTAAATGCAATGAATTAATATATAATGATCATAATGTCAATAAATTTGTCTTTCTCTACTTTGCATTCCAATTCTGTTCTTAACAATTGTAATTCTACATTTTCTCGCTTTTGTGAATGTGGCTAGTGTTTTAGAAATAAAGGGGTCGACAAAAAAGGGGGTAGATATAAATAAGTGTTTATTCAAGTAAAACTAATAATTTTTAAAATATAAAAAATTTGAAAATATAAATTTGAAAACATTACATACTTTTTGGGGTATTGAAGAATTGAAAATAATAATTGTCTGAAAAAGAAATGAAAAAAAAAAGTTTGTGAAAAAAAGAGATTGAAAAACTCATTTTAAGCTTCTAACCATAAGACGTAACTTGAAACGCCATCTTGACATAATTGCTAACAGCTCGTTGCTATGAAGTACTTCTAGCAATCGAATTAAAAATTTGAGCAGCTGAACCATCATTTAATAAAGTTCTTTTTGGTTGTGCAACATTTCCATTACAATAGTTATCTGCAACGAAAGTATAACCTATGCTATTGTCACCAGTTACTTGTACATAATTATCATGTAATGATTTTATATTCTGATAATCTCCAAAGTTTCCTGGGCTTAATTGATCAAATAACCAAACAAAATTTGCTTGAGTTTCTAAACCCGATGAAAATTGTGTTGCTCCTCCAATTGATATTAAGTCTGCTATTCCAACAAATAATAAATGGGAGTAACTCAAATTATTATTCCATGCTCCATTAGCACTTAAGAATACTCTTGAATTAAATACCGAATTAGCTAAGGTCACCGCTTTATTCAAATATTGTAAATTACTTGTAAATTTTGATAAGTAAGTATAGGCAGAAATAGCAGTACCAACAGTATATGTCAATTTACCTCGATTAATCGACCATGTATTACTATCCAAACCATCAAAATAAAACCCATCGGTATCAGTTAAATGAGTATCCAACCAACCAAGACAACTATTAGCAAATGTCAAAAGAGTTTGATCTTGATTATATTCATAAACTCTAACAGCACTTAAAGCAGCCTCAGTAGTTGAGATAGAAGCAACATATGTTTGACCAACTTGCCATAATATACCACCAATTTTGGACCATTGAGTTTGAATTAAATGCATTAAATTTATTGCAGTGTTTAAATATTGTTGATTTGATGTTATCTTATAAGCATCTAAAAATACCCAAACAACTTGTGCATTATCATCAGTATATATTTCTCCACCACCTGGAGTACTTGTAAACCAACCAGTTTGAGTATTTTGATATTTATATAATGCATTCATAACTAATTGAATCTTTTGCGGGTCACCACCATTTACAACAGCTTTACTGGCAACAGCAACACTCCATAATGAATCATAATTAAACCCACCTTGACATTGTGGATCATATGCATTAAAAGCCTGGTATTGAGTATTCCAAAATAAATTCCAAGTAGTATTTATAGTTGTTTGAAAAGCAGATTGTGGATCCCATGATATATCCCTTTTAGCAATTATGTTATTTTTATTCAAGTTTATTGGTGAAGCGAATATTAAATTTAAAAACACGAGTAACGAAATTAGAAACATTAATTCGAATTGAATGAGTGACTTTTGAAACGAAAATATCTGAAACTTAAATGATTGTGATTAACTGTGAAACAAAGTATAGTTCTAGACTATTTCATGTATGAAATTCATAATAAATTTTAAATTTATAATAATTTGGAATATTTAACATAATTTAAATAAAAGAAATTGAATATTTTATGAAGATCAAATCCTAACAAAATTAAAAAATTAAGAAACAATAAAACATGGTGGAAATTATGTACAATCGATTAATCTTCATAACATAAGAAATATTCGTTATGTGAAGATTGTCAAGTTTAACTTCAGCTAAGCATCTGGACTAAGAAAATTTGTAAAAAAAGAAACTAAATAAAAAAGTGGAAACAATAATTTTTAACAAGGTTGATATAAATTTGTTGAAAAATAAAATCACAAATTTAACACAAAATCAAAATCAAAAAAACGAACTAAAACACAATAAGAAGCGAATATTTCACAAAATTATTTACTAAAAGCTCTGTAAATTATTATTTAGTTCAGGATATTGTTAGGTGTATATATTGTATTAATGTCAATTGCTTGACAATACTTGCTGTTTAAGCATTATAATAGTTATGATTTAAAGTTAATTTTAGTACATTAACGAATAAATTTGCTAACTTAAAATTCAAAAATGAAAGGGTTTATCTTTTTTAAACTTTAGTATTTTACAGTTTATAACTTTTTGAAAGGGGTGGGGGAGGGGCGATGCACAAAATCAACATCTTTAAATTATTTTTGTATAAATATTTAACCTTCAACCTTATCATTTTTTTTAGTTATTCTTTGAATAATTCTATATCTATTGTAAGATATTGATGTTTTTTTCTTGTCCAAGAGCAAGAAATTTATTTTACATGACATCTTCATCAACTAAAATTTTCTAAGTCATGAATTTGAACATATGTGCTGGAGTTAAATGAAGAGATGAAGTTTCACCCACTCATATACTATTGGAAACAGTTTTAAGTCCTATCTTTCAGCAGGCTTTCAATTGTACTTTATTACTAATAACAGTAATGTAGTAAAGTAATGTTTCAAATCAAACGTAATAAAATTGGTTTAGTGCTTCAATTCGTATCTTTAATGTATTATTGAAAAATACTAAAATACAGAAGTACATTATTATTAAACCACAAAATCAATTAGAATACCTAATTAGGTTAATTAATTGAATGCATATATTTTGATTTTGTGTTTTGTATCGGATCAATATTTTTTAATTTTATTTTTTAATACCGACATACATATTAGATTGAATTAATACTTTATTCGAAGCACGGAAATACATCATCTTTTCACTCTTATTTACATCAACTCTATGGAGCGACATTAGTTTTAGGTTTATACCTGCGCAAGGCCAATCCCTGGAATTAAGCTTTGCTATACAAAGAATTATACTTAGTCTACCGCTAAGATAAAAGGCTATCATTTAACCCTTTATTTTGACTAAATTGAAATTTTTCAGCCTTAAATAAACACCACAATTTTCTACAACGTGTCGAGCAAATATATGAGATAGACCAAGAATATTCATATATTAAAATAGATTCAGACCTTGACCTTATCTTTAGCGGTTATGAAAACGATTTTTGTATTGAAGTATAAAGGCTGATGCTCAGCAACGAGAATTTAAAAATAGTAAAAGTAAATAAAAAGAAATTGCGAACCTGCCAAAGGGTTGAAAGACGCCTCTTTTTTCGAACAAACCGATAAATCCCAATAACTTGAACCTTGAAACGTAAGCCTCTCTACTATTTACTAATCTAAAAATAAGTTCGTTTTTATCATATTATAATCTTATAAGTTATGAACTATATAATATAATAAATATGCATTTGAATTTAAAACATTCATTTGATCAACGATTGAAATCACACTATCATCAAATTTAAACCATAAATTTTGGAAATTTTTAATGTATACTATATAATGTCCCGTGTTTACTGAACCAATGTGACAAACCACTGAAAATAATTCAAAAAATTGATTTTCATTTTGTGATTGTTCTTCTTTTGTTGTGAGGTATTTTTGTAGGTTGAGGTATAGTGGGATTTCTACTGGTGTTTCAATTTTGGAACTTGTGTCGCTTACGATATTGTGGTTGAATCGTTTTAATTGAATTGATAATATTGGTGATAAGTTTTTAAGTTTTAATGTCTTTGTAGCTTTTGATTTTTTGAAACAAAATTTACACTTTATTGGTGAATCTAATTTTTCTTCTTGTGTGAATAGATTGAGACAATCGTATAGATTGATTTTTTTGTTGTGTTTTTGAACTAAGTGATTTATTTCTAATGATAAATCAATCATTGGATCTACTGTTTCTGTTATTGAATTACATGAGTTACATTTCACACAGCTTTGTAATTCAAATGAGAATGTTGAGTGAGTTATACATTTACATTGTTCAGTTGCTGGTTCTTCTTCATCAATGTTCATTTTATCTTCAATTTTGATGTTTCCATTACCATTAGTTGTATGATTTAAATCATTTTGTTTTTGTGTCACCAATACTCTTTGATAATCTTGGTGTAATTCATTTAGCAAAAATTGCCAAAATTCATGAGCATCTTGTTCTTGAAATCCCGCCAATGATTTATGCTTGTACCATGCAGTAGTTAATAAATTAGTCATTCCAAAACCTTCATTATTTTCCACGTTATAAAAATTTTTAAAAATCAAATCTATACTACATGTTATACATGCATTTTCTTCTCCTATATATCCATTAATTTCTTGATTTTTCAAATGTTCACAATTAAAATAATGTAAATCGTTGTTGAAAAATTGTGTCTTTATTATGGGGTTGTGTATGAATGTTTGTAATATTGAACTCATAAAACATGTAGCTCCTAAATTTACAAAACCTTTTAATCCAAGTATTGATAATTTATTTGGTTCCGTATAATTTTCATCAATTTGAATTTTTGACTTAGTATCATTATCTTCATAAATTTCATTAATTTCATCATCATTATTTTTTATAATCTTGTATCTTATCTTTTCTAATTCTGGATGGTTTATATAGTTATTGCATTTAAAACAAAATAATAATCCAAATTTCAGATCAATAGCAAACATATGCTGTGTTCCTTTATAATGTAAAAATGAATGTTCTTCACATCCAACATGAGGACATTGTAAACATATCATAACTTGTTGGAAATTTGATTTGGAGCAATCACTACATTTTAAACTTGAGATTTTTTTGTTCATAATCTTGTCGTGATTTATTAATGAATCATCTTTTTTTAATTTGTATATTGTTGTGTTTAGTATAGGTTGAGATATTATAACTGCTTGTTTATATGTATCGAATACCGTGTCTTTTGCTCGGGACTCCAAGACTTGATCCAAATGTAGACATGAATTTATAGATTTATAATTATCAGGTAGGAATTTAAAATTTGAATTTATTAATGCAATTGATTTAATATCTCCATTACCACTTTGTGGTTCTGTTTTTATATCCCGTAGTGAACTCTCGTTTGATCTTGAATCTCCATTTGTTGAATTATTTGAGTTATTATTGTTCGTAGAAATAGGAGTTGATTTTCTTGATGATGACATAATTTATAAATGGTTGTGAAAAATGATGCAAAAAATATAATATATGGCAATTATGGTTTAAAAATGCAATAAATGAAAAACTTGAAATAAAGTGAAACTAATGAAATGAAAATGTTCTGTACAAAATGCAAAGTAAATGAAAGTCTTTTTGATAATAATAAAATCTTGATTTTGTTGATGTATTTAATTTGGTCTGATTAAAAAAGAAAAGTTTAAGTTGTACCTTAATTACTTTTATTTGATCTTTATTTTAATTCTTTTTTTTTTTTGACTGAAAATTCGAGAGAGAGAGAGATTATAATTTTATTTAATGGTATTGTGATCAAAATGGAACATGAATAGAATGAAAAGTATAACCTCATGAATTAGTCCAATTTGCCGACTTTGTTCTTGTGTCTGACACAGCTTGAAGCCTTTTTGAGAGCTGGATAATAAATCAATTTGATCGAATCTCAGAAATATTCATTGTATGCACAAAATTTATTAAAAGTTATGAACAAACTATTAATTCGCAACCAAAAATGTACGTTTCAAAACCACAAAACCATTAGCAATCACCAAACCGATTATTAAGTTTTAAACAAAATAGCAGACAAGATATTATCAGGAATCTTAGTTGGAAGTTCTTCAAACATATTATTAGCCAAATTAATTTCATTTAATTCGATTCCATTAGTTTTGTGATTAAAAATGTCAAATTTAAAAGTAGTGAAATAATTATTACTTAAATCTAAGAATTTTAAATTTGATTTTCCAATTTTTTCAAATTCTATAATGAAATTTTTATAACCTAGATGATTTCTTGATAGATTTAATGATATCAAGTTGTTTGATATTAATGTGTTGAATTTTGAAATTTTACATTTACTTAAATTTAGAAATTGAAGGTTTTTGAAAATTCTGTAATCTTGATCTATTTCTTCAATTTCATTATTTGATAAGTTTAAGTTTCTAACACTATCTGGTAATTCCAAGTCTGCTAATGTTGAAAGCTTGTTATTTGACAATTGTAACCAGTCTAAATTTTTTAATTTATCTAACTCAACTTCTTTAATACAGTTAGATTCACAATTTATTGATTTTACAGAACCATAAGCAAAATCTTCACTTCTCAATTCTTCCAAATTGTTAAAAGATAAATCAATATCTTGTAAATTTTCAAAATTGTTCAAGTTAAATTTATTTAATTTATTATTTGATAAATCCAAAATTTTCAATTTAAGTAATTTTTCAAAAATTTCAAATTCAGTTAATTCACATTTTTTTAAACTTAATTGAGTAATTTGTCTTGGAAATTTAAATTCTTTCCAATTTACATTTTTACATTCATTTAATATCAATTTCGATAATCCATCACCTAAAATTGTTTTAATATTTGTTTTGGAAGCATTCAAGTAAGTGGTTTGATTATGTAATTGGATGTCTTGAATTCTCGGATTATTTGATAATATAATATCTTTTAATGGTAATTCAGCTGCATCAATTACTTCATCTAAATTATTTGAATCCATTCTCAAAATCTTTAGATTCAATTTAGGTAATAAAAACTCCAAATCATTCAGTTCTAAATTAACAATTTCCAAAAATGGTGGGAACGCAGATTTATTAATACCTTGTAATGAAACATTAACTAGTTTTAAAATTTTCAAAGTCAATGGAAATTTAAATTTATTATCAACATTAATTGAACAATTAATGACTTCTAGTTTCAACAAATTTAAACAACTTATAATTTTATCATCTAAATCTGAAACATCACAGTTTTCAACTTTTAATCTTTGTAGTCTACTCATATTACAAATTTTTTTACATCTCCATTTACCATCTATAATTATTAATAATCTTAAAGCATCTGGAAATGCAGTCATATGGGAACTAATTAAACAATCGATTAGTTCTAATTTTCTTAAACTTAATGGAAATGATAATTCTCTTGTTCTTGCAAATGATAAATTCAGTAAACTTAACGATGTCAAATTGTTAAACCTGAAAAAATTATGACAAACAACAACTGATGAATCAAATTTTAAACTTTTTAATTCTAAAAATCCTTTTGGATAATTATCAATTCTTCCAAATAATCTTATATCACCATTAATGCTAAGACTTGATAAATTCTTATTTAAATTGAATCTACTAAAATTAATATCACTAACATTATGTAATCCAATTTCTTTCATAGTGATTGGTAAATGAGCAAAATCATTTAAACTCAATCCATTTGCAACTATTAATTTTTCAAGTGACGGTGGTAATCTTATTTTCATTGTATTATCAGTTAATCCAAATACATATCCGTTACCGTAATGATGTAATCCCATGAATAAACCTAAGGATTTGATTTTTTGGTAAAATTGAGCATTCTCGGTCAATAAGTTGAATATGACTTTAATTTGATTAACGTAAGATGCTGAAAATTTTATATAAACTGAATTAATTTTCGAGTTCAATTTGATTTCATTTTCTTTGAAATATCTCATAATTTGTAACAATATATTACATCCATTGTTATTCAAAATTAAATCAATGTATAGGTCTCTTTTGTTGATTGAGTTCTTGAAAAAAATATTGAAGATTTTATCAGGATTTAAAATTTTAGTTGATATGTAAATAATTTTTTCATCATTTAAATTTATTAGTGAATCTTCATCATTCCTTAAAGATTTAGTTAATTCAATTTCTCTTTGAAAATTATTTATACCAAAAAATTGATCATAATCAGATGATATCCAGTAATTGACTTGTGGAGTTTTGTTTTCATCTTGAGTTGTAGTATTCACTAATAACGGTGAATAGCAAGTCAAATGTCCACTGTTGATTAATTTGAATTTTCTTATAGTGGGTTTCATGTTCAAGGTTTTACTAATTGGATTAAATTTGTTTTCAACAACATTCATAATAGTCTTTGATCTTGAAATGTCATTTTCAATTGATGTCTCTGGTAAATCTCCTGCAACTAGGGTACTCATTCTTTTAGTTGATGGCTTGATAGTACTAAAACTTTTGTAAGGTGGTGGTGAAAACGTTGGAGGTGGTGAAAAACTACGTGATGATTTTATTTCTTGAAAACTGATTGATGATGGACTTTTAATAATTTCTTCTGATTTAACTTCCAATTGTTCAACCAACTTAACTTCAACTTGGTCTGCTGATTTGGCTTCTGATTGATCTGTTGATTTAGCTTCTGATTGTTGTGCAGAAACACTATGTTTTGAGCTTGGAATTGCAACATCAATAACATTATTTGCAGTTTGAAAAACAGCTTTTTCAATTGAACTTGTTGCATTTTTTGATGAAGCAATGGCTTCTTCGGTTGATTCAGATGATTTGCCATTATTTTCTTCTATTTTACCATTTTCACTGCTTTCACTTAAATTAACTGAGCTAAATTTTCCACCAGAATTCATCAATGGTGTTTCCTTCTCATTTGAAACATTAACACTTGAATTATCTCCATTAAGCGGCTTAATTGAAGAATGTGAACTTTTATTTGATATTTGATCAACTAAATTACCAGTCTCTGTCATTAATTCATGAATTTTTGCAGTTATAATTGAAGTCATGGTCAAACTGGTGAATATGAATAATATCAAGAATTCAAAAATTTGGTTGTAAAAAATCTATATTCTAATTTTATTGCAAATTTGTTATGTACAAAAATAAAAATAACTACCAAATGCATTATTGTCGTCAAACATCATCATGAGACATAAAACTTAGTCATAAAAATCATCATCATCGTCTTCATCGTCTTTATTATCTTGTCTAACTGATTTTTTAGCAAATCTTAGCCTTCTGAATTCTTGTAAATCTTCATCTTCATCATTTACAACCAATCTTTTATCATTTTCATTTATTGCTCCCAAATCAACCAAAACTTTTTCTATATCTTGTAAAGTTGTTGAGTTCCCACCCAATTGAGTTAATGTAATATATTGCTTCAACACATTTTCATTATGATATATGATCAAAGTTGGACAATTTGACTCTGGATAATTTTCAATACATCGTTGAGCTGGAATTTCACATACTTTTAATTCTGGGAATTTTCTTGCAATTTCAATTAACAATGAACTTAGTAATCTACTTTGTAAATTTGATTGTAATGATAGATGAACTATTACATATGTATCTTTTGAACTTTTGGTCACTTCATCTTCATATTCATTTTTGGAGATAGGTATAACTGATCCAAATTTTTTCTTTTCTGATAATTTTTTAATTTCATTCATTCTTTTCTGCTTGTAAAAATTTAAAAATTCTTCATCTTCTTCATCTTCTAATGCATCCAATTCGTCAAGATCTTTATTTTCTAATCTATTATCATGCTGTCTTCTTACTGCTTCATCTAATGCTTCTTCTAATTGTTGTGTTGGACTTGGTGGCTTTTCTGGTATTACACCATGGGCACGTAGTATATCATTCCACTCTGTGTCTTCATCTGGATTGACTTGTACTGGTATCTTTGGATCGTTATTCATATCTCTTAATAATCTTATATTGACAATCGTATAATTGTTTCGAATTGTATAGAAACAAAAATATCTTTTCTTGTCGCAAATTTGATTCACGTAATAGTTTTCGAAATTTCGTGACATTCCAGATGAGTTCCATCAAGGCAATTCAATACATTTTGATCAATTGATCAAATCGATTACAACCGGTAAGGCGATTAAATAAAGTGATTCTTTTATTTTATAACTATTATATACAGAGTGTGAGAAAAACCTTTGATAAAAAAAATAATCTATTAAAATTTGATGAATTTTATTTTGAAATAAATATTTGACAGTTGTATATTGTCCCTTTGGGATTGTTTTCTTGAATTATTAAATTTAAGATGAAGTAGCTTTCTTTAAATAAGTAACTAAATCATCTCTATCTTTAGCTTTTTTCAAACCACCAAAAGCCATTTTAGTACCTGGAATATATTTTTTTGGATTTTCTAAATAATCATGCATTGATTGTTCTTCCCAAGTAACTCCTTTCTTTTTGTTAGCATCGGTATATGAGAAACCTTCAGCATGACCTGATTTTCTACCAAAAACACCATGTAAATTTGGACCAACTTTGTTTGCACCACCTTTTTCAACAGTATGACATTGTAAACATCTGGTTTTAAATAAAGTTGCACCTTTTTTTTCTGAACCTTTTTCGTATTTAGCTGGCATTATGGATTATGTATGTATTAATTGAAATTAAAAATTCTAAAAATTTTAAAAATCGAATATATATTCAGATAAACGTAAACTTGAAGAATTGCTTTATATTTAAATGTTTAAATGTTAAAGTTGTAATTTAATTTTTTTTATTTTTTTTGCTATTTATAAATAATATTTAATTTATTTCAAACTGCAAAATTTTAATTGGTTTAAAAAAAAATTAAAAATTTTTTAGAAATTTTTCAATTAAGTAACAATACATTTTCAAGAGATAAAACAACACAAACAGAGATATATAAAGTCATTCGCGTGATTGTAATCTTCAGAGGGTCAGACAGAGGCAAATAAATGTAAAGTTTGATCAATACAATACTGACCAGAATTGGTTCATTGGTCTTTCAGAATCAATTGACCCAGTATACTTAACCAAAATATCTGCAATAATTTACATGACTCTCGTAAACTCATCTTAAAAACTAATATAATACTTCATAATAACTTAGTAAACGGACTACCAGTTTAACTGAAGCCGTTGTAATATTTGGCTAGGCTGTCGTACTTTAAAAAAATAAAAAAAGTCAGTTCAAATTATTATAATAGTTCACTCGGAATAATAATCCGTACTAATCCGCAAGACTAAAATAATTGCTTTTCAAATCAACATCGTTCGAGAAAAACGTCACATTTTGAATTCCATTTGGACAATAATACTTCATACTTTTTGTGTATTAAAAAGATTTTGAATTTGCGATAAAAGCGAAAGATTAATTGAATCTTCAATAAAGATATAAATGTAAATGATAATCAGGTACTACTATTTGAGCTTAATGCATTGATCAAGCACAACTTCAATAAAATCTACAACTTTATTCATCCATTCATTAATCATAAATTTTTTATCATTATATAGTATATCAAAAATTATACAAAATCATTTTCATTAATATTAGCTTTATCACACATTGATCTAAAAACACCATCAACAGTACTAAATAATTTAGAAGGTTCTCCCTTTTCAATAATTTTCCCCTTATCCATTACTATGATTCTATCATAATTCAGCAATGTATTCAATCTATGAGCAATACATATTACAGTACAATTTTTAAATTCAGTACGAATAGTTTCTTGAATCATTGTATCAGTTGCATTATCAACTGCTGAACTAGCTTCATCTAATATAAGAATTTTACAATCTCGAATCAAAGCTCTAGCTAATGTAATTAATTGTTTTTCACCTAATGAAAAATTTGAACCTTCATCATCCACAAATTGATCTAAATGAAACTTATGAGATTCATGACAATTATATAATTGATCTTTATCAATTAGCCCAGATCTGTACAATGCTCTCCAAAGCGTACCATCCAAATGTTCATTGAATGGATCTAAGTTTTTCCTAATAGTGCCTTGAAACAATACTGGATCTTGTGGTATAATAGATAATTTTGATCTTAAATCGTAAAGCCCCAATTGTGAAATATCTAATCCATCAATTTCAATTTGTCCACTTGTTAATTCAGTTAATCTATATAATGCAGTCATAATGGAAGATTTACCAGCTCCTGTTCTACCACATATACCTATTTTTTCACCAGGATAAAAATTAACATTTAAATCTTTTAAAACTAATGGTAAATTATCTCTATACCTAAAATTAACATTTTTAAAAGTAATGTATCCGGAAGGTGGCCATTCTTTTGCTGGTTTTGTTTCTATTTCATAAGCTGATTCTTGAGGTAAATTAAATGCATACTCGTGTAATCTTTCAACTGAATTCATTTCATTTTCTATAGATGTCATTGATCTTATTGTTAATGATAAAACCCCTACTAATTGAATTACATAATTTAACAATAACCCAGTAGATGAAGCACTAATGTTAAACTGTCCAGTAATACATAGCAAACAAATGATTAATGCAAAACATGAAGTAATCATATCTAAATGTACACATAACCAACGTTGAGTAGCTATAGATAAATAATAAGCTTCATTCATCTTGTTGATAAAATAATCATTTTTGGCAATGAAATCATTTTCAACTTTAAATGATTTAATAGTTAACATACCAGTTAAAGTTTCATTGAAATTATTATAAACTAATGATCTTTGAGTAGCTTCTAACCTTTTGACTTCTCTACTTGATCCTTGGTAAAAATTAGCTAAGAAAATAAAAGCAAAAACTAAAAATGGTATAGCAACTGCAAAGTAAGGCAAATAACAAGTACATAATATAATGATACCAATAATTAAAGCTAAGGGAAAGATAAACAATCTCATTTGTTCACCTAATTCATTATCCAAAGAATCTGTATCTTTAGTAAACCTGTTCAAAATTCTACCTAATGGTGTAGTATCCATATATGACATTGGTGCATGCAAAATCTTATTAACTGCTTTCAAATTCAAGAAATTTGCGGAACAATCTTGCATATATGCCAATATACTAAATTCAATAGCTGTGAAAAATACAGTTAAAATTGCAAACATAATGTAAAAACCAATATAAAAATGATCTGTCTTTCCAGCAAATTTCTTTTCCATCCAGAATGATAACCATGTATTAGTGAAAACTTGACAAAAAGTAGCTATTACCACAAACAACAAAAAAATTGGAATTGCAAATCTCCCAAATATACCACTACCTAATTCGATATATTTTTTATAAATTGACCAAGATATAGCATTAGTTGCTCTTTCTTCATCGGTGGTGGTTCTACCAGTAATATCAAGATCTTGTAAATTTTTGTCTTCTAAATGTTTATCTCTCAGTGAAATATAACTTAAATCAGTTATATCTTCTTCTTCTTCTGCTTGTGATTGTCGTTTTTTACTCTCAATATCTCCTCCAAATTCAATTAATTTTCTAAAATCTCTATTATTAGTCATTAAACTTTTGACATTTCCAACATCAACTGATCCATTATTTACAAATACAATCTTGTCTGCAAATTCCAAAATACTTAATTGATGAGTAGCTAATACTATTGTCTTATGACGTAATAAACCTTTAAAGAGATGTGTAACTATATGTCTTGCAACTTTTGCATCAACTGCAGAAATAACATCATCAAATAATAACACTTGAGCATCAGTATAACAAGCTCTTGCCAAATTTATTCTGGCTTTTTGACCACCAGATAAAGTAATACCTCTTTCTCCAATTTCAGTTCTATCACCAGCTGGTAGTATTGCAATATCATCTTCCAAAGCACATGCATATAATACTTGACGATATTTATTCAAATCAAATTTTTTACCAAATACTATATTTTCTCTTACTGTTGCATTTTGAATCCATGGTGATGAACATAATAATATATCTTTATTTTTTTCAATTGATCCATGTGATAATTTCATAAATCCAGCTAATGCATTAAGCAAAGAAGTTTTACCAGATCCAATTATACCAGTTATAACAACAAATTCTTGATTTTTGATAGTTAAATTAACATCAGATAATCCTGAAAATGAAGTACCTTGAGTTGTAGTTGATTCCATATCATATGAACTTGTATCCCAATTTTTTTTTTCATGTTGTTGTGATGGTTCATTATAATTATTCCAGTTAAAACCTGCATGAGATACTTTTATAGCTAAGTCATCTTTTTCATAATAAAATGAATTTTGATGACTTAATTTTTTACTAAGTTCTTCTGTAAATTCTTCAGCTGATAAAAATTCATTACATCTTTGAAAACCTATCATGGCATCTGCACCCGTGGCTAAAGCAATTGGTAGAAGCATTATAGCTTGTGCTAATATGGCATATAATGATAATGAACTAAATACTTCACCAGGACTTTTCATATTATTTGTACCCCACATAGTAATGAAAGAAATCATTGATGTTAAAACTGGTAATGTTACAGCATATGCAGTTATAAAATTTCTCAAAACTTTAATTGTGAATAAGTGGTTCATTTCTTTATTTCTTATTTTAGATATTGATTCTTTATAGGCTTTTTCCCATGCATAAAATTTTATAATTTTTAAATTGTTTAATATTTCTCTCATTAATGATATTCTTTCATCAGTATATGCAACAACTTTTTCTCTAGTTGTGAATAAAACTTTTGTTAAAACCACACAAACAAATAATGATACTATAAATAATCCTATACCACTTAATGCTGCAACTCCAATACTTTTTATTAATATAACCACTGATATAATGACAGGGATTGGAAAACAACAAACTAAAGGTTGAAACCCAATAGCTAAATCTATTCTTGATAAATCTGTACTCATTAAACTCGTGATTTTACCTACGGGAAATTTATGTCTTGATTCTGAATTCAACTTGAACGACTTCATCAAAAGCGCTTTTGTTAAAATAGCTTTTGATTGAGCACCACAAATCATTGCATTATGGAAAAAATGATTCAATAATAATCCATTTATAAATATTAACACCACCGAACCAACAGTCAATCCAATACCTCTGTTGTACGTAGTATATACTCCAAAATATTTATATTGAACAAAATCAATAATTTGACGAGTTAATAATGGTGAACAAGAAATACAAACAAATGCTAATGCTAAACAAATACATGAAAAAATATATTGCTTTTTTAATGTTAAAAATAATGCATATGGAATTGCATATTTGGGCCAAATTGGTTTATCTTCAATTATTGGCTCTAGATTGTTGATAAATTTATCATATAAATATTCAACTTTTAATTCTGGTGTTAATTTAAATAAGTCTCCAGGATGTAAAGTTCTTTTGTAGCCTACTTTCAAAACTGAATATAACCACCAAAATCCCATACGATTTAAGTAATTGGTCTTGTGCCATGGATATTCTTTTCTTTCATCTTCAGTAGGTAATATGGGAACATTTTTAGAAAATAACCATGAAAATAATCTTTTTTGATTTTGTAGTTGAGGTTGTGATTCTAATGATGATATTGATTCATTTTTGTAGTGGTTGTAAAAACTGTCTTTTTTGAATGATTGTTTTTCTTCTTCTATAATTTTATATGAGTTGGAATTGGTAGCGTAGTGGTGGGATTCAAATTTGTTAGTGTTATTATAATTATGATGTTTTTCGGTAAATGTATTTGCCGTATCAGAATTCAGTATTATTTCAAAATTATTATCATTTTGATTATTGTAACTTATATAATTCGATGATGTATTATAGTAGTCATTATTTTTCATTATGTTGGTATATAGGGTATCAGTTGAAGAAATGAAAGTTTGAATATGTCAATTTCTTTTCTATAAAAAAATTCGATACATGAGATTGTATATATACTTTTAGTATTAAAGTTTGTCAATGATTTTGTGATGAATGTAATTAATATTAAATTGGTAATTTTCAAGCAGGGCTTTATTCTAATTTAAGTGATGAGTTTTAAACAAAAGTTTATTGTATAATTATAATTTTCTATTATTTTAATTAATTTTGCTATATTTATTTTAGAAATATTACCTGAAATCAATATTATTCATTTTTCATTAATTAATTAACTACAATTAGAATTCGAATTTCAATGAATGATTAATGTTAAATAATTTTCTTATCTATACGATGTTTCAAAATATAATAAATTAATGATATTAATATTTTATTGTTTCCATAATTTATTATTTTGCAACTTTATTCTAAACCTGCATATGACCACAATGTTAATTTAATTGCCGGTAACTCAAAATTTAAGTTTATTTTTGACACAAAAAGTAAACAAATAAATAAAAATAAAAAATAAAAAATAAATTTCAATTAATTTTCTTAATGGGGAAATTAAAAAAGTATTGATAGAATTTTAATTATTTGTTACGATTTACAATAATTCCAAAGCCCTGTTGATTAGTATTGTTTTGTTATCTTTTTGATTGACGTAATGTATATGTCTAAATTTCAAGTATTTAGGTTGGTGTACATTATATGTAAATTAATTTTACATTACATGTTCGGGGAAACTCGATTTAATAATAAATGGGCTTAAGAATAAGATCTACGTTGAGAATCAAAACTGTAGGAAAAGTGGAGGTGAAAAATTTCTTAATATTTAGAACATTGGTGTAATCAAAACTCGTATTTGGATCAAATAAAGTTTAGTTTATTATTTAAATCATACTTTAGTCTCAATTTTAGATATTCTCAGCTCTATGAATCATTCTTGCAAAAACGATTGAGAATAGAAATATAAGTTTATTCAAATTATACTTTAAACTTGGTTATTGATTTCTGTCAATATACGTCATTTTATACTAGCCAATTTCGCTGTATTATCAATTCGAAATTTTTGGGGGTTTTACTAGTTTATCTAACCTCAAAAATTTATTTGCTCAAAGCCCGGAAAAGGTCTGATTTAAAAAGTTTACATAACCATTTTGTTTAAATTATTTAAATTTTTATGTAAGATAAATTAGATAAGGTACTTGATAAAAGGTATTTAGTCGTACGATAACAACAATTAAACAAATTGTTATTCGGCAAACGTTTCCATTTATTCACCTCACACTTAGTAAAATATGTTAAAATTAAAAAATACAAAATTAAAAAATAAAAAATTAAAAGAAATACCTTGTGGAAAATAAAAAAACTTTATTTCTAAAACATCAATTAGGAAATTTTTATCAAAATTAAGGTTTTTTTTTTAAGTTCAGCCCAAATTCATTACCAAACTTAAAACTTTAGAATGATGTGGGGCAAACTCTTTTATATCAAATTAAGGTGGAATTGGGCTTAAATTGATTGCCTATTTGAGTTTCCAATATTGTGTGGTTTTATTCTCGCAATGCAAGGTCAAATTTCTCAAGGTTTTTTCCGAAACATTAGACTTGTAGTTTTGCTTCAAACGTTTATGTATTCGGAATTTTACTTATTCTAATTTATGTTGTTGGTTTTTGCATTTATTGAACAATAGAAATTGAGATGTGCACTGGAATATTTAGATTATTTGCTTTAAAATGAAATAAAATATTGTAATGATTGTCAACTATTAGTTATATGAATGTAAGTTAATTTCTTATCTATTACAACCATGGGTATCAACTCCGAAATATATCCTTTCGAGGTTTTAACCTTGGATGGTTGTAATTTGGAATACAGTCTTATTAAAGATTTTCAAATTTAAAAATCATGAAAAAAACTTCAGAAGTCACTAGCATCTGATTGAAAGTATCAAGTATGGATCGAATTGAAGTGAAACTTAAAAAACCAGCAAAAATTTTAAGTGTAAAATGGGCGTGTGGCGTAGTTGGTAGCGCGTTCCCTTAGCATGGGAAAGGTCATGAGTTCGATTCTTATCTCGTCCATATAATTCAAATACTTGAACCTTTTTTTTTTTCATTTCCTCATCTTATGACTTAATTATAGTGATTGAATATCACCTCTTTATTTAAAGCAACTCCAAGTTTAAATATTAATTCAAATTGAATATATTAAAAAATAATCTATAAATTTACACCTACAATCTTTTTGATCAAAATAATAAATAATTTTTACGGAAAAACCAAATGTTTTAAAGAACGACTTTATCAGCTAATGATTTTTTATAATCTAAAATTGAACCATCCCATCTTGTTGCTGTTTTATTTTCAATAACAAAAATATCTTTAGCAACTTTATCTAATAATCTGAAATCATGTGAAACAACTACAACACCACCATTAAATGCATTTATAGCTTCTGCTAAAGAATCTATAGTTGATAAATCTAAACCATTTGTAGGTTCATCCAATAAAATTAAATTTGGAGCTTCTAATGCCAAAAGTGCAAAAACAACCCTTGATCTTTGACCTTCTGATAAAGTAGCCATTTGAGCAGTTTGTGCTTCACCACTTAAACCATAACGACCTAATTGACCTCTCCAATATTGATAATCTTGTGAAATGCTTGAAAATTTAGTACGTACAAATTCTAAAGGAGTTTGAGTTAAATCTAATTGATCTGCTGAATGTTGTGAATATACACCTAATTTAATATGTGTATGTTTGATAATTCTACCCTTTTGTGGATTTAATTTACCTTGGAATAAATTTAATAAAGTTGATTTACCAACACCATTTGGTCCAACTAATGCAACTCTTGAATCCATATCAATACCAATATCTAAATGTTCATATAAATTATCTTCATCTTTACCTGAATATGAAAATGACATATCATCAAATGCTAATACTGGTGGTGGTAATTTTTCAACATCTGGGAATTTAAATGTAAATACTTTATCAGGTACAACTGGTTGAATTAAACCATCTGCTTCCATTTTATCTAAAATTTTTTGTCTTGATTTTGCTTGTTTAACTAAATTAGCATAAGTACCAGCTGATGCAATAAATTTTTTAATATGAGCAATTTCTTCTTGTTGTTTATTATATTGTTTCATTTGATTTGTTTCTAATTCAGCTCTTGTTTTAACATAAGAATCATAATTACCACCATATAATTGTAATTGTTTCATTCTCATATCAATCATATTTGTACATACACCATTAAGGAAATCTTGTGAATGTGAAACTAATATTAATGTTCGATCATATCTTTTCATATATTCTTCTAACCAAACACATGCAGCTAAATCTAAATGTGCAGTTGGATCATCTAATAATAATAATGTAGGTTTAACGAATAATGCTTTTGCTAAAGCTACACGCATTCTCCAACCACCAGACATATCTCTTGTTCTTTTTTTGATTGTAATTGCATTGAAACCTAAACCAGTTAATATAATAGCAGCTCTTGATTCAAAAGTTGAAGGATCCATTTCATCAATTTTTTCATATAACCCTTCTAAAGCAGGACATTCAGGACCTTCTTTAACAATTAATTCTTCAATTAAATCTTCAATTCTTTTCATTTCATGTTCTGCTTCTCTTACAACATATTCTAAAGCAGAAAAATCAGTTGCATCTGCTGGTTCATTTAATAAATAAATATCAATATGTTCAGGAATTGGAAACTCTCTTGCAGCAATTGATTTTAATAAAGTTGATTTACCACAACCATTTTCACCTAATAAACCATAATGACGACCATAATTCAATTCTAAAGTTGAATCTTGAATTAATACTTTACCATGAAATAATAATGATACTGAAGATAATTTAATATCTCTTGAAGTTTTTAAAGAATCTAGAACACCCGTAGTGACTCTATCAGATAATCCATGTTCATCAGTTTGTAATTTTAACTTTGCAACTTGTTCACTTGCATCTTCAACTTCATCCTCTTCTGCATCTTTTTCAGCTTGTTTTTTAGTTTTTTTAATACTTTTACCTTCAGCTGCTTTCTTAGCTTCTCTTTCTAATCTTTTCTGTTCTCTTTTAGCTTTTGATGCTGAAACTGACATATTCAAAAAAAATTAATTGAATTTAATAAGTTAATTAAGATCAATTAGTGAATATTAATTAAATTTGGTTGTAAAAAATAATGAAAAGAGAAGAGAGAATTGAAAAATTGAAAAAAATAAATTTTTTTTATCAAGGTTTGCGACAAATGAGAGAAAACGGTAATTTTTATGCGGCTCATTTATGTCAAATTTGCACTACCAATTTTTATGTGTTTTGTGTTACTTTTGATTTTTTTGTAATAAGCACTGTAATATAATTCTCGTTAACTGAATGATGTAGTGAGTATTTGGATATTAAATAGTTAGACCAAACTTATAAATGATACAAATAAGGTGATATATACATACAGTTGTCAATAGAAATGAATGACAATCAGTCTGACTAAATTCAATAATATAAAAGAAATGACATAATAAAAGAAATTACTTGTAACTAAATAAATTATTATTATAAATCTCATACTATAATAATTATGTATAATAATTAATAATTAATAATATTGCCACTACTTAATAATTAACTTTAATAGTTACTTCTTTTTACATACAAAATTTATATTTTTGCAACACTTTTTTAATTCAAAAGTACAAAATCTGAACAATATTATTTACAACCAAATTGAAGATGGCATCTCCCAATAAGTCAACTATAAAGGGAGGTGGTCAATCAGAAGATGGTGGACCAAAAGATATTAATGTTACTTCACCAATACCTATAAGAAATTTAAATCCTGTTATAGATCAATTAAAATATAATAATAATAATAATAATGAAACTAGTAATAATAACAATATAGATTCAAGATCTTTTACTCCAAATACTTGGGGTTCTGTTCAACAACATTTAACTAGAAGGCCATCTTATAATACTATAGTAACATCAAGAGAAAAACATTATAATTTAGACTACCCCAAAAACATAGAAGAATTATTAAAATTACAATTAGACCCCACATCAAGATTTTATTCAAGATCTAGACCAAGAACTTTAAAATTACCTTCATTATTACCTTATGAAATTGAAAACCCAGAAGAACAAGCAAAATTTTTAAGTCATATTATATCTCATTTATATATTGCCATTAAATCATTAGATATTCAAGGTTCATTATCAATAAGTGCAAAAGATTTAGCAGCATTAAAAGATTCAATTTCAGATGTTGATTTGGCATTAGAAACTAATTTATTTGAAATGAATACTACTACAGAAGAAGATGAATCAGAACCAATTGAAGAAATTGATAGTTCAGATGAAGATATGGATAGTTCAGATGATGAAGAAATTTCAGAAGAATCAGATGATGATGATAAAGATGCAACAAATCAACATAAAAAATCACCAAAATCAGCAGCAGTTGTTAATGTAAGAACATGGACTCATGAATTATTAATATGGATGAAAATGAAATATGATATGCCATTAAGTTTAAGAGTCAATTTAGCAAAAGTTTATTACGCATTATGTCTTTGTCGTGGACAACATGTAAACCTAAAGGCTTATGTAAGAGTATTTGAATTATTAGTAAGTGATCAAAAATTATTACTTGATGCAGGTTTACATTTATCTTGGATAGATTTATATAAAGAATTTCAACATTTATTCCCATCACCAACTTATCCACTTGAAAAAAAGGATCAAAAATATTTATCAAAATTAGCATCAAAAGCTTCTCCATTTTTTGATCCAAAAAGTTTACCAGAAATTTTCGCCAAAATTGGAAATAATTTTTCTCCATTAGTATCAGCATTAACTATTTCTGCATTACCATTACTTCCTACAACTTTTGGCAATGGAGTAAAAGATCCTTATGATATCCGTCATTACATTGAACCATTGTTTCACATGTGGTTAAAGTTAAATAAAAATAAAGATTTAGAAGATCAAATTACATGTAGATTGGGGATAATTGCAATGGAAACTTTAACTAAATTAAATTATGAAAAAATAGAATTAGGGAAGTACGGATTATTTACGGAACATCAAATGGGATTTTTATTCAATGATTTATTAAACAGTTTAGGTATCAGAATTCAAAAATTTTCATCGAAAAAAGTGAAGTACTTCCATGGATTTGCATCAACTATTGTTTTTTCAATCACTGATTCTTCTTCAGATATTATTTATTATATTAAATCATTAATAAATGCTATAGAAAGTTATATACATCCTTCAAACACGGGTGATTGGACAAGACCAATTTCAAAATTTATTTTAGCTATAATTTATCAATTTCATAAAAGATATAATATGGAAAATGAAAAAGATGGTTTACTTTGTAATATTCCAGTAAAATTAAGCAAAGTAGTTGTTAAAAAGTTTGTTAAAATTATGCTTCCTGTGGTGAAGATCGGTATACAATCTAAAAAAGGTGATGCATCAGCAGATTATCTTTCAGCATTAAATCTTTTATCATTATTAGAACCAGAATATGTGTTGGAAAATACTTTATTGGATATTTATGAATCATTGGAAGGTGTAATTTCAACTCATAGAGTACTAAATGCATTACGTATTATAGATTCATTATCAAGACTGCTTGTATCAACCCCAATTTATAGAGTTCATTTAACTAGAATACTACTGTTAACTATTCCAGGAATTGATTCAAATGATTTAATGAAAACATTACAAACTTTAGAAGTATTTTCAGCTATTGCAAATTTCACACCAATTTATAATTTAAATGAATATGAAGATACTTCATTAGCAATAGAATTTACTCAAAATCATATAGAGCACCTTAAGAGAAAAATTTATGAAGATGAAGAATTTAATGTTGATGAAGAAATGGAAATTGCTGCATTAAAATCATCAACTTCAGCTTTTAAAGATATTTTTAAATCACTTGCACAAAGAATACCGCCATTATTGGAGAATTTACCAGATCCAGCAAAAAGTTCAGGTATGGAAAAAGATTTAGCTATATCATTACCAAAATTTTTTTATGTCATATTTGAATCAATGTCAGATGAAATTTTTAAAATATTCAAAGATGAAATTTTTGATTTTGTTTTCAACAATGTACATCACTTAATAGCCACAACAGTTGGTGAACTTTGTGGTGCAATGATTAAAAGAGATCCAAAATGTTTTAAATTAAATGCAACTATTTTAATGGAAAAAATAAGAGATGAAATTGATGAAAATGGTGCTGGTGCTTCAAGAAGTATTGAAATTGTACCTAGAGATCAAGCTTTATATTGGTATTTAACTATATTCAATTATTGTGCTGGTAATGCCGGTAAACAATTAACCAAAATGCCAGAATTAAAAGAATTTTCATTCTATTTAATGAATCATCTCGAGGGTGCTTGTGTAGGAGATTCAGCATCTTTAGTATATCATATTTTACAAAGTATTACTAAAATCAGACTTCAGGAAAGTAGATTAATTTCACCAGAATATGAGAATGAATATGGTATTAATGAAAAGTGTTGGGGTGGATTTTGGGATTCTGAAAAAAGATTTGAAAATATTAAATTCGACTGGTTTATACCTACTGAAAATGAAGTTAAATTTGCATATAATTTTTTCAATGATCATATAATGAAATGTATTGAGAATGTTACAGCTTTAATGAAAGATCATGAAAATCAACCAACAAATAATTCAATCTTGGTGATAGATGAAATAAGAAAAAATTTATTCTATTTTAATAACTCACTAAGTGGTGTTGCTTTTTTATTAGATCCATCATTTGAAGAAGACATCCCAAATATTAATCATGAAGCGGAAACTATTCAACAAAGATTAGCATTATTGAAAAAAATTAGAAATGCAAATGTTTCATCTCAAAAGGATAATAACACATACGATGAAAAAGTTTCTAGAAATATGCAACAAGTTATAGAAGATTTGAAAGATGAAAACCTTTTAGATTATATAACGGGTTTTGAAAATATTGGAAATACTGAGGAATCACCAAAACCAAAATCACCACATAAATTAGATAAATTAGTCATACCGAAAGAAACTTCACCAGCATCAGGAAGAGAGACACCAAGAGTGGAAGGAGTTCATATGTCATCAATAAATCCAGCTATAACGTTCAGAGAAAAAAGCTTATACACCTCCAACTACTTTTTTGGTAACACCAAGAACAAAAAATTTAACGATTTATATTTGAAAATTCACAAAACGAGATATTTAGTAGGAAGAAGTTTACATTATATTTGCAAATTTCTAATCAACAATTTTCATGATAATACAAGAATTTTTAGGTATTTATTAAACACCATAAACATTTGGATATCGGATGTTGGAAGAGAAAGACTTTATAATTCAGCAACTGCAGAAATTGATTATGGTTATGTTAGTTTCCTTCAAACAATAAATAGAGTTAGAAAGCCATTTACAAGAATTGCAATTGGTGCAAGATTAGAAGCATATCATCAATCAAGACTATCATTGCATGCTACAGCAAGATCAGAAACTAGTTTAGATCGTGTTTTGGTGGAAGATGTTATAAATTTATCTGGTTCCACTTATGCCACGATTTCAGGAAGTGCTCAAAAAGTCTTATTGGATTGTATGAGAAGAATTTCTGGTAGTTATAGTCATATTGTTAGATCAACTGTTAAAAATCTTACTAAAGCTTTGGAAGCAAAAGATGATAAAGAGATTGAAAGTATATTGAAAGTACTTAATTTAAAAAGAATTAAAGCTAAATTAAGTAATGATTATATCAATTTACAAAAATATTTAGACCTACTTGAACGTTGTTTACAAGTAGATGAACAAAAAGTTAATAAAGTCGCACAAAGTTTGTTCAATGGGATATGTAAAGGTTTATCAACACCAAATTATACTTGTTTAATTGATCATGAAGCTATAGATTTAATTAGACCACCAGATCAATATATTGATTTAGAAATCAAAGCAGTACAATTAGCAAAAGATAAAAAGAGAAAGTTATATTTCGAAAAATTAAAGAAATTAGAAGATAAAATATTGGAAGATGATAAATCAACATTACATTGGAAACTTACATTACAGAATCAAGAATTTTTAACAAATCTTCAACTGCATTTAGATATTCAATTAAGAGGAGATATATTAGAAAAATTATTTTATCAAGCTGCTGGTGATCATCCAACAATTTCAAGACAAGCATTATTTGGAATATTCAGATTGATTGATAAACTTCGAGTAATAAGTTCAATAAAATATAATCTAAACAATGCATATGATTTGGATTATTTACCTGAAAATCTTTTAAAAGTTGATACTACTGGTTCATACACATCCAAATGGTTTAAAGAAATGAGTGATGAAAATCCTGAATTTTATATTGATACAAAACCAAATTCTGGTTGGTTATTCTGGGGTGACAGCATATTAGTTGAATCATCAAAACCAAATTATAAATGGAAAATTAATGAATTAGATCATTCAGCATTAGTAAGAATTGGATTATTAATTGATAAAGAATGGTTTTTGAAAATAGTTAAAATGTGGGTTGCAGAAGCAGAAAATAATAATGCTTTCCAAATTATTGATGTACAAATTACAAGTACATTAATTTATTTAATTTCAAATGATTACACACCAAATTTAACTTTCACTGAATTATTATCAGTAGTTGATGATATTTATGAACCAGATGAAAAAAGTGCTCATATTGTAACTTGTGAATTATTAGCAGGTATACTATTAGCTTCAAGAGAAACAGCACCAAAATTTTGGGATCAAAGAGATGAATTTGTTATAAGATATTTAAAACAAATTTTGGAACATGATATATCACCAGGAACTCAAGCTACTTGGGTTGTATTTTGTTTTTGGGTCCCATCTCATATGGATTATAGAAGATTTCAAAAAGTTATCGATGAGATATTAAATTTTAAATTAGATCCAAAATCAGATTCTGCTTTCAAAGATACTGCAAGAATAACTTATGCAAAAACAGTTTTAGGTACTATATCATGGAGATATCCAAATTCAGATTTAATATTAGATGAATGTGTTTTAAATATAAATCATAAATATAATACAGTTAGAAATGAAATTGGTGGATTATTAAGTACAATTTCACAAAATTATTATATGGATGGATTTAAAGATTCAGAAACTTTTATAAATTCAAATGAATTAATTCAAGATAATAAATTAATACAAGTTATACCAGAATTATTTGAAAAAGTTGAAGAGTATAGATTACAAGTCATTGGATTAACTCCACAAGAAATTTTAACTACTAACTATATATATCTGGCAACAACTTTATTAAAATGGTTAAGACAAACTCTCAATACTAATATGTCAGTTGTATTACAAAAGTTTTCATCAACATTAATTGTTCCATTTTTGTTGGAGCTTATAAATATGAAAGAAGTGTGTCAATTAGGTAATATTGATCCAATTACAGTTTTAAAACATGTAAGTCAAATTACATACACGAAAGATGAATTACATAATATTCTTGTAATGTTGGATCAATACTCCAAAAAGGAGTTAAATATTGTTCAATCAATTGTTATTGGAGAATTTACAGAGACTGTATTTTTTAAAAACTTATTCATATTATCAAAATTACAACGTGAAACAATAATTAATATTACAATATCATTATTATATAGTAAACATCTAGAGGTAAGAGAAGCAGAAGCACATACATTATCAGGACTCATTCATATGTTACCAGATGACACAATAGTCCCCAAATTTATTAATGTCTTTTCAAATCAATTAGAATCTTTAAGGTCAAAATATAAAAGAGATTTCAAATCAATAACATCTGAAGATATGATAAAATTACACGGATCAACATTAGGTCTTGGGTCATTAGTTCATGCTTTTTCATTTGCTTCACCTCCACCAAAATGGGTTCCTGATATTTTAACAATAATAGCTAACAATTCAACTGGTATACCTGGAATAGTTGGTAAAACTGGTAAAGAAATATTAAGTAAATTTAGAAAAGATCGTCAAGACTCATGGCATATTGATAGTCATGTATTTAATGATGATCATTTATTAGCATTAGAAGGTGTCTTATGGAGAAGTTATTTTGTATAGATTTCTTTGTATTATTCAATTTAAAGCATATAAATATTTAATAACCCAATATAAAACAATAATATCCGTAAATTTAATGTAAATTTTGACATGAAACGTAAAGTTATAATCACAAAGATATACACATACATTAAATTACAACCAAACCTGGTTAATATCTACGACGTAAGTTTATCAAATAAAATCCTTATCAGAATCACTAGAATTAAATAAAAATCATTTAACCGAATCGCTTGGATCAACTATTTTAAATTAAAATAATAATTCTTAGTTCTTAGTGTTCTAATTAGTCTCAGTATTAATAATAATAATAAATAATTTGTTTTTTTGTTTTTTTTGCTTAAAATAGAAAAATTTAAAATTACATACAATTGAATTTCATTACATTAAACATCATATCTTCAACAATATCAATTCAATCAAGGATGAACGATCTACCACAAATGCCTACACCTCAACAGGCATCTTATCAACAACAACATCAACATAATCAACACTTGCAATATCAACAACAAAAAAAGAATCATCAAAAACAAAGACAACAACAACAACCACAATCTCGTACGGCTAGTTCACAATATCTACCACCACCACCTCAACAACAACAACAACAGCCTTATTATAATGGCCCGCCTGATTATTATAGACAACAACAACAACAACCCCAATATGGTTCTCCTGGAATTTATCAACAACCTCCACCACAACAACATATGCAACCACCACCTCAACAACCTATATATCAACAACAACAACAATATCATCAGCCACCTCCACCACTACACCCACAACAACAACAACAACCACATCAAATATATCAACAACCATCACATCAATCACAATCACAACCTCAAATAATACCTAAACAACATCATCAACCACCACCGCCCCAACAACAACAACAACAACAACATTATCAAAGTCCACCAACTAAAAAACCACCACCATCATCTAATGAATCATTACCATTAACATCCAAACAAAAATTAGAAATAGAATTACGTAGTGTTTTTGAAAAAGTAGACATTAATAAATCAGGTAGACTATCAGCAAAAGAATTATCTTATGCATTATTAAATTTTGATCATACAAGATTTCAAGATTCTACTATAAAATTAATGATTAATTTATTTACAAATAAAAATGATTCTTCATCAAGTTCATTATCATCAACATCTTATAATTCAAATAAATCATTAAATTTCGAACAATTTGTTTCATTATGGAAATATCTATCAGCATACAAGAAATTATTTATTCAAGCAGATACAAATAAATCCGGAGATATATCATTTGGAGAATTTCAAAAAATATTGGAACAAATAGGTTATAAATTAGATATTGATTTAATACTACATTTATTTTCAAAATATTCACTCAAAGATAATGGAGAAGTGGGGAGATTAAAATTTGATTCATTTATTGAATTATTAGTATATTTAAGAAAATTAACTGATATTTTTAAGAAATATGATAAAGATTTATCAGGTACTGCAACTATTGGATTTTCTGATTTTTTGTTTGAGATTAGTAATATGAATTAAATGATTTGTGTATATATGTTTTTTAATATTTTAATATTTAATAATGATAGATTTTATTTTGATCACGACAAACGCTTTGCAAGAGTAGAATAAATGTTTGTATCGTAAAAATAAAGGCTTGAAGTACTTCGTATCTTCAGCATGTAGGCTGAGAGATTATCACAAAATCCTTTGCTTCAGCCTTATCTTCAGATTTTCGTGCTAAATTACTCAATTAAGCAAAATGTATAAGATATTTAAGAAAAACAGGTTTTGAAAACCCTTAAAATCTGTTCAATACTTAAAATTTCGGACTCAGAATACTCCAATCTCGATCCATACTCGATCCGTAACAATTCAGCCCAAAACCTTTTAATTTATGGTTACAAATACTCCGAAATCTTGCTTTGATTTTGAGTTATTAATTTAAAATGTTTCTCCCCCCGCAAAAACTAAAATTTGTAGTAATCCCCCAAAATAGAAAATTAATCCCCCACTCGTATCATAATTTTTCAAATTTCTACTTATGTAAATGTTAGATCTTAAGATTACGAATCTCTGAGATTTCAAATAATGATTATAAAATTCATCAATTTCCATAGATTTTCCAATTTTTTAAATCAATCAACTAAATATTATTATTCAACAATGGTAAAAGCTAAAGTATTAAGAATTGGTAAAATAGAATTTGCTAATGAAAAATGGGATGAAATTAAAAAATTAGCTGAAGTTATTGATTGTGAATCTAAAAATAGACAAGAATTTATTAAAGATTTAGGAAATAAATATTCAGATATTACAAATATAGCAAGAACTTTTGCATCAATTGAACAAACTGGTAGATTTGATGAAGAATTAGCTTCTAAAATGCCAGAAACATTAGTAAGTGTTAGTCATTGTGGTGCAGGATATGATCAAATTGATGTTGAGCCATTTACTAAACGAGGAGTTCAAGTTTCAAATGTAACAGTACCAGTAGAAGCTCCAACAGCTGATACAGCTGCATGGTTAACTATAACATGTTTAAGAAATTATCAAATAGGTCATGATAATTTAATGAAAGGAGATTGGTTGAAAAAAAAAGCAGCAGGTACTTCATTAGGTCATTCACCAAAATCTCAAGTTTTAGGAATAATGGGAATGGGTGGAATTGGTAGAGCTATAAGAGATAGATTGACTCCTTTTGGATTTAAAGAAATTATATATTACAATAGAAGTCAATTACCTTCTGAATTAGAAAAAGGTGCAAAATACGTTTCAAAAGATGAATTATTTTCTAAATCTGATGTTATATGTATAAGTATTCCATTAAACAATGAAACAAGACATTCAATAGATAAAGAAAGTATAAATAAAATGAAAGATGGAGTAATTATAATAAATACAGCAAGAGGTGCAGTTATAAATGAACAACAATTACCAGATTTGATAAAATCAGGAAAAATTGGAGCTCTTGGTGCTGATGTTTTTGAACATGAACCTAAAATTGCTAAAGAATTAATAGATTTACCAAATGTCGTAAGTTTACCTCATATGGGAACTCATACTTATGAAGCTATAAAAGATATGGAAGAATGGACTGCTGATAATGTTGAAGTTTGTTTAAAAACTGGTAAAGTTAAAACTATTGTACCTGAACAAAAAAATATGAAAATTGATGCAAAACCTTTAGTATAAAAAAAATTTGGAAAAAGTGGAACATTTAAAAGATTTATGAACTAAATAGACTATACATTCATATATAAGACATATAAGGCACATGTTAAATAATAGACAAGTAAAATATACTAAAAAATGATGATATTCATTTTTAATGGTAGCTGTAGTACTAAACAGTACTAGAATAGATTCGCAACAAAGCCGATATGGAATGAAAAATATTTTTTTTTTTTTTGCTTCTTTGGAATAATTTTTCAAATCTTTAAACTCATTCTCCACTTCAAATTATATATATAGATAAAATAATCTATACTAAATAATAATTATAATAATATCAATTAATACATTACATAATTAGATTCTAACAACAAAACGGCTTATTCATCATTAGAACTTATATAAATGATAGCTTAAAATTTATAAATATTCATCTATACATACATACATATTCAAATAGATCTTCACAAAACACAACCCATCAAAAAAATGGAGCATCAAGAACATCAGATACAGTTTATGCCAAAAGATCCTATGGAAATAGATTACGAAGCATTACCAGAAGATGCATCATTAGGAGCTCATTTAGGAGCTGGAGCATTAGCAGGAATAATGGAACATACAGTAATGTTCCCCATTGATTCAATAAAAACAAGAATGCAAATGAATTTATCAAGTAAAGAAATATCAAAAGGTTTATTACAATCAATATCTAAAATAAGTTCAACTGAAGGGTTTTATGCATTATGGAAAGGTGTATCTTCTGTTATTTTAGGAGCAGGACCAGCTCATGCAATATATTTTTCAGTTTTTGAATCAACTAAAACTTTTTTATGTAATAGATTAACTAATAGTCATACAACTAAATTAGTAACTGATGAAAATCACCCAATTATAGCTAGTTGTGCAGGTATAGCTGCTACAACGGCATCAGATGCATTAATGACACCTTTTGATATGTTGAAACAAAGAATGCAAGCAAGTGCAGCATATCCAGAAAATAAATCAACTTCAATAAGGTTATTAAAATTAGCAAGTGATATTTATAAAAAAGAAGGTATTGGTGCATTTTTTATTTCATATCCTACTACATTATTAACAAATATTCCATTTGCTGCATTAAATTTTGGATTTTATGAATATAGTTCATCAATATTAAATCCAAAACATACATATAATCCATATTTACATTGTGTTAGTGGTGGAATAGCAGGTGGTATAGCCGCGGCATTAACTACTCCATTAGATTGTATAAAAACAGTATTACAAACAAAAGGTATATCAACAAATGAAGCTTTAAGACATGTAACAGGTTTTAAATCTGCAGCTGAAGCATTATTTAAACAAGGTGGATACGCGGCGTTTTGGAGGGGGTTAAAACCAAGAGTTATTTTCAATGTACCTAGTACTGCTATATCTTGGACTGCTTATGAAATGTGTAAAGAATTGTTGATTAAAAGAAATAGTAAGTAAATAATGTATTATTAATAATGAAATTAATCTATAGACTAAAATTGATGATTGAATAATTGTAGTAGGTAGTACCATGAAAATTTCCGAAAACTGATAAGTTTCATTCCTTTACTGCCTCATATCCAACATATACTCAATTGGTGATTGCTCTTAACAAAGCATCTGCTTTAGCGATATGAGCTAATTCTCTTGGATGTCTAGATAATCTTTGAGCAACAAATGAAAATAAAACACAGGATCCCAAGAAACCCAATAAATTAAAAAAGGCAGTTCTTGAATATAATCTTTCTTCTTCTTCTGTTCTGAATGATTGAAATATACGTCTTATACTTGCAAATATCATTGATGTGGATTATGCATTGTAGTTGTAATGGACTGAAAGTAGATGGATCTTTGGTTTTGAAATTCTGATATTGATCTGAATTTATTTTCCTTTTTAAAATTTAAATTTTTCTTAGTATGGATTCGAACCTGCGTAAAAACATTTTCACCATGAAACAAATATCAATCAACCAAAATTAAAAAAATAGTTCAACTCACTTACAGTGATCGGTATCGGGTTAATAAAATATTATTTTCGCATATTGCACTAAATAGCTCTTGAATACTTTGACATATTCCAACAGCCAACCATTCACGACGTTATTTCCATCACAAAATTCTCAGAATTTCGTGTTAATTTCTTGTAACATCGCCCATACGCTTTCACGTTAAGGAATTTATAACTCTCAAGAGTAAAAGTTTAATTGAATGGAGAGTACCACCGAATTTCCCACCCGTTAAATAAATATTTTTCGTGTTAAAAAACCTTTTGTTGACGGGTAAATGCGAATCGAAATGAGTCGAACTTTGGTGCGAGTATGCCACGAATGTGAAAACCCATTTTTTTTATGTAGTGAAAATATATAACCTTAAAAATGAATACGCTTTAATTTTTCCACCATAGCTTAAGACACCATGTGCATCAGGTGTCCCTTATATAGATTTAGTATTATAATTACATGTTTATAATTGTATACAAAAATATATATTGATTACAAGAAAAAAAAAAAAAAATTGCAAAATGAACTTTGGGACTTGAGACCAAATTTAAAATTCAATCTCAGCTTCGTTTCTTTTATTATAAAACCTAAGTACGTATATTGTCAATTAAAGAATCTGATAGCGATGGTCAATTTACGATGAAATACCAAGAATATTTAACTTGAGAAGCACAAATTGCAATGACATATTGACTAATTAATATTAGGCATTTTGACCATGACAACGGTTTAAAAAGGCGGTGTCATGTATTTGAATGAAGAGTGGGTAGACGAAAGTACAAACCATGTGCAAAATTTTTGTTGCTACAACGTCAAGTCTATAATTGGCTCAATTTTATGAGGCAAATGAACATATATCAATGTTTTTAAAAAAGTATAGTGATTCGAAAATTTTTTTTTGTCTGAATTTAGTATCAGTAACCTTTTTGATTTATTTTTAATCACCGGACTCGGAAACACACCCTATTCTAGATGCATATAAATTAAAGTGAAAATTTTTTTATATGTATAAATGATATAAGATTGTCTAACTGATGGAAAAGATTAAAATTAATTTCAACAATACGACTTTTTCTTATTCATTAGAAATACAAATAATATTTAATGCATTATTTGCTCATCTAACAATACAATTAGTCTTGTAAAACCAATTGATTTAACTGCTTATTGAATTAGTATTTGTATTTCTTTTTGTTATCTTTTTCATCAAATTATAATATTTAATTTTTGGAATTTTGTATTAAAAATTATAATATGTTTATATTTCTTAACTGATTAATCTGATAAAAAAAGTCTGAAACGTTAAGACTTTACTATTTAGCAATTTAATTTACACCATTTCAAAAGATTAACTTTTATCTTCAAAATGTGTCCCTGTAATTTGACGAGATCTTCTTTAAAAAAATTTAAATTTTGACTAAATTTGAGTAACTCTTCTCAATTGGTAAGCAATTACGGCATTCTTCTTATTAAAATTGTTCTTTTATTAAAATTTTTCTTGTCGATGTCAAAAAATTATTTTTAAATTCTAATTAAAGAAAAATTTTTTTTTTTTTCCTTGAATTCTGGAGTTCACCAAATATGGAAAGATATCTAATCAATCTATGAACAACAGTACGGTATTTGAATTTTGTGAATTAATCATCATGGTTAAAGTCGTATGAAATGAACAATATTACTCAGTGCATATGAGTAGCAAAGAAAATAAAACAATAGAATACAAAACAAAACAAAAATAAAAACAATACAAAACAAAACAAAACAATTGGTATTACACAAGATGCATTAACTTATTAAATATGTACAATTTATATTATGCAATTAATTGAACTGTAAGTAAATGTTTTTCCGTTAAGGTTTAAATTACCAATCATTCTCAAACGACTTTTTATATTTAAAAAAGAAATTCAAATATGTACAAATTCTATTAATTATTTACAAATTTATAAAAAATTCATTATTAATTGAGAAGATCCTCAAATTGGTAAAATTATATAAATAAAATGGAGTAACTCTTTTGATCATAATCTAATTTCATCTTTCGTTTTTATTTATCAGTTTCAATCATTTCCAACTAACCAACCTACCCACCCAAAATTTCATGGTTTCAACAATTGATAATAAATCATCATCATTTGATGAAGAAAAAAATGATACAACTTTACAAAATCAAAAATCTCAAGAATTAGAACATGCTATAGAAGATGAAAAATCAATTGGTGTATTAAAAGCTGAAATTTTAGCAAATCAATGGAAACATACATTTTGGTATAAATTAATATTATTATTTTCTGCTTTTTTGGTTGGTTATGCTTATGGTTTAGACTCTCAAACTAGATTTATTTATACTGGTTATGCTACAGCTTCTTGGTCTGAACATTCTTTATTAACTACTGTTAATGCTATTACTGCTTTAACTGCTGCTGCCTCTCAACCAGTTTATGCAAGATTATCTGATGTTTTTGGTAGATTAGAATTATTTATTGTTGCTGTATTATTTTATGTTGTTGGTACAATTATTGAATGTCAATCTCCAACTATCAATGCTTATGTTGCAGGTGCAGTTCTTTACCAAATTGGTTTTAGTGGATTGATTATCGTATTATTATTTATTCTTTCAGATTTTTCAACACTTCGTTGGCGTTTATTTTTCAATATTACACCAGCTCTTCCATTCATTATTAATACTTGGATTGCTGGTAATGTTAAAGATGCCGTTGGTATGAATTGGAAATGGGGTATTGGTATGTGGGCTTTTATTTTACCATTAGCTTGTATTCCTTTTGTTTGTTGTATGCTTCATATGAGATGGTTAGCTGGTAAAACTGAAGAATGGAAACTTTTTAAACAAAGAAAAACTAAATATCAAGAATTTGGATTTTTGGGGTTAATAAAATATTTATTTTGGAAATTAGATGTTATTGGATTAATTTTAATGGTTGTTTCATTAGGATGTTTATTAATTCCATTAACTTTAGCAGGAGGAATTCAAGAAAAATGGAAACAAGGTAATATTATTGCTCCAATTGTAATCGGAGCTGTTTTAATACCAATCTTTGTACTTTGGGAATATTTTGCAAAAGATCCAATCATTCCAATATATTTAATGAAAGACCGTGGTATTTGGTCAGCTGGTATTATATCATTCTTTTTTGATTTTGTTTTCGCTGTTGAAGCAAGTTTCTTATATACTGTTTTAATTGTTGCGGTGAATGAATCAGATAAATCAGCTACAAGAATCACAAATATTTCATCATTTGTTTCAACTATATGTTGTTTTCTTTTTGGTTTGTTTCTTGTTTATTTCCGTCGTATGAAAATGTTTGTTATATTTGGTTGTAGTTTATGGTTGTTAGCCTTTGGATTAATGTATCATTTCAGATCAACATTATCTGCTCATGCTGGTATTATTGGTGCAATGGTTGTAATGGGTTTAGGTACTGGTTTTTTTTCATATCCAATAACTGTATCAGCTCAAAGTTGTGTTAGTCATGAACATATGGCAGTTGTCACATCAGCTATATATACTTTATACCGTGTTGGTTATGCAGTTGGTGCTTCAGTCGCTGGTGCAATTTGGTCACAAATTTTATTCAAAAAACTAAATAAATATTTAAGTACATCAGTTGCAACAAGTGTTTATACAAGTCCATATATGTTTGCCACTCAATATGCATGGGGTACACCAGAAAGAGAAGGAGCAACAAAAGCTTATGGAGAAGTTCAAAGAATTTTAATGATTGTTTGTCTTTGTTTTGTTGTACCAATGATTATAGCTGCATTCTTTTTAAGAGATCATAAATTAATTAGAGAACAAAGTATTGAAAATGTTGAAGAAAAAGAACAAAAAGATTCTTTAGGTAGATTTATCGGAAATTTTGGTAGAACAAGAGATGAAAAAATTTAGATTTGTTGTTGTACTTTATAGATTTATGTATTAATATTAATGTTTAATTTTACGAATTTTTAAATCAAGTTAAAAAGTAGTTTAACTGAAAGTGTATTTTGTGAATGCAATTATCTGAACCTGTCTCTAGCAAGTATTTGGCTTCATATTGTACAAATTGAAAGCGGAATTGAGAGATTAAAGAGGGCATACTTACAAAATTTTTAGCTTTTAACAACATACAAATACAAATAAATATCAATTAAATTATGAATTTTCCCAGATATTGTTTGAACTCAGTATCATCCCAATAAAATCATCCCACCATGGATTTATCATTTAAATCTAGAAGACATTCAATATTTCTTAAACGGATTAGAAATTCAAGAACACAATCATTTAGGATTCAGGAGCAAACATAAGTATTATCAATAACCATCTTTCAAATGACAGAATTCAAATATAACATTTAATCTTGTAAAATCAATTAAATCAGTTTAACAACAACAAAGATTAGCTTCATTAATTGACAAATACAAGACTCAAACAATGAAAAGAAAAACCAATCAAATTGTAAATACCAGTTTCTTTATTGATATATTCGATTAGAATCCCCCGCAACTTTCAAATCTGGCAACTTTAATTAATCCATACATGAACATGACCAAATGACAATAGTCGAAATCGCTGAATTAGTCCACATCCGGACTTTTACTAGCTTCCATCTCAATAATGCGACATAATATGATTGAATCACTCATTGATTGACGATGAATTTAAGCTACAAAATTTGAGGAAATAAACTTCATCAAGATCCTTTAATGGAAAAAACCAATTTAAATACATCATTGGTAAAACTTATAGTGTATTCAAATAGAATCCTCTCCGATCTTTATGAGTAGTGACTAATTACAATAACTGAACATAATTCAAATTTATATAATCAAAACGATTGCTTCTTAGTATTGACTTAATTACAAAAAAAAATAATAGAGAAATTGAAAGCTTTGTCAAATACACTCACTACATTAATAGGTATAATGGTAGCGATGCAAGCTTAATAGACCAAGAAGAACAAAGTTCATTAAAACAAGCGAAGACAAAACGAAAGAAAGTCATATTTGCCCGCTTTCAAAGCAATTATTGAATCTCTAATCGTCGACATAAATATTCAACATTTTAAAGATTCAATCTAAGAAACTACATGATAATTAAGAAATTCCTCTGGAACTTAAAAATTGACTTCTTGAGCTTATCACTTACTCAATTCACTTAACATTAGTACAAGTTATGAGATATGGATCTTACGCCCAAAATGCAATGAACTATAACCAAACCTGTATTGTTGATGAGATTAAACCAAGTTTGATATTGTTGCAGATTGAGCTCATGTATACTACTTACACAAAATAGTCTCACACGCTTGCACGTGCAAATATTTTAGAGCAGGGTTTGGACCCTCTATTAAAAACTACCAAATGTCACATAGAGAAAATTTAAACATACTGAAAAATCAAATATTAATCAATATTATTAATTTTAGATAACCAACTACAATTAACATCAAAAGTATGTCAATATAGCCTATGGGAGACAGTTGATTTAATGAAGAAGTTTACGATATTAAGGAAAACAATTGGAGTTCACAGGGTCGAATAGTCGAAAGTAAATTCAGAATTTTCAAATGTCAATTAGTTGTAAAAAGACATCAAAAAGATTTATCGAATAGCAGTCATAACATTAGAGGAAATTTCAGTAGAAATAACGAATGTAAGACACCCAGAGAGTGATTGTGGATCAGTATCAATTGTCGTATCAGATCATCTCATCCTGTTAGAACCTTTATTCTCATTTTTAATAATATATTTAGGACAATATTGAAGACAATTAAAAATTAAAACAACATAATTGAAATATGATATCCATAAACATTTCGTCATTAATCTGTCATTATAAATCGACTATTTTTGCAGAACCTTTTATACTAACAATTATTATTTAGTTAATCAAAAATGGGAAGAGGTCCAAAGAAACATTTAAAAAGATTAGCAGCTCCACATCATTGGATGTTGGACAAATTATCTGGTGCTTACGCTCCAAGATCATCAGCTGGTCCACATAAATTAAGAGAATCATTACCATTAATTGTCTTTTTAAGAAACAGATTAAAGTATGCTTTAAATGGTAGAGAAGTTAAAGCTATTATGATGCAACAACATGTTCAAGTTGATGGTAAAGTTAGAACCGATTCAACTTTCCCAGCTGGTTTTATGGATGTTATTACCTTAGAAGCTACTAATGAACAATTTAGATTAATCTATGATGTTAAAGGTAGATTCACTGTTCATAGAATTTCACAAGAAGAAGCTTCATATAAATTAGGTAAAGTTAAAAAAGTTCAATTAGGTAAAAAAGGAATTCCATATGTTGTTACTCATGATGGTAGAACTATTAGATACCCAGATCCATTAATTAAAGTTAATGATTCAGTTAAAATTGATTTAGCTTCAGGAAAAATCACTGATTTCTTAAAATTTGATACTGGTAGATTAGTTATGGTTACTGGTGGTAGAAATATGGGTAGAATTGGTGTTATTACTCATAGAGAAAAACATGAAGGTGGTTTTGATTTAGTTCATATTAAAGATTCATTAGATAATGATTTCGTTACTAGATTAGGTAACGTTTTTGTTATTGGTGAAGAACAAGGTAAACCATGGGTTTCATTACCAAAAGGTAAAGGTATTAAATTATCTATTACTGAAGAAAGAGACAGAAGAAGACAACAACAAGGTTTATAAGTTAATTAAAACCTAAACTTGTATAACAAATAACTAATAAATTGAATAAACTTATCAAATAATATTTAGGACGTTGATACAAGTAGATTATGATTCTCTTTTTTTTTGTTATATGTTGATATAAAAATTAAGACCATTATTCCGTATAATTTTCCACATTCGTAAATTTAAAGCGGAAAAATTATAAAACCGATAAGGTTTCTAATTTAATCTATAAAAATTATATTGATAATGTAACAGTTTTTATAATCACTTAATCATTTAATTTCTTTATTTTTACTCATCAGCTCGATATGTTTACCAAACTGTTCACATTCATTACTTCTTTAATTATTACACATTTCACAATATGGTCAAACCCTATAGATTCATCAATACGACCTTTAAAATGGAATGATATTAATTTCTTATCAACAACAGATACTCATGGATGGTATTCGGGTCATATAAATCAAAAACAATATAACGCAAATTGGGGAGATTTTGTTTCGTTTGTTATAAACATGAGACAATTAGCAGATTCTCAAAATCAAGATTTATTACTTATTGATAGTGGTGATAAAATAGATGGATCTGGAATATCAGATGCTACAAAAATACATGGTTTGAAATCAACTCCTATTTTCGTTAAGCAAAGTTATGATATTTTAACTATTGGGAACCATGAATTATATTTATGGGAAAGTTCAAAACAGGAATATGAAGCTGTTGAAAAATACTTTCCTCATAATTATATAAGTTCGAATGTTGAATTTAAATTAGATAATGGAACTTTTGTACCTTTTGGATCTAAATATCGATATTTTACAACCAAGAATCAAAAGAAAAAAGTACTTGCATTTGGATTTTTATTTGATTTTAAAAGATTTAACGAAGGTACTAAAGTAACTCCAATAAAAGAAGAAGTTGAAAAAAAATGGTTTAAAAATGTGCTTAAAAAGTACGAGGGCAAAGTTGATTTAATTGTAATTGCTGGTCATACACCAATAGCACATGGATGGCCTGAATTTTATCATTTACATAGTCATTTACGTGAATACTATCCAGATACAATAATACAATATTTTGGAGGTCATAGTCATATTCGAGATTTTGCAGTTTTTGATAATAAATCTACTGGAATTCAAAGTGGAAGATATTGTGAAACTGTTGGATGGGTAAGTATTGATTTAGATGAAAAACAATTAGAAACAAAAGACAGATTTTCAAGATCATATATAGATTTTAATTTGGATTCATTTCACACACATTCTAAAAAGGTAAAATCATTTGATACTGAGAAAGGATTGGCGGTTACAAAACTTGTTGCTAAGACCAGAAAAGAATTGAAATTAAATACTCAAATTGGAACAGTCAATACAAATTATTATGTCGACTACGTACCGATAGATCACCCGAAAAATATATTCAATTTAATCACCACGAACGTTTTAAATGATTTGCCTGGTTCAGGAGAAAGAATCATTCTCATCAACACAGGGTCAATAAGGTATGATTTATATAAAGGTCCTTATACAATTGATTCACAATATATTGTATCACCATTTGAAAATAAATGGGTAAATTTAACAATCCCAAAATCAGTTGCTTCAAAAGTGGCTGAGAAATTAAATGATGCTAGTTATATCACTACAATAAGATTAAAACCACCACATCATTACTTGAAAAAAGAAATAGTATCTTCTGAATTAATAGCCACAGAAGTTACCAAAAAATTATCAAAAGGTTATGTTACTCATGATGATTTTGGTTCTGATGGTGATGATACTCCACATAGAGCAGTTATAAATTTTGATATACCCAACGTAGTCCAAAGTGTTCAATTTGAAAATGAAGAAGAATCATATGTTGACCTTGTATTTTATGATTTTATAACTCCAAATATAAAATGGGCATTAAATGAATTAAATTACGAAATCAAAGATGATGTTAAACCAACTGAATATTCAAACATATATTTAGGTACTTTACTTAATGATTATATAGCTGAAAAATCACCTTAAATAGTTAATGTTGAATCTTTTGGAATATAAGTAAACCTATAATCTAAACTATTTACAATTTCTCCACCTTCAAAATTATTATCCACTACTATATTTCCATTTATACCAAACCATGAACCCCATATAGGTCTTGAATTTTTTACAATTGTAGATTCTTGAATTAAATCAGCAGATTCTCCTAATCTATTTTTACCACTTTGATCAAATTTAACTTTAGCTGCAAAATTTATAATAAATGTATTTGTGCCCGGTATTAGATGACCATCAAAACTAGTTAATTGATGAAATGAATTAGGAGTAGCCAACCATTTTTTTTGAAATTGTAATTTTGAATCTTCATTAGGTTGTGGTATTATTGGTGATCCATTTATTATTATTGCTGAATCTCGTTTTAATTGTGATCCAAATTGTGTTGCATATGTTTCTACATTTGTAAATGATGAACTTGCTGAATTATATTGTGCATCTAATGATGTAAAGAAATTTTTTAGAAATGGTTCAATTGGTTGTGCTTTTGGGAAATTGTTAGAACATATTATTGATGATGATGAAATGTTATAGCAATTTTTTTACATACTCGGATCTTGTTGATTCATAATATATGAGGGAGTGTCCTAGTTATTTTAATATCATGTATTTGGTCTATTAATGTACCTTAAATTGTTTTAAATTACCGAAGCTATTTAATTTTTTATTAAGTGAAGAGTTTGAAACAAGAAGGTAGTGTTATTGAGTACAAAATATATTTGGTACAATTTTGTTTTAGATTGCTTTTTTGCAATCATTAATTGATCAATTTTGGGAAATAATTTTTTCAATTTTGTTGCAATATAGCTTGAGCAGAAGCACACAATCAAGGTAATAGTACATGGTTGATCTCAAACAACTCTACTAGCTAAGCTAAGTGAATGATATAAAATTCATATGCAATGGAAAAAAGGTATGGCTGATGTAAGATTAAAATTATGAACTCTGAAATGTGATAGCAATCAAATTTATAATTGAACAAGCGTTCATGCAGCGTCACCAACATTCCCCATGAAATTTCATTTGAATAATAGGAGACAACTTCTCCAGATATAAATACTGGCTTAAATTGTCTCAATTTCTCGGATCTCTATAAATTATTAAAATTTATTTTGAATCATCAAACCTTTATTTGAATCTTCACACAACGAGTATTATTCAAATAATCAAATTTATATAACTCAAAAACATAATATAAAATGTCAGGAAAAGAACAAGCTGAATCAATTGGTGCTTCCGTTTTAGGGTCTGTTGGTGGTAATAAAGTTGCCGATCATCTTCCAGGTGGAAATGTAACTCATATAATCGGTGGAATTGGAGGAGGTATCCTTGGGGGTGAAGCTGCTGGAAAAGCAGAACAAAAGCACGATGAAAATAAAGGAAATTGAGTTAATGAAATTTTAATGATGTTTTGAAAATTTTGTTGATAGTTTTTGCTATCAAAAACTTTTTGTCAAAATATATCTCAGGGAAAATTTAATATTTGGATTTATATAGCTGAACATTTCAATGAACAATTCATGACTATTAGATTTCATTAGTAAAAGCTTTATGCTGAAACCTGGTCCTTAATTTCCAAGGATAAGTATAAATTTATCGCTCCCTGCGCAAATTTCTAGCCAGAGTTGACTTACTCTTATTCATTAAGTTTACTGATCAAAATTTTAGATGACTGACTTCTAGTTATATTTAGAGTTTCAGAAAGGTAACTAACAATCAATAATTAATGTATAAATCATCTTTAATTATGTGGATTTTGTCAGCACTCAACGAAAGAAAGAACTAGCCAGTTTCTCACGAATTAGTATTTGCAACTTTATTCTCGCCTTCTTACATTTCGTACTCTAAGATAGTAAATACCTACTCCTGTTAGAATTCTGTGAATGCTATTTCAAATTACCAAAATTGATACAAAGCGAGTAACATGCGGCTAAAATTTTATATGCTAACAACTTTGAGCTGGTAATTTAACCAAATCAAAATCAAAATCATCGAATTATTATGAGATCAACTTCAACTATTGATTTCATTTTGTTTTAAAACTTAATGTTAGTTTAATGTTGTACAATATCTAACTGAGATTACTTGCAATTTAAGATTAAAAGAGAATAAAACCATAAAAGATTTAAAGTTTTAAAGTTTTATAAAAAATTAAAAAAAAAAAAAAGAGATAAACTTTCCTTGATTTTGTGTAATAGATTCAAATAGTTTAATATAATATTTTACTTGCAATTACGTAATGCACTCATACAAAAATTACATAATTAATTACATAATAATGCTTGTAATAAAAATCCCAATTTGGAATTAATTTAACTTAAATTGGATAATTAATTAATTACATATTTTACTTGTTTAACTATAGAATAAATAATAGAATAAAAATATCAAAACTTTAAAATCAAGATAATAAAAAGTGGTACTAAATCAAAATATATTTTTTAGTTGATTTGATCTCCGACTAAAATATTATCTTAGTATTAAGGAAATATATATTTTATGCATTGGAACAAATTTATAATTGTAGCAAAAAAATGGCTTGTTTTCTATTGCATAATCTGTTCCTTAAAATACATAATTTAATCATATTAATACAAATTTTGGATACTACTTTTTGAGATCAACAAGCAAGATTTAATTCTGAGCTAAAAATATATAATCTTTCAAATATCTTTATTTAAAAAAATTAATTTTGATTCAATTAATATTATCAATACATTCTTACTTCAAGTTTCATATTAAATTATTACTTTCATTTAATTTATTTAATTTTTTTTTCAATTCAATTGCATTATCATAAACTTACCCCCTAATTAACACACTTACTACTTCAAAGTTTTCAGTTCAAAATCAGTAGATTTTATATCAATCATTAAATAACATACACTCGTTTTAATATCAAATTTTTTGCATAAACTCCCTAAAAATACCATGACTTTAGTACAATCAATGATGTTTGAAGATCATTTTAATACACATTTTAGATCACGTAGTTTTGAATTAATTAAAGAAGCTAAAACTGCAAGAATCAATAAAAGATCATTCAGTGATGATTTGAATACTACCTCCAATAAAAGATCAAGAACTGCACCACCTTCTCCACCTTATGAATCAAGATCAAAATTAATAATACAAAATTTTGTTAAACCAACTTTTACTCAAATTAGATCAAAATCTTTATCACCAAATAAAAAATTTACTTTATTATCACCATCAAATTCCAACAAGTCTTCACCAAATACTTCACCAAAAGTTCAATTACCAAGTATTGCAGCTACTTTGAAAACCGAACCAGTTATCCCAACAGTTTCATTAGATTATTTTGATACATATAAACCAAATGATGAAAATTGGAGATATGAATTACTTGATAAAATAACAAAAGAATCAAAACATTTTCATTTAAATCAATATAATTATCTCAATAAGCGTAACGACAACAAGCCAAATTTTGATTCAAAAATTAGTACAAAAATTCAATATACATCACCAGTTAAATCAAAATCAAATAAAGAAGTCAATTTCCCATTTGAATCAAATTATACTTACTTAAATCAAACATATATGAAAGATGTTAAAAATTTCCCAGAATATTTAGAATTAGCACAATCATTAATCAAATTATCAGATAATAAAGTTGAACCAAGATCTTCACAACAACAACAACAACAACAACAACAACAACAACAATCACAACCACCATTACCACAGATGCAACCAATGTATAATAATCCCTTACCGCTGGTCGGTCCTTCATCATACTACCCATCAAATAATCACACTGTATTACCAAGCATATCACAAACATTACCAAACATTCAACAATTACCATTATATCATTATCATCAATCACCACAAACTCATAAATTTATACCCATATCTCCAACTTCAAATTCAAACACAAAAATAAAATCAAGATCTGAATTATTAAAATCACCACCAAAATCTTATAATACATCTAGAGTATGTATTTCATGTGGATCAGATCAATCACCATGTTGGAGACCTTCTTGGTCAATTAAAGAAGGTCAATTATGTAATTCTTGTGGGTTAAGATATAAAAAAACATCTGCAAGATGTCTTAATAATAATTGTAAAAAAATTCCAGCAAAAGGTGAATGGTCATTAATGCAAAGTAAAGGTAAAGTAACTTTTGAAGATGGTATGAAAGGTTATAGTTGTTTAGAATGTGGTTGGAGAGTTGAAGTAAATGATCAATTTAATAGTTAATAATATCTTAGTTTAGAATACCTTTATAATAATAGAACAAAAACATGTTTATTTAATGATGTAATTCTTGTTTAATTTAGTATATTTTTTTATCTTTCACTCCGAAGGCAAACCAAACAAAAAATTAAATTTTGGTGAGATTTTATATTGTATTTTATACTATTAATTTTAGTACAACAACCGCCAATCAACAATCAACAATGTCAGATATTACTATCACAATCAAATCATCTGGTGATAAGAAATATGAAATCACATTCAATCCATCAATTACCATACTAGAATTAAAAGAATTAGTTGCTGAAAAAGCTTCAATTCCTGCTTCAAGTCAACGTTTAATTTATTCTGGTAAAGTTTTAAAAGATAATGAAACTGCTGAATCATATAAAATTCAAAATGGTCATACAATTCATTTAGTTAAAAGTGCAAATACTTCAACTTCTTCATCAACTACAGCTGCAAATACAACTAACTCAACTACTTCCACCAATGAAACACAACAATCAACAGTTCCATCAAATATAGCAGCAGGTCAAGGATCTTTCAACCCATTAGCTGATCTTACAGGTGCTCGTTATGCAGGTTATAGTCAATTACCATCAGCATCAATGTTTGGACCAGATGGAGGTATGAATTCAAACTTACCAGATCCTGATCAATTAAATTCAATGATGTCAAATCCAATGTTTCAAGAACAAATGAATGCAATGTTATCAAATCCTCAAATGTTAGATTTTATGATACAACAAAATCCTCAATTAAGAGCAATGGGTCCTCAAGTTAGACAAATGATGCAATCTCCAATGTTTAGACAAATGATGTCAAATCCTGAAATGTTAAGATCAATGATGCAAATGCAACAAGGTGGTGGTGCTGGTAATTTATTTGGTGGTGGAGATTCAAATTCTGCATTTCCAGCTCCAGGTGCTAATCCAACTACCTCCACTGAAGGTGAAAATTCAGATCAAAGTAGTTCAACTCCATCAGCAACAAATCCACAAGCAAATCCATTTGCAGGTTTATTTGGAGGAGCAGGTATGCCACCAATTGACCCAAGTGCTTTATTTGGTGCAGGTGCTGGCTCGGGAACTACACAACCAACAGATAATAGACCACCAGAAGAAAGATATGAAACACAATTAAGACAATTAAATGATATGGGATTTTATGATTTTGATAGAAATGTTGAAGCTTTAAGACGTACTGGTGGTAGTGTTCAAGGTGCTATTGAATATCTACTATCACATACTTAATCAGTTTAGCTATTTATATAAATTGTTTAATTTATTGAACATTTAAAATTTTATGAATTATTTTGATTGTAGAAATCTGGAATCTCTTTTTTTAAACACAAATTAAAAGTTATTGATTTTTTGCAAAAACAACAAAACAACCATTAAAATAAATGATTATCATATAACAATAATGACAACGGAATTAATAGAACCAGAAGAACTACAATTCACAAAAGTAATAGCAGTGCTATTGAATTCACGAAATTATCAATTCCTGGAAACTTTTTTGAAACAGATAACTGAATTAGCAACACGGTATTTAAATACAATCATTTTCAATTTATTAGAATATACGCAATTACAAAGACGTAAACAACCATCAATATCAGATATAAACATTTTACTAAAGCTACATGAAATACTGTCTGAAGATCTTTTTGAGGAAGTACTCAAAAGTAAAAAATTTCAAAATCATCAACAAATCAAACAAATTCTAAATTCAAAACAAAAACCTTTTGACTATACAGAATCATCACTACCTTTTTTTCAAAATGAACATTATGCAATAACAAATGTAGTACCCAACTTGAAAGTAAAACCAAACTACATACCTCATTATTTACCAGATTTACCACCAGATTATACATATCAATCAACAGATATTTATTCAGAACCATTAACTGATTTAAAAGAATTAAGAATTAAATTGGTAGAAGAATCAAGATTAACTGAAAAGGCATTATACAAATTAATTGAAAATGATGAAGTTGAAAGTAATAAAAAACTAAAATTTGAAAATGAATTAAAAGAGTTATTACAAAAGCAAAAATCAATAAAAGAAGTCCTTGAAGAAGATCCACAACCAAAAGAACCTAAAATAACTAAGTCAGATGATAGAATAATTGAAATACCCAATGACAAGGCCGTCTACAAATTTGATTTCATAGAGTACGCCAAGAAACGAAAACTAATGACTCAAAAGAAGCAAAAACAAGCAGAACTTAAAAGACAAAAAAGAGATCAAAACATTTTCATTAAAGCAGAAACTTACTACTCACCATACGCTACGAAATCACCTACATTAGAAACAAACGAATTTTTCACAAATATTTTAAATAAAGAATTCAAAAATGTTATAGTATCCATACGATCAAATGAATTTAAAAAGAAAGAACAAAAACGTATTCAAAAAGAACTCAAAGTTCAAAAAGAAAAAGAATTTAGACAACAAAATGAAATTCAATTCAATTTCCAAAATTCAAATTCTAATGGGTTTAATAATAATAGTGATATTGATAGTGATGATATGGATGATTTTTAGTGTCAAAGAAAAATAATTATAGTGTCAATAACCATAAATATACATTCCATCTAATTATCTTGATAAAGTTATGGTATAAATACATACAGCAAAGTGTTAATACTACAAAAGTTAAATTTCCAATGAATGATGATGTTACTCAATAATTTGATTTTGATATAAAACAAAATTTAGTTTCATTGTCGATGTGAATGAACTATAAAAATATTTATTAAAAGAATAACGTCAATTATGCTCAAAGTCAAGTATATATAGATGATGAAGAATCTTTGTATGCGGATAAATCAATATATTTTTTTCGCTAAAAATAATCAATTAATTTAAAATTCTTTTCTATAATTATAAAGTAAGTCAACCATTAGCTATGAACATTTTAGAAATTAATCAAAAATCTACAAATATTAGCTTTAATAAATTGACTATTAATTCTTATTATGATTCTGATAATACTTTGTATTTAACAAATTTATATAGCTTTACTGGAAATGGTACTTTTGCCAAACATTTTGTTCTTGGTTGATTAAATAAATTTAATTAAGTAATTAATAGAATCTACGGTTTTGAAACTTTTAAAATCTCGGTTGTATTAACCTTTTCAAAAATATATATAATTAATCTTCAAATTAGAATCAAATATTCAGTGCCTTTCGAAACTTCAATTTTTAAATTGAAACAGCAATAATAAAATATTTTCACTTATATTTTGTTCCACTAACTCGTTGCGGAATAGTAAATAATACAAAATGTAAGTCGAACTAATTAATTAGTCTATTGTTCCATATTTTTCTATAAATAAGGCACACAGACCAAGAATTTCCCCCCAAATTTAGTTTGTCTTTTTTTCCAGATTCCTTGCCAGATCATTTCAAATTGTTTTCTATTTTCAAAAAAAGATGTTTCAAATTTTTTAAGAAAATTAGAAAAACCCCCTTGAGAAGTTTTGATTCAAATATCAAAGATATTAGATTAAATTTAAGCTTAAATACTCTCAACCCCTTTTTGAAACATTGTTTATTCAAGAATTAAATTCGATAATCTTCACACTAAATTAATACTAATTTTGCTATTAAATTCTTCTTCTTTTCATTCTCGAAAACGTTGTCTTTCTTATTATTGATTTAATATGATTTTGTACTATAACTAATAAATATTAAATTATCAACTAATTTTAATTTTTTATCATTGCTTTTAATTATAAATACATTGAAAATTTTTATTAGATATATTCATCTTTCATGAATTGAGATTATCTATTTTTACTTTTATATTTACTTATTCAATTGGTATAACACTACAAATCATTTCCATATTTTAATCATGACAGTTATAATTGGATCATTGTATGTAATTTAAATAAAAGATATATGGTATTTCCGGAATTGTATATATACTAACTTTTTTATTACTTTCTAGATTCTTACCATATACAGTTCATTTTCAAATTGGTAAAGATCAATATGATTATTTACAAAAAGAAGATAGTACTAAATTACAATCAATACAAATATCAAATGATAATTCTTTAACTAATTCAAAAAATGCATCTACTTCACAATTTTTACATCAACAACAACAACAACAATCAGATAATTCATTAGATCAAAATTCAATTATACCATCATTAAGTCAAAAATTAAATATATCATCAAATACTTCAAAATCTCAAAATTCTACATTAAATAATTCAGTTCGTTCAGATACTCCAGAAGGATTTTTTTATAATAAAAGAAATATATTACAAAGAAATAATTCTAATAATAATAATAATAATTCAACTTCTGCACCAATTTCAAAAACAACAACAGCTGATCATCATTATATACAACCAAGACCAAGATTAGGTAATAGAATTGATAGTTCAATATTAGACCCCAAAAAACCAACAACAGATGGAGTTACTGGTTTAAAAATTTCAAGATCACAATCAAATTTATCATCATCATCACCAAATTATATTAACATTAGACCACCAAATCCAAGATCAAATTCTTCATTTTTAAGAAATGAAAATAATCAAAAATTTGGATTTACAATTCATGGAAATAATAGTTATAATTCAATTTTATCTGAAGAAGGTAGTACTAATACAAGTAGTAATGTAAACAATAGTGCAATGATTCCATCATCTTTTGAAGATGAAGATGAAGATGGATTAACAGGATTTGAAAAAAATTATAAACATTCAGCATCAAATAATAAAAGATTAGCACCATTTGGAGGATTTTCAAAACCTGGTATAGAACATGATTTATGGAATGATGATAATATTTTTGATACTGCTGAATGGACAGTTGAACCATCAGATGATGGGAATGGATCATTAACTAAAGCAGTTGATATTTCTGTACAAGATGGTATATTGCATCAAAATAAATGGGTTGGTATTATAGCAATGCCAAGTGATACTATTTCAGCAGAAGTTAAAGATAAAATTTCAACTAGGTTAAGTTCAGAATATAATTGTGATGCTGTTTTCCCTGATGATATAACTTTTGAAGGTCATTATAGATCATTTTGTAAACAAATTTTATGGCCAACATTCCATTATCAAATTCCAGATGATCCAAAATCAAAAGCATTTGAAGATCATTCTTGGGGTCATTATGTATTAATGAATCAATTAATTGCTGATAAATTAGTTGAAACTTTTTTACAAACTAATGGAGAATGTAATTTTGAAGATTCTGAAAATATGATTTGGATTCATGATTATCATTTGTTGCTAGTTCCTAAAATGGTTAGAGAAAAATTACCAAAAGTTAAAATTGGATTTTTTTTACATGTTTCATTTCCATCTTCTGAAGTTTTCCGTTGTTTTGCTCAAAGAACTGAATTATTAGAAGGGATGTTAGGAGCTAATTGTATTTCATTCCAAACAAATGAATATATTCGTCATTTTAGACAAACATGTAGTAGGTTATTAGATGTTGAAGTTAATGAACATGAAATTATACATAATGGACAATTAACTGTTGTAAATACTATTCCTGTGGGAATTGATTCACCATCATTAAGAGAAATAGTTTATAGTGATGAAGTTAAAGAATGGAAAAAACTTATTAGAGAAAGATGGCAATCGGAAAAATTAATAATAAGTAGAGATAAATTTGATAAATTAAGAGGTATTAAACAAAAATTATTAGCATATGAAAAATTTTTAACAACAAATCCAGAATTTATTGATAAAACAGTATTAATTCAAATATGTATTGGATCATCATCTGATCCAGTTTATGAAGCTGAGATTATGAAAATAATGTCAAGAATTAATTCATTACCTGAAAACATATCAATGACTCAACCAGTTGTATTATTACAAAAGGATATAGATTTTGAACAATATTTAGCATTACAATGTGAAGCAGAAGTTTTTGTTGTTAGTTCAATGAGAGAAGGTTTAAATTTAACATGCCATGAATTTATAACAGCAACAGAAGAGAAAAAATCACCATTAATCTTATCTGAATTCACTGGATCTTCATCACTTTTAAGTTGTAATGGAGAAGGTGCTTTATTAATTAATCCATGGGATTTAAAGAAATTTTCAGAAACTTTTTTAAAAGCACTTACAATGTCTAAATCAGAGAAAACAAAACGTTGGAAAAATTGTCATCATTTTGTATTAACTCAAGATTCTAAACATTGGGTTGAACATTGTTTAGAAAGTATAAATCATGCATGGGAACAAAACAAAAAACATTAAAAACATTGAAAAAATTTTTGAATTAAATTTGTTTATCTTTATAACTTAATAGTACCATATCATTTAATTCTTGTAAATTATTTAAAAATTCTTTTTTTTCTTTTCCTTTTAATTCATACTTGGTATTCCAATAATAATTTAAAAATTCATCTTCTGTTATAAATTTTGAATTTTTATCTCTATCTACACACCAATTATTTTCCTTAAGACGTTTATGAGTTTCTCTTTCATCTTCCATTCTTGTTATGATTTGTTTTTTTGTTAGGTATTGATTTGAGTCTGTCTTTTTCCGTATATTGAATAATTGTTGTTCTTCAACATTTTCTTCTGTTGATGGTTGTTGTTCTAATTCTAATCTATCTTTTTGAGATTCTTGTTTTCTTTGAAGTAATATTTTCCATGCACTAATTAATGAATCTTCATTTTCATTTATAATTATATCTTCATTGATTAATTCACCATTGAATTTTTCTTTGCAGTTTGAACAATCAATTTTGTAATGTTTCAGTATATTACATAATCCATTATAAGTATTTGATAAATTTGATAAATTATTTAATGGACATATTAATTCCACTATTCTTGGTAATATTGATTTCAAACTATGTACATAAGCCCCACCTAACTTTGAAGTATTACAACTTTCCATTATTAGTAATTCAATAAATTGGAATATAAATGATTTGGTATTTAAATCTAATTTTGAATCTTCTAGTACCGTAATAATTGATGGGATTATATAATCTTCTTTATCTGCATTCTTTAATGCAAAATAACTTGCTTTTGTAAGCAGCTGTATTTGAGGTGTTAGATTTTTAAGTATGGTTGTGAATTGATTCGCTACTTCAAAGTCATCCATGGTTGATGGTGGTTGTCAAATTGATAAGATTGTAAATTGATGTCATATAATATTTTATAATTTTTATATCTGTGTCATAAAATCTTGTACTTGAAATTTTTTTATTTTATTTTTATTTTTTTTTGCTTTTTTTTTCAATTTCATCACAAGATACTTAACAGAATATAATACAACCACCACCAAAACATGGGTAAATCAGGTAAAGGTAAAGGTGGTAAGAATAGAAGAAGAGGTAAAAATGATAATAGTGGACAAAAAAGAGAATTAATATTGAAAGAAGAAGGTCAAGAATATGCACAAATTACAAAAATGTTAGGTAATGGTAGAATTGAAGTACAATGTTTTGATTCAATAAAAAGAATGGGACATATAAGAGGTAAAATGAGAAAAAAAGTATGGATGGGACAAGGTGATATTATATTGGTTAGTTTAAGAGATTTTCAAGATGATCAATGTGATGTTGTACATAAATATAATTCAGATGAAGCAAGATCTTTAAAACAATTGGGAGAATTACCAGAAAATGCTAAAATTAATGAAACTGATACTTTTGGTGCTGATGAAGATGAAGATGTTAATTTCGAATTCGGTGGTGCTGATGAATCAGAATCTGAAGATGAAGAATTAGATATTGATGATATCTAGTTAGTTGTATTTCTATCCATTATCTACTACACTAATAAAAATAAATTAATTAAATTTCGGATAAAAAACTTTTTCTTGTATTTCGTTTATTCTATTTCAAAACTATCTACTCTTCTTAATGCTACTTGTTCTTCTGCATCTGATCCTCTACGTAATTGCATAGATCTTCTAACAGTTGAAAATGATCCTACACCATTATCTAATGGTCCCATATCTTTACTAGTATGAACTCCAAATAATTCTCTATGTCTTGCTTCACCATCATCATCATCTTTTCTTGCTATATTTAATAAATAAACTCCACTGAAAATAATTAAAAATCCTATAAGTAATGATATTATATCCACAGCAGAAGAAGTATTAAAACCTTTAAATAATATAAATGATGCAGCTAATGTAAATGTTGTAAAAGTAACATAATATAATGGATTAACAATTGATGTATCAAATTTATCTAAAGCTTTATTAAAATAATTCATTTGAGTTATAATACAAATAGCAACAACAATTAAAAATAAATATGTAGAAATATGAGTAAATTGATTATTACCTCCTAAAGTTAATTTTAATGCAATACCAAATGCTTTAATGGACATAACAGATATTGAACCAACTGATGAACATATAGATAAATAAATCATTGGATTAGTATGACCATATTTTGGAACAATTTTATAAATCATAAATAAAGAATATAATCCAACAATTGTACAATAAAATAAAAAACCAGGCTGAGTAGCATAATTTAATATTTCATCAACTGTTTCAACTTCTTTATCAGGAGGTGCATGTAATACTATAATAACACTTCCCATCAAACATATAGCACAACCCATTTTACCTAAAGTCCCCAATTCTTCTTTTAAAAAAATCGCGGCTAAAACAGCTCCAATAATAACGGATAATGCACCCAATGGTGTCACCAAAATAGCAGGAGCAAAAGTATAAGCAGCAAAATTAGCAATTTCTCCTAAAGCCATTGTTATCATACCACCCCACCATATTGGATTTTGTAAATAATCTGATGGTTGAACATTTGTTGATGAAGATCTTGCTGATGCATCCATAAGACCCTTTTTCGTTATTATAAAAGATGTACCAATAGCTAATGAAGATGACATAGCTAATGCCAATCCTATATATTTATCATCCATTGGCATATTTATAGTAAAATCATAAATCAGTAGTTGTGGTTTGAAATTGTTCTAGTTTGTAGAACTTAAATCAAATTTGACATTTTTTTAATCTCGTAATTTTTCTTTCTCTTTTTGTTTTTATTAAAGTTTCTTTTTTTGATTTTTTAAGACACGTCAAATGAACTTCTTATTTTATCATTAAGATATGATGAATCAATCACTGAGTTGTTGATCTAAGAATAATTTATTATGTTTTGAAGATCTAGAGATCTGTAGGTAGAGCTATAAAATTATCAAGATCTGACAATCTAGTATTTTTTCATAACAAATAAAATTTGCCTGTGTTGTCATGAATTTTAAATTCTTTTTGCAGCTAAAAATAGCATATTTCTATTTCATTTGTTTCACCTCAAAATGACTTATTATTACAAAGAATTACAAGTGTTAATAATTCAACATATTAAATTTATATTTCTATTTTACAGACTATTAATTCAAGTATTAAGAAGAAAATTATATTTTACAATTAAACGTTGTATTGCAATTTTTAAAGCAGAAGGATCAATTGATGATTTATGGTTAATTTGTAATATTTTAACAATTTTTACTGGGTTTATATGGTCATATTTATGGCAAAAATGTACTATTAAAAAATTAAATGATGCTTATTTTACTATAATTTTAATTGCTTTATGTAATTATGGAGTCAGATTATCTTATCAAATTAAAAAATTATCTGGTAAATCATTAATTAGATTAGTTTCACATCCAAATTTTCGATTTAATGAAAAACCAATTATGAAATTATTAAAGCAGGAAAATACTTGTATGTTTATATTCACTTACTTAATTCTTGAATCTAAGATAAATTATATAAAAATTTGGTTTTTATTATTTCATTCAATGATTATGATGTTTAATATAAAACATTATGTTGTTAAATTTTTATTTGGTGTATTGGAAAATTTAGTATTGGTTGTGTTTTGGTATGAATCAATTTTATCATTTAAATTTAATATTTCAATATGTTATACTATTGCATTCTTGTTAAAACTTGAAGAATCAGATACTGCTATCAGATCAATTAATATGGTATTAAAATGGTTTAAAAAAAAGGAAATTGAAAGACCAATTTCTATTGGATTTGATAATTTTAGTATAATTAGTGATTACTAAGTTCCTCTTTTAATTGCAATAATTTCTCCCATCCTGGTGAATCTTCCCATGTATCTTTTCCCTTTGACATTAATGATCTTATTGTAGTTCTTGCTTTATATTTCCAATCTTTACAAACTAAATCTCCAGCTCCATGTTTTCCAGGTAATTCTCCTAATGATTCAAAAGCACTAACTAAATCGTCACAAGCTTCAACTACTTCATTCCAAACTTCTTCATTTGATTCCAATTCAGGATTATGTAAAACAACTCTATAAGCTTTTTCATGACATTCTAAAGCAGCCCATGGTTTTTTCCTCCATAATTCAACTTTAGCTACTATTTTCCAACAACGTGCTGATGATGTTATTATACTTGGAATTTTATTACATACCAAATCAATACAACTTCTTTGAAAATGATTTAATTTATCACTATAATCACTTGATATTAAAATTTCTGTTAATTTTTCAAGTATTGGAATATCAATTGCTGTATCACCATCATTTTTTTTAATATCTAATAATTCATTATATGCAAATAAAACATCATTCCATTCATTTAATTGAGCAGCAACATTCATATAATTTTCAAATATTCTCCATGATTTCTTATCTCCTCCACATCTAATTGCTTTTTTCAAAGCATTAAAAGCAGGTTTCTTTTTATCTAATTTTAATAATGCACTTGCTAAATTCGACCAAGAATAAGAATTCGTATCATCTAAAGAAACACATCTTGTAAAAGCTTCAGAAGCTAATTCAAATTGTCCAGCTTCTAATCCACAACAACCATAAAAATACCAATTTTCAAAATTTAATGGATTTACTGTTAAACAATCAAACATATTTGATATAGCAGCTTCTAAATTCTTTTGAGCGTAATAGTATTTACTGAGTGAAGCTTTGGCTTTATAATATTTAGAAATTTGCCATGATTTTTCCCATAATTCCGGATTTTGAGTGATATCTCCAAGTATCGATATACTTCTTGCATCGTTTGGATTTGATTTGATTCTTTTAACTAAAATGCTTTTAGCTTCTTCTTCTTTTCCAACAGCTGCATAACATAAAGCAGCTTCGGTATGTAATTCCAATCTTTCATATATTTCAATTGCCGATTTGATAAGTCCCAAAGACATATAAGTTTCAGCCAATTTTGTATCCATTACCCATTGAGGCAATAAAGGTAATTGATGTATAAATTTTAATCTTTCAGAAGCAACACTATCCAAATTTTCAATTTGTTCTTGTGGCAATAATCTTGTTTTAATTTTTAAACCCATTTCTTCAACTAATGCAGTCATTTGTAAGAGCCCTCTTTCTATAGTTCTTGATTTACTAGTTTCTAATATAGATCTTTCCCATAATGCTCTTGAAAAAAGTAACCAATTCACTCCCTCGGGGTTTGAATATAGTATTCTTGCAACTAAGGCTAAAAGTTCTTCTTCAACTAATGGATCATTTGAAGGTGATGTTTGTTTTATAACTGATAATCTTAGCAAAACTTGTATAATATCAATATTGTTTAAAGGTGGTTGATTATTTGGATCTAATTCTTTCAAGTCTGTGGGTATATCTTCTACTCTCATAGCTAATGGTAATAATCTATCACTTTCAAGGTCATCAGCTAAAATTGTTGGATCTAATTTAATCTTTTTACTTGCATTCTCTAATTCCATATCTAAATTTTCCAAAGAATCAAATTCAGGTTTTTCTAAAAGTAAATCAGAATCCAATTCAAATTTTTCTGGATTGTTATTTATATTTTCATCATATAATGTTGCACTTGAGCTTTTACCTAAAACGATTAAATTTGATGCGAAAAATTTTTGAAATTTTGTTCTTTTGGCTTTTGCACCAGATAATAATAATTGTAATCCAGATAATCTATAAGCTTTTATAAGTGGTGCTACTGATAAATGTTCAGTTTTAGCATGAATATGAACTCTAGCTTGTTCTAAACAAAATTGAATTTCTAATAATTTTTTGATGTTGTGATCTTCTGATGGTATTAAATTAATTAATAATCTATCATTTAGCAAAATTCCACACATTGCCAGTATAATACTAGGAGGTTCAGATAATACAGAAGAATGCACTTGTAATGCTCTTGAAAACCACCAACATACAGATGCTTTTATAGGTGAATCTACTTGTTGTGTTATAGTACCCACATGTTTTAAAACTGATTCAGTATTGAATTGACTAAAAATTGATAATTCTTTTGGAGTATCTAATAATTTTTCAAATATTAATTCAGAAACAATTAAATATAGCGGATCTTGCATTAATTCATAAGCTTGTTGGCCTTCAAGATCTAATGCTCTTGTTGCATCTTTTTGAATTTTATTTTGATCTACATTCGAGAAAAATAATGAACCACTTTCTAAAGATAATGGTGGACCTGTAAAATTTGATTGTATGAAATGATTCAAAAATGATATTGCAATTGATTGGAGGTTAATAAATGCTTCTTCCCCATCGTTGGATTTTATTAGTTCAACCAATTTGGTTACGAATGAGTTTAAAACTTCTATTAATGATGAATTATTTGGATAATTTTGAAGAATTGATTTGAGTTCTGGGGAATTTATTAGTTTTTGAAGATCATTTTGAATAGATTGAGAATCATTGGGCGTGAGTTGTAGTAAACTATCTAGTATTTTGCTCATTATTGGTATAAAATATAAGTGTTGTTTTATGGCAAATCTAGAAATTTTTAGAGAAATAAAAAAAGTGTTTTAGAAAATTAAGATGAAACGTTTTAATATGCAGTATTGAAACTTTGAAACAAAACTAAACAGAAAACAGAAACAACAATTACTTTAGTTCTTATTATTAGTTTATTACGACTCTATATCACTTAAAATGAAAATCTATTTATGTTGACCCACCAAAAAATGAAAGACGCTTTTTAGATTCATTCGTAGAACTATCAGTTCTTTTTAATTCTGAACTTTTCCTACTTTTAGGTTTTTTCAAAGAATTTCTAATCTTCATTCGACTCATATTTGATCCATTATCTAAATTTTCATCATCTGACTCCCAATCAACAGTTTCTTCCTGTAATATTATTTGAGATGGATTTGTACTTGATGATATTCTCTTTTTGAAGACTGGTTTTTCAATGGATTTCTTTTTAGATTCTTCTATATTTAAATCTATAAGGGATAAGTTGGAATCATTGTTTCTTGTGGCTGTCAATATTGATGATGATGAATTTGAGGAAGCTAGCCCTACTTCAAGGTCAATGAGATCCGGTTGTTGTTGTTTTGGGATATTATTTGATGATTGCAGTAATGTTGGTTTATGAGATGGTCTAATTTCTTCTGAATCAAATTTGTTCCCCCATGGATTGTGGTTCTTGTATTCTTGCTTGAAATGAGATTCTGATTTGGTAGATGTTAAATTGGAAGGTCTTGAAAATGGGAATGGATTGTTTGCTGATGTTGGAGTTTCAATATTTAAATTTTTGAGTTGATGAGACAAATCTTGTTTTGGAGTATTGTTAACATTATTGTTTATTGGTTTTGGGTTACTTTCATTATTTGCAAAAATATCATCAGCTAATTGCTCAGCACCTTTATCGATACTTTGTGATTGTGAATTAGCCCAAGCATCAACATTTTGATAATCATTACTTAATACTTTAGATGCAATGGAGTTATCCGTCTTCATACTGGTTGATCTTGTTGGTGTTTTCCCAGATGATGGACTTATAGTTTTGTCCAAGTTATCGATATTATCCAAAGATGGAAATCTTTCCTCTGCATCTTCAAGTTGTTCCAAATCTGAAAATCCTTCATCATTTTCCAGGCTAAAACCAAGTAATGAATTTGGTGACTTATCTAATGACTCTAGTGGTGGAGCTAATGAGGCTGTTGATTTAGGTGGCGTTTCTACTGGTTCTTTGATGACTGGTGGTTTATGTTCTTCTTCTTTTGCTGGAGGAGGAGCTACGGATGAGGTTGGAGCTGTAGGAGCCGTAGGGGCATTTGAAGTAATTGGTTCTACTGGAGCTGCACTTACTGCCAATCTTAACTCACTTTGATCAATCATATTTTGTTGTTGATAATATATTTGTTTTTGTTGCATAATTTCATTCTGTTTTTGAACTTGATACTCGTGTAATGCTTGGAAATTATATGGACCTAAATTATAAAAATCTTTTATTCTCAAAGTTTCAAATTTTATATTCATAATTTTACATATCAACATTAATACTTGAATTATATTTGGTCTAAATAAAGCATTTTCTTGTAACATTATTATTATTAAGTTTTTTAAATCTCCTGAATATTGAGGTAATGGTGGGAATTGGAAAGATGCATGTAATATAGCAATATCACCATTTGCTTCAAATGGGGTTGTATAATAACATAATTTATAAAGAAAACACCCCAATGCCCAAATATCTGCTTTTTCATCTATAGGAATATTTCTATACAAGTCAATCATTTCTGGTGATCTATATTGTGGAGTAGTTTGATACAAGATATCATGACTTATTAATTTGAATTGTTGTTGATCTTGCGGTGGCATTATTGGTGATGAAGTTGAACCAAAATCACATAATTTAAACCGTTGTTGTAAATTAATTAGTACATTTTCTATTTTAATATCTCTATGACATAATCTTGTTCTATGCATTTCATAAACTCCAACGGAAACATCAATCATAATTTTCAAAATTTCCGATTCTGTTAATTTAGTCTTAATTCTTGCATTCATATAATCTAATAAGGATCCACCAGGACAAAGTTCCATCAACACCAAGACTTGATAAGTTCCATTATCTAATCTTTCAGCATGTGAATCATAATAAGTAACTATACTTCTTGCATCTCTTAAAGTTTTCATAACTTCAACTTCTTTTCGTAATATATTTAATCCATTCTTATCAGGTACAACAACTCTTTTTAAACATGCAATTTGTGGTTCATTGTTTGGGGTATTTATTGTAACTTCATATATATGTGCAAATCCACCTTCTGATATATATTTAACTATTTTTACCTTATGTTTACCAACTTGTAATTCAGTACCCTCTGGAAGTTTTTGAAGTTTTTCCATTGCGGTCAGCTAAATTTTGGTGATATAAGATATGAAACTTGATTATGAAATCCCAATTGAGTAAAAATGATTAGTTTATTGACCAAAGTGTGAAGTGCAGTTGTTAAATTGATTGAATATATATATATTGTATATACATAAATAACATATGTATGTATTTAATGGTTATATTTAAAATTAAATCTGATCCAAAATTAAAAAAAGATAAACATGTCAATTTTCGGTCGCAAAATTACGGTTAAAATATTTATTACATATATTTTAATTAACATGGATAATTCAATGACATTCACTTACTCTGACCACAAGAGATCGTTTACTTACTATTAATCACTAAAGATATTGTACTAGTCAGCTCTACCATTGACTTTGCTGTTAATTAACCAAATGTATTAAGATTATAACTTAATTTACTAATTAAAATGTAAATGCCTAGTAGACGATTTTAAGACTGCATATTAACACGTTTTGACCAAAAATTAATGCTGTGAAATTTGCCATCGTTTTACTTCAATTATTAATATTTTTTAAACATGAAGAGCTTTGATTACATATTTTAAAAGTTTATCTAGATCATTCAAATACAAACTTATCTGCCATAAAATTGTTAAAAAGTAAAGTCAAACCAAGAGCTAAATGACACGACACTCGGAAATTTGTTTTTGTGTAAATATTCTATTTTTGTAAATAATTTTTAGCTACCAAATAAAAAAGCCTCTTAAATTATTACCCCTTAAAAATTGTAGTAGTCAAAATTTATTCAATTGATTGAAGAATACTATTTAAAACTTTATAATTTAAAGGTATGAAAATTGAATTTTTATTGAAAACACACATATTATGATCAGCAAATTCTTTTAAAAACAATTTAAAAGTAGAATCATTAGAAACAATAAATTCATCTAAACATTGATTATAAAATTCTTTTAAATCGATAGCATTTTTTAATGAACCTTTTGCTAAATCTGAATTTTGTGGTTCTAATATATGCATTTGTTTTTTAATTAATAATATGAAACATTTTTTGTGATTAGAAGTTAATGCTTGTAATACATAGATCCATCCACTTGTATTCATTTGATGTTGTTTGAAAGCTAACATATCTATTGAAGATAATTCAGTAAAATATGAATCAAATGTAGTTAAATCATGCCATAAACAATTCATACTCTTTAAGGTTGAACTATCAAATAATAATGTAGAATTTATGTGGTCTATTGAACAAATGGCCCAGATTTCTTCAATACTTAATAATTTTGAAATTTTTGAAATTTCTTTTCTTAGATTTGGACCATCTAAGTTATGGATTATGAGTAACAATTTTGGTGTTATTTCTCCTTCTTCTCTTCTTTCATTCATGGTTTTTAATAGATATTCTATTAATTCATTAAGATGTTTAGGGTAATTGTCGTGGCCTAATAGAAGCAGAGCTATTTGATGAACAATTAATTTTATATCCAAACTTTGTAAATATCCATTAACAACCAAAGTTTTAACACCTTCGCCATATACTGATGTACACCATTCATTAAAATAAGGAATGAACAGATTAATTAGATTTAATTTTGAACCTGTCCCATACATGATCAAATTAAATTGTTGAGACATTTCAAAACACCATTGATTGAAAAGATAGTTATGTAAATCAGCTAATGAATTTCTTTCTGGTTGTAGTATATCTAAAGATAATTTTATATTATTTTGTAATTCTTCCTTTGAAATTTGTGGTACAACAACTGATGATGAATTATTTCTGAAACGCTTATGGTTTTGTTCAAAATAACCTTCTGCTCCATCTATTGAGAATGATGATTGATCTGATAATTTGATTTGTTTATTTGTGGTGGTTTCTAGTTCTTTCAAAAATTGTTTACCGTAATCTAGAGATAATGGTTTAAAAGTTGTGATGTCCTGTTGGTGGGTTTTTGTTTTGTCTTTTTTAAGTCCTGAAATTAATGGAGATTGTTTTACCGAATGTTGACTAACAAGTAAACTAATTAATGATCTATTGGTATTCTTTTTAGAATTCTTGTTTGGTGCTAGTTGATCAAATACTTCATCATCTTGTAGGAAGATACTTTTGATGTTTGAAGCTACGTCATTCAATCTTTTATTTTTGGTTTTGTATACTGATGCCTTAGTTGGACTTTGTTGTTTGGGTTGTCTTTTTTTGAAGGGTTGTTCTGTATCAGAATCTGATTCATGAATTTCTGCTTCTGATCCAGACAGTAGATTTTCTTCGTCTGCAATTACAATTGATGCTTTTCTTTTAATTCTTCTTCCTCTTTTGGTTGTTTCATCAATTTCCAATTCAACATCACTTCCATAATTTATTTCATCTTCTTCTTTAACTTCTGTTTTGGAAGCTTTGATAATTCTTTCAGCTAGAAGTCTATCTTGTTCATTTAATAATTCATCAAAATCATCTTCATCATCCATTAACTTATTATATAAAGTACTATTAGCTCTTTTTCTAGCTGAGTGATCTAAATCTGAAGTTGATCTTTTCTCAGGTGATCTTAAACCTGCCCTTCCATTTGGTGTTTTAACTGGTGATAGTATGGTTTTTTTGGTAGGTGATAGCACAAGATTTAGTAGACTATCTTTCTTCAAAGGTGATCTAAACGGACTATTCATTTGAGTTGTAGTATATTCATCTGTATTTGAATAAATGAGTGTTTGGTTGTAAATGTTTTTAAATTTGGCTGCGAATCACGAAAAATATTTACATACAAAATCTAAGTAACATAAAGATAAAAAACAAAGATCAATCAACTACTATCATGAGTTCAAATACTTTCATAATATGTACAAGATGTCTAGGAGATTCAAAATTCATCAAAATGACAAAACATGAAAATGGAGAAGAATGTAAACAATGTACAAGACCTTTCACAGTATATAAATTTAGAAATGCATCAGCTTCAACAAAACCTTTGAGTACAGTAATATGTGAAACGTGCGCAAAAGCACGAAGTAGTTGTCAAATCTGCTTATTAGATAAGGAGTTTGGAATACCTGTTGAATTAAGAGATGCTGCTTTGAAAATGGCCGGGTTAGAACCTATTTCAATACTACGAACTTCAAAGAATAGAGAAGTTAAAGCTATTATGGCTGATAAATTGGAAAATTCATTTAAAAACCAGAAACAGAATGATGAAAAAGCAAAAGAATTATTATCGAAACTAGCGGAAAAATATAATGATCAAAATTCAACTGAAGAAAATACTACCAATAAAGATGAATCTAGTAGTAAATCTATATCAAAATCATTTAAAAAACTACCTTTTAGTAACTCATTAAACTCAGATAAATATCCAGAACTAACTACTTTTTTCATATTTGGATTCCCAACAGATTTCCCACAATACCTACTTTCAAAATATTGTTCAAAATTCGGTCAACTTAAAAGTATAAATATAAATCATAGTTGTCGTTGTGGATATATAACATTTGAAGATAGATCATCATCAGAAATATTTGCTAGTTCAGTAAATGAAAATGGTCTTAATAATAACACCAAAACCGCAGGGTTGATTAATATAGATAATTATCCAATGAGAGTATGTTATGGTAAACAAAAACCTCTAGGTAAGACTAATGAAGATCAGAAACAATTGAGTTTATTGGTTGGTAGAGTTATGAAACAATTGGCTGAAAAAGATTTGAAATTTGAAAGAGATAAAGTTGCAGTTAAAAAATAGAAAGTAATACGTAATAAATTTATCAAATTTTTTTTCTCCAGACTTTTTCAACTCTTATCAACTAGAACAATGATATGAGTTTAGAATCATATTTCTGTTTAATTGTATTTTTATCATCAATTCCTATAATTTCATTATTCATTAGATTAATATGTATATTACCATTCACTAAAATATCAAAATCAATTAATGATTCAAAAAAATCAATAAAACCATTTAAAGGGTCAAAAATTTCAATTTTTTTAGGATCAGGAGGTCATACAGGAGAAATGTTAAAACTAATATCAAAATTAGATATATCTGATTTAAAAACAACTTGGATTTATTCATCTGGTGATTTATCCTCCATAAATCAAATAAAACAACATAATCAAAATGCACACCTAATAGAAATACCTCGAGCAAGAAAAGTAGGTCAATCATATCTAACATCAATTCCAACAACACTATACTCATTTCTAATATCATCAATAACATTGCTAAACCACAATCCCAAAATCCTATTATTAAATGGTCCAGGTACTTGTATTCCAATAGCATATATTTTATTTTTCTACAAAATTTTCGGATTAAACAACACTAAAGTTATATATATTGAAAGCTTGGCTAGAGTCAACAAATTAAGTCTTAGTGGGAGGTTAATCATGCCTATTGCTGATCGATTTATCGTTCAATGGGAGAATTTATATCATCAGTATAATAGAGCTGAATATTATGGGATTTTGTTGTGAATAATATTCAGGTGGAAAAATTGGTTGTTTACACATAGTTGCGTGATACTTTTGAATTGCCGGTCAAATCAGATTAAAAATTGGAGTTGTATACTGTCCTTTAAATTTTTAGAATAAATTTTTAGAATCAATATCAAAATTAATCTCTCAGATATCTCAATTGTTTCTTTAACCAGTCAAACTAGTGAGACTCAAACTAACTTTATTCTATCATAAACATTCATTAAAACTAAACTCTATATCCACTAATTTTCTTTCCATCTATTCCCACATTTAACACATTTATAAAAAGTAGTCATTGGCTCATCAGCAGATCTAATTTGTAATTGAAAAAAATAAGCTTTATCACCACCACAACTATCAATAGGACATTGAGCAGCAGTTTGATCAACATTATCCCATGTACCTTCACCCCCTAAAACATCATCTACTTCTTTTCTATGTAATTTTTTACGATCAAACATTTGTAATCCTTGGATTTTGAATTCATACGGACATGTTGAACAATAGAATCTATTTGATCCATCGTCTGCTGGTGATATTAGTAGCATGTTTGAGCAATTTGGGCAAAATGTAAGCATGATGTGGTTGGATTGTATATATGATTTGATAATGTTATGTATTCTCAAATCGATATTTGTACCAAGATAATTTAATGGAAATGAGTTGATCCATATCTAGAGTGCTACCAAATTTTAGATAATTTTTCAGAAGATGATTAGAGATGTGAAATTCGTCAACAATAGTCTACAGTAAAGTAAGATGGTCAAATCTATTAGCATGATCGGTGATGGATCAAGATTCTTTCAAATCTCTTCATAGAAGACTCAATCTTGCAAAAAATCTAAAAGCAAAACTCCTTTGTTTTCCAGTCTTCAAAATCTTAAATTACCTGTTAGTAAAATGCCCCCGTATTAATTATCAATGAAAATATAATCTTCTAATTTGATCAATTTCTCTTTTATTGTCAGTGTTAAAAAGCTCTGATATTATAATTGTATCCACATGAATTGTTTCAGTTGAAGAAATTCGTTGTTGTAAAATAATAATTCATCATTAAAAAAAAAGAATTGATTGAAATTTTGAAGATTAATTTGATAAGAAATCAATTAAAAACATACTCATCTGTTTATTGATTTGAAATCAAATTGATATAAAATGAAACATGAACTGAATTTGATTAAAAGAAGAAAAGTGATGTTTAAAAAATTTCGTAAATTAAAATTTAAGAAAATTTATTTAAGAGAGAGAGAAGAGTTTTGAGTCTTGAAGTAGCACAAATATTTGAATAAATAGAATTAATTTAATAACCTGTTTCACTAGTAAGTAAATTTAGTTGAAAGTGTCAATGTAACATTTTGGCGAGTGTAACCAATAAAATAATCGACTAACTTAACTGAAGAACAATGCCATTTTCTATGTGATTAAAACCTTAGGCAATGTTTTTGGTTTTGGTACTCCAGGCTCGCCCCAATGAAAAAACAAATCTCGCTGTAAGTTGGTACTCTATTTCAAGCTAGATAGACCTAAATTCAACTTTGCCTCTTTAAGTAAACAAAAATAATAATTTAAACGAACGAAAAATAAAAATTTCAAATATCAAAAAAGATAAGATAGATACTAAAACATTTTACAACCAAATTCTATTACTAATATATTCAATCCTCATAACAACTCAATATGTCTACGGAAATCAAGATAGATAAAAAAGTAGTACCAAAAGAACCAGATCATTATACATTTATGACACCAAGATGGATATATAATATGTATTATCATCATTTCCCATTTACAATGTTAACTACAATAGAAAGTTTTTTATTACATGGATTTCTACTATTATTTGTATTCTTTATTGTGTTTGGTATATATTCTTATTTACCTACAAGTCTAATGATTAGTTTATCAAGAGGTTATTATTATATATTTGGTGATGAAGATTTAAAATCAAAATTAGGTATACAAGATTAAACTAAAAGTTATATTTTTGACATAAAAATAAGAGAGACACACTGTATTAATACTATACTAAAATTTTCATTTTTATAATCTAATAAAACAATTATAGTACGTTCAACATAGTTATATGTTGTAATCAAAATTGAACTCTTTTCAAACCATCTTTTAATTCATTTCTTTATATCGGATTTAATAAAATTAATTTAAATCCTATGAAAAAAATTAATACGCGTTGTTTACATAAATTACAATTTTTATTAAATAGATCGATTTATTTTGGCAGCTTAAATCGTTACAACCAAATCATTTAAATCAATACCTAGCTTGATAGAGATGAGTTGAAATGTTTAGTAAACCAAATGCACCATTCAAACCACCAAGATTGATTAAAAAAGAAGATGCACAACCACAACCACAATTACAATTACAAACAAAAAATCAAAATATTCAAAAAGCGTTACCAAAGTCAAATGCACCGAGTTTAAAAAGACAAATTAATACTACTATTAATAATTCAATAATCAAGAAAGCTAAAAGTACAGAAGTTACAGGATCTTCAACTACAGAAAAATACATTGTTCAATGGAGAAGAAAAACAAATAAGAAGAATAAAAGTTGGGATGGAGATGGTCAAGCTATTATAAAATATTTAGAATCAGGTTGTGAAATAATACTAAAGGGAAGTGATGGTAAACCAATGAGTAAGAAAAAATTTCTACAATTACCAGATTTTGGTGATGTTATTGCAATAAGTGTTTATGAAATTATTTTAGATGAAAAAATTACAGAAGATTCAACAGGTGAAATTGAAATAGTGAAAGAAGCACAACTACCTCCACAAATAGTAACTACAAATTTCAAAAAAGTAGTACCTGAAAACTATACTGAACAAACTCAAATAAGAAAACCATTATATCAAGATTCAAATAGTGTATCATTAACTCCACCACCAGATTCTTCAGATTATGTACAGATTAATATAGATCCTTTATTAGCTTCAAAGTTAAGACCCCATCAAGTTGAAGGTGTGAAATTTATGTATGAATGTTTAATGGGATATAGAGATTTCAAAGGTTTTGGTTGTTTATTGGCTGATGAAATGGGGTTAGGTAAAACTTTAATGACTATTACTACATTGTGGACTTTACTAAAACAAAATCCAATACCCACCAAAAGATCACCAATAGTTAATAAAATTTTAATTGTTTGTCCGGTTACATTGATAAATAATTGGAGTCATGAGTTTAAAAAATGGTTGGGATCAAATAAAATCAATATTTTAACTTTAAATAACCCAAAATGTGATGATAAAAGAGATATTATAAATTTTGGGAAATTAAATGTGTATCAAGTATTGATTGTTAATTATGAAAAGATATTATCGCATTTTGAAGAATTATCAACTGTTAATTTTGACTTGGTTGTTTGTGATGAAGGTCATAGACTAAAAAATAATTCAGCTAAGGTTTTAGTGAATTTAAAGAAATTAAATATTCCAAAAAAGATTATACTAACAGGTACTCCTATTCAAAATGATTTAGAGGAATTTCATACAATTGTTTCATTCTTAAATCCAGAAGTATTACCAGAACTAAAGCTATTCCAAAAGGAGTTTATTAATCCAATTACAAGAGCAAGAGATGTCAATTGTTTCAACCAGGAGATTAAAAAATTAGGAGAACAAAAATCAAAAGAATTAATTGATTTAACTCATACATTTATACTCAGAAGAACTCAGTCAATATTAGAAAGTTATTTAACTGATAAAACTGATATTTTATTATTTGTTCCACCAACACAACTACAACTTTCTTTATTCAATGAAGTCAAAAAATCTGAAAAATTTAATGATTTAGATTCAGGAGCAAATTCATTAGCTTTAATTAATGTGTTTCGAAAAATATGTAATTCACCTTCATTATTAGCTACTGATGAATACTACAAATCTATGGGTTTGAATCCAAAATTGTCAACAAGTTCGGGTAAACTAAATGCTTTGATTCCTTTAGTATTGGAAATTGTTAAACATAATGAAAAAATTGTATTGATTTCAAATTATACAAAAACTTTAGATTTTTTGGAACTTGTTATAAACAAATTGAACTTGAAACATTTAAGATTAGATGGCTCTACTGCTAACAATCTTAGAAATAAGCTAGTCAATCAATTCAATAAAGATGAACTGATTAATATCTTTTTGTTATCGTCAAAATCAGGTGGGATGGGTATTAACTTAGTTGGTGCATCAAGATTAATTCTATATGATAATGATTGGAACCCATCATCAGATTTGCAATCGATGTCAAGAATCCATAGAGATGGACAATTAAAACCATGTTTCATATATAGAATTTTTACAACGGGATGTATTGATGAAAAAATCTTTCAACGACAACTAATGAAAAATAAATTAAGTTCAAAATTTTTGGATAATGATAACTCATCAACTTCTGATGTTTTTGATTATAATGATTTAAAGAATTTATTCAGTATTAATGAAGGTACGAAATCAAATACTCATGACTTATTGGAATGTTCATGTTGTGGAGATGGTGCTTTGGTTTTAACTCAAGAAGATGAATCATCTTCAGAAGAAGAAGATCTTTTTAAAGTATCTAGATCATTTTTGTCTGCATCAGATTTACAAAAAAAAATAGATGAAGAAGGTATTAAAAAAAAAGCTGTGAAAAAAGCATTAAATGATTATGTGCATTATGATCCTGAAAATTTTAAAAGCTTAGACTTTGATTCCGTGTTGAGTAACATTGTTGGTAATAAATCTTATGATCAAAAATTACCATTTACTTATATAATGCAAAAAAGTACTAATAAATAATTCATAACTCGCGTATAGAAAGTAAATTTTTCTAAATATATACAAGTTAATAGATATACAAAATGCAAAGAGCATAATTAAACAACATAAGGAATACTAATCAATAGACTACATATTTTTTTAAACCTGAAGTATTTTTTATTTATAAATAACTATATATAAATTAATCTACTTATTTTTTAGCAGCTTTTTGGGCAGCTTTGGTAACTTTACCAGCTTTGTCTGATTTTTCAACTGATTTGATAACACCAACAGCAACAGTTTGTCTCATATCTCTGACAGCGAATCTACCTAATGGTGGGTAGTCAGTGAAAGCTTCAACACACATTGGTTTGGTTGGAACCATTTTAACGATAGCAGCATCACCTGATTTGACGAATTTTGGATTTTCTTCTAATTTTTTACCAGTTCTTCTATCAATTTTTTCAATTAAAGTATCGAATTTACAAGCAATATGAGCAGTATGACAATCTAAAACTGGAGAGTAACCAGCTGAAATTTGACCTGGGTGATTTAAAACAATAACTTGAGCATTGAATGAATCACAACCTTTTGGTGGATCGTTTTTAGAATCACCACAAACGTTACCTCTTCTGATTTCTTTAACTGAAACGTTTTTAACATTGAAACCAACATTATCACCTGGAACACCTTCGGCTAATTGTTCATGATGCATTTCAACGGATTTAACTTCAGTAGTAACACCAGCTGGGGCAAAAGTAACAACCATACCAGCTTTAATGATACCAGTTTCAACTCTACCAACTGGCACAGTTCCAATACCACCAATTTTATAAACATCTTGTAATGGTAATCTTAATGGTTTATCAGTTGGTCTTGATGGTGGTTCAATAGCATCAATAGCTTCTAATAAAGTTTTACCAGTTGATTTACCAGCTTTAGTTTCTTTTTCCCAACCTTTATACCATGGACAGTTGGCTGATGGTTCAATCATATTGTCACCATTCCAACCTGAAATTGGAACGAATGGAACGGTTTTTGGATTGTAACCAACTTTTTTAACGAAATTTGAAGTTTCTTTAATAATTTCTTCAAATCTATTTTTATCCCATTTAACTGAATCCATCTTGTTAACAGCAACAATTAATTGTTTGACACCTAAAGTATAAGCTAATAAAGCATGTTCTCTAGTTTGACCATCTTTTGAAATACCAGCTTCGAATTCACCAGTACCACCAGCAATAATTAAGATAGCACAATCAGCTTGTGAAGTACCAGTAATCATATTTTTGATGAAATCTCTGTGACCTGGAGCATCAATAACAGTAACATGATATTTTGGAGTTTCGAATTTCCATAAAGCAATATCAATAGTAATACCTCTTTCTCTTTCAGCTTTTAATTTATCTAAGACCCAAGCATATTTGAAAGAACCTTTACCTAATTCAGCAGCTTCTTTTTCGAATTTTTCAATGGTTCTTTTATCAATACCACCACATTTATAGATTAAATGACCAGTGGTGGTTGATTTACCTGAATCGACGTGACCAATAACAACGACGTTAACGTGAGTTTTTTCTTTACCCATTGTATATTAAATTAAAACTTTTAAAGTTGTTGAAAAAGAAAGGGATAGAAAGAAGAAAAAATTTTTGAAAAATCAAATGAGATTTATAATTTTGGTAGTTGAGAAAAAATGAAAACGTAAGAGAAAAAAAAAAATTTTTAGTTGTTCTCTCAGCAAACAAAGGAAAAAAAAATTGTTTTGCAGTGATCTAATTGGGGCAACTGAAACAAAAATTTGGTTGGGTGTCGTTCTAATTTTTGGGCCAGTCCTCGTGCTACAATTGAAAAGTAATTTTTCAGCAAGTTTTATTTTTTCAAAATACTAAAAGAAGAAGTGTAAAAAAGTTGTATATAGAGAAGAGTTAGTAACTCGTTGTAATTTCTTTCTTGAAACTTGAATCAATGAAGTACTTATTGTAGTTTCAAAAAGAGGTGAATAAAAAGGTTAAAAAATGTTTAAATTTGAAAAAAAAATTTGGTATATTAAAAAGTCATCACGTGCTCGTAGAATCATTAAGGGTTTTCACCGCTTTCTTCTTTTTTTGATATGTACTAATTGATCAACTTCATCATTACTTTGCTCAATTGAATTTTCCAACTTCTTTAGAAGACGCTCTTGATTATTCATTGATTCAACATCTTCATATCTAATTTGTGATGATAACTGTTCACCATTTGTAATGTCGAAATTTTCTTTATTTTGATGATTTTGTTCAACTTCTTCTGTTGACATTGTTGATCTTGATAAATCCATTATTTTATTTTTAATTGATTGTGGTGATGATCTACCTATTAATTTACCATATTTTTGTTTTCCCTTGATTTTTCTTGGTGATGGTAATTTTACTAAATTCTCATCATCACTTTTATCAATCAGTTTTGTTGAAAATACTTCTTCATTCATGTTTTTAATATATTCTATTAATGATTTTGGTCTTGTATAATTGATAGGTGCATATATACACCATTGATGGTTTGTTATTTCTGGCATCAACAATATAGATTTATATTGTGAAATTTCAAATATTTCCCATAAATAACCAATTGAAACAACTGGGATATTCCATTTTTTAGCAGCATCTATTTTACTTTTAGCTGATAACAAGGAAACTGAAGATTGTCCTGATTGATAAGTTGGACAATTCAAAATGTCTTTACATTTGTATTGAAATAATTTTGGTGAATTTTTCATAAAACTTTCTTTAAATAAATTGATATTAAGTATTAATAAATCTCTTTGATCAGATAATGAATCACAATACTCAAAATTTAAAAATTTTATAAGTTTCCCAATGTGTAATAACTCAATACCTGTGAATCCTGATGTTGAAATTTTAAATTTTTTGGTGGATGGCATTAATCCTTTAATTGGTTGTCCCCATCTATCCAATATAACTTTTTGATAAAAAATACATCTTTCAATGAAAAATTCAGTCACTAATTTAATTTCTCCATTAGTGATTCTTTGTTTTGTCTCGTTTGGTAACATTTTTAATGTTGATGATGTTTGACTTCCTTTGTTTGCTGGTATTAAAATATGACTTATTGAATTATCATAAACATCTTTTGTAATTTCACCTTGAAATGTTTCAATTCTTTCACTTAATAAATCTGATTCCCTTGAATTTAAACCAACTAATAAAAAATTAAAACCTAAAAACAAAGTACTTTTACTTCTTTCAGTTGGTGGTTTTATTTCAATTGATTCATCATTTTCAGAATCACTTTCTTCATCATCCCATGTATTATCCTTTTGTTTGGTTTTAATTTGAACTTTGGTGTTGTCCATTATTGAATTCCAAATTTCTGCTTTATTTGATTTTTTAGGTTTTTTAGGTGCATCTTTTGGTGGTGGTGGTAATGTTACTTTTTTAATTGGTTTTGGATTAAATATTTGTTCCCATTGAATACATCCATTTTCATATAAATCTTTATTGTCTTCTTTTAGTATGTAATCTTGAAAATCTAATGCTGCACCTCTTAGTATACTATCCAAAATCCAAATAGGATGTACCACGGAAATTTTCCATTCAATTGCTTTATCATATCTTGTACCTCTTGGATCAGCACTTATCATGCAATCTTGATTATTCAGTAACGATTCTTTCGCTTTACCTCCATTGTCAATGATTAATTGCATTAAGTTCTTTGAAGTGAATTGATCTTCTTTTATACGTGATTTTCTGAAAGATGATTCTTCTATTAAGTACTTTATTTGTGATTGTGGTAGATCAACTCTTGAAAAACATGCATTTATTTCATTAAAAACTGGTAATTTATAATCATCAAGCCGTATTTCGTCACTCTCACCTAAAATCCATTTTTCATATGCCTTTATAATTGAATCTTGAGTTAAAAATATAATATCTGATCTATTCTTTATACAAAATTTATATTTTTCAGTTTTCCTATTTCCAACAATCAAGTATTGTACATCTGTCATTAAATCATCATAATTTATTCCTCCTAATGAATCAATGTTTTTTATAATTTGTAATCTTATTTTAGTTTCTACTCCAGTACAACAGAATGTTTGTCCCGTTAATGGTTTCTTTGTTTTCATCTCATAATTTATAATTGATTTGAAACAGTTAGTTGGTTGTTTAGTTTATCGCATCTTTTTTTAGTTCTTTTTGCAACAGTTTACGCGTTTGTACTATAAATGATATAATAGTAAATTATATAGCTATATGTAAAACAACTAATAGAAAATTAAACTGGTATAGCAGAATCAGCAGTTGTAGCACCAGTACCATTTTGATCTAAAATATCAAATAATGAATTGATTGAAGATTCAATTGAATTTGTTGGAATAAGAATTAAATTTTTTTTACATTTTAATTTTCTTGAGAAACAAAAAAAATGATTATTTGGTAATGATAAGTTAGTAGTAACATGACGAGCAGGAACAATTGATTCATAATTTGGTGGTAAATTTAAATTAGTGTCTACTTGTTTTAGCAACTTTTGATATTTTTTTTTACGTTTTAATTGAAATAATTTACCAATTGATTTAAAAAATTTAATTAACTTTGATTTTGTTTTATGTGCTTTAGTACTTAATACATCTTCATCAGAAATAAATGGATTTGAATTATATCTTGGAATATCATTTGAGATTTCTTCATCAATTGATCCAAACATTGCCATTCTAGTGTTTGTAGGTTCACTGTTAAACCAAGACATTTTGAAGATGTTCCTTGGTTGTTGATTTTTATATTTTGGTTGCCAAATTTTTAAAATAGTTGCAAAAAAGTAATTTATATATATTTATATAATATATATATATATTTCTTACAACCAAATTTAAATATTTACTAAAAATTACACATTTCTATCTGATATTAAAGTAATAATTAAAATCAATGAGCAATACACTTAAGAATAGATTTATTAACCACGATACTTAAACTTGAAACTCGATTTCAATGAACAACTTCTTTAATTCTCAAAACTTTTGCATCAAAGTGAAATACATCAAAAAAAGAAAAAACATAATCAATTTGTGTATAGTTTTTAAAACAGGAATTTCAATAGACTTGAATTTGTAGATTCCTTGAACTACTAATTTTGTGATAAAAAAATAATAGAGAAATAGTAAAGAATTTTTAGATACTATAAGTTACTAATAACTCAAGTAATGATAGAGATCAATGTTTCAAAATATTTTATTCCATTAGATCTATCTAAAAAAAATTGAAAAATTCATTGTAGATGGTCCCTAGCAGGATCGAACTGCTGATCTTGGCGTTATTAGCACCACGCCTTAACCAACTGGGCCAAGGGACCATTTTTTTTAAAAAAAAATTGTTGGGTTTTTAAAGTAGCACAAAAAAGGAACTGATTTCTGAAGTTATTAAGAGAACATCAGAACATCAGAACATCAGAATTCACACATCTATAGTTAAGTTGTACATTATAAAAGTCTAACCATTTTCACCTCTAGATTTAGTCCATTCAGATGATCCAGTTTGTCTACCCTTCGGTATATTTGATGAAGGAGTTGCTTTTCCATCACTGCTGATATATTCCCTATTTCTAGGAACAATAATTTGTTCATAAACTTGTAGCATTACATCTCTGTGACTATTTTCTTGCTTCAATAGACTACAAAAATCATGTAATTTTTTATAATTATAAAATTCAATCACTTTTTTGACTTCTTTTGGATCAACAACCTCTTTTTGTTCAATTTGTTTTACTTTAGTAATATATTTATCACTTAAATCAACAATACTATTCATATTAAATCCAATAACATATGACATTCTTTTACCCCAATTATTACAATATAATAAAGGTTCATCAAATACTGCTTCACATGGATCTAAATGTACCCATTTTCCCAAACCATAAGAATAATATTCACACCAAACATGATCTTCTTGATTTAAAACATACCTTATTCTATCTTTACCTTCTCCAATTAGAGCTTCTAATATTAACAAAAAGCAATTAACCCACTCTCCACATCGACCTTTCCTTGTATTTAATAGTGACACTGGATTATTAATTCTGGGGAATTCTATAGATTTTTTACATTTCAAACATTGATACACTTCAATTATTGATATTTGGTCAAGGTTGTTTGGTGGTGGCTTTTTAATCCCTTTATGTTCAATTTGTTCACTATTGCCACAAGTACAACTTGGTGAATTAACCCATTTAAAAAAATCATTTTTGAAATAATGTAATAATTCCAAAACTATAAAATCATCATATCTCAAATTCGGGTTCTGATTCTCTTTTTCTCTTTTTTCAACATTTTCATATATTTTGGGTAAATCTATTGTATTTAAAGCTATATCTAAAGAATTTGGATTTTTATATGGTAAAAGGCAATTTGCATGTGAATGAATTGAACGTATTAATGGTAAGTTTGCGTTTGCTTGAATATCTTTAAAATCTATTTGAGGGTTCTGACTGAGCTGCTTTTTTGCATAAGCTATTATAAGATCATCTTTTAGTTTCTTGTAATCTATTGGTGACATAGTCTTGTTGAAGAAGTAAAAAGTGTTATTAAATTTGATCTACAAAAAATATTGCACAAAGATAAATTGATTTTTGTATTATGATTATACATTGTCCTTAGAATCAACTTCTTCTCCTATCTCAACTTCAGGGTTTACTTCTTCTTTTGATTCTATTTCTTCTTCATCTTTATCTTTGATCACTTTTCTGGGAGGTAAAACTTTATTAAATGCTTCTCCCCAATCTTTATATTCAAACCATTTACTACAAATTTCGTAAACATGAGATGTAACTAAAACATTCCTACTATTCAATTTAATATATTTGCCAATTGGTAATCTCCCACATTTTAATCCTAATTTTTTGGCTTTATCATAACATAAATTTTTATGTCTGTTTTTATCAACTATTCCCCCAATTATATATGTATGATTTGAAGTTAATTCCATAAGGTCGTCGTCTGTATCAGCAGTCAAATACACAAATTGGTCTTTATTTTCTGGAGTTATCAAATCTTCAATTGAGGAAGAAGTAAATTCAATTTCTTGCCAATTTTTGTAATCTGATAATGAAGTTTCAAATCTTTCTTTTAGTCGTTTGTTAAATGATGTGATTTGCAATGGGAGTTTATAAAGTGAATGTCTCATTATTGAATAAGATGTTTGTATTTGTCTAGCCATTGAAGTGATTTCTTTTATATTCATTAAATCATCAAATTCACAATCTATTATAAAATTAACATCTGTTGGGATTTGCTTTTTGGGCTTTTTCACAATTGAGTTTTTATATTCATCATCGTTCTTTATTCTTTCCCTTTTTCTTTCTCTTTGCAATTTCTTTTTAGCTCTCATATCTTCTCTAAATTGATCTTTTGTTTCTTCCCATCTTTGTTGTTTTTGAGTTTTTTTGTATTCACGTCGTGACATTCCTTCGGGGATTACTTCATTTTGTTTTGCTTTTCTTCGTCTCTCAATTTCTTCAGCTGATGGTGGGTTCTTCTTCACCTTTTTTGGATGTGGTTGATCCATGATGATGATGGAGCTAAAAAAAATCACAAAATTAATTTATTTGTTGCAAAATTTTGTAACAAATTCAATTTCTGGTTATCACGTCTAACGCGTAACCAAATAACATTTCAAATTTTAATGATTCAACTTTAATGGCAAATACTTTCAATGGTGAAATTTATGAAATACCTGGAATATATGTTGATAAATTTCACAATAAAGGGGAATTATATTTTTTAACTCATTCTCATCAAGATCATTTACAAGGTTTATTATCAAAAAGTTTTTGTAATAAAGTTTATTGTCTGAAATTAACAAAAGACATTATTGCATTAGATTCAAGATATGATGACAAATTAAAATATTTAATACCTGTGGAATATGATAAACCTTTTGAATTACAAACTTTCACATCAACTGTAACTATAACAATGATTGAAAGTTATCATTGTCCTGGATCATCAATGTTTTTATTTGAAAGTCAGGGAGTTTCAGTGTTGGTGACTGGTGATATAAGAGCTGAGGATTGGTGGACTTCATCATTAATAAAAAATGGGAACTTATTCCCATACATCACAGGCTCTAAAAAATTAGATCAAATTTATCTTGATACAACTTTTAGTTATCGTGGAGAACCATATATTAAAATTATGCCCAATAGTGATGGAGTTGTTGCATTAATTGAATTATTAAAATTATATCCAAAAGATCAAGATATTGAATTTTCATTTGTTGATGCTGTTTCTGGTTCTGAAGAAATTTGGTTACAAGTTGTTGATCATTTTAATGGGTCTTTATCAGCAAATTCAATAATTACCGAAAGAATTAAATTAATTAGAGATTATCAATCCAAAAAAGATGGACCAGTGTTTAATGTTGGTAATCTAAACAAAAATGTTCCAGTAATGATTGCAATTAAACATACTATCAATTTCAATATTGTTGATTATGCTGGGTTTTGTTTACCTATGAGAATTGATGAAGTAGACACTAAACAATTAAAATTGATACATGAACTTCATAACGGACATCAACTTTATTCATATCAAGATAGACAATGGTTACTACCCAATAATGGAGTAGAATTACTACCCACATGCTTAATGCTTATGTTTTCACGTCATTCATCATATGAAGAATCAATGAAATTTGTTGCACTTTTCCAACCAAAACTGGTTTATCCATGTACAGATTCAAGAAAGTCTTGGTTAAATGGTTTTACAATGGAAAGAATATTTGGATCAGTATGTTCATCAAATGATCATAGATATGATAAAGAAAAATTAAAACAATTTAGTTCACCTGATAAATCAATCCTAGAGAGAAAAGTAGTTTCAATAGATCGTTGGTCATTTTCGCAATGTTTACAAGAAGTTGATTTTATTGATCAATACACCAAAAAAGAAAAACCATTCAAAGGAGTACTTAAATTAATTGATGATAATGGAGATAAAGCAGCTTATTATTCATACGTTAGAGATTTTAAATTACAATCAATTATAGCAGGTAGAAATGAAACAAAATATAAAGATGTTATTAATTATCATCAAGATTTAAAACAAATGAAATTAAATAAAATGGATCATGGATCAGCATCAGAAACAGAATCAAGCGTACCAACATTGAATTCAGATACAACTTCTAAAACTAGTAATGCAACTGAACTAGATTTTGTACAATCTAGTGTATATACTGAACAATCAATTTCAGAAAAATCTACAAGTAATCTTTATTTATCACCTTTTATAAATCATAAACAAATTAATGAAATTGCTGATAAATTGAAAAAGGATAAAAGAAACTGGAATGGAATGATTTTGAAGTCAATAAGTTTAAATAAAAACAAAGTATCAAAGTAAAAATAAAATTATTAATTTGATTTATCAGGCATATATCATACAATTACATTTAAATAGCATTACACATAATCAAACAAAAGTTATACAATTAATATTAATAGCATTACAAACATAAAGATTTTTATTACATAAATAAAAACAATCAACTTCATATAGTACATTTATAATTTACAATTAACAAACATAATTTAGTAAAGTTTTTTCAGATATTTCCTCTTATTTCAAATTTGTTGTCCTATTTTATTTTTACCCTATTTAATCATAGTTGAAATAGATGCAAAACGTTGAGTCTCTTCCGTACATGTCAAATCAGAATCTCTTGCTTTTTCAAATTTTTAGCTTGCTATTATTTGTTACCAATAAAGTATATACCCTATTTTATCTCAATAAATACTTGAACATCGTCTAATCATTTTCTTCAAAGAATTGCTATATTCAAAAGTTTCTTTATTTCCAGCATCGTTATTGTTGTATAATTCCATTATATCTTTTAATTTACTTTCTAATTCTTTATTAAAACGACTTTAATTTTTGAGTTGAAAGACAAATGAGGCTGCACGATTTGTATCAAATTGATCAATGTTATCATTAACTGAGACACTTATAGCTTCCATTATATGCTTAATAGTTGTTGGTGAAGATCTATGAAAGTTGGAGATTGAGAATACACTTGATTCATATAGATATTTTGAGTTTTATCTGCAATGATTTTGAATTTAAGAATGAGATGAAGATCTGTTTTGAATCGACTTTACTGATATAAAAATCATGCTAATCTCATCAAACCAAAAACTAAATCTGCAATGAATAATGTGTCATTTGAGGACTATTTTAATTTGGTTATTGATAATTTTATGTAATTCTGAAATGTTAACGATAAGATAAAAAAACTCCACAAAATTTAAAAAATAATATGAAACAGGCATCGACTTCATTCAATACAAAATTAAATAATGTCATTAGAACCCAAAACAACAGCTCAAATAACATTAAAAACATCAAAGGGAGACATACAATTACATATTTTTGCAAAAGAATTACCATCAGTATCAAAACAATTCCTTCAATTATGTCAATTAAAAAAATTCAATCATCAAAAAATCAAAATAGATAATTCAAAAAATTTCATAACTTTACTACCTCAAATAGAAACAAAACTAGAGAATGAATCAAATTCAAGAATTAAATGTAAAAGAGGATATTTAAGTATATACAATAATTCATACGTACTAAGTTTATCTGAATTAAATAATTTAAAGTCAGTTTTTGGGAAGATTAGTAACGAATCTTGGTATATTTTACAAAATATTTCAAAACAATTAGAACAAAAAAAAGAAGTAGTTATACTAGAAACGATAGTTGATGTACCGTATTTTGAATTAGATCAAGTTGAAAACGAAGAAGAGGTTGAAAAACCGAAATTGAAGAAAAGTAAAATTACCATAAATTATAATGATGAAGAAGAAGAAGAAGAAGAAATTAAATTGGTAAGTGCTTATGATATGAAAAAAAGTGGGAAAAATCAAGAAAAGAATCAAAATGTTAATAATGATGAGTTAAAATTAGAAAAGGAAGAAAATGATAAAAATGATATAGAAGATGAAATCGAAAAAGTACAAGCAGAAGAAAATCTCAGTCTAAACGTTGAAAATAAAAATGATGAGAATGAAGAAGCAGCGGAAAAAGAAGAAGAAGAAGAAGAAGAAGAAGAAGAAGAAGAAGAAGAAGTAGAAGAAGAAGAAGAAAATTCAGATTCAGATTCAGAAATAGAACCAGATCAACAACCGATTCCAAATCCAACAATAGATTCCCCTTACAATCCACAATTAGATCTCCAAAAAGCAGAAAATATAACACTACAACAATTGAAAACCCATAAGTTCATACCTACATCAACATACTAAGCTAAAAAAGTGTTTATATTAAAAAATATACATATCTAATCATATATATCATAATTTATAAGAACTAAAAATTAAATTATCCTTTTCTCTCTCTCTTTTTATTCTTCACATGTATACCCAGGTAAATCATTATGATCATTAGTTAAGTTTTTTAATTCATTATCGGTTGTTGTGGTGGTGGTGGTTGTTTCATTAAACCAAGGATGTTTTAATAATGAACTTGCATCGTATCTTTCTCCAGTATTAAATTTAAGACATTTTAATATTAAATCAACAATAAGATGAATTTCAGGATCATTTTTTGGAAATTTATATTTTTCAACCAAAACTTGTTCAAGACCCCAATATTTTAAATTATCTATATTTTTGAAAATAATTTGTTTATGATTTTTTGGATCTAATTTGAAAAATTTACCAGTTAATTTACAATCAACTAAATATTCATCATTTGGGAAAGCACCCAACAATTCAACAATTTGAGCTAAATGATCTTCATCTTTATCGAAAAATTTCCCATCATGAGGATCAAATAAAAAATCTCCAGTTATTAGTTCAAATATTATACATCCAATACTCCATATATCTGTTGATGAACCCCATGATTTATACTTGAGTAAAATTTCAGGTGATCTATATTGTCTTGTTTGAATTTGATTTGTAAAATGTTCATTTGTATATGTTGCATTACCTAAATCTGCAATTTTTATAGATAATTTTTTGGTGGTTTCATTAGTTGGTAATTTTCGGGTTAAATCAAAAATTGAGAAATTTTTGGGGGAGATTGCTTTTGATATTGATAATTTTCTAACTTTATCAAATTCAACATCTTTAAAAAATACTTCTTGTGACATTTGTGAACAACATAATGGTTTTGATGATCTTATTGGTGAATCATATTTACCATGTATGGAATTTTTGGAACGACGATAATAAAAACTTGATGATTGTGAATTTGTTGATACAGTTGAAGAAGCTCTTGGTCTTTCCTCGGGTGGTTGTTGTAAAACAGTTGAACTTGAAGTTCTACTAAATAGTTGTGGTTTATTGAATGAATTTTTTTTAATAAGTGAAGCTGCTCTAGTTAATGAATTTGTTCTTGATAATTTTTTATCTTCTTCAATTGTTTTAATTAATTTATTAATATCTTCAATATCAATTAAAATATTTTCTGGTTTTAAATCTGTATGAATAATACCACAATGATGCATATAATCAATTGCTAAAAGCATTTGCTTAACAATTTGTTTTACTAATGTTAATGGTATTCCTCCACAATTTTTGGAAGTTTCAATAATTCTAATTAATGAATTTGAATTTAATGATTTTAATTTTTTATCAATACAGTTTTCCCATGATCCTACTGTTGTTGTTGAAGTTGTAGAATCAGAATCTTCATTCATAACTGGTGAAACTGTTAATGATGAAGTTGATGATGATGTAGTAGTTGATGTGGGATCTTTCATACCCAAACTTAACATTGATTTTGTTTTTTTACTTGGTTTTGTTTCTAATTTATTAAATTTCATTGGTTCTTCATCTCCACTACTACTTGAACTGTTTTTCTTTTTAATTTCTTCATTTACATTTTTATAAAATTTTTTGTACTTGTATATGAGGTTTAAAACATTTTCTCCTAATATTTCAAAAACCATACATATGTGGTTACCATTTGGTCCAATGATTTCAAAATCATCAAGTAATTTCATTAAATGATTATAACCTGGATGATCTTGTGGTTTTTGATTTTCAAAATATTTATATTCTTTTGGTAAATGTTCACTGGTGGTTGGATCATTTAGGGTTTTTAAAATTCTTATTTCATCTTTTGCTGCTTCTTTATAATTTTTATTTGATTTTACAAATTTTATTGCAACAAAATATTCACTTGAATTTTCGCTTGTTGAATCACTTAAATTTGTAACTCTTGATTTTGCTAACCAAACTGTAGAAAAATGTCCCCAACCTAGTTTTCTAAGTATGAGGTATTCTCTATTTGGTAAATTTTTACTATAATAAATATCACCTTTACAAACTGGATGATATCCACCAATTTTATAATCATATTGACTTTCTTCATGTTTTGGATCAAATTCGAGATCTGATTCAGAATCTTCTTCATCTTCATCTGTTATATCCAGTTGTTCTTCTGGAACAATTAAATCTTTATGAGGATTTGTGGTTTTTATATTTTGATTTCCAGAAAATGAACCAATTCTTAATAAACTTCTTAAATTTCTTTTAGGTTGTGGTCTTGTTGGTTCTTTTTTCTTTTTATCTTTAACTTGTGGTTCTTCTACCTCCAAATGATTACTCATTTCACTATTTTGTAAAGATATACAATCTGATGTAAATGAAGTATATCTTTCTTGATCTGATGAATATTGACTGGGGAAATAACTCAGTGCTGTATTGAATAATGAACTTTTTGTTATAGGAGTTAATTGAGGTAATGATGATTCACCGAATGTAAATTCTTCAATTCCTTCTTCTTCATCTTCTTCATCTATACTTTGTACAATTGTTATATGATTTATATCGGTTATAATATTTTGTGGTTTAACTTTTGGTGAGTTTATTTGTGGTAATGATTCAGATTTTGGTGACTGTGGTGGTGGTTGTTGTGAAAAAGATGGTAACCTTTTGAAAAGTCCTTGAATATTGAATTTTAATTTTTTATCTTCTTCTGATAATTTTTTAGGAGTTGATTCTTGTTCTTCTATTGTATCATTACTATCAAAATTCAGTATATTATTATTATTATTATTATTATTATTATTATTGTTATCATTTGTAGTAGTTGTATTATTACTACTACTAATCCTATTTATTAATATCATTTCTTTAGTGATTAGATTTGAAATATAAAAAGATTATTATTAAATAAATAAATGAAAAAAAAAAACTGTCAAAACTTTTGAGATTAAATTATAAATAAATGGATAGAATACATAAGTTGATATTGATATTGATTTGGGTTAAGTGATTGGTTTAAATTAGTTGAATAAATATATTGTTGTTAAATAGTTGATATAAACTTGAATATTTTTGGTTGTAAAAAAGAAATCAAAATTATATAAAAAGAAATTGTGGTTGAAAAAGTATAATCAAGTTGGTAAGTTTAGGATTATGAATAAGATTGTAATTGTTAAGTTCTCAAAGAATAGTTGTTATAAGTTATAGTTGTAGTTGTTGATATTAATGATGATGATATTTTGAATTAATTGTTGGTTGTAAAATATAAAAAAATTCCAAATAGTCAATATTGAAATATTATTTTATATTTAAAAGAAAGAAATCTTTTTTAATCTTTTTTTTTTGTTTTTTCTAAAAGCAAAAATAATTTTATTTTTTTTTATTTTTTTTTATTTTTAATTTTTATTGTGGTGGATAAATAAAATTAATCAAATAATAAATAATAAATTATACATACTGTACATCTAAACAGAAATTTTGTTGAACAAGGTTAAAGGAATATTCAAAAGCAATTGCAATTAGTTGTTTTAATAAAGTTTAAAAAATTGAAATAGAAATTTTAACCTTTTTTTTTCATTCATTTTGATTGAGATGTATTTTAGAATTTGAGTAGATTTAAACGGATAATTACATATCTATTACAAAATTTTAAAAATTAGTCTTATAGTTTAATTGACTAGATAAAGATAGTCTTGATATAATTGTTAATCAATTATCTAACTCTGTAAGGATAAATAATTCATTGAATTGAGAAAGTTGTAATTAATCTAATATATTTGTTAAGATGATCCCTAAAAATTTAAATTTAAAGTTTTATAAAACATTTGATATAATAGTTGTAAATCCGAACTTAATTATTCAACTACATATCATCTTACTATAACCTATAGAATCAATAGAATAAATAAAGTGGGTTATGATTTTGAAATTGAAACTGTTCATACTTTTGATATATGAAAAATTAATTTAATTAGAAAAAAGTATGGAGTAAAGTTACAAAATCATTTTTTGAGATAATAATGAGATTAAATTTTAAAATCATAAAAAACTAAAAAACAATAAACTAAACAATAATCTTTTAAATTTATTGGTCTCACTTTAAATTAACAATTAACTATAAATAAATTATCAACAGTTAATTATAAAATTACATCATAGAATATGTAAAATTTTAATCAAATAAAATATAATATTATTTAATTATTTAAATTTAAAAACAGGGAGTTTTTGGTTTAAAAATAAATTATTATAAAGACGTTGAAAAACATATTATTATAAAAAGATATATATAATATATGGCCCCCATGTGGAGTATAAAAATTTGAATCACTCAATTTATTTGTTACATGAATGAACTTCTTTTATTGAGAAGAAAAAAAAACTGCAAAACAAGTTTAAGAGATTGCCATCAATATAGTTGTGGTAGAGAAAGGCGATTTAACAAAAATTTTTATTTTTTAAAGGGTAGAAAATAAAAAATTTGTTTTGCCTTACAATTAAATGTTAATTAAATATTTAATATTTGATGCCGTACATATTAAAAATAAATTAAAAACTCGCATAAATTATTATTAGAATGCAACAATATAACCAAATTGTTAAAGAGCAAAAAAAATACTAAATTTCATTCGACGGAGCTTTGAGCTAAATTGGAATAAATAAAACTAAATTTATGGCTGAAATTATGGTTTAAATTTTTACAAATTAGTAGAGTTTACTTTAAGAAAGGGAGGTAGTGTAACTTGAAAAAGGGAGTAGTGTAACTTGAGGTAGTGTGATACTCAATTATCTTTTAATTTTATAACCGATTTTTTCTCTTTCTCAACAATTCAAATTTTAAATTTCATTCGCTTGCTATAAATAAATTAGAAGCTTTTGTTTTAAAAATGAATGATTTTCAATTTTAAATCAAATTAAATAAAAAAGAAAAATTTGACAGATTGATTTCCTTTTATTGTTTGAATTACATTGTTAAATCGTTAAATCTGATGTTTTCTTATCTATTTATTTATCTATTTTTATTATTTTAAAAGATTTAAATCTAGGTTCCTTTTTTTTACAAAGTTTTCTTGGTTAGCTTTAAATCTTTACTTAGCGCCAAATACTTAATTTATTAGATTGAATTTTAAAATTAAGTTTCAATTAAATAATTAAATTTCTTTCGCTAATGTAAAATATATTACTTCCATGTTGTATTGAAGTTATCACAGTTTTGAAAAATTTTTGTTGAAAAGCTTATTTGTAATTGATTTGAATTGCTTTTTGAATATGAATTAATATTAGGTTTGAATAAATATATTTTGCGGAGTTTTTAACGCTAACGGTTTTTATCATTCACAAATTCAGATATAATAATTTATCAAATTTATTCATTCAGTTACTTGTAAATATAATTATTTATTATTATCATTTTAATATTATTAGACACTTTGTTCAACATTTTATACTTAAAAGATCTGTACTCCCCGCATTTATTTTTTTCACTCATATAGGATCTAATCTAATTGGAATCTGGTAATGTAATAAATTTTATAATTTGGCGCTAATTGTATATTTCGGCTCAATTGATCCTTAATTTAGATAAATAATTTTATGAGTATTATAATTTGAGATTATACTATCTGATAATTTGCGGAGGATAGGAGGAATTTTTCTACAGCACAATCAATTTTTCAATATTTGTAAAATTTCAAAATCAATTTGAAATTTGACTTCGATCAATTGTTGAAGTCTAAACTTTAAACTTAAGTTTTTTCGTAAATTCTTCGGCCGAGATCTACGATTTCTTTTTCACTATATATCTAAACATTATAGGATTAAAATAAGCTCTTTGGATATACCGGCTGGAAGATCAAAGTAATAGCCTAAGTCCAAATGTGAAATAGTTTTAACATCTTGTGTTAATCATTGAATTGTCTTGTGATAATATTTCTCCTTTTTTTTTTGTTTCTTTGATCAAATTCATAAAGGATTTGGAAAGATATTCTAAGACCTTTTTCTAAAGCATTAAGAATCATACGAGTTAGAATATAGTAAGTCTACTACTAATATTAATACCAATATAGAGGGCTTAATACTTATAGGAGTAAAGCAAGAAGTTGAGCGGTGAAGAACCAATTAGTCACTAATTATTTTTGAACAATTACAAATTAGAGGGACCAAACAAGTTTGGAGAGACTAAAATATATCAATTTGCTATTTAAACACTGTGAATGGAATACACCAATTGAAATTAGTTTAAAATCTTAGTAATCACTCCAATATTTGAGAATGTTCGGAAATTGACCGTGTTAAAATTTAGTTATTGTCTTTCACAAATTTGTCCGATGAACAAGGAAAACGAAAGTTGAGAAAGACTTTACTCTGATCTAGAGACTATTAAATTAGTTGAATAAAGCTTGCAAGGGAAGAACAAGAGATGTCAGTAATTTTTAAATTTGAGCGTTAAGACTATTACTCTCAATTGACTAAAGCTTAAAAGAAAAAAAGAACAAATATCAGTAATTTTTAAATCCTGGCTTCAAGACTGTTAAAACTAATTGACTAATGCTTAAAAGAAAAGAAGAATAAGAAATGTTAGTAAATTTGAAATCTGAGCTTTAATAGAGAAACTTCAATGTCAATTTCGACTTCAAAGATTAAATGAGGACATCCGTACCGCAACACAACTTCTCTTCTCATTTTGTTTATTTACAAGCTTTTAACATATTGAATGAGGTTATCTATTTTTCATTCCTCTCAATCATTGGATCAAGCAAGCAAGATCCACATTCAATAGACGTATAAAGTGTCCAATAAACTAAGAGTTTTATCTAGTTTTTGCAACCAATATGGTGCAAAAATTTTGTGTCAATTTTATCAATAGTATAAACTATTGCACAAATATTTTTTGTTACCATTACTGTATTTGCAATCGAGGCAGGTTAATTACTTCAACCTATGATGTGCATAATTTTTACTTTAAGAAAGGTCTTAGATGCTGTTGTTATACCTCAAGTGCATTCTCTGGAATTATTCTTTAATCAAATTATGATGTGCCGAAATTTTGTACAGTAAAAACCACTTTTTGTCGTTTTGCAAAATTCTTTTTGTCATTCACTGTTAAATTTTTTTTGTGCTCGGAAAATTCATGCTTATCAACAGTTTGAATTTTTCTTGATTATTATCTCATAACCATAACTCATGTAAATCGATAGTTTTAAACTCAATATATTTAGTGAAATCACTGAAGAAAAAATTGGAAACGTAATTATAATAATTTCACTAAGCTTGATATATGCGTCATTATAAAACAATTAAAAATTTTGGTGGGTTTTGATTGTTAACAAGATCCCCAGCTCTTAAATAGCTCAAAGCTGTTGAACAATAAAAACTCAGAGTTATGAGTCGACTAGTGCAAACGTTTGCTGTTAGCTCATAACAAATTCTGTGGTTTAATGGTTATAATTCGACCTTTAGCATTAATTTTTATAATTCATCAGGTTGAGCTTTTGTGTAATAAACTAAAACGTGTTTTGTGATTTATTGTTGCAAAATATCATGAAGAACAATAAAAATCATAGAACAATAAATCATAAAGCATCATGAATGAGTTTGTGGAAATGTCTCGTAGACTTTTTGCAATGACTATTACATTTAATTTTATTATAAATAAAGTTCAAAATTTCACTTTTTTCTTCATCAATTAACTTCAGAACAAAAAAAACTAAAAAAACCATCATCATCAAAAAAATGTTATTTGATTTGACTTTGCTTACTTTAGCATTAACCACATTTGCTTCTGCTAATCCAATTTCCAAAAGAGCTCCAAAACACTTGTCCTACCCATTACATAAAGTTGAATATAATGAAACACACGAAATTGCCAAAAGATCTGGGCATTCAAGTTTACCTCTTGATAATTATTATGATTTTGGTTATTATGCTAACATTTCCATAGGTTCAAACAAGGCTCCTTTGCATGTTCAAGTTGATACTGGAAGTTATCAATTATGGATTCCAGAAAGTAAAACTGGTGATAGTTTGAATAAATTTGATCCATTCATTTCAAAAACTTATAAAAATGAAAGTAAACCTTATGAAATTACTTATGTTGGACAAGATTCAGTAAAAGGTTATTACGGAACTGATGATTTATGGTTACCTGATGGAACAAAAGTTCCAAATTATGAATTTGCAACTGTTTATCAATATTCTAGATCAACACCATTTTGGGGTATTGCTGGTTCAACTGTGAAAAATATTAGTGTAGCAAATGCTATGAGAAATGCTGGATTAATTGATCATGCCGCTTATTCTATTGAATTAGGTGCTCTTCATGCTCAAAAGGCAAGTTTGGTTTTCGGAGCTATTGATAGAGCTAAATATAATGGGAACTTAACTATATTACCAAAAGGAGATGGTACTGGAGTTTTAACTAATTCAGTAACTTTTGCAAATGGTAAAAAATTCAATATTGGAATAAATTTACCAATAGATACTGGTGCTCCATTTACTTATTTATCTAAACCAATTGCTGATCCAATTTTGACTGAATTAAGTGGTGGAAAATTAAATTCAGATTATACTTTTGATTGTTCAATTGCTAATCAAAATAAAAATTTGACATTTAATTTTAATGGGGTCAATATTGATATTCCATATAGTGATCTAATCAGACAATCTGGATCAAAATGTGTTTCAACCATTTTAGTTGATACTTTTCAAGTGTTGGGTGATAATTTTCTTAGGCATGCTTATGTTGCTTGGAATTTTGATACTAACAAAGTTGGACTTGCTCAAGCTACTCATTCAGATAAAACAGATTTAATTGATTTCTATTTTTAGTGGGAAAAGCACTTTTTTTTGAATATTTTGTATAGTTTTTGGTAGGAATAAATATACATTTGTTGTGTTCTCAAACCATTACATTTTAAGTGAAAAGTCACTGTTTTTGTCGTCAAAAGTGTCGAACAACTTATTACTTTGATCACAACCATATGTTGAGTCATTAAATGTACTTAATAAGTAGTTGCAAAAGAACTGGTAATTAAGTACAAAGACTTAAAAACAATTGTATGCATAATCAGATTATTCACTTGCTTGTTACTGAACTAATTTAAATCAAATGCATGAATTAAAAAGAAAAAAAAAGAATTCTTGCTTTGACTCCGATTAAATGTCGTTGAGTTCATAACAAGCTTATTCAATTAAGTAAATTTTTATTGTAGCTCATAACATTAATACTCATACAAATCAGTTATTGTTCAATTATTATAGCAAATTTGCAACAACAGTTTTTTGTAAATCTTGCTTGATTGTAATTGTAATTTTGTGTTACATTTTAAAACGCGTTTGTGTTTTTTTAATCACAGTTTATTAAATTCTTTCAAAATCATAACCCCCCACCAATCTTGTTAAACAAGAAGAAAGACAATAGAAAGCTAGAGACATTCCAGCAAATTTTAATAAGGTTGTTAAACAATATCGGGATGAAAACTCCCATGCTAAAAAATTGGAAATCCAAGAAAACTAAATTACAATATACATCATAAATTGATTCATCATAAGTAATGGAATTCAAATTAAGGCACAATCAAAAAAACCTCAAGCTACAAAAATAAGAATCGTTATTCAATCTTGCTTCAGCTATTTCAGTACTAGCTGTTTTAGATCAAGCTAATGCTGTGGTCAAAAGGAGCTCCAAAGTCTTTAAATTATCCGTATTCTTATAGCTGTGAACATTATTATATATGGTTGCACTCTCTGGTAATTTGCAAAATACAGGAGAAACTTTTCTATACTAAACCCATTTTTTAACAATACCAAAATTTCAAAACAATTTGACATTTGACTTCGATCAAATTTTTTGTCAAGTTTTCTCGTAAATTCTTCGGCCGAGATCTACGATTTCTTTTATTGTATATAAAAAATGTAAACATGATGGAATTAATAAGTTCTTTGAATGTATCGCGTGATATTAGAAATAAAGGGTATATATTAACCTAAGTCCAATTATGAATTGTTTTTAACATCTTGTGTTGATCATTGAATTGTCTTGTGATATTATGTTTTCTTTCTTTTGCTTGTTCCCTCGTCCAAAATAAATATTTGTAAAGAAATTCTAAAGCCTTATTTTTAAGCATTAAAAATTGTACGAATATTAATATGGAAAGTTTATTACCAATATGAATACTAATATAGAGGGACAAAAGCTGAGAAATACTTTACCCTGCCTTAGAGTCTATTACAATCAATTATTTTTAACTCGCAAGAAAAGAAGGACAAGAGGTGCTGGTAATTTTTAAATCTGAGCTCCAAAATAGAAACTTGAACGTCAACTTTGACTTCAAAATTTAAATGAAGCTAAGGATATACAGAAATTCTCCTTCCCATATTATTTATCTACAGGCTAATAGATCTATCTGACTTTTCTTTCTCTGAATCGTTAGAGTTAGCAAGCATGCTCGACATTTAATAAGTGTAAAAAGTTTCAAATTAAAATTAAGATTTTTATCCAGTTTTTACAACCTAACAATTGCAAAAATTTTTGTCAGAAACAATTCAATTTTGCACTATTTTTTTTCACACAACGATTAATGCATGAAAGCGACTAAATTTACGTTTTGTCAATTATTTCAGCCCATGTTGTGCCTAATATGTACTTAAATAAGTGTCTTTAATGCTGGTTTTGTTCCTCAAGTGCATTTACATTTCAATGCGTAGAAATTTTGCTTGAGATTTTTTTGAATAAAGAGAAGTCTTATGCAAATCAAAAAATTAACATTCTAGCATAATGCTCTACTAAAACTACTCAAGAAATCAAATCAAATAGTAAAATTTTCTTTAATATTTGTATTACAATTGTTACATGTGGCCCTGTTATAGATTTTAAATTTAAATCGCTTACAATCTTTATCGATCCCTGAGGTTTTAAGATTTTTTTTCATAGGCTCCAATTATGGTCTGTTTCATATACCACGTTTGTTTCATTACCTTGTTTAAATTTATTTAGATTTAAAGATCTGGTTGTGATCTAAAGATGAAATCATTTTTTTTTAGTAAACTAGTATAATTAGTCGGAAAACGAACTAAAGATTGTCCGTACTAAAATTAAAAAAAAAAAAAAGAAGTATTAACTAAATTCATTAACCTCTCTAACCACAAGTTTTTTGTTTCTATAATTAATCTTTTGATAATGTTGTCCTGCAATTAGTTGCATTTCATTACTCTTTCTTAATGATTCCATTATATCATATTGTACGTATCGTATTGTAATGATCAAAATTATTATTCTTCCAATGGTACGGCTAAATAATTATTATTCTTTCAAATTATATTTAAGGTTTTATAAAATATTTTAAATTAAAATTATTATAAAAGAAATTAAATTTGGTAACAATGTAATGTTTTTAGACTTTCGGTAACAAAATTAATTTTATAAGTTTAAAAATAAAATAAATTAATTTTTTAACCCCTTCTTTTTCAATCAAAATACCCGTTGAAATTTGAAATGTTACATTAAACATGTTTAAATGATAAATTTATCTCAATAAATAATTTGTCAATTGTTCTCCCTAGTTACAGTTAGACCAGTTTTGTAAATCACTAGAGTATATCTTTATAAATTTAAACTGCTATTTGTATGAAAATTTTTTTTACTCCTTAATTATTTTTCTTTTATAAATCAAATTAAATTTTGTGTAACATAAATTTAATTCGTAATTTAAGAAAATGCTAAGAAAATTTGAATTTGACATATTTTTATCTGTCAAAATTCCTTTCTTTTTTTCCATTAGACGAGTAAAATATTTATAAATTCAAAAAGAAGCTATATAAAAAGAGAAGGGGTCTAAGAATAGAAACAATTAACAATAGATTTTTATTGATCTCAGTGTTCAGATATTATTAATTTATTTGATTATCTGAAGATTAATTTGATTACACGTGGACTGGCTTATTGTTCTGTACAATTTTTTAATTTAATTTTTAATTTTTAATATTCGATTTTTATTTTTTTTCACTAACCAAAAACAAAAAAAAATTTAAAAATAGATAACGTTTCAAAGCTAAAATATTTTGATTTTTGAGATATCTCTTTACAATCTTTACAAACGTGTTAATTATGTAATAATTATTCCGTATAATTTTAAATGAATTAATTACATGCATATAAACTAAATTACCCTTTTACTGCACAAACATAAAATTAGAAATTTATTAAACAATAGATCTTCAAATTTGAGATATGAACTTTTCATTTTATTGTCTAAAATTAAGATTTGTTGAAATGATATAAATTAACAAACAATTCCTCATTACAAATAACATGAAAAGATGCAAATCATATATTGACTCAACATTTCTCATTGACTTAATTCATTAGATTTAACCTACCACAAAATCATGTCAAAAAAAAGTCAAGCTGTTGAAACAGTTTATACTGAACCAGATCAATTAAATGGTTCTTCATCACAAGAAGTTGAAGAAATTCCAAATCATGAAAAGAAACATTACGTATATAATGCTGAAGAAAGAAAACAAAGATTAATTGGTGGTGTAACAACTAAAGATTTACTAATGATTTTATGTGCTGGTTTTGCATTAATTTCTGATGGTTATCAGAATAACGTTATGTCAATGTTGAATAAATATTTTGCTATTAAATATCCAAAAGTTTATGATGGTAATATGTCTGCTCAAGTTTCAAATGCTTCTTTGGTTGGGACAATCTTTGGACAATTTGGTATGGGATTCTTGGCAGATATTATTTCACGTAAGCATGCAATCCTTATCTCAACCTGTTTTTTGGTGGTTGGTTCTATTATATGTGCTGCTATTCATTCAAAAAGCGCAACTGGTCTTTTTTGGGGTTTAGTATGTATAATACGAAAGATTTTTTCTTTGTGAAATATATTTGATCAAATTTTTAAAAAGTTCTCGCTCAGAAAAAAAAAAAGTTTTTGTGTAATTTGTTTTAAACACACAAATTGAGAACAGAACTTTTTAAATTTGATCTTGATCAATCAATAGATCATTAAACAACAATAGGAAAGGTACTAACCGTTTGGACACACGATTGCAAGGGGTATTGTGGGTATAGGAATTGGTAGCGAGTATCCATCTAGTTCCCTCACTGCCACTGAAGCAGCAAATGAGTCAGTTAAAAAAAGAGGTGGAACTTTTATTATGGTTACAAATTTTCCACTTTCTTTTGGAGGACCATTAGCACTTTGCGTATTTTTAATCGTTTATCAGATTACAGGAATGTAAGTACTAAATTTGTAATGAGGAATTGGAGACTGTAGAAAGAAAATTATGCAAAAACTATTATATTTTTTTGAAGCAAGGGAAAAAAACGTTTTTGTGTAAGTTGTTTGGAATTAAAAAAAATAAAATAAAAACATCAACATAAGTTAAAAGAACTGCTTTCAAGGTCTCCAATGGTGTTCCACATCAACAAATAGCTATACTAACGCAATTTCAGGAAATCAGGTTTGTATAAGTCAATGTATGCGGTGGGTGCATTTTTACCTCTATCGGTATTCTATTTTAGAATGAAAATGGCTACTTCCGTATTATTTAAAAAATCTGCAATTAGAAGAAATCCACCATATTGGTTAGCTTTAAAATATTATTGGAAGAGATTGTTAGGTACAACTGTTACTTGGTTTTTGTACGATTTTGTTACTTTTCCAAATGGTATTTTCTCAGCTACTATCATTTCAAATGTTATAAAAGATGCTAAAGACTTGCAACTGATAGCAGAATGGAACCTTCTTTTAGGAACTATTGCATTACCAGGTGTATTTGTTGGTGCTTTAATTGTTGATAGAATTGGTAAGAAATACACAATGTTACTTGGATTTATTGGATATATTGTTTTTGGTTTAATTGTTGGTTGTGCTTATTATAAAGTCAAAAAAATCACAGCTTTATTTATTGTTCTCTATGGATTAATGCAAAGTATGGGTAATTTAGGTATGGGTAATTGTCTCGGATTAATTCTGAGTGAGTTTTATGCTACGCCAGTTAGAGGAACATTTTATGGAATTTCAGCAGTAGTAGGTAAAATTGGAGCTGTATGTGGGACAAAAGCGTTTCAACGTGCTTTAAATGTATGTATATGATCTTGAGTTCAATTCAATCAACATTTTACTAACCAACCTTCTAGATTGGTCATACAACGGCAGAAGGGCAACGTTGGGTTTTTTTAATTGCAGCTATATGTGGAGTTGCAGGGGTCATAATGACTATGATATTTATTCCTAACTTGAAGGTTGATGATTTACTTGAAGAAGATATTCGTTTCAAAAATTATCTTAGAGAATATGGTTATAAAGGTCATATAGGATTAAATGAGAATGACGAAGAAGAAGATATTGAATCTTCAGAAACTGACAGTGTTGAACTTCAACAACAAAAAATTAATGAAAAACAATAAATTTCTTGATTTATAAAATTAATTAGATTGTTTATAATTACAATAGTGTTATGATTAATATATAATAAGTTGTAATTAATTTTTAATAACAATTTGATTTGTCATTAATGAATAGATTGATTGTAGTGATATTATTGAAGTTTTCAGTATTTGAGTATTGTTAGTTTTATTTTTTTGATCTTACCCCACTAAAGTAAGGGGTAAGGGGGTAGTGCATTGGAAAACATTTATGAAACAATCTCAAGATACAATTATTTTATTTTTTCGACAATTTTCTAAAACACTAAAAGTAGTAAAAGAGATTAGCAATTTACAACCAAAAATTATTTTTTATAGTAGTAAATATTATAAACGCGATGAAACAATTTGCTTATGATTTTTATTGTCATTCATAAAGCTCTTACTATTTTTTTTTTTTAAAAAAAAATATATATATAGTATAAATTAGCTAGTCAAAAATTAAAACGCGTTTGATTTATGATACTTCTTTTTCTTATTACATTATCAAATTAATACAGCTACTATGTCAACCAATCTGAATTCAGAATCAATTACAAATCAAGATACCCAAGTTGATCCAAGTATTCATAAATTTGAAAATGATGTTTTATTAAATGAAAATGTTTCAAAATTAGCTTTGACAAAAGTTAATGGTCCTTATCAAATACATTTTGAATATTGGAAACAATTTTTGATGATAATGAAAGAAGATCCATCATATAATGTTAACAATAAGTTAATTAAACATTTAGAATTTGTTGAACATAATGCTGGTACTACTACATTGACAACAGATAAATCAATGTTAAAATTTTCATTATTTACCTTTGAAAAAGTTTTACAACTTGCTTATGGTAATAATAATTTTTCATCTGGAGAAATTTTAAATGGAGTTAACTTGAATGATTCAGGAAATGAATTTGAAGAATCAACCAAAGTAGATGAAAAATCAACAAAAGAAGATGAGTTTAACATGAAATTTATGGAATTTGAAAAAAAAGTGTCTGAAAAAGGTTCATTAGCGCTTAATAAAATACAAGCAGCATTTGCATCATATTTTGAAAATTTACCCGAAGGTGATAGAACTATCTTTAGTGAATACATTAGTTTGGGTTTTGAAGAAGTTATGGAAAAAGTCAAGGAAGTGTATAAAAACAACCTTATACAAAGAGGTGCTTCTGCTTAGTTTTATTAGATTGTTCATTGCTGAATTGCCTTTTTTAATGCCAAAGATAGATTTGTTTTATTTGGTTAATTTTTTTGATTTTATATCAATTTATTGATTTTTTGTTTTCTCATTTTTAATTTTTTGTTTTCAAATTTCACTTTTTTCTATTCATTTTATGGTTGGTTTTGAGATACCTTGAGATTCATACAACAATATCTATGAATAAATTTGGTGTTTTTTTGTCCTACATTTACTTATCATTTAATGAAGTCTTATTATTGTGAGAATTCATAGTTTATATTCGGTTAATATATTTTCAATTCTTTTTTAAAATTAATCTCTCTTTGATATCTTTAAAATCATCATTTTATTTTAAGACATTATTAATCCAAATAAAACGTTCAAGGTATTTACCATTACCAAATTTTTAGCTCTTGATTGAATTATTGTCTTCACTTAGATTTAATGGTTGACTAAATTTTTTTATTGGAGTTTTAACAGAAGATTTTGAAAACAAGTTCAATCGAATTCCTATTGAATTTAATGTTTGTTTTTTTGATGAAACTTCTGACTTTAAAATTATATTTTGCAACGTAAAAGTATAAACTTTTTCAATTCGTATTAGACCAAATAGTACTTTACTAGTACAATTGAATATAAACTTCATTGAATTATATTTTGATTCAGTCTACGTCTGAGTTTTTCAAAAAAATGAGTTTAGTTCTCCAAAAGTCAATTAATTGATGAAATACAGTAGGTAAACAATTTAGGATTATTTGACGTACTCATATTATTTGAATTGAATTTTAAAAATTAATTAGTGAAGAATGGTTTACTCATTTACTTACTCTATTAAATCAACATACACGGCTTTACAGTAATCAAATACGATTTAAAATTATTTTGATTTTGTGGTTATCATTTTAATAAAAGTTCTAGATAATAGATAAAAACAAAAGAAAAAAAAGAAAAAAAGTTTGACAAATTGAATATAAATCTTAAGAAGTTATATATGATCGCATTCACAATTATGGAATTAAGACATTGAATAGTAATTGAAAATCAAGCTGAAATTTGAGAAACTTATTAATCTTATTGAATTCTAAAATAATAATAATGAGGGAATTTTTATCTTAATTAGATTCATCAAAATTTAATTTATAGAAATAATTTATTACGTAATTTATATTATTATTATTATTATTATTATTAACATACTAATAAATAAATTATCAATTAATAATAATATTTGTATATACTTTTTCTTATTATTTGCAACCAAGTTATTTCATAGAATTTTTAGAAATAAGTTTCAATCATTTTCATTATAAGGTTATATAATAGATTAAATAATAGAATAATCATTTTAATTTATGTTTAAAAAATATAGAAGTAGAACAAATAGTCATAATAATAATAATAATAATAACACAACAAATAATCACAACAATGAATTTAACAATAATAATATATTAAGACCATCAAGACTGGATCAACAACAACAAAATCAACAGTATAAAAATGAATATATAAATCAAGAATATAAAACACCATTTTCAAGATTTCATCGAAGATTTAGTCAACCGAATTCAAGTATTAATTCATCATCTCAACCAAGAAATTATAATTATCAAATATTACATGAAGGTTGTCTGTCAAATGATAATGTTAATAATACAAATGAATCAGCTATTGAAGATGATGATGGAGATGAAAATTTATCACCATTAAATTCAGATAATAATCATACAAATGCAGACACTCAATCCATTGCTTTGTCGGAAGCTCCAACTTTAACTGTTGATAGACTGCATCGAATGGATTTACAAGAAACTTATATTGATAATTTTACTGAATATTTACCTTATGTTGTAAGAAGATTAAGATCTATGGTAGAAAGAAGAAGACAACAACATCAAGAATTATTAGAACAACAACAGTCAGAACAAGAACAAAATGAAAACAATTCGGAAGTAGTACCAGCACCACCACCTTTTGATCCTTTTGAAGAATATGATTTTGATGAAGATGATTTATCAACAATATATAATGAAGAAAATGTACCATCAGAACAACATGCTTTAGAACATATACAAATTTTGGATAGAGATATATCAGTATATAATTATAGAAGACAATTGGTAATAATGAATGGAATGTTGAAACATAATACTTATATTTTTCCAAGTTTGGATTCATATCAATTATTTAAACAATTAAGATCAAATATTAAAAAAGATAGGAAAAATTCAATAATAATGTATGATTCAAAAGGGAATATTAAAAAGGCATTAGAAACAAATGTTAACAAGTTAGAGTTTCAACAACAACAGGGTGAAGATATAATAGATAATAGAAATCATATAATACCAATAGATTATAAAATTAAAGGTTTAGGTTTACCATTATTTAAAATTAATGTTCCATATATGTCAACTTTTAGAAAAAATTCACCATTTATAATATTCAAAAAATTTAAAGAAATTCCAGCACCACCAACCCTTAATGAAGAAGACGTTGAATTTGAAACTTTCAACTATTGTTTTGTTTATTCAAAATATTCATCAAATTATAGAAGATTAATATTTGAATTTTTACCAAACACTTCTAAAGTATTTAAAGTTATATTATTTCAACTGAATTTTAAACCTTTTAGTGATTTCAATTATAAGGATACAAGATTCAGAATATTAGGTACAACAATAGCATCAGGTTTAGTTTGTCAATATAATCCTCATATGAGATTATTATTGGTTGATGATGATGAACCCTCTTTGTGCGATAACATAGTAAATAAACCACCTTCAACAGCTTCAAATTTTTTAAAGTTTGGTAAAAAAACAACCATCACCACCACCACCGACGAAACCAAAACAAAAGTTAGATTTAATTTATCAGATGTAAAATTTAATTTCAATGATCCATCCACATTTATAAATCCAATTCCACAAAATTCATTTGTAAATCAAGAACCTTCATTTTTTGCATCAAATACAAGTTATGGTTATATCCCCAATGATTTACCACCATTTGGATGTTTTAAAGATGCCTCAATAATAGAATCATCAAATTCTTCGAGTTTATTTCCAAAAAAATATAATGAAGCAGGTAGAATTACTTTATATCAAGATTTAACAAATATAACAAAAGATTTAAATAGTACATTATCAATTGATCAAGATACTTTAGTTATGTCTGTAATTTTTAGTACAATGAGAGAAATTAATTTAAGAAATGCTTCTAAATCAAGTGGGAATTCAATGAATATTTTACAAAGTAATTCTAATAATATGAGTGGTATGAGATTAGGAGCTTTTGGTTTAGCAACAACTGGTTTGTCAGCTTTATAATGTTTAAGATAGAATATTTAGTTCTTGTATTAATAACATAGAGTAAATTTTACAACAATTTTGAAATTTATAAAACCACGCTCTGAAACAAATTATATTAAGTGTAATCTAAATACAAAACTATATAAAAAATTGAATCATTTTTTTAATTCTATTTGAAATTCAATTAATCCTGATTTCAAATTTTTACTTGCTGGTGAACTTTTTAAATTATTTTGTTTTTGAGTAGCTAATGAAGTAGCAGATGATGAATTCGTTGAATCTGATTTTTTATTAGTCGAGTTTAATTCTAAATCTTCTTGATAAATTGTATCAACATTTTCATAAACAAATGAATAGTGATTATTTGATGTGAATACTGGCATCGAGTTGATTAAATCTATGTGATTGTTACTATTGGAAAGCGATCTCTTTGAAGTTGATGACGAGTTTGTTCTTGAAGTCTTAAAAGTTGATGTTGTTGGAGATGTTGTTGTAGTTGTTTGATTTTTAGTCCATTGTATTTTTGGATTTATTAATAATGTTGAAGTTCCATTAAATGATGAAGATTTTTTAAGAACTTTCTTATTGGAGTTAGATTTTGATGAACTTGCTGGTCCTGAAACTGAATTCTTTTTCCTTCTTGGTAATATTGTAGAAGTTGATTTTTGTTGTTTTATTTTAGTAGGTTCACCAGTGGAAATTGGTTTTAATTTTGGTGATGTTTCTTCAATTTTAATTATTCTGGTGACGTCTTGACTTGAACCGTTCTCTTTCTTTATATTTACAAATTCATTAAATGTATCATTAGAATTTTGTTTTAGATCATCAAAAATATCATTACTAAGTAACTCTTCAGCTGTTATATTATGACCATGACCATATTCTTTATTCTCTGTTAATTCATCATCTGATGACTGAGGACTTGTAATTTCTATAGTAGTTGGAGAATCATTTGCAGTAGATTGATTCATATGATTTACTTCTAGAATAGGTGATGAAAGTTCATTTTTAATATTAGAATTTGGAATTGGTTCTTCCATTGGTTCATCTAAATTAGGAATTTGATCTAATGAACCATTTATTGATTGTACATAGTCTTCATATTCAAAAGAATTATCAAGTTGTTGTTGCCATAATTTTTGTAAATTTAAATTCAGTTCAGATTGAGCTTTATAAGAATTTAAATTATATGCCACTTGTTGTTGTTGCTGTTGTGGTAGTGGTTGTTGAGCTAAATATTGATTTGGACTTGTCAAATTATTTTGAGTTATCGGGGAAGTTCGTCTCAAATTTTGATTATGATTATAATTACTTTGAGGAGGAAATCTTTGTTGAGTAGGAGTACTAATAAATAAATTAGGTTGTTGATGATTCATTTGATCAAAATCTGTTACTTGTTGGTTCGCTGTTGCAGTATTTAGACCTAACCCAATAGTTGGACTTGGATTTTCAGCAATTGAAGTATTTGCAGATGACATTTGCGAATTATCATTGGTATTATTTGGTGGAGTAAATTGTTGTGGAGAATTATTTAAACCTAAAACGGAATTTGGGGTATTAGTTGAAATTTCATTATTACTATTATTGCTATTTTTTTGATTAACATTTAAAAAATTTGAATTTATTGGTGAAAATTTAGTATTTATATTAATTTGTGAAAGATTATTTTGTTGTAAACTAGTTAAAAAACTACTATTAGATAATATAGCTGGAGTTGATTGATTTAAAAAACTAGTTCCAATTAAAGGTTGTTGATTTAAAAAAGTAGGACTTGTAGTAGTTTTTGGAGTTTGTAAATATGGAGGTTGTGGTGGGAAAGATTCTTCTAATTTTCCATCAATTTTATTATTAATTATAGTAGTATTATCATTTGACAGTAAATAATCAAGAAAATCAAAAGTTGATAAATTATTTGATGATTGAAAACCATTTGTATTATTTGGATTTGGCAGTATTAATTGATTAAATTCTTCATTATTATTACTATTATTATGAGTTGAAAAAGATGATTGATGATTTAAATTAGGTGATTGCTCTGGAATTGTCTGCGATAGAAAGTCAAAATTCATTTTATACTGATATTGAATGAAGCGAATGTAATAAGTTTTGAGTTAGAAATGGAAGAACGAAACTTTAGTTGATTAGTTGTAGCGAAAGTGACTAAGTAAAGTAATTATAATTTATTAAGCGAATGACAGTTTTGAGGTATTGATTATTTGATTGATAATTGACTTGGATTGCTCTTAACTAAGACTATTGATATATGTATATACTATATTTGATTCTTAAATGTTAAATGTTGTTGTTGAGATAAAAACGGTTGTACTGGTTGTAAAAAAAGATATTAAATTATAAATTAATATAAATTAAAATAATAATAAATTTTTTTTGTTGAAAATAATCCGGAAAAATAAGGGGCTCTCTTTCTTTCTATATTAAATTTATTATATTTAAGTTTTGTGATATAACTTATATTATATTTATTTTTACTACTATTTTTATAAACTGTTTGAAGATTTCTAGTTTTTAATATTTAATGATTAAACAGTACGAGAAGATTGAATAATAATGATATAAACTAGATGAAAGGTTGATTAAATGCTACAAGTAAAAAGTTGAAATTATTCTTGATGAAATTTTAATTTTTTTAATTTTAGTATTATTTTTTAAAATTTTAACTTCTTCAAAAAATATTATCTTTTTAAAATTTGAATATTTTAAAATTCTAAAATTGAATATGAAATTTAAACAAGTATTTTTAATGGTAAATCAAATTTCATAATTGGAAACAACTAATGCATTGGATACAAAACTTTCTTTACTCTTGTACCAAATATAGAACTTAATTCAAAATAATCCTGGCTAATCTTTACATATTTAGAAACAAATTTATTAATATTATTATTATTGTGTTATTAAAACAAGTTCTCGAAAATTAAATTTAAAACAAAAAAAAATTATCTTTTTTACGAATAGAATATTAAATAGAATAAATAATTAACAAAAGGGAATTTAATTAAACAAATTATAATAAATTATTATAATTAATTTATCTAACTTGTTCTTTATCTTTAAATGAAATTCTCAATTTTAACAGATTAGATTAAAGATATAACAATTTACAATAATATACAACAATCAATTACAGTTGAATTTATTTATGAATAGTAAGAAATAGAAAAAACAGGATTCTAAAAAGTTAAAAATTAAAATATAATTAAGTGGGGAACTTTAACGAAAAAAACCTGCATATTAATTTAAAACATTTTAAATAAATATTTTTTATTAATAACAAGTAAAAATATCACAAATAACCAGCATTTTAATATTGAAGTAATTTTTTTTACTTTTATTAAGTATTTTTTACTAGTATTTATTTGAAAGTACTATTTAATTGAACTCTATAATATGGGTATAATAATAGTCAAAAATTTGTTTGTTTCTCATCTAATTACACGATTTTTAAATTGATTGTAAAATTTAGTTTACAAAAAGAATGGAAATAGTATTGCAATGATTGTAATTATAATATTATTATTCAATTTTGCTCCAATATTTGGTAATGGGTCAGTTTCTTTGGATGGTTCTTGTGAATTTATTGTTGGTTGAGTTTCTGTAGTTAAATCTTGTTTAGTAATAAATGAGTAGCTTGTAATTGTTGTAGTTGTATAAGTGGTACTTTCAATTTCTGTACTATGTTTGTCACAATCATTTCCAATACTACATTCTTTAACTGTATGGGTAACATTGATTGTATTCGGGGCACTTGTATTTTCATTTATTAACGAGGTTGGACAATAAGTTGAAATGATAGTTTTTTGAATTTTAATTGATTCTGTACACACTTTACTTTCATCACAAATTGTTACAGTAATTGTTGTTTCTTTTGAAATTGTAGTCAAATCATTTTTACTAGTTGTTGAAGTAAAAAATTCTGATGCTGAAGTTTCAATAAATGTTGTAGATTCTTTTGTTTCAATGGGTTCTTTTGTTTCAATTGGTTCTTCTGTTTCAATTGGTTCTTCTGTTTCAATTGGCTTCTCTGTTTGAACTGGCTCTTTTGTTTGTATTGATTCTTGGGTTTGGGTTGTATCTTCAGATTGTTGAGGTTCTTCTGTTTCAACTGGTTCCTCAGTTTGTGTTGATTCGTTAGTTTCAATCGGATTTTCAGTTTGTGATGGTTCTTCAGTTTGTGATGGTTCTTCAGTTTGTGATGGTTCTTCAGTTTCTACTGGTATCTCAGTTTGCGTTGGTTCTTCAGTTTCAATCGGAGTTTCAGTGCTAACGGTTTCAACAGGTTGTTCAGTAGCAGCAGCAGTTTCAACCGGTTGATCCTCTAATTGACGAAGTATGAGATCAACTGGAAAGCAACCTCCATTTAAATAGACAACAAAACCATATTGTGCTTCACAAAGTCCAAATTCAACTGGCTCAGCACGTTTGACTAATTCTGAACGTTTTATTGAATTTTGAACTTCTTGAAAATATATAACACCATATACCATACTCCATCCAAAAGTAGCTTCAGTAATTTCTTCCACAACTAGTAAAAGTCCATTTTCATCAACAAAAACATATTGACCATTTACGATTAAATAACCATCTATGATTAAAAATGATCCTTCAATTCCATTAAGAAAATTTGCAGCTGTGATATGGGTACTATTAGATTGTAATAAATGAAATTCTTCATTGAAATAAGCAAAAATATTAAATGGTTTTAATGGGTTGATTGGTAAACCTGGAAGTTCTGTAGGTGCTATTGGTTCAACTTCTGTAGTAACTGGTTCTATTGATTCAACTTCTGTTGTAACTGGTTCTATCGATTCAACTTCTGTTGTAATTGGGTCTTTTGATTCTGTTGTAATTGGTTCAATTGGTGGAAATGTATGAAATGTAATTAATTGATCACCAATTTGTGATACAAGACCAGATTGAGTTATCCGATTACCCGGAATATCAGTTGTGAGCCAACTTGTAGTGTAATTGGTAATGCTTGGTTCAATTGATTCAACTTCTGTCGTAATTGGTTCAACTGGTGGGAATGTAGAAAATGTAGTTAGTGAATCACCAATTTGTGATACGAGACCAGAATGAGTTCTCCACTGACCTGAATCATCGTCAGTTGTATACCAACTTGTAGTGTAAACGGTAATGCTTGGTTCTATTGATTCAACTTCTGTCGTAATTGCTTCAACTTCTGTAGTAATTGATTCAACTTCTGTGGTAATTGATGCAATTGGTTCTTGATCAATGGTTTGTAAATCAACTCGTGTAAATAGTTCTGTAAAGAAGAGGCAGCCGCTATCTTGATTTGAAGAAAAATAGTAATCAGGTCCGTCACCACAAATGAATAAATCTTTATTAAAAACGAAACGTTCTCCCTCGTATAAAGTCCAACCTGTCAAAGCCGTATCAATTGGACGAAAAGCTAAGGTTGTTGCATTATCACTGTCTGAAAACACTAAACTTGGGTCTTGATCTAAAGCTAGCATGTAATCTTCAGTGAATCTAAATTTTGCTTCAAGATTTGCTAAAATTTTTATTGAACCATCTGTATCTAAAAAAAGTGGAAAAAGTGGTATATCCTTATGTATCGTGGAAACTCTAAAATTTACCCCCAACGCTGCAACTAGGGATAACGTTATGAAAAAACTAATAAATAATTGATTAAGTTTCATGAACTGACTGTTTGCAAATAGTAGATTAAATTAATTGAAATCTGAAATTGTATTGTCTTGATATCTGTTAATTGAACAATAAGATATTCTTTTTTGCAAATACATCAAATTGTATCACTTATAATTGTCGAATCGTACGATGCAGAAATCAAAATATAAACAAATTCATCATTAACTAAGAAATATTAATGTTTCAAAATAAATTATTATTTAACAAAATTTTTTATACCCATTGATTTCACAATCTCTTGCTCATACTTGAGCTAGCTACTTTGAATAAGCACAAATTCATATCTTCTTTGTTTGATTGGCTGATTGATTGAATGAATATCCGTCTGATTTATGTGACTGTATTAATTAACAAGCTTTGAATTAATGTTGTAGCTTTTGATTGTAAAATTGAAAAAATAGTTATAGTTTTAGATTTCAGATCGCGCTTATATTGGAATCTTAATAAACTGTATATAATAAAATATTATTTATTTATTTTAATATTACAAGAAATAATTTCAATGTAAAATCCAACCAATGGTATTTTCACATTTACAATCAAGATGTTCATTATGATGTAAACACGAAATGATTTTCAAAAAAGAGTTAAATGTTTAAAAAGCATTCTTCTAAAAGTAGCGTTTAGATAATGAATTGATCAAAAGTGTAAATACAAATGAACACAATAGAAAGATTTCTTCCCTTGGCTTAAAGCTAGTAGGCTTTAATTTAGACTTGTAATAGACCCAAAGTGAAAATGAATATTTTTTAGATACTTGAAGTAAGCCACTGTCTTTGAATTATAGAATACTTGAATTAAGATTTCCAATATGAAGAAATGGAATGATGATGCAAAATTTCCGGCTTTAATTTTCTGTGGGTCGCCTCTTCCTTCTCTCAGGTTTATAAGCTCAATTTATTAAAAGATATTTTAATCATTTCTTCATTTAGAGACAAGTGTCTCACATTTTTATAGATACAAATGTTCTCTTGTATTTTGAACAACTGCAAAATTCGCATAGAATACCCCTTAATAATTATACCTAGACCTTAAATTTATCTTCACAAACAAATCAGATCGTATTGACAGTTTCAAAAACAAGAAATAACCAATCTACAGCTTTAGCATTAAAATTCAATATAGTAAATCAATCAAAAGTTTTATTCAAATAAAAAATCACCTTTATCTAATTTTAATTGTAAATTATATTCAGGTTGAAAAGAAGCAAATAAAGTATCAGAATCATTAGTAACATAAGCAGTATAATCAGCTTCTTGATCTGGAATAATTTGTTTAGGTTTTAATTTTTGATCAACTGAATCACACAAAATTTGAATTTGACAAGTTTTTTCCATTAAACAAAATAAATAAGCTGCTTCATCTATAGTTTTACCCATGGTTAATAATCCATGATTTTGTAAAATCATTGCTTTAACAACTGGACCTGCAGCTTCTGCAATTTCAATACCTTCATTTTTATCTAAAGCAACCCCTCCAAATGTTTCATAAATCCCTTGATTTTTGTAAAAAATACAAGCATCTTGATTAAGCATTTCCAAAGGTTTACCAAATGCTGAATAAGCTTTCCCATATATTGAATGTGCATGACATACCGCATTTATATCAGGTCTTGCCTCATGAACAGCTGAATGAATACCGAAACCTGCAGTATTTATTGGTGCTTGGTTTCCATCTGGTAATATTTCACCTTTATTGTTAATGTGTACTAAATCTTTTGCAGAAATTAAACCAAAATGTATACCCAATGGGTTGATCCAAAAAGTATTACGATCAATTGGATCTTTAATAGAACAATGACCTGCTTCACCTTCATCAAATCCTTTTCTTGCCATAACTCTAAATGTTCCAGCTAAATGTTCCAACATATATTTTCTTTCATCTGTTTTATTTGTAAATTTTGGGTATTGAAAAGGATGAGCACCACCTAAGGAGATGTGATGTGACCCTCTTTCACCATATTCATAACCTTTATCGGTTTGAGTTGGTGGTGTAGTGGTTTGTAATTGAGCACTTGGTGACATAATTGACAAAGACAAAATTGATTAACAAAAAATCAGCTTTTCAGACTAACCTTTACCTTATATATTGAAATCAATCGCACCAAATGGTATATTACTTGGTAATAAATCAATTCATACACAATCTTACTCCACTATTCAATTCTGTGTAATTTTTATTTTTAGAAATTATTAATCTTGTTTAGCGGTTACTTCCTAAATTGTAAAATATTAAATCAAATCGCTTATTACGAGATTTAGTATTCGATAATAAAAAGATAAGCTTTACGATAAAATCATGAAACAATGTAATCCAAAATTAAAATATAAAGGATTGTGGATTCCTACAAGACCAAAATATAAACTAACATGATTTCCTAATATTGATAAACAGTGTCTCAACAACAACTACAATATGACTGCTGAAATAGATTTCGATTCCATAAAAACTACAAAAGGTAGACTATTACAAACTATTCATGAAACTGCAAAATGGGGAGCAAAGGGAGTATGGGGACCTGAATCGACTCAAACAGGAGTTTGTAGATTAGCATTATCAGATCTAGATAAATTAGTACGTGATTGGTTTGTTGAAGAAATGAAATCTTTAGGGTGTACTATCAAGATTGATGAAGTTGGTAATACTTTTGCCATATATCCTGGTAAAAACAATGAAGCAAAACCAACAGGGGTAGGATCTCATTTAGATACTCAACCAAGTGGTGGAAGATATGATGGAATTTTAGGAGTTTTATCAGCTGTAGAAATTATTAGGACTTTGAAAGATAATGATTATGTACCAAATTTCCCAATAGCTGTTATAAATTGGACAAACGAAGAAGGTGCAAGGTTTCCAATTAGTATGGTTGCCTCTGGAGTTTGGGCTGAACAAATACCGTTGGAAACTTGTCTTAATTTAGAATCTATAGATGATGATCAACCCAAAAAATTTGGTGATGAATTGAAAAGAATTGGTTATAATGGTGATTTGAAAGCTTCATATAAAGAAAATCCTTTGGCTTGTCATTTTGAAATACATATTGAACAAGGTCCAATTTTAGAAAATGAAAAGAAAAAAATTGGTGTTGTGGTTGGAGCTCAAGCATTTGAATGGAATACTGTGATTGTTACAGGTAGAGCATCACATGCAGGTACTACACCAATGAATACTAGATCAGATGCCATGTTAAATGCGTCTAAAATCATTATAATGGCTATTGAAACTGCAGAAAAATATGGTGGATTAGCTACAATTGGAACGATTCATTTAGAACCAATGTCAGTGAATGTTATACCAAATATAGTCAAGTTTTCCTTAGATGTGAGACATGTTGAGGATTCAGTGGTTGAAAAAATAATGTCAGAAATCAAAACAAAAGCAGCAGAAATTAGTGAAAAGGGAATAGGATCACCACATGCAAAACCATTATCAGTAAAATTTGAAAATTTGACCACCTCCAAAGCAATAAAATTTAATGAGAACAATATTGCAACTGTGAGAAAAGCAGCATTATCATTATTTGACTCAAGTGAAATTAAAGAAATTACAAGTGGTGCAGGTCATGACTCATGTTATACAAGTAAACAAGTTCCAACATCAATGATATTCATACCTTCAAAAGATGGATTGTCCCATACTCCTGAGGAATATTCAAGTCCTGAAGATGTTGAAAATGGGTTTCAAGTGTTGTTAAGAACTATATTGTTATATGATAAATTTAGAGCTGATAATGAGTAGGACAATAAAAGTAAAAATGTGGTAATTTTAATGACTAATAGCACTCTTGAAATTCTGCCATATTTGTTTGACGGATTTCAAATCATATGCACAAACACTTATCAATACTAAATAAAAAAATGTGCATCGGGATTATTGCCACATCGGCACGTAAATTCCGTCACACATACAAAGAACTCTTTGTCTCTATTGTTTTACTTACTAAATGAAATAATCTATTTGCTATTTACTAGTTGATGCCATTTACTCATAAATCTAAAGATCTATCAAAAGATTCAAAACCACTTACTTTTCTACCCCTTTATAGATCTCTTTTACCTTATGATCAAATGATTCTACTTTTTAAATATGAATAATCCAACAGTATCAGAACAACTACAGGGTTTCCCTGTATTTCAAATGTGTATAATAATGTTATTAAGATTAGCTGAACCAATAGCATTTTCAAGTTTTTTAAGTTATATTTTTTTCATGATTAAAAGTTTTAGAATCACCAAAAATGATGCTGAAGTTTCTAAATATAGTGGATATTTAGCATCTGCTTTTTCATTAAGTCAATTTTTCAGTTCTGTTCCTTGGGGTAAAGCTTCTGATAAATGGGGTAGAAAACCTGCTATATTAATTGGCTGTTTGGGTACTGCTTTATCGATGGTATTATTTGGATTTAGTTGTAATTTTTTTATGGCTTTTGTTTCAAGAATATTAATGGGATTATTAAATGGTAATGTTCCTATAATGAGAACCACAGTGGGAGAAATTGCAGTTGAAAAAAGACATCAAGGAATAGCATTTTCAAATTTAAGTTTAATTTGGGGGTTGGGGAAATGTATTGGAGCATATCTTGCAGGACATTTAACTGATGTTGATCATTTCAGGGAATATAGAAGGGAGGAGCAAAATACAAATTCATTATTTGTTAAATTTCCATTTGCTTTTACTAATATTGTTATTGCATTATTAATTTTTAATGTGGTTATTATTGGGTGGTTATTCTTGGAAGAAACTCATGATGATTTAAGAACTAAAAGAGATAGAGGTTTGGAGGTTGGTGATAAGATAAGAAAGTTATTAGGATTTGAAGTACCTGATCGACCATGGCAAACTAAAAAGGGAGAAAGTGCAGAAACTTTAATTGATAATAATTCCATTGATTCACTTGAAGATAATGATTTTGAAATGCAACTGTTTTCCTCAAATGAATATATCCCAATAAAAGTTGAAACAGAACCAAGTATATTTACATGGCCAATAATTCATAGAATTGCATGTAATTTTTTTATATCTTTTACAAATATCATATATACTGAATTTTTCCCCATTTTTTTAGCTAAAACAATGATGCCTAAATCATTAAAATTTCCATTTCATATGAGAGGTGGGTTTGGGTATAGTACTGATGCAACTGGGAAATTACTTTCAACTACTGGATTAATTGGAGTTATTACTGTTAGTATATTGTTTCCAATTATAAATAAACATTTTTCATTATTAACAGGATTCAAAATTGGGTTGGCAATTATACCTTTACTATTTTTTGCATTACCATTGAATTTATTTACTATACCCGAATATAATCATTTAACATCAAGTCACGCATTAACCACAACCTTGTTATATATAAATGCAGGATTTTTATCCTTTTTTGGTTCAATTAATAATTCCCAAATGGTTCTCCTAATACATAGAGCTTCACCCAAAAAACAACGAGCTTTAATCAATGGTTATACAATATCAATAACTGCTTTATCAAGATTTATAGCTCCACTAATATGGGGTTGGGTAATGTCAAAATTTGATTTTAGTGGTACTGGAGGTATTAGTTGGTGGTTATTAGCTGGAGTAAGTGTATTTGTATTTGGACTATCATTTATATTAAACGAAGATGATGAACATGATTAATAGATTTAATTTATAGACAATAGACAAGTTTATTTGAAAATAAATAACGTCGTAAGGTCTGAGATTTACGATAAGTTTGAAATTCAGCAAGTCGTCAGCCTTACCTACTAATAATGAGATTTCATAATTTCTTTTTCAAAGAACAAGATGACCTATTGTTGAGATAGCAAATGACTTCGAGACAAACGTGTAAATTTTGGCTTTGTAAGATTTGCGAGAAGTTTATTGTTTAAAAGTGGAGATTTTATACATAAACTAATTTAAAACTAAAAGAATTCCAATTAAATTTGAAACTAATTAATCTGTATTTAGAAAGTAATGAGGCTCACCATACAAAAAAAATTCCCCTTTTAAGTAAATGAATTTTTACGAGCTGTTTTGTTTTGGTGTATGCAGAATTAATGTACAGAAATTCGTTAAATTCGTTACAAAAGTATTTTAACTTTGATGGTTTAGTCTTTGATGATTACTTGAAATTTTCAATCACCTCAAAATATTAAGACCTATTTCATATTAAATTCCTATATTGGGGTAAGGTTTTGGATATTTTTTTTTGGTAATACACCACAAAATTGACTAAATCAATAATTATAATTAGTCGATGTCAAATTTAATTTAGTTGTTTCATTTTAGAAGTGATATATAAATGATTTATAATAACCCACTTTGAAGTTAGTTTTAGACTTTTTTCTATTTACTTTCTTCATCGTCTACCAAAGTTAAATCTTATATTCAAAAATGAAAGTAATTTTTGCTTTATTGTCTTTCGTTTTCTTTGCATTTTCATTAGGTCAAACTTTGGATGTTGACTATAATATCGATTCCATAATAAAAAGAGCAGATGAACCATCACAACAAACATTAGATGAAGTTGATCAATATTTAAAACAATTAGTTGCCATTGCTACTGGTAATAATACCAAAAGAGATGTTCATTATTTTTCCAAAAGAGATAATGTATTATTAACTGCTGCTTTTACTGCATTAAATAATTCAGGTACTGGTGTTCCAATCGTGCATGGGTTAGTTACAAATTCAGGTTCTCAAAGTCAAGTTATTGGTTTAATTGAAAACTACATTCAAACCACCACCTTAAAAACCTTATTATCTGCAGCTGATCAATCAAATTTAGCAGTTGATATTGTTATGAGATTTTTTATTAATTATAGTTTGGTACCAAATTTATGGACAATTATCTATACTTTATACACAAATGGTGTTTTATTTAAAAGAGATTTATTTGGTTCAATTATTGGTGGTATTATTGGTGGTGTTAATCAATCTATTTGGTCATCTTTAATTACCTTATTAAACACAGTTGTTAATGTTGAACAAATTTGTGAATCTTTACAAAAATCTGGATTTGCTGTATCAGTTGTTGATGATATTGTTAGTACAAGTGACGGTAGAACATTTGCTGTTAATTTAGTTACTTCAATTATTCAAAAACAAGTTATTACTTTAAGTAGCTTAGTCGATGCTTTAAGTTCAACTGGATTTCTTCAAAATACATTAACTAAAATTTTATCAAATTCTACTTATAGAAAAATCATTTTCATTTGGGCAGTAAATTTCTTAGTCTCTATGATAAAATATATCTTTTAAATAGTATTTAATATACAATAGTTCAGTAAAAGAACCATGTAAGACTATAGAGGGCTCTGCGATCCGGAGTAGAAAAATTATTTTCATGTAAACTTTTTATTTTCAATGATAAAATAGTATTTAATATACAATAGTTCAATAAAGAACCATGTAAGACTATAGAGGGGCTCTGCGATCCGGAGTGCTTCAAATCCCCGACCAACAACTTCACTGTGCGGCGAGGATGTACGACTGGACTCCATAGTAACATAGCCACTTATGGTTGAACACAACAAGACTATTTTACAGGTTTGTCGTCATTACGCAATGAATGCCGAAGTGAGGATGATGTATCCACTAAAACCCTATACATTCAAACCGCTAGTACTTGCCCCCTCGGAGACCGAGAGTCGTTCGCCCAATTGGTCCGAAGACCCAACACCCAAATTAACACCACCTCCGGTATTGTCAACAGAAGCCTTGCGTCCTGACCATCTAAATAACATAGTTATTTTTGTATTTAGATTATACTTAATATAATGTGTTTCAAAGCGTGGTTTTATAAACTTCAAAATTTGTTGTAAAATTTATAGACTTTATGTAAGTGTTACAGTTTATTCTGCGCGAGATTTCAAGGCACAAAAAATGTAAACAATTAGAAAATATCAAAATATTGAGAGATTCCATTCTGCAACCAAATTTTCTACAAGGGACATCAAAATAAATGCATCGATATAGCTATATATAACAGAGATGACGGATAAAACAACAGATTCAACAACAACAGCATTATTAATAGAACATTTTGGTTTCGCACCATTAAAACTAATAGACGAAGTAATTAATGCAATAAATCAAATAACAGGTAAAGGAATAGAAGCTTTAGAGGAGTACTTATTAAACTTACAGAATAAACAAAAACTAGAAGCCACACAACAAACAACAGATGAAATTTTCACAGGATCAGCTAAACTTGAATCTTTATTACAATTCAAAATTGATATATTCTTTGATAAATTTGAATTATATTCATTAGGTAACATATTCCATATCCCACAAGATTTAGTAGATGATGGACTAATAAAACTTAAGCATCATGAAGGAATTCACGTTGAAACTCTTAAACTGATTCAATTACAAAAAGATGAATATGATTTCAAAATTTTACAAATTTATGAATTAATTGAAAAAGAACTTATAAAACGAAAACTTTATAATTTACAAATTGTCAAATGTGAAAAAATACTATCAAATTTAAGAACAATGAAGAGTCAATTACTAGCTATTAATAATTTACAAAAAGATGGGGAAAAATCATCAAAAGATATACTAAGAAATCTTAAACCAATAGATGAAACTTTGGAATTTTTTTATAACCAACTAAAACTAATCATATTACAAATTGAAACTCTAAACACCAAACTAGACTCAAAACCTTCTAATACTGCTTCAATACATAAATTTTCAATGAGTTCAAGAAATAAATTTATTGATTTAAGAATGAAGAAAATTATGAATGATTTGAATTTGAAAATACCGACTCCACCTCCTTCACCTCCTTCAAGTAATGAAGAAAATGAAGAAAAAGAATCAGCTAGTAAAGAAATTGATGAAGATATTGAGGTTGATACTGATTATGATGTTGATTTGAAAAAAATTACGGATTTAGATGTTATGAAACAGATTATGTCCAAAGTTGATACCTCGTGAAGGAAGTATCTATAACTATTTATTTAGTTACTTTTAATGAATAATGAATTGTAAGTCTGAATGATTCTTTAAACTTTCGTAGAACACTTACTTGATCTTATCAATCTAAAAATGGTTTGGTAGCTCTGTTTCTTCCTAATTTTCATTTACATTTCCAAAATTAAATTTCAAGAATATCATTTTTACAACCAAATATATTTTTACAACCAAGCTTCAAATTACATACCAAACAAATTCATCTTACATACTTTTATAAAAAATCTTGCTTATACAAATTTCTTACCAGATCATCATAGTCAAACAAAAACCATATCACATCAAAAATTCAATGATGAATAAAAATACAAGAGAATCTAAAAAAAGAGATAAAGAAGAACTTCTAGGTATATCAACATCAAAAAATCGTCCAAAGAATATAACAAACTTACATGAATTATTACCTGGATTAAATGATATAAGTGATGCATTTGAAGCATTACCATTGGACATAATCAAATACTTTACATTATTAAAAGAAATTGATGCAAAATGTATAAACACTATACCACAAATTAATGTAAGAATTAAAAATTACATTGAGAATTTACATATCAAATATAATGAAACAAAACTCAATAAAACAAATCAAGAAAAATTAAAAGATAATCAACAACTCAATATAATAAAAAATAAAATTAATGAAATTATTCCATGTTTAGAAGAAAAAATGCATGTAACATCAGTTGCAACAGACTTATTAAATAAACATATGTATAGAATAAATCAAGATTATAAATTAATTATACAAAATAATGAAATACCAGAAAATATAAGAATTGGTCCATTAGTTCATCCAGCTATGATATTAGATTCAAATACTGGATCATCAAAAGATTCAGCTACAACAAATAATGGGAATAATAATGGTAATGGAAATTCAAATAATAATAATAATTCATTAAATTCTCAAAGAAGTGAAAGTAGAAGAGAAGCATTAGCCGCTAAAAAAGTAAATAAAGATGATGATAAAGATAGTGGTTCTGGTGGTCAACCATCAACTTCAAATGCTGGTAGAAAAAAGAAAAATAAAGAACAAACTCCATTAGAAGGTTCTTCCAATACTAAAAATTCAACTAATGATCCAAGTGTTAAAAAGAGAAGATATAATACAAGTGATGATAAATCAACTAAAAAGAAAAAGAAAAATGAAAATGGTAATAATAATAATGATGAAGATGATATAAGAGATTATGATAACCAAATTAACAATAACAATAACAATTCAACTTCAACCAACAACAACAATAATTCATCAGGAGGACGTAGTAGAAACTTATCAATAAATTCAGATAATAAATCAATTAGAAATGAACCAACTTATTGTTATTGTAATCAAGTATCATTTGGAGAAATGGTTGGTTGTGATGGTGATGATTGTAAAAGAGAATGGTTTCATTTACCTTGTATTGGATTTAAAAATCCTCCAAAAGGAAAATGGTATTGTGATGATTGTGTTATTAAAATGAAAAAAACTAAAAAATATTAACTAGTTGTGTCTGTATACGTATGTCATACATTAATGAACGCTAATATTTTGTACATTCAGCTATGACGTCTTATGTTTGAACTTGTAGTTTTTCCTGACATAATAAAGGGGAATGGATGAAACGTAACTCAAAAGAATCAATTCGGAATTTGTTGCCGGTAAAAGTTTTCAAAAAAAAAAAGAAAGATGATTCTGGATCAATTTAATGTACAAAATTTATAGAAACAGATGCAGATACGATTTTTTTGAAAGTCAACTACTGCCTTCAAATATTATCTAACTTATATAGTCCTTAAAAGGTAAGTGATATCGAGTGTAAAGACTTTTTGTTTTACCATGACTACATCAAATGGAAGTGTAACATCTTTCACTCGCTCATAATCTAATTTTCAAGTCCACGTCATGTGGTTTTCATTCAAAAGTGGGGGATGACAGATCAAGTGGGGTTGATAAACTTAAAAATCTAATTGAATAATCAATCAAGGAAATAAACTCTAAATTAATATATTGAATCAATCATTAAATAACCTTTTGTGATTTATCACTAAAGTACTCTTTTAATCAATCGAATAAAGAAAAAAACCAATCCGTTACCATTAAGTTTACGACGATTTGGTAGCTTCTAGTAGTGAATTAATTTTCGCCTTAAAAGGGTCTTAAAAATTTCAATTTTTATTAATGGAAAGGCTTTTCCTATATGAAATAAATAAGGCGGTGATTCTTTTTTTCACATTTCCATTTTCCAAATGAATTAGTAGTATAGTTCATACGTCATTAACGTATTTCATGTGATCATCTATAAGACATATATACATAGGAGAATATTGAGCACCATAAGAAAGTTTCAAAATTAATATTTCGGCATTTGTCCATAAATTGTTTTGTATAAAATTCAAATTTAGGAACAAATGAAATTTCGTAAGTTTTCATGGATTAAGTACTTAAATTAATAATTATTTAATACACTACAAATAATCAAATAAAGAAACTAAATCTAATTTCAATTTAAAACTCATAACTCTCATTAATAATTGAAAAAAAAAATTATTCCAAAATTTATTAACACAAAATTAAAGGAATTTAAAAAAAAAAAACATCAACAACAATCTTACAATAAATAATAATCAATTTAACATATTTTAATATAAACTTTTCATTAATTTAACCTTAATTATTAGTTAATTTATCAATCAATTCTACTTATATTATCAACTTTTCAATCAGACAATATAATAAATTAGTTGTAGAATATTTCATAAACTAATTATACTATTTGATACAATTCATTCACTTAATTATTAATTTAATCAACAAATAATTTAAAAATAATAGCAAGAAATCAAATAATGTTAAGAGAATACAAATTAGTAGTTGTTGGAGGGGGTGGTGTTGGTAAATCTGCATTAACAATTCAATTAATTCAATCACACTTTGTTGATGAATATGATCCAACAATTGAGGATAGTTACAGAAAACAATGTACTATAGATGGAGAACAAGTATTATTAGATATATTGGATACTGCAGGACAAGAAGAATATTCAGCTATGAGAGAACAATATATGAGAACTGGTGAAGGATTTTTATTAGTTTATTCAATAAATTCAAGAAATTCATTAGAAGAATTACAATCATTTTATGAACAAATTCAAAGAGTTAAAGATAGTGAAAATGTTCCAGTTTTAGTAGTTGGAAATAAATGTGATTTAGAAATGGAAAGACAAGTTAGTTATGAAGAAGGTCAAGCATTAGCAAATAGTTTTGGTTGTCCATTTTTAGAAACTTCAGCTAAAATGAGAATTAATGTTGAAGAAGCATTTTTTGATTTAGTAAAACATATAAATTTTACAGAATATAATTTAAAAAGACGTGATGAAAAAGATGGTATTGAAGATTCAAATATACAACAATCTCAACAAAATGGTGGATTAAATAATCAACAACAAAATATAACGGGAGCTGGAGCTGCTGGTGGAGTAGGTAATGGTTCAAATTCACAACAAAAATCAAATAATGGAACAACTAAACCAAGTGGTACAAAATCACAAGTTAATCGAAATAATCAATCACAACAACCAAGTGGTGGGGATAAATCAAAATCAGGATGTTGTGTTATTGTTTAACATCATTACCCAAAATCTAAAAATTATTTAAAATTAAATTGCATTTGCATTTAAATCATTATAATCATTATATGTAACATTATAATATTTGTTTCATTTATTTTGTACCTTTTCATTCATCATTTATACAAGAGTTTGATACTTTTCAATTTATTTATGCGATACGATACGCGTATCAGGACAATACTAATAAAACAATTAAAAAATATAAAAAAGTTCACGAGTTTAAACCATTAATTAGTTTCATTTTAATATAATTCCAATTTCATTTTATAAAATCTACAAATCTATACTCGAATAATTCTCTATAATTTTTTGCTTTTACTATACCACTATAACACACTTGTTTCTAATTTATAAAATGAATAACAATAAAATGTAAAATCAAGCTAGCTAAAATAAAATCACCAAATGATCTTTCCGGTGTAATATATTTAAATATTTTTCCCGAATGTTCATCTTCTTCATTTTCAATATCAATAATATTTACATCTTTTGGTTCATTTTTTAAATCAATAATAATTTCTTCTTCTTCTTTATTTTCCAATTCATCATTAATTTGTAATCTTAAACTAACAAGTAAAACAAATTGTCCAACACATATTGAAAATCCACCTAAAAATGCATTAAATGGGAAATTACCAATTAATAAAACGTATATAAATTGTAATATACCTAAACTCACTAAAAATACTAAAAAAATATCAATTAATTTTAATTTTGGAGTTAAGTTTTTAAAATAATCGTTTGTGGTGGTTTTCAAAGCTAATGATAATTCATTGAATGTTGAAGTTATTGGTTTTGTTTGAGTTTTTATACCTGATGTGGAATTGGTTGTTGAAGTTGTAGTAGATTTCTCATTTAATTTTGAAGTTTGTGCTTGAACTTGTGCCGTAGCTTGTTGAGCTTTCTTTATTGCTGTATTCTTACTAGGCATTTTGGAACAATTATGACCAATTGAAGTAGTAGTTGTTAATATTTAAATTGACTTGATTCAAAGTGGAAATTTCAAAGTAATTAAAGAACAAATTGTTCTCTTTCATTTTTTTCAGTTGTGTCAAATTTGTATTGTCTCGAATTTAATTATGGAATTTTTTTTCTCTATGGTTTGTTTTAAATGAATTATGGGTTTTACCATCAACTATCAAATCATATAACATTAACTTATATTGTCACTCATTAAAAAGTCGACATTATAGACATTCAACACAATGGAAGCTGATCCTATACCTGTTAAGTCAGATGGTCAATTGAATCTAAGTACACAAGTTGAAAATTCTCAACAATCAAATTCACAACCACAATCACAACTACAACCACAACAAGAAGAACAACCAGACCGCTCGTCCTCGCTATCATTACAGCAAAAGCAACAGATTCAATTACAACAAGAAAATAGATCACAATATGTATCAGAACAAAATATAAATTTACGTAAAATATCACATCCACCAACAATTAGAATAATACCACCATTAAATTTTTGTCCTGTTGAAAAACAATTATATAGATCAGGTCAACCATCAATTATAAATCAATCATTTTTAAATCAATTAAACCTAAAGACAATAATATGGTTAGCTTCAGAAGAACCCAATGATGAATTTTTAGATTATTGTATTGATAAACAAATAAACATTGAATATGTTGGTATGTTAAATGAATATGAGTTCGATCAATCAAATAACCAATCAGTGGTACCAAACATTAATCCATGGGATTCATTAAATGAACCAACTATAAAAAAAGCTCTTGAAATAATATTAAATAAATCAAATTATCCAATGTTAGTATGTTGTGGAATGGGTAGACATCGTACAGGTACCATAGTGGGATGTTTAAGAAGATTACAAGGTTGGAATTTAGCTAGTGTAAGTGAGGAATATAGAAGATTTACTGGTTCAAGAGGTGGTAGAATCTTGGTTGAATTATTAATTGAAGGATTTGATATACTGTCTGTAAACATTGATCCAAATTTAGCTCCAGATTGGTTAAAAACTAAATAACAGAATTGAGATGAAAATGTATCAGGTTTAGAATTGATGAAAAACTAACAAAATTGACTAATAAATCACAGAGTATGAATATTTTGGCTTTTTAATTTGCTTATTTAGTACGAATAAATTTATTTAATTATTGCATATATGATATTTTGAATAGACGATAAAGGCATGCATCAATATTTCAGTCCTATTCGTTGAATAGATATCTAACTCTTAAATTGAATTTCATGAAGGAAACTTTGCAATACTAAAACATTTTCTTAAAGCATTCAAGATCTATACAATTCATTAACTAGTACAATAGCCCCAATGTGATTTATGAATCATCGACTTCTACAATTTTGAACGACTATAAATACGAATGTTCTTCGGTTCGGCTATCTTTAATAATATATTGAAGGTATCAGTAATGGTATTATAATCAATACTGTGATATTTCTGTAAATAAATAACGGCTTTATGTTTACGTAATCAGTTATGTAATTGTAATGGCTGTGATTATGTAATCATTTTTTTTTCTTTATCTTATCGGAATATTCTTAAAAATAAAATAATTTTTTATCTCCACATTATTTTAATAAATGGCATTACTTACAGAATAATTGGTTAATAGATTACTCTTTTAAATGAAGAATATTAGTAATAAGATATACTTTAGGATAAAAGAGATATTGAATGAAAGGCTTTCAGATTATTCAATGCTTATGTTCCATAATCTAAAGTTTGACTAAATTATATTTCATGATAAAAATATAAAATGATCATAATAAGTTATATTCCCCTCTTTATTGTTTTTCGAGTACGGTTAAATATTTAATTTAAGCAAAGAACAACAATTTTTAACGACTAATTCCATATTCTTCTATTTGTAATATTCAATGAATTCATCATCAAAATCAATTGCTTTATATAAGTTTTACAAAACAAACAGGTTAAATAAGGCAGCTATATTTATTATATTTAATGATAATAGACTTCAATTCTTTGATTATTAAAGTGGCAAATATTTATTCTTTTGTTCCTTAAGTATTATTATTATATTATATAAATTTTATTATCTTATCTATTTTATATTCTCAGTTATTAAGAGTCTAGTAGTAAATAAATTTTTATCTCCCTATTTTTTATTTTTATAATATTATTATTATATTTTGACTACTTTTCTTTTCTTTTCTACTTTGATTTTAATTTCAAATTCAATCAATTCAATTTATCACTTGAAAAGGTTCAATTAAAGTCTTATTCTTTAAAGTGGTAATTCATTAGCTAAAGTCCCTTGTTAAATTATAACATTTTGTTCAAAGAGATATTTTATTTAAATTTTTTTGGTATAATTAAGTCACCCTTAAAAAATTAAATCACACTTTTTTTTTAATTAATACAAGAATTTAATAATATTAAATCGATAATCAATTAAATACTAAAATTACAAAAGTTTTGGTTGAACGTTAAATCTCATATTAGTTAGTGGTTGTTGCTCGTACAGTTCTTACTCGATTTGTTAAACTTTGTTCGTCAATAAAGTAAGTTAATTAAAAGTACCATCAATCAATAGAAAATCAAAAAATATGGCAGGTGCTTGTATTAATACAATAAAGTTACTAGGATTAGGCTCACTTGGTTTATTAACTTCATCAATCATCTATCAATCAATTCAAAATATTCCAATTTTAATAAATCAATTAAATTCAATATATCAATTTAATATTTTAAAATTAAATAATCAAATTAATTTAACAAAACAATATATTTTTGGTTCAAGAATTGTTAATATTTTATTAACTGGTTTAAGTACTTTATTATTTACATTAGCTTTTAAATTTAGTCCAATTGATGAAAAACATCCTTATTTAATTTATTCTGCTATTGGTGCTCCATTAACTATAGCTGGTATTTATTATACTTCATGGAATTATGAAGATAAAATTTTAAGTAAACCAGATTTAACTGATAGAACTCCAAAAACTTTTACTACCAATACAACCACAACAACAAGTACAACAACTCCATCATCAATTATATCTGAAGAAGATGCAAATGATAATGATCGTCATAATGAACATATAGATGAATTTGATGAACCAGAAATAATTTCAAAAGTTAGTACTGCTGATGAATTAGGTAGATCATATGTTCATCTTTCAGATGAAAGTGGTATATCAACACCAACTTCAACTCAACCACCATCACCACAAATTAAACATCAATCAGATGATGAAGAAGAAGAACATGAAGTTGAATCAGAGAGTCACGAACCAAAGGAAGTTGATCATATAAATGATGCAGAAGTTGAATCAGAAATTGAAAATATTTTGATAAAAAAGGAAGTTATTCAAGATTTAGAAAAGATTCAATTTGGTTATAATATTGGTTCGTATATTTCAGGTTTTAGTTTTTGTATTGCTTTAATTGGTTTAATTGGCGACTTCTATATAGTTAATTAAATATATAGAATGAAGATAAAACTTTATACTCTTTAAAAAAACGCGGAAGCATTATCAAATTTATTTTGATTTGCCTGTAAAAACATTTCCTATTCTAAAGTTCCACCTTCATTGAATGATCCATCAGAAGTAAACGTTTACTAAGTGTTCCCAACCGCCAACAAGTCAACACAAGAGTCGACCCAAATTAACCAAATTAATTTACGTGGTGCAGGCCACAACCTTTCGACAGTTTAACCTCTAACTTCACATTAAAAACCATCAATCTAATTTAAAAAGATTTTGGTACAGGGAAGGCCTTTGACAACCTCCACCTGTTGTTAAATTCTGAATCCTAGAATTCAAATATCTTTTAAATTTAGATTGTATTTATTATTTTAAAACCCCAAGTTGTGTTTATTATTTTTAAAACCCCAAGATGTATTATTTTTAAAACCCCAAGATGTACTATTTTTAAAACCCCAAGATGTACTATTTTTAAAACCCAAATTGTATTATTTTTGAAAGCGCAAGTTGTATTATCTGTAAAACCCAAGATGTATTATTTTTAAAACCCAAGTTGTATTATTTTTAAAACCCCAAATTGTATTATTTATGAAGTCCCAAATTGTATTTATTATTTTAAAACCCCAAGATGTATTATTTGTTAAAACCCCAAGTTGTATTATTCTAAAACCCCAAGTTGTATTTATTACTTCTAAAACCCCAGATTGTATTATTTTTAAAACCCAAGATGTATTGATAATTTTTTAAACCCCAAGTTGTAATATTTTTAAAACCCAAGTTGTATTGATTATTTTTTAAACCCCCAATTTGTATTTATTACTTCTAAAACCCCAGATTGTATTTGTTGTTGTTGAATCCCAGATTGTAATTTTTTTAAAACCCAAATTGTAATTTTTTTAAAACCCAAATTGTATTATTTTTGAAACCAAAATTGTATTTATTATTTCAAAACTCCAAATTGGATCTATTATTTTAATTGTATATATTACTGTAAAACCCAATTGTATGTACTATGTTAAAACCCAAGTTGTATTTATCACTTCAAAACCCAAGTTGTATCTATTGTTGTTGAATCCCAAGTTGTACCAAATGCAAGAAATTATAAGTTATAATGGTCTAGTAGTAGTTACTTGTTAATGGATACTAATAATATATAAAATCTAAATAAAACTAGTTTTCCAAGTCTTGGGAAATTAAACCCTTATTTATAATCTTTTGAAATTATTTCAAATTAAGGGCCACAATCCTTATTTCTCATATTACACCATAAAATAAAATTTTACCATACTTAAACTAATGAAAGGGGTTATTAATAAATTAAATTCCCGCATGTGTAACCTATTGATTAAATTATATCGGTTGTTTCAGATGTTACCTATATTATCTAATTTTAATTTAATGTCCTTAACTATACAAAACAAACTATTTGAGGTTTGCACGACCTAACACATCTAAATTAACTATCACTTTCATTAATTGAAAAGGCGTTTTGAATGTGATGTGTTTCATTAATTTTGGGGAAGCGTTTGAATATGATATGATTAATTAATTAATAAACGTTTGCTATTAATTAAACTTTGTTATAGCTAAAATCTAGACTTTCTATTTATAAATTTATTTATAAAATTATTTATTAAATTATTTATTAACAGATGGTAGCGATTTCATTTTAAATCCTAAGTATGTAATTCTAGCTTGATATGTAATATATTGAATTGTATGTAACTGAGTTTGCCAGCTATCAACCGTTTACTAACAAGACTTTCTTTAATCAATACTGAAACAAGCTCCAGTTGGTAGATCACCAAATTTTATTGCAACATGTTTTTAAATTTAGCTACCACTTTTTTTTAAATCAGTTTTCAAACAATTCCCGAATGTCTCAATTACCACCACCATATTATAACGATGATAAGAACTTCTTTGCATATCCAACAATTCATAAAAGACTGCCAACTATTTCAAAAGGAGCGCTTGATGATGTTTAATTAACAATTGATGAAAATTCATATTTAAAAGAATCTGGATTTGAGTATGTAGTTAATTAATAAATTAAAATTACAAAAATACACGTCTTTAAAAAAAAACACGGGTTTGTTAGTAATAAAAAACTATCAACAAAACATCAAAAAATTTATAAAATATAAACAACATCCGTACTAATCAAATAATTTGACATCCGTACTTATTTACAACCAAGCTTGATTTTTTTTGCAACCAACTTATACACAAGATAAATTTAAAAGAGTTTAAACACATTTGATAAGAGGACCTTATTTTATCAATATCAATTGGTCACCTAATACACTTGAGGGATTTCTTTTTTTTTGCCCCTTGAAAAATGAATTATTCATATAATTATGAATTTGACGAAGAATCATCAGAAACAACTCAAGCAGGAGGATTCGCAACAGGTCAAGAACAACATCATCCACAACGTCTCACACGTGCTCAAGCTGCAGCTCAACAACAATCACAGCAAGAACAACATGCAACAAATTCATCACCACATTATAATCATCAATATTCTAAACCAAAATCACAAATCTTTGTAGATTTTGAAAATAAACCATTACCTTTTTATATTCAAGATGAAGAACCTGATAAAATAAAGTATCAAGATTTAATTCTTAAAAATGGTGGGAACTTAGTTGAAGGTGGTGTTGAAAATTTAGTTTATTTATCAAGTAAAGAACATATGGGTGGATTTATTAGAATTTCTTATATTGATGATTGTATTAAAGCTGGTCATTTATTAAATACTCAAAATTATATTATTCCAACATTATCTGAAGATGCTGAACCAATGATTGATGTTTTAGGACTTGGTTCAAATGTTGATAATAATAATCAAAATGGTTTAGCTCAATATATTCAAGATCAACAACAACAGTTACAACAACATCAACAACAGCATCAAGAACAACAACAGCAGCAGCAACAACAAGAACAAGCTCAAACTAGTTCTTCACAACAACAACCTGCTGCAACTCAACCCTCAACCCCTTCTCAGTCTCAATCTCAACCACCAACACAAGCTTCACCTACTAGAAAAAAATCTGGAAATCAAAATAGATTTTCAACTGAAAAAGATGAATATATTTTGGAACAAGTTCGTAAAAATCCCAAGTTAAGAAATTCTCATGAATTTTTCAGTAAATTAGCAACAACAGAGATGTTAAGTATGCACACAGGTCCATCAATTAGAAGTCGTTATAGAATATACTTAGAATCAAATTTAAAATATGTTTATAAGACAGATGATCGTAATAGATTAATCAAAGATTCGAATGGTGAATTAATTAAAATCAGTACGGATGAATTGCCAGAAACTTTAAGAAATAAATTCACGCCAGAAGATGATTTACATTTATGTTTACAAGCTGAAGAATGGAGTAAAGAAGTCTGTAAACAAAATAATACCGTTTATGATCCATATCCAAAAAAATCATTACCATATTCATTTTTTAATCAATTATATAAAAAATTTCCAAGACATACTTTAAATTCATGGAGAGATAGATATAGATATTTTATTACTGATGGTACAATTGAACAATTTAAAAAATATTATAATGATTGTATAACCAAAAATCAAATTCCTAAATGTTTGAAAAGAGTTCCTAAACATTTGACTGAATTTACAGCAAATGTTGAAAATTTAAGACAAGATATTGCTTCAAGGGAGTTAAGAAGTGCTGAAAGAGTGGAAAATGATAGAAGTCAAGCAGCAGCTGAAGTACAACCAGATAAAGAAGTAAGTAATGAAGTTATTGATGAAGATATTTTATTTGTTCAAGAAGCTGAAATTAGAGCAAGACAAGATATTGCAGCACAAGATAAAGCAGATGCTGAAAAAAAGAAAAAATTACAACAACAACAACAACAACAACAAGAGGAAGAATCTGCGTTAGATGAAGAAATCGGTGAATTAAAAAGTTCAAATATTGATGATGCTTTAAACAGAAATAAAACAGAAGAAATTGAAGTACCAAAGTTGAGTGCTGTTGAAACATTTGAAGAAGAACAAGAACAAGAGAATGATATTGATCTTGGTAAATTTGATGGTGATAGTGTTGAATCATCATCACCAGCTAAAAAGAAAAGAAAATTAAATGAGCTTGCAGCAAGTGAACCAGAACCAATTGTGAGTGATAAACAAGAGCCAACACAAGAAGAAGAGCAAGCGGTTGAAGAAGATAAAGAATTAAGTAGTGATAGTGATGATGAAAATAATGAATTTTTCACAGCTCCAAAAGCTCCAAGTCAAGAAATAGTAGATGATATAACACAATTAGAAGAAGAAACACAACAACAAGATGAGAAAGTAGAATCACAAACCCAACCTCAACCACAACCACCATTACAACAAACTTCTGATTCTACTCAATCATCATCACAATCAACTATAATATTAAATTATTTAAAACCAAATACAAAATTAATTGAAACAATAAATCCAACTGAATTTTTCCCATTTGCAGATTTAGAAAATCCAAAAGAAATTTTAAATAAATATTTATCAGAAACTGATAATATTATTACAATATATCAAATTTTAAATAATTTTGGATTAAAAGATAATTTAATAAGTCATATAATTTATTCAAGTTCAGCAGAAACATCAACTATAATTAATTATATTTTAAATTTTATTACTTTGTTACAAGATGGTTTATTACCTGAAATAGAAGATAATCAATTAGATGATCAAGAAATTGAAGTTGATTGGGAAAATAAAATTATTGATAATTATTTACCAAAAACAAATATTTTTGGATTATGGAATTTACAAATGGATAAATTATTATATTCAAAACAAGAAAAAAAATTAAAAAAATTTAAAAATGATGAAGAAATTGAAAATAGGAAAACTTTTATAAAATCAAGTTTACAAGTTGATGAAAATGAGGCTTGAGGTGGTTTGTTGTGTTTGCTAAATATTAATTTGTTGTTTTGTTTTACTCAATCACTCTTTCTGTAGTTCAAATTATAATATAAAGAAATATGATAAATAAAAGAAAAATCTCTACAAAACATCTCAAAATTTGAAACAAAAATAATTATTATAAAAAAATATAAAACACTATAAAAAAAATAATTGAAAAAGCTAAAACTTAAAATTTAGTTTTAACTTCAAAGGGTATTATAAAATAAAAACAACAAAAAAAGTAAGATAATAAAGAAACGTTGAATAAAACAAAAAATTGATTTTTATGAGCCAAAAAACAAAAAAAAGAAAAACCTCTTAATTTAATTTAAGATTGTCTTGTATCTTTAATTAGATAAGAAACCCCAATATTTTTCAGCATTGTAAGGACCATCAGCTTTCCATAAATCATTAAAAGCAGTAAATAAAATAGCTGATGAACCACAACTTGATTTAATTGATGAAACAGCACTTTCTTGATTTTGTTTTGATGGAACAGCAACTCCATTAGAATCACCTCTTGATGGCCAACCAGTTTCAGTAATTAAAACATTTTTGGACCCACCACATGCAGACCAAACTCTTTGAATTTGTTGTAATACCCAATCACCAGCTTGTTCAGCAGCAATATGACCATCAAAGAAAGCATGAGCATTAACTGCAACATAATCTGAATATTGACATAATGATGGATTATTAATAACAGCAATAAAAGTATCAACTGAAACAACTGGACCTGAATAACCAGCTGATGATAAAGCTGATTTACCTTGTTGAACATAAGATTGAATTTGACTTGGTGAACATTGACCTGAATTAACTAATTCATTACCAATTGAAACAGTATGAATATCTGACCATGAACCATGAGCTTTTACAGCATCAGCAATAGTTGAAACACCTTGAGAAATTTGAGAAACATCAAAAATACCTGCAAAAACTTTTTGATTTGATGATTTTGATTTTAAAACTTGAGCAACTTGATCACAATCAACTCCATATAATCTAATAATATCAAAACCTGATAATTGAGCAACTTCTGAAGCAATTTGTGAGCTTGATTTACATCCACCATTATCTGAATAAGGAGTATAAGTAACACCTTTAGCACCACCTGAACCAACTGATGATGATGAACCAGAAGTTGATTGTGGAGCTGGAGCTTGTGATGAACTACTAGTTGAGGCAACTTCAGTATTAGCTTCAATAGTAGTAGTTGGAGCATTTTGAGGAGCTTCAGTAACAGCACTAACTTCACCAACTTCAGTAGCTGATGAAATTGAAACTGGTTTGATGGTGGTAGTAGCATCACCAGCACCAACAGTTACAACAACAACGTTAGTTTTAGTAACAACATGAACTGCTCTTTTTTCATTTTTATGTTGATGATGTTGATGTAAAGCTGGAACAGCTAAAACTTGAGCTAATAAAGCTGATGAAAAAACAATAGATTTAAATAACATTTTTAATAAATTAAATGAATGAATGAATAATATTTCTTTTAAATTAAACGATTGTAAATAATAAGTTGGTTATCTTTTTATTTAATGAAAGTAAGATTAATTTGTTGTTGGTTTATAAAGTTATAATATATATAAATTTTAATGAAAACTAAAAGACTTCTAAAGGAATGTTTGAATTTAAGGAATGACTGATAGAAGTTGGTTCTATTTTCAAAATGAAAAAATATATATTCTTTTTATAAAAATTGAATGTGAATTTGACGTGAAAGAAAGGAAAGAAAGAAAAGAAGGAGTTTTATAAAAATTATAATATATAAAAAATTTTTGTTGATAATTTTGTAATTTAGTAGTTTAAGAATTAAGAATTAAGAAAAATTCAATCAATTAAAATTTTTTATTATTTTTTTGTTTTATTAAGAGTTTTTTTTATTTAAAATTTATTTTCTTAAAAGGGGGGAGATTATCAATTTGTTACCCAAATGTGTATTTAGTTTAAGGTAAAGTAGTTTAGTAGTAATGAAAATGTTTCATTTAAGTATATTTACATTTCAATTTTAACTAAACAAATTTTAATACATTTAACATCAACATTAACAATAAAATTGTTTACAAAAAAATCAACAAACCAAGACTAAAATTAAAAAAACAATAAAAACTAAACTAAAATAGATTTAAGTGAATGCACATATTACGAGAGTAGTGTAATTTTATACGATATCTTCGACTAAATTTCTTTTTCATTTGGTTTGTAATGTCTAATCCATCGAAGAAGAAAAAGGCGTTTAATATATCGATTAATACCCACATGTATTCTCCTTGAATCTAAAGTTTTTAATTTAAATCTAAGATATACTTTTTAGATTCTAAGATTTGAATTAAAAGATGTAAAGATATGTAAATGAATGAAATAAAATCTTAAGTTTAGTGTATCATTTAAATAAATCTAGAATTTAACAATAAAATAAACAAAGTATAACAATTGGTAGTGCAGTCAAAAGGGTAGTGTAAATATTTACATATTTTATTTTTCTTTCTTAATTTGAATAAAAAATAAATAAATATAAAAATATTTTTTTTACACGTTAAAAAATTTCAGTTTCTTAGTTGTTGTTTATTAATTAACAACCTAAGAATTATTTTATTGAACCAGCGCAGATTTTGAAATTTTATTTGAATCAACTTCTTTTATTGCTACTTCAATTTCATTCATGAATTTGTTAGAATCGTTCTACAACTATTGATTCCTAAGTGCAAATTTAAGTATAACTTAGAACATATTTTACTTCGTATTGTATTTAACTAATGTTTTTTCAATCGTATATTTAATTTCTTTTTTTTTTTTTTTTAATGTACATTTTAATTTAAACATTATTCATAATGAATTTATAAACTTGATTAAGTTTAATCTAATGAAAAAGTTGATAGATTGAATTTTAATTTTACCTATACATCCGATTCATTAATCACATTGATTGCTATTATTAATAACTATAAATGGAAAGTTCACTCTGACATTGTAAGATTTATACTTTGAACTCTTAAGTGTTGTTTATTATTCGACTAATTATAGAAAATAAATATGAAATTTTAATTTTTCGGTTAAAGAGAAAATATCATAATCTGTCAAGAGAACAAATTGTTATAACAGAACAGCAATAATACGTCAACATCTCAATCTAATCTTATCTAAATTATTGCAATGATAAACCAAAAGTTCATACAATATGCAATATATTAAACACAAATATATTCGAATAAAAATATAAAGAAAGTGAGTTGTTAATTTCATTTATTATTTTTTATTTTGTTGTAGTTTAGTTGTAAATTGCAATATTTAATAAAACATTACACAATAACACGAATTAAAAATTTACTTAACATTAAAATGATTTTTAATATTTATATCAATAAGAAAAAAATTGTAAAGATGTTTTTATGTAAATAGTAAATAAGTAACAGATTATTACTTCGAATAAGAATTTAATATAAATAATTGTAATAATTTCCTCATTTTTCAATAAATATTATATATATTAAATTTCGTAGGAGACAATGAATCTATTCAGTCCCTTTAACACGAACTTTAATCCCTTTCGTATTATTTCGTTTGAGATTATCGAAGTAAATTTAAAACGTTTCAATTTAAATTTTCTATATAAAACACATTTGATTAATTATTTTATTTTTCATATGATTGAAGGACTTAAGAATTAATTGTTCCAATTAAAGATTAAATATATCAGGCAAATCAAATTTATAAATTATGTTTGTAGTAATCTTTCGCATTTTTCTTCCATATAAAAGTAATGAATCCTCTAACTCGAACGGCATTAATTTTTAATTTTATCATTGGCTTACACTCTTACTTTATTAAGGTCAAGTTTAGTCGATCTGAAACTAGGCGGATTCAAATGTTGATACGATGAATCTTTAAAAAAAGAAAGAAAATTTGTTACAAAAAATCTCATCGAAATATTATAACCATCTTTAATCAAATTAAACAAAGAAAACTATAAATATAGTTATACGGATAAATTTATTTAAATTTTCTTGAATACTACTTCATCAGTTCTAGATTTAAATGAATTAACTAAATATTTTGATCGTTTCAACTTAAATATAATATCTCAATTATTTTGTGTTCCAATTTTTAATAGACTTTATTGTTCATCTTAGATTTAGTGTTTAAATTTAGTAAAAAATTTTAAATTAATTGCATGAATATATATCGTTTGAACCCCTAATTTATCAAATTTTTATCTTCTTTAGTCTAACTAATTTTGAATTTTGAATCATATAAAAACTAAATTTTAAAGTCATCTCTTTGAATCATTGTCTTAGTTATTTCAATCAGTTTCAAATTCATAGCGATTTGAAAAAAAATTGCCTGAAAAATTTCTCAGTATTTCAGATGCATATAAAATCAAGTAAATGAAATCCTTTACTTTTTGCCAATTTATAATTTTCTTGTCTTTGCAACATAGGGCTCTAATTTTGAATCAAAAAAGAAATTGAAATGTTTAATTAAAATTAAAGTTTTAAGATGTAACATGTTGCAGATCTAATTCTATTAATTGAAAAATTTCATCTTTTTTTTTTGATCGGATGAAACTTTCTGAAAATTTTAAAGTTTACACCTTCCAGTCCGTTGATTCAAGGGTCTAACCTTTTATCCTCGCTGATGTTGCTGAGAATTACAAAAGTTTATTAGAATGATGAAAATTTCTCCAAATAAATCTCTATGATTTTCTACGAACTATAGTACACGACGAAGAACTTACAATGCTTTCTTTCAAAAAGTTATTTATTATTCAGAAGATTCATGGTTTTCAACAAAAGAAACAAAGAAAAAAACATAAATTAATGGAGATCTTTTCTGAAACATCTTAGCGATCAAAATTTTAGAGTTAGACCTATACCGTTGAAACGTATTGACTACAGATCATAACATATGTGGCTGAACCTACAAAATTACTAATGATACGTCACTTGCTCTATCAAATTAAAGTTACGTTTCAAATTTTGTAACAAAATTATTAGAAATGGTGGGGTAATTATTTGTTTCAAAATTGTTGCAAATTTCTTTTTGTTTTTTTTATTTTAATTTTGTCATGTTTCAGAATTGCCAAAAAAGTCCGAATAGTGACACTGTGATCATATTTGATTAATTTCATCACAATAATTTAGAAACATAAATCACTTTGGATATCTAGATGGACACTTAATAAACATATAAAGTATTGAAAAAAAAAAAAGTTCCCAAAATAATAATACAATAAATTACTACATTAATTCTGCTACCACTTAATCATTTATTTATGGTTCTTCAGATTCGTTAGGAATGTAAGCTAAATCAAATAAAATTTTCAGCTTAACTTAGAATGATTCAAGTGATTTTTAATACATAGCTATGTACCTTATCAAAAATTTAAATTCACTAGTTTAAATCTAATTGAGACAAAGTCACTATATAAAGTTAAAGAATAACGAGCATTTGAAAGAGCCTTCGTTTTCTGTAAATCTTGAGCTTAATAAAACTGCCCTATATTGTGTGGATAACTTTAACTATATGAAGACTCAGACCTTGTCTTGTAGATGATCAAAATTCAAATCTTTTAATTGTAATTACTAGTTAATTATAATTAAAATTTGACATGATTTATATATAGCAATCTGATAAGATAAAGTAAGTCGTGTAAATTAGCTCAAAATTTTGATAAACTACGTAATCAATTTTTTAACTCTATTATTATATTTAAGATCATGTTCTATACTTAATAACTTAGAACCTCATGTTAATTTGACAAAAAACCAATTTTTTGTATAGATTGAACTCATTGATCAAATATTGTAGTAAATAGGACTTTATAATTGTTGACAGAAAGAATTTGTTTTACACAAACTTTTATTAAATAAATAAATATATTATTAATAAAGAGATCATTAGTTTTTTATTTCTTAAGTTGTTAATTAAATTGTTTCATATAGATTATATTAACAATTATTATAACACACACTCTTTCTATTTTATCAATTGAGAATCAATTAACTACAAACTATAGATCATTCATTTAGTGATCAATTGATAGATTTTGTATCTATATCTTCAACAATTATACAATTATTTATCTTATAGATTAAGTTTTTCCTTATAATATTAAATAACTTTATAGATAATAAATAAATAAAAATATTATTCTATTAAATATTTATTTTTTTTAAAGGGGATCAGAAATTTAATTAAATTTAATAATATTTAATATAATTTATTAAACAAACACAATTAATTGATATTATAGATTTATCATCAATTAATCAAAATTCTTTATATCGATCAATCAGTATAATTGACAATTTCATTACATTTACATCACAATTTGCATATTTGAACATTTACTTTATTAGGGTGGGTTTATAAAAAAGTTATTAGAAATTTATTTGATTTTAATTGCCACAACTTATTAAGAATATAAATTCATTCATTAGAGGGATCAATTAATCTTAGCATAACTAAAAAGATATATATATCCTAAAATGGATAGGATACAAGAACAAAATAATAAAAAGCGATCACTTCATAATGAACAAGAACCTTCAAGTATAGATATAGAAAGTACAACTGATGAATTTATTGATGAAGATATACCTAATGATAATAAAACCCAGAGATTAACTAATGATTTAACAAGTTATGAAGATGCTTCAAGTCCAGAAGTTATAGATATTACTGGAGATGATGTAGAAGAAGATGATGACGAGGAAGATGATGAAGATGATGAAGATGAAGAAGACGAGGAAATAGAAAATTTAGGGATGGATGAGGAAGTACAAATTGTTGATAATAATGGTAATTTAATTGAAATTGTAAATGATCAACAAAATACCAAAACAAATGGTACACAATCAAATAAAGGATTTCCATTAGCTAATGAATTTGATGAATTATCCAAAAAGTTATTAAAACCAATACCAGATTTACCAACGAAAGATGAAACGTATATGGTGTGGGAAATTAAAGATTGGGCTCTGTTGGTTAAAAATGAAAAAGTACGATCACCAACTTTTAGTTGTGGAGGATTTGAATGGAATATATTGTTATTCCCGAAAGGAAATAATCATAGTAATATGTTATCGGTTTATATGGAACCACATCCACCAAAAGATGAAGATGATAAACCAATTGATGAAAATTGGTATGTTTGTGCACAATTTGGATTAGATTTTTGGAATCCATTACATCCAGAAGCTCATTTTCCAAATCAAAGTTCTCATAGATTTAGTAAAGATGAAACTGATTGGGGTTTTAGTGCATTAATAGATTTAAGATCTTTGACTTCAGCAAAAAATTTAAAAACTCAACCTTCATTGTTTCCAATATTAGAAAATAATCAATTAAATATTACTGGGTTTGTAAAAGTTATTGATGATTCTTCAACTGGGGTACTATGGCACAACTTAAACAATTATGATTCAAAAGTAAGTGCTGGGTTTGTTGGGTTAAATAATCAAGGTGCTACTTGTTATTTGAATTCATTGTTACAAAGTTATTTCACAACAAAATTGTTTAGGAAATTGGTTTATCAAATACCTACAGAAAATAGTAAAAATGCAAAAGTTGCTTTAGCTTTACAACGTATTTTTTATTTACTTACAAATTCAAATGATCCCGTGGGTACGATGGAATTAACAAAATCTTTTGGTTGGGATTCTTCAGATGCTTTTACACAACATGATGTACAAGAATTAAATCGTATATTAATGGATAAATTGGAAACTGCAATGAAAGGAAGTGAAATAGAAAAGGGATTGAACGATATTTTTGTTGGTAAAATGAAATCATATATAAAATGTGTTAATGTACCTTATGAATCTTCAAGGGTTGAAGATTTTTGGGATATACAATTAAATGTTAAAGGTTGTAAAAATTTAGAACAATCCTTTAAAAATTACGTAGAAATTGAAATGTTGGATGGAGAAAATAAATATCAAGCTGGTGAAGAATTTGGTTATCAAGATGCTAAAAAGGGGGTAGTGTTTGAATCATTTCCACCTGTATTACATTTACAACTTAAAAGGTTTGAGTATGATTTTATGGTTGATGATTTAGTTAAAATTGATGATTTTTATGAATTTCCTGACAAAATTGATTTAGCACCATTTCTAGATGAAGACCTACCAACCACCGTCAAAAATGAAAACTGGACATATAAATTACATGGGGTTTTGGTACATCAAGGAACAATCTCAAATGGTCATTATTATGCAATGATTAAACCAAATTCTAATGGTGGTTGGTTAAGGTTTGACGATGATAAAGTTTGGAAAGTTACACCCACAGAAGTATTTAATGAAAATTTTGGAGCTGCAGAAATACCAAGAGCTAAACAAGTTACAATGTCAAGAAGTGAACAAACAGAACATATGCTTAGAAGAGTTACGTCTGCTTATATGTTGGTTTATTATAGGGAAACCGAGTTGGATAGTATATTACCAGAAGATTTTGCAACTGAGGTGGTTCCAAAACATATTTCAAATCAAATTAAATTTGAATTGGAAGAAAAACAAAGATTGGAAAAGGAAAGACAAGAAGCTTTGTATTATTGTAATGCAAAAGTTATAACTGTTGATACTATAAATAATAATTTGGGTTGTGATTTATCACTAGATGCAACTTTAGATAGATCTTTTGAAGAGAAGCTTGTGGGGACTTTATGTGATCCAAAGACTTTTAAAGTTAAAAAGGATTCAAAATTTTCAGAGTTGGTTTCGCAAGTGGGTGAGTTTTTAGGATATGAAGACTCAAAAGGTTTTAGATTAGTGGTTACTTGTCATCGTAATAATCATACCAACAGATTAGATGTCCCAGTTAAAGAAGATTATAATGAAGTTGCAATTTTCAACGTTTATGGGAAATTATTTAATAGGAAGTATGATGAAATGGTTTTTTATGTTGAAGAATTGAATAAAGATATTAAAAATATTAATCAACTTACCACCAATTCAATGGGTACCACTGACCCAGCAAATTTTTCATTTGATGAAGTATTCAATAAAATCAAATCAGTTGGCACTGATTTTTCTGATGATATGCAATTTAAATCAATTGATGAATATTCTGGTAATATGACAATTTTTATAAAATATTTTGATCCAATATCACAAGAAATTAGAGCTTTGTCGCATATAACAGTCTCAACTCAAGATCAAATTAAAAGTATAATTGAACCAGTAAGAAAATTATTAAATTTTGGGGACACAGTAGAATTTGATTTATTTGAAGAATTATCACCTTATAAACTTGAAAGATTAGATCCAAATATGATTTTTGATAAACACGAATTAAGTAATGGAGACATTATAACTTTTCAAGTTTCTAATGTTGAAAGTTTGGCTGGTGATGCACAATTCAAAAACCTTAAGGAGTATTATAAATTTTTAGCTACTCGTCATCGAATTAGAGTTAAACCTTTTAATGCAAATTTATCAGATGAAGATTCAGATTATGTTGATGAAGAAGAACCTCAAAATGGTCAAGATAATGATGTACAAACTATTAAAGAAATTGAAGAAGCCAAAAAATTAAGTAAAAGTTTTGAATTATGGGTTTCTTCTACTTATAGTTATCAAGATTTGGCGTTAGTGTTGTCAAAACATATTAAATGTGATCCAGAGTACCTTAAAATATTTGCTATTGGTAACAATGGTACAAGGTATCCATTAAAAACCACTTCTTACCTAAGTCAATTTTTACCAAAACAAGCTTCCATCAATAATGTCTACGATTTTGAATATGAAATATTAAACATCAAAATAAAAGATTATGAAAATCTCAAAGGTTTTAAAGTTTATTGGTTTAATAATTTATTACAACTTCAAATGTTTGAATTATTGGTACCGAAAAATGGTAATGTACGTGATATAATCAATAAGTTATTACATAAAGTACAAATACCTGAATCAAACCTAAAACATATTTTATGTTATACTGGTTATAATCATAAATTTGAAGAAATTTTAAGGTTTGATAAACCTGTTTTACATATTCGAAATGAATGTGAAATTTTCGTAGGTGTATTTCCAGCAGAAGTTGAAGCTTTGGTACAAAATGATATAATGAGAAGATTCGTTGATGTTGATGAAATAAACCCCGAAGAAATTGAAGATTCATTTATGAAAGAAGAATACTTAAAAACAGCTGAAAACATAAAGAATCTCAATTTAATTCCAGCTTTCCATTTTCATAAACATAGTACAAATCATCATGGAGCCCCATTTATAATGATTATTTACCCTGATGAATATTTCCCACAAACAAAAGAAAGATTAAGACAAAAATTAGGTTTGGGGAGACAAGCATTTGATAAGATTAAAATAGCATTAGCTAATACTCAAGATAAAGGAGTTTACTTAGATTTAAATGATGAACAACTCAAGATATATGATAAGACTGGGACTGGTGAATTAAGTTTAGCTTTGGATCATCCAGATAGAAATCCAAAACGTCAATCACAATTTGATAAAGGTATATCCATTAAGTAATCTAAAATTCTATACTACTAAATTTTTTTGAATTTTCTTTCTCTATTCGTAGCTAGTATTTATTATCTATGAATCTCTAGAAATCTATACTATTAAATTTTTTTAATTTGTTCATTTCTCTTTCTCTTATGTCGGTGGAGCTTAATTTCCCCCTCCATGAATTTTTTTCATTACTATCTTCATCTCCTATAATATTTATAGCTGTAACATCTAACTCTTTAAATCCAATATCTCTACGGTAATTATTAACAAATTCACCACCTTTCAAAGTTTCATGACTAATTATCAAACTATCTATATCTGGTAAATATCCAGTTGGACCACAAATATCATTAATTTCATAGATTTCAAATCTTAAATTGTTATCATCTATTATAATATCCAAAAAATTAATAACTGATTGTTTTCGTACCAGAAAAGATTCTAAAACTTCTATAAATTTTTTATTTTTAAGTAATTCATTCCCAGTTATACCAATAATCATACGTTTTGAAGTTAAAAAATATGCCATTGATAATAAGATCTTATGTCCATCGTGTAAATGATCAAAAGTTCCCCCAACTGCAGTTGTATTGAATTGTTTAAATGATTTATTACAACTTGAACTTAATTCTGTAGGTGGTAATTCACAATTGATAGATGATATAGGAATTGGTAATTTTGAATTAATTAAATTTTGTTCTGTTTCTGCAATAAATATATGATTCCATTTTTTAATAAGTGTTCGATATTTATCTAAACTGATATTGAAAATAATATTTATTTGAAAATTATAATCTTCAAAATTTAATTTATTGATCTCATTTCTAATTAAATTGTAATAATTATATAAAATATCATTTAAATTTGTAACATTTGTAATTTCACATTTAATTAATAAATCTAACCTATTTGATCCTATAATTTTGGGGATTGTTTGTTTAATTAAATTGTCATAGTTTGTTGTTAGTGGATTGTTTATTATTATTACTGGATTGGGCATTTGATATTATGAAGTTAGTTGGTTGTTCTTTTGATAAGATAGTTTGATGCGCGAGAAATATATAATTATTGCAGAACATGTCATAAAGTTAACTAATTCGTAAACCAACAAAATAATAATATTTTATTATTTGATTTCATTTAACTATATACTTTCATCAATTTTCTAATTTGAGATAAGAGATTGAATATCAATCTCTCTTTATTTTGAAGCTGATCTATCTATAAATTGACTTTGCTCGCTCTAGCTGTCGGGGTAAATTCATCTAATTTATTAGCATAATGATTAATTACCATAATGATTAATTACTTGAACTTTCCCCACTTAGTTGGATTCGTTTTGAACATATTCACCACTATATAAATTTCAATTTGCAAATTGACATGATTTAGTTGGCATTTTTGCATTGAATTGAATATCCTATGTCAGGAATTGAGCAGAACATTATTCAAATTATCATGATACTCTTAGCTTTAATAGCTAAATTAGTCAAATATTTATCTTGTTGTGATACCTTGTGACAATGTCATCGTCATTAACAACATTACATTCCCCATCTATTAAATGGAAAACATCAATGTTCTAAAAAAAGCAGCTATAGACGACATAAGTGTTTGGATATGAACTTTGGCTAAGGGGCGATCCCATGGTGTAATTGATAATCACATTGTCTAATTTGTTTAGCCGGAACACGTATTTAATTTTGTTAATCAAATACGGTATGACACCTTCTGAGAAATTTGGCATTCAGTTAAAGTATTCAATACAGTATAACCAAATATTTGTGAACAAATTTCAATCTTGTATATTCAACATATTGGATTTACTAAAAAACTGATTATTTACTTAGTTACTTACATAGTATTTACTATTTACTTGTTTACCATTTACGTACTCACTTCTTGTAGTGTATGCTTCAGTTCGATATTGAATTTAGTAGTTCGTAACCTCTCTCCAAAGCTTTGTTTCAAAAATTAATTTTGTGTTCTTCAAAAAAGTATTTTGTGTATCTTTCTGAAACCTAAAGACAGTGAGTAGGGCTACAGCCCTTTGGAAAGAATCCGTACCACAATAATAAATTCATAATATTTCAACTTCTGCTTGTTATGCTGAAATTGCAATTTATAATGAATTATTGGGGATCTGTATTCTAATTATCGTAACGACAAAAGGCTAAAACGTCTTGATTGATTTAGAAAGTGGTTCGAGTTTGATCAACAAAATTTAAAATCTAAGTTTGAGAGGACGAAAGACAAAGGATTCGATTAGCAATCCTTATGAAGGTTTAGGTCCATTAATCGAGAATTTGACTACTTATAGCATGCTTACAGGAATAAGTGTGAGTTCAAATAAATGTATTCGCATAGATGCAATGAGTTGTGGCACTCTCTTTTCATGGCATCTTAACAATTCTTATATCAATTTGATTCTCTATCGTTTTAGTTCTCGTACGTGTTATCGTCTATTAAGAACACTAATAACTAATGTTCTGTTCCAAGGGGTAGAGACTCGATAGCTTATATTAGAAACTGATATTTTGTACTAAAGTACAACGATGATGTTTATCTATATATTAAAGTAACCAAGCTGCTTGGCTTCTTGTGATAGCATCGTACGAAGGTCGCACCAGCACAAGCCCATAGCTAGCGAGAAAAAAAAGAAAATTGGACCTAAAAAAGTTTTTCCTATACCAATTTTCATGGTCCTGCACATTGTTTTGCTATATTTTTTATTTTTTCTAAAAAAAGAATTGAAAAATTTTAACAACTTTTGAATCTATCATTCATAACAGTTTATTTGAAGTAAGAATTATCAACACAACAAGAATTTTACTAAAAATTTTATAACAGTATGTAAAGAATATTAAGGTCAGATTGGTTTACAAATGTTTGAGGAATTCATTTACTGATCAAGATATCCAGATTTTTCTGAAAATGGTACTAACTTAGTTTAGAGATGTTGATGGAAAAAAGTACTAGACGTCAAATTCATGAAGCTTTATTCAGTGACGGTTGCCTTGTAGCAGCAAAAGATTACGAATGTGATCACCCAGATATTCCAGTCAAAAATTTATATGTCATTAAAGCTTTACAATCATTAACTTCAAAAGGATATGTCCACACTCAATTTTCATGGCAATATTATTATTATACCTTAACTGATTCAGGAGTAGAATATTTACGTAATGAATTAAACATTCCAGAAGGTATCTTACCATTAACTCGTTTAAAGGCTGCTCCTGCAGAACGTAAAAGTAGTAGACCAGCTGGTGGTATGAGAAGAAATTATCCAAGAAGAGCTAGAGAATAAGGAATTAATACATTTTGTTCACTTTTAATATAATAAGCAGTGGTTTGTTGTTTAGAATTTTGTTAATATTCAAAGTTTATCATTGGATTAGATGAGTTGGAACGAGGGATATTGAATATGTTTTATATAATTTTTATATAGCGATTTGATATAAAATTTAAATGGTTATTAACGTCAGATTTTGTAGATTTGTGAACAAATAGAGAGTTAAGCAAGGAGATACCGTATCAGATAATTTTTATGTTTTTGTTTTGACCAAAAGTAGACGTATTGAGTATTGATTGTGATTAGGTTATGCTGGAATCATCAAAGGACTTTGAAAAGACCTTCAATCTAAGGGAAAAGAGATAAGAGCATTTTCCATCTACTCAACTAAATTTGTTCGTTCATTACTTGAAATATTTAACCTATTTCCATTTAAACCAATTATTATTCTTAGCATGTTCTTTCAATTGTTGTTTCAATATAGAATCTTCCTCTTGTAATTTAGCAATTTCATCTTCTAATTCAGCTGTTTTATTGACTTCTTCAGCATTTACTTTCAATAATTCTTCAATTTGGTGTTCTATAGAAGTTGGTAAATCATTTGAGTTGTTTTCGCTGGTTTTAGTTTCTAATTCTTCAATGTCTTGTTGTAGTTGTAAAATTTGTTGATTCAATTCATCATTTTCATTTATTAATTCAGGTAATGAAATCTTTAAGTCAATCATTTTTTGAACTATATCGATGTGATTGTGATTTAGATTTACAAATTTGAAATCCAACTGTTTTAATTGTTTTCGTAACTTACCATTTTCTTGTTGATAATGTTCTATATCTTTTAATTTTAATTCTTCATCTTTACAACATTGATTAAATTTTGATTCAAATTTTACAAGTTCTAGTGGGTCTATGTTTATTTTCATTGAATCAAAAACTAAGTCATTGAGTTTATAGTAGTCATGATCGTTTATTGTTGGTATGGAACTTGATGATTTTCTTAATAACGAAAATTTACTATTGTTGGTGGTTGTAGGGGTAGTATCTTTAATATATTTTGGATCAACGTAAATATTAAATAATTTATCTTTTAAAAATTCTAGTAGTTTATCAAAATTTAAATTTATTAATTGTTGTTCATTTTGAATCATTAAATTAACTGCAAATTTCAAAATTGATTCCATACCTTGGGTTATAACAATATCATAAATCCTTAAAACAATATCTAATGGAAATTTATAAGCAAAAAAAGTTAAAAACCATTGACTTGCATACATTGAAGATTTAATCCCCAGTCTTACTAAGTGATTATATAATGTTGGAGAATATTTTGCCAATAAACAATCAAATTCATAAAGTAATAAATGTAATCCTTTCATTTCGGGACAAAATAAATCTCTTAATTGATATTCTTTCATTAACATCACCAATAAACAAAAACATTCACTTTCATCCATATTCATTATCAATGGAACTGCAATAAAAATCATACCTTGAGTATACCCAACATCAGGATCATATAAAGAATAAGCTTTTATAACATTAAATAATTCATTTGCTTTATCTGCACTCTCTAAATTTGTGAAAAAACTTGTTCTTGTTAGGTCTCGTTTAATAGCTTTTTCATGTATTGAAGTTTCTAATTTCAATGATCTATAAAAATCTTCTAAATTTGAATCTTTTGATTTTGTAACTATTTGCCATATTATACCTCTTATTTCTTTGGGTATTCCCTGGTTTATTAAATTATTAAGCTGTTCTGATTTGTTATTCACTATAAAATCGTAGTTATCCACAACTAAAGTCCAGAATTCCCAATCAATATTATATTCCGTTTGATATGTTCCTACAGTATTTTTTATATGATTAAAAGTTGTCTTTATATTTTCATACCCATTTTCAATTGATTTTTGAGCAATTGAAGTCTTATCATTAAACTTTATTGATAGAATATTATGCTTCGATTGAAGTAAATAGTTTGAAGTTGATTTATCATATGAACTTTGTACTGAATTTATATTACTTGAGTTTATTTGGTGTGAGTCGTAATTTATGGGTGAGTCTAAGTGTAGTATTGTTTGAATTGGCTCTCTTGATGGTAATTGTAAATTTCCATTTTCTCCGGTGGTCGTTACGACAACTTCTTCTTCTGCCATTTTTTTGGTTGTGGTTGTAAAATTAATTTGATATAGAACTTATGATTTAAGATAAATTAAATATAGAATATTTTATTTCCGAATTCTGACATGTCGTGTCAGTTTGCAAAATGTTTCAGACATTAAAACAATACACTGGTTTTTACTAGCTAATCTGGTGAAGTAATTATCATTATTAGCAAGTTTTTATACCATTAAAATACCTTTCGATACCATTAGGCTAGGTATCCTACATTTCTCTATGTATAATTTTACATTTAGAATAAATGTTGATTTTAGGAAAAAAAAATTAAAAAGTACAATACTAAAAGAAATAATGTTTATTTATTTATTTACAGATTTAATTAGAAGAAATCCAATGATAACCATCACCATCATTTATACTAATCATTTGTTGTACTGGCATAAATTCATTGATTGGTCTAACAACTTCATTCAAATGAACACCTAATTCATTGGAAGAGTTACTAAGAATATCAGCATCACTTGTACAACTATAATCTTCATTATAAGAACTCAAAATATCAACATCACTAATAGGACTTTGTGGTTGTTGAACTATTTTGGTAACTGGTTCTACTTCTTCAATAATTATTCCACCACTAATGTTTTTCTCTTTACATAATTTCTCCAATCTTTCTCTATCACAATTTGGAAAATGAATTCTAATAACATTTGAGGATTGAATGTATTTCAATGGTAATTCACCTAAATCAAATAAATTAATTAAATCGGATTTGAAGCTTTTTAATTTCATTTCAAAATTTTTGATACTAAAAATCATTTCATGAAATATTTCTTCCGAAAGTATTGTTTCATTTGGAATATTAAAATTAAAATTTATTGGGAAATCCATAAAACAACTCTCAATTTCCACAGATTCTTTAATTGGTGCTGATGATTCAATTTTAGCTAAACTTGTAATGATATGATGATTTTTAGAAGTTAATGATAAGTTCAATAATAATTTTGAATTTATTTTTTGATTTATTTGTAATGAATCTTTTGTTTTATAGATCTGATATTTTTCTCTTAATTTAGTAAATAATATTTTATAAGTATTTTTAACATTTTGTTGATAAATTTTTAACAGGTAATTGTTTTGATAAATTTGTGAAAAATTATGATATATAAATCCATGATTTAATAAACTTAAAATTTTTGATTTTTTAAAAAATTTTAAATTTTTAATTGTGGTTGAATGAAATTTTCTTTTAAGTTGTGGTTGAAATTTATAATTCCAAGTTGGTGAATATGTAAAATTTTGTCTTCTTGTTGTTGTTGAAAATTGACGAATAAATGGTTTAAAATTTCTACCTTGATTTACTGGCACTGGTATATAAGCTGGTTGATGTTGATGTTGTGATGGTTGTTGAACATTTTGACCAAATTCTCTGTGGTTCTTATTTTGTTGTAATTCACGTTGTAAATTTTCAGATAATTCATTTAAAGCTCTTTGTATTCTTTTAGAAATTTCTCTTGTTCTTATTGAGATTTGATTTGTAAATTTATAAATGTTCATTGTAAATCAAGGTGTGGAAATGAATAGATAAGATAGTGGGGTAAAAAAAAATTATTGAATATGTAGTAATATAAACAATTTGAATCGAATTAATATATACTGGATCAGGCGAATTAAATCAAATAATGATAATCTATATAATTAAATGAATAAATACAAAATTTAGATGAATAGTTGGTTGTAAAAAAATGAAGTAGTAATGAAGTAGATAAGAAAAAAAAAAACTTATCAAGAAATGTTTTGTTGATCTTTCTTACTTTTAATTTTTTAATCTTAAAATAAAAATATTTGAGGGATATTACACAAAATTAAAAAGTAATGATTCACTTTGAAGTAACTCAATAGGAGAAATATTTAAACTTACAAAATTAATAACAACAATGAAAAGAGTAGGGTCGTAATCAAACGGTACTTTTAATTGAAATTGTTAAGATCAAATCCAAGATCTGAAGTAAAATTTCGAAAATTTTTAATATTTAATGCTTCAAAAATAAAATTCAAAACGCATCCGTTTTTCGGTTAAGTCAGTTGGTAGCTATACCTCTATAAAAATGGTTTAATATTTTGAAGCTTTTTATTGATTGGCTCCAAATCAGGAGGTGTATTGTAATAATAGATGTTTTAGGTTCACTTCAAGCTTAAGACTATTTTGAAAATCCTTATAATCTACATAATAAGTATTGGTGTCTGCGTCAATACACATTACTTAAAAGAACTAGCCACGGCATTCATAATTCTAAGGGTCTTCTGTCTTTTCTTGATACTTCTAATTTTGTAATTGTTTGTGAGAGCTATTAAATTCAGCTTTTGGACTGACTTGTTTTAATATTGACTTAATCGCTTGTATAATAACGTGATCAAAAATTAATAAATATCGGCTGCAAAAAAGTTCGAATTTTGAGTTTGTGTTTCGAAGATAAAATATATTAACACCAGATTCAACAAAAGTTTTAATTATATCGTGTTAACGGAATTTAAAATTTCAAAACAATACAATTTAGAGAAGAAACCAGTAAGTGCACTAAATAAATATTCATTCTATCATTAAAAAGTAATATAAAAGGTAAAAAATAAAAAAAGTCAAAGATATCAAAACCTAAATTAAATGGAACTGAATAAAATGTAAAAATCGAAACCTGAAATAACTAAACTTTTCTTTTCATCTTCATAAATCATCACTTTATTTTTAAACATTGATTTGTTCATCCAATACATCATCAAATATTAAATCAAAATTAGTTGAGTTTAAATCATTTAAATTTGTGGAACTAGTTTTATTATTCAAATTTTGTAAACTTAGTAAACTTGTAAAATTCCAATTATTTAATGACTCTTTATTTAAATTGTTACTATTATTATTATTATCTAATTTTATCTTTTTATATTTTGGAACTTCTTGATCCTCTACTTCTTCTTTTATTTCTTGTTCAATTTCAAAATTTGGATGATTGTTATGGTGGTGATGATGACTTTGGTGGTTGTGATTATGATTATCGGCCATTACTTCATTATGTAATGAATTCAAACTTAATATAGAAGATGGTGATGTTAACATTGAATTTTCATTTGTTGTATTTAATGAATTTTGGAAAAAAGTTGATGATGAATTTGATATTAAATTATTGTAATTATTATAATTATTATTATTTTGTTGACCACTTATTAAAGAATCAAATAAATCTTTACTATTATGATTTGTAGTTGGTATATTATTTAATAAAAAACTATCTATTATTTCTTGTTTGATTTTAGATTTATCATTTGAAAAATTATATTGTTGTTGATCTATTGAAGTTGTTGATTGTATTGGATGTGATTTTGATTGTTGTAATGGTGGATAACTAAATATATCTTCTTCATTTTCAATTGGTGATTGTACTAATGATTGTGGTTGTGTTGGAAATTTTTTTGGGTCGTCTTGTTTTTTCGTTATATTTAATTCACTCCCCTCATTATCGTTTTTAAAATTTAATTTTTCTAGATTCTCTTTAATTGGTTTTAATTCATTTTCAAAATTTTCAAATCTTTTATTATTATTTAATATTTCATCTAAATTAATCAGATTTGGTAAAATATAATTCATAATTTCTTCCAATTTTGTTAATTTATTTTCAACTTCTGTTAAATGAGCTCTTGTTAATGGTGATCTTATAGTTCTTGGACTATATGAACAATTCCAATTATGTTGAATACATTTTGAACAACGTGGATATTCTTTTGAACATTTTAATTTTCTTTTTCTACATGAATCACAAGCTTGTTCAATATTTGGTGAGGAAGTTGTAGTAGTATTTGATTCATTATTCGATGGTTGTGATTGTTGTTCCGTTATTTTGTTCAATTGATTATCAAATTGTGACTCCATTTTTGGTGAACTTATGAAAGATCTTTTATAGTTAATTCAATGGCTATCACAAAGTCTTATTTCCTTTTTAAAAGATTATAAATTGAAATTTGGTTGATATTATAGTTGATGAAAAATTAAACGGAAATTATGGAATATGTAAATTTCAATTGATAATATATATATAACCGTCTGAAAAATTTATGTAGACCTAAATTTTAATATATTTATTTAGTTATTTATTTGTTTTAATTCTTTTAATATTAATAGTAGAAATTTGAAACCCCTAGAATCAAATTTTAATTAACAAATTTAATTGGGAATAGCAATCCTTAAATGTAAAAATATGTAGTATTTTAAGATAAATAAAAATATTGTAAAAATTGACAGGTAGAAGTCTTTTACCTAGTTAAATTGTTTACTGTAATAGATAACTGAAATTGAAATTTATCTAAAAAAAATAATTGAAATTGTATTTGAATATATGGTTTTAGTTGATATTCTTAAAAATTGAAATTATTTTGAAAAATATTGAAAATTTGATTTGATTAAATAAAATAAATTAAAATTAAAAATTAAAAATAAAAAAATAATAATAAAACAACAGAAACACAAAAATGTAAATTATTAATACACAAAATATTAATATTCTACTAATAAAAAGTTGAACTTTATTTTTATATAAAATCTCAATTTATTATTAGAGATATTATTATTAGTAAAAAGTTTTGGTTAGAAGTTCGTAAACATTTTATTTTACTGCAAAAGAACAATTAACTGAAAGTCAAATAATCATATCATCATCCAATTTTATCTTTAGATTTATCAATGAAATAAATCTTATGTTATTTCATGATTATCAAACAATCAAATTAATCTAAAACATATAAAGATTAACAATTTAATTTAGAAACAATTTAGTAATAATTAAATAAAAAAAGAAATCATATGGTTATTTAACGTTGATCTTTTTCAATCGAAAGATTTTAAAGATTTTAAAACAATTAAAAGTAAAAAAATTTCCTTGATTAACCTTAAAATTTATAGTATTTTTAAAAAAATCCCCTATCTATCAAATAGATAAACTCAATTTGATGCTTGAGTTGTCTGAATTGTTTTGAGTAAAAAGCTCATGTTAATTCGCTACGATTGTTTTGTTTAGTCAATTGAGATATAATAATCTCAAACTTTAATATTATTTGCTCAAATGTTAATTAATAATTTTAGTTAAAAGAAAATTCAAAAGAGGGGAAATTTTTTGTTGGAAATTAATAATTTTAATTTTTTAATTTTTTTTATTTTTGATTTTATTTCCAATTTTTATACTTCTGTTTTTTAATATTTAAAAATACAAGTAAGATCTTATTTACGATGTAAATCCAATTTGAAGCAATTAAAGTATTTTTAAAGGAATAAATTGTATTGTTACCTTCTTATCAACTTGTATTTCCAAATTCATATCAATTTGTTGCAATCTTACAAAAACGTTGTTGTTACAACAAACTTTTTTTTTTTTCTTCTTTATAGAAATAAATTAAACTTTTAAAATATTTCGGAGTTTTTTTTTTGTGTAATTTTTAATTGATTGTTTTAGATTTTAAAGAAATTTAAATTACTCAAATTATTAAAGATCGGTGATATACGATATTTCAACCTTGAAAAACAATTAAAAGCGATTTAAGGCAATTAAAATCTAATAGTAATAATTGGTATCTTATTGAATGATATTTATCAAGATTATAGATGAGCTTCAACTACTCTCAATTTTTTCTAATGTCAAAAGGGGTGAATGGAGTTTGAGGATGACATGATAATCAATAAACCATCAATTTGTAGTGAAAACTTTTACTACTATCAATTTAACAATCTTAATCTTAAATTGAAAAGTTGTGACCAAAAATAGATGATGATAAAAATTTTAAAGAGTGAAGAATAAAATTTTTTCTCATGTTTCGTAATTTTCGATAGGGGATTAAACACCGAAAATTAGAATTTATATGAGCAAAAGTATAGCAAATAATTTTTTTGGTCTACTAAATTAAGCATTAATTAGTGGTTTAAGGTATGCATCATGAAATGATGAAGGGACCAAGATTTTATCTGCAAAGGTTAAATTAAATGAATTCGGCTTCAAAGTAAAAAATCAGATAAACTTGCTATAATTAAAGTAATATTGGAAAAGCTAAAGTGAATAAGTAAATTGACATTAAGTTAAATATCAAATCATACAAGTAAGCAATATTTTGTCATTTTTAATTATTAAATTATTAAATTTATGTATTGTTTGTTTAGTTTGCATATACTATTTATTCCCTAGTTTATTATAATAAAAAATTAATCCGAGACATTATTATATTTTTTTTTCTTGTCAAAATAATTTTTCCGTGATCTTATACATGAAAAAAGAAAAAACAAAATGCATAAATGTTAACAAGACCATTTTATTAACTTTTTAAAACCTATTTAATTGGTTTTTAATTCTGATTTAGAATTTGAGATACCCGATAAGTAAAGTGGGATGATTTATAATTAATAAATTGATATAATTTATTTAAACTACATTTATGTCTGATTGTTGAACGATCTCGGTTTTATTGTTTGCTTCTAAATGATTATTTGTCTTTTTAAATTTTGTGAATTGAATTAGAGTTTGATTTTAACATTTGTGATACTAAACTTATTCAGTTGATTTGTTCGATTTTAAATTTATTTGAAATGCCCTTGATTTAGATTGTGTTTAATAAGAAACTTTGTATTGGGGTACGGGTGTTGAATTGTATATAGTAAGCATGAACATTTTGAGCTTTAAAATATGTAAAATTTATGGGTAACTTATAAAAAGGGCTAGCCGATAGTGCTTTTTTTTTGGATTCAAATAGTGGTTCAAGTATTTTTAAAAGTTCTGAGGAATTTGTAAATTTTTTAGAATTGAGTTTATAATGTTTTGCGTCAAAATGAACAGAAAGATGTTTAAAAAACATTTTATAATTAGTAATTACATTAAAATCGTTTTTTAGCGAAATTTAACAAATTAAACTAGAAAAGCAAATAATTGTTCTAATTTTTGACGTATAAAATTTTAATTTGATTTTGAGCTAATATACATAATGCTTTTAACAAGTTTCAAAATTTTGCAACATTAACCTAAAACAATTAGTGATACGGCAAAAAAAAAAAAAAAAAAAAAAAAATTTTTTTTTGTACAATAGAAAAAAATTGAGCAGATAGCCACATGAGTATATTTTAGTACTGAATGAACAAATCTGATACCCGTAAATTGACTTATTAGAAATTTAATTAACTATATAAATAAAAATTAATACATTAAAATGTTCAAATTTCAATTCATGTTAAATACAACAAATTAATTGAAATAATATTTAATATTTTGTTCCTGAATAAATATTATTATTATTATTTGATTTTATTATTGTTGTATTATTATTAGATATCTTCAATTTTGATCTTAATTACACTACTCAATATTTAATCTTATTATATCATATATTAAGAACAATGAATACTCATCATAAGATCTTGTGTTTATTAACATTTCTTTTTTTTTTAATTCTCTCTCTCTCTCTCTCTCTTTTTTATGAATTATGTGGAGAAATACAAATTTTGAATAAATAGTAAACACATATAATTTCAGTTGAATATATATGGCTACGCTAATCATCAATGAGTAGCAATTAAATCAAATAATGAATCTGGAAATTTGTATAGTTATAATAANTTTTTTTTTTTTTTTTTTTTTTTTTTTTTCTACTTACTTAATAAAAAATTTGAAATTACATAGTAAATAAATAGTAAAAAGTTAAACTATTAATAATAAAATTTTCCCCATATTTTTTATTATTATTAATTATTATATTTTGTTCATTCATCTCTTTTAATAAAAATATCATTCAATTTTAAATTGATATATGTATTATAAGATTCTCAAATTGTTTCATTTAAAGATATATAGAAAACAAGAACAACTTGGATTCAATAATTTGATTAATTTTGGAGACAAAAAAACTAAAACCATTTTTTGTTTTAAAATATTTTAAATTTCGGTATTTCTTTTTTTTTTTATTATTACAAAATTTTTTTTCTTCTTTCTTTTTACTATAATAATATTAATAAACAAAATAATATTTTTTTTTATCATACAACAAATTATTAAAAAATAATATCAATAATTTATATCAACAACACTTTTATTATTAATTTTATCTTTACTATTACTATTTACTATTATTTCATTCATTCATTCATTCATTCATTCATTTATTGAGAATTTTAAGTTTATTAAATTTATTAATTACTAATTATTAATCTTCATTGTATTATTATTATTATTATTTTTATAAAAATATATCATTTATATCATCAACATTTTTAATAACTACCAGAAAGCAAATATAATATATACCTAATTTAATAAATATTAATAATGAATAATATAATACTAGATCATAGTATAAATAAGAATAATAATCATTATCATCAACAACAACAACAACCATCATCACAACAAATAACATCTCATACTCCACAAAACTTATTATCATCATCATCATCTTATTTAAATGATTTATCACAACAACAACCACAACAAATACATTCTGATAATATAAATAATAATAATAATACTACTACTACTAATACCAACAACAACAATTTATCACCTGATTCTAATAACTCATCAATATCATCATCATCAACAAAGAATAAAAGAGATGGCACAAGACCTTATAAATGTCCTCATTGTGATAAAGCTTTTCATAGATTAGAACATCAAACAAGACATATAAGAACTCATACAGGAGAAAAACCTCATATTTGTAAATTTCCTGGTTGTTCAAAAAAATTTAGTAGATCTGATGAATTAACAAGACATTTAAGAATTCATACAAATCCAAATTCAAGAAAGAATAAAAAAAATGAAAAAGTTAAAAATGAAATTATATTTAAAAATAAACTGATATTACCTCAACCAAATTCTTCTTCACCTTCATCACCTCCATCACAACAACAACAACAACATAATAATAATAATAGTAATAATAATAGTAATAATAGTCCTCCTTCATCACCTTCAAGTTCAACTTCTTCATTAATAAAACAAGAATTAAATATTAATTATAATAATGATAATAATAATAATACCATCAGTAATAATCAACCTAATATCACTTTATCACCACCAAAAAATACTCAACCATTAACTCCATCTCATACTCCACTTTTTAAATCAAATCTAAAACCAAAACCTATTGATACCCCCAATTTTTTTACTCCTCAAAATTCAATTATTAAAAATAAATCATCAGATTCTTTAACAATGAATAAAAATCCTTCAAGTATTGATATTTTAGCACTGGCAGCAAGTCAAGAATTAGAAATTATGGAATCATCAAAATCTTTACCTTCTTTAGTTGATCATTTTGGTCAACAACAACCACCACCATCATCATCACAAAAATCATCAAATTCATTATTAAATCATAATCATAACCATAATAATAGTACATCAAATTTTCAATTTACTAAAAAGAATTTCTTACCATTACCAAATAATCAAAGTTTTGAAAATTTAGAATCATCAAAATCTTTACCTTCGTTAGTTGATCTTTTTGGTCAATCAGGTGTATCAAAATTTATACCAAATAATAATGATTTTAATAGAGAAAAAGTTTCATTTCAAATTAATGATAATTTACAATATTTATCAAATGTTGCAACAAGATTTTCAACTATATCAAGAATGACACCATTAGAACAACCAATTGCAATAAATAAAAAAAATACTCATATATCACAAGATTCAGATATTGATTATTTACATCAAAAATTAAAAAGATCAAGACCTAATAGTCCTAAATTTTATCAATATGGGAAGTTTAATAATAATGGTAATAATAATAATAATATTAATACTTTACCAAATTCACCTATTATGGGATTATCAACAAATTCAACTCCATTAATGTCAACTCATAATAGTAGTACTAATTTAAAAGCAATGGGACCAGGATAAAAAAAAGGAGATTTGTATTATATACGAAATAATATAATTTAATAATATTAATCTTTAATTTTAATATTTTACATGTTTTAAATTTATTGTAGTTTTCTAAATACCTACTGACCAAATTTCATTTTCATCTTCAATTCTATCACTATATAAAGTTTCTTCATCTCCTCCTTGTTCTATTCTTTCTCTTTCAACATTTGCTAATCTTATTGCAACTCTTTTTGTATAATCACCAATTGATCTAGGTACAATTGAAGTTCCAACAATGGTTTTAATTTCTGATTGATTATTAAACCATTCATCAAATACCACTAAATTTTCATCAACAATACTAAAAATATCAAGGTATGCTTTTTCAGCTGCTAATTTTATTGGAATAATTGGATCACGTACTGATGCAAAAACACTTGGTACGATAAAATCAAAATATTCTTTTGGTATAGTTATTTTATGAGCAACAGTTCTAATAACAATTAATGATAATCTTTTTGTATCTGGTGATGATGAATTTGGTTGAATTATAATTTTTGATAATTGTTTGAATAAATTTTCATTATTGTTACCACTTAATAAAATTTTACCGATTGCAATAGTTGCATTATCACTAATATAAGCATTTGATGATTCAGAACACCTTATTACAAATTCAATGACATCTTCATTATCTTTTATTAAATCAGGTGCATATTTTAAAAATGAATTAATTGCCAAAATGGAAAATTTACTTTCACTTACTAAAACTTTTTTTTGTAATAAACTTGTCGTTTCTTCCTTTGTCAAGATATTGGCCAATGAACCTAATAATTTTGCAGAAGATATTGAATCAATACTTTCTTCTTCAACTATTGATAATAAACTAGATTTAGAACCTTCATTTAAAAATTCACCTTTTTGTTCAACTACTGCTAACATACCTTGTAACATAGATGCTTTTACTCCTGAATCTTCTGTTGTTTTTGCAGTAGATACTAATTCAGTAATTAATGGATCAACTCTTGGTTGATGTTTAATTAAAGTTGATAAAGCAATAACAGCTCTTTTTCTCAAAGTTTCATTTGATGAATCCCCCAATGAACGTACAAAAGTTCTTTGTAATTGTGGAATAAAAGGTCTTAAAAATTGTGGAATTTTAATTAATAAATTATTTAAAGCAAGAAGAATTGCAGATTTAATATTTGATGCAACTTTTTCACCAACAACTCTAATTAATGGTCCAGTTAAAGTAGTTGCTAAAGTTCTTAAATTATCAGATGGTGTCTTTTCAATAATATCTGCTATAGCCAAAGCTGAAGATTCTCTTTGATCTGAAGTACCATACATTAATCCATGTAAAAACACAGGTAATATACAATTCGGACCTTTTGGTAATGCAAATCCATGCACTGAAACACCAGTTAGATTTAATGCTTGAGCTGATGGTTTGACTAATCTCTCTAATATTTCTTTTGGTTGTTGTTTTATTAATGAAGTTAATGATTCCATTGAGCCTTTAACCACTTTTGACGATGGGTCACTTAAAGATAAAATCATTTGGAAAACAATATCTTCTAAATACATTGAATAATCTAAAGTTGCATGATCGAAAAACATTCCTAATTGTGCAAATATAACTTCTCTTATTTGTGGATCTTCATGTTTCATTAACGCTAATAATTGTTGCATCAATAAATGTGCACCATCATCTTCAACAGATAATAATACTTGATTAAATTCTTCTGATATGTCTTCATCATTATTTATTATAGCATCAATTAATGTATTTAATATAACTGATAATTTCTTATATAATGCTGTACCTGCAACTGAAGCTAATGAAGCTAATGCCAAAGCATCTACTGGTGGTTTTAATAACGATGGTAAAGTAATTGGGAAAATTATATCTGATTTTGAAGCCATTAATTCTTTTAAAGCCATTAATGAAGTTTCTGAAGAATTATTTAATTCAGAAAGTAATTTTGGTATTATTTCATCAATAACAACTTTACCAATTTGTTCATATAATTGTTCAAATGCTTGAGCTGCTGCATTTCTTGTTGGTTTATCTTGTTTAATTAAACCATCGTAAATAATTTGAATGAAAGTATCTTGATATGTTGTCAAACCTTCTAATGAAGTTGATTTAATCAATTCTGTTAATGCCATACATGCACCTTCTTGATCTTTAGCATTTTGTATAGATGGTAATAATTGTGGTAATGCATTTGCACCAACACGACGAACCATATCACCTAAAGTATGAGCAGCAATAGTTCTTTGAGTTTCATCATCTGACGCTAATTTTGTAACAATTATTGAAGTTAATGAAGGTAAAATTTCTTTAACGGTTCTTGGAGTGTTTGAAACAAGAGCTTTCCAAATATCAGCACTTGCATTTCTAACCATACCTGCAACGTCTGAACGACAAACAAATAATGATGCCAATATTCTATCACGTCTATCTTGACCCAATACATCTGCCAAAGTTTTGTTAACCATTTGATCTTCAATAAGTTCATTTTTACCAGAAAGACCCGTGATTTGAAACAATAAATCTCCTGTAAGTTCCAAAGAAGAAAGACGAATACGATATGATGAATTGGATAATCCAGCTTCTAATTCTGGTAGTAATAAATCAACTGCCTTTTTAGCGTAATTTTTAACAATTAATCTACCCGCTCTCAAAGCAGTTTCTCTTATTTCTTCATCTTGATCAGCTAAACCATTTAAAATTGGTGGAATAATTCTATTTAAATATGGTGAAAATTGTGAACCAAAACAAACTGGTAAAAATAAAAGCAATGGCATGAAACCAGCTCTAATAGCAGCTTTTGGTGATGTTGAAGATGATATAATTGATGGTAATAATTCTTCTAACTTGTTAACACCAAGACCACATATAACTTCAGATAATGCTTGAGCAGAACCAAGCCTATCACCAGCTTTGGTTTCATCTTGTAAAGTAGCAATTAATTTTGGAATTAAATCTGGGAATTGATCTTCACCTAATTTTTCAACTAAAGAACCTAAAGCTCTAGCAGCTGTTGATCTTGTTGCTGGAACTGGATCAACCATTGCAAATTCTAATTCCTCAACTAGCTCGTTCAAGTACGGTTTTAAATCTTTAGAATCAACTAAAATCGCCATATTACCAACAATTTGACAAGCTTTTTTCTTGGTGGATGCAGATCTATCTTTCATTGCACGATGAATAACGTGAATTATTAAAGCTAATGAAGAACTATCAATATAATGAACGAATTGGGTTTTAGTTAATTTATCTAAAGCTTCATTTAAATGTTTTGTTGGATCACCAATAGCATTGATTAAATAAGGAACAATTTGTTGAATTTCTGGATTTCTTATAACCTCACCAAATCTTTTAAGGGATTGTTCAGCAGCTTTTCTAACTTCTTTATGAGTATCATTTAAAACACCAACAATTTCTGGGATAATAATTGATAATGAAGCTGATAATTGTTCTGGATCTAAATAAGCCATAGCACCTAATAATTCAACTGAACCCTTTTTAGATCTCCATGCTATTTCATCAAGATTTGATATAGCTAATGGTATTAATTTTTTAACACCAAATGAAGTTGTATTTTTCATAATTTCTTTTGCTGCATCATCAGTAGCAACTCTAACTTCATTTTGAACATCACCAAGATTTTTTAAAATGGTTGGTAAAATTTCAAATACAAATGGTTCAAAAAATTTACCCAATGACCTAGAAAGTGCTTCAAATACTAAGGAAACAGCTTCTCTTTTTGTACCATTCTTTTTATCATCGGAAGCATCTGTTAAATTTCTAATGACATCAAATTCAGATAATGCTCTAACTCCATATCCTTTAACTAAACCAGCAATACCATAAGCAGCACCTCTTCTCTTGGTTAAAGTTTTGCCATCGAATAATTTTTCAAATAATTCATCAAATTGATTTGGTAATTCTTTCTCAAAAGATGGAACTAATGGTGCGATACATTCAGAAACTGCAAATTGAACATTTGGTGTATCTAAAGATTTCATCAATCTGTCATATATAACTTTTAATCTTGGATCTGACCCTTTCAAATGACTTGCTAATGAACCATACAAGACAACAACTGATTCTTTAATATTCTTCGACTGTAAACTTTCCTCAAAAATTTTGATCAAGTTTTCAACATTTGAAGCACCATGGACTTTAATTGCTTCAATACCAGCATCTTGAAATTGTTGACGTACATGTTCATCTTTATCACCTAGAGCTTCATCAACCAAAAATTTAACTAATTTTTCAATATCTGATGATTCTGTCAACAGTGGAACTAAAAATTTCAAAGCAAATGCAATAGTTGATCTTTCTTCCCAACGATCTCTTTGATCAATTGTTGATTTGATAACTAAACCAAATTCATCTAATTTTGGAGCTGGTGGATTTTTCTTTTCTATGTAAAAATTGAAAAGCTCTTCTACTTGTAAACCTGTTTGTAAAGCAGCATCTCTATATGCTTGTGCTACCGATAATCTTAAACCAGAATCTTTTAAACCAAACAATTCCAACAAGTTTGTTGAGTCAGGTACTGTTAATGAATTATCTTCCCATATAGTTTGAGCAAATTCTCGGCAATTGTTATCGGTATCAAAAGTTTCAACAAATACTTCTTTTGAATATTTAGATAATTCAAATTCTGAATCTAATCCTTCCAATATTGTGGATCTTACAAAAACATATGGTGAAACAACATTACTCAATAACAATTGTAAATCTTCATCTGAAATATTAACAGCAATATATTGACAAAGTGATAAAAAGCATTCTTTCACTAATTTTGATTTTGATGGAATTGACATTAATGATATTAAAATTTTTAATATACTATTTCTTGGAATACTTGAATCAGCAAATAATTCAGCATGAGCGGCAACAATTTCAACACTTAACAAAAGATTTTCTTCTTCTGGGTCATTTTCAACAAACTCAGAGGTGACTGCGATTTTTTTGGAATTTTTAAAAGCAGCAACTTGTCCTAATTCTAATACTTTGATAATCAACGGTAAAATATATGATAATGAAATAGCATCTAATGGATTTTGATCACTTAAAATCTTAACACGATATAAAATTCTACCTAATAAAGATTCTAAAGGTTCTTGTTCAAATTCTGGATTTGGTAATTTGATATCATAAAGTCTTAAAATGGCAATACCAACAAAATACTTTAGATTTTCAAATCTATCACTTATTAAATTTGATAATCTCAAAAAGGTTTTAATACTTGGGAAAAAAGAACCCTCCACAAAAGCTAAATCAAGTAACTTTTTGACACTTATTGGGAACCAAGAATCAGCTCCATTATTTACAAATTTAGCTTGCTCTGCAAGTTCTTTGATTAATTGAATTGCAAAATTGACTTTGTCAACAGTTGTTTTAACTTGTGCTCTTATCTCTGATTCCTTTTTAATTTGTTCAGCAACTAATTTTTTTTCTTCTGGTGTTAATTTCTTGGTTTGTTTTAATTCTTTACTCATTTTTTCTTCCCATGCTTTTATTTCATAATCTTTTGAATTTTTATCTAATGCTTTTGGAGTTTTTGCTGTCACATCAATAACAAGTTCACCTTCTGTTCCTTGGTAAATTAATTTTGATGTTTCATCTATTGGTTCAACTGTTAAATATTCATATATTAATTTGGTGATTAATGTCATTTCTGGTTGAATGAATGCTATGGTAGCTAATGCTTTTATAGAATTTGAATTCTTGGTGGTGACACATTCATTAAATATAGTTTGATAATTTTTATTTACTAATTCTCCAATATCAATTTTATGGCCACTTCTTTGAATTAATCCAATCCAACCGCCTGTTATATTGACTTCAGGGTTATTTGCAGGTATAATTAACTTAATAGCATTTGATTTAACTTGATCAATTTCTTTTAGTTGTGTTAGTATAGCGTAAACTACACTGATTTCTTTTATGTTGTAGACTTCCCAATCAAGCTGTAAAGATTCTTCAATTATAGATTCACTTAATGATAAATTTACTTCAATTTCTTCTTTGAAACGATGTTGAGCTAATTTTTTGATTTTATATGGTACTTTTTTCCCAGTTAATACATATAACCAACCTTTTGGATCATTATATAATGCATGAGTAAACCAAAACAAATCTATAGAATCTAATTTTTCATATATTTTGGAATCTGATAATATTGATGAAGTTTTATGAGTTAATGTGAGAATGACAAATGCACAGGTTATGGTTTTGATTGAAGCAAGTGGTGATTTTTCGATGGTTGCTAAATTTTCATCAAAAACTTTTTTGAAATGTGATGATTGATCAGGTTTATGTATTGCATGACGACCATACTCATTAAACCAAACTCTTTTTAATTTTGAGTTGAACCCATTAGTGAAGGTTTTTATAACGTCATCATCAAATTTATTAATTTTGAAAATGTTGTATGCCAATACATCAACATAAGCACTCAAAGATATTTCATTTACTTCTTTGCTTATCAAAGGTAGTATAAAAGCTATAATTTTTTCTGAATCTGACTTAAAGAATGTCCTTATGAGTAATGATTTTTGATCAGCATTTGAAGTGGTTTTTATAGCTTTGAAAATTTCTTCACATAAATCTTCTTTTGAATTTTCAGAAATTAATGTTAAAGTTGTTGAAGCACCTTTCCTTATATTCTCCTTTTGAGATTTTACACCATTTATTATAGATGTTAACAATTTAGGTGATATTGTGAAATTTTTGAGGTATTTGAAAAAAATTGGTAATACTGTGAAAGCATTATCTGAAGACCTTAGTATTGATTTTTCTATAGCTGGTATTAATTTATCTTTGAAATTTGATTCATTGATTAAAGTTTCAGTACATGAACCAAAATTTTCTAGTTCAATAGTTGATGGTACTGTTTTACCTAATAATACTTGATCAATAAAAATATTCAATATTTCATTTTCGTATTGTTTCAAATCTTCAATGGCTGATGGTTTTGTAGATACTAAATCAATACATGCCATATTCAATACTCCCAATAAAGCAAATGATTTAGCTTTTATAATTAAATCCATATATGATTCATCATTTATTAAAGTATCTGCAATACTGTTTTTTGTTGCAACATTTGCAGCATTTATTATTCTATTTGAATGTCTATGACGATTTCCTTGGTATTCAATACATTTAATAAATAATTTAGATTGAATTTGAACATTTAAATCACTTAGTTGATGTTGTTTTCCAATTTCTATATTAAAATAATTAATCCATTGTAAAAAAGTTAAATTATCAGTAATTGCTAATGATGTACCTGATATTTCTTTGTTTATAAAGTCCACATAAGCTTTGTAATAGTTTTGGTTGATTTTTCCAATTTTATTTAATATATCAATTACTGCATTTCTTGACTCCAAGTCTGAATAATAATTATAAGTGTTTAATAATGCTAAAACAATTAATTTAATTTCGTTTTCTTCTATACTATTTAAATTTGATTTAATACTTTTTATGACATTTATTCTTTCTTTTCTTGAAGAACTTTGAATACCTTTTTCATAAATAGGTTTCAATTGCTCCCATGTATATTCCAGCATGAATTTTTGGGAAGGTTGTTGTCTTATGACTGTTAAAATATTTTTGGTTGTAAAAAAACTTGTCTAAATAATTTTTCAGTTCAAAAGAGAAATCAAACAAAAAAAAATTTTTTCATTTTTTTCATACTTCTTTTTTTTCTTCTTTATCAACTATAACAGTCGATGAAGATAGGTTATCTTCCGTTGCAGCAATGAATTGAAGTATGAATTTAACGATTTATATTTTGATTTGACTCAATTGAGAGACTTTATATGTTTCAATTTTGGGCGCTGTGGAAAATATCACGAACCCCCATCACCACACAATTTTAGTGATTATATATATAATCTGAGGCTGTTGTTGATACTAAAATGTAAGAAATTGTATTTATTTTAATCGAAAAATAAGGTCTCTATTAATAATATAAAAACTAAATAAAAAAATATCCAAAAAGTTAAAAGCAATTAAAATGAAATAGAAAAATTGATAACCAGTATGGACCCCAAAAAATGTAATATATATAGAGAGAATTAAAATCATAAAAAAAGTTTGATCTCATAAAGCTGTGTTTAATCACTATGTTTGAAACAACATCTATTACCATATCTACAACTTCCAAATTTTGACCAATTTGAACAAGGTTTTGATCTCCATTTTGGTGGTCTTTCAACATATTTCAATTCTTGTTCTCCATGAGCAAATTGACATTTTAAACCATAAGGACAAACACCCATTCTCATAAATGCTTGACATAATTCAGTTTTATATAATTGAGTATTTATAGGTTTTAATTTATTTTGTTGTTGTTGTTGTTGCTCTTGTTGTAATTGTAATTGTTGAAATTGTAGTTGTAATTGTTGTTGTTGTAAATTATCATCAAGTTGAGTATATTCAATTATTGATTTTTTTCTAGATTGAACTTCTTCATCTAATAAATATATTTGTTGTAATGTTGTAGAATTTAAAAATGGTTCAGGTGATTGAATTGAATTATTTTGTAGTTGTTCTTGATAATATCCCATTTGTTGTTGTTGTTGATGATGTGGTTGTTGTTGTTTCCAAAGACTTGAATTAAGTTCTTGTTGTTGAGATAAATAATAGTTTTGTAATTGAGGAGATGACGGTTGAATTGAATTAAAATTGGATTGAATTGGAGATTGTAATAAAGGTTGTAGTTGTTGTTTTGGAGATGAAAATTGTAAACTTAATGGAGATTCTTGAGAATATTGATTTGGTTGTTGTTGTTGATGGTGTTGTTCTTGATGATGATGATTATAATTAACATTAAAATTACTATTATTATTGTTTAAATTAGGAAATTGTTTTAAAGTTGGAGGAGATTGAGGTTGAGATAAATAATTGTCTAATGCAAATGATGTTTGTAGTTGTGGTTGTTGTAATTGTTGTGGCTGTTGATGATGATGATGTTGTTGTTGTTGTTGTTGTAATTGAGTTAAATCTTGTTTTATTGTTAAATAATCTAAAGAATCTGAAGATAAATAAGTATCATTTGATGAAGTTTGCCACAATTCTGGTAATAAATCATTTTTATTAAAATCTATTAAAGAATTTGAATTTGAATTTGATGAAGATGATGAAGATATTGAAGAAGTAGTCAATTTTGAATCCTTTTTACCATTATTAGTTAAATTTGTTTGAATAATTTTTGATGAATTTAATTCTTTAAAAAATAAATCATGTTTAATATTTGCATTATTATTATTATTAATTAAATTATTTGATTTAAAATTATTATTTGAATTTGAATTTATTTTATTAGAATTTTGACTTACAAATTCATTTGAGTTACTTCTAAACATCCTATGATAAATTGAATTAATAATTGTTCAAATTGAGGATCAAAATAATAATAAAAATGATGATGATTTTTAAGTTATATAAAAAAATTAAATAAAAAAAATAGTAAATAATAAAAAATTAAATTAATAAATTGAATTGAATATTTTATGGATATTAAAAATTGATTGGTATAATGATGATAATAATATTTAATACAAAATTTATAATTTTATATATATATATATATCTTAAAATTATAAAAATTGATATGGTTAAAGGAATGAAAAGATATATATAAATTTAATTATTTATAAAATATATTTATTTATTTATAAAAAAATTACAAAAAAGTTTTAAACTTTTTAAACTTTTTAAAAATATTAAATAATTAAAACCACACAAAATAAAAAGATTACACAAAATAGAAATATAATTATAATAAATTATTATTATAATTAATTAAACTCATCTTCCCCTCCTTCCTCCGCAGTTTTTAATTTTTACTCCAATTTTTATGTTTCAACTTTATCATGAATTGAAAACTTTAATATGATACCTAAGTATTAATTAATAAATTTACTTNAAATTACAAAGTATGTAAATAACTATGAGTGCTATTAATATAAAAATTAAACAAATTAAATTGTAGTATTACATTGTAGTATTAAATACCGAGATAATTTATTTAACAGTTAGAAATATTTTAGTTAATATTACTTTTTCTAATTAATTATTAGCCTCAGTCCCAGTATCAAGTAATTAATAGTTTTATTAAATTTAATTATCAATTCCGACAATTAATTTTATTTCTAACATCTCTTTAATTAGTTAAAAACTATATGCAGTATTTTGTTTTTTACACATAATAATCGTAAAGACAAAATGTTTTTTTTATCTATTTAATCAGTTTAATAATATTAATATTAATAATATTATAATAATATTTATATAATTGATTAGATATAAAATATTTAAATCTACAATAAAAACAATTATCAAGGTAATTTCTAGATTTACTATATTGAAGTTTATATTAATTTACTAACAACTTATTTCTATTCAGTTTATATTTGACAATCATTTCATTAAATTGAGTTGTATTGTAAATAAATTTTTCAAAGTTCATTAAAAACTTTAAATATAATATAATTGAAAAAATACGTTTTATGTTTTATAACTAAAAAATTATATTATATTATATTTTATAAAGTGTGTTGTTAATTGATAAAAATTAAAAATTAAAAATTAAAATAAATTTAAATTTTGACATTTTATTAATTAAATTATTATTATTTTAAATACAATATAAATTATTTATTATTAAAATCTTTAAACCAATTAAGACATTATCTAATTGATATTTTGGAGTTTTAATGAAATAAAGTATTAATTTGTGATTAATATAAGGGTATAATAAGGGGGGTATATGGTTTTAATATCAATAATGTCTATTCATTCGATAATTTTTACCATCATTTCTACTCAAATTTTTCTAATATTTTTGTCCTCTCTGTCCGTGCGGCTTTTTTTTATTTGTTTCATTCTTTCAATTTCGATTATCGGATTAATCAAAATTTATTCTTTTCATTATTTTTTTTTTTTTTTTTAATTTGAAACTAAATCTATAAAGGAACTATAAATGATAAAAGACTAGTAGGATTATAAAAAGATTCATTTTTTCAGACTAATCTAATCTCAAGTAAACTGTTGTTGAATAAATTCGTCCCTCAACTTAGATTTATTTGAACGTTGTCAATTAATACTTTTCAAAAAGATAAAGAAAAACTTATTCGTAAAATAAAGTTTAATTTAAGCATCAATTTTAATTTTTGTTTACTAAGAGTACTGTTAATCGGCTGAATGGTTGAAAATAGTCAATTTTTGCAAAAATTTTGTTTATCTCTAAACTAATTCAAGACAATTTGTATACTAAAAGATGAAGGACATTGTGAGTGATTTCGTGCTAAAAATTTAAATATTGATTGGTATGACGAAATCCAGTACAAACCATTCTGGCCAAATAAAAGTCTAATTGATTCATGTAATTGAGCTAGATGACATTCTTTATTAGATACTTTTTTTTAATACTGATAAGCTTTAAAATACAATCTAAATTCTCAATATTGTACAATAAAATTATTACTAGTATAAATTTTATTATAAGAGATCAAAGAAAAGAAAAAACATTAAAAAATTGTAAACAAACAAAAAATTATTATCATTATTATTATTATTTAGTAAAAAAAAGGCAACCAGACTACAATAATCCATATATATAAAACATCAAAAGCAATAGATATAAATGAATAATATACTTATATGATTAAAACTAACAATCTACAAGAACAACTAGATTGGGCAAAACTAAAGAAACCTCATCTACCTTCACCAAATTTATTAAATAAAGTATTAAAAAAATATCCAAATTCAAATCAAAATATAAATCAAAGTAATCAAATTAATCAAAGTAATAATCAATCCTCCTCAAGTTCGTATTCAACAATAAGTAATAGTTCAAATGATAATATAGTACGAGAACCTAGAGTACGAGAATCCGTATCACAAGTTGGAAATTTACTTGTTACAACATTTACACCAGATTCAAATAAAGAAAATATTCCTCCACCGTCATCATCATCAAATACTTTAAATGACGCGTCGTTTACTTCAACTCAATCAAATTTAAGTAATAAGAGTAAATTACAAAAGAAACAATCAAAATTACCATTAGTTTCAAGATTTTTCAATCCATTATCAACACGTCCAGAAACAACTCAACCAAATAATGAAGAAATTATTGATTTAACATTTGATCCAAGTCCAAATAAGAAAAGGCCATCATCTGAAGAATCAAATTTTAATTCCAATAAAAGAACCAAAATAAATAATGATAATACAGCCTCAATAAATTATAAAGTATTGGTAAATTTACAAGAATCTAAAATCAATTTATTGGAAGAAAAATTTATCACAAGTGAATCTAGTTCTATTTCATTAGATCAAAAGAAAGAACAATATAAAGTATTACAAAGTAAAATTAATGATTTAGATATTAAAATTATCCAATTAAAAGAACTAATAAAAGAAGAAGAAGATAAAAATCTGGTTGCAGTTGAACAAACAATGATGACGGATATTATAGAAGATTCAGTTGCAGAAACACAAGATACTTTACAACAAAATGAAGTATTTAGAGCACCAGCAAGACCAGCTCGTATAGCGGAAGCAAGACAAATTTTGGAACACGACTTACTGATTATTGAAGCTGAAGATAATTTCGGTGATAATACAATGGATGGTTTAAAAACTCCAACTCAAGAACGTGATGATTATGATGATATGGGAAGTTTTATCGATGATGAACCAATAATTGCAAATTCAGAAGATGAGTATGAACTGATTGTTGGTACTCAAGAAGTTCAAAGAGTTGATAGAAATGAATTAGATAATATTAGATTATCACCAGATGTTGCAGAAAAATATGGTATAAGATATGATAATGATAATGATAATGATAACGATTTTGAAAACTTTGATGAACCAATAAATTCTGATGAAGAGCAAGAAGGAGAAGAAGAAGAAGAATTTGATCAAGTTGAAGAAATTGACTTTTCAACACAATTAAATCAAGAAAGAGAAATTGATATTATTCTGATTGATTCAGAAGATGACGATGAAGATAATGAACCTATTGGTAGATCTTTACCTACAAGGAATATGATATCATCATCAAATAATTCAATTGCAAATTCAATAAATGCTGCTTCTACCTCAATAATTTCAAAACAAGGTAATTTAACACCTCCAGCATTACCTCCATTATTAAGTATTGATACAGATGATGAATTTAGTGACGAGGATGATGATTTATTACAACTTATAAATGCTCCAAAAGAAAGAAATGTACCACCTGGTTCAGAAAAATTTATTGATGAAATTTATAAAGTTTTAAATTATACTTTTAAATTACAAGCATTTCGCTCAAATCAATTAGAAGCAATAGTTGCATCACTACTAAACAAAGATGTGTTTGTTTTAATGCCGACTGGTGGTGGTAAATCTTTATGTTATCAATTATCTGCATTAATTAAAGGTGGTTTAAATAAAGGTACAACTGTTGTTATTTCTCCATTAATTTCTTTAATGCAAGATCAAGTTCAGCATTTAATAAGTAAAAATGTAAAAGCTGGAATGATTAGTTCAAAAGCTAGTAATGATGATAATAAACAAACAATCAATTTATTTAGAGATGGAATGTTGGATATTGTTTATTTATCACCAGAAAAAGTTAATAGATCATCACAAATTCAAAGGATTATTGGTAATCTTTATGATAGTAATAAATTAGCAAGAGTTGTTATAGATGAAGCACATTGTTTGAGTTCTTGGGGTCATGATTTTCGTCCAGATTATAAAGATTTATGTTTCTTTAAAGAGAAATTTCCAAATGCTCCTATAATGGCATTAACTGCAACTGCTAATGAAAGAGTTAGAATGGATATAATTCACCACCTCAAAATGAATAATCCGGTTACATTAAAGCAAAGTTTCAATAGAACTAATTTATTTTATGAGATTAGATGGAAAGCAAATGATCATTTGCAAGATATTTTTGATTATATACAACAACGTCATAAAAACAAATGTGGTATAATATATTGTCATTCAAAAGTATCATGTGAACAAACAAGTAGTAAATTAAATCAATTAGGTTTGAAGACATCTTTTTATCATGCAGGCATGACCGCAGAAGATCGTCTAATAATACAAACAAATTGGCAAAAAAATAAAATTCAATTAATTTGTGCAACTGTTGCATTTGGTATGGGTATTGATAAACCAGATGTTAGATTTGTTATACATTTAACTATTCCAAGAAGTTTAGAAGGTTATTATCAAGAAACTGGTAGAGCTGGTAGAGATGGTAAACCATCTGAATGTATTATGTATTTCAATTATAGAGATGGTAGATCATTAATATCAACAATTAAAAAGGATAAAGATTTAACTCATGAAGGTAAACAAAATCATATGGAAAAATTAGGTCAAGTTCTACTGTTTTGTGATAATAAAGTTGATTGTAGAAGAAAAATCGTTTTACAATATTTTAATGAATCTTTTGATTCAACCAATTGTAATAAACAATGTGATAATTGTAAAAATTTTAATCATGTTACAAGTATTGCAAAAGATTGTACTGAACATTCAAAAGATATTTTAAGATTAGTTCAATCAATTCAAGATGAAAAAGTTACTGTTGTTCATTGTCAAGATATGTTTAAAGGTTTAAAAGGTGGTAAAATTAGTAAAATGGGTCATCAAAATAATCCATATCATGGTAAAGGTAAAAATTTAGATAAATCTGATATTGAAAGAATCTTTTTTAATTTAATTGGTGAAGGCTGTTTAGAAGAATATTCAATAATGAGAGGTGGGTTTGCATCAAATTATGTTAGATTAGCTAGAAAAGCTAATAAATTATTAAATGGTCAATTGAAAATAAAAATTCAATTTAATTCATAAAAATTATAGCATTATTTATTGAAAGTAAATAGAAAATAAAATATTACGATTATTTCTGTTGCTGAATTATCAGATATGTATGTAGAGCAATTATTTGAAACGATTAAAACAATATAATTGATGTTGATGGTCGTTATTTAGTATTTTTTAAATAAATTTCTCCGAAAGATTGATTTAATTTATACTATACATATAATTTTCAAAATATTATAAATTTTGTTCTCGTTTCAAAATTAGATTGGTTGCAAAATTAAATAAAACTATATATTTTTTAACTTCTAGTAATATTGATTAAAGATATCTTAATTACAACTTTTTTAAGTAATGGGTTTTTAATATTACTTTTCTTTTTGTTTGTATTTTGTAAATTAATTAGCTATATACTTGAATATGGAGAACAAGTACAAGTAGCACAAATCTTTAGAATATACCTACGTAATTTACTAGTTAACATGTTTTTTTGGATATCTTACTTTTTAATTGAAATTTACTAGTTGACCTTTTCGTTTTTATATTTCATTTGTTCAGATAGACTATTAAGTCTATGAAAATTATTTGATAAGAAAATACTTTGAATACTTTGAATATGTTTAGTTTTTTTGTTCTTTTCAATACTGGAGATTATTTTAATAAGTTCGTATTTTGATAATGAATCAAGTCCTTAATAGTCTTCACTGTTATGAATACACGAATTAGTAGATTTAGTAATTAAACTAAAATAGAAATAAATTTTGAAATTATAGTTTAACACATAAAAATTTTAAACTCGGATAGTTTAAGCATTTAACAGATAGAAATACTTGGCCAAATGAATATATAAGTTTAAAAATTTTATCTAATGATTGCAGAAAATATATTGACAGTGATCATGAAAAGTATTTTAACCAAATTAAAAATAATAAAGATGACAAAATAAGAAACTCGGATAAATAAAGTAATGAATTTGTCATCTTATTTATTTGTGTTTTTGTTGATGTATTTCACTGTATTTATTAAGATGAAAGTAAAACACAAAGTAGTGATTTAGTTAAAATAAATGAGTCAACAATGTATGTTGTTAAATTTGGTTAAGTGTAAGTATTAATAATTAATGATTACTATAAGTGAGGTCTTATTCTTTGCTTTTTGTCTCTAAATTTAAGTTTATAAACATGTATAATATAGTTTGTAAGGAAACTATATAAGAATTTAAATCAAAATGTATTGAAAAATAAAAAATTTCTTTAAAATTCAAATAGATAATGTAGTATTAGAACCTTAACTAACCAAAAAAACGTGGTGTTATCATATTTCTGGTTAGGATTTACAATTTGGAGCTGCAATCTTATTCGATTTCTTGACATTATCCTCAATATTATCTGAACTTGCTTTCCTTTTCTTTGATATAAAGGTGAACGAAGATTTCAACGTTGTGTCTGAATCAGATTTCAACGTTGTGTTTCTTTCGGTGTTTAATTGTAGATCTAGTCTTGTTGCTTCAACAGTTTTTGTTGACTTGGCAGTTAATTGACCAATGTTTGCTAATTCATCATTTGCTTTAGTAGATTTTGATTCCACTCTTGTTTTCTTCACCAGTCTCTCTTCAAACCCATTCCTAGTCTTCTTGTTCTGCGTTTTAGGATTATCTCCTCGAAAATATATTGGTTCACTTAATCTAAAGATATCCTTGAATGCCTCGTCTGTTAATTTTCTCCATTTATCTGTATCAAATTTAAATTTAAGACTAGGAGGAAGTTTTAATTCGTCTTCAGTAGGATTGAACCAGCTCTTATAATTGTGGTCCATGGCTTGATAATGTCGAGATTGTAAAAAAGAAAATAAGCGGTGTCTGTTTATACTATTGTGTTGTAACAAAAAAAAATATTAACTTAAATTTTTTGTCTTAAAATTGGAATTAGAATAGTGAAAATGATAAGTAACTTAAACAATCCAAACTTGATTGATATATAAATAAGACATCTGAGTGATCAATTGGAGTACATGTGACAAGACAGTTTAATAATCTGTGTTTTCTTAATAATGAAGTGTTAATATTAATAAATTTTCTCAATTTTTAATTTAAAGAAAATATGATTAGATTTGACTAATCGACAACATAATTAATTAAGTTTATTATCAAACGTATATTGGACTTATGATCAATCAATTTGAGTTATTTCGTTGTTGAAGAGTTAGTATAGTTTTTAGAATTTATTATTTTCTTTTTAAATTTGGTGTTAATATTTTGTGAAAATTTAAACGCACTTACATTTTTGGTGAGCGTTTTACTTGTCTCAAAATATAAAAACTGAGATTGTAAATATAAACTGTAAATTAAACAGTAAATACTGAAAATTTTATGAATAAGAATATCAAGTGATCAGCTGATTTGAAATGTTACAAGAGAGTTTAATTATTTGTGTTTTTGTTGATAAATTGAAGTGTTATTATAAGTACATTTCTATCATACTAAATTATTTTCGCAATTCTCAAGAGAAAAACTAATAAATTTGTTAGCGAGAAAATTCTCAAGAGAAAGAAAAAATTCTCAAGAGAAAAAAAATCCAATTCTCAAGGGAAAAATTATTTTTTGTTAGTAGTGTAAAAATTTCAAATTTTATTCCACGCACTTGGTGAGTGTTTTATATGTCTCAAAAATTTTACGCATACAAATTTAGTGAGTGTTTTACATGTCCAAATATTTCACGCATTTACATTTTGATGAGCGTTTTACATGTCTCAAGAATTTAAAATTAAGTAAATATAAAAAGTAAATTAGACAGCTCAAATTTAATAAATTTTATTAATAAGAAAATCAAGTAATCAGTTAATATAAAATGCGACAAGACGGTTTAATAATCCGTGTTCTTGTTAATAATTTGAAGTGTTAAAACTAGTAAATTTCTATCAATATTTTTTTCAAATAAAATATAATTAAACTGTACAAATTAACAACATGTTTAATTAAATTTATCGTTCACAAGTATATTGGACTTATGATCAATCAGTTTGACTTATTTTGTCGTTGAAACATACTAAATTATTTTCGCAATTCTCAAGGGAAAAGCTAACAAATTTGTTAGTGCGAAAATTCTCAAGGGAAAAGAAAAATTCTCAAGGGAAAAAAAATCTAATTCTCAAGGGAAAAATTATTTTTTGTTAGTAGTGTAAAAAACTCAAGTTTAATTTCACGCATTTACACTTTTAGTGAGTGTTTTAAGGTCTCAAAAATTTCACGCACTTTCAATTTTGGTGCGTATTTTATATGTCTCAAAAATTTTACGCACTTACATTTTTAGTGAGTGTTTTACATGTCCAAATATTTTAAGTCAATAAAAATTAAATAGTAATTAGAAATAATAAATTAAACAGAACAAATTTGATAAATTTTGTAAATTAGATAACCAAGTGATCAATTGATCTAAAATTTTACAATGTTGTTCAACAGTCTGTGTTTTTATTAATACATTGAAGTATTTTTATGAGTAAATTTTTACAATATTTTTGTGAATAATATATAATCAAAATCAACAAATTAACAACACATTTGATCAATTTTATCATTCATAAGTATTTTGGACTTATAATCAATCAGTTTGAGTTACTTTGACGTGGAAAAATTAATAAAGTTTATAAAATTTATTAGATATTTTTTAGAATTGGTGTCGAAACTTTTTGAAAATTTGGAAATTTCCAGAGTATTAATATCAATAGTGTAAATTTATACACATCAAAATAGTTATATTGTTACTCTGAAAGAAGTTTAATGTTTAGTAAAAATATGAGTGAATGTATTGGGTTAATTTATTAAATTGAATATCTATATAAGTGGAAGAAAATTAATTAATAATTGAGTAAGCGAGGTTTTGATTATTCTTTGAGGTACGAAAAGTCTAAAAATACGAGATCTTTTTAAACGAGAAAATTTAAAAATACGAAAATTTTATATCCGAGCGGAATATTTAAAAATGCGAGTTTTTTATATCCGAGCCGAAGTGTGTTATGAAATACGGACTTAAATATCGGATTACGGAAGTTTAATATTTGTACGGATTTGTGTTTTGAAGTACGGATTTGTGTTTTGAAGTACGGATTTGTGTTTTGAAGTACGGATTTGTGTTTTGAAGTACGGATGTTGCGGTACGGATGTTGCGGTACGGATGTTGCGGTACGGATGTTGCGGTACGGATGTTGCGGTACGGATGTTGCGGTACGGA